ATATTAGAGTCTCTCTAATCTAATACGGACTGCGCGTTCCTCCGTCGGTGCCTAGGAACTATAACTAACTAGTACTCGAGGAAAGATTATAATTCTAAAACATAGTTAGGGTCTAATATGTCTAGAGTCGATTATTAGCTTTAGTATTTAACGTCTACGATAAAGCATTATCGAGGTTCTCTATCGTTTAACATATCTCTACCTTACTATCTTAAGGAGAAAATTCACTTACTATAGATCTTTATCTTACTCTTTATCTCGCGTTTTACCTCCTCGGACACGTTAAAACTTTCTAAAGCGTAATAACCTTTTAATTATTCTCTTAGACATAATGTCTATATCTTACATTAATAGCAAGATTACCTAGACACACCCTAATAGCACTCTCTATCTTGCTAGAGGCGATAGCGCTAACTACACTATTATAGTATGCCTAGTAGACCTTAGCGTCTATAGCTATAGACCTTCCATTATAGCTAGTAGCGTCCTAATTGTCCTATACGCGATCTATACATATATCTAAGTTTTTCTTAGTCTACGTTATAAGTCTTAGTAGTTTATAGGCTATATAGTGCTTAGATGCTTAGACGAGATTCTTAGCTACATAGGACGTATAATATACTAGTAGAACCCTTAGAACGATATAGGCTTCCTTATGTAGATTATGCTTATTACGATTAGACTAGTCTTCTTTGCTACTACTATATATGTATTACTTTCTTAGATATAAGTGCGCTCTCTAATTATGCGTAATTAAAGGAGAATTCTCCTAAGCTAATCATTATTATTAGTGTTACGACTATCGTACTAGACTACTTACGTTTTAATCCTAAATAGTATATTTAGACCTTTATCTCGTATAACATAGTTTCTCTTGTCCTATAGGCGGTAGGTAGTAGCATCTCCTTATCGTCTTTAGGTTTAAGTACTATAGGCGTTAACATCGCGCTCGCTAGTCTTAGTATCTAAGTTATTACTCTTTTTATCTTTATTATTATTATTATTAACTATACTATTCGTAGTTACTCCGTATAGTTAAAATTGTTACTTCTAGGCTCTTTTAAGATCTTTTACGCTAGTCTCGCTATAGCTATAGCATTAATCCTCGTACGCTATTCCTATCGTATCTATAAGCTTAGTAAGGGCTACTCTCGCGATAGTAAGGCATTATAGGATAAGCCTCTTTTTATTACACTTAAATCCGTATAAGTCCTTTTCTCCCTCTTAATTATTACTTACTTAAGATAGCTATAAACTAATAATCTTTATTTACTAGCGTAATTATAGTCTTAGCATATTGTCTTATCGCCGCATACCTAGGTCTTAGATTCCGCCTTATGTCCTTAGCGACCGCTTCTAAGACATCGCTATTAGTTAAATCGCTTAAGAAGCATACTATTTAGGAGGCTTTATTAGTCTAAATACTATCGAATGGAATAATTTGTAGATGCATAGATATATAGCTTAACCTAGACGAGCTTAACTCTAAAAACTAAAGCTTACTAGTTAAGATAGAAATTCTATGCTATAGTGTTAGGTAGCTAGAGAAAATAGGTAATATGCGACACCTAAGACGAGGAGGATTAAGAGCGAATCTTAGTCCTCGTTAACACGTAAGCTCCTAGCGTCCATTAAGGGGGTTACTTAGTTATTAATCGTTGTCTCGAAAAGTGGCTACCAAACTTGCTCCTAGCTATCTATTCTATGTCTCCTAGTAAAACGTCGCGATATCTATAGCTCCTAGCTAGGTCTTTAGTTCTATCTAGTATGATTATTACGACTAGAAGAAGGGTAAGATGCATGGAACGGATAAATATCCCTCCGACGGGGTTACAGAATGACAGAACTCGATTTCGGTCTGCGGCTTAACTCTTTCGACTAATGGGTGAGTCAGGGTCAGATTCCAAGATAATACTAAGCAAGCATTGAGCGATATCTCCGAGTCATTCGGTCTCCGACTATTTAAACATGCCACCTCACAGATCCATGCGCGTCGCGGCGCAGCCTTTGTGCCGTTGTCTGGTGTTTGCAGGATTGACTCGAGTTGTTCGCTTTTCGGCCTAACTCTGTGCCACAATCTTGGACAGTCGTTTGACATTTAAATGGAAGCCATCAAGCCATAGCTTGTACATTCCAACACCATTTGTTCGTCAGTAAGGAGAATCTTCTTAACATTCATACCTTCCTTCTTTAGTCAAGACAAAGCCACCCTTGTCTTTACTGCACAATTTAATCTTAGGGTCAGTCACATTCCCACACCTTCGATAAGATCAAACCACATCAACTTTGTTAGAATGAGCAGAGGCTTTGTCGCAGTCGCAGGTGCTACCGGCGGTTTGGGCCAACTGATAGCCAAAGCATTGCGAGCAAGGAACGTACCGGTCAAAGCACTCGTCCGTCTCAACACCTCACCTTCCCGCACTTCCGAGCTCCACGACATTGGGGTCAAGATTTCTCCTGTCGACCTCTCAGATGTACCCACCTTGACCAACGAATTGAATGGCGCAATCTGCGTGGTCTCTGCACTCCAAGGCCTACAAGACGTCATCCATACCGCACAAGGCAATCTTCTCGATGCATCAGTAGCCGCCAAAGTCCCCCGATTCATCCCATCGGACTTCTCTCTCGACTTTACAAAGACAGCTCCTGGCTCTAATCGCAATCTTGACTTGAGACGAGAATTTCATCCACGCTTGGATGCCTCGGGTATTGCATGGACCAGCATCTTCAATGGCGGGTTTATGGACCTCCTCGGTGGAGAATCACCCATGATCAACGACAAGACTCGCAAAGTGGCATACATCGGCAGCGACTCGCAGCTCGTCGACTTCACAACCATGGTCGATACGGCCGCTTTCACCGCAGCTGTGGCAACAGACCCGAATCCCACACCCAGATACCTTCGCATCGCCAGTGACGTTGTTAGCCCGAGGGACATCGCAAACGTCAAAAGTGAAGTCTACGGCGCCAAATACCAACCCTCGTACATGGGTCCGGTATGGGTCATCGAGCGCATGATTCCGGTAATGCGTCTGTTTGGAGGAGAGGATAAAGTCATGAACGCTTGGCAGGGTATGCAATACATGACCAACATGTATTCCGGCCTTGCAAGGGCGAAGAATTTGGACAATGATCATTATCCGGAGATCAAGTGGACGAAGTTGGTGGATTTCATCCGTGCCGATAAGGAGAAGAAGCAGACTGCTTGATGATCGTGTAACTCGTTTCCATCTACTGTCAGTTTGAGTGTTGAAATATAATCGGATTAAGACTGTCTAGAGGCGGCGCACCCTGCGCATCTACTACGCCTTTATGTCCCTGCTTGATCAATAATTAAGGACATGTAGGTTCAAGCACAATACCCCACAATACTCTTTTGTACGGTCTGATAGCGGAGTGACAGCCACGGAGAAAGGTATCCGTGTCGCATGGCACTCTGGAGATGAGCTTTATGGCTCGGTCACAAGAATCAGCAAGCTGCAGCAGCACGACATTATCCTTATGAAAGGTTGTGAGTTATTCGTTGTGTGACTCTTGAGACGATGGAAGATCAGGTAGATGGAAGATCAGGTAGATGTACTGTACGCGTTGCTTCTACATCTCTTACGTTCGCCAACTATGTCTTCTATCTAAAGTTTTGACATTGTCTTCGAGATCTCTTGTCCGTCTTCTCCGAAGTAGATCTTGTTCCCACTGACTAAACTTCGCTGAAGAGCCATCGCAATCTCAATAGCACGTACCGAACTGGAAAGAGTGATTGGTACTGCCACGTCATCCAAACAACATGTTGTGAACTCGTAGGCTTCGGTGATGAATGCTTCTCTGAAGCGTTCGTAGTAGTGCTGGGGCAGATCACGTCTGGCACCCTTGGCATCATGTACCACGACATGGTTCTTTCTACCTTCCATGTTGACCCTCAGTGATCCCTTTTCGCAGATAATCTCGGTGGTATCCTCTTGTCCGGCTGCCATCATTCGAGAGCAGTATAGCGAAGCAACTTTGCCTCCATCGAATTCGAGTCTGGCTACCGCGTTATCTCTATCGTTCATGGCGTTGAGTTCGGGATGTACGGCAGTGACGCCAACGGCCTGGAGACTCTTGAGCTTGCGGTCTTCACCGAGGAACCACAGCATAAGGTCGATGTCATGGATGGAGCAGTCTACAAAGATACCACCACTCGTCTTGGCGTAGTCTACAAAAGAGCCAGTCTTGTCAAGGAGGTCGGCAGTCTGAGAACGAAAGACGACGGGGGAGCCGTGTTGGCCTTCTGCGATCTGACCATGTGCTTCACGATAGGAGGCGTCAAACCGGCGGGAGAACGCACACATGACTTTCTGCTTGGGATTCTTCTTCTTGGAGTTTTCGTATGCCTGGAGGACGGACCGGGCCTGTGAGTGCGGAGATTAGTCGAAACGAGCTTCTTGATTTGGGTTTGTGAGGGGTGGGCTCACGACTTTGAGATCAATACTGAGAGGCTTCTCGCACAAGACATGATAACCCTTGGAAATGGCTTTGATAGCTTGCTCTGCGTGAACAGAAGTTGCACTCGCAACGATAACGGCATCCAGGTTCTCTTGTGCGAGCATATCGTCGTAGTCCTCGTATATCTTGACACCTTCGAGGTTCTCCTTTCCCCAAACTCGCTCTGTAGGGTCTGGAGTGCTTACGGCGACAACTTGTGCTCTTTGTGTGAGATCATGGAAGTTGACCGCATGACGTTTGCCTATGTCTTGGTCAGAATCTCGATTCTGCCAATGTTGATTATTGGAAGTTACTGACCCATTCGGCCAAGGCCTGCGATACCGATACGGAGCTTCGAACTAGGCATACTGAGGAACTCGAATCTGCGGAGTTGGATGGAGCAGCGATGTCTGTTTAAGCTTCGAAAATTGACAAGCAAGAAGAAATATATATGTTTCCAAGCATAAACAAAAGTGGAGGACTATACCTCAAAACTTTAATTTTCGCAAAAAGGTTTCCGACTCGAGAGAATTGAGGGCACGTAGCAGCCCCTCCAATTAGGTGGGTCCCAACTGCGTAGAGACTCGACTACTGTACTTCCACCAGAGAGGCAGACAGACCCGTTAGGATCTCTGACAACCTCCACTATGCAATAATACCATGTCGCATGCTGCAGTCCTTGTCCCTAGACCTTCTTCCAACAATCTGTAACCAACCCTTGCCCATGGTACTGACTCTTTTCAATAGCAGATACGACGCTTCGTGGCGCATCAAGTAGTGATAGTCGTATGGGTCCCTGTTGTTAGCGTAGATGGAGAACAAACGGAAGTGCATGCCGATGTTGAGGGGTTGGACGTAGGATGTGGAGTCGAGCTGCGGGGGTTCTGTTTGGCTCACAGACTTCAGGCCAACTATCGTCTGCTGACTCAAGTGACAGCGACACAAGGCGACGGGCTTCGAATCTGGCGGTTCGACTGATGTTATGTACAATTGGTGGGGGTGTTTTGACTTGCAATTGACTTACATCCGCGACGTACAAGTTCATAATCATCCATGTTGAAACATATTCCTCGAACCGGAAGATACACGTGTTCGAAGCCATGTAAAACATCGTGCGTCCCCGTTGAATTCAGCGAGTCCTTGGAGGAAAATCTATGCGCGGATCATGTTCGTGCGGTTGTGGTACACTTGTGCTGACAGAAAGAATGCTTAGATTGACGCATACACAAGACAATCTAAAAGATGAAACCACTGGCTTGGAAGCCCGCATTACTACCATACCAGAACAAATCCTTCGTTGTTCACCGACGCCCCATTTAATGAAGTTCACCACACATTGTTCCTACCCTCACCATCTAACAACAGGGTTAGGGAAGTACTCGTCAATGAGCTTCGAGTAGTAAGGCTGGAAGCATTTTGTCAGATCATCTGTTCGAAATGTTTTGAACAACACATGGGCTTACCTTAAGGGACTGAGCGTCTGGTGGAGCCTCGCTCTTGCTGTACAGGTCGTAAGGGTTGAAAGCTCGCACAGCCTTGAGCATAGCCACGTCTTTCTCGTTCATGAATTCGTTGTAGGCGCCTTCACGGTGCCATGGGTAGAAAGAGTGGTATCTGATCATGGCCAAGCCCTCTGCAGGAATGGTGGACTGGTCTTTGACGACGTGGTAAAGATACTCATCGTGGCCCCAGGAGAGCATCACGTTGTCCAGTCCACACCCCTTCGAGTAAATGCCCAGCTTTGTCTTGTAGACTTCGTTGTTGTAGTCTTCGTTGTTCTTGAAGGACTTTGTGCCGAAGATGATCTTTTCATCAAAAGCGCAGCCAACAGGGAATGTGTCTCCGACCACGTCCCATTGACCATTTGCACCGTAGAAGAACAGCAGTTTACCGAGGTCGTGAATCAGTCCGACCAGCTGCATCCAACGAGGCTTACCATCCTGACGGAGTGCCTCGGCGGTTTGTAGTAGATGAGTCAACTGGGACTCCTGAGTGTCAGGGTCGCACTCATCCACGAACGTGTCCAGTTTCTCCAGGGCCTCCCAGACGGTCATCTCTGCTCGGGTCTTGCTGTAGAAGTCATCCCTAGCCTTCATGTTGTATGCCACGGTCTGAAGGGTGTGTTGCTGAGCATATAATGACTTGACTCGATCGCAAGCATCTTCGAATTGACGGAAGGTTGTGGTGTCCTTCTCTTTGTCGAACTCTGACTGCTGGTAGATGTCCGGAGCATCGGGCTTCTCTCCACCAAGCGTATTGACGAGATCGATGTTGTCAGAGGTGGCCTCAAACTGATTGACTCCTGGGTACAAAATAGCAGTCGCCATGTTGTGCTAATCAATTGAAGATGGTCAGATTTGCTCGACTGTGAAGAAGAGAGATGAGTCGATCCAATGTAGTTAAGTTGCTTGAAAGTTGCTAGAAGTGACTTGGTAGTGGGAGTGCTATGTATCTTTGGGGACTTGTTTCATGGGGCTTTATATCTCTCAAGACCGATGGTTTACGTCTTGCAAAATGGTCTCCGCAAGATGACCGACTCGACGATGTGCAGATCTGATCAGGCCAGGCCTTGCTTCAATATCGAATCCTTTGTTCTGGCAACATGGGTTCCGAGACCTATCCCTGCACTCGATATGCTGTGTTATCTGTCGGAGGTTCGAACATACCCAGGTCTCCACATTCCCAGTCGGTAGCAACTTTCCGAGCGCGATCAGTGCGGATGGGTTGCAGGGGGACAAAACATTATCGGAGCCACACGTGATCCTTCCGTCCAAAATCAGGTAGGAGGATCTAAGGGTGGAACTCCGGAATGGCCAACCAAGCCACGTACAGTGGACTGACTGGATTCGCGATACTGACAGTCACTGTGGGGTAGCTTTGGGTCTCCGACCTGACCATCACGAACCTTACATCTTCATCACCAATTGATGGAGCTTTGATGGAACTACGATTCCGAAAAGGCATCGGGGAGGTGAATATCACCTTAGTGTCTAAAAGGCACCTACAAACCAAACATGATTGCTTCGCCTGATCTTGTATTTCCCCTCCTAGAAGACTACATGCCGCTTCGCTTCGCGGAGGTCAAGAACCTCATCGATTACCCCGCTCTGGCACATTCCACCAAAGAAGGACATAGAGGTAGAACAATCCACGACATCCCGGGCATGTCTGATGCTCTGAAAGCCTTGGAAGCACAAAGAAAACGCGATCTCAAAGACTGGATGACAGAACATGACTTCGACGCGGTTGTCTTTCCCGCCGTAGGCGATGTTGGCAAAGCAGATTTGGAACAGGATCCGACATCTGCGGAACATGCTTTGTTGAACAGCGTACGGTACAGCAACGGCAACAGAGCTTTGCGGCACCTGGGTGTTCCTACCGTTAGTGTTCCGATGGGCATCCTGGAAGGCAAGAATATGCCAGTCAATCTGACCCTGTGCTCAAGAGCAGGTGCTGACGCTGAGCTTCTGTGTTATGCGTATGCTTATTAGCAGAGCAGTAGACGGCGTCAGTCTCCTGGGTTGACACCCTCCTTGCTGACTGACCACGTCAAGAGAGTCGAAAGACCATCAAGATCGCCTATCTGCCTCTCTCAGATCAGTTTGAAGGTCTTGGAGGGGAACGTAGACACTAACGAGTCCTCACCCACAATTCAGGTCCGCGGCACTGTCACGCCATCCAATGTGGCCTTGGAGGCTTCTATTGATGGAGTTGCAGTGGACAGCAAGTTCATTCGCATGGATAGTAATGGTCACTGGGTGTTGGAAGCACCGTTCTCTCCGTTCGTGACTGCCCAGTACACATACAAGATCCACAAATATATCAAGATCCTGGCCGACAATGTCTTGGTTGTGTTGCTGGCTCGTTCTCCAGATGGTGCAGTCAGTGGAGAAGTCGTGCTCATTGCACCAGAAACGAGCTCTCAGCCTTGCAACACACCTTGATTAACCACCTGTCAAAATGCACAATGTTTTTCAGTTTCAGCCCAGTTGTCCAAGGAGATGTCAAGCACGTGTCGCTCTCAGTGGACAAGTAGCTTATCGCCAAAAGCATCTTGCCTTTTGATGTGCGAACCTTGACGAGCAGTCTGTGACTGGATGTCGGTTCGGGTACTTCCAGATCGAACCTTCAAACACACATGCTGCATCATAATAGTTTGTTAAATCTCACACCTTGTGGACACATGAGATATCCAAGGGAGGGAGCGGCAACAGGGCACAAGGGACAGATATCCTAGATACACATGCTGCATCCATTCCGTTTTCCCAACTCAAACGCCTCGCGGGAGTACGGGAGAACGACTTTAGGGTCTCGTCAGCGTCGACCTGATCTACGTCGTCGGTGTTATCGGCTATTTCGATGATGGATAAGCGCAAGGCAGAGCAAGGACAGATGAGCGCAAGGCAGAGCAAGCAAAGAATAGGGTGTTAGACATTGTGTTTGAAGCGTTTACTGTGGCCGTCGACGTCCTTTCAAAGTAGCAGTAGATGGGCTTTTCACGTGCATGTGTATGGAAGATTATGTGAGGAAGGCCCTTTTGGGGGAAAGATGACTACATTTTCTCTAAAGCAAGGGAGTAATCAGGTAAAGCAAGGGAATTCGTTTCTGTGTATATTAGATACTAATACAGACCGTGGATGATTTTAAAGTCGCCTGCTCTACGACTTGAACGATAAAAAATGTATAGTTATGTTCTACTTCTCGCATCGGATCGAAGTCAAGACTTGCAGGTCGAGCTGTCGAAAGTCGAACTCCCCTGTCTCTTCTGTCCCTCCATAACAATAGTGGTATCTGATGTGTCTCCTGAACTCGAACGAGCAGTAGCATAACTAACTTGCGTTCATGGTGCCATACAGAGAACCGCACCTGCGCTGAGATAAACCCTTTCTATCTTCTTCCGCTGCTGTCCGTTCGGACGACTTAGCGCCGTCACTTGTCGTAGCGGTCAAAGCTTTTTCGAAGCTCGTCTGTGTACTTCAAATACCCTGTCTCCTTCCTTCCTCTCTCTCCCTCTCACAACAACGACAAACTTCGATAATTTACACTATCACATCAGCAAAAATGTTCAACGACTATACCACCTCCACTCAGGTAAGCGCACACGGTTCAGTAACTCAAGGCTCTCATGGTTCTGACAATTCTGCGCAGGTGGTCACCAAGGTCTACGGCGTTGAGCAGGGCGCCCCCTGGGTGGTCCATGAGGTATTCGTAAGTGATCCTCATCCCTTGACTCCTCACCCTGTGCTGACGCCTCTGAAGAAGTTGCGCGTATCAACCGAAGCCCCCACTCTCACCAAGGTTCGCGCTCGCAAGATCGCTACCCCGCCACACCGCCGCAAGGCTCCTGCCATCGAGATCGTCTTGCCTGAGCAGCCCGCCAAGGTGTGTTTGATGTGCTGCTTGCTGACGGGGAGTTTTGCTGATGATTGAATAGCTTCCTACCACTGTTACCGGCAGCGGTCTCACCTCCGCCACTGGCGAGGCTGATGTCGCTGACCCCGAGGATGGCCCCGAGGGTGGCCCCGAGGGTGGCCCCAAGGGCGCCTCTGCCTGAGTCCGCCTCTGCACAACAAAACAAGCAGGCGTCTCTTAGACTCGCAGTCAGTTCCGTCGTAATGGATCATGTCAGCAAGACAAGTCAGTAGCTACAAGCTTTCCATGAATTGAAGTTACTGTTGTTCCATCAATTCTTCCTCCTTCGCAAATGTGACAATTCTTATGTTGCGATGTTCCGTGCTTCTCACGGTTCCTTGGATGTGTGGTGTACTGTTCTTCTGATGTGGTGACTGCTGCACGCTGTGTTTTGTTAGCGAACGAGATGATCACGCACGTCTGGAACGTCAATGGAATCACGCTCGTATATATCTTTGTGGCAAGACGGGATGATAGAGACAGGTCTCCGTCCACGAATAGGTGCGGGAGCGCTGGAGAGATCATAGAATGTCATGGAACATGAACGATACCACAATCCAAGGACATGAGTCCAGGAAGCAAGGGAGAGAAGGACCATGTCGTAGTCATGAGTGTAGCTATCCCTCAAGCAACGACGCAGTGTTGGTCTGACCTTGCCTTGAAGCAAGCAAACAGCACATTCATGCCTGACGACTTTGACTCCCGTGGACATACAGCGATCAAGAAGTGCCCATGAGGATGGTGACAGGAAAGGTCGAGGGCGCAGGCTCTATAATCGAGGTCTGCTACCATGATGTTGGTCGATGACCCTGGGGATCAGACTACCGAGGCAAGGGGAGAGTGAGCAAGGAAGAGGATGTACAGGATGGCTGTCTCGAATGATACAGGCGATCACGGTCACTGATTAATAGTAGAAGATGAATGTAACATCAGGACTTGAGTCAAGAGGTGGGAGGACCAGACGTGGTCCAGACTTCATATTCACAGCGATGTGCAGACTATCAACGACACCTTCGAGATCAGTTTCCATATCGTGCAGATACCGGAAACACAAGCACAAGAGGGATAGTTACAGACGGGAGAACAACAGCACAAGCTGAACAATGAATTCCGAAGACATCTACACCCCCAACGTCCAGACAACAAAGAACAGACAAAGAAAAAGCTCGACTTGGCCTCAGCTCCAGGGAGGTACTCGTCCCTTATCCCTCGTAGAATTGAGCTTGCCATCAGGGTGCTTTGTTATCCATGTTGACTGCTGTTTGGAGGGCGAACAGCGCTCAAGCCTGGTTGATGAGCGTCGATCGAGCCGTCGAGAGAAGTGAGCAGAGATCAAGCCATGAAGGAAGAGGATTGATAATCGGACCTTGGAGAGTCGACAGTAACAGTAGCGCCTTGACCAGCGACTGCAACACCCGAGACTCGAGCCATCACCTCCTTGACCATCGCTTTGGCCATCTCCGTATCTGGAAGAGTTGCCTTAGCGGTCCTACTTACCATGCTGAATGCGGGCCTTGGAATTACCACAAGTCTTGCGAACCATCCAGGGATGCTGGGGTGGAGAGAACGGGCAGCCGAAGAGCGTTGGCCACGAATGTTGGCCTGCTGAGGGTGGACATGGGTGTCATTCTGGTGTTGACCAACGCTGTTGTCCTAGAGGGGACGAGGTGATTGATCAAGACGCCACAATGGAGGATGACCAAAGTTAGCAACCTATACAGGATGATGGTCGGAAGGATGACCAGACGCTGCGTTCAAACTTCATAGAGCCGCAATTAATCTGGCAGAAATCATGTCACTGGTTGCCACTGGCGTCAAGCTTTTCAGAGTCAAGACTATCTGTACAATTACATCGCAGGCATTCGTTGCACTAAACGGCGAGCACCTGCTTGCAATGGAAAAGGCTGTGTTCATTATTTTGATCTATACTTACTCATCACTCTGTCTGCTCTTGTCGTTGAAGAAGTTCAGTCCAGCCTCCTTTCTCAAAGTACCGTACATGGAGGCACAATCCAACACTTCACCGTGCTCGTCTCTGGCAGCCTTCATGTTCTTGTTGGCGATTTCGGTAGCAGGTAGCTTGACACCCTTCTCCTCTGCAATGGCGAGAGCGTAGTTTGCGTCTTTGATGGAGAGGGAGACGCCGAAACCGGGGCGCTTGTCAATAGCAGGTGCGTAGTTGCCGCTAGTCATTCTGCCGGAGTAGCCGCCTGCGACGGGGCCAAAACCTTCGGTTATGAGCTCTTCCATGGGACCGCAGCCGATTCCGGTTTGTTCGGCGAAGACTTGGGCTTCACTGACGGCTTCCATGAGGTTGACTGTGATGATGTTGCTGCATCTCTGAGTTAGTACTGCTGTCTCTGTCTTTCCGAAGTTGACTCATGACGCACCCGGCGATCTTCAGCATAGAAGCACTTTGAGGCTCCTCCTTGCAGACAATGACCTTTCTGGCAATGACATCCTGGAAGTAAGGCTTGACGGTCTCTACGGCGGAGCTGGGTCCGCCAATTGCTACTACGAGTTTACCAGGAACAGCAATTGCCGGACCACCGAACATGGGAGCTGCAAGATAAGTTGCCTTGTGCTTGGTGATCTTCTCGGTAACAGCTTTCGTCGTATCCGGATGTACGGTTGAGCAGTCCACGAAGATCTTGCCGGAGAGGTCCTTGGTGTCGTATGCCTGTTGCAGAAGGCTCTTCAGTGTGTCGTCATTGTTGACCTGTTTCTCATCAGTTCATCCGTTCGTCTCACAAAGGTGTCTGAGAAGATTGGCATACCATTGTGAAAATGACATCGCTCTTGGTGACCAGCTCGCCGAAACTCGACGCCGGCGAAGCGCCAAGACCCTTCAAGCTGTCGCCAGAGGCCATTGTGCGGTTGTTGAAGATCAATGATTGATCATTCTTTGCCAGATACTTTTGCAAATTCTCTGCCATAGGCTTGCCCATAGATCCAAGGCCATACTATGCTTGCAGTCAGCATCATCGATGTCTCGTCGGCAGTTGCGGCAATTGCGGCGATGCGCGGCGAAATGCTTACCCAGCCAACTTGTAACTTCTTAGCGGCCATATTTGAAGCGGTCGCACTGTAAAAACGACGGGTAATGTTTGAAAGCATGTTGTTCAAGAAGGAAAAGAAGTTCTTATAAAGGTCGGCATCGATGATGTCTGGATACGGGTATCTGTTCCTTTGAAGCGAGGCCGGAGGTCGGCTGGCTGGCTTGCAAAAGTCTTGGGACGGGCTGACTCAACGGGAGATAGCGATGCGATAAGAATGCTTTTGTGACTCGATACTTTCGAGCAACGACGTTATGAACATTATTCTCTTTTTGAAGCTTTGTCTATATGTCGAGCGGTCGCTGTCGCATCTCTCACGTTGATATGGATGCCGTGCTGTGTCATGGAAGGCTGGTCGCACTGTGTCGCCTTCGGCGATGATGCCGACGCGTAACCTTATCTCAACGTCATTCGCTGTAGACATCAAGGCCATCGGCATTGTAGCCGAGACTGAAATCGCAAAGAGGCAAGCAAATATGCATCATCAAAACTGCTAGTGAAACGGGAAGAGCTTGTAGCATTGATTGCGGATCTAACCTGGTTGTAGCTTAAACGTAGCATGTAAACGCGGAAGCCGCAATGCAGAAGACCCAAACGAGAACACTAAATGACGGGCGACTTGATCTGGACACGGCTTCACCCATTTTCTTGACGGCCTGCTTCTCCACCTCCCTCATGATACTGAGTCTGGCTCCGATCCCGAATCATAATCACCGTCGCTCGAGAAGTAATCATCCTCGCCGGCGTCAGGGTCGCCTCGTCGAGCAAGAAGAGCTTCCAGACGGGAGTAGAGAACACGATTCGCCTCTGCAACCGAGGTGGGCGAGATACTGCTGGACCGATTCCCTACTGCTGTCGGCATCCGCCCAAAACCCACTTGACTACCGACATGTACTTACGATCTCTGTCGTCTTGCTTGGGAGCGACGTCTTGAGAAGGATGCTTGGGGATGTGGTGAGTCGTGTTGGCGCGCTCAATGGTAGGGACAAGCGCAGGGTCTGTTCCAGTGGCCTCAGTGACGGGTACTGGCATGGCAGCAGGCTTCTTGGGCTGCGTCTTCCGAAGCGCGGCGGGAGTGACGGTGGTGGGGACTCTCTTGACGCCAGGCTCAGGCAGCTTGCGGTGGCGTAGCTTCTGCGGACATTTTTCAGCTTGAGAAAACGCCCGAAGCGCGGCGCAGTACTTACGAATGTCTCCTCAACTTTAAAAGGGAGGCCATCCTCAGGACCAAGACTGCGGTGAACGACACGGCCAGACGACTTGAGGCCTCTCTGCTTGCTAGTGAGTCTGGAGAGATCGTCAGAGGCACCATTGCGCTTGATGTCAGTTGAGCTCTTGGTGCCGGTGAAGCCGCCGGGGGATTTCTCAGATGGCTCTTTCACCATTGCGCGCTATTCCAACATGTGTCAGATGGGAGCATTCTATGTGTGAGGCTGTGATGTCTTACACGAAAAGCTGGCTTCTCTGGCGACCACATGGTTGAGTATGATCAGGTAAGGAAGCTTAGACAAGGTTTCCAAACTTGTGCGCACGCGAGAGCGGTCATGAGCTGGATGCTTGGTATGTGTTGCGATGAGGTCCGTGCGCGCGGATCAAGGTGAATGATGTTTCAAGCGTCTCAGCGATGTCTTTGTTCGTTCTGGATTGCTGCACAGATGCAAACATGTTAGGTCGCAAATTGGAATACAATCAATCTCAAGAGAGAAGTTGTCCTGGAGGTCAGAAGCAGACTGGTGAGTCAATGATGCAGTACATTCTCAATTTCAAAGGCGATGCCAAAGTAGACTATGCAGTGATCCATGGGAGCCAAGAACTAGATAAAGACACTGAATTTTGAAGGATCGGGAACATGCTGATGTGAGTTGGTCTGATTGTTGGTTTCATTATTATCTAACTCAATTGGTACACCGGTATAGTACAAAGACCGTTCTCAGTGGACAAAGCCGCGAAAGTGTTTCTTTTGCAATTCTCCGTCATTGTCGCCGCTGTCTCCAAGCGTACAATTGATGCGACTCGAGGATGTCAATTGTTTAGCGGAGGTTTAGTTACGAGTCTGTTTCAAGGTAACGATAAGGTCCTCTAGAACAGATGTGTGCTCCTTCAGAGCCTCGACATGACGGTACAGGGCTGCAATCACTTCATCGATGAGTGAGTCGCCAGCCTCGGCCTCGACTTCGTCCTCGATGTTGGACGCGTGCTGGGCTGAAGTGACTTCACCGTCTTGGTGGTGAGGGGAGGGGCTGTTCTCCATGGGTCTGTCATGGCCAGTGGGGTTGGAGGGCTGAGCCACTGCGGCGGGAGGAAGAGGGAGGAATCGAATCTTGGTGAAGACGGGGGTGGTGTCGGAGATCAGAGGACTAACGGGGCTGCCGAGAACGAGGCTGTCGAGGCCATCGGTCGTCGGACTCATCGGCGAAATCGAGCGAACGCGCTTTGGGGTTCCAGCAGGAGAGGTAGGGGCAGATTTTCCGTAAGTGTCGCCAGGGGGAGGAGGGATGGCTACGAAACGCATCCATGGGACTGGAGAACGTCTAACATCCATCTTCTAGTACATTGTGTGAGCAGAGGTACTCGGGAGAAGCGAGGCGTTTCTATCACTTACGCGCACAGAGGCGGGGCCAGAGGCGACAGTAGTGGCGATAGGGGTAGGAGAACCGCGTTTGATGGGTACATCAAAGGGAGCGTGTTCCACAGTTATGCTGAAGTCGAAAGGTCCAGAAGCGCCGGAGCACAGAGGGATGGGAACCTGCAGCAGAGTAAGAAGAGACCACAACAAAACCCCCATGTAAGACTGACCTCGAAGAAGCTACGAGGGGTATCGAGACTGGGCATGTAGCCATGGGTGGAGACGAACTCCAGCACGGTTCCCTGCGCAGATTGTGAGTGGAGGTGGACATTGAGTATCTGGTGAGATGACACATACCTGATCAGAGAGAGGTCTATCCATCGCTTCAGTAGCTTTGCTTGGATTTTTGGAGGTTGTTGTGTTGAGGTGTGATGTTGGTGGAGGAGAAATGTGTGACCTCGAGGATTGCTAGCTTTTCGACGCGTTCGACAGATACCGCACGACGCAAGTTCCGGTCGCCAGGGGAGACAAAAATCCCGGCAAAAGTCAGCTGATCCTCTGGCACCAAACAATCGGACCCTTTATGCGGAGAAAAGAGTTACGCTGGGCACACGAGCTGGAAGGATCAGGTAAAGGGCTCCTGAGACTACCCCTATCGTTTCAGTCGTTACGGTATGTCCATTGCGACTCCAGTTTAGAAACTCCACAATACGATACGGATCAGAGTTTGATTACGAGAAGACTCGTGGTCCTTCCTACAACACTGGGATCTCTCAGAAAGAGACTGCGAACCAGGACTAGGGAGACGAATAAAGATATTGACCCGGGCGCTGCTACATCGTTTGTCTGGACCCAGAAGCAAGATTGCCCATACAGATCAGATTGAGCGACAGCGATCTGCCATTCACGCTCTACGAAAACCACCTGCGCCTTGATGACCAGCTCGGCTGTTCCTTTCAACTGGTATGACCGCATCCTCAAATTCGGATCCTTCTCATACATGAGTATTCTATTCCGACTACCTCCACTTCGCGCCGAAACACTTCTTGTTCTTTCTTCCCTCGGGCTACCAGATGACAGACGGGGGCAATAGGATGTTGTGACCGTAGATTCATCTCTACCGCTTAAGACCTCTCTGTGCTGTACTTAAAAACAAACGAGTGAATCAAAGTCTGGAACGTGGTGAGAAGTCATCAAGAGCGACGCTGAATGGTTCGACGCATAGCTGTCACCAGAATGTAGCGAAGCTTGCATGCTGACACATCACAATATCCAGACACACATATCGACTCCAAACGAACAAATGTACATTGAGCTTGTCTGATTCTCGCTACTGTCTCGACATCTTTCGGGCCTACCTGCCCGCTTGATAGGTTGAGGATCTACCGCGAAGTTGATGACAGAGCTTGAATGCATCTACATCTCGCACGCATTATTCCTGCAATATCATCGAGGCTTGCTGTGCCTATCTTTTGTGCACTCATTCTCCAGTCGTGCACGACACTTGTCTGCCTTTCGATAGGAGCGCCAGAAAAGCCTCTATCATCTGTAGACTAACGCTACCGCAGGACCATCGGAATATCACCAGTGCTTTCGAGAGTTCCCCACCATTCTCTCCAGTGACCCTCTAGCTCCTGGCTCTAGCGGCAGCAATATTGATATAAGCGTAAAGAACGGGTGTCAAGTACCCAGTAAGAGGAACTTGAGTATCACCTTGTCCTCTGAAGTCAACGGAGAGTGTGCGGAGACAGATGTAAAGAGCCCGAACCATCCGTTTGTTGGCCGAGTCATCAAGGGCAGCGAGAGTTCAAAGAGCAGGAGGAGAACGCTTCTCTGCTTGTCAGGAGCTGGCGACATCGGATTTGTCACCTGAGGCCCGAACGATAGCAAAGCAGGCTTTTGATCACACCCTTGTAGGCGAGCAACGGGCGATTGGAGTGAGCGTCTCTTTGAGGCCAGGAACGTTTTCGGCCTTGTGCAGCTCGTCGAAATTCAAGAGCAGGATTGTATCGATGCGTAGCTAGACCTTCATATAACTCAGCCGCACAAGAGCCATTCTTGATGGCTAGACCTGGAATGATTACTCTCTTGTCCGTAGATTCGCGGCGTAGCTCTTCTTGTTGACAAGCCGAGAGGAGATACAGCAATACGTGGCAAGGAGAAAAGAGCCATCTCATAACCGCAGGGAAAAGGTTCGTGCATTGTATCCGCCGTGGGTAAGCGAATGCTGAAGATTTCAGGTACTTTAAGATGCTTACCATGCTCTTCCTGATCTGACGAAGAGTAAACCTTCCGGCATCAAAGTCATACATTATGTCAAGGGATGCTTGCTTGCTTTCTGTTCTTGAAAGCACAGCTGTATCCTGAGAGAGCAGGTAGTGATCATAGCCATTTGGTTCGGGCAAATACAAAGAAGATCAGATAATCATGTGTGAGCATTGCACGAATGAAGCTTAGAGAGCGAAATAGGTCCCTATATGAGATCTTAGAAGGAGAACTATGACGAAACAGAAGAGTCCAATAAAATGAGTAATCGATTGAGCAAAGCTTCTGTCTATCTAACATGTTCAATAAAGATACATACTTCTCGCAAGATCCCACTATCGCAAAAGATCTGAGCTGCGGGTATGGTTTCCAACTCTAGGCCACAAGTCGAGCATCAGACTACAGAGAGCAAGGCCTTGTCGTCAGATGGGGGAAATGAGCGAGCAGCCATGGTAGAGCTGCGGACCTCTGTGAAGAGAGGCATGGATACCGTACCATAGTGGTCATGGTGTCCGAAGGCTGATTGTTCGCAAGTGACGAGCGCCTTATCAAACGATTGGAGATTCACTTCACTCGTGTCTTGCAGTCTTCCACCAAAACCTCGGCAGCGCATTTCTCCACATACCAAACATCACTTCAATCACGCAACTCTATTCATCACCCATACCCCCCTCAACCTACACGCGCATCTTGGATCCAACACGCGCATTCTTACCTACACACCGTATGTTCGTCACAGTCATGTCACCACGCGCATGCTAACTCAAGACAGACCATGGCTACACTGTTAGACACACTTCCTACCGAGCTTGTCCTCAAAGTCGTCAACCATCTCTCACCTGCATCTGCTCGCAATGCCGTCAGCCTCATGAGCGATTATGCGCGTCTCTCTGTTGATTTTGCCTACTTCAACGCGGAACTGAACGACAGCCAACTCGTAGTCAAGTACGAATGGGCCAATGTCGACTTCCGCTCTCGCTCTGACAGTGACGTCTTGGTCACTCAGAACAGAAACCAACCCGTCATCAACGGCTTTGTCTCAGCCCGAGAGCAGACCTTCACTAATCACCAGTCGCTAATGGCCACTTGCGCCATCGTCGAAGCAGGTGCAACTCTCACGCGTCTCGATCTGCACGGCGAGATCCATTTCGATCTCGAAACTATCATTGAGCTGATGAATCAGTGTGACAACGTTGTCCAGCTCTTTGTGTCTAACTGCACTGCCGTCATCCCGGACAGATTCCTGGCGGAGTTCCTCGATGGCGTGAAATGGAGTCGTCTGAAGGCGCTGGACATCCGCCCTTCCGTTCCTCAAGAGCACCCCAACGGACACATGATCCAAGTCATCCCACACCAGAAACAATACTTCGTTGCAATGATCGTCAAGTACGCCCCAACCATTGCCCGTCGCTTTCCCATGATGCTAGAGCACGACTCCATGCTCATCGAGACCATCTCGATTGCCATTCATGGTCGTGTGAAGCCTTCTCCGGAGATCATTGCTCTGATCAACACCGCCAAATCTTCCGGCCTCGTTCCATACACTGGGTCCAGTCACTCAACGCTCGACTACTTTGACGACGTACCAGAGTTCATACACCCCGACTGGCTCCACCTCAACGTCTCGTACCGAAATGTCGCAGTTCGTCTTGCAAAGCTCTTCATGAAACGTGCCAGCACAGAGACCAGGCTATGCGAGGTCCATGGACATCTACCTCTCTTCTGCTTCAGCAGATCTGAGCGCACTTCCGATGATTCTCAGTGCTTTATGGATTGGGCTCGCGATGAGTGGAAGAGCCCTAACGATGACTCAGTCAACATGGTCAACAGCATGCGCGACCAAGTGCGCGCAAAGAACTCTGTCTCTCGTACCAGTCCTGCCTGGAGTCCCCTCCCTCACATGTCCAAACTCTGTGGACCTATCGAGCCTTCTGAACGCCCTGAGCCTCTTGTCCGTAACGATATGTGGTCACGAACTTTCATGTCTGTCAACGAACAACGCGAAGCCAGACCTGCGCTCAAGCCGAAAGGCCAAGCCCTGCCCCCTGCCCCTACGGTCACCAGGCCTACCCCTCCTTCCGGTAGGCTGCCCAGAACTGGCCCTCCTTCCGGCAGCCTACCTAGAACTGGTCCTCCTTCTGGCAACCTCGCCACATCCACCACTCCCATGCGCCCTCGTGCCATTTGACTTCGCCATCAACAGAGATGGTAATTGGGAAATTTGCCCAACGCAGAGTTGTGCTCACTGCTCTAAAGGCTTGGAAATATCAAGTCACAATCTGGAAGAAGGTTCAGACAGAGATGTTCACGGATGTCAAGTATCGACTGCTTGATGAGCTACACAAGAGCCTTCGGTGGCTTCACGAGAAAAGAGCTTTCATGCTTTCCAGACTTTGTTTTTTCATAGGTAGCGGGGACAAAGACTCACTTCTACCTTTCCCAAGGTTCAATACTATCCTTTACTCACACTCGAGAATTTCCCACTTTTCATGGTCTTTATTCATCGTTTATATATCCCGTCTCTTTTTGTCAAACGACATATTGTTAAAGTGCCTCGCAAATCGTGTTTAAGATTATGTGTTTTTTACGTGTTCTGCGGCGTCTAGGCATAATATTTATTCTCAATGGAATTTCGAGTCCGAAAAACGCCTACTACATCTGTGGTTCAAGCTATCTCTTCAAGTTCATTCGTCGAGCCTACGACCCTGTCCCAAGATATCTGAATATTTATGAAGAACGTCTTTGGGATCAGTCAACACTGGCGCCATGTTACATGTTCGTCACCAAGTCTTGTGACGGGAATGGATTATCTTCTATGTAGAACAATATGTGTATCAGACTACGATGTTGTGTTTTCCTAAACCACCAAACTTTTGTGATCAAGTTCATTCTTCTCACGCCTTAGCTAACATCAGCAAGACCGTCGATCGAAGATATCCACTTTCACCACTGAATAGGAGGTAAACCCCAAGGATCACCAGTCGGCATCGAAATGAATGCTCTACTTTCAGCATCCGGACCAGTAGCAAAGCAGCATGATCACCATCACTCAATGCTTGTTATGCCATCAACTCAGCCAATTGCCTCTTTACCTCCACAGCCTCCTTCTTCACCTGGTCATATTCCTTCTTCAGACCCTCATTCACCTTCTTCTGCTCCTTAGTCTCCGCTCTCGGAGTCTTCAGCGCCTGATCCAACAAGTTCTGCGTAGAATTTAGACGCTCGGGGTACGTGATTAATGCATCAAAAGGGTTAATCTAAGGGGTGATCGGTCTGTCTGGGTCGCTTTTTGGGACAGGGCGAAACTTATGGTTCCATTTGATTGGGCCTTTGGGAGATGGTGTACGCGGTAGAGTTACACGAGTGAGAGCAGTGGTGGGAGCAGGGGGTGCGACTGCTGGTGTATTTGGCGAAGAGGGGAGGACTTTGATGTCGAGGGCGGAATCCTTTTTTTCCTTGGACTAGTTGATAAGTTAGCCAACATTTGAGGAACCTTCTAGTAGCTATAGAGGCCGCGAGCAAGACGTACGTGAAAGATGGATGCGGCGTTGAGTTGCTCAACAGGCTCTAATCGCTAAGCAGAGTTAATACCTCTTCGTTTGGAGGGATGCTGTTCTTCAAGTAGATTCGACATGATGATAGCAAAATGTGATTAGCTAACTATGTGCATGGATGCAAGAATGAAGGCAGCGAAGCATATTCGCAGATGCCATGCTGGGGTATGAATGCCTATGCGAGACAACACTTGATGCGTTTCCATTCGGGTCAACACGGCTGCTTTGTCTCGTATTTTTGCCACTCCCTTTGTTCTAGTCCTATCATGTGAGCAAAGAAAGTGGAAAGCAGCAAAACACGCTCGATGAATCAGCATGAGAAGCGCATCAGATGGGACGCCTTGATCGTCCTACAGAAGCCGTCCAAGGCAGAAAGAACGCTGATGCGGAATTGGGTGTCCAGACGAAAGAATCCATAGCTATCATGTTCACCGGCCAGGGTATTCAAAAGCTTTGTAGAACTGGGATTCTCGTCTACCAAGTAAGCTATCTACGGCTATAGTACGGCCATTACTTTCTTCTCCGCGCTCGATTGAGCCATTGACAAGCCGCTCTCCTCTTCTTGGTAATCTCCCCCTCATAGAGACCTCTGAGCTTGGTCGGGACAGAAAAGTATTACCAAACATCATCCAGCGTGAGCTCTAGGTCTTCAATCACCCTCAGCATCAGATGCTTGAGGGGTGTAGTAAGTAACCAGCTCGTCGAAGTCATCAGAGGACGTGTCGGAAAAGGCAGTGGATAGCCCCATTTGACTGCCTTCTGGCTTTCCGACTGCGACAGCGGTTCGATAGTCGTGGAAATGTTGAGGGGTGTAGTAAGTAACCAGCTCATCGGGACCATCAGATACTGTGTCAGAGAACGCAGTCAATAGCCCCATTTGATCGTCTTCTGACTCCTCGACTGTCACAGTGGTTTGATACTCGTGAGAATGCTCGGCGATGACAGCGTAGTTAAAGATGGGCTCTTCATAGTCAAACCAAGTGGGCACCGGTGACAGTGCTTCGGTAGTCGTGAAGAGAGCCCAGGCTTGACGCCGACAATCGGCCTCTTCACGAAGCTTCTCTCGCAGGACCTCGAGCCTTGCCCCGATTGTCTCGTAACCGGAACTACTTCTGACCATACTGAAATTTCGTCGGAGATGATGGAGTTCGTAAAGATAACCTTTGAGGAGCCCTGCTGACATATAAAGGCGGCTGAAGGACTTTTCCAATGGTGTGGGCACGTTGACTGCCAAGATAGTGTTGAGCCCCTGGTCATGTATTGTGATCTGCTCTTCAATGTGCTCTTCGATAGATTGAAGACCTGTGACGATGTTGCAAATCTTCTCGTACTTGTAGCGTTCGATCTGGCTTCGCATCATCTTGTAACCGCCTTCGTCGAATGGGGCTTGTTCTGCTCCGGCGGCTGCCATCCTCTCCGCCGACTTTGCCATTTCTTCGACTTGAGCTCGAGCTTGAGCCTCATTGTAGATCGCTGATTGTAACTCGCCAATACGAGCGTCGATGTCGCTAGGTGGTAGACCGGCCAAGCGGTTGAGAACCTCGTTTTGGACCGATCTGACCTCATTTGCACAGCTCCAAAGGTGTCTCTCTGACAGTGCGAAGAGTGTAGCTGCTGTATCGGAAAGGTCGTAAGGAGGCGGGATAGCGGGAGGCATAGCATCTCTTGCTGACGGAGCGGTGAATGCGGTTTCGAAAGAGGCCATGAGCTCATCCTTCATCTTGTTGTGTTGTAGCAGTTTGCCAGCGTTGTGAAGTTGTTCGGTGAGATCAGTGACCTTAGCTTCAAGCGTTCTGATCTTCTTGTTAGGAGCTGCATCACACTGGAAGTCGGTAAACTGGTGTGTGGTGGGGATCTTTGCTGCCATATCGAGGTCTTGACCGTGGACGTCCAGGCCGGCATCTCTGCGGGCCTGATAGAGCCATCTCTGTAGACTTCCTACACTGGACAGAGCCTCATCACGTTCTGCCTGTACTTCTTCCACGAGTTGCTTGAGCATCGTGTTCTGAGTTTTGAGACTCGAACATGAGGCACAATCCTGAGAGGTGTTGTTTTGGGGGTTGTGATGATCCTGAACGTTCAAAGCATTGACGGCTAGTTGGTCGAAAAGTTCATCGGAGACAGCGTCCACGTCAGATCTGGTGATGCTGAGCTTTCCATCAAAGTATGGTGTTGCTTTGAGAGAAGAATCCAAGATTTGAGTGGTTGGACAGTCTTCAAGTCGTGGGGCTACCGGATAGATGGGGAGCGGTATGTCATCGTTGGATTCTCCAAATTGCACCGGCCCCTGTGACGAAGGCGGCTCGATGTCCTGCATATGAGATCTGGCAGGCGCATCGAGTGGTTTCAAGGAAGAGGAAGGGGCGACAAAGATCTGAGGGAGAGCAGTTGTACGCTCTCGCTTTTGCGGCAGAGCGATACGCGTTTCTGGGAAGGCGCCGGGAACATGGTGAGTTGTGCTGAAGTCGTCCATTGCTGCAGCAGTCTTTGCGTGCCAGAGATGGAGTTGGGATTGTTCAGAGTCAAAAGATGTGTGCGGCTGCGCTTCAGATAGGCGACGGCGTGGATGTGTTGGAAATTCTCAAGATGCGTGAATTGAGGGCGCTGAAAGGATGTGTTGCAGGCGTGCGTCTGGTCACGGAAACGATGAGACAAGTCCAGTGTCGGGACAAAGAGATATGAGACAGATCACTGGAACAGCGGTGTTGCAGATACACAAGGAGAGGACTGTCAGACGCACGCTGTCTCTGGAGAATAGCTTTCTGGATACATCTCAACATAGTACGAGGTCAACAGACGGTATAGGAGTGCAAGTCACATCAAGACAGAAGACTGTTGTGACAAGAACAAAAAAGTCACAAGTCCCTTCACTTCCAGAAAGGTGAACATATAATGTCAAAAGTTGGAATTAATCCTCATAGAATGCACTGATAGTCAAGCGGTCTTGGTAGGGTGATGCTACGCGCTCCTCGGATTACCTGCGGGAGTAATTTACAAGACTGTGGGCCCCTAGTCAGGAATCAAGTACAGCGAAAGGGCCACCTGATCCGTATTCGAACATCTTTTTGCACCTTTCAACACGCCTTTGCACCTTTTTTTTGACACCCTAGGGGCTGGTATGGGGGTGGAGGAGGTGTTGTTTGTTGTTGTACAAAAAGGGTTCTGTTGTAAGGGGGGTAGTTGAACAGCTCGTTACGGTTGATAGATACGGGGTGTTGGTGTTTGGGTGTGTTCAATCCTCGTCGACGCCGATTGTTTCGCCCTTTTGCACGCCATACCAGTCCTTGCTCTCTATTGGCCTCTTCGAAGCATTTGAACCTTTGAACCAGTGACTCAGTCTCTTTGTGATAATGTTACTCATTAACAATCATTGAGCAATCATACGATATGATTCGTATGTATGCGCAGCTTGGTGGATTTGTAAAGTGCGAGGCCTTCCTGACTGCTCATACCAGTGCACGAACGCATCCAAAAATCAGAAGTGCAAGATCGGCAGTCCTCGCCTGTCCAGGCAATAGCTTTGACAGCCCAAAGTGATACAAGATGTCTAAGCATCTGACATACAGCAGTGAAACCCCAAGATGTATGCCTCGGATGCCTCTTGGATGGGTGACCAGACATGTTGGCAATTGGAAGACCTGAAGACTCAGGATACCGGCAAGTGCCCGGTAGCTCTGACTGAATTCAACAGAATCTCAGAAAACATGTTGCATTTTAGATTTCCGCAACAGTGAATTGATTTTGAATTGATGATTACGGAAGGAGAGGTGTAACAGAACGCCGACCATGGACCTCTTCGTTGATACTTCTACTTGTGTTCTCTATCTATCTACTGGGAATGGAGACGAAACACCGCATTGGAGATCTCCAACTACCGATGATCAAGTGCCGCCAACATCAGGACTACCGTGGTGAACTGATACATCAGTCCAGTCGGAGCCGCATTGAGATCCTGTTGATGAACGCCCAGAACCGTCATTGCACAGGTCTATCAATGGCTCAGCGACTGTATCCTCAACCCCAGACTTTTGATCGTGAGCGCTAGGAGTAGTGCTGATGACAGCCTGGTACTGCCGGATAGCGGACTGGTCGTCCATGGCTTGAGACGCGAGCTCCTCGACCTGGGTAGTCAGGCGTAGGATGTCAGCATCTTTGGCATCAATGTCTTTGTTGAGCTCAGCCTCGCGCGAGGAAGCACGCTCAAGCTTTTCCAAAGCTTGCTGCAGCTCACTGTAAGTTTGACTGATGCTTTGATTGCACATGAGTTCAGTAGTGCGGTCTCTTCTTACAAGCTGGGTGACTTTGCCTTGGAGGCCTTCAATCTTCTTGTCGCACGTCGAGATGTAGGCGTTCTTGTCCGCGAGCTGAGTTTCCAACTTGGCGACAGTTTGGAGATGCTCCTTCCTGGTTGCGACTAGCTCACGACGAAGTCCGTTGGAATGACGATCGTTTTCCAGGTGGTTGATTTTTCGGGCGTGGTTCAAGTTCTGATGTCTCAGGCGGTTCTCTTTCTCTTGAAGTTGTGCGAGAGTTTGTGAGTGCTCCTCCTTGGCCACAGATAACCTGAGTGCGAGGGCGCCATGCTCACGCTTGAGATCCTCACGCGACATACAAGACACCGGAGTCTCGCTCTTCTGTTCTCTGGGGCCTCCAGAGTGCTTCGGGGAAACCAGGATACCTCTTCCTTGTGGATAAACCTCCTCTTCAAGCGCATGGAGAGCATCGTTGGCGTCGTAATATCTCGTGCGCAACTTCTTGTTGAGCTCATGACAGTTTGCCAATTCCTTCTCCTTCTGCTCCAGCTCTTTGTCTCTGAGTCTCAGGTTTTCTTTGGCGACGTAGAGTGCCATCTCGATCGAGCCAAAGGGGGGTTCATCTGCGTCCCAGTCGTCGTCTTCATCGGAGTCATCTTCATCGGAGTCATCTTCATCTTCGTTGACCAGGTCACCTCCATCTCTTTTGGCGTCATCGTGCGCCTTTTGCTTTCTCAGCCACTTGTTTTCCTCCAGAGCCTGGCTGAGTTGTTGCTTGACTTGATCCAATTCTTCCGGCAGGGTCTTCTGGATTTCTTCTGATGGCTTTGGAGTGGCGTGAGTGGCATGTTGCGCTTTGGTGTCGTCCATTGAGGCAGAACTGTGTTCTGGGGTATCGGCGTGCTGAGCCAGCAGAAGATCGAGCTCGGGGCAAGGGAATGCGCCAGGGAGATGATGGATGGCGCTGAGTAGAGACGGTGCGAGCTGAATGAGTGCCTCGGGCTCTTGTATCTGCGGGTCATGGCAGCTTGAGTCTGACATATCTGTCTTGGGAGCTTGGGACATTGCGGTGAAGATGGCGCTGTGGGTCGCGTACAAACGTCTGGGTGTAGGTCGATGTGACTCGAGAGAGATTGAGTTAGGAAAGAAAGCCTTTTACCATGTAACGAGGAGCCAAGTGTGCCGACTTGGGAAGATAAGAATAGCACAAGGTTGACACAGCATCTTACAACCCGGCACTTTCTTAGTCATGTCTCGAATCTTCTGACCCGGCAACGGAAACGTTCAGTCGTGAAGTCTCAACCTTCAACCCTTACTGAGCAAACACAAGCGCCGAACATTGAGATCTTGCACACATAGGAAAGATGACTGACTCTAAATTGTGGCGAGCTCTGACACGGGATGAAATGGGATGGAGTTCAAGGACGGCCTGCAGAGGTCAAGAGTCCACTGTGTCACGACTGCCAGCTCTAACGCCCAAGTAGTCTTGACCATCCAATCGAAGCAAAATCGGCAAGCTAATTCATCTCACAAGAACTGGCTACGAGTAGGTTTTGATTCCTTGTTCATATCGTAGTTGTCTTTGTTGTGCTTTTGTTCCTGCTTCTTTGACACATCTGAGACATGTGTATCAAACATCCGGAAGCGACTCATTGACTCCATTGAACATCTCCACAACGACAATCTTCTCAAGCGTGATTGATGATGAGAGTCATCCATCGGTGTAGAATGAAAGAAGACCAAGTCTCAATTCAACGACAGCTAATGGCTGAACGAGCATTGATGTCCCAAAGGATACAATTCCAAAGAACCACCGCTCTTTCACCCGGTGGTGGAGTGGTGTGAGGGAATGACTGCTGTGTACCAATCTGTGTGCCTCTGTCATTACCAATCACTACCCTACAGACGTTGGTTCGAATCCTTCCCCGGGCAAATCTTTTTCCTTTTGCACTTTTCTACCCACCGCTCAAGTCTATCCACGTTTTTTTTTATCATGCAGTTGCAGAGCATATCATTGCACGCCAGAAATAAACCCAGGGGCTCCCAGCCTTCCATCACACCCCTAGAATATACCTGTCAAAATGCAAGATGATATTCAAGGTCGAGTAATTGTCCAGTGAGAGCATGAAATAATCGAGCTCTCACTGGACCTTTATTTGTTTCTCAAAAACTTCTTGACTTTTGACGCGCTATATTTAGCCAATGCTGGGTGCCTGGGATAGAGCATGTTACCGAAAGCACATCACAAGTGAGAGAGCGAGACAAAATTTTGAGCAAACACGATTTGATTTAACTACTTATCGCAGTCTTCTCCTTTCTTGCGCCATCATTGAATATCTTTGTTGACATCCGTCGCGCGCGCCATGCTGTGAAAAGCTTTCAAGCATCGGAGACTTCAACCCAGTCCTCGCCGTCGATGGTAGGACTCTCGACCTCCTTGCCGCCAACTCCAGCAGCATCAGCCATGAGGCGTTCGATCCAGTCCTGAGTGACCTGGTCATCCTGCATTTCCTGGATGTGCTTGATCTCGGCGGGAGTGTACGAGCGCTTCTTCTTGACGTAGGGGTCGCCCTTGAAGTCGTTGTTCTCGGAAACACTGATCTTGGTGGCCTTGAGGTTCTCCTCCCACATCAACTCGATGATGCGCGACTTCTCCCTGAACGCGTTGATTTCGGCCTCCAGGACGACGACTTTGGCGCAGAGCTGGTTGTGCATGGCTCTGACCTTCTGGAGCTCGGCGTCTGTCTCCTTCTGGCGCTCCATCATCTGGGCTCTGCTGGGCTTCTTGCTGGGCTTCTCAGAGATGTCGTGGGTCTTGTCCTCAGTGCCGTGCTGAGCCTCCCAGAGTCCCTTCAAGAAAGCTTGTTCTTCAGCGGCTTCAGCCTCATCCTGAGACATCTTGTGAGTGTAATCCTTGATGTAAGCTTCGAATGCCTCCTCATAGGGAACAGCGTCCTGGCGCGCTTGATGAAGCTTCTCCATCCATCTGTCCAAGTCTTCGGGGGACATGTCGTTGAAGATGGAAGCGCGAGACTTTCTGTAGCTGACAGCTCCTTCTCTGGCGATTTCCGGAGACAAGAGTTCTTCCAAAGAGAGAGGGGTCTGGGCAGTGTCAGATCGTGGTCTCAAAGAATATGATTGCCTCACATACCTCTTGAGAGTGGACTCCGTATCCTGGAACGAAGCGAGAGTGGTCGCCTTCATCAGCGGAAGACTGCATCTTGTTAGTCATTGTTGCTAAAAGTTATGCTTGAGGGCAAGTCTCTGCAAAAGGATTGGATGGATGACTTACCAGGACTGAACGGTACCAAGCAACGGCGCCGGGGACAGGATGAGCGCCGTGGATAGGATGGGTGCCGGAGACAGGAAGGGCGCCGTGGACAGGATGGGTGCCGGGGACAGGAAGGGCGCCGGGGACAGGAAGGGCGCCGGAGACAGGATGAGCGCCGGAGAAAGTATGGGCGCCGGCGGCAGAGTCGGCGCCGACGGTGGTCTTGGTGGTTGACATGGTGTGTGGTCCGGTATGTCAAACTGGTTGAGATAGAGAACAAAGTTGGAGAGAAGAGACGCTGGAGACTTCAAGCTTGCACAACATCCAACTGCTTCTCACTTGCGCCTAGTCGCGTCCTCACTCAACTAGATGACGCGTCCATATCGCTCAAAGGGGAACATCAACACGGTGGTCCGGGCGTAGGTATGATTTGTTTGCTTCTCAATTTCAATGCTTTCATTGATGTGCTATCCAATATCAGGTTCTTTGCCATTGGAAAACAGCGCCGAAGTATGCCAGACATTCATGGCAGATACATAACCGTCCATCCTTAATCCAGGTTGCTTTCAGCACATGTTGTCATTGTCCTAAAGGTATATTGCTTACTCAACTGTCTTCTTCCTGATGACCATGTATGTCTCAGCAATCATGACTGCCAATCTCGCCAAAGAGCCCTCAGGTAACGGCGTCAAGACAGCCGTAGCCAGTCTCAATGCCTCAGTGACCAAAGCCATATGGGCCTTGGCCCTCTTGTTGACCTTTCTCTCCTCTTTCTTTTGCTTCTTCATGTCCTTGATCTGCTTGCTGAGTTCCTCATTCTGGGCAGCCAGCTTTTCGAGCTTCCTGTTGATCTGCTCTCCGCGCTGATCAGTAGGCCTGCAGCTATCATCATCTTCAGAAGAGCACTCGGAAGGTGTAAGTATGCCATCTTCTGAAGAACAGAGAGAAGGAGCACGCTCGCCGTTCTCTGAAGAGCCAGGAGTGGGAGTGTAGACACTCAGCTTTCTACTTGATGCAGGTGTTGAGAAGGGGCTAAGACCAGAGTTGAGCTGTTAACCATGTTAGCAAAATTCTTCGAAAAGGATTGGCCTGTGTACCCCTGATTCATAGAGACCCAAAGTATGCAATGTTCTCCCACGAGTTGCTGCTGTTACATGAACCATCTTGCTGAGTCTTCGAGATTCTTGGGTGCTGCGGTTGGCTAAGAAGTTGCTGCTGCCAATGTAAAGCTTTTTCCAATACCTTGAGGAAGAAAGAAGAAGAAGGAAGGAACGTTGATGAGGAAAGATATACTCCAGGAGGTGTGAATATCATAGCTGCCACCACGAGGACAACAGTACGTTCGTCTACGTAGCAAGATATTATGGGCAAGGACTGTTGGCAAGTGTCACAATACCGCTGGGTCGCTCCTGCTGTTTTGGGACCAATGATCATGTAGCCATAACTCAGAAACGCTTCACATGTCGGAGCGGTATGTACACCACTGGCCAGAGACTTCTCGTACTACAGATCGCTACTGTCAGCAGTATGGCTGCAGCAAAGTTATGTTCTTTTCCCGATGCACTCAACCCCACCGTTACACCCTGATAGCAGGAACTGAAACATTTGTCAGCACTTCCCGTCCCCTCAAAGGGTGACCTTCAAAAGAGCAGCTGTGATCCTTAGCCAGCTGTTCTAGGAATGTACGAGTGGTTCTGATCTCTCACAGTTATGAAGTAAGTCGTAGCCCGAGCGTCATACCAGAAACGACAGAATGCTGCCAATCGATTGGCAAGCCACATCAAGAATGCTACGGGCTTCTGCAAGCCTGAGATCACTGGTCTTCGCACCTGCCAATAGGAAACCTTTGCGGTATTCCCCTGACCAATGATATCAGCACATCCTACATCCCCATGCGCTAACGCTTGTCACTTGTTGCAATGCACGATGAGTTCCCGAATGTAGAGCTAGGTTCGAGGAGAGGGCATTAAACAGTCGCTCTCTGTGGACGAGGCTCTCTTTTCCAAAGGTGTTATGCATTTTGATGCATAGTGCAATGCGCATCGTCGCGGGCTGAGAGTCGAAGGGACAAAACATAGCATACGGGGAGTCACTAAATTTGACATCCAAAATCAAACTCAAATCATAATTTACAGCTCAGACTCCGAACATCCATATTCCAATGCCCTTCTGTAAAGCCATGTTTCAAAGCAAAAGATGGAATGGTCTCTCATGAGATCAAGGTAAGAATGCCATGTTACTCTCTTCCTCTTCCGCCCATTTGTTTGAAGTGTGCTTCAGCAGCAATAACAACAACTCTGGCGATCGAGCCTTCAGGTTGAGGTGTATACATGATTCCCAGTCCAAGGGCAATACCACCACCAAGCTTCGCGCGCAGACCATTGACCTGATCTTTCTGCTCAAGAGTGCTGACTCTGGTAGCAAGATCCTGATACTTGGGTGTGCCATAGACGATTGGCGAAGCTGGTGGAGTGGGCTAGAGTAAAGTTGTATAAGTGGCCTGGGCTTGGATGAGAAGAAGACATACCCTTTTGGCAAACAGGTTCATGACAATGCGAGAAGTGGCTCCAAACCAAGCCATGATGGAGGAAGCTGACAGAAGCTGAACCAATGGGATTAGCTCTGAGGACCCCAAGAAGAAGCCAGCATACTTGTTCCTTCCACAACTCAAAGACTGCAGAGCAATTGTGTTGACAAGAATGACAGCAGTGATTGGTTGTAAAAGGACTGGGAAAGTAGTGTAGCGAGAAAAGTTTGAGTTCGCGAAGGAAAGAGAGAAGAAAGAACAAAGTGTTCCAAAAGACAATATATCTCCTTAAGTGGGACAGAAAGCCGCTGTCATTGCAGCAAAATGAAGCCAGCAATAGTGACTCAGAAGTAGGGGTCGAATATTTGGAAGAGGCTGTTGTCAGTACTACAGTCGTCGCGAGACCAATTGATACGCTCGGAAAGACGTCCCGCAGTGCCTTGGCAAGTAGCTGCTGGCTATACGAAATGGTCATCATTTTACTGGCCAGATTCCTCACCAGTTTCCAGTGTTGCTGGCAAATGACTTCCAAATGTGCTAGGTTGTACCAGCTCTTCCAGGTTGGCAGAAAGAGACGGAAGGCGACGACCAACTACACCTCACCTACAATAGGTCTAGCACGCCAGGAGTTGTTTACTGCTTTCGCTGGATACTCACTATAATGGTTCAATGTCTGGGCAGAGGAATGGGTGGAACGAATGATGTTTTGTATAATCAATCTGCAAATGGATGGTCAAGCTCGTGTTCAAAGTCTGCTCTCCTAGTGCATCCTCGTCATAGCCGTCTTACGCCGAAACCAACTCAAGAGAGTGGACAATTGCAATACATGAACGTATCCTCTACTCTTTCTGTGAACAAGGCATGAGCGAGGGTTGATTGCCTGATTCGTGTCAGTTCTTCATACTCCCAAGTGTGTCCGTGGAAATCGATCATACCTGCAATTTCGAGGGCTCCAAGCTTCGGATGTGTCATTCCAAGATCCCCCACAGCGTAGCAGGTCCGTGTTGCTACCACTCGACACTTCCGGAAGAAGTATGCATTTCTGATACAAACTTTTGCTCGCTCTCGTGGATCTGAAGCTGCTGACGAGTGATATCAAGGTGCTTAAGACTGGTCGTGAGTAGTCCTTTGACGTGATCTATGCCTTTGATAGCAGCTTGGACCGACTCTGTCGCCTGATCGACACGAGATGTTGTTGTCATGAGCGTTTCGATTGGTGGATCAAGAGCGACAGCGCCTCCATCAAATACACGAGCCAAGCGTTTGAGATTGTCGATGGCGGTATCTTCCTGCTCCTCGGTCTTAGGTTGTATAGTTGTCCAGGACGGCGTCTCTTCATCAGTCTCGATATTGTACAAGGGCTTGATGAAGTTGGTGAAGACAGCCCAGCGGGTATCTCCCAGAGCGCGAAGGATGATCTTCTTTGTGCCGCTCTCAGACGTTTCTCCGGAAAGGTTGTGGTCCTTCTCAAACCATATGACAGATCTTCCCTTCATCAGTGTATCCCAATTCTTCAGAATTTGCACCAAGACGTTAGTGTCGAGAATCTCGCCCTCTTTGAGCTGAGGAAAGGTCCACTGCCTTTCCAATACCCGCAAGATCTTTGCGAGTTCGCGGTAGTTGTGGCTTTCGGGGGACTCGTCTTCCCATCGAAGATGGCGTGGAACTGTCTCGGAAGGATCACAAGCTAGACCGATGGCCAAGGCATAGATTCCAGAGTCCAGGTCTGTGAGTCGGTCAGCGCGTTTCTTGATTCGGAGACTGTGGAAGTCTCACTGGTACCCGGCGTGTGGATCCAATGGCCGCCTGGAATTTCCGCTTCGCATTTCTCGACGGTTATTTTGTATGCCATGTTGATGAGCGTATCGTTGAACAAAAGAATCTGAATAATGGCAGAGGAATATGTCGTCGTATCTGATAATATGGATGATGGAGAAGTGAGTCTCAACAGTCAAGTCAGAAACGCGGCAACGCCGAGGAAATGCAAGGCACTGGAGCTTGGAAGGAACCATCGACAGCAAGCGCAGCTTCCTGGAGAAGAAGCTTTTGCCCCTGACAGAACTCAAGGAAGGGAAGGAGCTCCCAGAAGCGTGCAACGTTGAACTCAATTACTCATACATGGTGGAAGATAACCGCAGAGATCCTTCAGCCTGCGCGAGATGATGGCAAATTTGGATTGTGATGTCAAGTATCACCGCACTGCAAACCAGCGATCTAGGGAGGTATATTGCATGGAGGCGAAGTATGTCTTGTCCGAAAGTTGGGTAGTCTAGTAGGAATGGTGCTGTGTTCCGAAATGTGTTGCTCGCCGCTACTGCTTGCGCTACCAGGTTGTTGGTTCGATTCCATCGTGGGACAATTTCTTTTCTTTTTGCACAAGTCTACCGCTTGCAGGATTGGTCATGCTGTACTGTTCTTAGCATTTGGCTGCAGTCGCAATTGATCGCCAAACCCAAGAACATCATGCCTTCTAATAAACGGTGATGTTAAGTATCACCGCACGGCAAACCAGCGATTTGGGGAGCTATATTGCATAGAGGCGAAGTATCTCTTGTCCGAGAGTTCGGTAGTCTAGCAGGAATGGTGCTGTGTTCCGAAATGTGTTGCTCGCCGCTACTGCTTGCGCTACCAGGTCGTTGGTTCGATTCCATCGTGGGACAGTTCTTTTTCTTTTTGCACAAATCTAAGTTGCAATTGATTATCAAACCAAAGAATATCATGCTTTTTGATAAATAATTTGCAAGGTGCCTAGCGTGACGAGAGCGTACCGTTGATTCCTTTTGCACTCCTTCTTGTCATCCTGTCCACTTCTCTTCGCTGTTCAAACAGATTCAGACTTGCTCACATTCATTCGTTCGCTGCATGCTCGTGATGGATGGAGGACAAAACACCCGCAGTGGATACAGATTGGGAAAGAATGTCAAGACAGCATGAACCAAAAAGAGCAATGCCGACCAGTCGCCATGTTGTGAACATACTGCTCAGACAGATAGCCATGCGCACAGCGAGTACACTTTTGCAAGATGGCAACGGAGTAAAAACGACTTCACGGAAACAGGACCGCAGCACGCATATACATCGAAATCAATAGACACGGGGGGCACGAAGGCGTTTTCATTCAGGCAACAAGATCTAGAAAGTGCACGTTATGTCCCTCCGCGGAAGCTTCGTTCCTTTGATTTTCCTCGTGAATCGCTACGCTTGTGTACCATCTTCTGTCATTATGATCTAATAACCCTCCTTATGCTCTCAATCTGACCGCGCTTTGGGCTTGATGGCGAGAAGCCGCTGTCGGACGTACTTTGTGGAGGAAAAGAGGTGAGAAGGCGCTCTACCAAAAGACGCTGGGTGGCTCTGCGGGGGGGAGGGCTTGGAGACTTTGGATGAACATGGAGCTACTGTGACTTGATGCTGTTCTAGCGTGTAGTGTCGTGAGCTGTGGCACGAGGAGGGGGCTGATGTTCGGCTAAGACAGCCTCCTCTACGGTGGCAGTGAGCTTGTCGATGGCTGTTTGTAGATCTCCCTTTTTCTGTTCATACTTGTCCAGCGATTTGGTGGGCTTCTCGACAGCAGGAACGATCTTTGCGCGAGTGGTGTGTAGCTTTGTTGCAATGGATTCGATGGTAGCGGCGGTCTTACGGATTTCTATGGCAGGCCCCTCTGAATTGTCGACGTTGTGTTGGGCGTCAGGTGTGGCAGAAGTTTGCACTCGAAGTCGAGGAACAGGTTGATGCTTGGGAAGAGTCGAGGCGGTCTCGATGCGGCGGGCTACCAGATGAGACTCCACAGGGAGACGCTTGATGGTTTCTGACCTTTCAAAGTATCCGCAGGGCTGCCAGCGACATTTGACAGAACGAACAAGGACCGTCCTTGATTTGTGATTCATTACCTTGGTCCAGACTCTCGGTTCTCCCTCATCTTGGATGAGTCTGTACTTGTCTCGGTGATGGTCGTTCCAATAGTCGATGATCGCAGCTAGATGACTTTCCTCCAGAGGAAAGTATGGTTCTGTCGATGCCCAACCGAATCCCTCATAGATGCTTTTCAAAATGGTAAAATATTTGCCCGCAATGCCGTCGGGTAAGGCTTCGATAGATTGCCGATTGTTCCTGTCGTTGGCCATTCCCACTGCGAGAGCCCAATATCCACTCTCCAAATCTGCTCGACGTCAGCAATACTGTCAATTCAACTACGATACTGGTCATAATTACTGGTGCCGGGCACATCACAGTACTCTCCGCCGGGGACGTAGATGTTGGATATTGAATCGCTTTTGTCGTTCATCGTGTCTTCTCGCGTCAGACGGCGGAAAAGGAGACTGTCGAGAAGCTTTTCACTGGAAGGGACAACTTGAACAGGTTTGAGATTTCGTCTAAGTGGGAAAACCAATTGACCAAGAAGTGGAAGGTGCTGGTCATACAAATAACAAGCCAAGCCGGGCGTTTGTCTCAAAATTCGCCGCTCTCGCCCTGAAACACGATGCGCAAAGAAAGAGACAACCTGTGTTCTGAATTCGGACAGAGCAGAGTCTGATATGCAAGTAGTTTCCAGCGACTTCCCATTCCAAAAGAGATCAAGAATTTGCTGTCAGTTGAGAATGTGGATAAGCAAACAGAACAACGTGCCATACTGTTGCACGAAAACATGCAGCATTCCTGCGACGCGATTCTTGGTGCAGAGGTCTGGAACATTAGAGAGCTGTCTTGCATATCACTAATTCCTGTGCAGCATCTTGGGTCATTGAACATCTCACGCACAACGATTATGGGTACATGTCTTTCCAGTTGCTGCGTGAGCGCATGTTATTGACGGGAATACAAAACTTGTGATCGAGTGTTTGCATGATTGGTAGTGAGCTATGTCTTTGTTTCCGATCCTTCCGACTTCTTTGCTCCAATTGTTGCCCATGCTCGCAATCGAAGTCATTGCAAGGTTGCTTGGAACCAAGCAGCGCTCTCGTTCTCCTTGTATCGCCCAGCCAGAGCCCTCCTTGTCTTCCGCGACGGCACTAAGCAGTGGTCTCCTTGTCTTCAGCAACAGCGGCCAGTTTCAGGGCAGCCAAAAGCACTTCCATGGTGGCAGTCAAGCTGGCAGGAGCAGGCGAGGGGAGCTTCTCAAGATCCTCCTTCAGCTTCTCGACTGTACGTAGCATGGTTGACGAATGCTTCTGGAGCTCATCGATGATGATCTTCGTGGTCCTGGGATCAGTGAAGTGAGCAAGGACTTCCCAGCGGCGGCCGCCCTGACGAAGAACGACGGTACAATCGGGAAGCTTTGTTGATCCCGCGAGCATGTGGAGGTAGTTGCGGCCACCAATGAGGAGCTCATCATTGACGATGAGGCCGTACTGCCCTCCCTGACGGGTGTCGTTCCAGGTTCTGATAATTGACTCGAGCATATAGATTGTGGACAACTCCATGACGCCAGTGAGGCGGGAGCCTGGACCAGTGGTCAAACGTCTGAGGTAGTCGAGGATCTCGCGTTCTGGAGTGCCTTCGGACCAGTCAAGAGGGCGTTCCATGTCGACACGGGAGGCGAGACCAGCCGCAACAGCGTAGAGTGCGCTCTGCTTGTCTACGTCTAGTCAGTAAGGTACGACATGCACAGAGTCGAGGCTGCGACGCACCGCTTCCAGGCACTGCGAGCCATCTGCGACCAGGCATGTATGCTTCCATGATTGTTGTGTTGTTTGGAGATCGAGGTGTAGCGACAAAGCGCAGAGAATATATGGAAACCGCGGTGTCGATTTTGACGGCTGCGAAGTGTCGCGCGTGTAAGCGAGTGAGAGTGAGAGTCAAAAAGTTGATCACCTTGACAAGTTCACAAAAAGAACCGAGTGAGAAGCAACAGTACTTTTTGGAAGTGAATGGAAGCATATTCGTTGCACCTGCATCTCCTCTGCCTTGTGGGGCTGTTGGAATGCTTGTCAAGATGCATGATACTTTTGGCGACTGAGGTCAAGTCCACTGAGAGTAGCCAACATTTCACGCTCGCTCTGGAGAATCACCCAGTCACAAAAATCATCTTGCCTTTTGGCAGTTGGAACGGGGGCATCTACGTGTCTGAGAAAAAAGTGTTTATTATCGCTATCACGATCTTCGCCGAACGCAGATGCAAGTGTGGATAAGTCTGTTTGCCGGATCTTCCTCGTAGCTCACAATGAGTCTTCGGTTCCTTGTACTTCTTCCATCTGTCTCGACCATCTTCGTTCTCTCCAAAGTCCAATTGTCCATCCTGCTCATCCACAGTCTCTATCCTGGATCGCTGCAAGAGTCATCGCGGTCGAGAGCTTCAAAGGATGTCGATCGAGTGCTGCTATCTCCTGCGTCTCCTTAGGAAGCAGTGGCGCGTTTGATCGAGGCTTCATTGGATGAGGTAGCAGATGGAGAAAAGCCAGGACCACGAAGAGCGGAGATGAGCATATTGAGTCTAGGCTGGATGGCTAATCTGTACCGAGGCCCAAGATAGTTGAGAGACATAGCCAGAGACCCCATGACGGAGAGTTGAGAATCGAGGCGTTTCATGGCGTCGCTTGCGTCGGTGATTGTGCACAGGTCTTCAAGTCTTTTTTCTTTTCTTTTTAAAAGAAGTTTCTTTTCTATAAGCTCTTTTTCTAAAGCCTTATTCAAGGCTTTATATTTCTTGAGCTTTTTCTTATAAGAAGAGAGAGATTTCTTTAAAGAGATCTCTAAACGAGAAGAAGATCCTTTAGGACGACCTACTCCTCTCCTATAAAAATAAGTAAATTAGAATAATAAAGAATAAGAACCTATGACTTACTTAGGAATAGAAGGAGAAGACGAAGAAGAAGAAGAAGAAGAAGAAGAAGAAGAAGAAGAAGAAGAAGTAGGAGTAGACATTTTTACTTAGAAAAAGTAAGTGTTCTTAAAAAAAGAGTAAGAAGGAAAGAAGAAAGAAGAATAGTCTTATAAGTAGAAAGAAGTCCTTCTGCTTATGTAAGCATAAATCAGTTAGTTTTAATAAGTATTGCTAAGTATTGACAAGTATTGACAAGTATTGCTGAGTATTGATAAGTATTGCTGAGTATTAATAAGTATCGCTAATAAGTATTGCTAAGTATTGATAAGTATCAATTAGTACCAAAAAGTAGTGATTAGTACCAAAAAGTAGTAATTAGTACCAAAAGTATCAATTGGTATGTATGAATCAGTACCAATAAGTATCAGTTAGTATCTGAGGTGAAGTTATCCTGGTGGGTGGCGAAAGGATCGCGTGTGGAGGATGCGAGGCTAGGAGCCGAGGTAAGCTTGAGCTTGTCGACCGAGATCTCAGACACATCCTGCTTGAAGTAGGTGAAAGCTTCCCAACGACCATTCGCACATCGAATCAAGGCATTCCTGTGTGTCTTGACCTGTGGATTGCACAGCTTGATGATTTGTCCCTCTTTCTCAATGTAAAGTCGATATCTCATCAAGTGCAAGTAAGCGGATTGCTTCCAAAGGTGGACCTCCCGACTAACTGCAAGAATAGACAGGAGCATTGAAGGCTGTGAGGCCAGGAACTCGGGAGAGCGAAGGATCACATCTCCTTCCCAGACTGCCTTCAGTAAGGTGCAATTGAGTACCTCGATTGCTCGAGTACCAAATCGAGGATCTGGTCGGGGGTCCCAGATCGGAGCTCGGTTGAGGGAGCTATTAGTCGCCATGGCTAGAAAAAGGGCATACAAGCTACTTCTCGCATCTGTAAGATGTTAGTGGTGGCCCAGAATGGAGCTAAACTGAGACTTACCGGTTCCAGGGACTGACACCCATCTTCCATCAGGCACGAGTTCTTCCTTGGTCGGTATCATTACGTGATAGCAAGGCTCCAACTTGATCAAGAGATTGTTGTTATGGCAAGGAACAGATTGAAGCGCAGAGCAAAGTCTGGCGGTGCAGCAGAAAGAACAATGTTTGTGAAGACATATGACACGTCAAGAACTGTGAGTTGCTTGGTCTTAGTGCAAATTTCCGATTTCTTCCGGAAGTGAAGAGTGACGAGATCAAGTTGAGAAGACACGGGAAATTGGCGCGTGGGTATCAATGTCAAAAGTGGAAAGCAGACCTGGTCATTGGCTAATAGCTATCCTCACAGCTGCAACCACCTCCAGTATTGCATGTCTATCTACTGATCTATTCTTTTACCTCAACACAATGACCTCCAAAAAAAACCAAGGCTTTCTCTTTGCTCGACACCTCAATCAGAATCACTGCAAGAGTCATCATGATCTGCATCATGATATGCAGAAATCGACTGAGTAGAGGCGTTGGACTGATGAACTTGTGTGTCGTTCATATCCGCGGCTGAAGGAACTTTGGGAAAGGCAGTATTAGGCTTTCTTTTGGGCCCGGTGTAGCTTCTGTCACGTGTCGGTTTAGTGGCTGCTCTTAGGCCAGTTCGTACTTCGTTGAGGGACATGTTCAGCTTCTCCATGGCGGGGACTATACCTGAGATGGCAATAAGCAGCGGCTCAGAACGCGAGAGCACCGTCTGGAGCTCTAACTCGAATTTTTCGCCCATCTTCTCGCTGTCGCTCGAGATTGGAGCATCGTGAGAAGCCTCGGGCTCAGTAGTGATACCGGGATACACGACAAGAGATAGTGCGTCTTGGTTCACGTCCTCGGTAGGGAGCAAGGTAGCAGTGTTGTATGTCTCGGATACGTCGGCCTCGTCATCCCTGCAGTATCCGCAGCCTTCCCATCTGTCTCCAGTAAGACGGACCAGAACAGTGGTAGGCTCAGCATCCCCCTTGTATACGACCAGCTGCGTGATCTCCCCTTCGATCTCTGCAAACAGGTGAAGCTTGTTCTTCGCGTACTTGTTCCATTCTTCCATGGCAACAGAGAGGAACTTTTCGTTCATTGGATCGTTGGGATTGAATGATTCGTCCGATCCGCGAAACGCGGTGTTACAGCAGGGCTTGAGGTAATCGTAGTGAATTCTTTCGGGTCTAATACTATTCCACTTCAGGGGACGGGTGACTCTTGGATTAGCACTCAATCCGATTGCCAATGCGTACACAGCGCTTTCGAAGTCTGATGGAAGTCAGTCGTGATACATAGACGAGGATCGTGCTCACTTACTGTTGCCGGGTGTTTGTATCCATCTGCCACCAGGGACAAGATCGTCCATGGTGTTGGAGGATTCGACTCTGCTGATTTTCTCGGGCGATTGGTTAATAGAGACTTCAGTCCCTCGCACAGTCTTGTTGGGCTCAGAGATAGTGGGGTCCGAAGCAGCGCTTGTAAGATCTTCGACGTTGTTCGATTGTGCAGCGACTTGGAGGTTAGGGTCCTCGGATGACTCTGCAAAGTAACCACATCCGTACCAGAGACCGTCATCGTAGCGAATTGCAATATTTGTCCAGGATGAAACTGATGTTCTTGTCTGCGAGGATCTGCAGAGACCCGAACCATCGCCGGTGGTGAGAAACAGTCTGTAGCTAAGAGTTGATGGGTATCGATCATGGTATTCATCCATCACCTCATGGAGACACTCCTCAAACTCCGCCATGTTTTCCAAGTCTGGATTATCTGGGTTCAGCACCAATGTCGTCCAGACGCCCCTGATAGCCAGAAAAGACTGAACCTCATGGGAGAAGAATTCCCAGTCCAATGGCCTGATGAGATTCGGATCAGCAGCCATGCCAACGGCGATAGCTCTCAGTGCGCCCAGATAACCTATGGGAAGTCAGTGTGGGTCCCTCTCATTTGATCTTGCCAAAGCATTAATCTTTAGTATTACCTTCGCCAGTCTGGAGCAGCCATCGGCCTCCGGGCACAAGATCCTCCTTCGTAGTCATTGTTGTTCAGTAGTTGAAGCCGGGATGTCAAGAGCAGATGTGTTGACGCGCAGTCGCGGATATCGAAGAGCTGAAGAGTTCCGTTCAGCGCAGACCAAAGCAAATGTTGGGCGGGAGAGCTGCCCAAAACAAAGAAAGCAGCCGCGATGTTTGACGGCGACGAGACAACACGCCAAGCCGCAATGTTTGCTTCCTTCCTATCCAAAACTCTGAGTGATTCAGAAATGAAAGGAATTCCGCTTTGTGATGAACTTTTCAAGGTGAACAAATTTTCAGGTCGTAAGAGGGGAAGTGAACTGCAGGAGCCGAAAGAAGAGGAAGCCGCTCTCTAACATCCATGGAGGACAACAAGCATCTCAACACCTTCTTCTCAGAGCATTGTATATGACGGTGCTCAGAACATTCTTTCCACCATCAAATACGTACAACATCTCACTGAAACAATGCAGAATGAGCGCTCAAGTTTCTACATCAACGGCCGCCCTTTTGGCGTATTCATGGATTCCCTTCCGTTCTTCTGCCCTTTCCTGCGTCAATCGGACAAGAACCTTCATTCATGAAGATGCAGAAGCTTGCTCAGATACATTCACATATTCAGTGAGATCATGCTCTCGTCTGCCTTTCATCAGTAACACACAAACATCTGAATATGATCGTGCATTCTTGTGTGTTTTCTTCGACTAATGTCTCAGGAAGGAGATGGGATCGATTGTGAGATATTCTTGTTTCTGGACATCATCACTCTCCTATGCTCTTACTTGGGAGTCGTCTCTCAGCCGTGGAAATACAAGAAAAAAAACCTGAATGTCCATATAGAGATGTTGCCCTTGGACGAGCTCTCATTCTCTCCGATTTTCATACTTTCGTTCTCACTGACCAGAGAATTGGGACGAAGTCGGCCATTTCGAACAGAGCTGCTACTCTTTAGTGATTACTGCGAAAAGACAGGCGCTTAAACAAACATAAGCCGTGATTGAGAAATGGATATACACTCGGAGGCCTTCCAAAGTTGCTTATGAACTCGCGCCCCTCTCTCCTTGACCACCTCTATGAACCCACCCAACAACCACATCTCCATCACCATCGCTTCATCGCCAGGCGGGAGTGGCCCAGTGGAATGGCCTCAACTCGTATCCGGCACACCTCTGGCAGCAAACACTTACTTGATTCTCTCGAGTCTCAGCCTTTGGGCGGCACAGTTGTTTAAATATGCACAAGACATTCGTTGAAAGTTTAATTGATGTGTAAGTCTTGAAGAAATCGTTGATACGTCCTTGCCCTTGTCATCTCAACATCCTTTGCTCTGATCTCTTGGTGGCTCAATTAAAATCGCCGTCAGAATCATCACGGTCTGCAGCTTGATATGCAGCATTATCAGCATCTTGTTTTCCAACATTTCCCTCATCAGAAGAATGGTCATCGTCCTTGACAGCATCACTGAAAAGCTACCAAGCCATCTTTTGTGACCTCGCAGAAGTCGAGATACAAAGCGTCAATTGATGGCTGTATGGCTGCTCTACGCGGAGGATCCATATGAATAGCTGCCTCCGAAAGATTGGTGACGGCGAGAGCTAGCTTTGATATTGCGTTGCGAAGGTTGTCGACAACAATCTCATCTGGCCTTTTAATCGTCGTGGAGATTTGCGGGGTTGAGTCTGATTTGGCAGTATCGTTGGTGTTGTCTTGAAGCTCTCCTCGAGGTCGTTCTGACGTGGCTGGCGCAGTCGAATCTGGGTTCTTGTCGGTGTTCTCCGCGTGTTTTGGTTCCGGTTTCGTGGTAGCAGAGAGCTGTTCAGCTGGCACGTCGAAATGGCAGACGGCTTCCCAGCGGCTCTCATTCAAACGAAGCAGAACTGGTTTTGGCTCTTTTCCAAAAGTCTTTGTCGGCAATTTTGTGACCTCACTTACATTGATCACAAAGACTAGTATCTTCGACCGATTATTCGTGTTCCAATGGCGGGCAAGTTGAGCGATATGGTCTGAGTAGGAAAAAACAATGGTGGAAAAAAAGGTGCCAAGAACGTCCATCAAATTCCAAAGCTTTATATTGAAACAAAGCGGGATTGATTTAAAGCACAAAAGAAAGGGCGTGTGGCGCAACCGTCAGAGCGGCTGTCATATGCGGTGGGCTGAAAGACAGTCTCAACTGAGATTGTGGACGGAAACCATTCGGGCGGGTCAAGTCAGTCCAAACTACCGGAGACTGAGGCGACCCGAGAATACTTTCTTTTGCCTATTTGTGCCATCACTTTTGCTTGTAGAGAGAACATGATATCATGTAGCTGGGGGTACGAGAGCAGGAGTATTCGGTTGCTTTACAGATAATTCCAAGGAAATTGGAATTATCGCGCATGTTGACATGCTGGTCTTCTGCCTTCGCTCTATTACGTAGGTCGACTACAGTATGACGAATTCACGATAGGGTATCTCACAAAGCCAGTGCCAGCAAAAGCAGCCTGTGAAAATGCAGGATGATTTCCAATATCAGCCGCATGTCCAAGGAGAGATTTATCATATGTTCGCTCCAGCGGACGACTCAACCACAATCAAAATCATCGTGCATTCTGAGAAACATGAACAACAACCGAAGATAGAGAAAGAAATGATAGGAAACATGATTATTCTTTTTACTTGCCTGACACCCACCATATTTAACCTGTCAAAAGGTAACGTTCCATCCCACCTCATTTCTCTCAATCAAAAGAGATCAAGTCTGCAAAAACCATCTCTTCGCCAGGTCTGTGAGTCAGATGATCAACCTCGGGAGCTGAGCTGGTTTCCTTTGCCTGCATAGCAGTTGTGAGTGTAGCAACAGTCGCAGTCAAGTCTTTGACAGCCATCGACAGACCATTGATAGTATTGGTTTGCTTGAATGAAGTGGCCTCAAGACGCTCGACAACACGAGCCAGATCTTGAGTACGTTCGGCGATTATTTCGGTGTTTGAGTCGGTGGACTTCAAGTCGTGGACAAGCTCTGACGCAGTGTCTCTGGGAGTGTTCACATCACTAGAGGCGGTGCACTCTGCTTCTCGTACCGCATACTCAAACGGTAGAGTATGTCCAGCAATAAAAATGTGCCAACGACCATCCTTGTAAACAAGAAATACAGGCTTTCGGACCTCGTTCGTCGGTGAGGTGACTTCTTCAAAACGACCATGGCTGTTGCCAGTGTATAGTATAATCTTGTCACGTTGATAGGTCTTCCATCTTGAATTCCACCAGTCGGCGAGAGCACCGAGAGCCTTGCTACTGAGCGAGCCGTCTGGTTCGAGATCAGGTGGGCCACGATATGATGAGTCGTTCAGGTGATCGTTGAGTCTCGAGTAGACTAATTGGAACCTGGAGGAGGAGGGTCTGGAGTCGTGTGCTATGCAAGTGACCAATTCATGCACGCCGTTTTGGAAATCTAAGCCGCATGGTGAGTTCAAGTCATCACACATTTTGTATTCTTGAGACACTTACCATCTCCTGCTGTGAACAAGAGCTCTAATTCAGGTTCCTCGAGATCAGGTTCAGCATCATAGTCTGAGTCCCACTCACAGGAGGTACTGTTGAGATATGAAGCGTCTGCTTGATTGGACTCGTCCTCAGTGGCTGGACAAGACCAGATTGGAAGTGTTGGAGCCTGGTGGTTCTTGACATAGCTTCCAATAGAAGCGCTTTCGGCGTAACCATATCCTTCCCATTGCTGTGTGCGGAAGTTTTTGCGCACTACGATCTTTTTGGCATCTCGTATATTCGGTGTCATTTTCTCTACATCTCTTTCAGCAAGGAAGAGTTGAATCTTGCGTCCACATGTGCTCTTGTTGTACTCGTTGATCAGAATAGCAAGATGATTAGCGCTCAAAGTACCATAATTGACGCGCATAATTTCCAAGTTGGCAGATTGGCGAGGTGAATCGGCGCGAAGTGAATGGACGGCCTCAACCAGTCTACTGAAAGCGTTGCTCTCCAGCGATCTGGCAGACCAGTCGATAGCTGAAGTCCGGTCCGGGCAGGCGCCCATACCGATAGCCAAGGCATAGAGACCACTATGGTACTCTATAGCGGTCAGTAACTTTCGATAAGTCCACCCATGATATCTTACCACCTCTGGGCGTACGCAAAAACTTTGCGCCTGGTACCAATTTATTCAGGGTGTTGTTGAAGTTAAGCCAGCGCGTTGGTTTCTTACCAGAGCCACGAGGACCTTTATTACGGTTCGGCTGGCCAGATTGAGCGCCGTCGGTCTTGATGCGTTGACGAGGTAGATCAGGTAGGCGTTCAGGACCTTGAACTCCGCGACGATCCAATAATACAGGCTCCAGCTCCCGATGATGATCTCTGGGCGCAGTCGGTGGTTCAGTCTTGGGCGCCGCCATAGTCGAGTTGTTGAAGGAGAAAGGAAACGAACGAGATGCAGTGAAGTGTGCAGAGTGCGGAGAGAAAGATAATCAATCAAGGCGTCAGACATAACTGCTCTTGCTTCTGCAGTTGTGGAAGTGATGGTTTTGCCAAAATAACTGAGCTCATGTGCCACAAACAGCAGTCGCTGCCCGACTCTTTATTCTTTGCACAGCCGGCTTGTGATTGTCAGTCAAAGCCAGCAACAGCCCGCTCACTCCAGTCGCCGGGTCTTCGTGAGCAACTTCCATTTTCACGAAATTGCTTATCACTGGCGGCAGGAAGTCTTCACCTCCATAGCAACAAGGCCCAAAGGCGACATGAAGCGTACCCATCACTTCGATATCCTTTCCACCTCAGTGCACTTCCCACCTCGAGTCCCGGTGCGCAACTTGATACGTACCTCAGCGTGACAAGGCTGCCTCATCATTGCGGTGGAAAATGCAGCAGAGAAAATGCTGTTTGCACAAGGAAGCAAGTGACGTCCATTGGAAAGTGGAGCCGATTGTGTTGGCAACAAATCCTCGTCATGCCTGCCACCCTGCCATGAAGATATATATCCCTGTGTCGACCGCGCAGACCAGATACTATAAGTTGATGTGCAGGATTTAGACCGTGATGTCGCGTCTACAATTCTGTCCGAGTTCCTTGGATATCAAGTGTTCAAAGCAGAAGATGCTGCAGGTGCTGATGTTTAAAAAGCTGCGGTCCTGAGTTCGCAAGACCTTTCTAGATGCAGCACTCGTCTTGAAAAGACAAGGACAACATGCACATTGACAGGCGTAGGGAATTAAAGGGTTGAAGGATAGAGCAATAATCGTGAATATAAGCAACCATCCAAGTCATCGAGACGAGCAGCAAGAAACTCCTACAACGATATATAACCACCCGATTGCTCATCCAGTACACCAGTAATACCATCGCATACCCCAAGCACCCCAAAGCCCACCAGAACACCACTGTTATAGCCGCTCAATCACGAAGACAGCTCATCGCCATGGACTACTAGCCTCGCCGCCCCCTAAACTCGCACTTTCGAACTCCATCTCCCAATCATCAACTTCTGCAAACTTATCCCTGGCCTTCCTCAGTTCTTCAGAAAGCTTGTCGTCTGACTTTCCACCCTTGATAGTATCAAGACTGGTATCGGCAGTTTCGTCAGCTTCCAGTTCATCGCTGTTCAATTCTGACAACGAAGAAGAGCCGGAAGATATATGGACAGGGTTGTTCTCCTTGTTGCTGCGAGCATACGTCCGTGATGTCCTCTTGCTTACTGCAGCGGTGGTGGGTTTCTTGGTGAGTTTGACGGGTGCAGTCTTCTTAGGAGCTGTGGGCTTCTTCGTCTTTGCTCTTTTCCTCCTCTCTTCTTCGAATGCGGATGAATTTGCTTCGTGGGCTGAGCTGGAGGAGAAGTCGAATTCGTCTTTGCGTTGAGCTCGGCGTTTGGGAAGCATGGCTCGTAATGTTGCGGTGGTCAAGGGTTTGGGCGCTTTCTTAGATTGACCTCCTCCACGAGCAGATTTGCGGATGGCTGAAGGAGATATGGCGGGAGTTTGGCGACGTTGCTCGGGAGAGTTGGGACTGATGGGTTCGGGTGGTGGTGAGCTGCTGAGGGGATCGGCGTATGTGTCGCTGAGCAGTCGTCGTTGTTGCGATTCGGTGGTTGCCGCCTCTTCCTCCTCATCGTCGGGTGCCGTCGCAGGGATGGTTTCGTACTCATGTTCGACAATTGAACGTGATGGCGAAGGCAATGAGGGAGACGAGCGAACAATCTGGACCTCAGATTCTTCGATGGCGTCTGACTTGCGCTTGCGGCTCTGCCGTGTTGACTTCTGTGGTGTTGCCCCGTAGAACTCGTCATCATCTTCAGGAAGAGCTGCCTCCGGTGTCTGGGCCTTGTCCTGCTCTGGCAATTGTTCTTCCTCATCCTCGTCTTCCTCCGGCTCCTGATCAACCTCAATCGGCCTACCCTTAGCAAGCTGCAGAGGCGTACTCTCGTCATGCGGCGCGAAATCATCCTCGTCACCCAAGCTTCCCAAGGTGAAATCGGTAGTGTCGTCGATTGGGGTGCCTGCCAACTCAGGATTTTGAACCATCTGCAGCAAACTAGGCTGACGAGGGCGGCGTCTGAAGTTCTGCAAAGCCAGTACAGATGTCTCTGCTCCAGGCGTACTCTGCATCTTCAATGCTGACTGCGGACGCGCGACACTAGCAGGCGCCTTGACAGCCGTTCCAGGCACTGCCGTCTGTCTGGCTGGTGAGGGCGATCGTGGCACCGGACGGGCAGGTACCATTGCAGCATCTCCATCGTTGTTTGTAGCCACTCGCACAGCGTGTTCAGCTTGTTGCGATCGACTCTGCGGCGCAGGCGGTGGTACGACTCCAGCTTTTGTGGCTCTGCGATCTTCTTCCATACGCGCCTTCAAAGCATCCAAGGCACCTTTGTTCGCCTGACTCGGTGCTGGCTTCTTGACGGTTCTCGGAGGTCGACCACGCGTCAATGGGCGCTGTTTCGTGCGTGGCTGAGGAATCGCATCGCTCGTCGCGGCTGCTTCTGCTTGTTCTTCTGGTGCTGGGGCATCTTGCTCGGTAGTTGTCGACTTGCGCGATCGGGTACTGCGGACAGCACTGTTGGCTTCTGGCTGTTCTTCCTGCGGCGGTGTGGACTTTTGCACATGCGATCGGTTTCCTCTGGTCGCTGGAGTCTTCTTGTCGGTGACAGGCGCGGCTTTGGCAGCCGTCCTTGCGGCGCGTTTTGGCGGCATCGCGATAGTGATTGTGGTGCAGTGGATGTATGCGATCGGGATGAGACGTGTTGTAATTGATTATCTGGTGGCGATTGTGTCTTGCGACAGCGATATAGACGTTGTGGTGGCTGCCTCGGTCATGACGGAATTTGGACGCGAACATCTCGCGTTCAGTCCGACGCCTTTCCCTTTTGGGAAGCCTGCCCCTCCACTCTTTCCTTCCGCCTGGCTCTCGAGTCCTGGAACATGCTGCGAATGAATGAAGTGTGAAAATCGTTCAATTTGAGAAGAAGTCTAAAGGGTATCATGAAAGAAGAGAAACATCATAACGTCCTACCGTGTCCCTTGATCATTCTCCTTCCCTTTGCCATCCCCTGCACCGCTGGTCTTGCTACCACGGTACACCTCCGTGACACCTCGCTCATCTAGTGCTGCGGCGTCTCCGGGATTATCCTCTCTCCCTTACCATCCCTCTTCTTTTCCGGACTATCCAAATCCATCATATCAACATCGTCAGGCGTGATAACCTTTGACAGCGTAGGCAGGCCTTCAAGCATAGATCTTGACACTCCATTACCGTGTCCAGAGACTGGATTTGGACCATTCGGTCTAGCCGCAGACTGCTGTGTTGCAAAAGGAATGGCTCCCGTACTGCTGAAGATGGGAAGGTTGTTTTGAGGGTGTGTATAGGATGGGTTGAAGAAGTTGTGATTGTGTTGTGGCATGGCCTGTGTCTCGGTGCGTGGCATGGCAGGATATTGCGGTACCTGGACATTACTTTGTGGGTGATGTAATTCCGAGGGTTGCCGATCATCATTCAAAGTCTGTTGTGGTGCAGTAAATGCGAGGGTCGGTTGATCGGGCGTATTGGCCTGCGTTGGCGGCCCCATGTCGAGGTAAAGAGGTGAGTCGGTGTGGCCCATGGTCGAAGGCACGGTCATCGAAGCAGAGGCTGGTTGTCTGCGAGGCTGTTGCTCCGGGTTTGTCTCAGAAACAGCGTTTGGTTGTACCTCTGGTATGTCCACTATCTGACCATTCTGTTCGGCCGCTGGAGCCACAGGCTGAGCTGTTTGTGGAGGCTTTGACACCTCAGGCTTGATCATTCTTGCAGCCTTTACTTCCGCTCTGGCCTTCTCTTCTATCTCTCTCATCTTCCGATCATGCTCTTCTCGCGTCCCTACCTTCAGATGGATTCTCTTAATCCCAACTGGTCGGAGAGGTTCGATATGATTGACAGGAGGCTTGCTGAAGTCAATTGTGGGAGGCAGAGCGGTCGGCACAGAAGGCGCTGACGGGAAGCGTTTTGGCTCTGGACGCGACATGCGATTTTCCAGCTTAACAAATTGTTCTGCTTCTTGCTTGATAAATGGTTCTTGCTTCACAAACGTTTCCGGTTTGATGAAAGGCTCTTGCTTGATGACTGGTTCTGGAGGCGGAGTCGGCTTCAATGCCTTCCCACGTGCCTTCTTGGGACTCAGAGGTAGTTGCTGTGTACTTGGGACAGGAGGCACATCGTTAGCTTCGGGAGTCAAGCCGAACATGCTGCTGGTCCTTCTGGTCGTGCGTTTCGGTGGTTGAAGGTTCTCAGCAGCAGGTTGGACACTAGTCGATGCTGGCAGCTCCGAGATCGTCTGGCGCCTAGCCAGATCAACTGGGAGAAGCTTCATGGCCATATCAGCTTCAGTAGGCGGACTGACAGTTCCGGCACCCTTTGGTTTTCTAGTTCTCAGCTGTCTCCCTCCAGCCACTGGCTCGGCAGGTACAATAGCTGGCGCAGAAAGTCTGTCCTTCTTGACTCTTGGTGGAGCTAGGTCTTCAGGAGCATGACTTCTTGTTTGTCGGTCGGAAGGAATGATGAGTTTGCTGAGTTCATGTACGGCAACGATCCAATTCACCCCAGGAGGCTCTCTCGGACCAGAAGGTCTGGGCGACATTGGTCGCATTGTCCCTGAGATTGACCGCTGAAACTTGAGAGGGTCAACGACCTTTCCTGTGAACGATTGCGTGGGCGTAGCATATGTCGGCATGGCTGTTCGCTGAGTTCTGGCAGGGGCTGGAGGAGGAGGTGGCGTAACATGACTTTCCAAGGCCTGCAAATTTTTCACATCCCACCAGCTGGAGTCGTACTCCGGAGACCGATGCGCAGGTGTATTGGTAGGACTGGATGCGATATTCATGCTTTGCATAGCACTCGTGATATCATCGTCGGCTTGCTGTGCTGGTGAACCGTTCGAAGTCGCTGGGCTGGGATCCTGGCAGAGTCCAGAGATATGACTGAGTAAACCACTGCAGAGGGCTCGATCGCTATAGCCGCCTTCTAGTACAGATATGACGCGACCGTTGACTCCCGTACCTTCTTCTTGAGCCAACTTGACAACATCTTTTGCGAATCGAGCATAAAATTCGGTGGGTACGTTCACTGCATGTCTCTGCATGCCAGCGCCTTCCCATTGACTTGCGTCGAAACCAGCAGAAATAAAAATAGCAGCCTTTGGTGGTGCTTGCTTTGGCGAGTCTTTGATCATCTGAGTGTGTCTTTTCAGGAATGTGCGAGCCTTCTCCAGCAAGGTCAGATATTTTCCTTCGTACAGAGCCCAGAACTCATCCATGGTTCTCCAGGCTTCCAGATGAACGTTCCAGATAGATTGATTGTGGATGTTGTCGATGCAAAGACTGGCGTTCGTGACCTTATCTTTATCTCCCTCTTCGCAAGGATATGAGTTGATGTCGTGCATACTGTAATATCCAATCGCGGTCTTTTTGGTGAAAGAAGCGTTTTTCGGCATCCTGGCACTCTTCGCATTTCTGTCCCAAGTGATATCCTGAGAGCCATCGCCATGATGCAGGTCGATATCCAGGATTACGGCATGAGTAAGGCCATAAGTTTGAGCAGCATATTCTATGCCAATGTGAACATTGTTAATCCAACAGAAGCCAGAAGGAAAGTCTGATGAGCAGTGGTGACCAGGAGGACGAATTGCGACGAAAGCACGTCTCGGAGAGTTTGGAATGCTGGAGAAGATCGTGTCAACCGCCTCACAAACACCGCCAACAGCTCCTTGAAGCGCATTGAGAGATTCCGAGCAAAGGTACAAGTCGCCTTCGTGGAAAGGGTCTTTCTCCTTGGTTGCGCCTAGCACTTCTGGTCTGGCCAACTCCTTCATATGCAATGCCAGTCTCTCGCCTGCTACATTACACATGGTCTCCAATTCCTTCATCCACTCAGTTCCGTGCACAGCAGAAACAAATGGCGATGTCAGTGGCACTGCGCGAGAAGTCTTCTTGATCCTGAATGGAATGCGCGAATCTGGTTGCCTGTCTGGGTGTGGCGCATGTTGACCTCCTGAGTGCCTTGACCCAAGACGAACATATGCTGTGCAAATACCAAGAACAGCAGCAAGAACACGTTCCGGCCTTTCGACAATCATGCTCAGCATGCCCTTGGAAGTCTTTGGCCTAGAAAATCGATGACCATAGCACGCATCGTGCAGAATGACGGCGACCTGCGCAGAAGTTGTCTCTGATTCATGCAGAGCCAGTTCCTGTGCAAAGTGCGTTGATGCGACAGAAGCTGCAGTCAATGGCGGCGGCTCCTCAATCAACACATTCGAATAATGTGAAATTGTCGAGGAAGATCTATCGCCACGACGAGGCGAACCAGCAGGAGAGGTTTGGTTAGTCATGCTGCGCAAAGAAGACATTGACGATTTGCGCCTAGGAGGGGTTCCAGCTTGGCTCATTGAGCTGGAAGCTCTGCGCAAAGCAGATGGAGATTCGTATGCGCTCGGAGTTGTTGAACGAAAATTCGATGTCATCGGGCTCGACGCAACTCGCGATGCAGTCCTTTGACCAGCTGGAGAATTTGATCTTGCCAAAGATAGACGGTCAAGATTCCGTGACAGGGATGGACTTTGTTCTCGAGGGTGGGCTGGACCAGGGCTTGAACGGGGAAGTTGTTGTTCAGCCATTGTTTTGTTTAGACTTGGCGTTTCCGGACTTTTCGAATCAGAGTGGTAATCCTGTTGCGACAGGCATTTCTTGCATGTCGTTTGATGGTATCTGAATATTCCTGCATGTCATCAGAAAGCTTTGGAGTGGCATGTCCAGCCCCTGGAAAGCTTGCTGTCCACTCTTGCTCCCGCCGCCCGCTGACGTTGGCCCGGTCTGTCGTTCACAGCCGCGCGCTTGCACGTGATAGTCTTGGCCCATCTCATCAACTGTTTCGCTACAGATGCAACTGCTTGTTGCTTTCGCGACGGCATGCACTTCTGATGAAAAGACCCTGTTCAGAGAATTTGACGATGTGTTGTCACGGTATGATCAGAGTAGGTCCAAATCATACGGTAGGTCTACAACTCGGCCGCGGACGCTGCCATACTTCGAGTCAGTCTTGCATCCTTCGAGCTGCTGGGCCGCTATCGGATTAAAGTCAATCCGATCAAGACGACTTGTTGAGACATGGCATCTCAAGACTCATCGCCTTCTTTCCTTCTTCCGTTACTCTGCCTCGCTGTAGCGGACACCGTATAGACCCTTACAGTCATGGCTCCCAAGAAGCTCACCGAGCACCTCCTCGCTCACAGCCCAGATGCCTTCACCTCCGCAACCAGACACCCATGGCTCCGTCTCGCCGGCACATCACAACTCCCCACCGACTCCTTGCTAGCTTGGCTGACCCAAGACCGCCTGTACATCTTCTCATACATCCCCTTCATGGGCAACATGCTATCAAAAACCTCAATACCCACCACATCGTCACGTATCAAGTGCCTCGAATGGCGAGTCGCCGACTGCTTCATCAATGCTTTGACCAACGTCCGACGAGAGCTAGGCATGTTCGAAGACATCCTGGGTGAACACTTTGACTGGAAAGAAGGTGGAGAGACGGCGACCAAAGAGACGAGGGCATACCAAGACATGTTCGCTGGTGCGGGTGCGCCGAGCCAGAGCATTCTTGTCGGTATGACTGCGCTATGGGCGACCGAGAAGTGCTATCTTGAAGCTTGGAAGTATGCTCTGGGTTTCAAAGAAGAGGTACCAGAGGAAAAGAAGAGCCATGTGCTGCATACCACCCTCATACCCAACTGGACATGCGACGAGTTCGAAGAATTTGTGATCTGCATCGGCGACTTGCTGGACGAACTTGCAGACGACATACCTGAAGGCAGCAGAGAGTGGGTCAAGTGCGAGGAAGTATGGCAGCAAGTCTTATGGGCAGAGGAGAACTTCTGGCCCAAGGTATCTAACCCGTAGGTGCAGAGACACAGTATACCACATGCAACAAAATCTCAGATCTTTCACAAAACGATACCACACAGCAAGTTTCGCTCTAACACTTCAGGCGCGCTCTCCATTTCAACAGCTCAAACTGTCGTCTCGAAGCTCCATCTACTACAGCGAACACTTGTCGACCTGCCCGCTCTGTCATCCTCTCACCCTGACCCTACGCGCTACCGCACAGCGACGTCCTCGGATTCGTCGCAGAAGCTCCCCCTGAGTCACAACTCCCTCAAACACACTCTACCACCTCCCCCACCCACCTACCTTCATATACCAGAAATTACTTGCCTCTCACAACAAAAGCCGTGGTGGTGTAGTGGTAGCATACCTGGTGTTAAGTTTGGGCACGTGAGCATTCCTTTCCATACAAGCGTGGTCCCGATGAACACAGGTGGTCGCAGGTTCGAATCCTGCCCATGGTGATTCCTTTTTTGTTCAATCTTTGCAATCCAAAATTTCGACATGTGATTATTTGAAGTAGCTTTGAGGAAGTCGCTTTCAGTGGACATACCTGTTAGTTTTTTTGTTGAAGGCGATCTTGCATTTCGATGGATCTGGAAGCTTTTTTTGGGCTGAGGATGAGATGTACATTTATTTTCTTTTACCCATCTTGACTTTTCACAGGCTTCCTTTTATTCTTAGCAAAGATCGTGGCTAGCTTAGATGCGGCTTGAAGTTGGTGTGGAAGCTTTGTAGCCATCCAAACTTTGTCTGTTGTAGAGCGAGCATCTCTGCTTGGAACGATGGACTCCAGATTTGAATCACAGCTGGCGATGATCCAGTCAACACCGACGTCTTTGCCCCCGCCGTAAGTGATGACTGGACGGCCATAAGGCATTTGATTGTTCTGGTGATCGGTCTTTGCTGCCCATCGCAACTGGCCAGACCAATGCGGCCATCTACTCAGCGTCTCCCGGAACGAGAGCTCCAGACTGCGAAACAGCTCTGGATCACGATCATCTGCAAAGTGCTCGGCGTCAAAGAACCAGATGGCTGAGCATGGAGTGAATCTTGCAACTGAAGCATCGAGTATCGATAACGCGGTCGTGATCGTCTCGCTTGGAGGGGCAGTGGGAGATATTCGATGTGGGAGATATTCGATGTCGACTTTTGATCCCAATCACTGGACTTGAGATCTTGTCGGCCATGACAGGATGCTGTAGGAGTGATGTCCAGCTTCATGATGCTAGAAAGGAAGCAAAGATCGTGGAAACAATATCGAACTTGATACGTCCCGACTTGCGTCGTGGGTCCTTTTTGATTGCAGCACGACTGCCGCATGGTTGTCCCAGTCTGCTAAACTCGCATCTCGACTCCGCGCTAAAATGCGGTGTCTCGATTAGGAAACTTGGAAAACTATGAGACTTACCTTTGCAAGCAAATGAATGATAGCGTACTAGCATGATAGAAAGTCCTTACTTTTGGTTTCACCCAATAATGTCAGATGAGGAGGGTGCCAAAAAGAGGCGAGGATGTGCAAAATCACAGCCAGGGTCATGCTCACATTCACCCAAGATTTACTCCACCAAGAACAGATGATTCCAAGGCTATACCACGAACAAAAGAAGAGATGCCCCCTAACGGAGTCGAACCGGTGACCTCGGCATTACTAGTGCCGCGCTCTACCAACTGAGCTAAAGGGGCGATGTTATACAGGCAAGAGAAAGAAGTGTACAAGTTCTGAAGCAGGGGGAGCAATTTCGGTCTGGCAGATGCACGGACGTTGAGGCGTTTGGCGGTCGAGCGCAGATGTTGAATGAGCGACGAGACGAGATGGCAGAGGGCCAGAGCCAGAAATAAAGCACAACGCAGAGACTGGAGAGTGACTCGAGAAGAGAAAGAGAACAAAGGCAGAAAAGCGGTTGACGAGAAAAAGCAAGAAGTCAAGTCAAACATGCTGATCGAGGGACGGCCTTGCTTGGCATTGCACCTCGGAGGTCGGCGTTTGCGGGCGCGCTAAAGTATCCGCAGACCGCCTTCCTGGCAAAATGGATGAAAGTCTGGAGGCGACGAACTTTTCTACGAAGAAGCGGAGCAGGAATTCGGTCGGTTCTCGCAACACAAATCAACAACACCCAAATACCGCCAAAATGAAGACGACGTGGAAGGATATCGCCCCGGTGCCGACGTCGCAGGAGTTCCTGGACATTGTCCTGAGCAGAACTCAGAGAAGACTGCCGACTCAGATCAGAGCAGGTTTCAAGATTTCGAGAATCAGAGGTGGGTACTTTTTCTTGCAGTTGAAAAGAGGAGGAATCTGCTTGTGAGGAGCGAGCGACTACGCAAGACCGGCGCAACACGACTGGAGCGAAGGAAATAGATGCAGAAATGAAGAAAGGGACAACAAGAACAGGCGCTGACAAGACCTCACAGCTTTCTACATGCGCAAGATCAAGTTCACCTGTGAAACGTTTGCCGAGAAGATTCAAGCCGTCCTCGATGGATTTCCCCGTCTCGCCGACATCCACCCTTTCCACAAGGATCTGCTCAACACCCTCTACGATGCAGACCACTTCCGCATCGCCCTCGGCCAGCTTTCCACAGCCAAGCACTTGATCGAGACAGTAGCCCGCGACTATGTCCGTCTCGTCAAGTACGGTCAGTCGCTCTTCCAGTGCAAGCAGCTCAAGCGCGCCGCCCTCGGTCGCATGGCCACTATCTGCAAGCGCCTGAAGGACCCGCTCCTCTACCTCGAGCAGGTTCGCCAGCATTTGGGCCGTCTGCCCTCCATCGACCCCAACACCCGTACACTCCTCATCTGCGGTTACCCCAACGTTGGAAAGTCGAGTTTCCTCAAGAACATCTCCCGCGCCGATGTCGACGTTCAGCCCTACGCTTTCACCACAAAGAGTTTGTTCGTCGGTCACTTCGACTACAAGATGTTGAGATTCCAGGCCATCGACACTCCCGGTATTTTGGACCACCCTCTGGAGGAGATGAACACCATTGAAATGCAGTCGATCACTGCTATTGCCCACTTGCGCTCTGCCATCCTCTACTTCATGGATTTGTCCGAGCAGTGTGGTTACTCAGTCCAGGCCCAGATGCAGCTCTTCCAGTCCATCAAGCCTCTTTTCGCCAACAAGCTCGTTTTCGTTGTCATCAACAAGATCGACGCCATGCGCCCCGAAGACCTCGACGCCGAAACCCAGCAACAACTGGCCGACCTTTGCAAGTCCGACAACGTTGAGATGCTCCAGCTTTCTTGCACAACCACCGAGGGCCTCATGAACGTCCGTAACGCCGCTTGCGACCGTCTCCTTGCCGAGCGTAACGCTCAGAAGCTCAAGGCCGGTACCAACGCCTCTGGTGAGGTCACTGGCCGTCTCAATGATGTTCTCCGCCGTATCCACGTTGCCCAGCCCATGGGTGGTGTCGTTCGCGAGACCTTCGTCCCCGACGTTGTCAAGACCAGAGTCAAGTACGACAAAGAGGACCCCAACCGTATCACCCTCATGCGCGATATCGAAGAGGAGAATGGTGGCGCCGGTGTCTTCAACATCAACCTCAAGGAGAAATGGATGCTCGAGAACCCCGACTGGCGCGAGGACAAGATGCCCGAATTCCTCGACGGAAAGAACGTTTACGACTTCGTCGATCCCGAAATCGAAGGCAAGCTCGCTGCTTTGGAAGAGGAGGAAGCCCGTCTCGAGGCAGAGGGATACTACGACAAATCAGAGGACGAGGTTGAGGAGGCCGACGAGGCAGACATCAAATACAAGGCCGAGCTCATCCGTGAAAAGCGCCAACTCATCCGCAACGAGGCCAAGGCACGCAAGTCGCTCAAGAACCGCGCTGTTATTCCCCGTAGCAAGAAGGCCGTTCAACTCGAGAAGATGGAGAGAGGCCTCGAGGCTCTCGGTCACGACGCCACATCAATCACCGAGCGTGCTCGCGCTCGTTCGCAATCTCGTCCTCGTGGTCGCAGCGAGGCTGTCGACGGCGATGCCGATATGATGGATGTCGACGGCGGCGATGCACCCGCCAAGCACCGCAACAGCATCTCTCGCGCCATGTCACGCACTCGTAGTGTCAGTCGCATGAACAGACGTGAGGATGGTGTTACCAACGAGGTTGCACGTAGCAAGGCCGAGCGTCTGCACAAGTTGGGTCAACAGAAGATGAATCGCAACGCCAGACAGGGAGAGGGTGATCGTCACACAACCGCCTCTTTGGCCAAATGGCTCACTGCTGGTAAGCGTGGTAACGGCAGCACCAGAAGCAGGTAGATGGGTGTTCACATTTCTGCATTTTCTTGGAATCATGGTCATATCGTATTCATGTTGTCTGGCGTTGGGGGAGTAGAAAGGATGGGCAAATATTCTGTTACGGTTTCCAATCCAGATCACCAAGCGAATAGTCTGGTAGAAAAAATTTCATGTCTTCTTTTCACTCAAAGTGAGTTTGACTCTTTCTTCCTGTGCGCTCGAATCACTCATGTTCAGCTGTTGCAACGTACGTCGGATGTCAAATCTTGATCGAGGAGAAGTTGTCAAACGAGTCTCTTCGACGGCTGACTTGACGAATTCCAGAGGTAACAAGCATTGTGATGAGTGCATAGCTTTGACTTGGTTGTAAGAGGCAGGTGCGACTTCGGATCGTAAGTCGGGGGTTTCTTTATCGATGTCGCTCCTTCTCATCTTGTAGACGCTCCATCAATCTTCCTCGCGAAGCTTCTTACCACCGACCATACAACAACATCTTGCGTCCACACTCTTCGTCCATCAACAGCACCAATATCCTGTATCAAGATGAATGATCCTCCAGCACTCTCAGAGGAGCAGAGCGCTTGTGATCCCGCCGGCGAAGAACCAGGACCTCCTGGAACTGAGGTAAGAGCTTCATCGCTTGATCGTGTCGCCTGAATCTGACGAATTCTCTAGCAGTACATCAGCAACCCTTTGGTAGATGCACTACAAGAGTATTGGAAAGAGCAAAATCTCTACAACAACGCCTTGAACGAAACTGCAGCGAATTACAACGAGGGTGTGTGGGACGACTACCTAGACCACATAGAGGAGACAAAGCCAGATCTGCAGACAATCAACCTCGACACCATCACTCTAAGTGGCATCCAGGATGTTTTGCTTGCAATCCAGTTGGAGAACGAAGCCGAAGCGAGCCTCTTCAAGCTCCGCTGTTCGATGAGAAAGGTTCTGAAACACCAGGATAGGATGATCATATTGGCCAGAAGGATTGTTGAGGACTACGGCCCTGAACTGGAGGAGAACAACAGTGTGTCCGAAGTCAAGGATTTCATTGACACTGTGAAGCTGGTCCAGGAGCAGTCTGTGCTAATGATACATCAACACCGAGTCCTTATCAATGGACGAGTGGCGGCACCTCTGGACGAGGAAGAAGACTGATGTATGGCACCAAGTCTCCTTCGAGAGAGAGATCAGGTCGAGTCCACACAGGCGCCGATGCACACTTTCGGAGTACGACAAGAAGGTTCCGGATCGTTTGTTTAGATCCACGTTCCGTTTGCTTTGCTCGGCATTTATTATAAAATCAACAGCGGTTCTGCAATGGTCCACCATTTTTTGTTGTTGCCCTTATCACATCTGTGCACACATCTCTTTAGAGCTTCATCATGAGCCACGACCAATTCATCCTGGAGATGAACCCCTCGCCTCTTGAAGAGCAGGACGCGGACCTTCCTGTCGAGGTAGAACTGACCCCTCCCAAATGTCCTACCCATATTGACCCCTCTCCCAGGCATCAAGCGAAACTCTCCAGACTGCACTCATGGATTATCAAGAGCTTGCTCTCAACTTCTGTCAGTGTGCTAAGGACGTCAATACCGCCTTGGGTGGCGGCAATCCAGCCCGCATCGCAATCAGACAGTTCGAGGAAAACACAAACATCGACCTCAAGATAATCGACCTAGCCAAGCACGATAATCTCGACCAGTACATTCAGTGGATGGCCCTTGACAAGGCATACCGGGAGGAGAATGCCAACGAGAACAAACACGTGCGCGCTCTGATCAGCGTAGTGGATGAGATGATCAGAGCCGAGAAGCGTATCAGAGAAGTCTTTCCTGATGAGCTGCTGCAGAAGGCTGGATCTGAGATGGTCGAGGAGTTTGAGCAGAACACGAAGGAGGTGGCCGAATGCAAGGCTAACTTCATGAAGGCCTGCAACGATATCATCTATCGCAAGCTATGAACAGCAGAGTTTCATGCCTGTCCCTCCGCGACGGATTCCGAGATTGAGGCGACCGATGCAATGAAGGAGTGAACGTCATTGTTGACTAGGTCCAGTTGAGATTCGTGGGTGGTAGAGCTCTCACTGGTGAAGGAGCTCAAGCGCTGTCGCCTTGCGTACTTCGAGGGACCGTACACGAATACCGTAGCTGCTCTCAATCACATCTTTCTTTCACTTTTTGGCTTCCGTCCTCATAACTATTTTGGTGGCGTTTCATTTTCGCAGTATCACTCTTCTCTTCTTAAACACTATTTTCCCACCTTCTCTCTCTCTCTTCCTCCAACCAACTGACCATCCGAAAGACTCTGCCACTTCTTTCTACATCAGTCTCGACAGCCTTTCTTTCATCATCATCATTAACCACCATGGACAAACACGTGGAGCCCGAACAGACTGCCGATGCCGACAAAGGCGATACCCTAGTCCTCGAAAAAGTCAGTGTTATCTCTACCATGGATGACTCGTTACTGATGGCGCATCTCAGGACAATGCTAGGAAGGCCGCTTTCGAGGCCTTGTTCACGACCTTCCAGACAGGGTTCCAAGAACAGAAGCGGTTGGAACCTGCCCACCGAACTGCTGTATTGTCCTTGCAGCATGCACATCATGAAGCGATCCGGTATCAGGCCATCACTCGATTGAATCTTCAGACAATCGACTTGGACAACAACCCCTCCCTGGATCAATACTCTCACTTCTTGAGGCTTGAGGTTGAGAGCATCAAGCGTCGATCCGAAATGAACAGGGGCTTGAGAAAGATCATCACTCTCGCAGACGAGATGGTTGCAATAGAGAAGAAGATCAGAACAGAATATGGAGCAGAGTTGGACCAGCTAAGTACTAAGGTCAGGCAGTTGTTCGATGAAATGACAGCATTGGTCAGAAAGCGTCTGGCTATGATCAAGGATCAGTGCTCTAAGGTCATGGCGAATGCAAGAAGATGAGCCCTGCAGTGCAAGGACACACCCGACTTGCTCTTTCACTTATGGTTTCCGGCGGTCATCCTTCACTGGCTTTCACGCGTCATCAAGTTCTTCCCCACTTCTTATTTAGAGATGTCCTCTTCTTTCACCCTCTCTTGAATTATCAAACACACTCTTCTGTTCCTTTTTTTCTTTCGTCAACACAAACTTCAGTGCGGCAATCATTATGGAGACAAGCGCGCAACAAGATAACATGATCAAAGACACCACAGACTCAGACGTGACGGACAAAGCCACTACAAAGAAAGTCAACATGACAGAAGAGACCACTGCCAAGATCACAAATGACGGCACTTTGACCGTCGACAAGGTAGGTGTCGCGTCATTGTGGGTACGATGTATCACTAATACCGACTTCCAGGAGAAACTGGCCCATGATGCTTTCAAAACTCTGCTTAATACCCTTAAGCAAAAGTCCAGATTACACAAAGAGCGGTGCCCAGCCTTGGTAGCTGCCTTGACAGCAAGGAAAGCCGCATGGCTAGCAGTCGAACAGCATAAGCTCGTCGCCCGTTTGGATCTCCAAGTCATCGACCTCGACAGACTGCAATCGCTTGACGATCATACCAGGTTCATGGCTCTCGACACGACCTTCATCAAACGTAGAACAGAGTTCCACGTCCTCATGAGAGGGGAAGTTGAACTCCTTGATGAGATGATCAAACTTCAGATGGTAATCCGAAGAGACCATTCCGATCGACTGGAGCAGCTAGATGCTAGAGTGAAGGAGGAATTCGAAAGCAATGAAGCGTACTTCCTGAGCTTCCAAAGACGTATGTCCAGGGCCATAAGAATAATGATGACAGAAAAGAGATACCATTAAGCTCTGGGGAAAGAGGATGGCAACGAGGAACATGAACAGTCTTACCAAAGGGCAGTAACAAGGCGACAAAGGCGACAGCCGTCTATAATGGTAGACAGACGCACACACATCAATTTGCGGCTTGCTCGGCTCGTCTATACCAGCATGAGATACTCTTTCATCCATGTCAATCGTTTCTCCTTCCCTCGAAGACATATCGTGCCACAGACAGACACTGCCAAGTAGAGTGTTCCAGAATGTGCTTTGCCATCGCTTATCTGTCAGTCAGAGAGCCAGAGGCAGACTATAAATCAGCATCACACCTCAACATAACCGTTCTTCTTCTCACACATCTCCATTCAAGCTCCCAATTCTCAGGAAATCCACCATGACAGACCCACCTGTCTACAATCTTGACGACTCTGACGATGCCTCCACAATGGCTCGTCCAACACTACCGCTTCCCAAGCATTACACCCTTATTAACCGCTTCACCCAGACCATGGTCTCCGACTCTCCCCAAAATAACATTGAACCATTCGCAGCAACCTTCGACGATCCTCTAGTCGAATTGAATGAAATGTTGACTGATGCTTTGAACCAATGTCAAGAGATGCTCGACAACTTACCCCGGATCAAAAAAGATCTCCTCGAGATTAACCGCAACTACAAAGCCAACACCACCAAGGTTAGTACACCTTCCCCTAACCAAGTCAAAAGTTCCCCTGATCTCATACTTTTCTATAACTCGCAGAGAGCAAGTACCATGAGGGAATTTAAGGAAGGTCGCGACCAAAGCTGCAGAACTGATTGCGGATATGAAGGGTTGAGTGAAACGGCAAGCTGAATGGAGGCGTGAGGAGCAGGATAAGCGCTGGTTAGAGGAGATTGTGATGTTTGAGAGGGCTATGATAATGCAGAAGAGGATCGTGGAGCTGATTATTGAGGGAGCTGAGAAGAAGGCTCGGGCTGGATGATACAGCTTTGGACTTGGAGTTTGGGGGATGCAAAAGGAGGGGTTTGGGTTTGTTTGAAAGGGGTCGTGGCTTGCATTTGTCGAGCTCATCGCTTTAATGACGGTAAAATTGCGTAGTCGTATTTGGGAAGAACGCATTGTTCAAAGAGAGTACGTTTGGCTCCTTCCTTCTTTGGTCATTGATCAAATCCGCTTGTGTTTCTCGCACCTTTGCAGGTACTATTGATAGAGAGGCCGCCATTCAGGGAGCCACCATACCTCTCATAGCATTCTAAAGCATCTTGACAGTATGCTAATGAGATTAGCACATATATTAGAAGATGCCTACCTTCCTCGCGACAAAGATACATATTCAGTGCTAGCATTGATTCGGCATGACCAGGATGCTAGATTCAGTTTGCTTTTCCGATTGTCCGACCTGTTTGCTGTTCTTCTTTGTTCTTTGTTCTCTAAATCTTCAGGGATGCTTCCATTGTTCTTCTGGACAAAGGTGGATATGAATTTATTTTCTGTGGACGTCGGTATTGACGAGGTTTTCTTTGTTACGTTCGCTTTCGGTCTTGGTTCGTCGAACCTTTGAAGACGATCCTTTCAGCGAAAACAGCCTTGGTACCAGTGTTAGTCCAGCAGAGTGGATACGGTCACTAGTCAGAGCCTGCTGCTACTAGAGTACCACACTCGTTGTTCCTCAACTGCTCCTTGATCGATACCTTGTCTGGAAGCAGACTCATCATCTTCGAGGGGTGTTTATCCGCACTCGGAGAAGTGCTTATATCACATCGTGACGAGAGCGACACCACGTTCGAGAGATCGACATCATCACAGAGGATAGATGATAGTCCGTAGGATTGTACTACAGCATCATCGTCAAGCGATACTCCGCCTCAAAGATGGCATCTCCTCAAAGAGAATCGTGTAGCGACCGGAAGATGATATCACCGCCAGTACATGTCAGTATCATTTGATCAGAACTAGGAGTGGCTGGATATCGAATCTGATATAGGTTGGACATGGACATGACCCTACATCCGATCCGACCAACTGAATCTCCATCGACGGCGTCACCCGCAACGACGACATCATTCTACTTGACGACATCTTTCGGATCAGCGCGATCATCCTCGAGATCACGATATCGTTGTCGAGGACGGAGTGTTCGTCATGGCTATGTCTTCGCAGTTCCGAACAATCCTGGACAATTCCTCCTCCCTGGAGCTCTTACGCCCCTGTTTCGTCGAATGTCTAATCGACGTATTATTGCTCTCTAGCATAGCTATCCAACGCCAACTGCCTTTATCTGTATCTCCCGCCTTGGCTATCTTTGTTGTTGGATTTTGGCGACGCGACGCGACTTTTGAGTCCAGCTGGGAATTTTTGGCTTCTTTTCGGCCATGTCCGACATCACTCTCTCTGCAAAACATAACATGGCAGACAACATGGTCTCACTGGTAGCACCTGCCGCCCCTTCGACGACCTTTGTCGCCCCTTCGACGACCTTTGCCGCCCTGACATTGTCGACACCTCCCGAGTCCCCGACTTCATCAGCTTCGTCCTCCGCGAAACCCTCAACATTGTCAACTTCTTCGAGACTTTCGACACACTCGACAACGAGAGAAGTCAACTCCGAGGTATGAGGTGGCTGTTACGAGACGAGAAGTGGCACTACTGACATCAACAGTCCTTCGAACCCGTCGAAGATCGCCTCACTCAGCCTTCAGAGCCCCCCAAGACTCCAGAGATCATGCATCTCGAAGCACAGCTTGATGAGAAACTCTACGATCTTAATGTGGAAGAAGCAAACCTGAACGGCAATACTGAGTCGTGGCTGCGCCTTGCTCGCATGCACCAAGAACTGAAAAAAGAGTTCCCCAACATCAATGAACCTATTGATCTCTCTTCGCCAGAGGCACAGATGCTCATCGATTGCGCCACTCTGATGGTCAAGAATGATCTGGCTACATTGCAAATGCAGGTTGCCATGAAGGAAAACTACAAACAGATCAGGAAGATGATGGTCGAGGCTCAAGCTATCCTCGATCAGCTTGTTGCAATCAACCCAGCTGACAGAAAGTACGAAGAGATTGGAAACACACTCAAGATAAAGAGTGGTCCTGGCAGGGGCTGGGAGGGCTTCATCAAGAGAATGGCCATCGTCATTCACTACACAGGAACTTGATCGATTTCAGTCGTCCGTCAATTTGGTTGTTGGTTCACCCTCACTCAGGATTTTTCCTATTGTACATTAACAAGCCCATTCTCCATTTTCATCCGCGTTGTACTCTCCTCTTCCCCCGTCAATCAAACTTTACTCTTTTCCACGTCTTCATAACATACATGCCGTCCTGGGATCGTCATACTTGACATCCTGATACGCAGCCAATCATCACGACATACACGCATCACGGTCTCACTCTGCACGATCTACAATCACCACAATTTACATCCATCACGATGGCTGTCTCAAGCCGACACATCAACGCCTTTCCAAGCAGCGCCACTACAAGTCAACAAGACGATCCTCAGATTATAACCTTCCCCACCCGGCCCGCCATATTGCCAGACGGTGTTGATGTCTCCAACGACGTCTCCAAGCCTTACGTCACTACCGAACAAGAAGATCACATGAACATCGTCTTCCCCGAAAAGCTCAGTAGTCTGCAAGAACCCGTTCCTACCGACGACCGTACCGTTCACAAAGTCGAGAATGAGGCTGCCAACATCATGGATGCGTCCTCCAGCGCGCCGATCGCAGTGCAAGAAGATAACAAAGTTATCAGCTCAATCTCTAGAGTCATCCCAGCCTCTCAAGAGCAAGGCAGCCCCGGGGAGCAGCTTGCTGATCAACCTTCGGACGAGTTCGCCCTGCAAGAAGACGTCGAATTGACCAACTCACCGTCCGAACTCATCGCAACATCTGATGAATTCGATATCCAACAACAAGATCTCGTCATCCAGCGTATCGACCAGCTTAAGTCTAGGAACAAAAACGCCATTGCTGAGATTGCGCGCGTCCAGACTGAAGTCAATAGGCACCTGGTCGAATGCCAGGACCACTACCTCCAGCTCACTCAGTGGCGTTTCGTCTACGGTCCCGCAATCTCGGTCATCACCATTGGTCATAACAACACTATCAGCGCCTACGAGACCCAGAAGATTGCTCTTGCCTCGAAATTGGTCGAGCACGACATCAAGAGGATCGGATCACTCAGCGCCTTCTATCGCACTCAAAAGCAGTACTTCAGGTTGCTTGAGGTCATGAAGAAGACGGAAGGTGAAATCCAGGAGGCAAGCGGAGAGGCAAGTCGCGAAGTTATGGATTCGAAAGAAAGAGTCGAGATGCTTGAGCAGTCCAGAGTTCAGATGACCGAGACTTGGCTCGAGTGGTTGGAAGAGCTTGCTTGAAAGCATTGGGGTCCTTTTGATGCCGCTCCCGGGTTGTGACGCAGTCCAGCAAAAGTTTCTGGCAGTTCGATGGCTCCATTCGTGCGGCTACTGCAAGTCGATGGGGCGTTCAGGTTGATCTTTCACGCCGGCTCAGCAACTCCACAGAGTCACAGATTTCCCTTCTATTTTCATTTCCATTTACATTGCACCTGCGTCATCTTTGGATGCTATTTTTTTCTTATTCACACAAATACTCGAGAGGTGTCATCCGCGACTTCCTTCCCGCTGGATCATGTTTCTAGCCCTTTGCACCTGCCCATCTTCTTCCAGAATTTTACCCCTCATCGCTCATTTCCCAATTCTCTTCTGCAGTAATCTAGATATATTCCCTTCCAATGCACTGATCCGCTCGTCTCCCGTCTTTGAGCCCCAAAGTCGAACATGACTTCGTCCGCCGACAACAGCGTGGTACCTGCGGTAATCGCCGAAGATGCCGCCATGGATTTTGACAGCGTTCAAGCAAGGAGTTTAGATTTCGAGCAATCCCAAGCAGTATGTGCGTATCTTTCTGAAAGTCAACGCCGCTGACTATCTGTCAGACCCAAGGCAAGTTTTATGTTGCCGGTTGATCCTCGCTTGAAGAGCTCCTCAACCTTGAAGAGGAGCTTCGCAGGCGTTGCATTCCGAAACATGATGAGCGAACCACCCCGGCTTGCGATACCGCTATCCCGTCGCCTGAGAAGCTCTCCAGCCGTCGATAGGAGCTTCTTGCTCGTTTCCGAAGATACTACGAGAGTTTGTCTTCGAATCGGGAACTCTTGCGACTGTTTGACCGATCAAACAAGGAACTGGTATTGCTGACTTCTCAAGCTCCCCCAGCGTGGAATATCATCAATTTGGACGTACAGCCATCGATTAGTCTGGAGTACACCACCAAAATGCTGAAGACAGAGCCGAAAGTTTATGACTGAGTGCTGGTATAACGCAGAGAATCCGCAAACAGTTCGTGCTTCTCAAAGAGTACAACAAACTTTATGGACCTGGAGAGAGGTCTAGATGGTCCTCGCATCCGTGGTTTAATCTCGCCTCCTATTGTTATGAGTCGGGGGAGAGCCTAGAGATTGTGTAGGACGCTTGCTACGAGAATCAACGAACGGCCGAGGGCCATGCTTTCGCCGCTGTTGATTCACAAAACGCTCGATGGCATCTACTATGCAATTTCTAGACTCTAAACATACTTCAGTGGAGGCGCTAGTTCTGTTCCATTCCCGCCTCACTTCATAGCTAGGTGTTACATCCAACAAAGCTCACTTTCAATCATCTGCTCAGATCTTGTAGACATACTTCACTCGATCACACACATCACAACAACCTACATTGAATTCTTGTCTGTCTCCGAGCCACTATCAACAAGATCCGAACGCCAATATTCTTGACTTTCCACACTTCAACCGATCATTTTAACATCCCCAGGAATACTTCTGTCACCTACAGGTGAGTCACTCTTTGCTGTCACTCCAAGTCTTGGTTCAGCGACAGGCTTCCAACATTTGGCCAACCAATCACAGATTTCATTCGACTCATTAGACATCAATCAGATCTCTCACATCTGCATCTGCCCGACTGGATTACTCTCCACCTTCCTTCGTCTGATTTTCCGATACTAGCGCCTTGATCGCTTCGCAAGACCGGCGACATGAACAACACAAACCAGCACGTCGATCCTGCAGTGCAAAACGAGGACATGAGTCCAGCCGAACAGGAGAATGAAACGATCGAATCAAAGAAGCGTGTCTTCAGACATCGACTGAAGAATTCTGAAGTATGACACAATGACTGATCTCGCTGTAGCTTCGCTGACAAGCTCAAGAAAATGACCGAAGCCGAGATCGAGGCCCTCTATCAAGAACACAACAGTTTATTGGCTCAAATCAAGGACTTGTTCAAGAAGATCAAAGCACGTAGCTTGGGCCCGAATGAAGTCTTCAACCACTACGAGCACCACACATACCGCTTTGCACAGTTGCGTGCACGTACACCCGCCTTACAAGATCTTAACCTTCTGTCGACAGAAGCCATCGACAACTGGTCCAACATTCTCGAACATGACAGAAAGGCTCGCGAAGCAAAATGGGAACTCTATCGGAGGTGCAAAGAAGAAGCGGAGTTTGGAACACTCTGCAAGAAGGTGTTTGCCTTTACAAGAAAGCATTTGGTCCTTTCGAAGAGTGGTGCCGGGGTCTTTCGCTCACTGGAACGAAGTATCAAGAACTGCAAAGCTTATTGGGATAAGGTAATCACTTTACTTTCGGTTGTCCATAAAAGAGCCCTGGACAGGTATCCTGTGATGTAGTGGTCTAGGCCGGTTCCTCATCATCTTTAGCAATGGGTCGGGCTTTCAGTGGCTTGCAAAAGCAAACATCACAGACAAAAACGATACAATATTATCCCACCTTACTCTCAGTGTTTGCACAAGTTCCAGGATGAGTTCTCTCGGAGGCACATCGGGCAAGTGACGCGAGTGGGGAGATAAACACTAGCTCCAGAGTCAAATAAAGATTCTAATCTCTCCAGCACACATCATTTGTGAATCGCGCCGTCTTGAGGCAGAGTGACCTTCATGTTGAGCGATACAACTCGAAGAGCTCTCGTATAAGGTCTCATCCTCCATAGACACATGTCCCAGCATAAGATGTGATCATGTCAGAAATGCCTCAATAGAGAGTAGGTCTGGCTCTTGAGTGACCTCTTCACAGCTACGATCCTTTCAAATCCTGAGAGTCGTCTTGACGTACTACACAAAGACACAATACTCATGATATTCGTCCTTGGCTACATTCCAAACATTACAGAGAACCAAATTTCAGTAGATCTTTGTAGCGTGTTCACTGGTGCGATGGTTTAACCTCCATCTCCACATCAGCGCTCTGGGTCGATCCCCAGCTGAACCGTTATGGCTGATCATTTCGCTTCATCAATTGACCGGTGGGCCGCTCGGAGCGGATAAACTGGCTGTTGGTGACTTGAGATGGGATGTCTTTTTGTTTATTGTTGGTATGTAAGAACTGCTATCTCCAGGTTTGCTTCCTATTTCTGACAGTCGGGAGTACGAACCTCTTTGTAGAAACAGAAGGGGATGTTTGGTTCTTGGGAAATATCCATTGAGAGCAGGAGGGAATCAGACCTAACCTTTGCCTTGTGTCCCGCTGATACTTCTTGTATCTGTCGAAAGAGTGAATGAGACTCTCTGAATACATGATATTATTGCGGTCATGGGTGTTGGTTGTTGAAAGCACCAGCCTTTGAGGGCCCTTCTCCAAGCTGTGTAACAAACCTTCTGACAGGAGGCACATTTTTCCTTGTGATTTACGTTGCATGTCCTTATAACAACGGCTACTCTCTTCCTCTTCCATTTTGCCAGCGTGGAGAAGCATAATTCACGCTGTACCTCACAGATCCTCTTGATTCTTCTTAGCATAGAACCATCCGAGCCTCATCGATCGCACATCATCTGAGTCCGCACTTTTCACTTGAGAGACCACACATCAGACTCTGACCTCCCAAATAGCCCAAGCTAGCAACTATCGGGCGAAGAGTCACCACTGTCTCTCGCAATCCTACTCTCGGGGACGCTTGCCTCCAAAGCATCTTGGACGCGTCGCTCTATCGTTCACTCGATCTCTTCCTTCTTCACACCAACGGCCTGGAGCATACCCCTTTTCCCTCATTTGTATCTTCTTCCACATAACTTTGCCTTATCGACACAGTCGCCTACCTCGACAGCACCATCTTTGTGCTTTCCAATTACCCCTTCACCGCAATCAACAATCCCATCGTCAAAATGGCTAATCAGGCGTTTCACGAGCTCCAAGACACCTATTCAACGGCCTCAGTATGTATCGATCGCCGAACAGATCTGCCTCTCGGACTAACACAAGAAGGCTTATAACGAAGGTGATCCAACAACATGGCACAACCACCTGAACAGACTTGTCGCCGTGCGCAAGGCGCATCTCGATGTCATCCCTACCTTCCAAGATGAATGGAGAGCCTATCTCGATGCCACAGCGGAGTACAAGTTCCATCGCGACGCGGCCAAAGTCAAAAACCACACTATCAACATCGACACCATCTCCGACTCGGCTATGGGCCATGTCATGCAGATGAGTGGTGCTCAGACGAAAGCACTAAAAGCCTATCACAAGATCCTTGGTTTGGCAAGGGCTGATCTGGCAAGAATGAAGGAAGTCGAGACGCTTGCCAGAAAGATCCTCGATCTACGTGGTAGACGCAAAGTGTTCCGTGTTGAGGAGCTACAGAGGGCTGAGGCTGTGGTTTTATGGGTCCAGAAGACCCGTACCAGCATCTTCAATGTGCTTGGGGAGATCAAGAAGAACTCGATCTGAGGACAGCTGGAAGACTCAGACTCAGAATCGAGTTCTGGGGGCGGAGGACAGGCAGAAAGATCCGAGAGGCCGTGATCGGAATGTGGGCGCTGCATATTGACACGATAGTAACGGAAAGGAAGGAAATCAAACTCGTGATATTCAAACTCCCAGGCGCCATATCGGCGTTTACTAGTGGAGATTCGAACGGTAGATACCAGCAGACAAGATCTGATATTGACAGGACCTCCCGATGTTTACCATACCATTTCTGACTCATGGCGTGCTCTTGGCATGGAACCGTCGAAGTAACATTTTGGCGCGCATACTCACCTCGACTCGTCACTCATTGATGTTTTCTTTCACTTTCCATCAAAGCTTCTGAACCCATCTCTGATCCAAAGTCTGGCACCTGCATGCTGCGCTTCTTTTCTCCAATCGACCTTCACAGATATCCTTGACGGCTCTGTGAACCCATCATCAAAGGTACGAGCGACTGGTGCGCCAGCTCAATAACACAATCCAGGACGAAATTCAACTGACCAACACATTTAGAAGCAACGGAAGCCCACATCATGTCCGGCAACACTCCAAGTAACGACGATGAGGCACCGTCTTCGCAGACACCACAAGAAGAATCGGGCGCTATCGCACTGCAGAACGAAGCGGATGCTGTAGGTATCCTGCAGATGTTTCGTCTACTCAATGCTTACTCTTCAGCAGTGTGGTCAGCGAGTGATAATGAGCTGATAATTGGTCTCGTCTTAATCGCTCGGCAGAAATTACCCTCTCACTCGCTCACGCTCGTGATAATCGTGATCGATCATCATCGCTCATTTACTGCCAAGATCCCGCTAGACTAACCGTATCTAGAAGATCTGCGCATCTTATCTGATTCTGTAGGCGCGACCCTGCCAGCCCTGAACATCTAGGGGTTCGCTGAGGGGATAACCCTGCCCTCAAATTATCATGATACACTCATGATAATCTCACGGTGTTAGAGCGATCACTTGATAGAAATTGAGGCCTTGTATCAATCAGCTCATCTGATAATTATCATGATAATTATCATTAACGATCGCTCGCTGGCCACACTGCTCTTCAGAGCAGACCCAAGGCCAGCGTCCTCAAGAACCATCTGAAGATGAATTGAGCTACATGGTCAAGAACCTGGATCTCCTGCAAGCGGCCGTAAAATCAGGCCTCAATGGATACATCTATCTTCTCTTGGTACGAAGAATCACTCGCCCAAGCACCCCCATCCCGTCCGAGATCAGTGTCGACCAGCTCTCGACACAGCAGATTCTTGACTTGCGGAGAATCCGCGAGCACGACATCAGAGAGGCAGACCTTTTGACCAACCTGCGCGAGTGCTACACAAGACATTACCGCCGATTGGCCGAGGGAGAACAGGCTTTGAGATCTGCAAAAGGAATTGTAGATCCAGGCTTTTGGGAGCTGATGAAAGGCCATATCCAAGAGCATCATGGTTTCAGCAGATCGCTGCCTGCCCGCATACATCGCTTGAGGAGGATTCATGAGAACAGTTGAAGAGAAACCTGAGGAGAAATGGAATAGAGAGCAGTATTGAAGTTCAGGCTGCAGATTCAGCAATGCACTTTCCTTTCCGGTGGTTACATTCAAATTTGACATGTGACAGCGTCCACCAACGCGACTTCCTTCTTATCAATCAAAACAAACTTTTACTAAAACTCCGCGCTATTGCCCTGATTTCTGCGTTTTCCCATCGGTCAATCACTTTCACTCCTGACTCCCATCGTCAACTTTCTTCTCCACCCACCGTGAACCATTGCAAGACACGTCGCACCTTCACACACACAGCACTACCACCACAACTTTGTCGCCTCACTTCTCAACCCGTCATCGCTGCTTCATCGCTCGGTTTTCGCCTTTTATGTAGCCTTCGTCACCGACTCCCCTCCATCGCGATGACTACTCCACAGATCACCTTGAATGACACTGGACAAGTCGACTGGTCTGAAGACGCACAAGAGATGCAGGACACACAGGAATATACTGCTGCTCAGCCGGGTCAATCTGATGATGTAGCTGAAGTACGGTCTCTTTGACGTCGTGAGACAAGATTTTTTCTGATTCGCTGTGGCAGATCGTGTTCGATCCAAACTCCCCTGAGGCAGCAGAGCAAATCTATAGCGCCATCTACCAGAAGATCCAAGATGTGCTCAAACAACACAGAGATGAGACAAGAACGATCCGCTGGTCTATGTATGTGACAGACCATGCCTCTGCGTCGGCGACATGGCTAGAAGAGCAGTCAAGTCTTCTCCGAAACAGAGAGTTGTCCACACTCAGCCGCTCAGAGATCACAATCTTGAGGATGATGGTCGAGTTCGACACTCGCCTCGCTCTCGAATTGACGAGTTTGCGTGTTTCCTCCCTGAAGGCAGTTGACGCACTGGAAACTGTGTGTCGGGAAAACGAGAGGAACATCAGCAGACTGGACGCACCTTCGAGCATCGCACCAGTTCAGATTCTCGAGCGTGTACTGCGACGCGATCTGAGATCAAGCATTGCCAGAGAGATACAGTCTATCATGGCTCGGGCACGTGAAGTTGTGATGAAGGGTCCGTTGTTCTGTTGATGAATTTTCTTCGCGTTCGCTCCATTTACTGCATATCATATTTATGGAAGACAAGTAGCTTTCTTCTACCTCGATAGCGATCAAAGGCTAACATTGCTGTATCTACACACGACCAAATGAGACTTTTTGTCATGTCTACTTTGCTTCTCCTTGCCCGATGTTGTTGCCACTATATGTTGTGTTTTATGTTCCAACCCAAGCTTTGAAGATAGAGGTCAAAGAGGAGCTGAGTGCGATGAATCATGTAGATCCTGCGAGTGCGGACTCAACAGCCCAAAACCGTTGGTGAATGTTCCTTCAATGTTTTCAGCATGGCAGCTATGCAATTGTGTTTTCCTGGACGCTTACTCCGGAACGGTCTTTCTTGCGAGGTATAGCAAATCAACCCATCCTTTGACCTGGTACAACCTCCCGAAGTAAAAAGCGCACCCTGCATGAAGGCTGTAACCAACCGAGTGTAGCAAACAGGACTCGTTGCGAGTTCTTCAAAGGTGAGAATGACTTCAAAAAAATTGGGTTGTCTTTTGTCGATGTTTGTTCCGATATCCTGTTTGATGATTTGCCTAACAAGGCACCACGAAAGGCACACCAATCATATAACACCATCCTTCATTTTCGTTCAAGTGTTCCTCTATCACACATAGTCATCATGAGCGAATCTATCGAATTGATTGAAGGCGATCATATTCTCGAGCCTGTCGAAGAGGCGGTCGCAATGTACGAGGATCTTCTCACGGATCTTCGCAAGTTTCTGGTAACTATCTCACACTCTTTCGTCACTCTTCATCTCTTCCAAGCGTACGCGCTCCTTCGCTATTCATCAAAATGCATGATGCCTTTTGAACACAAGCTTCTGGCCTCCGAGAGTCGCAAGCCCTACCAGCACTGTCTGGACTCGGTCCTCCAATCGAATACAACTCTGTATTCTGATGTTGATATCATCAGCTGAGGATGGTGTAGGAGACGATCAACGATCCCAGGCACTTACTAATACCTGAGTATAGGAGGAGCACGAGCCTCAGTCAGAGGCCTCCAACACAATGAACCTCCCCGCGGTCACCGTTGGTGACAGCACGCAAGTAGGTATTGTCAGGTACTGTTGACAGGAGACACGCTGACATATATCCCAGAACATCTTAGATGGACCTGGTGGTCGCCCCTTCATCAAGCTCGCCAGCAGACCCGGTCCTGACTCCCTCGATGCCTTCAACCTCATCATGGCCAAGATTACCGCACAAAGCATCAGCACCTCCAATGCCATGCTCCCCCACACAATCTTCAAGATCTCCAAGCATCCAGAAACCCGTGCCACCAACCCCGACACGATGAAGAATGCCACCACAGCTGAGCTCTTCGACACCATCTGTCCTCGTCTGGAAGTCGGCAACCAATTCCACACTGCCTTCAAGAGAGTGGGAAGAACTACTTTGTACGGTTTGAAGCATCTGGAGGCATTGAACGAGGAGTGGCAGAAGCTTTGGCTGGAGGGTTGGAAGGACTTTGAGCCCATGACTATCTGGCTTACCACTAAGCATATCAAGATGGGTCTGCAAAATTTGGATGGCACTATGAAGAACAGTCTTCGTCTGATCCATGCCTACCAAGCTTCTGTTGGTTGGTAGAATGCCTCTTTCTGTCTCGAGGAAGATGGTACAGAAGGAATGATGGTGATGATCACCGTTTTCGTGGATCTTTGGGGGAAAGCGCTCAACACCCAGGCTTTGCTTTTTTAGAACAGCAAGATGAGTGGTTCTGGAAAGCTACAATACAAATTCAGAAGTCAGTTCTTTGCCTTCCATGCTGCATACTCTTGCCCTAGAAAGCCTCGGGTACTCTCCTTGGAATCTTATTTCTTTCCTTTGCGTATCCTTCGTTGTATGTAACCTACTTGTCAGACGGTCAAAGACCATGCGAGAGAGCTGATTGCATCACTGCTTGCACATGCAACACTGTTTGTAACGTGGCAAGTCATGTGCATTGTAAAACGCTTGCTGTTGTTCTCTGCTAGCCATCATGCATGTCAGCAGAAAAAATTATAAAGCGGTCTCCTTTGACTGTGATTGCTACACCAACCTTTCTCTTCCAACAAACCCAAACCATCACAAAACCCCAACCCTCAACAAGACATGGCCGAACAACAAACACGGCCCGCGTCTCCCACCCCCATCTTCGGCAGCCCAGTCCTCAATCTAGTCGAAAGAATAGAAGAACACGCCTACTACTTCCTCAAAGAACTAGACTTCTGGCTAGACAGAACACAACATCCTTCAGCCCTCGAATATCAAGATGTCTCGAGTTTACATCCTGCCTCCCTCGAGCAAGAGATACAGAATGCTGCATATGTGCTCTCCATTGAGATCGAGCTGCAAGAAGAGATTGCTAGGATGAGAGCGTCGGCTTATGCACAGTTGGACAGGATTGCGAGTGCGGAAAAGGTGTGCCGGGATTTTCTTGAGGTCATTGGGGGGGGAGGAAGTAGAGATGCTGGCACGGTTGAGTTGTTTGAGACGGCTTTAGAAGTGCTGGAGGATTTCCGAGAGGCAATACTGGACAGACTCAGAGCGGCTGGTATGGAATGAGCAGCTCCAAGCGAAGATGCTAGATTGATATTGGGGATTCAAGAATGTTGGCGATTGTGTGTTGGAGAATGGACGGCTTGGATGGAGGATCTCAGCCGAACGAAAATGTTCGTTGTGTTCTGAGAACAGTCTCAATGTGACGACTGCATTTATTGATCAAGCACGGTCCATAACGAAAGACAATTACATCTAAACGCTTGCTGCCAAAGTACCACGAGTGCTCTATCGTTTTCCCTCCCTGCGCCGCTGATCTAAGACCGTCGCGATGCAAGAAGAATTTGGAGTCTCGGAAAAGTTCAAAAAGGGCGGCGACCAAGGTGAGATTCGTTATCTCAGATTAAACTTTGTATCTCAATAGTTGGTCAGGATGTAATCTGCAGTTTACTCAGAGTTCTTTGTAGTATTTATTCTTGGTGCACCTTAACACCTTTGTTCTCTTAACAATTGATTCAAGACATTTTCGAAATGCCCGAGACATGTCTAATATCTCGAATTGGCTCTTGTTCACCTTGGTTCAGACTATGAACTTCGTGATCCTATCCAGACTTATTTTGCTTCGACGATGGATAGTGAAAAAACAGAGACATGGCTGGAACAATCGTAAAGTCAACCATCCAACACATTTCAGGCTTATGTGTTCCAGGCGGGGATCCTCCCATCTTTTCTCTCATTCTATATCCACCTCAGCTGAGACATACAAGACGCGTGGCTTCTTGCACGCATATAACACCTCTCATTGTAATTTTCTTTCGCCAACCATCAATTCTCTTCTGTTAGCCGTCAAAGCACTCAATCAATGCCACATTCAACCTCAGAACAGAGCCTGGTCATGCACAACTCCCGCACTGCAAGCTACCTCATGAATCGTCGAACCCTCAGATGCTCGTATCCCGGCTGCGGATACAGAGCTTCCTGTCATTCGAACCTCAATCATCACCAGCTCACGCATTCTGGCGAAAGAAGATATACCTGTCGTCTGTGCGGACGTGCATGGTCACGCGCCTGGGGGCTGACACGCCATTATCGCGACGTCCATGGTCTTGACACCCGTAATGCCTCTTCTCATTGTGTAAATGTACCTCTTGCTACTAGACCAGAAGAGGTTGCTGAGACTGAGGTATGTCAAATTACATCAGATGGCAACTTTCCGTTGACAAAATTGTAGCCCGTAATCGTCCCTGGAATCACTCCCAATGGTATTCCTGGTGCAAGTCTCCGTCCGCTACCTCGACCGCTGCCACCTTCATCGCCACCACCGTTCACGGATATCAGTCCACTGGGCATACTCGGTTCAATCATGTGGCACACCAGGGCAGAACGTCCTAGATCATCTGTCGAGTCTTACCGATCGCTGAACGAGTTAGTCACCGCCAGACTCAACAGGTTCCTTATCGAAGAAGACGAATACCCCAAACGATACAACATCTGGCAACAACACAACCTCGAAGTCGACACTCTCAAAGATGCCATGCTAGACGACACAGTCGCGGCTGAATGCCAGAGAAAGCTCCCAGCAGCCCTCAAATTGGAAGCAGAATCTCGCAGAAAGTTTGTTGATTCGGCAAGAGCTTGTTTTCACTTCATCAAAGAGTTGGAGTACAGTCAGAACAGGAGTTTTGAGCTGGATGAAGGAAGTTTGGAGGGCATGCGTATGAATAAAGAGCTTGTTCAGAACTTGTGGTCTTCTTTTGCGGAGGCTACTTCTACTCCTTCTTGGCTGCTGTCGATGTATCAGCATATATGAATCTGGAAGCGAGAAAAGTTTGGGCGGTCGTTCGAGGGCTAGCTTTTAGGTGGTTTGGATTTTGCTGGGTTCTTGGAGTTCTTTCTTTTGGGTCAACGATATCTGAATTTCTTTTCTTGCTCCTCTCGCTTCCATGGCTGCATTTGTGCTTTGTAATCAAATCCTTTGCTATGCCATGTATACCGTGATGATGTTTGCACCACCAGCAGTCCAACAAAGAAAGCCCTGTGCGGTACCACATCATACGAACGTTGCCTTGAATACTGGCAGGTTCCAATACCCCTAGCGAGGTTACATGAGCCCTGCAAACTCCTATATGACCATCTTGACGTTTCTGCAGCCGATATGGAGAAGCACAAGGTTAGTGATGATAGTCTCGCTGACATACACCAGCAGGTTGACATAACACTCTAGCTTGTCAACCAGCAGGACGAATCAGATGAATTTGTGAAATGACCATCAAGGAGAAAACCGCGGCTATCAAGAAGCTAAGTCATACACAAGTTTTACCTTTAAAACAAGACCCAATGAACTGACAGCGCAACTACAGGAGCTTGAATACTTTCGCTCCAACGAGACGTTCGAGAACGAAGTCAAGACACTCGAACTAGGTCTTAAACTCAGTCCAGCAATTTGATGATCTACAACAAATCGGAGATGAGAGGTCGTGGAAGGCCTGAAGGGAGGACAGTTACTCGAGCCGCCGAAACTTGGTCATATGATCGCTAGTCTCGATGACAAATTTGCAACTCGAGACTTCCGCCATGCCGATGAACCCGATGGCCATAAGACCTACATCCTGATTGTCTGCCTGAACAAATACCATGCCTCGAGTGGCGACAGTTGAGATGTAGGGCTGTAAGTTGTTTAACCTTGGAGCAGATACTCAGAGAAGTAAGTTCTTGCAACAACTCGCGTGCTAACCACTTTCTACGAGAAAGGAGCATGCCAACGGCGGTACGACAGGGCACTCAAGAAGGCTTGATAAACGCTTCACGTAACAAATTTGACAGCGCGAGGATTCCTATGTAACATGTCAGTAAGCGAGTGAGGTTAATCTTTGAGCTGAAGGTGTCATGGAGCTTGACGTTCGAGGCATACTGCAAGGGTATCGACTCGCAAGCATTAACGATGACTTGATCAGAAGAGGTGATCTGTTGGAGACTTTGAGAATCAGTGTGGTCTCCAGGAAAGATTCTCATTCTGCTTTCTGCTTTCTGCAAAGCTGATAGGTAGGTCGTCCAGGAAGTGAGTTTGTAGCCAAGACTTATTCAAAACCTTTGGGGAGTCTTTATATTCCACCGTGATTGAGAACTTCTCATCGAGACAGCGGACTAGTCGGACTCCTCCATTGGGGACCCTGCTACGGCGGTGGTAAATCCTATAGTGTGGGGGTTGGGCTACCCTGTTCTCTAAACTAGACATCACTACGAGTTACTTTTTGGCAGGTCTGGAATTCGATTCCCCCCTCAACCCTCGATTAATGTTTTGCATTTACTCTTTGACCAACCTCAACAGCAGAAGAAGCAGATGAGCTGTTATGTTCCTACGCCGAGCGTGTGTAAGGGTAGCAGGCCAGCTTCTGATTGTATACTGCGATTTGGCTCTCTCCCAAGACTTCCTCGCGGTGTGATCGTCTCTTTTCGTTCTTGATTCTACGCCAGTTCAACTGAGCCAGACCACAGATACGTGTAAGATGCCATGCATTACCTTTGCCAGCTCAAGTATCGACACGCGGTGTATTTCTTGCTTCAAAACCAGAAGTCGGAAGGACAATGTGTGATGCAGCTTACATCTGCTTTTCTCACTCTCTCACTCCTGGCCGTAGTTTACTGATGGAAACTTTACGATAGTCATTGTTGAGCTATGTCCTTCGTTGAGCTATGAAAAGAACAAAGAAAGGAACAAACAATGAATTCGGCAGGTGATGTCGTCTCTGTCGATTAGTCAGCATGCCAAGAGTATCTGCTTCATCCCTCCTTCCCCATCTCTAACTATGTTCTTTCTGACCTCCCAATGCCATCATCTGCACGTGTATGTGCCGTAACACCTTCTCTCTATCTCTCTGAATTACTAACACATATGCGTGCACTCAATCGATCTCCCTTAATTCGACTCTGAAGTCGGTCTGTTGTCCTTTCATTATGGCGGTGGTGGCTTGTGCGTCCGAAGCTGTGCCCGTGCCGCGACTCATTTTAATTGATATTTCCGGCTGGATCACTGCAAGATAATATATGCCATTTCTCCCATCAATTCAACCTTCTCCATCACACAAACACACAAACACACACACAAAGGCCAGAGGACTCAACCATGGCCCCGCCGTTCGCTGACTCACCTTGCTTCGATAACAGCGGCTGTGGTCCACTCGCTGTGCCTGGGTTCGGTTTTCCCCTTGAGCAAGAATTACATCCAGAGGATCGATTCACTCATGGCGAACGCGAGTGGTTTCAGCAGCCAAATATCACAGCCCGGGAGCTTGCCATGCTTTGCTTAATAAACAACATCACCGACAGACCTACATGGTCGACGGATGTCTTCAACGATACAGCTACCTCCCATTTGTGCCAAGAAGCACTGCGTAGCCGTCTCATCAGCCCCAAAACATGGGACTGGTGTCTTTCAGAACTGCAAGATAAGGCTCGTATCTTCCAAAGTAGCGGTCGCATTTTGGTCTACAACACTGGAGTCGCCGTCTGCAAGTCAGACGTCGTGCTGGATAAGGAGGTACAAACCGACGTCAAACATGAACTCTCAGTCATCGAGTCATCATCTCACTCTGATACCACCGCCATTGAATCCTTGTCTGATACTTCCCGGCAAACACGCCGACTCGTTGATCCTCTCCTTTACCCCCTCATATACGGCAAGTCGAGAGTCTCGAGTGAAGGGAATACAGTACCCCTCAAAAACATGTTCAAGCACACAGGCAAATGCAGTATTGCTCCAGAGGTCCCAGTTCTAGGACGTCGGTTCCGCCATGGTACCAATTACCTAGGCCGTTCTACACGGGATGAGCAACTCCAAACAGGTTCGTCATGGTCGACAAGTTTTCAGCGACTGCCCTGCGAGATGGACTTTAAAGAGGGCCACAGCACAGATGTTCGCATCACCTCATACATCAATGGCCTGCATCCTCGGCATCAAAGTCTTTACCATGCTATCGAGAAGCTTGTTTCGGCTTCTACCGAGCCTTGGAATGACGTCTTGATCAAGCAAAGTCGTGGGCACTTTCCGACCCGCATCAAGACTTATGGTGTCTCATATGAGCCTCCACCACCTGACTTCGACCACTTTACCGAAGCAGGAAAGCATCCTGGAAATGAATCTTACTATGCTGCGATTGAGGAAGCCACAGCATACTGTGCCCAGCCTGACGAATACCCATCGGTCGATGAGTCTGGAAAGGTATCTCTCTTTGTATTCAAAATGCCTGATGATCTGGATGCCTGGTGTAGATCTGGGGAAGACTTAGGCTGGCTGATGCGGCATAAATTCTCTTGGCTTACTCACATTGTGCATCCTGAGCCGGGTACTGCGTACACTTACCAGCAGTGGAAAGCCGGACAAGCTGAAGAAGCCATCATAGAAAGAATACCCAGTCTCTATGAACCAGACGTGGAGGAGCCAACAGTGCGCATTCCCTTTCAGGAATATAGAGCTGCTCTCCAAGAGTCTTTCTGGCAAAAGGGATTGCAAGTCGTAGTCAAGATAGAGAGGATCGAACTAAATCCTGGCGAACCCAGGTTTTCGGGCAGCGACTGGCACGTCGAAGGCTTACATAATGAGCATATTGTCGCCAACTCTGTGTACATTCTCGAGGAGGAGAACACATCGGAGCCTCGCATCGACTTCCGCCAAGAAACAAGAATGGACCTGGATGAATTCGAACACGACGAAGATGACCTCGAAGCTTTTCTGCAAGTCTTTGACGTACCTTACAGACAACAGATACTTGGAGGATCTTGTGATCCGCCGCCTTCGTTGCAAAGACTAGGATCTGTTGGTCTTCCCGTAGGTCGACTAGTCGCTTGGCCGAACGTACTTCATCATCGCATTACACCATTCGAGCTCCTCGACAAGACCAGACCTGGTCGTCGAAGTTTTCTAACCATATTCCTTGTGGATCCCAACTATCGCATCTGCTCGACCAGGAACGTTCCTCCTCAAAGGCATGACTGGTGGGCAGAGGAAGCTCTATCTGTAGTCCTGCCACCAAAGGTCTCTGTGCCGCAAGAGCTTGTCGATCACATCAATTCGTATACCGACAACTGGCCGATGGGCTTGGAAGAAGCAACAAGAATCAGGGAACAGATGGCAAAAGAACAAAAGTATCATGAACAGAACATAATGAATCACCCCTCTGGATTCTATGACTTTAACGTAGACGACTGCAACTTGGGGGATTTTCCTGATTTACCTTCCATGGATCTTGGAAGTTCATAGTGGAACTCATGATATCAATTAATGCTGACGGAGGGTCCTCGACGATACTCGCAACGGGAAGTGCGGCATAACCAGCCTCGCCAATCAACTCGATGATTCGGACAAGAGCAGTCACTGTATCGGCTAGCTCTGCCAATTTACCAACCAATGGCTTCACTCCCTCCCTCACCATCTCTATCTCTGGTCTTTCCGACCTCCCATTGCTATGATCTGATGTACGTTTATGTGTGCAGATGGACCATGTTTTTCACATCTGAATTTGTGTCAAGTGAGCGCAACGTCGTTAGCTGACTTCTGAGGCCTGCTGGGGCTGAGCAGCCTGCAATTGCGCCTCCAATCGAGCTTGTGCCTTGCGAGATTGCATCTGAGCCTCCACCTGACGGCGCACTTCTTCCTGCGCCTGGACTTGCATCTGTGCCTGCTGATGGAGCTGTCTCTCGACGGTCGAATGCTCAAAGACTAGGCGATGCAACTCGTCTAGCGCCTCGACGCGTTGTGCGCGATACTGATGTTGCGCCCAGGTCTTTTGGAGCGTATCGCGCTGATGAGCCAGGTCTATCACACGAACGTTCAACTCGGGATGTCTCTGTGCATGCATTCGGACCTTTTCTTCGGCATCTCGCTGAGCCTGGGCTGCCTGCTGCTGACGTTGCTGCTCAAACATTATACCTCCCTGCAAATCACTCTGGGTTTTGAGCTGCTGCCAGGCTGCGTTTACAGCATACTGTCTGGCTGTGGGGATGCTATATGGCTAAGTCAGTCGATACAGAGGTGCCTAGGACGTATGAGATCTAAGATCTTACTGATTGGCAGCCAGGTAATTTCCAAAGTATGTTTTCTGCTCCGGTGTGAAGGTGCTGCACTGATGTGTCAGATTCAATAATCGCCCATGGTTTACTGAGGGTCCTACCGATCCATAGGAAAGTCCGGGAAGCGCTGGCGAAATAGAACCATCACTGCATCCGACTCGTCAGGGGTTGCATCGAGGGCGGAGTCGAAATTCGGAGCCCTATGCATGCGCATCAGTATCGTTCTATGTGAGGACCTGGGTTGGAATTACAACAGTACGTACAGGTCTTCATTCTCACGCACGATGGCGTTGTTGATGGATTGGTTGGAACCGGCTCTGCTAGACACGTCGAGATTAATTGACTTGATTCGGCTTGGGGTACACACAGGCATCTTACTTGTCACCATCGTCCGGTCAGTGTGGTCAGTGATTGATAGTAAATGATAATATCATGATAATTTATCATGATACTGATTGATAATGTATTTTCGACGAGTTGAGTGATTGATAGAAGAGGCCGTAATAATCATTTATTCTCATGATAATCATTTGGACAGGGTCACCCCCACAGCATGGGCAGCAGGCTAGGGTCACCCCAGAAGAATCAGATAAGATGCGGAGATCTTACATAGCAATCTCGCTAATTAGATAAGATGCGGAGATCCTCCACAACAATTTCGCTATACCGCGAAATTTATAGCTTCAAAACCTAGTAGTTTCGCGCCGATGTATTAACGAACATTTATACTTGACATAGGTCAGTTTCTTATACGTTTAGAACACTTACCTTTTGTCCTTAGTATAACACCTTGTCGTCGCCTCTACTTGGCGATATATCATGATAATAACTGATTATCACGATAATGATTGATTAATACTCCCACTCCTGGTGATTGATTGATAATGTGACCATTATTAATCATTATCAATTACTGACCACACTGCGTCCGGTCTCTTCGCAGCCATCTCTTATACTTGCTGGCAGTTCGGAACACGTTAAAGTAAGACAAGTCTGCGTTAAGTGTGCAACAAGACCAGAACGACGGCAGATTCGACCTTTCGTCTACGGTAACGCGGTGCAGCACGGAACGATTTTTTCACACCAGTTCCCGGACAGTCTCGGAATGTCACGGACCTATTTGGTTCTTGGCTACTCCGTGGAATCATATTTCGTTGTAGCCGTTTATTCTAACCCACTGTCCCATTATCTCTCTAGGTTGATACTTTGTTCGACACTACTTATTGCAACATTTTGTCCTTCTGAACATGGTTTTCGACATCAGCATCTAGTAGAACATGCGAGCTGCCACTGGGACCAGGTTTCTCTTGCCTTACTGAAAAATGCAAGGTTTCCTCATGTGCATAAAAGCCGGGACATCGCAAGATTTCTAGTTCCTGTGGTTCACTCAAAGGCGTTACCTCTCAAAGGTAAATCAACGCTCTCCTGACTAAGAGAGGTTGAGTGATATTCGGTTTCAGTGACGCTTCGAACATGCCTCTTTCATGGCCCGCTTCTCCTACATCGGCTTTCGGTCTCTCTCGTTTCAATTTCACTCTCACATCCATGTTCTCCGCACAAAGCCTTTTCTTCGGCCCTTTCGCAACATTCTCTTTCAGCAACTTTGCCCGCTTTAACTTGATCAACTGCTTTGTTAGGCTTGAGGCTGTCATCATCTACCGCTTTCGACATGGTCCGAAGATCGTCAAGCGTAGATTCCAACTGGTGCTATGTTGCAGAACCAGGAGCCGGCAGGCCCACGAGCGCGCTGACCAAAGTAAGCCATCAGGCCTCCCCACAAAGACTCGTGCTAATTCGACCGCTTCAAGGCACCATCCTCCGAAGGTGAGAGTGATCCGGCGTTGCAGCCGTTGATCAAGAGATCCAAGAGCTTGAAAGGAATCTTCAAGCAAGTCTCATGTAGATACGGGTCTTTGAAGAGTGACCTTCGTCGTGCCGGAAGTTACTTTGACAATGCTTACAGGAACCGCGACAATCGTGCCAGTCAAGTCCTCGCCAACGAAGAGATTGGAAGCATTTCTCGCGATACGATAGGCAAGGCTCGAGAGGAGCTTAACGCTGGCAAGTACCGGAAGCAAGAGTTCTTCGGATCGTTCATCATGCATTACAGGTCTTTGTCTGAGACGCTCCATGGCCTCTTGGATGAAAACAACGCTCTTGTTGAGGATATCGAACGCCTCAAGCCTGACGTCGACGAAGACGAACGTGTTGTGCGCATTGATGATCTACTTCACAGCCAGAGGAACCTCGACTTCTTGATCAACGAATTAGATGCTGAGATCTCGGCTATCCTTTCCTGGAAGTTGGAACCAAGACGTTGAGCCGGTGATCTCACTGTGCGTTCTTCTGCTACAGTTGGCTTGATTTTCTCAATCAGGACTGACCGTCTTCACTCCCACTTCCAGCCCAATCCCTTTCTCGGCTTTCACTTCAATCTCGGCTCTCTGCATTGACACCAACATCTTCCTCTTCTGTCTCACCTCCGACTCAACATCCCCTCTACACACAACTCGGATTCCAACATGTCGACTACCTCAGGTGGTCCGCTCATGACAAGATCACCTAGACAAGAAAATGCCGAGTACGAAGCTGAACTCTCTCTCGCCGTTTCTGACTCGAACCAAGAAGTATGTCCTGCCGTTCAACCGCATGGTAGAGAGCTAATTTGTGTCAGACATCCACTGAACACGCCGGCGACCCTACTGAGCCCAAGATTACCAAACCTACAAGCTTCATTGACCAGGGCTCACTCAGAACTGAGCTTTCTCGCCAATACCATCGAACCTCAATGGAGCTTGACTTGATTCAAGCCAGGAATATAGCCATGGAGCGTAACTTGAGCTTCCACGATAGCAGGGCTACCTTCCTCGAAACGTATCGCGGACACCATGGAAATGGGAGATCGAGGGTCATTATAAACGCACAAAGCAGCGATGACCTAGGACACACTCGGCTGCTCATGCATTTCTCAGAAATCACGAGAACACTTGGTATCTCTGCCATGTCAGGCCTGAAAACATCTTTCAACGAGCTAGAGGCACTTGAGAAGGAAGTGGGTGGATGGATCAGGAAGTTCAAAGCGGCAGAGTTCGAGCCGGTCCTTACTCCAGAAGAGGTCGAACATCTGCGTGGACTTGAACACTTTCTGCATCTGACGAGTTCCGCAGTCTGCTCAGCGATGCTGACCAGATCTTGAAAAGTGTTTCCCAATTGGTTTCAGCAGACACATACACTAAGGCAAAGTCCGCAGTTGTCGGGTTGAAGGAGCAGGCTTCTCGCTTCGAAAGCGACATCAAGGAACTTCTCAAAGTTGTTTCCATGGACGCCGGGCAAGCTTTGAGACGACTCAATGAAGTCTCCCCTCGCCGATGAGTATACTCGGACTGTACCAGCACCAAACTCCCTCTCTTCCCTCCGTATCTACTCTGGCGACCTCTCGAGCCACATACAACACAGTGCAGCCCTTTCCCTTCCCAATCATTTCACATCACGAGCTTCCTCTACTGCACTCTCCAAAGCTCAAGATAGCAACTCTTCAATCAAACACTCTCATTCCCGTCTTTGCGTTTTTTAAGATGACACCTTCCCATTGTGCTGTTATCATCTTGTCATTCCTCAAGCGATTGAACTCCGCCATGCCGTACCGCCTGCCTGTTTTCATGTGTCAGACCATGCCTCTGCAACACCACCGGGTCACACCGTACGTCGGACACGTCATACATTATGTCTCTTTCGCTTCCTCGCTGAATCTCGCCAGGTCTTCTCCCTTCCTCTCTCAATCCCGCCGGAACCTCACACCCAAGCTCTCATTAAAAACGATAGATTTCATCGCCACATACCTACCAGTCTTGTCCACGCTCCACATATCTTTTGTCCAACTTACATAAAAAACACAGCCAATGATCCAAAAACCTGACTTCAAGAGTACAGAAGATCGTTCCAACCAATCCTCCTCCTCCTCCTCCTCTATAACTACTTCTATACCTCACTCATCAGATCTCACAATACCTCAAATCTCAAATCTGCAATATCTCAAATCCAACACTCCTTCCCAAATTACCATTCCCCTCCCCCTTCTCCAACAGCCAAAGCCAAAGCCAAAGACAAAACCAAAGACAATTCTACACAGTTATACTCTTACAAAAAATCCATTGCATGAACCAACCATCTCTAATATGACTTTTAACCCCATCCATTCTAAACCCCATGCTTTTTTTACATTGAATCTACCACAAACAACAACAACAACAAAGCTATAAAAGCAAAAATTGGAAAGGAAAAAAAAAACATAGGATTGAACTTGTGGAAAAACCCAAGGGCGAAATGACAATTACTACATCGACATCATACACACCATGATTTCCTATCAGTTTCCTGTTAGAGATACAAAAGTAGATGATTACGAAGACAAGTTAAAAAAGAAAAGAAAAAAAAGACCAATGCTGCCCTGATGATGATGATGATGATGAATGCCTACTTAAGCCTCTCACTTCTTACCTATTACCTCTTCGAGTACAGGAAATTCTCGAAAAATTCCGGTGTTTCCCGTTTTGACATCCACATCCACATTCACGTTGATATCAAGGTTGCAAAACTATCGGGTGGGGCTTGGCTGGTAGTCGCTTGAATTTTTGTACTCGATAGGTCGCTAGGTTTTTGCAGAGAACAAAGATCTATTGGGCTTTCTGTTTTACACAAAAGGCACTGATAGCACTAGTGTCAATGATGTTTGCTGACGACGATGTTGCAGGTCAAGGTGTTTGGTAAAGGATCAGTGTCAACTGGCGAAAGAGGTCGCAAATGGCAGTCAAGAGTCAATTGCGTGACTTGGTATCCGCTCCATCATATCGCACCTGCCAATCACGTCAGGAAAGAACCAAATTCACAAGAGACCGCCACAGATGATGAATGATCGATAGGAACAATGATGTTATTACAAGTACCACTTCTATAGCGAGTACAAACATATCTAGTCATTAAGGAGAGAAAACCAGTATCGCCTGGATATTTTGTAGAAAAGTCATGAATGAAAGTCAAGGTGACGGATGACAATAGATGGTGAAAACTTTTGCGCACGTGATGGGCCAAAATACTGTCGTAGAAAGGGTGTCATCCTCACCAGGAGGGTTGGAAGAAGTCGTAAAGTCTTACATCAACGCGTAAGGGTGGTGCTGTTGATAGACTGGGTGAAAATCATCTTCCTTCGAGCTTTTTAGCAAGAGGTGATGAAGACACCGATAGGAGAGGGGTTCCAGTCCTGGAAATAGGTGCTGGGCTTGTGTTAGCAATGGATAATCATAATAGGGAACAAGTCAAACTTACAGGCCGAGCGAGCCGGTGACGCTGGCTTCGATGGAAACGGTGCTGCCAGCCTGGCAAGAGCCAGTTGAGACGAGATAGCTGTTTCCAGGGGTGACATTGTCGACAGAGCCGAGAGTGCTCTTGACGGCGGGGCAGGTGGCGTAGGTAACGCTCAAGGGAGCAGCAGAGGTGAGCTGGTCGAACTTGATGCCACCGGAACCGGTCATTGTGAAGTCAGAGGTCTCGAGGTCAGACTTCTTGGGGAAGAGGAAGACAACGCTGCACTGCTTGCCAGAGTAGCTCTGAGGAATATCAAAGTTGAAGATGGTGCTGTTGCTAGTGCTCAGATAGGCGTTGTACTGAGTTCCGTAAGAAGTGCTGGGCTGGTCCTTGTTGACGGGGATGATGGCGTGAGGAGTCTGGTAAGCACCACCACCGAGGGTAGTCTGGCAAGCCTTGCCGTTCCCGTTGCCACCAGAGGTGCCGCTAGGAGCGGGAGCAGAGGATGCGGGTTTGGAGCCAGCGGGTTGAGAACCGGCGGGCTGAGAGCTTGCGGGCTGCGAAGCAGGAGGCTGAGAAGCAGCAGAAGACTTGGCGGGTTGCGAGGCAGGAGCAGTAGCGGAGGGAGCGACGGGGACAGAGCTAGACTTGACGACGACGCTTCCAGCGGGACAGTTAGTCACATCAGCTCCACAGCTGGTGATGGTCTGGTAGTAAGTCGAGTAGACGGTCTGAGTCTGGGGTCCAGCAGGAGGCTGAGAGGCAGGGGGTTGCGAAGCGGGAGGTTGAGAACCACCACCGGTAGAACTTGCGAGGCAAGAAGAAGGCTGAGCGGTGAAAGAGACAGTCTGTCCGTTCACGACGTAGCTGGTAGGGTAGGTCGAGGGAGTGACGGTGATGAAAGTGCCGGGGCCGTTAGGGCAGCTGCTTCTGGCAGGGTTGCAACCATCAAAAAGTCTGGAATCATGTTAGCAGGGATCAAGCGTTCAATTGGAGACATGACGTACTGGGTAGCGCAGGGAGTGCCCTGGCTTGCGGGTCCAGTTGCGGGCTGGGTAGCAGGAGGTGCAGAGCTGGCGGGAGGTGCTGAAGAAGCAGGAGGTGCAGAGGAAGCAGGAGGTGCGGAAGAGGCAGGCTTGGAAGCGGGAGGTGCGCTAGATACGGGCTGCGAAGCAGGAGGAGCCGAAGAAGCAGGAGCAGAAGAGCTGCCAGAACCGCCATTGCCGTTGCACTTGCCGCCAGTGTTAAGAGTGACCTGAACACATCCAGTCTGGTCACCAGTGGTGGTGGTGTAGATGTTGTAGCCACCGTTGTCGCCAGTAGCACAAGCGTAGAACTGAGTGTTGCCGTTGTAGGTCAAGTCACCGTTCGAGTTGACTGTGAAGCCAGTGGTAGGTGATGCACCAACATCGCACTGGAACTGGGTGGTGGGAGGAGTAAGGATACAGCCACGGCCATTTCCATCGGTCAGACCACCGTTGTTGAGGCAGTAAGTACCTTGCTGCTTGTCGAGGCCTCCAGTCTGGCCAATTCTGTTCTGACCGTCACCGAGCTGGCCAACGGTACCAGTCTTACCACCAGCAGCAGTCAAAGAGAAGCAGCATTGGTCGCGAGGGATGAGGGCAGCAGAGGCGCCGAGGGCAAAGCCCAATGTTGTGTATACGTTCTTCATCTTCTGTGTCGAGTGAACGGGAGAGTTGTCGATGTAGAAAACCAAGTTGGAGGGAGAAAGGCAGACTTCTTAAATCTGAAGCTTGGAAGGGACTTCTCGGCAAAGGCAAGGATCTTTGCTTCCTCCTCGTGTTTGGAAGCTGAAGCCATCTGCGATCAACACTCAACAAGTGTGTAGTGTTGCCGGGAAGAAAGGCACATGGTTCAGCCTATGATGCTAAGCAAGAGTCAAGCACGGTGGCTTGGATTAAGCAGACGGGTCCGGGGGAAAGCTTCTGTCAAACCGCGGGAACATCCTAGCCGATTGGGGTAGCTGGATGCAACAAGAGTTTTTTCCTTAACCGGCCCAAGGTCAACTGAGGGGAAATGCAGAATATGCTTTCCACATAGCAGGTACAGAGTGACCTAAAAGCCCACATTGTCCACTTCTTTCTGTCCAACAATTGTTCCCAAACTCTTTCGATTTGTTTTTGCAGAAGAGCCTGGCTGAGACTGCATCAACGGGAGTACTGGCAGTGTATTGGAGATCTTCAGGCACCCGAGGACGACTCGCCCAACAGAAGTCGATGTCGATTGAAGTTGAAGGTGATCGGCGGGACGGCCATACGTGTACCTGACGCTCATCCAGGCACAAGCAGACGTCAGCGAATCGGATGCTCGGAGCATCGAAATAGAAACGACCGAACGTGGAGAAAGCTGTTGGAAAATCTGGGGCTAGATTTGTGGACCGGAGTCGTAGGCGTAAATCTAAGAACTGCCTTTGAGGGAATTTTGGTGTTTTGCTGTGCGTTTTGGTGAAGACTGATGACGGGAAGGTGATTTTGTGGAATCCAAATCATGCCGAGTTGGCTTGTTGGCTGTGATGATTGGATCGGGGAGGTAGGATTGACTCTGCTGGAGCAACCTTGACTGAGGCATCAGGCCACTGACGAGACGAATCCCAGGTGTACATGTGAGCACGACTGACCTCATACAGAGCGATGGATTCGAGTCAAAAGAAAAATCCTTCGCATCGAACAAAGGCCGACCCGTCTGTCTGGTGTGGAACTTCCTGGATTTCAGTGTGCCGTTTCTCCCATCGTAAAGTCTCGTTTGCGGAAAATCATTCAATTCGTCCACTCGGGTGGATTTCTGAAGCTTGCAACCCTAGCATTCGGTTCGACTTCCAGCATAAAAAGCGGAGAAGCCATGATGACACAAAAGAGCTTCGTCATGGCACATATCTGTTAAGTAAGAAGAATGAGGATCGTCTGTTTTGATGATTGATCTGTTTTGGCACATATGCAGCCCTTGGTCGAATCCAAACGGACCGCGGGACCGACGAAGGGAATCAAGACATGTCGCTGCTGAAGGACCAGTCATGTTGGAGACGGAAGGCCGTGGATGTTGAATTGTCTGCCGTCCCTTGAGATGCAAGCCCGTTGGTCTGATGAAGCAGCTGAGAAAGCGACGTCGTCGATACGAAAGGATGTCTGAGATGCGGAGGGGTCACCGCAGAGGCGAATCATGATGGCCGAATGGCAAGCGTGTTGAGAAACATGGATGAGAGTCGCGAGACAGATGATGCTTTGATTGACTCCAAAGCTGGAGATTGACATGCGAGGTAGGTACGATTGAATCTATTGTTACAGTTGTATGATGCGGCAGGTGTTTGTACATTTTTAGGCAGGGATCCGAGGACATCGCTTCCTTACGAGTTCAGCTGCGGAGGTTGGCAAGCTGTGAGATCATGATGAGCTTCAAATCACACATAGACTGGGACAGGACGTGTTCGCATACCTTGATGGACGGAGTGGACGCAGCAATTACTTTGCGTCCAGGAACTGTCTGACAGCCTTTGCAACCTGCGACTTCTCGACAGGCTTACCCTCGAAAGCACCTCCAGGGGCCAACAGCTTCTTGAGGACATCGCCCATGACAACCTTTGCGCCCTCGGCCTCGGCCTTGATGGTGTCAATGGTGCTCTGCACAACCTCCTTGATGTAGTCCTCGCTGACAGTCTCGACGCTGCCAGCATATTCGTCCAGCACCTTGATAGCCGCATCCTCCTTTTCACTCAAGTCTGCTCTGCCAGCAGCAGAAAACTCCTTGGCTGCGTGGGCGGCTGCGGATGAGCGCTTGCGCAACAGACCAAGGAGCTTCATGTCTGAGTCCAGAGGCTGAGGTGTCTTTGCGGCATTGGTGACTTCGGCCAGCAGACCGCGCAGTACATTGAGGCGGTTTGTGTCTTTGGCCTTCATGGCTGTCTTCAGGTCGCCGCGGAGCTTGAGGAGAAGCGGCGGCGCCGACGAGGGTGCGTCGGTCGCATAACGGTAACGGAAACAGAGCTGAGCGCTCCTTAGTGCCGGTCGGCTTCTTGCTGTGATTGACTGCATCTTGTGTGTAGCAGGAGAGAAATGCTTGATGCCGTCTTCTGCTGTCGCTGTTGGCGCTCTGAGCACGGGCCATGACACTCGTCAGATCTGCGACCCTGCCCATGTCCACCATCGCCATCATAAGCATTCATCATCCTGTGTAGCTTTTGCTGAATCACAACACATGCGACAGGACTGGTCGAGTATTATAAATTATGCTGCTTGCATGATTCCTATCAAGCAGGACGGTCGGGCTAAGCTGAAATCTTACAAGGTCTATCTGTTGGAATCACCCATGAACCATTTTGCTTGGATGGTGAGTCTATCACATGTCGCAACCTTGCTTTCACTGAGGCTAGAAACCTATGACAGTCATTGACATTAGGAATTACGAAGTTTGAATAGTTCAGAATCCAAGTCGTCGGGACACCTGTATTCCAATTACTGGTCAGCAGCCCAGCTAGCAACCCAAGCCAACGCACTTCCCCAGTTGATAGCCACCTCGTTGGTGCTATAACTATTCACATCATCCACATAACAGAGCTGTCCTACACAATTCTTCAAAACATCATTGGCAGGTGGGTCATCTGGACTCTCGTTTGCTCCACCGGCCATTGCTCCTTTGGGAGGCGAAGGCACAATTGGGTTCTGAGGGATCAGGCGAGAAAGCTCATTGGCGAAGAGACGAGAATGCATGTTGCTTGAAGTCTTGGTACCGTAGTCGTGAACGTAGGATTGCGAGAGAGCGTTGCGGCCGAAGATGTAGTCCATGCCTAACAAGGCTGAGGTGCGGTAGGTGGTGTTGCGAGAGATGTCGTATGCAGTTGCGACTACTTGGATGCAATTGAGTTGATTGCTGTTGCTGCCCCATGGGTAGGATGTAATGAAGACTCCAGTAGGCTGTGTTGTTTGAACTGCCATATACTGTTCAGCACCAGCCATTACAGACTCGATAATAGCATCTCTTCCAGTAACGTTGTTGGGGACAGCAGCGAGATCCAACTGTGCAAGTGTTTGCATGGATGACCATCCAAATCCACCTTGGGGAAACAGAGTTGACACATTAGCCGTGTGATAGTAGTTCGAGATGACATCGTTTTCGAACTCGGCCTCTGAAGTCGTGATGTACAGTTCTGCAGCTGCCCAGTAGAACTCGTCTCTCACATCGTCATCGCTGTAGGCACCGCCACCAAGGTCCCAATCTGTGCCTGGGGCATATATCGCAGGATTGGCTTTTGCAGCTGCATAACCAACGCGAGCGGCATCAAGACATCTCTGAGCAAAGGCAGAGTCGAACTTGGCCCAAATCTTGCGCTCATAGCTGCGGTAGCTACCATGTTCAGTGTTGCGGCTGTGGAGGGGCGGTGAAGCTCCCTGCGCTTAGAATCAACATTTGGTGGTGTCGGAAGTTGTGTCCATTGATTGTCGTGCATCTTGTGATGGACCATACCCGACATGTCTGATCACTTGTTAACAAAAGGTGCTGAAACCATTTGATGGACTTGACCTACCAATATATATACCGTTAAGGAGCTGCGGTGGAGAGTTCTGCGGAACTTGCATCTTGAGCATAAACTCCATCTCCCAGCGTGCTTCATCGAGGAAATCGGGATAGCCATTTGACCTTTCTGGGATTCTCAGAAATCCATCGCCAAGTAAGTTCGATGAATTGTTCGGGGCGTATAATGATCGTTCGTAGGCCATCAATATTTGGGCAGTAGATATGCCTCCGTTGACGACATACTTTCCCAGATCGCCAGCATCGTACCACCCTTGACTGACATCCAAAGTGTAATTGCATGTCCATGGCTCGAGGTAGGTGACATTTGACTCCCATTCATATTGACAAGGTGTCACGACATCACCCTACATTATGTCAGCTTGGTCCACAGAGCATGAATATCAATACTGACCTGGTTCGGGAATACATTGATATGACCAGCTGGACGAGCATATTGGTATCCCACGAGTTCAGCATCGATCGCAATACCACTTCGTTGCTGGTAAAAGAACTCCATTGAGTCCTGGCGGAGTGACGTATACAATGTGGAACTTATAGCGAAGGGGTAGCTGACTTCTCCGGCTACTTCCAAAGTATATCCAGAGCCTTGCTTGGTGTGGTTTGTAAAGTCGATTGTGTGGACGTTTCTGCCCGACCCTGTATCGTTTCCGAAAGGATGCGTCTGACCGGACATGACCAGAGTACCATGGCTGTTCAGCAGATTCCAGGACAGAGATGAGTCGCTCTGCGACATGACAGTGGCAATTTTCGGACCGTTTGGCAGATAGCCATGCTGATTGACCTTGATCGCGGGTCCTACATCTTGGTGGTATGGCAGGCGGTTGATGCGATGCAGACTTATATCGCCGAGACAGATCTCGTTTGTGAAGTTGCTTCCTCCGAGAAAGAATGTGAGTGTAGAGTTGTTCTCCTGGTTAGCAGGTGAGAAATGGAACGAGAATGGTTGTAGGGATGTTGTCAAGGGCACTTGTGTGGTGTTCAGATTGGGATCGACAGGAGCACCACCTGCAGATGGATCATAGCCATTAGTCTGAATCCATAGATTGGTGGCATGAGATGCTGAGGCAGTAAAGTTCAAGTAGTAGATATCATTTTTGACTTGGGTAAAGTTCTGCGTTGTCTCGATATAGCTCGCCTTCGGAGCAGTACCGGCAGGTACCACGACACAGAGCATTCCTTCGCGGATGAACCCAGGGGGTTCGACGGTCCATCCGGGAGTTCCGTCGGTGAAGCTTCCATTGTGGACAAGGTTTGGTGTTCCTAGGGCTTCGTTTTCCACTGGAGTCTGTCTTTTATCAAGCCTGCTGCACTGCGCAACGGCAGGCAGTAATATTACCAGCAAAAATATCGGATGGACCATGAGTGTCAGCACAAAAGTCGTGAGTTACTCAATGAATGTAGTTGAAAGCAAAAAGCGAGGCCATCTGGCTTCAAATACTTTTGCTCATACTTGGCCTACCTTTATTGCCGAGATGGCAGCTAATTTGCAAACCCCGCAGGCAGGGATCAGTGTCTACTGCATGATGCTCAGATGGTTCTTCATGACGAGGCACGGAGCAGATGATGCCAGGACGAGATGAGTTGTTGTGCGGGGAAAGAGTATAGGCAGGAAGCGGTTGTCTCCACGGCTAAATGATGGATGTGTCGTCGTTCTTGCTTGTGGACAGTCTTTTCGTCTTCAAGATCCACGGGTTGCGCCAAAATGATATTTCATGGATGCAAAAGATGGAAACAAAACGTACAGCAGCAGGGATTCCCACGTGGTCACCCACCGTAGTACTAATCTGCCGTTCAACTGCTTATGTATGGCAGAGCGGACGGGATGCCCAGTTTTCAGCTGACTGTGGCCGTACGTGACAGAAACATGAGATTGAGGCAACATGCTTCTGCGTTTGCAAGCGTGAGTAGAGTACGGTCTCAGTGTCGACAAGCGCAGGGTGAGTGACATGCAGACAAGTAGCTGGCGACGATTGGGTCGAGGGATGTTCCGCAGACCAGGAAACAAGGCACAAGACCTCTGCATGGTGTCTGAGCGATTGGAGGAGGGAAGAATCAAGGGGGCTGGTCGTGGGAGATCATTGGGCGTCGAAGTGTGGATGACGTTTGACTCGCGCCTTGGTTTTTGGGCGCCGACTTGCAGCATGGACCGCGCCGCCCTTGTCGCCTTCTTTCCTGATTGTAAGCATTCTCTTCTCCTGCAGGTGCGACCTTGACAAGTTTGACATCAAATTCAAGAAACAGCAAGACATCCGCCCAACAGACAGGCGCGACAGACTCCTCGAGCGTGAAGCTTACACCCCAGCCACCCCGCGCTACCAACAAAGTCACAACCGTTTCTACCAAACAACGCAACCGTCAGGGTCAGCGTCAGAGACATAGTCCGTCATGTCACGCTCTAACTACGGTCGCCATTCCAGCAGCGACCTTGCCTACGGAGAAGAACCGCAACGATGGGACCGCGACCGCTTCGAACGCTACTCCCGCAGAGCTCCTGCCCCCGTCGCAGAGCGTGAGACTTTCCGCTTCAGCGAACATGACCGTCCGGGTCACCAAGACATCCGCATAGAAGAACGAATCGATAGAGGCCCGCCTCCACGACGTGAAAGAGAATTCGCAGAAGATGCATACGGCCCTGCTGCCAGACCCCGTCGCTCAGACCGTGAGCTCTTCGGTGACCGAGACCCAAGAGAATTGGCCGACCTCCAGCTTGCTCCTTACAGAAGAAAGTCTATCGTCGACCGCGAGTTTGAGTTCCGTGAGACCAGAAATGTGCCGAGACCAGGACTGCAGAGGAGACAAAGCAGTCTCGACACCTTTGACCGCAGACCCTTACGCCAATACGAGCGAGACGAGTATCGCATTCCTGCCGGTGTCCCGATTCCCCTGCCGCGTCGTCGCTCACCCTCACGAGGGCCCCCTGGCGGCTGGCATGAGGAAGAGTATGAGGATGTGAGACGCCGAGACTACTCTCCTCAGGCTTCATACCGGGATGTTGAGATTATGCGCGAGAAGAGCGTTCACCGCCGACGAGGACATCGTGACAGAGCGAGAAGCGATGCTCGCAGCGTGACCACCAAGCGCAGCGGACGAAGCGCTCGCAGCTCTAGCAGTAGCAGCGCAAGCAGCGTCACTGAAGTCAGCCGACACAGCAGCCCCGGCCCAGCCAAAATCGGCAAGAAGGGCAAGACTCGTATGCCCAAGAGGCTGGTTCGCAAGGAAGCCATCATCAACCTAGGCTATCCATTCGAAGAAGAGGAGGACTTCATCATTGTGCAAAGGGCGCTGGACAAGGAGCACATTGACGAGGTCATTCGCATCAGTGAGCAGTACAAGGAGCCGAGTATGTCTACTTACCACCCCCTTAGTGAGATATGTCTTGCTAACGTGATCAGAAACCAAAACGTACCGCTACGATGACCCAGGCGCACCACCCGAGGAGCACTTTGAGCATCTCCGCACCGAATGGATCAATCCTCCCAGCGTTCGCGCCCCATCTCCCGCCCGCTCCTCACGAACCCGCCGCAGCTCTCCTGCTCGTACCGTCCGCCAGCCATCCCCTATGCCTCCGCCTCAACCGCAGACCATCTACATCCAAAACCCTGCTCCCGCTCCTCCTCCAGCCCCCATCTACATCAGAGAGCAAGCGCCTCCACCACCTCCTGCTCCTATCTACATTCAAGAGCCTTCCAGACCTGCTCCACCTCAACAGCAGCCAATGATCATCACCTTGCCCGAGCATCGTCGTGACCGCAGTCGCGACTACCATGCCGACGTTCGCGCTTTGGAGGCTGAAGCCCGCGCTCTACGCCTCGAGCGCGAATCTCACCATCACAACCACGGTCAAATCGTCCTAGCCAGACCCGAGCAGTCTGGTTACGAGATGGTCGAATACAGAGAGCGTCGCCCTGACCGAGAAATTGAATATGTGGAACGCGACAGGAGTCCCAAGAGAGAAGTCATTCGTGTTGAGAAGGATCGGAAAGGTAGGATGGCGCTCGTCAGGTCTGCGCGGTGATGGTGTGTCTTTTGTCTTCCTGCGTAGACCGCAATTTTTGGTGCAAGAACGACGCTGACTTTTTTCTTGTAGCGGCGGATAAAGAGAGACGACAGGCCAGAAAGATCGCCATGATGATGGCGACGCTTTCGTGAACTGGCCGCTATTGACATTTGACATTCTGTTCTCACTTTTTTGCATTTATCGACAACAACATTTATTTTGAATCTTGCGACGATGCACCATGTTATGAGTAGCCATTTCCTTAGGTCATATGTGGGCAAGGAGGAAGCTGGTCTTTTTATCCTTATTCGAGCGAGGCGCAGGTCAGATGGATAATTTGGTTTCCAAAATCCAAGCAAGTAACGAAGTTTACGATCATCAGCTGTGCCCCCTTTCGCACCATGCTTTACTCACAGTAATCCGTCTTTTTCTCAAATCTCTAGTCGGCTCTATAGCCGTGATTTGCGTTTGTTGTGGTATTTTCGTTTCTCGGTCATTGGTTGTGGTCGAAACCACGGGCTCGTGATCATGGTCTCTGCGATGGTCACAATCGCGATTATAGTCGTCTTGGCATCGACCACAACGAGCGATGGGCTGAGTCGATTTTGGACTTTCGCATGAGCTTCCAAACCGTGCTACAAGTCGGAGCCCTAATCGTAGAGGCATTGACTCCCGCTGGGTAGTCGACAGGACGAATGATTATCCGACTACAAAACAGATAGCCCTGTGCAAAGCGACCAGGTTTTGCCAGAGCATGACTTATACATACTCTCCAGGTCCCGCAAAGTTGAGAGGATTGCCGCGAAATCGATTGTTCGATCCTTCCTTGCCTCGTCTCATCCTTCTCCAAAGGCGACCCAGCCGACGTCCAAAATTTAGACCGCGAGTGGTGAGCGATAGCCAAGATATAATAGCGTACAGGTAGGGGATCAAAGCCCACGGGGCATTGGTCCTGAAGACGGAGTAGTATGATGATTTGAAGAACACCATCGGATCGACAATCGCACACGCTAGCACGACTACGAGCAAACCGGTCCATCGTACCCGGTGTCGTTTGCGAGAATATCCAACCGCCACGAGATAGACTGCTAGCAAAAAGATGACTCCGTATCCGACAGACCAGTAGACGATTTGTGCGTATTTGTAAGCCACAGTGATTTGCGTATCGGGGTCATGGCTGACAGAACCATCGAGGCTTTGGTATTCCTCTTCACACATTTCATTTGTCCGAAGCAATGGCAGAGTAGCGATGCCGGCCAGATACATTGGTATGATCATGATCAGCCAGATACGCCAGTATGGTCGGTAGTGAGCGGAAGTTTGGACCAGCAGGCGGATCATGGGTCCAATAAGAATGGGGATCAGAATTGTGCCGGCGGTCAAGGGCAGTGCAATCTCGAAGTATGTAGTCATGGGCCATAGATACTGGTCCGTGTCGGGCGCGGCGTTCACGGCTATGCTTGACGACTCTTGACGTGCAGTAATGAATACTGGATGTGAGGTCACGATATTCGAGGTGCTCGGCGACGGTGAGACACTTGCTCCTGGCGTGTCGTTCTTGGGAAATAAAGGTATGGTCACGTTCATGCCGAAGATTGCCTACCATCTGTTAGGCTTCGTTTGATATCAAGAGGAATGGTCCATTATACCGCAACGAATGACATCGGAATAAACAGAGCAGCCGCAGCAGTCAGTATCAGAACTCTCTGTCCTTGAGCGAGGCTCATCTGCTCAATGATTTGTCCCTTGGCAGTATAAACTGTTTTCTCGTGCATGTATAGTTCTTCTCGCAAGGCACGAAGATCTATCTGTGCTTCGCGAACGGCTTCTTTCACATTCTGATTATCAAGCTGTGATTGACAGCAAAAGCGCGCGTTGTCGGTAGCGTTCTTCAATCGGTACAAGATAGTCTCGCTGGCTATGATATCCTCGATGGCTCGGATACGACAGTCGTCAATGTGTAAGAGATACTGTATCTTGCTCCTGGTTGGCCAGTTTCTGCCAGTAAACAGCTAAGTCGGGTCGTTAGCAGAGACAGACTAGATGGCGAGGGTGTTCATACGGTGTTGTTGATCTTGTCTCGTAGGTCAACTGTGAACTCGCTCAGATCCAGAACCATCGTGGAGAATAGATCTATGATTAGCTCGAAAACTTCATGAGTGGCATTCCAGCAGTGCGAAGTATTGAGACTGGCGCCAGAAGCATGTCTGCCGTGAGTCGCGAGCCGATTTAGCAACGAAGTTGGTTCAACTAACATCATTAACCGGCGATGTAAAGGCGACTTGTTGGTGGTTGGCGGCAAAATAACAGTCGCTGAGTAGTAAATGCAAGGCCTCTTTCGGAGATGAGGCTGCCAAACATAGATGTGTAGGTCATCTCTGGGGTGCATGACTTCTTTCTGCCATCTGAATGTGAATCTTTCACCCTCCGAGTTGAACAAGAACGCGTCGCCGATGGGTGCTGTGTGAGAAGGGAGCTGGAATGGGACGTGAGTATGATGGTATGGTATGATAGGTTTCACAACGTTCCAAGTCCATGCGACTTGGAGAGCTATCAATCTAGCAGGTGCCAGATATAAGTCAGGCAAAGACTTTTGGACCAGCTCGAAGGTTTTGTGGTGAAACTTTAGCGACTGCGGAGTGATTTTGGTATTGGGCGTGAGGATGCTACCATCACGAAACCAATCAGCAAGCTTTCAAGACGACTCTAGAAGTATAGCCATACCACAGGAGCACTGCTTCGGATCCAAAAGGCTGACCTATAGCTTCGTTGACCCCCTCTGTGAGATATTGGCCCACGGTAATGTCGTCTTTCGCCGAGAATACATGACCTCCAGGGAAGTGGAGCCATTCTGCTTGTTTCGAAGGCGAGATTTGGGGGGCGGACGGATGATGCAGAACCAAAAACCTCGCCATAGACTCGATCATGGTCTTTCCGGGGCTGTCCTTGAGGTATTCGAGATGTCTCTCCAGCATGACCTTGTCAGCTTGCATGGCGGCATACTCTTCGCCCATACCAAGAGCGTTCATGCTCGAAGAGAGCGAAGCCTGCATGAGTGTCGGTAATGCGGCCATATTGAGAATTGGCGCGAGATGGTGACCATGTATAATGAACGTTTTTGTACAGTTCCGCCGTGGACAGAATGAAGCTCAGTCAAGAGCAAAGAATCATGAAGGCGTGGAAGACATCTGGTTGCTTATCAGAGTCGAAACACACAGCATTGTGATCGAATCATGACGGCGGTCCACTCTTCGTTGCGCGGCAACAAGGTCGAAGATAGCAGGCAGGCATCAGGAAAGGTGATCCGTTGTTGTCTTCCAAACCTTATGTGGCCCTGAGAGTGGAGAAACCTGAATCTAGCTGGGAGGCTTGTTTTTTATGTTGGATGTGCAATGTGGATAGCACGAATCCAGATAGAGCGAGCATCGTCTTGGTTGGCTGATGAAGGTGTGTGTAGGTTGCGGAAACCACCTCATTCACGTGTGACGTGACGGCACAAGCTGTACATATCCACATATAAACACTGATATGGGACTCGCATTGGCATTCTTACCGAAAGTACAATCCACTACCTGGAGTCGTGACTATTTGCGATTGGAAGGTAGCGAAGAAAGAAGGAGAGAGGGAGTCCAGCGTGAGCTCCTGCCTTTGATCAGTGTCTGTGCAGACCAACAGTCGTGGCACTTACCAGTGGTTCCACTTCTGGTATCCCAGTCAACCTTGATTTAACCACAGGGCTGCACTTTACCTTTGAAACAAGAAAAATGGCTCTTGACGAGCGGTTGCTTGAAACAGTGGTTCATAAAAAGCTGCATGAATCATCTATGTACGGCCATTCTCCACTCAGGCGGCTTTTGCAAGAGCAATGTTCTCAACATGTTGCACATCCTGATAGTTCTTCCTCTCGTGCTCCATGATAGCATCGACCTTCTTTGCACTTGCACTCTTCTCATCAAACTTGTAACCCAGCCACTCCTTGGCCAGTCTCCTTGCGACCTCGACACCGACGACTCTCTCTCCCATACACAAGACTTGTGCATTGTTACTCAAGACAGCTCTCTCAACCGAGAAGCTGTCATGGGCGGTGACGGCACGAATACCAGGGACTTTGTTCGCCGAGATTGCGACACCGAGACCAGTTCCGCAGATCAGGAGTGCGCGATCGGCCTTGCCTTCTGCCACGAGCTTTGAAGCGTCAACGGCAGGGTGTGGATATGCAGTCTTGTCTTCGCTGCTGTTGACGCCGACATCGATGACCTTCTCGACGCGAGGGTCATTCTCGAAGTCTTCCTTGATCTTGTTCTTGTAGCCACAACCGGCGTCGTCGCAACCAATGGCGATAGTAAGCGGCTTATTGGAGGACATTGTGTCTTCTTTCTGGAGTCTAGTATGTTTCTGGATCACAGTTGACTGGTATCGTAGCCGACGGTAGCTGGACAGTGAGAAGGTTCCGTGTCGAGAGTAATCGAGTCTCCTTGCTTTGTCTTTTGCTCGGAACCGTTGGTCTCGACGGTGTAGGGATTCGTGGTATAGGTGGTAGTATGAGTGGATTCGTGCGGAGTGTCGTGGGTGATTGTCTTTGTCTCGCCCGTCTTCTTGTCGTGTATCTCTTCGTGGAAGTGTTCTGCGTCACTGGTAAAGGATGACGAGATCTGGATGCGCTTCTTGGATGGTGATGAGGGTGACATTTTGAGTTCCGAGGGAGGACTCTCGGTATTTGTACGAATGCGACCACGTTCCCTGTGCTATTGGTTGACGGCGGTTGGCTGAGGGGTTTCGCTGTGTACTCGTACAAGCACGGCGACAAGACCGAGAACTGCTCTTCCACCAGACTCTGGAATGGGGAAAGCGCGGGGGACTTGCGGAGTTCGGGACTTCCTTTTGGGGCATTCCGGTCTCTTCTCTCCCTTTTGATTTTATCCATGAGCTACCCAATGCATACTCCCGGATGTTGCATATCTCAATGGCGGCTGTTATCTTGCAGTTGCATGTGTCATGATTCTTGGGGAGCCGGTCTTGCTTCATAAACAGCAGTCCCGTCGCTTCTCTTGCTCGCTGCCACGAGACATGTTTGTAGCTTCTGTCTCATCCTGATCCCCAAAGCCTATCCCTGGATCGGCACTGCTATCCCCACAAAGAGCACGAGACCACGTCTTTCTCTTAGCAATCTATCGATCGGGATGATGATGCCGTATGCCAATGCCTTTCTTTTGGCTGCCTGTAGGTACCTGTTTGTGAGATTCTTCGGCATTTCGTTTTCTTCTTCTTGACATGTACTTTGTACCTGCCTCTACATACTTGGTTTGACGCGACTTCCTCAACCCTGCAAGCAACTCATCAACAATCTGCCTGCACCTGCGGACCTGCATGATTTGACACACGGACACATCACTCCACCACCCAAGTCAAGCATTCAACAGCTCATTTCTGCGGCTTCCCATTGATCTTCACTCTTTTGTTTGCTGTGCGACATTACTCACTTTTTCGTGCTGCACTACCATCAGCGCATACTGCAGGCAGTCAATTGCGCGTTTGTCTTCAGCTTTCTTCCTTTCGTTGGACTCTCTTCGTCTTCTCTTGTGTTCAACACAGTCAAAGATTGCTCTCGTTTTCAATCGCACTGTTAAAACATCCTCAGCTTTCTTCACTTCAACCAACTATCTACGGCAGCAGTGACACCAATCGTACCTGCCCTGATCAACCACCTCATTAGCCACAACACAATCTCATCTATCAACAATGTTCCGTCTCAAGAGTTTGGACGCCACTCCTGCAGCCATCATCAACCCTGCGCTCAAGCCGAACCCTATACCAGGCATGCCGCTCGTCGAATGTAGCCTTGCCGAATTTATTGCCGGTCAGCCTAAAGGCTTCACTCATGTCGCCGTCTCCGCAGCTGTCTTCCACGACGATCGTCTTCTCTTGGTTCAGCGTGCCGAGAGCGACAGCTATCCTGGCCATTGGGAGCTGCCTGGCGGATCTGCCGATCCCAGCGACAAGTCCATCAGCGAGTCGGTTGCACGCGAGTTGTTCGAAGAGACTGGTCTCAGAATGAAGCGCATCCTCACCGAAATCCTCCCTCCTACCACCTTCTCCACTGGATGGGGCAAGCGTCAGAAGACATGGCTCAAGGTCAACTTTGTGGTCGAAGTCACTGCAGAGGACAAGGCACGAGTCGAACACGAGGTCGAGATGCAAGGATCTGGATCGGGTCAGGAGCTCGTGCGCAAGGATAGTGTCATTGCCGTCGATCCTCCCGCCATCAAGCTTCATGACAAGGAACATCAGAAGTACCAGTGGATCTCGGCTGAGGAGGTCATCAAGAACAGAGTCGCTATGCCGGGTGAAGGTGCAATGGAGTTCATCTCGATGGACAGTGTGTCAGTCATGCTTGAGGCATTCCGCTTGAACAAGCACATCCAGAAGGCGCAGGCTATTGAAGCACTGCAGGAGGCCGGAACTGAGGACAGCAAGGCTTAAATGTCATGATGCAGGACGAGAAGACATGGCGGCTGCTAATTAAAGACGACGGAAGACCGCGAGATTTGGCAGATCTTGGTTTCGATGCATGCAAAAAGGAACAGAGATAGAAGGATGGCTTACAGGTCTGGGCAGGGTTTTATTTCGAGGATACCCATCTGCAGAGGGAATGCGAAAACGAAGCTCATGTATCTCACGAATCAAGGCAATCGTCAGCTTGGCAACACGAGCACAAGCATAACATCGGTTTTATAGATCCCCGAACATTGTGCTTTGATGAAACATGGAAGACGAAACACACACGGCGTGACATTGATGGTGACTCTTTTCGGGGCCGATGCATGATCTTAGAGCACAAAAGTAAGTTTGCGGCAAGGTGCAGGACACAGTAAAAATGCATGACGGGTTGGCTGCTGCGACAGACAGTCGATGTTTATGATAGAGTGAGAAAAGAAGGTTGTTGCAGGAAACTAAAAGTCGGGAAGGGCCGCAGGGAATGGTTGTGATCGGAGCTCCAGGCCAAAAGGTGGAGGAGGAGAAATGCTGACGGCAAGATTCGAGATGAACCTCGGCACAAATCATCGAGGGTTTCAGTTGCAGCGAAACAGGCGCGAAGGAGACAGTCTATCGAGGAGATGCAGCCTCTTGTAGCAAGCATAACATGTCGTCGCATACTTGATGCACGGCCGTAACCAAATCACCTGCAGAGAAAGATCGTGTGTGACTCGCTCGAACGGACCTGCCTTTCCTGCTGCTGCTTTCCCACTTTCGTGCTTTCCTTTCACATGCGTCTTGCTACAAGCTCGCCCTGACTATCGTTTTTCTTCGCAACCCACCCGAACTCTTCCTGCAGGGCTATACTCGAGGACTCGACTCCCAGTTGGTCATGAGCAGTGATATAAGAGTGGTATAACAACAGCTCGATGGCCGACCGTCTCCCCGCCGGCGCAATGTCCGCACCACCACCTCCGCAGCAGCAACCATCTGCGCAACAGCCACAACCCACGCAAAACCACACACCACAGCATGCTCAGCACCAGCAGTCCCCGACGGGGATGAGTCAACAAGGAGGCTCGGGTACGAGCTTCCGGAGGTACGCGACACAAAGTACTGGTATAGACCCTGTCTTGTAGCTGACGCGACGAACTCAGACAACGCGCTTCACGAGCTTGCGAGGTAAGTCTAGGTCGACTTCTCTCCTCCTGCACCATCATACTGACACGATACACAGACATGCCATGCGCGAAAGGTCAGCCCGATCAACGTTTCCTACTCCTAACCCCATCCTGACGCGTCTGTTAGGTCCGCTGCGATGCGGCCAGCCTCGGTGTGCCATGCACAAACTGCGTCGCCTTCAGCATCGAATGCAAGATCCCGTCTCCCAAGCGCAAGAAGACGTCTTCCAAGCAAAAGGATTCAAACAGGTACGCCGACCACCTGCCTCTGGAAGACGCCCCTAACTTTGGCAGTGATCGCGAAGACAGCAGCAGCATCGTCCAGCCCTCGCCCGCTACCGTCGAAACTCCCGCACGCTCCGATGTCATCAGTCAGGCCCCTATGCAGATGCCTCAACTGCCCCCTCGGAACGGCGTCGACTACGCTGCTGCAAGTGGCATGCCCCCTACCACACTCTCGGAGAAATACCAGGAACAACAGCAAATACATGATGCGACTTGGAGCCAGTATATGAAGCCCAAGTTCGCTCGTGCCCCCATCAAAGAAGCCGGTCGTGTTGCATACCTGGGCGAGTCGTCGAATCTCTCCTTGCTCGTACACGACAAGCACGGCAACTCGGACGTTGTACATTACCCACTGCCTGAGAACGTGCGTGGTGCTCGCGCTCGTATGAACGAACTCGACGAGCTGGAACTACGTATCTTGCACGAGAGAGGTGCCTTTCTGCTGCCTCCGCGACAACTTTGCGACGAGCTGGTTGACGCTTTCTTTACTTGGATCGCTCCTGTCGTGCCCGTCATTGATCGCAACAAGTTCATGCGACGCTACCGAGACCCCAAAAATCCTCCTTCATTGCTTCTTCTGCAAGCCATCCTCCTCGCCGGATCACGCGTCTGCACAAACACTCAACTCATGGATGCCAATGGATCTACAACCCCGGCCGCCATGACGTTTTACAAACGAGCAAAGGCTCTCTACGATGCCAACTACGAAGACGATCGCGTCACCATTGTCCAAGCCGTCATCCTGATGGGCTGGTATTGGGAGGGCCCAGAGGGTAAGATGAGAGAAATAGGCGAGGTCCCTCGTGAGTGTCAATCTGACATTGCTTCAGATGTAACAAAAAACGTGTTTTACTGGAGCAGAGTTGCCGTCGTAATCGCTCAAGGTTCTGGAATGCATCGAAGGTGAGCTTTCGTCCATCTGGTGTTTTGTTCTGTAATTGACTTGTGCGCAGTGTCGAGAAGTCTCAACTCAGTCAACAGGACAAACGCCTGTGGAAACGCATCTGGTGGACCCTCTTCACTCGCGACCGTTCCGTCGCAGTTGCTCTCGGTCGTCCTTGCGGCATCAACATTGAAGACTCCGACGTTGAAATGATATGCGAAGACGACTTTATCGAAGATGAAGCCGAGCAGTCCGCTGAGTATCCCCCGGATCCGATCCATATTCAGTTCTTCTTGAACTATGTCAAGCTGTGCGAGATTATGGGGCTGGTCCTATCTCAAAACTACTCGGTCGCATCACAAAGGCGTGGTCGAAACAACGCAATTGATCTTACCCACTGCGACATGGCCCTGGCCGACTGGCTTCAGAATTGTCCCAAGGAGGTCTACTGGGAGAAGAACCGGCATCACTTCTGGTCTGCTCTTCTCCACTCAAATTATTAGTATGTGCCGACTATCTTGGCTTGGGTTTCAGACGCTAACAATCACAGCACCACACTCTGTTTACTTCATCGCGCTCACATGCCCCCTGCTGGAGCGTCGCCAGAGATGAATCGTTCAAATAGCCTACCAGAAGAATTGGCGTATCCATCAAAGAACATCGCATACCAGGCAGCCGGTATGATTACTTCCATAGTCGAGGCCTTGACTAACCACAACGAACTCCGCTTTACCCCCGCCTTCATGTAAGTTGTTGGTCTGATTCCACGCGTGTTATACTGACGTGCCCCGTAGCGTTTATTCTCTCTTCTCTGCGCTCATCATGCACGTTTACCAAATGCGCTCGTCGAATCAATCGATTGTGCATACTACCCAACAACGCTTGACGACCTGTATGAACGCGCTCAAGGATGTGTCCCGAGTCTGGCTTGTGGCTAAGATGGTACACACGCTCTTTGACTCAATTCTGGGCAACAAGGTTCTGGAAGAGAGACTACAAAAGGCTGCAGGCAAGCGTCACGCAAAGCCAAAAAACATGCACCCTATGAAAAATCCATTATCGCGCAGCAACAGTGACCAACAGAAGCGCAAATTCGACGAGATGGAGTTTGGCTACCACGGAGGCCCACCCGCTGCTCAGATGTCATACGAACGCTCGAGACCGCAATCTCCCGTCAACCCAGCGCGCGATCCTCCACCCATGTCAGGGCTCGGCAACAACGCAAGCCCCTCTCTTCGTCAAGACGCCTTCATGGGTACATCTCGTACTAACACTCGTCCTACCACGCCGTTCAACACCTACTCATACCCTGGTACACCTCCAGATCTCTTCCTTCACACTCGCACATCCCCAAACATTTCGCAGGATCTTTGGCAGAATTACCAACCAGATCAGCTCTTCCCACCAGATACTTCCGGTATCTTCCCTACAGAAAGCCCTGTGCAACAATCGACTATGGTAGACCCTGCCCTACGAGCGTCAGCGGGAGCACCGCCACAGCAATCTTACAACAACTCTGGCCAACCTCCACCTCACTATCAACAACCAGGAGCACCTGGCATGATGAATGCACCATCTCAACAGCAGCAGTATGCGGCACAACAGCAAGCGCAACACCTACAGAATCCATACGGCCAGATGCAGGATAATGGCGATCATCAGCAACATCAAAGAGGAAGCGTCGATGAAACTTGGAGCAACAACAGTGGTTCTACTGGAGGAGGGCCTATTGTGCCGACCACCTTGAATGTTGGCGACTGGTTCGAGTTCTTTGGTATTCCTAACGGAGACATTTCGGCATTGCATGCGCAACAATACTGAGTTGCAGCACTATCGTTTCGCTACGTCTAGGCTTCCTTCGCTGTTCTTCTCTATTCTATCTGGCCAATTCTTTCGAGTGTTAGCAAGGCGTGGCGTATCGGACGGTGTATGAAACCCAAAGGCATCATCGCAACTTGCTGTATGACATTGGGTGGGCGTTGTATGGTCGCATTGTTCAGAGATATGGGTAAGGAGAACTCGAGATGCATGCAAGCCTTTGAGCATAGGTATCACCATTTGTATGTCTAATCATGTCTACATTTCTGCCATTACGGCGTGCAAAAGAGTCATTATCCAGTGAGACCCCATCCATGACTCCAGGATCCGACAGCCCTTTCGTCATCGAGACTCCACACACGGAAGACATCAAGGTGAGGGTGACGAACCAAGTCGTGCGTGTCTTCCGGAAGTCACCCCACATATTGAGTTTTCCCCGGAAGTGTTCTGCATAAGATATGGAAGAGGGAGGACCACTTCCGAGAGTCAGTCCGTCTTCCGAAATGCTGACCTATTGCCCCGCAAAAGGGCGGAGGTGATCCGAGTCTAGATTGAGCATGGTATAAGAAGGCACTTGATGCCCCCCGTCCCTTTCAACAAGCATTGAGAAACAAGACCTCAAGTCTGAAACATATACCAGATCGTCTGAACTTGGAGGACTATAAAGCAAATCAATCACCTTGCCTTGACACCTAAATTGAAGGCAACACCACACCACCTCCCATATCGGAAGCAATCACAACAGCCAGCACCACCCATCATGTCATCCACCAACAAACACACTCTGGAGCCTGAGGACACCCTCAACGGCGCAGGTCGATACGACCCAAATTTCACCTCCCACGTCATCTCCGCCATGGGACCCAAAACCGACCCCCGTCTCCGCAAAGTAATGACCTCCCTAATCCGCCACGTCCACGATTTCGCCCGCGAAGTCGACCTGACCGTCGACGAATGGATGGCAGGCGTCGACATGATCAACCGCGCCGGCCAAATGTCCAACAATCGCCGCAATGAAGGACAATTGCTTTGCGATGTCATCGGTTTGGAAAGTCTGGTTGATGAAATCACTTTCAAGCAGGCTTCAGAGGCCAAAGATGCGGTTACCCAATCGGCGATCTTGGGGCCATTTTTCAGACATGATGCTCCGCTTAGACAAATGGGGGAGACCATTTCCTTCGACACGCCTGCTGATGCTGAAGTCACTTATATGCATGGAGTGGTCATGGACGCAACCACCAAGCTTCCAGTGGAAAATGCAGAAATTGATATTTGGCAAGCGTCAACGAATGGATTGTACGAGCAACAGGATGACAAACAACAAGAACACAATCTCAGAGGAAAATTCAGGACTGGCAAGGATGGCGAGTATGGGTTTTATTGCATCAGACCTACGCCTTATCCTGTTCCTGATGACGGCCCTGCTGGGGAGTTGTTGGGTATGTTGGATAGACATCCTTTCAGACCTGCGCATATTCATTTGATTGTAAGTTTTGGAAGTCCGGTCCTGGAAACTTGGGAGGTGTGCTGACAGAGGGAAATCGCAGGTTATCAAGCAAGGATATAAACCCATCACCACTCAAATCTTCGATGCCGATTCAAAGTACTTGGACAATGATTCGGTGTTTGCGGTCAAGGATTCTTTGGTCGTCAAATTCGAAGAGAGGCAAGGTGATGAGAAAGCAAAGTTGGAGCTGAAGTATGATATTCTGCTTGCGGCTACTGAGTAGAGTAGAAGTTGTGTACATGAAATCGATCATAATTTGTACGCGAAGGAATCTTCGGTAGTTGAAAGTCTTTGAGATGGAGAGGGAAGATCTGGTGGTTTGCTCGCGCTGATCGAGTGGTTGACGAGGACAGGGTGATACCTTTCGCAAGCCCGAAACTTGTTGATTGTCATTTTATGAAGCAACCAGGAACAATATCTTGTATCAGAGAACATTTGAGGCTTCAGTCAGGATTGATGCGTCACCTCTGTGGTGCTTAAGAACTTTGAAGATGGCGTTGGTGAGATACGTGACATTTTTCAATCACAAATCTCGAATTCTAAAAAGTGATCGTAAACTGCACAGTTTGTTGGCTTCCATCTTGGTCGAAGCAGACTTCACTAAAACATTATTTTTTGCCCTGTAAATGACCTGCAGTTTCCCCAAACCAGTTGATTATCAGACTAGCAAGCAGTTGTCGAGAGCATAACTCTCGGAGTGAGAGCATGTAAAACCTCGGCATAAGTTGACCCGTGAACACCATATCTTGGCGGTCGGAAGACGGTTCATATTTCGACCGCTTCCGCGCTCGAGCCAGCCAGCCCCCCTTTGCTCGAGTCAACCACAAGTGGGGTTCGAGGGAAACAAGCACTTTTGTACGTCGCACACCTTCCGAAGAATCTCATTGCGTTAAACTCGCCTTTATCATTCCTTTGATTTAAGAGAAGGAGTTGTTCAGGTGTGCAGCTTCCGAGATAAGCAAACCATCATGCCTCGACCAATAGTGGCGCCCGACAAGAGACGTCGGATCGCTCAAGCTTGCGACAATTGCAAACGCAGAAAGGAAAGATGCGATGGCAGCCGACCGTGCAGCATCTGCATCCGACGACGAAGGGAATCCGAATGCCACTTTTCCGAGACGCCTGCTAGATTGCTCCGACCCCAGAATAATGTCAACAATCACATCGGCAGTCCTGGAGATGCCATTCAGGCTTCTCCTTCGGTTCACGCGGCGAGAAATCGTGGTGGGAGTGATGCGCCGCTGCCGCCACCGCCATCATTGCAGAACAATGTAGCCCTTGCAGGCATTCCAAGTTTGGGTGCTATTTCCAATGCTTCACCTGCAAGTGTCGTCACATTATCTGGAAATTTGAGTGATACAAGTCAGGCTGAAATGGCCATTGATCGTATCTTGAATGCCAGTGTCGACCAGAGGGGTGCCAGGGCGATTGCAGATTCCAATTCTCGACCTGAATCTGTGGCACCGGTACCTAGATTGGCGAGACTCCTCCGAGATACTCATGGCAAGTTCATGTATGTCGGCGACTCTGCCAGTCTGTCTTTCGTGCAGAGTGTCAGACGTATGGTCGTATCCGCCATTGGCGACTGTGATTTTACCAACGACCCACTACGGCATCAGATCATTGAAACAACGCCACCGACTTCTACACTACTACCAGATATGTCGCCTTTGGTCTTGGATCTCGAAGAATGCAAGCAATTGTCTCGACATTACCTTCTTGCCACTACCGGCCTCATCGACCTTTTCGACATTCCCACCTACTTCCGTCATCTCGACAATTGGGTTGTCAACCAGACTCGCGACAACGATGTCAAGTCCTCAATCTTCTACATGGTCCTTGCGATTGGTGCGCAAGTCTCTTCACCAGATGGCGACCAGACACTTGCTGAGAAGTATTTTAATCGTGGTAGGCATATGGCCGTCATGACATTCACCGATGCGCCCAGCCTCTTGACGATACAAGCCTATCTTTGTATTACCATGTACATGCTTGGAGCTTGCCGGAGGAACGCCGCATTCATGCAATTCGGTATCGCAGTCAGAGCTGCGTTTGCGCTGGGTATGCACAAGAGTAGTACTCATGCACTTTTCGATGAGACCGAAGCTGGAGCAAGGCGTAGAATCTGGAAGAGTGTTCGCGTGCTGGATATATTCCTCAGTGCGTCCCTAGGAAGACCACCGGCTACATCGGATCTGTCAATGGAGAAAGATAAGGATGTTGTTGACGAAACGGCGCAAGGACTGACATCTACGGACCCCTTCTCGAGCAAGGTGCTTGCTCTATGTGACATCTTTGAACGTATCATCATTGATGTCTACATGAAGAAGGCAGTCTCTACCCGACTCGCAGACTCAATATCTGGCCAATATCGTGACTGGACAAGTGATTTACCAGAGTCATTACAGCTGGCAAATCTCGACTCCAGTGAGGACGATCCGGAGAAATTGTCCAAGGTACTGGCCGCCAGCTACATCATAAGCTCATACCACTGGTCAATCATCCTGCTTACCCGCCCATTCCTCACATTCCAGATAATCAAAGACATGAGCCGATCCGGCCAGAATCTAGAAATGAGCGACCAAGTTGACCAATCCTCCATCAAAACTTACGCCGACGCCTGCGTAGACTCCTCTCTTCGCTGCCTCAACATTGCGCAAACACTGATGCGATACTCGTCGCTCCCACACAGACTACCGTTTATCATAAACTCAGTCTGCAATTCTGCTCTCGTCCTCGGCGCCGCCACCTTCGCCGACCAAGACAAATTCCTTCCTCTCGAAGACGGGCTTAAACAAGGAATACACATCCTCAATCATTTTGCACAGTGGGATCCTCATGCTGTTCGGTATGCTCAGATAGTCACTTACCTACAAGACGCTACTGCACAGTATATTCGCCAACGAAGTCAGAGGTCTATGGAATCTCGCCGCAGCAATGTCACCCGGCTCTTCGGCACCGTTGGTCAACAAGGCGCCGGTGCAGAGCAAACTCTTGCTGCCGAACAAACACAAACACCTGGTCTTACACCTTCTGTCAGTGATATCGGTATCAACGAATCTGTTCAAGATGTCAACGTCGATCCCTCATTATACACACGACCGGGTTTAATGACTGATTTGTACTCTTTGACGAACAATAATAACCAAGATGTCCTGCCTGGGTTGATTGAAGGTGGATTCTATCCGCAGGGACAAGCTGGTGCTGGAATTCTGCCCGATGGATCGAGTTATCCCGAGGATGCTTATTATTTCATGGATCAGGATTTGTCCATGTTTGGGTTTTGTTGATGAACGGGTGTAATTGCTCTGTGCCGCAACTCCAAGGTGGCTTGCTGAAAAACACGATGTACATGCAGTATGAAGAGACGAAAAAAGTCCCTGTTCCAAAATCGATTCATGCGCAGGATAGATAAACGACTTCGAGACGACTGGCTAGAAAGGCCGTTTATATCTCGAGGATGTCTTGAGGGTCGAGGCAGACTCTTGTCTATTGTAGTAATTGTTCCCGGTCGGCTAAAGTGCACAGCCAAGCAAAATCCCCCCGACGGCCAACTTTATTTCCCCAATCCTTACTCGATGAAAACTGTTCATAGAAACCTTGATTGAGCACCTCCGCGCTTGTCGCGTCGATATCAACGTCGTATTGGCAAAGTACCATGCGAAGTCTACGTACCGCACGCGAAGCTTCAAGGACGCTATCAGGTGTGGTTATGACTGTCATTACTGTCAGAAGCGTTCCTATCAACTTCCCAGCCAAAGCCCGTCGAACGCCGGCATCGGATCTTATCGTATCCCTACCATTTGCTGCTTTTTTGTGTTCTTATCATCGCATTGTCGCAGTGGCGAGGGTTCAACAACGTAGGATGTCGGAACGAATTGGAAAGTCGGAAAGATAACAGAGTCGCATGAAGGCCTGAGGATGTAGTTCATAAAGACGACTCGCTGCTCTTGCGCAGTTTCGTATAGTTCTCAGATTCATTCTCGTTCGTTTGATTCGTATTCTCACTCGGCCGCCAAAAATGGATTCGAAACAGTACAACGATCCAGAGGACAGGAAGTCGCTGGACAGCATCAACAAGGACAATGTCTCCATCACACAGACCGGTTTTATCACCACACTAGATGCCAAAAAGGAAAGAGCAGTGGTATGGAAATTGGACCTCCATCTTCTACCTCTTCTCGCCATCATGTATCTCTTCAACTCTCTGGACAAGTCGAACATGGGAAACGCAAAGACAGCTGGTCTGGCCAAGGATCTTGGACTGCATGGCCACCAGTACAACCTCATCTTATCGATTTTCTTCGTGCCATATGTGCTTACTGCACCTTTCCTTGCCGCATTGGGAAAGAAGTATGGACCGAGTAGAGTGTTGCCTTGTATGATGTTTGGGTTTGGCACTTGCACGCTTATGGTCGTTGTTGTGCAAAACTTTGGCGGGTTGATGGCTATTCGTTGGTTCTTGGGAATGTGCGAGAGTGCTTTCTTCCCTCTTGTCATCTACTATCAGACCATGTGAGTCTACTCCAAGTCCTATATGTAAAGCGTGTGTACTGACGCATCATAGGTTCTACCGCAGAGGTGAATTGGCCCGCAGACTTGCCATCTTCTACGCCGCTCAGTCAATCGCCAGCGCCTTCTCTGGTCTCCTATCCTTCGGCGTCTTCCAAATCGAAGGTGGTGCTCTCACGAACTGGCGCTACCTTTTTGTCATCGAAGGTTCAGCCACCATCATTGTTTCCTTCTTCGCCTTCTGGTACCTTCCTCTTTCCGCCGCCGATGCACACTTCTTGACTCCTGAGGAGAGAGAGATCGCCGTCCACCGTATCCAGACAGACAGTTCCGCTGTCGTCAACGAGGAGTTCAAGCTCGGCAGAGCCATGACAATCTTCAAACACCCCACCACCTGGATGTTCTTGGCCATCGAGATCTGCCTGGGTGTACCGCTGCAGTCGGTATCCCTCTTCTTGCCTCAGATCGTCAAGAGATTGGGCTATGGAACTATCAAGACCAACCTCTACACTGTTGCTCCCAACATTACCGGCGCAGTCATGTTGCTGGTGCTTGGTTTCTCTTCCGATCTTACTCGCTGGAGATTCCCCTTCGTCGCTCTGGGTTTCTTCTTTACCTTCTGCGGTTTCGTCATCTATTCGGCTATTGATGTTACCTCTTCTATCACTGTCGCTTACTTTGCTACTTTCATGATGACTTGGGGTACCAGCGCACCTTCTGTTCTTCTTGGTAAGTCAATCTCTTCACTGTGATTGCTGGAGCAACTGCTAACGTTTAAATCAGATGTATGGTACTGCAACAACATCGCCGACGAGAACAAGAGAGCCGTCCTCACTTCCATCGCCGTTCCCATGGCCAACCTCATGGGTGTCGTCTCCTCAAACATCTTCCTCGATGAAGAAGCACCTAAATACATGACTGCCCTTGCCACCACCGCCGCTTTCGGAGGCACTGGTATTGTCTTGACTCTTCTCCTTGGAATCTGGATGATCTACGATAACCGTCGTCGTGATCGTGCTCAAGGTGTCAACCTCAGAGCTAAGGATGTTCCTACTGAGCGCCTGGGAGACGGTCCTGCTGCGGATGAATTCAGATGGTTCTACTAGGTTTATATTGGGTATTGGGGTTTATGATAATGATGGATGGGTGGGTTTGGAGCGTGGGAAATACATGCTTTTTTTCGTATTTGATCGAATTCACGATTCAGTGACAAATTCATTGTCGTCCGTGGTGTTCCAAACAGTCTTCTTGTCGCTCAAGTAGAGTCCGTCGCTGATGCAAATGCTGCGTCGAAGTCGAAATTGATGCCTGCCATGACCTGTGGAGTCTTGTCAGCCAAACGAATCCCATGATGTTGCGAGATCTCCACCGCCGATGATAGGAGGGTCGGATGAAACTTACAAATGAATCCAACTCTTCCCAATTCGTCAACTCGTCAAAAAGCGAAGACACCGTAGCAGCATCCACCTCTCCCATCTCAAAAGGCGTCGTTGTGGAATCTTGCTGCTGCTGCTGTTGCTGATGTATTTCCACTTCTCGATCTCGCACGTGTGGCTCCTCCATCACCACATCATCACTGCCTCCTCCACGTAACCTCCCCTCAACCTTCTTCTCAGCTTCCACCCTGAGCTCACCAAGAAAAATAGCATATCTTCTTGCAAAAGAAGCTTGCAAGGCGTGTTGGGAAAGAAGTCGTTGACACCAATCCACAGTGCGAAGATGCGCGTGCCAATGATGCGGAGGGGAAAGTTTGCGGATGATGCAGACGTAGAGGACGGCGATTGCGCAGAATACGTAATATTGCATCAACTGTGGTATACGTCAGTAACACAAGTAGGAAGTTGAGGAGACAGCAAAGGATGAATCCAGATCAATACTTACCCAGAAGGCACCATACATCCTCCCACCCTCACAACTATCCCCGAACAATCCCAAAATTCTCAATGCAGCTTCCACGCAAGCGTTTGCACTGTCTTGCACTGCATGCCTATCATCCTCCGTCTTGATATCACAAAGCAAGAGCGGTCGATGCAGCAATATGACAGCATGCGAATACGCATTTATCAATACCTCGCATTGGCGTGAAAACGGGGCTGCTAGAAGGATAATGTCCCGCCAGGATTTGGAGACAAAGGGGTAAGAGTCGGAATGCCAGGAGTGCAGGGAAGCGGTGTATTTTATTGTGATCAAGTGGTGGGAGGGGGTTGGAAGGGGGTGGATGGGGTATTGTTCTTTCAGGATTCCGCTAAGAATTCTGGTGAGTCTGAAAGAGGGACGGTTTAGTTAGCTGGTGATTATATTGAGGAATTGGGTGGTGATGTTTTGTACTTTATGTGGCAGATTGAGGCTTGCATTACGCTTTGTGAGTGCGGTGGTCTACTTATGAGGTTGTCTGGTAGTATGTTTTCGTCGTCGAGGCAGTCGGGCAAGTCCTAATGATGTCTCATGTCAGTATGTTGTGGATAGCTGCATCGAGGAAGGTCATACTTGATCGATATCGTCATCATGAATAGCCTTAGGCCTACCCAAAGCAGCACTGAGGTATCGGTCCAGACTATATACAGCCCAGAACGTACGTCGCCTACATTGCACCTCAACATGATTGACTCTGCCAATCTGAGGTCTCTGTTTGCGATGCAAGCCTACTGCGAAAACCAACCGGGCGGTGGTACCGAACAGACTCCAAGCATGATTGATCCGGGATTGGGAAGCAAGATAGTGACATTGCAGGAGACGAGACATGACACTAGTCAAGCGTGTCTCTCCACTCTCTTTGGTCAGTTGTTGCTCAGACGCTGCGTAAAACATAACACTGTTAAAGACATTGTTAGCCTCAACAGTCAACATCTTCCCAACGTGGAACGTCGAAGAACTCACCTCCTCGTAGCATTATTTTCATCCTTGTGTCTGCTGGTCAAAGTAGCCTGTGCAAGCACCATGAGCACAATCGCCTTCCTCTCCCTATCTCCAGGCTTGAAGAAACACTGCATCTGATTCCTATACAGCTCATCGCACCAAATTTCCACAGTGGGTCGATGTAAATATCGATGCGTGGGAAATGAGACGTCGAAATAAGTGCCAATCAGCAACATCGCCTCATGTTTTGGAGGCAATACCAGGAATGAAGAGTCACACTCCGGTAAAGGTGTGTCCCCAGAGGCAAAAGTAGACGCATCTGTAATATGCGAGGAAGTGGCATCTTCTTGCAAACGCTTCTTCGCTCGTGTTAAGAACGATACGCCCGATGCTGGACCTATATAGCTGCTGGGAACATCGACAAGCTCCGAAATCGAGGATTCTTCCCCTGCATCTTCTAGAGCAGCTTCTTCGGCTGCTTTTCCAGCTTCGACAACAGTCTCAGCTAGATCCGGAAAGCTTGGTGCCAGAGACAGCATAGGCTGAGCGTTGGCCACAGCAGCAGTATTTGCATCTGGTGTTGGCGGCACATGGGTAGACGGCAAGATATACGGAGTCCTACCTCGACGATATGACGCTTTGTACGCACACTCCAGACCCAGGCGATCGCAAAGAGTGCAAGGTTGGTTTCCAGAACACCGAGCTTTCTTTCTGTCAAAGTGTTGGAGACGATACTGGATTACGTAGGATGAAGATTGGAGACGGAAGAAAACGATGCAGCTGGTCTTTCTATGAAGAAGGGGTTGAGAAAACATAACAATAAATATCTTGCTTACCCTTTACATCTGTCGCAAGCACGCGTAGCTCTCATACGAGCCCTTGCTCCCCTCTTGTCTGCAGCAGATATATTTGACGATGGCACATTGGGCTGCGGTGTCAAAACTGGTTGATTCGGAGGTGTCGTGATTGATCCATTCATCTTGTGATGTATTTTTGTGATATGTGTAGGAAAAGGAAGACGAGGAACGGAAAAGCAAGGTCGAATGGAAGGGGCGGCCAGGAAAAGCGGGGGCTGATCGCCGGAAAAATGCAGCATACGACGAATTTGACCTTTTACCCGACTCACAGCACCAACAAGCCGAGACCAATAGCGGACTTGAAGTTAGAAACTCATATTTACATAGTTCAATCTGTTGATATATACACAACCTGAGAACCGCTGTCTACTTCTCTCTAGCCATGTACGCTCTCCACTTGGGGTTGAAGAAGTAGACGGGGATACCAAGCAAGAAAATGCCGACATAGATGCCGAACAAGATCATAAATGCAGTCAAATAGTTGAATGCGTGAACCATAGGAACAATTCCAAAGGAAGCGCCGAAAGAAACTATGTTCTTGACACCAATGACAACGACCAAAGCTGGTCCGGGGTTCTTGGGGAATGCTTCGGAGCCGAAATGGGTGGTGGTAATCAGAACAACGATGAACGCGAATTCGTAGAGAGTCCAGCCTGCGTCTCAAGTCAGTTTTGTATTCCTAAGGAGTGTTATCCGTATTGCTTACCCATGATAATTCCCCAAGACGAGTGACTCTCAGGGGCATTAGCTGTTACAGCGAAAATGATTATGCCAATTGCGCCGACGAAAAAAGGCAGGATGAGCTGGACCAGGGTGTCCTCTGGGAGGTGAACACCATTGCGGCGCTTAGCTAGCCAGATGTTCATCTTGTCGCCGCAGTAACCAGCATAGAACATGGCAGCGAGCGAGGCCGGGAAAATGCCGACGTTGACAAGACCAATCGACTTCTCAGACCAGTGGAAGGAGATGGTAAGAATTGAAGCGTAAACAAGTGACATCGCGATGCCGACGCCGAGAGCGATGGAAGAAGCTAAGATAGCGTAGATGACACCGGGCGAACTGCATGCTTGTAGCATCTTGACGTTCGCACCAAGATCCAGCTTGAGGGCATTAGGGGCTGTGCCACTAACCGGGTTGAGATGTTGAAGGTAGGTCTTCTCGCGGTACTCCTGGTCATCAGGCTGATGCACATCACCAAGGCGTGCCCTAGCTTCAGCGTCGGTCAGGAAGTGTATTACCCCCCACTCATCGGTGAAGACGACCTGCCCGTCCATAGACGCGGGAGATCGAGTATACCTGGTCTCCGCGAGCAGGAAGAAGCCAGTGACCAAACCACCGGCCGCAAAGATGGCCAAGACCCAATAGAAGTATCTCCATGAGGTGGCAGCCACGAGATATGAAGCACTAATGCCGAATATGGTATTGATTAGATTTTGAGAACCCCAGTAGACACCGAACCAAAGACCACGCTCGTCGACGAAAGACATATCGGTGATGATCAGAGGCAAGACAGACTCGGTAGCTCCTGCGGCGACACCTTGGAGAATACGGCAAGCCATGTGTGTGTTGTAGGAGTTGCTTGCGCCAGCACCAAGGGTGGAGCCAAGCAGAAGTACGCAGCATCCCAAGAAGATAGGTCGTCTACCAAACATCATGGACAGCGGTAGGATAAGGAAACTGCCTATGACTACTGTTAGTGGAGGTCATGAGTTTTGTTCTCGGCTTGTGAACCTACCGAATGCCATCACCAGACTGGGATATGTAGTTAGATTGACTACCTCCTGAACTGTTCTTCCAGTCGGTGCGTAAAGACCAATGAACACTCCTAGGATGGGGCCGAGACCACCAACAAGGACGAGCGAGAAGATAGAAAACCAGCAGCAGCACACCAAGATGCCCAACTTTCTCCATTTGGAATAGTTGAGAGGGTCGTTAGGGTCGCTGGAGGGGATCGGGATCCTTCGAATCTCACCAATCGTGTTGATGAGTTGAAGGTCTCCATTCGAATGCTGTTGTTGTTCTGGGAGAATACCCTTCTCGGGCAGCTCCATATGCTCCGCTATCATTGCCGCTTTCGCGTGGTCCACGGCAGATGTCATGATGGGTACAGACAGAGATAGTGTTTGGTTGGGAAAGGTGTCAAGCTGCGAGGATAAGAGAGAGGAGGCCCAAAGAGAGGATAGGATACTGAAGTCGTCGGAACATGGACCAAGCCCTGCATATTAAAGCACGGTCAGGTCGCACTTAGCAGTGTCTCAATGCAGATACCACAAAGGATGTCTGTGGGGTCCCCAGCTGAAGAGGGCTCCCCATGGGGGCCACGATCACGTCCAGTAAGATTCAATAGATTTCCAAGCCACAAGCCGGATTGTCGGTTCGGGATACCGACAGGTGGAGATGCGAAGGTGGAAGACCGGCCATCATTGGCGGATAGACATCTGGTGGTCTTCAAGACCCAAACCGAGCCGACCAATTGGCTAGACCGAGTACTGGTCAAGGGGAGCATTGAGCCACAATCGGGACCACTGTCGCTGTTGGAGGGAGGCACGCCTGGAAGAATCTCGGCAGTTTCCCAAAACAAAAAACTACCCCGCATTCACTCTCGTCGGATATCCGAGGTGCAACCTCTTTCATACCGAACAGATCATCCTTCCGGTGGAGTGTGGTCTTCGATCAATCTATTCCGACAGGATGCGATGCACATAATCACGGCTCGCGATACCGAAGTGTGAGGCTACAGCTTCGACCGAGCCAGTATCAAGCACGCTCACCTCTAGCATCTCATGTCTTCGGAAGCCGCGAACCGACCACACAAACGGATGCGCCTGTCCCGAGCTTGCAACAAATGTCGGTCTCGGAAAGTGCGATGCGACGAACAACAGCCATCATGCTCCAACTGCATTCGAGCAGGGGCTGAGTGCATTACCACAGATCCGAACAATCCAACCGAGCTCGCGACTCACGCTCGTCGCAGAGCTGGTACTGGTCTCGCTAATTCACCGTCTGGCTCCGGGACCTCACATACGATCAATGGAGCAAACGGGCATACGGAAGCTCCATCGTCTGATGTCGGTACTTATCAGAGTCCCATCTGGCAGCGGAATACGCCACTGCAAGAAACACCCCTTAATCGTCCAAGCGTTCGCATGGCCATTAGTGATCTAGTCGAGAGATCAGAGCCTAGAACAGAGCAACAAGAACAGCAACCGAGACCGACTGTCGTGATCTCCAGTATGGTAGATAGCGGCCAAAGCCCTGGATTCGCAGTCAATTCTGTGAGTGCTACCGAGCGGAAGTACTTGGGCTCGACTAGCCTGCAGGTGTTTTCTCAATGGCTAGACATGACACTCCATGTCTCTCCTACCGGACTCACAAGTTCTTTTCAACATGGCATGAGGTTCTGCGAGGAGATGGAGCTACCCGAAGACCTGTACATGCCTTCGATTCCTGCTGATTGGGAGGCATATACCGCGGCCTACTTCTCGTGTGTGGGCAGATTCTTCTCGGTTGTATCAAGGGACAGCATTACTTCGTTTGCGGAACGAATGCAGCGTCAAGATTTGAGAGCACTGCCTGTCCGTCAAAGACCGCTCATCGCGACAGTGTATGCTTGCTTGGCCATTGGAGCGGATTCTCTTGGTCACTCCGCACAAGGCACTGCCTATATAACTGCAGCATACTCTCTGTATGCTTATCTTGTTGCTCAGCCTTATTTACCATCGGCTCAAGCTCTGGTACTCATCTGTCTAGCTCTACGCGGTCGTAATAAGGACGGCGCAGGCTCACAAGCATTAGGCCAGGCGATCCGCATCATACATTCTCTTGGTCTTCACAGAAAGCTGAACGGATACGGCAACCCCAACATGGAGCAGACTGAGCTCATGCATCTCGGGCTCAAAACCTGGTGGAGCGCATACTGTCTTGACCGTATCATGAGTTTAGAGACCGGAAGACCGCCGCAAATACAGGACGAAGACGTTGATCAGATTAGGGATCTTCAGAGCAAAAGTGTGAGGGAAGTAGATGCGCTACAAGCACTCACTACACTGGCAACTATACAGGGCAGTATATGTAGGCATCTGGCTACCATAAAGCTTCCGACCATTGCCGCAGTTCTGGAAGCTCAATCTCGCTTGGACAAAGCTCTTGTAGAATGGCAAAATGAACTTTCCCTGGAATTGCGCTGCGACGGAGATATCTCAATCAACGGACCTGAACTTGCTCTCCCACGGGCGTTCTTGACCATACAATATCATTCTACAATGATCAATCTTCATCGAGCTGCTTTGCTAATGGATAAGGAAATACACCGTACCAATATTGCTCGCTACAACCTGCAAAAGTCTGACGCCAACCGGCTGGCCTCCAGTGAATCGATATGTGCAAATTCTGCCAGAGCAATCATCACTGCTTATCTACAAGCCAGAGACATGACCGAACTCTCCAGACTTCAGACGCTCACTGGACCACTAATGGCGATTTATGTGCTTTCTATAGTCGCTCTGAAGAACCCTACCTCATGGTCTACACGCTCTGATGTTGGTTTGATATACTCCGCCGCCGAAGCAGTCGAGCAGAGATACACTGCGGATGGTCAAGACCCTGGATTTTACACATTGCTGAAGAGTCTGAAGCAATTTGCTTCGCAGAACACCCTTTCGCCCAAGGGTATCACGGCTTCAAGAGCACCGACCAGGAGGACTACACCGCTGCCAAGCAACTCACAGTACACCCCTCAGCCAAGCTCTGACAATCAAAACGGAGGTACTGCAAGCACACAACTCAATCAAGCTTATGACCCAAACCTCTCCGATGAGTGGGACATGTTGTTTCCGCGCTTGTACGTAGGAGATTTCGCACTTGACGCTGGAGGCTTCGAGGGTGTGGATATTGAGCACTTGATGGGAATACCGCAGCTATCTTTCGACGATCCTCATTGAGTTTCTGAATGACAATTGTGCTTCGTTACAGATTCCAAGTCTACCGACTACAAGTACGATCTTTCTGAACGAGTCACTAGGTCTGCTTCCATCAGGATTCCTATTGGCATATAGAAGACGACGGGAGCTGTTATGAACGAACGTGCTTTACTGAGAAGATACCTGGCTATGCTGATATACTATCTTCTGAAATCAAAGCTTATCGAAACGCCGATCATTTTCCAATCACCCAATCTCTACGCCTCAGCTTTGATGTACGGAATGCCTGTAAGGCGATATGCCCGCTCACTCAATTGAGGCTTCTTGACAGGCTCGGTTCTATTATGAGGATCTGTCTCGCCATTTCTCTTTGCTTGGTTGCGACCCATGACTTGGCAGTTAGGCCCTGGGAATATTGTTAGTCATGCCATCCAGGAGCATCCTGGATTATTGTCAACTTACAGTGTGTAGTGCCGAACCATCCTTCAAAGGCAATCTTTTTGCGCTTCAAGTCTTCTTGACTTGCCTCGGCAACAGGCATATAGCAAGTGTATACACAGAAGCGGCTCTGATCAGTCGTCGAACTCAGGTTGTAGTGGGGCACTCTTGAATCCCAGAGCAAGAGGTCACCGGGCTCGCCGGACACCTTGACCCATTCCAGACCCTTGTCTTCCAACCACTTCATACCGGCATCAGTGAAGCCATACCATTCTGGGTTCCAGGCGGGGATGGGCTCTTCCCAAGCCATTTCCTTGTGGAATTGCTCGCTGAGAAGATGAGCACCTTTGCAGACGATGAGGCCTCCGTCGTTGGGTCCGTTAGGAAGGATGTTGACAAGACCCTGGAGGCAGCGGAAGCCGCTCTTGGTGGGATCCTGGTCTTGATGAGGCCATGGCTTGTTGGGAGCTAGGTCCTTGCGACCACTGAGGCCGAAGTTGACAGCGTCGAAGGAAACGATAAGATCTTCCGTCTTCAACCATTGTTCGAATGCGCCTACGACGCCTGGCTCTGATCGCACATCCCAAACAAAGTCTTCGTGGGCGACGGCATAATCGAGACACATGCCTTTGTTGTTGATCTCTGGGAGATGCTCTGAGGTCCATGTTGAACGATTGTTTCTGTCAAAGCCAAGGCCGCTGAATTTGTGTCAGTCTTCGGGCTCGTTGATGCTGGATAACCATAACTTACAAGCCCTCAAGGTATTGATACATGCGCTCAGCATATTCAGCAGCCTTTTCCTTTGCGACAGCTCCCTTGACGACTGCATAACCATCCCTAGCCAAATCGGCCTGCCAGTCATTGACAGGGCTATTGCTAGCTTTGAGGCGAAGCTGTTCCACTTCGGAAATTTGTGTTGCTGTCTGGGTTGACATGATTGATAGTGGTGAATTTGCTTGTATCTCTTGTGAGTATGAATGTGATCTTTGGTTGGTCTGGAAGAAGCTGATATATTTGCAGTGTGGTGATGTGGTGAGCTCTGGTTCGAAACGCCGGATGATATATGTGGAAAGTTTACTTCCACTCGCGCAACCTTAGGATGGCTGGAACATGCTCACTGATCCGAACCGAAGTGCGAAAGTGCCCCTTTGCCCACGAAAGGCAGAAGGGTCATCATCACGCCGAGTAGTGAGCAGGCTCGGGACACCGAGTGCGGGAGTCTGTCTCGGCTCGGTTGAACATATTGCGCGTTTCGGAGCCTTATTTCGGTTCGGCTCGGCAGACATGGTCACTCACGACTTGACCCTTTCCTCCCCCTCTTCCAGCCACACCTCGGAATAACGCACGAAGGTCCTTGCTCTTGGGTTTAATGTGGTCCCGACATGCATCGGCTGTCTGTTTTGATTGTACAAAGACCGAGAATGTCCATCAAGGTATCAGGAGCAAGGATCAAACAAGTTCATCGACTACTGCAATCTTTCAACCACGAATCCAACACACCTAGAGATTGAAGCAAAAATGGCCATCGATGCGACAACCAACACTTTCCGAATCATCATCGTAGGTGGTGGTATTGCAGGCCTAGCTACGGTAAGCAGTCAAAACTCGAGCAAAATCAACATTCCAGATATTGACACACGCGACCAGGCTATAGCATTGCGAGGACCACAACGTGAGATAATCGTTCTCGAGAAGTCTCGCATGAATAAAGAAGTCGGCGCCCTTCTCTCTCTCCAACCGAACGCTCAAAAGATAGTCGAGCAGTGGAACCTCAAGGATATTCTTCAAAGGGCAAAGCCCACAGCAGAAAGACAGTTTCGCATCCTGGATACCAGTGGAAAGATTCACATGAACATTGACATGGATGGAGAGAAATACGGGGCAGACCGTATGGTGTATCATCGTCAAGACCTTCACAGCGCTTTGAGAGAAGCGGCACTCTCTACCGAGCTACCGGGATATCCTGCCAGCATCGTGACGGCAGCCAAAGTAGTCGGCTGTGATTGCGAAACTAGAGCGATCACGCTGGCAGACGGAACCATCTATCAAGGCGACCTCATCATCGGTGCTGACGGCATCCATAGTGTAATTCGTGAAGCCGTTCTCAAAGCAGGGAATCATGAGTTGGTCCATCCAGCTCCCACAGGCGTCTCGGCATATCGTCTTTTGGTGGAAACAACAAACTTGGCGGGTCTGGATGTAGACAAAGAGGTTTTTGATCACACACGACAAGCCACCACTCTGATAATGGGACACGATCGACGCGTCATCATGGGACCCGCTCGCAACGGCGACTTGCTGGGTCTTGTAGGCATGGTCCCAGACGAACACATGCACGAATCCTCGACCCCGAATTCCTGGACCACCCCCGGCCATCTCTCAAAATTGCTACAAACATATCACGATTTCCCACAATGGATCAGAGATATCTTCAAGCAGGCTCCCGATATTGCGCTTTGGCAGTTGCGAGATATCGATGCTTTGCCCACCTGGATTGCCGGTAGATGCATCATCATCGGGGATGCCGCACATGGTACGCTCTTTTCTTTTATCTTTCCAAATCCAGTTCGTGATGAAACAACAAACATGTAACTGACCAAAATATCCCAGCCATGTTACCCACCCAAGGCCAAGGCGCATCCCAATCCATCGAAGACGCCGAAGCCCTGCAAGCCTTCTTCGCCGACACGACCGCAAAGCCAAATCCCCAGCAAATCACTCGACGCATCCGAAAGGTGTTTGAAGCGAGATACAAACGCGCATCTCTGATCCAGGCATACAGTCGTCAACAAGCCAAACCCGCCACGGCAAAGGGCAGTGTCAAAGTCACGCTCAACCCTGCAGAGTTCTTGGATTATAATTGTAAATATGAGGGTGCTGTAAAGTGGTTGGAACAGCAAGAGGCATCGTGAAGAAAGCTGATGGCAAAAGAAAACGTATGGATACCTTATCAACCGGATACTTGGTTTGAGATTCAGCATGGGGTGCGGCAGAGACATTATTACGCAAGAAGCAAGACCCAGATCTTTATCTTTGCGTCCACGAGCTGGCAACATGGAAAGGAAATGACATGTAAAACGTTTCAACATTCATGGGATATATATCGACAGGTAGAAAGAGCAGTATAAAACAACAACAAATCCAATGCTCGCCTCAAAAACAACTCCGTTCTGTGCCTTTTTTTTCCAGAGAAAGAAAAACTTTTCGAGGAAAAGAATAAAACACTTATGCGGGACCCTTGCCAGCCTTGGCAGCAAGGAGGTTCAATGCGGAGCCAGCGAGAACAAAGGCACATTGGTCCTTGGAAAGGGTGTGCTTGGTGGCGACTCTGATCTCCTCACCAGCCTTGGTCTTGACCACAAGGGTAACGTTTCCCTGACCGCCAGAGTTGAGGACGTCAAGAAGACCCTCGGTGCGGACCTCGTCACAAGCAGCCATCTTGTCGTAATCGGCCTCGTTGACAAAAGTCAATGGCACAACACCTTGCTTCTTCAAGTTGGTCTCGTGGATACGGGCAAATGACTTGGTAAGGATGATGCGGCCGCCGAGGTAGCGAGGTTGCAGAGCGGCGTGCTCGCGAGCAGAACCCTCACCGTAGTTGTGTTCGGCAACGACGAGCCACTCCTTACCTTGCTCCTTCCACTTCTTGGCCAGAGCGGGGATGCCCATACCATTGGCGCGGGAGTCTGTGTCGTTGACATCGTAGACGACGTTGGTCTCGCCGGTCTCGGCGTTGATGGCACCGATCAGGGTGTTCTCAGCAATGTTGGGCAAGTGACCCTTGTATTTGAGCCAGGGACCTGCGGCGGAAATGGTGTCGGTTGTGCATTGGCCCTTGACCTTGACGAGGACGCGAAGACCGTCGAGCTCTGTCTGGGGGAAGGGAGCGAAGGGCTCGAGGAGAGCAAGGCGGGTGGAGTTGGGGTCGACCTGGACCTCGACGCTGGCATCAGCTTGGCCTGAGGTAGGGAGGAACTCGGGGTTGCCTGTAGCGAAGCCAGTGGTGGGTAGGTCACGACCTTGAGGGGGGTTGAAGCGGAATTCGCCGCCATTGGGGAGAGGGATCGAGTCGGTCATGGGGTTGAAGGTTGTGCTACCACTGTATGCCATGGCAGTAACGAGCTCGGGACTAGCCAGGAAGTTCATGGTCTTGACGTTTCCATCGTTGCGACCACGGAAGTTACGGTTGTAAGATGTGAAGATAGCGTTCTCGGTTCCCTTCTCAACACCATCGGTACGGGTCCACTGTCCGATGCAGGGACCGCAAGCGTTGGCAAGAATGACACCACCAGCGTCGTTGAAGGTGCTGAGGGTCTCGTCACGCTCGAGAGTTGCGCGAACCTGTTCACTACCAGGGGTGATGAAGAAGTCGGCCTTGGGCTGAAGACCGGCAGCTGTGGCCTGCTTAACTAGCGATTCGGCACGTGTCATATCTTGGTAAGAAGAGTTGGTGCAGGAGCCGATCAAACCAGCACCGAGGGTCTCAGGCCAGTTGTTGGCCTTGACAGTTTCGCGGAACATAGACAGAGGAGTGGAAAGGTCGGGAGTCATGGGTCCGTTGACGTGAGGCTCGAGAGTGCTCAGGTCAATGGTGATGACCTTATCGTACTGGGCGCCAGAATCAGCGCGAAGCAGGTTGTGAGGACCAGGAGAGCTGGCAATAGTCTCGGCAGCGATGGCGATGGGACCACGGTGAGTGGCGTGGAGGTAAGGAACGTGGGCCTTGGTGAAGGGGAAGATGGACGTGGTTGCACCAATCTCAGCACCCACTACGAAAAGTTAGCCGTGAAGTTTCGAAGGGTCAAACGAGGGTTACTTACTGTTGCAAACGGTAGACATGCCAGTTGTCGCAAGAGTCTCAACACCAGGTCCAAAGTACTCGACGATGTATCCAGTACCACCACGGACTGTGAGCTGACCAGCAAGGTTGAGGATGATATCCTTAGGACTGGCCCAGCCGCTGAGCTGGCCAACAAGGTTTACACCGAGAATCTTAGGAGCCTTGAGTTCCCAAGGAGCGTCAACCAGAGCATCGACAGCGTCAGCACCACCAACACCAATGGCAATGGCACCGAGACCGCCGGCATTGGGAGTGTGCGAGTCGGTTCCAAGCATCATGAGACCAGGAGCAGAGTAGTTCTCGAGGACGTTTTGGTGAATGATACCAGCACCAGGAGGCCAGAACTCGATACCGTACTTCTTTGCCGCACTCTCCAAGAAGTCAAAGACCTCCTTGTTTCCCTTGATAGATTGGGGCAAGTCGACATCTGCACCTCTTTCTCCAACAATCATGTGGTCGCAGTGAATACTGGCAGGGACAGCAGTGGTAGGGAGACCGCAAGACATGAACTGCAGCAGGGCCATCTGGGCGGAGGCATCTTGCATGGCAACTCTGTCAGGCTTCAACTTGAGGTTGGCCTTTCCACGAATGTCGGCGCCATTGTTCGTTCCGGTCAAGAGGGACTCCTCGGGTGACTCAAGATGTGAGTAGAGGATCTTCTCGGCGAGTGTGAGGGGACGGTCGGGCAGGATACGGCGGACTTGGTGTAGTCTTTGCAGCAGCTTTGGGTATGGCGGGGTGCGACTGGCCAGGTCGGCGGCAGAGGGCATGGTAGAGGCATCCGCCGCGGTAGCCAGATGACGGCGCGCTATTGAGCCTCGCGAAACAGAAGAGGCAAGTGACTGCCGACGTGTTAGTCATGCCTTGTAAACCATTCAATTGCGGAGTATATCGCATACCCTGACTGCGGGCAATCTGCCTGTGCGCAATAATTGTGCTCCCATGGTGCCTGATGTGTTCAACAGGAGGAATATACAGGGAGAGAAAGGCAAAATGACTGGTCACTGGTCTCGCGGCCGAAGTCGCCCAGATATTTCGCTGTTGCCCGCCGATCTTCCGCCAAAGCTTTTCTCCACATTTCTTTCGCAACCACCCGCGTCTGGGGTGCGGATGCCCTCATGAACCACTGGCCACACGTCCATTAGTAATATCTCACTATTCTCTTTACAAAACATCAGGGAATGCATGAAGAGTATCTGCTTGCTATGTATAAGTTCCAACTCTGGAAAGATGCGGATGTATTGTCATACGTCTGTTGGCTTAGATTTCTCGATTTGCTGACATGTCCTCCATATCCTCAGCCTGAAGGGAAGTTTGGGAGCACGTCTACTGCATCTGAGTCTGTGAAGCGACATTCTTGCTGCAAGCACAGCGTGCTCGTCGACAATCGAGTCCGAGCTCAGGATACGACTACGGGCAGTCTTTTGAGAGCGAAAGCGTGGCACAACAGGTTGATCCTTAGACCCTTCGGCGAATGTCGTAGTTGTGAGCGACGAAATCCACAACGCACTGTACGTTGTTCGAAGGAGCTTGAGGGTTGCAAGCGACCGTGTGACCCTGGTTCTCTGCATTCTCCGATGTCACAGACAATTCGGCGAAGGCTTCCCCCATGGTTCTAGCCTCCTGGTTGAGCCTGGCTCTGGAGTTGGCATATAGTGTGCGGGACTTGAGATTTGCAGCGTGGATCTCAGCTCCAGACCTGCTTTGGCCCATGTACATGATATCAAATGGCTCTACCATGTCTTTGGCAACTTTGATAGTCATTGCGAAGCGATATTCATCCTCGAAAATTTGGTTGATAGAGTTTGGGGAAGTCATTCCGCACTTGAGATCAGGCTGCTTATCCTCGAGATCTGAATGGCAGTGCGTTGAGTTGGCTTGTCCTTTGTGACCGCAAGCATACGACCATCTTGTCATACAGTCGGGCAGCCTCATGGTAGTGGCATAACGTTCTTCCATCACGAGCACTTCCGGCTGACGAAGGCGGTTCATCTGAGCGGCTCTTGCCAGGAATTGGCGATAGCGCTCTCTGGTGACCACACCACTGTCTGTTTATGGTGTCATTGTGCCAATTGTGGTGGATGAGGTCTGCTGGCGGATGAAGACGTAATTCGTGGCTCTGATTTATTGGATAAGATGGTTGGATACGTCCAAGAATTACAGAGATGGTGACTCTGTACAACACCTACCTGTGAGCGGCATCTCTTGTGATTCGGTGGGTGGGATAGACGACAGTCGCAGTCCTTCTGGGTCGGTGGATGAGATATTGCCATGGTATATCACGGATTTTAGTGAGCTTTTGCACCAAACATAGAGTGTCAATACACATCATGGCACAGTACAATGCCGATCAGAGTGAAGTTTGCAAATACAGCTGACAGAATACGGCGAGTTATCTTCCCAAAAGTGGTTGCGAAGAGAAGGAAGATGACTTTACCAAAGAGAAGGAAGATCGAGGCGTGCTTGGCGGCACCGGCGAGGGTCCAAGCTCACCTCCGCCCTCTCCGCCCCGCTGATGTCGTTGCGTGTCGCATCGCGACAGACAGCATAGTCACATCCAAGTTCAGGACATTACACAGGCGCAAGTTGGAGTGCGCAAACGATCATGACTTCGAGACTTGTATTATGCTTGGGCGATCTCTTCATCCCGGATCGTGCCAATGTAAGTTGGCTCCCTGTGCAATTCGCACGCCTTGACTGACAACGCGACAGGACATCCCAGCAAAGGTACGACAAGACAGTCCTCCGGCCATTGACCCTCGATCTGGCTCCTAACGCGACTCGGAAACAGTTCAAGAAACTCCTCACACCTGGAAAAATTGGCCAGATCCTCTGTCTAGGCAACCTCACATCACCCAGCGTCTACACCTTCCTCCGAAACCTCGCTCCTGATCTTCAACTCGTCAAGGGTGACTTTGACATCTCGCTATCAACTCCTGCCCCTCCGAATCCGAACGCCGCATACGCTGCTCCTACCGATCAGGTCCCAGTCCCTACTGCCCTCTCAAAAGTAGTCACACATGGCGGTCTGCGTATTGGCTTCACACATGGTCACACCATCGTCCCACCAGGCGACCCAGACAGCTTGTTGATAGCAGCAAGACAGATGGATGTTGACGTCTTGTGCTGGGGCGGTACATGCAAGTTTGAAGCCTACGAGATGGAGGGAAAGTTCTTTGTCAACCCTGGCAGTGCGACCGGCGCCGTCAGTTGGTCACCAGATGCCGAGCTCGACTCTGAGGGCGAGGCCGTCTCAACGCCCAGCTTTGTGCTTATGGATGTGAGTCGCCACGCATCATGGGCTAACCTAGTCGACCTTTCTGATCATCCCGAGCAGGTCCAAGGAGACGTCCTCGTGCTCTACGTTTACCAGCTTCGCAAGGACCAGAACGGTGTGGAGAACGTGGCCGTCGAAAAAGTCTCCTACAGGAAAAACGCCTCTTCATAGTACTCTGTCATACCAGCCCACATAACGACATCCAATGTTTAGTAATCCCCACCTTGATAACAGAATCTCACCATCGAAACCCAGACCACCACCTCCCACTATCTCGGACTGCTTATCGATAGCGGATGCTGACTTGTTTTTCTCTCTCTGACTCGGACCTGATGATTCGAAACGATTGTGCTGACAGAAATTAGAAGTTCTTGTTCGAAACATCAATCTAAAATGACAGGGTTGTTCCCCACACGGACCTTTCGGAGTTTACAAGAGCGATTCCATCAAGCATCACCAAGAGTTTACTGTAACACAGAAGTAGCCGCGTAGAGGTTGACCCAGCATCGAACTTCCTCTTCCCTGTGAGGCCTCTAAACTGGCGGTAAAACGGAAGGATGCTTTTGGTAATCAGGTACACGGCCACTGCGAGCGGCGCTTCTCCTTGATTTTAAGCCAGGTGTCTCGCCAGGCTGAGATTCCGGTTCTGGTGCGGTTTCTGTGCCCCTATATGTATGGTATTGTGGTGGGAGGAAAAAAGAAACAAGTTTTGGAAGTTCTGCGTATGGCGATGGACGACAGCCTACATGCATGACTTCACGCCATCCCTTGGCTTCCAAACATATCGGCAAAGACGATCTTATGGTACGCCAGGAGAGCATACGTGCTTACCACATGGATATTTGGAAGTAGAGCTAGGTCCAAAGAGAGGACTTCAATTCGTCGCTCTCTGCGAACGATGTGCTGTTGTTCAAAACCATCGTGCATTTGATATATAGATCAATTTGCTTCGCGGCGGCTTGGATGTGACAAAGTTTAGCGCATAAGGAGGCTGCACTGCGACAACTCTGTCGCTTCTCAATTCGAAGTCACAGGTTGTGGCGAAAGACCATCGTTGAACATCGAACTTCTCCGAATCATGCTAGATGCTGTAGCGTGGAAGGAAGGAATGATCAAGAAGAAGATGGATCATGGATGGGTCGAGTGCCAAGAAATGTTGTGACGTCGTGCTTTGCTGCACTTTTGCACCTTCTGCGACTCGCTCCATCTCTCCTTCTGCTGTCGAATCACGAATCTATCTCTGTCGCCATAGACCGGCACTCATTGATCGGTACATCCATGTCCGCACTTTTGGATAGTCGAGATTGTTCGAAACTCAAGTGGCGTCCACCTTGAGTGAAACCTTTGCTTGGCATAGGGAAGCATGAATAAAATGGAATACCTATCTGGATTGAAAACACAAAATACATCAACCGCTATTCTACCACTCCCTGCCAATGTTGTCGCACAGATCAAATCATCCACCAACATCACTAGCCTCAACGCGGTAATACTGGGACTGTTTGAGAACTCCTTGGATGCAAAAGCAACAAAAATCGATGTGTCCGTCGACTTTCGCCGAGGTGGTTGTACGGTAGAAGACAATGGCCTCGGTGTTCTTCCTTGCGAGTTTCGCGAGACTGGCGGGCTTGGTCGCATGTATCACACGTCCAAGCACCAGGATAATGCGCAATACGAAAATCATGGTGGCCAAGGAACCTTTTTGGCATCGACAGGAGCACTATCGCTTCTCACCATCACTTCTCGCCATTTCCAGCACTACTCTCATAATACTCTGGTGCTACATCGGTCAAAGCCAATTTCCAGATTGACGCCAGCTCCGCCACAGCATGAGATTCGCAGTCACAATACCCATGGCACACGCGTGTCTGTCAAGGATTTGTTCGGCAATATGCCTGTGAGAGTCAAGCAACGTGCCAACTATGCAGAAGAAGGCTCTGAAGTCGAGAGGCAATGGCAAGCCCTCAGAGTCGGTGTTGTGGGCTTGCTTCTACCATGGAATCGGCATGTTAAGGTCATAGTGACGGACTCAGGGAACACAGCAAAGACCTTTTCGATCAACACAGGTGCACACTTTTTGCCGAACACTCTGAGTGAGAGAAATTTGAATATCCTGAACAAGAAGACATTGGCTTTCGATCAGAACACTATTTTGAGCATCTTGTCCCAGTCAGGCATCATCGCTACCGACTCCAAGAGCAGCTGGATTCCGGTATCTGCCTCTACCCTGTCAGTCATTGTCAAGGGCCTCATATCGTTGGATCCGGCTCCTAGTAGGGCCGCGCAATTCATCTCTATTGGCATAACGCCTTGTTTGGATGAGAACAGGCACAACGAGCTTTACGAAACTGTCAACCGAATATTCGCCCAGTCGAGCTTCGGCCATGTGGCTGACAATTCTGAGCCTGACGAGGCAGAGGTCAAGCGCCGGCAACATGACCGTCGATTCAAGCAAGACGGTCTCACCAACAAACAGATACGAGGAGGCAGAAAAGGAGTTGACCGATGGCCAAGATTCTATTTCCGTGTCGAACTGAAAGCTGATGAGAGCGCACAGCCTGTGAGCAAGCTCAGCGACATGCGTCTCAAGAGTATTGTCAATGTTCTCGAAAGTCTGACCATGCATTGGTTGGAGGCGAACAATTTTCGTCCGAAGAAAACAGGTCGGAAGAGGAAACAAGCCCATCAATCCACAGCCGCAGCGGATCAGACTCTCGAAGCTCCAGGAAGTAGACCCGCTTCTGCTTCTCTACGACAGTCTGGCAGCGGCCTGCTTCGTACATCAAGTCAAGCAAGTATCACGAGCGACGACAATCAAGGCTCTAAGAGAGTGCGATGTAGACCGCGTGTTAATGATGCCACACCGACGATGCCGTTCACAGACTGGAGTAGGATCAAGAGTGCTCGACCACAGATGTACGAAAGCATATGGAAGTGCAAGACACCCCAATTGAAGCAAACCGTAGGGAATCCAGCAAGGACAGCAGAAACTCCTACTCCGATCAGTGTGGAACCCGTCTTCGCAAATCAATTTGGATTTGAGCACTGCGCATCTCCCAGTACGACAAAAGAGCAAGGGACGATGGGCGATGAACGATATCATATCCACGACCAAGCCGATGAGGCATACATTGACTGGGTTGACCCAAAGACCCATCAGAAACATCGCATCAACGCACGTACTGGCATTGTCATGCCAGACCAATCTCACAGAGCGATACCCAACGATACTCCCGCAAACCGGACAACAGCTGCGGCAGATTCGCGGTTATCATCGTTCGGCAGGTCACTTGTTCTTGAGAGAAGGAAAAGTACACCACGCGCACTGCGCAGCCCGACCTCGAACACAACATCTGCTTCACCGTGGCTCGACGCATTCTTACAAACTTGGAAGAACCCAACGTTTGCAAATCAACCAGAACAAGCGATACCTACAGTTGGATTCGGAGGGCCTGGACAAGAAGCCCCGCATTCACATGACCACCACCAGCGATGTGCCATAGTGGACTCATTCTCGCATGCTGGAACTACTGATACAAGTCGGCTATCCAAATCTGCTCTGTCACACGCACATGTCATCTCACAAGTTGATGACAAATTCATTCTGATGAAGATACCGAGTCTTTCAGGACCTAAGTCAGAAGAGCTGGATCATACCAGACAACTGCTAGTGTTGATGGACCAACACGCAGCGTCAGAGCGATGCATTCTCGAGGCACTTCTGGAAGGGCTTTGCACGCCGAACCGGGGCACCACACTTATGAAGTCGAACTTCGGTTTCACATCAGCCATCCTCACAAATCCAGTGGACAAACCGCTACATTTTCAGCTTCCTTTTCAAGAGGAACAGATGTTCAGGAATTACGCCCAACACTTTGCAAGCTGGGGCATTCTCTACGATCTAATTTCAAACAAGACAGACCCGCCTCGCCTCAACATTCTGACACTACCTCCTGGCATATCAGAGCGCTGCAAGACCGAGCCGAAGCTGATCATGGAACTCCTTCGTGGCGAGATATACGCTCTGGCTGAGACCGGCAGCACACGAAGTCGACCTGCAGACGTCGAACTGGCGGACACAAAACACGCATGGCTTAGACGGATGGGCTCTTGCCCGAAAGGTATATTGCATCTGTTGAACTCACGGGCATGCAGAAGTGCCATCATGTTCAACGATAGATTGAGTCTGGAGCAATGTCAGAATTTGGTGCGGAAGGTGGCTGGATGTGTTTTTCCGTTCATGTGTGCGCATGGGAGAAACAGTATGGTGCCGTTAGTCTATCTTGACAATAATGGCGGAGATGTTGAAGGAAGCTTGAATGGTTTTGGTGAAACAGCAGAGCAAGGCAAGAGCTTTGGAGAAGCGTACAAGAAGTGGAGAAAGGAGAAGAATTAGTTTCTGAGATCACAAACGGAACTTTTGCTCGAATCCCAAACTCTTTTCTTTGGCTGGCATGAGTATCGTTAATACGGGTATCAATCTGCATTTTTTCACTGCGTTGTTTCATAATTCACGTCGTCAAAGGGAAACTGACATTTGAGGCTATGCCCGGCTACCTATGGAAGTCGAGCTCCCTTTCTGACATGCTGATTTTACCTCGCTTGTACTTTATTTCTCATCTCACACACCCTTGGTAATCTGCACGGATCAGTTTGATCTTCCTTGTTACTCGAGAAGACAGATATAGTGGACGGTCGCTTCGTCCGCGTATCGATGTCCGTGTCGGCGGGTCGAAAGAAGATGGGCTCTGCAGTATATTTTGCGATACAAGATGTTTAATTACATGCGGTCTTTGTTCGCTCGTTGGAGCAATTTCAGAATGAGGAGCTGGTAGGGCAAAGGAGATATTTACATCGTCTTTTGGCAAAAAGAGCGTTTTTGTGTTGTAACTTCCTCATTTCCAGCGAAAGACGGCTTTGTGGTCATAGAAATGCAAGAACACATGCTACAACAACCCAAATGCACAAGATTTCCATTCTATCAAAAACCAAGAACACACTCAACACCATACTCAACAACACACGTAGCATCAAGGGCAAAAGAAGAAGAAGTTTATGAGACACTGTGCTCGATGGTGAAGAAGAGGGACTTTTTAACATCCCCCTACTCCATACCGCGCACAGAGTCTCATAATAACCGTGAGCGGGAATCGAATCCGCGACCTCCTGTGCTTCAAGATTTCAAGGACACCCACGTGCGCCTTGTATAATAACACAGGTGTGATACCACTACACCATCACAGCTTAATGACTTGTTGGAAGGGATGAAGTTTTGCTGGTTATAAAGGTTGAGTGGGTGGGAGGGAGGTGGTGGGGGTTGTGACTGGAGGGGAGGTGAATTGAGTTGATTTCGGAGGCAGCGGGATTCGAGACGTGAGTAATCGGGTGGACGTGGGAACGAGATCAGTGAGCGACGAGAACCCCAGAATGATGTTCGATTTTGGTCGGCACACTGCGATCATAGTCCGGTGATTGTTGTTGCCGAGTCTGTGATAGCTGGAGTGAAGCCTTGCAACCTACATCTAAAGTCAGCCTTTCAAAAGATTATGACACTTTCCGAGCCTCGGGATCTTGGAAAGTGTTCGATATATCTCGTCCGTCCATCAGCAGCAGTCGCTTGACCGAAGTCACATGCGCTAATCATCACGTCCGGTTTATGCTTGGTTGCGAGGGTGCGATCGAGCTTTCTGCAGTAGCCGCCGATATCTATCGAGATTTCTGCTTGGGGAACTCGGATGATGATGATGGTGACCTTCCAGTCAAATTGTCGAGCGGTGTCGGAACCTATTCACACGTTTGTGTTGCATCGATAGCCGCACCATACCATTGTACTTGATATGCCATCCAGCCTTCGGGTGCCAGGCCCCGGACATGGCTCGAGATAAATGATGTTATCTGCGCAGTCAGCCGGCAGACGTCCTTAAGAGTTTTGGAAAGCTTCGACGATTGCTTGGGGAAGAAATAGTAGCCAGCTCGAATTGAAGACGATCCCGCCCATATTGGATGTGTTTGATCCATAGATCGACCCAAAGACGACACTCACGTCCGTGAACATGCTGTAGAGTCCGAAGATCCCGAGGAGGCAACAGGGTGGTGTGGCAGCTTGACTGTATGCAGTAATTGGTAGAAGTGGCTTCGTGGGAGCGAGAGTTGAGGTGAGAGTTCCCGTGATCCGCGATTTAGTTACGGTCACGTCTGTGAACTTGCTTTAGTCGTACGAGATCTCACAGAGGCGATAAGGGGTCGTAATCCAGGTTATCGACATGCAGCGGGCTGTACAGGCAAAGAGGTCGGCTTTACGAAAGCAGGAACTATAGCTAGAGAGTCGAAGACCCATCGAGCAAACCGGGGGCACGTTCATGAACTTGCTGCGACTACGACATGTCTTGGAGACGGAAGAAGGTCGTGGTCTAGCTTGTCGGTACGCAGCCAATAGTACTGGCAGAAGGTCGGCTTTACGAAAGCAGGAAATATAGCAAGAAAGACGAAGGCCCATCGAGCAAACCGTAGGCACGTCCATAAACGGGCTGCAACTATATGACATCGCATGGAGACGGTAGGGGGTCATGGTTCGGTTTGTCGGCATGCAGCGGGTGGTACGGGCGGAGAGGTCGGCTCTACGAAAGCAGGAAGTATAGCAAGAAAGTCGACGACCCATCGAGAAAACCGTGGGCACGGCCATAAACTCGCTGCGACTACACGACATCGCATTGAGACGATAGGGGGTCGTGGTTCAGCTTGTCGGCATGCAGCGAGCCACAACCTCATAGAGCTCGTCTCCGCGAGCATACCGCTCGCACTACGACGCGTCGATAACCCGGTTGAGCCATCGAAGTAGCAAAGTCGATATTAGTCTCCGTGGAGGAAAGCATTGAGGTACTCGCTGCTCAGTCGCAATCGAGTACGACTGTGATCGGTTTGTGATGATTTGAGCCCTGGGTAGGAAGACCTTATATAGTCTCTCAGAAGCGTGCTCTTGTCTGCTTCACAGTGTTCGTAAGTACTTGATGTCCCGGTGTTGTCTCGAGCTGTTACCGAATGTGGAACATCAGTTCAGCTGCATGTCCAATCCATATTTTCAAGACGAAAGTTCAGCTATATCAATCAGTAAATATGACACCAGTCAGTATTGCACCGAGAACTTGAAAGTTTGATGTCGAGAGAGAGAGACGTTGTCGATGCCAAGCCAGAAGGAGCTCTCGAGATTCACATGCCAACGGATGGGTACGTCATCGGAAAACATGGATCACGGATTCGGCGTGATATCAGCTGGCGGAATATGGTGGAGGTTCTAAGAAAAAGCAGGGCAGGATTTGAGCCGGAAAGTGAGGTGGACAGCTGACCTTAGGCCGCTTTATCTTTACAGACAGATCAGTCGATCAGAGTCGCTCGAAAGTAGGCCTTTGTTTATCCTGCGCAACGCCAGCTTCCCTGAACTCGAAGAATCGCAACTTCACCACCTAGATTTCACACACATCCGCGGACATGGAGGAGCAAGTAGAAAGACTGGTCAAGAAGACATGGGCAAAGTTCCAGAAGGTTCCCCGGTCCAAGAGGCTGATGATCGCCGTATCTGGCATACCCGGTTCAGGTGGGACAGGTGCTCTCTAAGCTGTCGCAATGCGCCGTACTGACAGCTTCCTAGGCAAGACAACCCTCGCATCTGTAGTCGCAAACCGATTGAACCAGCTTCACCACGAACAAACTCCCGCTTTGGCGCAAAATGATGAGCTTGCTGCTTTCATCCCAATGGACGGCTACCATTTGTCGCGAGCACAGCTAGATGCTATGCCTGATCCAAACACCGCCCATGCGAGACGTGGCGCCGCTTTCACCTTTGACGCGTCCTCTTTCTTGGAGCTCGTCAAGAAGCTACGACAGCCAATCTCGCCCGAGACAAGAACTTTGTATGCTCCATCTTTTGACCACGCCCAGAAAGATCCTGTCAACGACGATATTCCTATCCACCCTGAAGCACGTATCCTGATATTCGAGGGCAACTATCTGAGCTTGGGCACGGGTGCGCCTGAGTGGAAAGAGGCAGCGGAGCTCATGGACGAGCTTTGGTTTGTCGAGGTGGAGGAGGATGTAGCAAGGGAGCGACTGGTGAAGCGTCACATTGAGGCCGGCATCGCCAAAGATGAAGACGAAGCGCGCAAGAGAGCCGACGAGAATGATCTCGTCAATGGTCGCGAAATCGTACAGAACAGACTCAGCGTGCACGAAGTGATCAAGTCAAAGGACGATGGCAGCTGGAAGCCAGAGAATCAAGGCATGGATGCTGCCGAAGTGAGCAGAGAGGCATAGACCATGGTTAAGACGGATCGCATGATGCATTCATGATCTAGACAATCTTAGAATTTCAGGTTAGATGAGCAAACAACTGTGGCTTAACGGTTCTCTCGCTTTCTGTGTCGTACTCGGTCGACTTTTCCATGATTTTGGGACGGTTTGGACCATCACGATCTCGCAATTGTTTGCGGGTAATGACGCCCCGTTGTGGAGAAGCTTGCGACCAAATATCGCGCTCGGCTTGAAGACTGTCCTCGCGTGATGTGTGAGTTTTTGCTCCCATACTCTAGAAATTGTTGGAGAACGCTTGCATATGGTACTGCTGGCCTTTCATATCCTCTGCTTGTCAACAACTCGGAGCAAAGGGTCTTTGTGGGAGTCCAATCAAGCAGGGCATGGTGAGTGACAGTCGTGGAGAAAGCGGGACAAGGTTGGTCATAGCTCCGTTCCAGCCACAAAACAATGACGCTTTGGGCTATGACGTACCCCAAAGCTGGCATGAGCGAGGCGTAGCACTTACATTTAACGTCGTCTCCCAGCTCTTCTCACTCGTTTCCTCCCATATCCATCTCCAAACTCTTCACATCTTCAATCTCCAACCCCAAAACAACTCACAACCATCACAATGGCCTCTCTGTCTTGTAAGTCATGACTGAATATCTCTCCCTGCAGCCTTCCACACTCTCCAGAGCTCTCTGCGCGACGTGTGTGTGCCCGGTTCAGGGGGAAGAGAGCTACATCAAACCAATTCATCGACTAACGCGTCTTTTCCTCAGACCTCCCTCCCGTCAAGCCCTCGGCCATCGCCGTCGGCACTGCCTTCAACCACCTCGCCTCTCTGGCCATCCTCGGCCCCGTCTTCGGCGACACCTACCGCCAGGCCCAGGCCGCTAACTCCAAGGAGGAGTTCTTCAAGTCCAAGGAGACTGCTTCGGCCGCCGCTGCCTGGGGTACTTCCCTTGCCGGCTCTGCCCTCCAGTCCTACGGTGTTGGTGCTCTTCTCAACGCCACCGGTACCCTCTCCTACAAGGGCGCCGCCTACCTCGGTGGTCTGATCTTCGCTGCCTCCTCCGCTCCTTCGGTAAGTTCCATCAACTTCCAGATATTTCTTCGACAGCCACTAACAGCCTCGCCAGTTCATTGCCCAGATCTTCACCGAGAAGCGCCCTCTTGACACCGTCGCCGTCGGTGCTCTTGCCCGCGTCTTCGAGACCGTCGGTCTGTCCATGTTCCTCACCTACTGGGGCACCCGCACCAACCCCTTCTCATAAGTTAATCGCTTAGAGAGAGGTTGAGTGTTATTTTGTTTCATGCCATGACGATTCAGGAGGATGACTTTAATCAATTCAAATCCATGATGGGCGTTTTACCAGAGAACAATTGCCCAATTGTACCATTAGCTTAGTTCGAAATCAGAACTCTTCTACAACCACTTTGCTGCTTCCTCTTGATCATGCTTTGATTCCGTATTGTTTGAAAACATATTCAACCCTGGCATTGCGATTTTGCCAACATCAAGTCTATGTCTACCAAAATCTTCAAGCCGCAAATATAAGACCCAAACGAGATAAACGTCGTGACCTTGACTTCTACTGTATCACAGCATGGTCGCTGCATGCTTGTTCCTTTCAAGCATTGCTGAACACGAGTCGGCGGATACATTGATGGTTCACCCGAGGCTTCCAGCCTGAAGCCCCGCCATTTTTTCTTTTGATCTTCTTTTTCCATTCCACCATCACCAACTTTTTTCTTGTCCCCTCGTCGTCGCAACTCGCAACCAACCACCCACCCAAATCACACAACCATGTCCGCCGAAACCGACCCTTTCCTCGCCCTCGACGTCTCGACCGACGACTACGCGACCACAGCAGCACACGACCAACAAGTAGGCGCAGACGCAACAGTCGCAGCCGTTCAAGCCGAAGACGACAGCGATGCCGAAAGAGAAAAAGCCACCGCCGCACGTGCTGCTAGAACGAGATATACCAAGGAAGACTTTTTGGCACAAAAAGCGAGTTATACGGCTAGGATTGATGAGGGTAGTGTGAGTATCATTGCGCATTTCGCCGGGGATTAAGGGCTTTGCTGATTTCGTCGCTGCAGGTTTGGAAACAATTACTCGTCTTCGGTCCGCCGTTTCGACCTTCTGGGGCCTTTTTGTCCGCTTTGGACGCTGGGGATGTGGATGTTCCGAAGGGGAATGGCGACAGCAGCACGGGAAAGAGCAAATTGGATAAGAAGCATCATCAAGCCATCCAGGCTGCTGTCTCGGAGTTGTACTTTTTGCAAAAGTACGCTGCGGTGCAAGAGATCATCACATGGGCGAAAGAACACTTTGAAAAGGATAAGAAGTGGGATGCACAGGTTGTGAAGTGGGAGGGCAAGATCAAGGAGAAGATGAGTGCACAAGAGGTGGCATGAACGAACGGACATGCGACATGAGCGTCTATTAAGGACCAGCCTCGCACCGATGACGACCGAGGTTCATCACTCCAGCGCTCGCTTCTTTCGAACACTCTCTTCCTTCCGTCCTCGATACAGACTCGTGAGATCCCTCCTGGCTGGCTTCATTGCTATGGGACGAGCAAGGCTTCATGGAACAACAGCAAAATAGCCGCTGGATTCACAACGTCCTCAACACATTACAACCTACGGAACTGCGACAACCCCATCACTATGGGCATGTGCACGCGACAAGCAGCGGCCAGCTCTGCCCACGCTCCTCAGGAAGCCGCACGAACAAGATATACCTGTTCATATACTCCTCTTCATGTGGCCTCGGCCGAACGAGCCCGGCTAGCTGCTACTCACGCTCGCCTCAACGACATCACTGCCAACCCCGAGAGCTCGCCAATCTGGTCATCCATATCCCCGCCGCAGGTGCCTCTAGTCTCGCAGTGAAAAATGAGGATGGCTTATGCACCACGACTGAGGCTCGACAAGACCATACCTCGCTCCACGTCAACCTCTACGGCGATCAAGCTCAAGGACGATAGGAGGGGATAAGCCGGACTTTTTCTCTTCCTCTGTCGCACATAGATATAGCAGTACAATAAGAATACTCACTTGCTTGACCTCTACACTACATATCTAGTGTCTTGCGCTGTGCCGAAGAGGAGTCGAAATATACTATACTGCACGATTTGCTCGTGGACGTGCTTGGATTTATGATGCATGAACACTTTGTCAAGAGTGTTCGCAAAAGCCGGACTTCACCAGCGGGTATTACGATGCTACTTGGATAGTTGCCGTATACCGCAACTTTTAATTCTCGTTTGAGCGTCTTAATTATTATAAGATGAACGAGCGACCGCGTTGGAAATGGCTACGTGGTCTGTGCTTGAGCTATAGCTTCGTTTCGGGGATGACCCTGCTTGTGGAGAATAATATACTTTTTGATATTACAAGTTGCTACGGATGTCTAGTCTACACTGCTTGGAGGGACGCAGTGGACAGGTTCATCATTGGGTTCTTGTTGTTTCAGAAGTGGATTATTGTAACAAATTCTCGTGATCCACTGGTGAGATGTGATGCCTAGAGCATCATTTCGTGGCTGCAAAGGTATGACTACCAAAGTATAATTATGTTGTCGGAGACGGTGAACTGCGAAATGAAGCAAGAAGAAGCGTTGGTTCAAAGCAAAGGAGAGCAAAGATCACATAGAAAAAAGGATGTCAAGTATTTGAGGTAAGAGAATTGATTCATTAAGGTAGCGATCAAAAGGGTATGCCTGTCTTCTCCCAATTCCAATCCATAGCGCTTTCCATAATCATGTCATAATGGGTCGTGATAGTTCATGCGACGTCCGTCTGAAAGTAGGGATGTCGTTTGCGTTGTCGTTGCTCGCGAAAGTTTGGAGAAGTCATCGCGCATGCAGCAGGGTGGTTGGTGAATAGATCAACGGAAGCAGTTGAGCTTGCCGAAGGAGAAGCGGAAGGGAGCGCGACGAGGGCCATGCTTGTCGACGATAACACCACCACCTGAAGAACGAGTTAGCAATTGTGTGGTGAGTTGCGCGATGGAAGATCAAGCTTACCGGCGTGCTTGCCGCCCCAACCCTTGGTCCACATGAAAGGCATCTTGTTTTGATAGAGTTCTTGATGAAAGCTTGGGAGTTTTGCTTGATGGTCTGCCGAGATGTTGCAGTTGTTTTGAGATGATGTTTTTGGAGAGTTGTTGATGGAGAGAATCGATTACTGGTGGTGATAGGGAAGTTCTTATGTAGAGATCAAGTCGCGCGTTCCTCACTGTCTGGTCATCGATCTCATTCGTTCAACAAAGACCTTGCTTTCTGTGTTGATCGTGAGGCTGGGTGTTGTGAAACAGGAAGATTGTGGCTGTGCGTATGCTTGGCTCATGTCATTGGATCGTCGGAACGTCAGAGGCTTTTGTTGCCAACGCTCATGATTTTGGTGAGTTTGGTGATTATTTCTTGAAACCACCTGCTTTTTGAGATTGACCTTGCAGCTGTCAACTGCGCGTGGCTGGGGTAGCATATCACAACTTGCAAAAGGAAGCGAAGTCCGTCTATAAGGTTTCTGATGCTGCGCCACCTTCCTCATATGGCTTGAACATGGTCAATCCATGAGCTCCATTTGAAGATGGACTGCATGGACGTCTCCTTTTTCATGATGATAATTCCTGGGCATCGACCTTTTGAGTGCTTGAGCTGAAGGTCCCGCAGCACGATCGCTGAATATGTGGCTGTGACAACGTCAGTAAGCCACTTCTTCTCAAACGGCTTTCATTGATTGTCGAGCCGTCTTCACTGCAACACTGATGGTGTGACAACTGGCTGGAGCGACATCATATCCATACTGCAAGCCAGAGCATGCACCTTGGATACTCGAACCTCACGAGCATCAAGACTAACGCAGACGCTGATCGCGAATTCTGGACTCGCATTCAGACGACGATAATCACGACAGGACACCCTCAACGAGTGCTGTCGGATGCCTTCAAGTGATTCGGACCTCTTTCTGCAAGGATATCGGTAGTATCACTGCCAAGAGTATTGCAGCAATGGCTGTCTACTTCCTACGGAAGACCATATCAGCTACCCAGAAAACGTTTCTCTTCATTACCGTCATTGCACTCGTTCGCTTCCAAGCTGAACGAAAGTTCGTTATACGCTGCAAAGCTCAGTTATGTCAAAGAGTAAGGATGAACGTGGACAATGCTAAATCTTGAGCCTCCTGATAGGTAGTGGTGTTGCTAATTGAAGACTCCGCATTGCGTCAACTCACTAGGATGCTTTTCGTCTCTTGCTTCGAAATCGGTAGAGGTATGCTTGATGAGCACGGTAAGAGAATATCCAGGATCCTGAGCCAGATATCTCCAGATTGCCGGGTTGGCGGTGGATCACACAAACTTGCTCAATCCTTCGCACAACATATCATGACCGCCTGATAAACTCACTGTCATTTTCTTCTGCTTCCATATTCTGAAGAGCTTCGAAAGACCAACACCGTCGGTTTGTCGAAATTTATCAGCTCAATACCGCAAGCCTGTAGCACCTCGCAACGTATAAAACACCCGACAATCAGGGGTTCCGCCCAGGCAAAACAACCTCCACCACAGTCCACAGAATCTTCGCCCGAATAGCAGTTTCAAGATGCTTTCCGCCATCTCTCAACAACGTCCAGTATCTGCACCCTCAAATCCCGACACCCAAATGATGGGAGCCAAGTCTGCGGAAAACACCACGATGACCGCAACAGCGCGCTTCAAGCGGCTCACCCCAAAGCAAACTGTCTCCCATAAGCATCGCATTCGAGGAAACTCAACGTCTCGTCGCACGAGTCGAGCCGTTCGTACCAGATATCAGAACATTGTCTCCAGCATAATGTCTCCCCTCCCTCATCAACACTCGGTCTTCGCAACTGCAGACTCGCCGAACACAGACGTCGACCTCGAAAAAATGGTAGCCAAGTTCGCAGAGCTCACAATCACGCCTGCACCAAATCGCTTCGAGCGTTTTAATGAGCTGCCACCAGAGCTTCGACTGAGTATATACCACTTTGCTTTTGAGTCGGTACTTGAAAGCCCGGAAGAACAAAGCCTGCCCCATTCTCTAACACAGGTATCCAGCGAACTGCGCCACGAAAGCACGGTTTCTTTACTACCTCGTATGATGCCTCGCATGAGGGACATGGTTCTCACACTCGACAAACCTTCACCATCCCAAGGTTGGGCTGTAAAGCTGGAACCATGGACTGGCTCAGTCTGGGAGCCTTGGTTAGCACACAATCCACCACCAACTCTATGCTTAAACTGGAGCTGGGAAAATTTCCTCCGCTCAAAAACCGCTATGGACCATCTCCAGAACATAAGGACTCTCAAATGGAAGTGTGAAGGCAAAGGATTCATCGTCGCATTTGAATACGATATCATCGCGAGGGTCAACAACCCTGGCAACATACCGGTAGAAAATTACCAAGTATCGTCCGGCGGCACGATCTACGAACTCGAAACAGGCCCTTCGGTGCCTATGACCATGGATCAGAGAGGACGCCTCATCTGGCTTCTCCTTGATGCCAAACAAGCAGTGTGCTCCATGCATATCTTGAATGAATTGAAGAAGATTTGAGCCTATTGACTGGTTTCTACATGTTTTGAAGTGATACCGTCAGTATCGCCGCAACAAGCCGTCAACGCGACTGCGCTGGAAAGCATGCACAGCAAGTATTTTACGACAAACAAGCTCTCATCCACAACCATCTCATATTTGAGCATCACACACGAGCATAGGAAATAGATTGCACAGGCGGAGAAAGGAGCCTAGCAACATGATCACAAGACACTCTGAGCTATGTGGAGAACCAAAAAAGAATCAAACAGTCGTACCAAACTATTTCCTTTCGTGGACAACGACTTAGTCCACCTAATCATAACAGACACCGCAACACACATCAAACTTACCATACGTTCCCTCTCGGGCGTGATTTCGGCGTCTAAGGAAGACATTACACAGGTGAAAAATAACTAGAAGGATAAGGAAGAGGGGGAGAGAGCAAAAGAAGGTGGTCTAACATCACGCCGGAAGCAAAGCATGAGATATCTGAACCCTACACTACAAAGCATCAGCCCGAATCATAGTAATCATAACATCCATCGCCTTTCGTCATGAATAGAAGTTATTCCATCAAATCTGCATCGAATCAATAATCTCTCGAACCTCACCTGCTTTCCCTCATCAATCTCACTCCCAACTCAATTTGATAATATCAGCAGCCTACACCACACGTCAGCAGTTTTTCTCCCTTCACCATATCATCACATCCACTCACCTTCTCAGCAACAGCATAAACACTACTACTCGTATGCCCCGCCACAGCCATAGGAAAAACACTCGCGTCCACAACCCTCAACCCCTTGACCCCATACACCCTAACCTCAGCATCCACAACCCCTCCCCACCTTTTCTTCACCATAGCACAACTGCTACTAGGATGTTGCCACGAACTCGTGGCTGCATTCCTGATTGCCGCCTCTATCTCCAGATCTGTGGAAACACTTGCGCCTGGGAATGTTTCAAAGGCGCCGAGGGCTTGCATGGCTGGTGAAGAGATCCATTCGCGGAGTTTGCGGATCGAGGCGATGGAAGTCAACATATCAGTTGGATGCGCAAAAGTGCCGAAATCGATGGAAGGGGGGTGGAAGGGGTCGGTGGTTGTTATTTCTATCGCGCCGCGGGAAAAGGGCCGGATCATGGCGAGGGGGATAGTGTTTCCGCCTTCCCAGGCGATCTCCGCTACTGCGGCGTCGGGGGAGGCGTAGAGGTTGAGCAGAAGATCATGTTGGGCTTTATAGCCTGCGAGGATGGAAGGGTGGATTTTGGAGGGCAAGATGGAGGAGAGGTTTGTGAGTGCTGTGGTGGTGAGGATGGAAGGGTAGGAGGGGGTTATGTTTTTGAGGGGGAGGAAGGCGACGGAGCTGCCTCCTAGGTAGGGGATGGTGATTGGACCTGTTTGACCGTCATATGAGGTTCCTAGCATATCAAGGTGAATTTTGCTTACCCGTGCGGTTCTTGTTGTAAATGTCCAGTTGCTCAGCCGCCCAGCTGGCATTCGAGAACATCCAGTCTGGTGTTGGGAATGTGTAGTTGCCATCTACTCTTCCTCATTAGCACCCATCTCCACTTCTCCAAGAACGAATGCACCTACAGCTGAATTGCATATAAATAGTAGGTTGATCCTGGAAATTCCTTCCCACACCTGGCAAATCAACCACACATTCAATCCCAAGACTCTCCAACAGTCTCTTCGGTCCAACACCAGAAAGTTGCAGTATCTGCGGACTCCTTACAGCTCCAGCCGCAAGAATGACTTCCCGACTCGCTCTTACAGTACTAGTCTTATTCGTCTCGCGAGAAATAAACTATCCACCTTCCGTCAGTAACAACTCAATCATCCCCCGAGGTGAGACAGATACTCACATCAACACCCACAGCCCTCCTACCCTTACTAAAATTGATCTTCGCAACAAGACATCCAGTAAGCAGGTGGAAATTCTCCCTCACACCAGCAATAGGTCGGTAATAAGCATCCGAAGCCGTAGATCTGGATTGATTCTTTGCGTATGCGGAGATTGTGCTGTAGAAGGCACCGATTGCTTTGCCGTTGTTTGGTTGAGGGTTTGTGGATACGCCTACACTGTTCCAACCGGCGAAGAAGTTTTCTGATTGGGAGATTAGATTGATTGTGGGGGTTGGAGAAAGGGAATAGGAAAGAGGAGTGTGGCTTACTGATGACTGTGTATTGGTAGTTGGAGAAACTTGAGCCAACGGGGCCGTCGATACCATGGGGAGAAAGATCTGAGGAGATGACGCCGGGAAACATGTCTTGCAGTTCCTCTGTCGGTGGTGTGAACGTCTCGCTCTGCGGAACAAGTTAGCAGCCAATTCCTTTCACCCACTGCACAGTCAACTCAACCAACCTTTTTGAAATAAGACAACAGCCCTTCCCATCCCCAACCTGGATTTCCTAATTGCTCCCAAGCATCATAATCACCAGCAGATCCACGAGCAAAGAACATGCCATTCACCACCGTGCCACCACCCACTACGGCACCAGTGTACAGTGGAGAAGTGCGGTTGTTTAAACCAGGTTGAGGAATACTAGTGTCTGTGCGAAGGTATTTGCCCGGGACGGGAAGACCTGGCACCGTTGTTCCGTTTTCTTGACCGTCGCTGTAGAGTATTAGTACTTGATATGAGGTAAAAAAGCAAAGAGGAAGAGGTCGAGTACACATAGCCATATTCGATGACTAGAACAGTGATGTTTGGATTTTCTGTAAGGCGGTTGGCGACGACTAAACCACTTGTCCCTCCACCAATGACAATGTAATCATAGCGATCTCTTAGATGCGAAGTGTGATTGAGCACACTAGCATATGGAGCAGAATGGCTGGAAGATGAAACGAAAGAATTCGCAACAAAATTCAGCAGCACAAAAATATGAGAAATTTGCCGCATCTTGATAATCGTGAGAAAAAGGACCGACCAGAGAAAAAATTAAAGGAGCATGAGAAGTGGTGTCACTTCAATGTTCAGTATTTGCTTTGATATAGCTTGGCGCATGTATGCGGTGCTGACTGCATGCATGATAGTGGGGAGAAATCCTTCATATGCAGACTCCCCATGGGTTTGATACTCTTGGGTTGTTGTGGTTGGTGGAAGATGAAGAGGCTTTGTCCGTGTCAGGATCCATTGATCTGAGGTATCCCATTCTTGCGAGCGCAAGGTGTGTGGAGGCTTGGAATCCAATGATGTGCGACGATTGAGAAGACAGTGTCGCGATATCCCAAGAGCAAAACAAAAGGATCACAAACCCAGCAAAAAGAATAGTGATTGCAGCGAGTGAGATTTGAACTCACACTTCCTCAGATCCATCCTCCACCCCCTACCAGCTCTGCGAGGGAGAACTGGAATTACAGCGAACGCAATGCTTGTGTTGGCAAGGCATCGTGGTGTTGGCCCCTTTGTTCGGTTTGACGCTTACATCGGGAGGGTGTTGGTGACAACGCTTGTGTTTGCAAGGTCGTTTGATGGCGAGGCGCCCTACCATTGGGCCACCGCTGCTTGTTGTTGGGTTTAATTCGATTCGGTGGATTTATAAGGGGTTCTGGAGGTGCGAGTGTCTGTGTGTTCGATTTCTAGGGTGTGGAGTCTTTTTGCATATATGTATTGTGAGGCGGCGGCGATGGTGTTTGATAAAAATGAAAGATGGGCTTGAAGCTCAATGGCCTTACGAATATCGTATTATGATAATTCACAAACCTATACAGTGTGACCCTCTCACGTCTTCACTCAGAAACCGTATCTTGACACTTCATGAGTCTCCGGGTTGAAGGTCTGAAAACAGCCAATCACCTTTTTCTTTTCTATATCTGGGCTTGCGAAGGACTCATATCTGCACTTACATGTTTAGACGGTTTGTGCAGCATGCAATCAAAGGCGTCGGGTTCCGATACACGAATGATGCCTCCACCCGATTGACAGAATTCGACGCACACAACTAACATTGAGATCCAGAGTACATTTCTGTGACCAGATGCAGTCCCGGACGGTCAGATGGATTTCCCTTGTACCGTTTCCCGCAGGAGGAATGTGATTGACATAAACCATTTGCAGACGCAATTGCTTGTCGCGAATGTGGCTGTTATGACACGGTATTCCAGAGCAGATGAGAAGTTCCGACATCTTCAAATCCATGGCTGAATAGTTGTTTTATGCTTTTGAGCAATGGTCTCTGCATTTCGTCTGGGTGCTTGTCGAGGACTGCAGGAGTGAAGTCAAGTAGATCGGCATGCTCGGAGATGCCAAGCAAAGTCCGGCTTTCGACCGCCCGGCAATACCTGATTACCAAAAATTATCTGACGATCGACCAAGAGCAACCAAACCCAAACACAGATCACAACTGCAAGGATGTTCGCAGTAAAAGGATGGTCAGTCGACTCTAAGTCGCTCAAAACTCAACAAGCCACACAACCCGCCGCCAAAAAGGCCGACGATGGCGCACCAGGAAACTCGGCGCAAAACAAGAAGAGAAAGAGAGGCGGCAAGGACAGAACTCCCAGGGACGTCAACGACTCGAACGTAGGAGATCTTTGGGCCACTACCATTGAGGGCAAGAAGGCGCCAAAGAAGCCCAAGATTGAGAAGAAGGAGAAGACCTCGGCCGTCGAAGAACCCGCACCAGCCAGTGAAGACTACATCAAGCTCGACGTCCGCAGCGAGAAGAAGAAGAAGCCTGCAGCGGAAGGACAAGAGAAGCCTGTAGCAGATGGAAAAGAGAAGCCTGCAGCAGATGGAAAAGAGAAGCCTGCAGCAGATGGAAAAGAGAAGGCATCGGACAGTAAAAAGGCAAAGAACAAGAAGCGCCAGAAGCAAAGAGACGAGAAGGAGAAGGAAGCCGCAGCAGCAGGCGCCGACAAGGCCGCCGCCGATGCTCCCGCCGCTCCTCCCTCGTTGCCCGTCAACGCCAAACTCACTCCCATGCAAGCAGCTATGCGCCAGAAGCTCATCTCTGCACGTTTCCGCCACTTGAACGAGACCCTCTACACCGCTCCATCAGCTACCTCGCTCGCCCTGTTCGCAGACAACCCTGAAATGTTCGACGACTACCACTCTGGTTTCCGTCAACAAGTCACCACTTGGCCCGAAAACCCTGTCGACATCTTCATTCGCAGCATCCGTGACCGCGCAAAGGTCAAGCTCTACAACCAGAACAAGGCTTTCCGCGACGTCAAGAGAGGAAAGGCACCCAAAGAGGAGGAAGAGCCAGCAAGCACTGCAAACCCTCTGCCACGCACACACGGTACCTGCAACATTGCAGACTTGGGCTGTGGCGATGCCAGATTAGCTGCCACTTTCCACGAAGACGGCAGTGGTCAGCGCTACAACTTGAAGATTGCATCTTATGATTTGCAATCACCTAGCAAATTTGTCACAAAAGCGGATATCGCAAACCTGCCTTGTGCAGACGGAAGCATGGATGTTGCCATTTTCTGTTTGGCGCTTATGGGAACAAACTGGATCGACTTTATCGAAGAGGCATACAGAATCTTGCATTGGAAGGGTGAACTGTGGATCTCGGAAATCAAGTCGAGATTTGGCAGAGTAGGAGGTGACAAGGGCAAGGGTGGTCAGAAAGTCGTCGAGCACAGTGTAGGCAACCGCCGCAAGGCTGCAGCAAAGGCAAAGGCAGCAGATGCTACTCGTGCTAAGCTGACCGCTGAGGACGAGGAGGCCGCTCTTCGCGAGCACGTTGACGAGGTTGTCACAAAGTCTGAGGAGACTGATGTTTCAGGCTTCGTCGAGGTTCTGCGACGAAGAGGATTCGTGCTCAAGGATGAGAAGTCTGTGGATTTGAGCAACAAGATGTTCGTCAAGATGGAGTTCATCAAGGCTGCTGCACCTGTAGTAGGTAAGAACGTGCAAGAGGCCGGAGAAGAGAGAAAGGGCGAGCACGGCACATGGAAGCCCAAGTTCAAGAAGTTCGTCGAGGAGGAAACCAAGGAGGTCAGCGTCGAGGACGAAACCAAGACACTCAAGCCTTGTTTGTACAAGATCAGATAGAGGGGTGGATGTGTTTCGACATTATGATCATATCGCACATGTCATGGCTGTCGTAATGATTATCAGACTTTTTTGCTCAACCCAACATCTTCTTACTCGCTCATCTCCTTGATGACTTTCTCGAGGTTCTTGACATCGTGGGCAAAGCGTCCCAAGAACAATCCATCCACTCCATCTCTCAGTCTGTCGTAAGTTCCTGGACCAGCACTTCCACCGTACAAGATCCGTGTCAGACCTTTGCGTCCTTCGGCCATCTTTCTGATTCGCTGCGTGACGGCAACAACATGATCAGGATCTGCAGGCTCACTCGCTCCGATAGCCCAGACAGGTTCGTAAGCAAGTATGAGCTCTGCATCATCCGGTATAGCTTGCAACAGACTCATGACCTGAGGCCTACACTCCTCGATAGCCATACCGACTGCTTGAGAAGCAATTTTGCCATGGGTCTTTTCGCCAATGCAGACAAGAGGCACCAAACCATTTTTACACGCAGCAGCAGCTTTCTTCGCAGCCGTAGCATCAGTCTCTCCAAAAAGACGTCTCCTTTCCGCATGCCCCAATTCCACAATCCGCACGCCAGCCTGCTTCAACGTCCTACAAGAAACCTCTCCCGTAAACGCTCCAGCATCCTCCCAAAAAGCATCTTGAGCTCCCAATTGCACTTGGGTTCCTTTCAAAGCATCCTTCACCGGCAGCAGGGATACAAAATCAGGAATGATGAAGAGATCAATGTTGTTTGATTCTGCATGAGTCGAGATGTTTGCGAGGTCGGCGGCGTAGGTTAGGGTTTTGTCGAGGTCAAAGTACATCTTCAGGCTCGTGCCCACGATCTTTCGGCGGGGTCCGACTGCGGATGTCGATGACATTTTTGAATTCGTACTGCGGTTCGTGTTTTGCGGGGTTCAACGGAATGGACGTGGGTGAGTATCTCCGTGTGTAAGCGACGAGCAGGGGGAGAAGTGATGATCAAGGGGGGGACGAGAAGTACAGCAAGCGTGAAGAAATGTATATCTGTAGTATTTATATTGGAAAGAGCAGGCCGGAATACCTGAACAGGCAAGAGCTCAGGGACAGCGAGGCACAAGGCAGGCACGTCGGTGTTCGTTGCGCAAGACAGCGAAAGCGGCGGCGGGGAAAGCATCTCATCAGCGCACAGACCAGCCCCAAAGAAATGGAGGGACTTTGTCGTTCGAGAGTCGAGAGCGTCATGCACTTGGGCGACGAAAATCCTTCTTCTCTCTTCCCTCCCTAACACTTCCATTTCACTTTATGTCTAGAGTGCTGGCTGATAGGTGGGCGCGCAAGAGATATTTCGGTTAGATCAATTCAAGCATTGGGAGGTCCTGTTACGTTACAACGAGAAACAAAGGGAGGACAAACAGCAACAGAAGCAGCAAGAACGAGAAGAACAATCCTAAGAAGCGTAGGTACAAGGCCACAATTCCCTGCCCCATTGCACAGACAATTGTTGTTTCTTGCAACAGACACACAAGCCATGGACCGAGTCCACCTCTTCATCTTCTTCATCCTCTTCTTCATAGCAAAGCGACTAATATCCCGCCACAGACAAGTCAACCGCCGCGTCAGATTCGCCGTCGATTGATCCACGAACGCATCCACGAATAAACCCACACACACAAACATGCATATTTCAGCAAAGCTCCAGGCTGCGGCCAAGGAGAAGAAGGCCACCTACTCATTCGAGTTCTTCCCGCCCAAGACGGCCCAAGGTGTCCAAAACCTCTACGATCGCATGGACCGCATGCACAACTTTGGCCCTTCCTTCATCGACATCACATGGGGTGCTGGTGGGAGGCACGCCTCGCTGACCTGCGAGATGGTCAAGGTCGCCCAGACCGTCTACGGTCTCGAGACTTGCATGCACTTGACTTGCACCGACATGCCCAAGTCAAAGATCGACGATGCACTAAAGGAAGCCCATGATGCCGGCTGTACGAACATTCTGGCTCTCAGAGGCGACCCGCCGCGTGAGAAGGAAAAGTGGGAGGCTACAAGTGGAGGCTTCAGATACGCAAAGGATCTTGTCAAGTACATCAAGGAGACTTACGGCGATCACTTCGACATTGGTGTCGCTGGCTACCCTGAAGGCTGCGACGACAATGACAACCCCGAGGAGCTGATCCAGCACTTGAAGGAGAAGGTTGACCTCGGTGGTACCTTTATCGTCACACAGATGTTCTACGATGCCGACATCTTCCTTGACTGGGTCAAGAAGGTCAGAGCTGCTGGAATCGACGTCCCCATTGTACCTGGTATCATGCCCATCTCGACCCACGCCGCTTTCTTGAGACGCGCAAACTGGTCCAACATTCACGTTCCTCCTCACTGGCACGAGGCTCTTGAGCCTGTCAAGAACGATGATGCTGCTGTAAGAGATGTTGGCACTGGCCTAGTTGTCGAACTGTGCCGCAAGTTGATGGACAACGGCATTCAGCACTTGCACTTCTACACCATGAACCTTGCACAATCCACTCGCATGATTCTCGAAGAGCTCAGCATCACTCCTTCGCAAGACACTCCTCTTGAGAAGCCTCTTCCCTGGAGGCAGTCGCTTGGACTCAACCGTCGCGATGAGAACGTTCGTCCCATCTTCTGGCGCAACCGTAATCGCTCATACATTGCACGCACCCAAGACTGGGATGAGTTCCCCAACGGTAGATGGGGTGACAGTAGATCTCCCGCTTACGGTGAGCTTGACACTTACGGTATCGGTCTGAAGGGTACCAACGAGCAGAACCGCAAGCTTTGGGGAGAGCCCAAGTCCTTTGGCGATGTTGCTACTCTTTTCGCCAACTACATGCAAGGCAAGGTCGAGTCTTTGCCTTGGAGTGAGAGTCCCATTACTGATGAGGCCGACGCTCTCCGCAAGGACCTGATCAACCTGAACCAGCGTGGTCTCTTGACCATCAACTCTCAGCCTCCGGTCGATGGCGCCAAGTCCAGTCATCCTGTCTACGGTTGGGGTCCTCGCAATGGTTACGTCTACCAGAAGGCATACCTCGAAGTCCTGGTCTCTCCTGAGCTGATTTCCGAACTTATTACTCGCATGGAGCGTAATCCCAACATCACCTACTTCGCTGTCAATCAGCATGGTGATTTGAAGACAAACTCACCTGATGAAGGTCCCAACGCCGTCACATGGGGTGTCTTCCCCGGTAAGGAGATTGTTCAGCCCACCATCGTCGAGACTGTCTCCTTCCTCGCATGGAGAGATGAGTTCTACAGACTCGGAAGCGACTGGTCTCGCTGCTATGATGCCACATCTCCTTCCCGCTACGTCATTGACGATTTGATGCAAAACTGGTACCTGGTCAACATCGTCAACAACGACTTCCGTGAGCAACGTGGTATCTTCCCACTCTTCGACGAACTTGAGGTCCCCGACTTGAACAAGGAGATCGCCGCTCCTGAGGCCCCTCAGAAGGTCAACGGTGCCACCAACGGCGAGAAGCACGAAGAGGAGCCCAAGGTCGGCAATGGCGATGTTACCGATTCCAAGATCCCCGACAGCGTGCACAAGAAGCTGGAGACACAGATCAACGGCGCCGAAGAGAAGCCCGACACCGAGCCCAAGGACGCAACCGCCCACAACACCGGCGCCGGACCCTCCACCTCCGTCTAAGCATCATAATCACAACCTATGCTTTTGTCAACCAACAAGAAGCAACGACACTTTCCTTGTCTTATATCTTTGCATTTTTCAGCATTCCACTTGAGAGTTATCCAACCAACTTCTCATTACGATCTTCTTCAACAAGAAGATATTCAACACCCCCTGATCAATCGATCAACATCAACGAACCAACCCAGCATTTACAATCCGGCGTTTGAAACGACTTACCCTTAACGTGGCATGAAACAAAAAGCGAGAGATACCCCCATTCAACCGGGATTTGAGAATTATTTTACTTATATTGGCGTTTTATGCGATTTCGTTCTAGTTATCATGGAGGAGAGAAGATAGATGAGAGGAGAGATGGGAGAGTAGGATTGAAAATCAATGTTCTGACTCCCCAATCATGCACCGTATCGACCGCTTGAATGCTTGCTTTGTGATAATGCTTCAGCTTCGTTATCTCTCAGAATGTTAATGCTAACTTTCCGTCCATCGACCGCTCACGTCGACACAAGTATGTTTCTCTGCCAACCTTCTCGTACGGCTTCTGAGCAACATGTTACTGCTGTGCTACGACGTGAGGTCGGACACCCCACAACTGCCGCGGCAGAAAGGGAGATCTGCATTCCCGCATGCACGTCTCCATCATTCGGACATCATCTTCCAGCACCTTCGTGCACAACACCTGAACAACCCTGGCCGTTGCGAATCATGCATCGATGTAGAAGAGCATGCCGGCACGGCAGATGCAACTACTCTGCCGTCCTATGGTATGCTGGATGACGTCCACGATTTTTGTGCTGCGCGGACAAAGAAGCATGGCCTTGGACCACAAGAGTCAACTCCAGAGCTCTCTCCTCCCCTCCCTGCCCAAAAGTCCTTGCTCTGACATAAGGCACGATGCGTCTGTCGATTTCTCTATTGCTGGCAGCAGCCACCACGGCGATCGCTCAAAATACCACCCAAGTCTACGATTATGCCATTGCAGGCGCCGGTACTGCTGGTCTACTTCTCGCCATCATCCTGACCGAAGATCCTTTCATCAATGTCGCGGTCCTCGAAGCTGGCTCGGATGGTCGCACAAACCCCAATATCACGATTCCGGAGTTGAGAGGTGAGATCATTGATACCGAGTATGATTGGGCGTACTACAGTACTGTACAGCCTGGCTTGTATGAGAACAGGAGTCAGGCTGTCAATAGAGGAAAGACCATCGGTAAGGCATGTTTGTGTTGTTTTGATGACATGTCCTGATGTGTTCCAGGCGGGACAAGCGCTATGAACTGGATGATCCACAACGAAGACTCTCGTATACAACTTGATATCTGGGAGTCATTGCTCAACCTCACTAGCTGGAACAGTGATGCATCACTGGGCTGGAATTGGGAGACACTATCCACCGCTTTCCGCGAGAGTGAGGTCTTCTTCGCTCCTTCCTCCAATGCATCTTCGGCGGAGCAGCCGGACCCTGCCAACCACGGGTCTTCCGGATACATCTGCTCGACCTTGCAACGCAGTGTCCTATCTCTGCTGTCTGACTACGTAACTCCCGCTCTTCTCAACGCTGGATATGCTGTCCCCGGTGATAGAAATGGAGGTAATGTGACCGGTGCCGGGTTACTTCCTCTTGCTATCTGTCCCGGCAACTACACCAGAAGTTATTCGGGATCAGCATATACTGCTGTTCAGGATCGACGCAATTTGCATCTTTACACCAACGCTCAAGTCACGGACATCAGCTGGATTTCCACCACAACTGGAAATGTTACTGCCCGTGGACTCAATTACGTCGACACTTCTGGCCGTACTTCAAACACTAGCCTCTCAATCCAAGCGCAGGATATTATCTTGTCTGCAGGTATAGCCGGTTCAGCACCTATCTTGGAGCGATCGGGCGTTGGTAACCCGGACATCCTGACACCATTGAATATCACGCCCATAGTCAATCTCAGCAGTGTAGGCACTGGTCTACGAGATCCTTTGATGATGCAATACCAGCCTCTCCAATACAACTTCAGCGTTGAGTTCACAGGTGGCGAGTATGCTCAGAACTACATTGACCTGCGTCCTGCTCAAGACGTCCTGTCACCTGCCGACTATAATGCTGCCTCCGTCTGGTTGAATGAGACGACATCTATCCCTGGCTTGGAAGATGCACAACTTCTTGTTTTCAAGCATCTTTGGTTTACCCGCCAACCTCTGATTGAGATGGCATGGCAGTACAGCAGCACGCAATCCATGCCTTACACCCTGATCCCTCTCTCGCAAGGAACCATTCACATCAATACCTCCGACCCTCTAGCCGCTCCCGTCATCGACCCTAATTACAATTCGGTGACTGCGATCATAAACAACGAGACAGTACCTTGGGATCTCTGGCTCCTCTCCCGAGCTTCACAATTCTACGTCACTCAACTCGCTTCAACTCCGCCATTCTCAGACGTCTTGACCAAAACAGACCCCGACCACAACCTGTCACCTGCCGACTACCAACAAGCCGTCTACGAACGCACAGGCACATCTCAACATCTCACGGGCGGCCTCCCCATGCTTCCTCGTTCCGCTGGCGGTGCGATTGCTTCCGACCTTCTCGTCTACGGCACTCAAAACGTCAGAGTCGTGGATGGCAGTATCTTCCCGTACCAACCTTCTGCGCATCCTATGGGATTGACATATTCGGTTGCTGTACATGCGGCGAAGATACTTCAGCGAGTCAAGGGAAGTAAGCTGACGTATACGGAGGACCCAGGGAGAAGTAATTCAAGTTCGAATGCTACGGCTGTATTCCCGACGAACTTGCCAACTGCGACTTATGATGTCAGAGGTAGCGCTGTGCCTGCTAGCTCTTCGGTGGCGGTTTCTACCGGCGGAGTCGAGAAGGTGGAAGTAAGTGGTTGGGTCTTGAGCTTCTGTGTTATGGTGTTTGGATGGAATGCTTTGATGTAGGACCAATATGTCCGCCTTGTCCTCTGGTTATCCCCATTTCCCAAATCCCAAATCATGTCAAGCCAGTGAAGACCATAACAGCCTCACTACTGCTCACAGATTTAAGCCCAACTTTCGAAACATCACCATGCTTAAGCACGTGCGGTGTTTCCTCTTACTTGATCTTCACTTTTGAGCTGGTACTCGACGGCTCCGACCTATGATCTGTTGGCTAGAAGACCGTGCAATTACCTTTGTCTTTCGCTTGCACCTCACCTTCTCCTCTTCTGTATCAAGACGCGTGATTCCTTTTTTTTTTGCTTGTGAAGTCCTCATCCTCGATAATCTGTCCTGGTTGGAAGCACGGCTGTCTGCATTTGCTCTGTCCTCACTATAGAGAGAAATAGCTCGATGTAGGGAGACGGCATTGATGGTCATCTATTCCAGCCACTTACATCTTAACTACAGCTCTTTGAGTTCGCTTGAATGGAGGCAAGATGGTTTTTCGAATTCGTCGGGGTTTTCCAGTGAGATGGGCTATTTCTCGCACTCTTAGCAGTTGTGTCCTTTTTTCTTCTGAACAACATCTTGCAATTGTACTCGAGGCCGAGCAACTCCCATCACTGGACCAGAGAGATGGATGACATGACATGGCATTTTGTACTGGAAACACCATCCTCAAGAATGAGGGGAGTAGCTGGTGAAGGCGGCGCTTGTTTAGTAATAATTTTTAACTACTATATCAAGACTCGGCAGGAATATCATATCTTCTAACAAGGGCACTAGGACAGGAAGGAGACTTGTCTAGGCTAAGAGGTCTGGAGTTTTGCGATTACTGTGCTGCTACATCTAAAGTTCATGAAGGTTTATCTGTGATCGTTACTTTCCTCTCCACGTGCTAAATCCCGTCACCTTCAGCCTATTTCTCGCGACCGCAGCCATGGGCTGTCCGGACTAGAGGAATTCACAGTGCTTTCCATTTACACTCTCAGTAGAAGGCCGCACTGATCTTGAAAACACATTGTGCATTTCTACAACAATGCGCGTGACCAAAGTTCTGCACATGGGAAGGTTCCTATTTGATTTTTCGCTGTTGGGTGTATTTCTTCAGTCAAGCGTTTTTTGATGGTGGCTATCTATCGCTCTTTGCTATCGTTGAGCATATCTAGGTTTCTTGATTGTTGCTTACTGGTTGTTCTTTGGTTTTATTTACATTCAAGTGTTTTCTCCGCTACTCGTACATATAACAACAGCTTTTGCTTGGTACATGGAATCAAGTAGTGACAAAAACTCGATCAAAGCCGTCAAAAATTGACTCGGACGTGGCAAAATCTACAATCTTAGATTACTAGCTACTGCCTTGACCAAAACGGCAACAGACAAACCATGCCAAATGTCAGTAGTATAAGATATGATCAGGCAAGGCAGATAGTGATACGGTAGACTCACAGTACGTTAACAAGAGATCGATATAGAGTACTAGACGAGAGGAAATAAACTAAACATTCAAGGCGAGAAGAGGTTTATGGAGCGTAGATGCACGGTCTCGATAGAAACGGCGCTTGCTAGAACAATTGATTAAGACGTAATGAGTGAAATGCACAGTGCGGAACGTTGAGACCGTTTTGACATGGTTAGGGAAACAGTGAATCGAAGTAGTACAGTACTTGAGATAGAGCCAGTATAGGAACAGCAAGAGCCCAGAAGAAACACAGGATGAGGTAAAAAGTGCAGCGAGAGTAGCACTACGGAATGCGAGAAAGCACCCATCATAAAAGCGAGAAAAGGAATATTGAAAAGCCTTTAAGAATAGAAAAACCGAAATCCATTGTATGATATGCATCTCTATGTACAAAAGTGTTGTAATGCAAAATCTACTCCCCCTGATCCCTCCCATGATATCTTAGAAAAATCAAAACCCGAAAACACCACCTCATTAAGAAAAGCTCAAACCCGCGATCTATTTGCAGTCCTTGACTTCTGCAGTAGAGCAATCATCTCCTAACATTTACTAAGCAGGAACAACCGACGTGGCGATGTAGACAGTAGTGGGAGAAGCAGTGGTGGTGGTGGTGGCAGTAGCGCCGGAGGTGACAGCCAAGCCACAAGCCTGGGTAACAACCGAAGGCGCGTACTTCTGGAGAGCAGAAGGGGTAGCGGAAGCAGCACGCTTGGCGTTGGCACCTGAAAGAGTGGTCAAAGTGGTAGCCGAGACGGTGGGAGTGTAGACGACAATCTGAGTGGTGGCAGCGGCGAGAGTCAAGATAGAAGAACAGTAGCTCTGGAGCGTGGCAGAAGAGATGGCAGACTTGGCAGAAGCAACAGCGCAGGGGTATCTAGGCTGGCCGGGGTCGGTCTTGTTGGAGAAAGAGTACGAGAAGCCAACGGTGTAGACATCCTGGCCGTAATAGTAGCCAGTGTTCTTAGCGTAAGATGATGCCCAAGATTGGTCGTAAAGAGCGCAGTATTGGCCAATGTTGACCTTGTTCTTGTACAGGAGGTAGGTGTTGAAGAAGTTGCAAGCCTTGGTGAACTTGCCGTCCTGAGCAGTGGCACGAGCATAATTGGCCTGGCTGTTGCAAGCGGCTGCGCAGAGGTTGGCATCGAAGGGCTTGTTGTTGAATACGTGGGACTCGAGGAAAGTGTCATCACCAGTGCAGTCAAGAGGAGCGTTGATAGCAGCGTTGTTGAGGTAGACACCAGCGTTGTAGCCGTCAGGGGTAGCGATGGATTTGTTGACATATCCGTTGGATCCAGCAATAACGACCTGGAACTTGTTTCTCCACTGACCAGCATTGTTTGCGTTGTCATTTGTAACGGGACCTGACCAGTACACGCATTTGATTTGCGTGGTGGACGCAGGGTTGCTGCAGCTAGAATCGTCGGGGTTGACAGTAGGGTCACGCTCGAAGTAGATGTTGAAAGCCTGGCATCCGTTGATCTTGGTGCACTTGTCTGCGCAAGCCTGAGCGTCGTAACTAGTAAGGAGGGTGTAACCCATGTAACCGTAGGCATTGTTGGATGCCTTCTGGTTGACAAAGGTGTTCACATAGCCGGAAGGAATGGCTGTGGCGGCAGCTGCTGCGGTGGCCGATGCGGAGAAGTCGGGCAGAGCCAAGAAGGCAGATGCACTGTCGTCAGTAGGGACAGGGCCAGCGCCAGTGGGTTGGGTTTGACAGATGGTAGAAGTGGCACGCTTGGCAATGTTGTTGTCCAGAGGGAACGCATCACTGGGGTTGGCCTCAAGTGCTGAGGTGACAGCAGCTGCGGCTGCCTCGCTGGAGTAAGAAACAGTTGTGGCGGTGGCAGTAGTAGCAGGGACTGTAGCGTAGACTACAGGAATAGAGACCTCGGCGATAGGAGTTGCTTGGAGGACGACATCCCAGTCAAGGTCCTGAGCCTGGGCAAGAGCCGCAAAGGCGGCAGCAGCGATGAAGGAACGCATGTTGAAGATAGAAGAGTCGAGAGGAGGTTGCTCTTGATGATGGAAGAGATAGTTGAGTGAGGTGATGATAGAGATACAACGTGCGAACCTACCCGATATATATAACCACCTACATACCTGGATAATGTGAGCCCTTCGGACTAGCCAGACTCCATTGTCCCACGTCCGCGCTTAGCTTCGGGGGCAGCGAGCTGAGAACGACGCTTGAATCGTGGAAAGCCACGAGACAGCAGATGCCAGGGACGATTCGTGGTAGACAAGATCTCAAACTTCGAGTCCACTTTTAGCGAAGTCTTGTGGCGCATGTGGGCGCAATGCATAGCGGTCAATTATGGCCCAGGGGCAGGCAAAGGTTCCGGAAGCCTTCAACGGGATATCCACTTGGTGTAGACAAAGTGCCGGGAGCGTTCTTGTCACACGAAGACGGTGCAATCGAGATGAACCGGCCGTTCGTGGGGTGTAAACTCCCCCAAAATTTCGCAACGGTTCATCGAAGAGACGCTACCCAAGGCTCCCCTAAAGCTGTTAATGTGATTGAGCCAGGTAAAAGGTCTCCGGCGGCACGAAAAGGAGCAATCCCAACCGCACAGCGGCTTGGACGAAGACTCAGCACGGACTGCCGTGCATCCTCATGTGCTCAAAGCGGACTCCGAGTGCGGGATACAACACTGGCGTACCGCACGGCATCGCCGAGAAGAGAAGTGCCAGCACAGAAGCGACACGAGACGGCCTGTTCCTTGAAAGGTCTCGGTTCAGGTTGCTGTGCCATTTGCACAGAGAAAACATGGTGAAAACCTGGAGATGTCTCAGTTTGACGGCTTCTGGACTGTCCGAAGCTCGCCAAGAAAAGTTACTGATTGGTCCGGAGTTCGACGAAGTGAGACGTGAAGACAGCAGCTGAAGGGCCACGCACTGCTTCAGGTTGCTACGAAAAGCCGGTGAGAGACGAAACTCGACAAGACCGTCTTTTGGCGATGGAAAATTCTTCGTTGTGGTATGACTTTGAAGTGGTGGATGGTGTCGGTGAAGCTTTGATTGCGACAAAAGCCCTCGGCGTCGCCTATTCAGCCCACCTCAGAGCAACCACGGTCTTTCGACTGGTATAGCCGGTGCAGGCTGCATTCTCAGCTTTACGGTGAAAGCGATCCGATGTACCAGATCAGGCGAAAGGTCTTCGGACTTTCCAGCTTGGTCTGAGTGATGCTGTCGCACCTGCTTGAGGTGTAGGAAGGATGAGCTTGGCGTCACAAATTCTGGCGTACCTGCCTTCTCACAGCCACAACTTCTGGCCACTCAAATCTGCGTGTCGCGTTGGCGCCTTGCGTCGCGTCGTTCCTTCCACTTCACCTTCAGCGCAGCTCTCGAGTCTCACTGCCACAGGCAATAGTTTGTTCATACCTTTAGCCGTCTTGCGGCCGAACCTATCATTATTCTCTTTGGAGAGGATACGTTTTGTCGCCGGACCGCTTCAAGTAGATGCAAATCGTTGTTGGTGTTCACGCCGATGCTACCGAGCTTCTTCTTCGCTCACCTCATTTCTTCTTTGTTACCAGAGTCAGGGCTGCTCATTTTCGCTGAAAGCCCGGGTGGGAGGGTTTCCTGATTCATTCAGGGGTTCTCCATATCTGCTTACCGTATCTAAAAGCACTCTTCCTTGTTACAGGCATGCCAGCTGCTGCGAGCGACGTCTGGAGGTCGCGTCGGGCCGCTTTCATCCAGAACCCTGCCCTTGACCATGGCTGCGCCTGCCAGGTTCGCTTCCTCCACGACAGCAGTAGAGGCGAAGCATCCGTATCACTGCAGTATGCTGCGAATCTTGCCGAAGTTACTGTTAACCCACGACACATCGTTCTATTCATCCGCCCATCACTCGTCGAGTCGTGTAGGATAGTTGAAGAAGAGGCATTGTCGCCGTACTTGTTGCAATATATACCTTCTACCTCTGTCTCTGGCCCCACCGATGTCTTGACTGTTGCTCTTACTCTTAGATCTCATGGTGCTTTGCACTACCCGAAGGAGCTTACAAGCGTCCGTGCCGACCCAACTGAGGTTGACCTGGCATCATTCGCCGAAATATGTCAAGCAACGACTATATACCTCCACTTCGCTAAGGCTCAATTTGATGATCAAGAGAAGACACGGTTACAACATCTGGTGAATGGTCTCGACAATGGAGGTCTGTCGGCGCCGCCACTGAACCTTGGCCGAGAGGATCGCGGCAGAGGCTTGCAAGAAGGTACATGGGAGGTATTCAGCCCAAAAGCTTCTACTTCCAGCCACGCTCAAGCATCATCTGTGCTGGGCAAAAGATCAAGACAAGGTAAGACACATCTTCGAGCTTTCCGTCGGCATTACAAGTCTACGCGAGTGTTGTCGCAATGCAGCAAGCGTTTCTGATGACATGTCTGACCACCGAGTGCCTGCCTGAGGTAGCCATGTCTTCGGGGTCTCAGTGAATACGGGTGTCGTCGTCACAAGCCTTAAGCTGTTTTATGGCTGGAACTCAATTATCTTGGCTCTGTAGATGCTAATGTCCACTACCAGCCTCTGTATCTTCTCCTGCTGAACCTTCAAAACGACTTGAAGCACATCACTATACGACTCCGCCTCCCTATTCCCCTACCGATATCGACACTCTAACGCCTACCACCAAGTCCATCAGTCCAAACTATATACGTCCCACTGTCTTCACATTACCCCCCTATCGCAGGAATCCGGTGTCCTCAAGCAGTGATGCCCAGATATCTCTCCTTGCTAACATGCTTGCGACTGTACCTCAGCACGTGCTTCGCGAAGCAATCATTCAGTCTGGTCACCAAGCTCTGCTCGGTATGTCAGGTACCCTCAAGCCAAAAGCTGAGGTACCCTGTGTGAAGGTCGCCTCGCCCCGAGCCAGCCGTCTCTCTAGCCCTCGCCTTCGTTCCCTAGTCAAAGATGTATTCACGGCAGAATTCGAGACTCGACTCAAGTATCTCGTCGAGTCTGGCCTACCTCTCCATACCAAGGACGCCATCGAAAAAATCATGGACGAATACCACAATCAATTCCACATCGACTGCGAAGCCGCGGAAGCTGCGATCCAAGAGAAGGTCGAAGATGCCTCTTTGGAGGTGAAGATGGCACTCGATGATGGCATGAGAGAGATTGAAGAGCTGATCGAGGAGCATATCCAGAAGCTGGCAGACGGATATGAGACCATCGATGGTAAGGCTGAACACGAACTTGATAACCTCAGGTGCTGGTTTGTCAAATTCGCTCGTACTTTGTTCTTCGAGAAACGATCAGGGAACAGCCCGGTGAGGCATACAGCAAGATGTACTTCTATATAGACACGATCAACGAACATTCGTCTCTGGATGATGACCCATTCAAGGGGCAAGGCTTCTGTCATCGTGTTGTTAAACCATCCTGCTCGACCATGTTTTCATTGATGGTTGCGTGGCCCAATGGCAAGGCGCTTGACTACGAATCAAGAGATTCCAGGTTCGACCCCTGGCGTGATCACTCTTTTGCCTGTCTGTGTGAAGAAATGGAAACTTCTTTCGGTTTGCTCGGAGAATTTTTTCGGTCGGCTTGGAGAAGCACAGACTTCGTTGTCGGTTGCACTTACCACCGAAATTCTGCCCGCTTCTCCAGCTCCTCCAGGGAACCATCAGTCATTGTGCATACCAATATTCTATAAACAGACCTTAAGGTTCGCTTCTGATTCTTGATACAGTACAAGTAGGCTTGTAACTTCCAATGATTTGTTTTCCTGCGCATGGCTGGGATCAAGCAATCAGAGCCTCGCGGCTGGCGTAGCGAATCTCCAAGCCATCATGATCGGGCTCAGCTGAAGAGCAAGCGCCGACCTCAAGCCCTCCGCAACTTCCCCGATTCGCTACAAACCACTCCTTCTTCCCTTCTACTATATTTCTATCTCACCAGAGAGAGCCTAGAATCGTGATCACAGCTCCTTGCGATCACAGCCCCTTTTACCACTCGTGTGTTTGGGTGCGTCCCAGCGGTTCATGTCAATAGACGAAAACGAAACCCGGGGCCGCGCGCGAACCTTCCTGACTACAGCACAAGCTACCTTTTTTTCTCTTATCGCTGCCGCTTTTCTTGGAAGGAGAAGTCTATTTCTCTCTCTCTCTCCTTCCAGGCCGCCGCCACAAAATCAATACTATGGGTTTTTGCGCTTCTCGCGCTTGCTTACGTGTAGGGCCGCAAATCCCCAGATACTCCAGTTCAGCCAATGTCTTTCCCTACAGGGCGTGTTGTGCGAGGGTGGAGTTTTGAAATTTTGCGTCCCTGACAAGGCTGGATTATTATGCGCTTGGCGCTTCCTTCTGCGATCGCAAATGGTCTTGACTCTTGGTCGCGGCTCGTCTCTGCAGACTTGCTTCTTTGCGCATTGGTATGGGATTTCTTGGTCTTTTTGATCGTCATCTGACGTCTTCTTTGGAGCGGGTGTTCCTGCATGTATGATGCGTGCTGGCCCAGCTTTTCACGAGTTGGTACCTGCACATCCGGCATCTACCCTACTCTGATTGTTTATTTGCACCACAAGTGATCTTCTTGATCACCGCATCACTCCATCGCTGCATCGCACAACTTACAAGAGGGTTCTCTTTCTCTCGCGCACACATCTTGGCCCAGACCGCGCGTCCGAAGTTTCTTGGACATATTCTTATAAATGCACCAAGGTATCCGTAACTTAACCTTTCTTGCAGCAACAGGGCTTTTTCGGTGCTCGTGCCCCTTGGTCCATCCGCTTGGGGGGAAAGGAATAAGGTATTTGGGTACCGCACCCTTGTATACTAAGCCCGAAATAGCTTCGGCTGGGCCATTTCACACTATTGAAATCTGTGACCTATGGCACTTTTATGTGTCACTGTGTTGCAAGGGGTGGGAAAGTGTTGGTTGCTGGCAGGAAATCCTTGGTGGCTAACGACTGTCGTGATGGCAGACAACTCCGCAAAAGTGGATGCAAGGTGTTTTATGCCGTCCCGTTTGAAGGATTTCGATAAATTTGTGATGGTGATGGGTTGGTTGCTTTCAGCTGTGGTTTTGCTGGAAGGATCGATCGCGATGGGAGATGGAAATTGCGACAGATGTATGAAGTGGGTGGGCTCACGGACGTTCAGCTCCTGTCATCCCGCATAGCGATGTTGGGGATTCTCTTCGCCTACATCTTGTTTGTATGCCAAAAGTCTGTGCTTCGAAGGGATACGAGATGCAGTCTATTCTCCATTCCAAATCAATCTTATCAGAGATTTTGCACGATGCTTTGTCTAGCAGGAAAATGGAGGGGAGATCAGATATGAAAGTCGGGTCAGGGTGACAAGTCTGACAAGCACTAAAACCGCATTTTCGCGATTACCATGGCGACTATGAGCTTGTGTGCTTCTGTACTTCTTCAGGTCGATGGTCGTATCCAATTTCAGGAGGACATTAAGCCCTGAGCTTGTGGCACCAACATAGCTGTTGTCAGAGATGAAAATCGCTTTTCCGAGATGCATTTTTTGAAACGCGAATAAAAAGTGTGCAGCTCACACTCAATTCACTACATGTCTCAAAGTTAACGACAAGCTCGCTAGGAAGAGCCTACAGCTTTGCCAATCAATTATTCGGCGTCAGTTTCGACTTTTAGCCATATCTTAGCTCTATGGGATCTGGAAAATGGGCATCGAGGATGGGGGCCTCGACAGACAGGGTCACACGGGCAGCAACAGCCAAGAGGACAGGGTATCATGCTCAACATTCCACCATGTCGATCACAAAAAATCGTGATATCAAAGCGCATAGGAAACTCGGAAATGAACATGTATAGATGAAGACAACTCAAGTAAGAAGTCTATATTCACCGAATATCACAAGTCTGACAAAACGCGTCGACACGTCTGACTTGTGTCACGACATCCAGGCAGCAGTCGCGCTAATCCTTCAAGAAACGATTCATCACACAAGTTGAACCCCTAAGCATACTCCATTCAAAGCTTCAAGAAACCATCGCCGCATAAAACCGTTTCACCATGGGACTTCTAGACTAAATGCTTCTCCTCGAGCCTCTCCACTGCACAGCAGACGAGATCATGCAACAAGGAGCCAGAAACCCTACAGCCGTCCAGAGATACCTCGACTATCTCTCTCGTGGCTGAATCGGCCAAGCGCTAATCGAAAGATACACATATGGAGAATCTCCCGATACACCTCAAGGAATGCTGCAGACCAATGGCATCATCGATGGAAAATTCGTCGACTGGTTGAAACCTGTCAAGGATGAGATCAAGGATGATCTACGGGAGATTCTTGAAGGTGGCTATGAAGACATGATTGCAGTCGAACGAGATATATATGAAAAGGCGATGGAAGACAGCAATGATCCTGGAAAAGAGCTTTTGAGCGAGCTGGTCGAGATGATTGATAAAGGTCTTCAGGTACGACGGCCTGCTGATAAGAGTGACCGACCAGCCTTGCTAATCTGGAGACAGAGTATGCCCAAGATCCTGGTGACAATCAACACGTTGCAAGGCAAGGAGATCGCATCCTCGATTGAGCTGAAATGGTCCTACGGACTGGAAGACGCGATTACTCGGCTGAGTACAAAAGTCCTCGAGAAGGAAATCGTTGGTACGGAGATCAAAAAGTCTGGTCGCGACTTCCATATCTTGTATCAAGTTGATGATGCAGCGGAAGACTCTGTAATTCTAGCTTTGGTGGAGGAAATGAGAGAATGGCGTTGAAAAGATGGCTTGGATGCATGGATAATCGGAACAGTCACCGCCTTCTCAAATTAACCGGTGGCAATCAATAGGAGATCCAAGGAAATATGTGTGATGGCATGATGTTAAGCGGAAAGGCGGCACTTTTTTACATTGACATGAATACAGCCACTTTCCAGATACCTATCTCTGACACATGGGGGAGAAGCATGTTTCAAGCTACTCAGAGATGGAATCCCAACTTCCCGTCCATCGAAGCAGTGCGAGAGCGTAGAAGATCCGTGGTTCGGAGCAGAAGAAGGATATAGGAATTCCGTTCTGCTCATCATGTGACAGCATCGTGCATGGATGCGGCAGTGCTACACAGCCCAGTCTTGTTTGATTGAAGAGAGAACGAAGTGCCCCTTAACACAAACCATGCACCTGCCTTAGCAAAGGGCAAGGAGCAGCAGATCACTCATTGCCATGGAGATATGAGTTTGGTAGTATACCACCGCACCTGCGCAGGAAAGTTTTGTCGCGCAGCTCTTTGAAGAGGAGAGATGGCAACGATATCCTAGAGTAAATCGAAACGGCGCGGGAGCGTCCATCAGTCAGGTTGGTGGCGTGTGGAGAGAAGATAGGTTCTCCTTGGGCCGGAAAAAAATCTAGGGAAGGGCACGAAGGTGTGAATTCCCACGAACACAAGTGAGCTGCGAAAGGGCATGCGCAAAAAAGCGGGAGTGCTACAACGCCGACTACCTTTGGAGGAAGTTTGGGGAATTGTTCGGCGTAATACACATGTCTGTGATAGAAAGGGCAAGGACGGCAAATCATTCGCTGCTTCCAAGACAAGCCCTTGCTTGAATACCATCGCAAGGGCGCGGAAGTGTTTGGTGGTACAGGTGTGTGGTCAGGGGAAAGCCTCAATCAAGCTGCGCTGCAGTCACCTCTGCGATTACATGGACAGCGTGTTGTCAGGGTGCGCATGTATCCATTAAGCGCTCCTGATGCGAGTGGCTCCGCCAACTTCCTTGCCAACCTTTGCATTAACTGATGGAAGAAGGAAAGGCTATCTCAGCGATAGAAGACTTTTGTAGTAGCTTGAGGGTTTCGAGCTCCTTCACTGACCTCAAAGCATGTTTTTTTCGCCCCCAAGAGAGTTTGTGCTGACATGAAGAGAGGTGAGAGATCTACACTGTACTTTAGAGGAATTGTATGTGATTATCTCAAGTGAGTAAGACGCATCAAGTCGTTGGCGATATCCACAGCAAATCCTTCGTCATTGATATCTCTCTCATCAAGCACGATCTTGATGCCTGTATCTTGGAGCCCAGATGTCAAGGTCTCAATTAGTGCATCATCAGCATCTCGATTCTCGAATGCCGCTCCTGGTGTGGCGATCATACTGACACCACCCTTTGGTAAAGTGATTTGAACCATGCTGGGGTCAGCGGCAAAGCGTTTGACTTTGTCTACGATGAAGTCGCCAATAGCCTTACACTCGTCCTTCGTCGTCCGCATCAAGGTCACAGTGGGATTATGTTCGAAGAGCTTCCGTTGTTGATACTTCTCCGGGACTGTTGCCTTGGGCCCAAAGTTGACCATGTCGGTAGCCCCGAGAGAGATGATGGTTGGAATGCCCGCCTTCAAGGCTGCTTCGAGGCGGTCAGGTCCAGCACTCATGTTTCCGCCCATGAGAAGATCACAAATTTCTGTCGTAGTCACGTCGAGCACGGCATCAAGGCGACCTTCAGCTATCAAGCGCTCCATTGCCTTGCCTCCATGTCCTGTGGCGTGAAAGACATATGTTTCGACCGGATGATTTGATTCGAGATGTTCGCGAATCTTGTCGACGCACGGAGTCGTGACACCAAACATGGTGATTCCGACTCGCAGTTTCTGGCGATCCTTGGTCGTCTCGAATTGCTGTAGTAGCTGTTGTTCGTACGCTGCGGACATGCCGGCCATGGCCGCCGCCGAGTTGTTGAGGATAGTTTTCAGGAGCTCGTTAGTGCCTGCAATGTCCACAACAGAGTACATCAGGGTCATGTCGGTCTCGCCGACGAGAGGTCCTGTATCTCCTGAAGCGACTGTACTGGCGATGAGTTTGGGTAGTCCGATCGGCAGAGTCCGCATAACAGCCGAAGCCAAACTGGTACCTCCGCTTCCTCCCGCACTGATGATACCATGGATTGGCTTTTCCTTATGTAGCTCCTCGATGCATAGAGTTGTGCAGCTAATCATGAACTTGATAGCTTCGCCGCGCGGAAGGTCCTTCAAAATATTCCTGCCGTCCTTTGGGCCGAATCTTGTGACAAGCTCATTCTGTGAAATAGTGATGGCTGTATGCTCAACAGAAGTACGACCGCAATCGATCAAGGTGATGGTTGTCTCAGGTTGGGCGAGCGATAGCAGCCGGGAGTGGAGATAGAGTATCTCCGGAAGTTTGGTGTCCAGTGTTCCTAAGAGAACTATGTGTGGCATTGTGACGGGAAAGAGGAAACGGAAGACAAAGCGATCTATCTCGAAGCCATTGAACTTGAGAAGGTCTTTGTTCGAGCGCGAGGTGATGGCGTCCTTGTCGCGTCGGAGGAGAGGTGCGGGGAGGTTGGTGATGTTCATGCAAGGTTGCGTCATGATGATCGGCAGCTTGACTTCGAGTCCTGAACAGCTTCCTCCTTCCATATTCTTTTCTCTCCCAACCAGAGTCGAGCAAACAACCTGAAGCCTCCAAGGAATCATCATGGCACCTCCAACAGATCGCAAGCAAATTCTTGACAACTTCCGCAAGCAGATCGATGCCGGAAAGCCTATCGTCGGAGCAGGTGCGGGCATCGGCCTTTCTGCCAAGTCGATTGAAGCAGGCGGCGGCGACCTAATCATCATCTACAATAGCGGACGCTTCCGAATGGCGGGTCGAGGGTCTTTGGCAGGACTCATGCCTTTCAGCAATGCCAATGATGTCGTTGTTGATATGGCCAAAGAAGTGCTGCCTATCGTGGAGCACACCCCCGTCATAGCCGGAGTATGTGGCACCGACCCTTTCAAGGACATGCCTCGATTCTTGTCACAACTCCGCGACTTGGGCTTCGCTGGTATTCAGAATTTTCCTACTGTGGGCTTGATCGATGGCCAGTTTCGTGCGAACCTCGAGGAGACCGGCATGGGTTACGACAAAGAAGTCGAGATGGTACGACTGGCTGCCGAGATGGGTATCCTGACAACACCCTACGTCTTCAACGTCGAGGAAGCCAAGGCCATGGCTGGTGCTGGAGCCGATGTTGTTGTCGCACATATGGGCCTTACAACCAGCGGCACGATAGGCGCTCAGACTGGCAAATCTCTGGAAGACTGCGTCAAGGACGTACAAGCCATCAAGGATGCGGCTACCGAAGTCAAGAAAGACATTATTGTGCTCTGCCATGGCGGACCTATCGCAAAACCGGAAGATGCGAGGTTCGTTCTGGAGAGAGTCAAGGGTTTGCACGGCTTCTTCGGCGCCAGCTCGATGGAGCGCCTACCAGTCGAAGACGCAATCAAGAGTGTGACGGCAGAATTCAAGGACATCGCAGTACAAAAAGCGTAAGGAAGCCTGGTCGAGATGTCAGGCACATGCCAACTCTTTGCACCCGCCCACGTCGGGCTTGCTCAAATCTGCCATGAGGCCGGCCACCATAGAATCTACGAATCATCAAGTACACAACCCAACTCACGAAGTTTTGTGCTCTCAATGAACGACTGTAGTGTCGATGTCGGCGATAGCCGTCTCCTATGACAGTTGTGCGCTTCGATTTGCGCAAGTTATGACGGCTGATTGGAAGCTCCTCCGGTCACGAGACCAATATCTGCTTCCGCGCCGCTGTAATGCCTCGGCCCTCGAGTAAAGCACTTATACAGGCCAGCTCTTAGATACGCCAATATCCACCAACAGTACGAGCGCAAGCTATCAAGGCGCTCCTAGCTCCCACTCCAAGACACAATGGGGGACAACGAACTATCAAAGCGCTGGAAACGTCCCAAGAAACGGACCACTCCTGTTTTGGAAAAGATTCTCGTCCGGAACTTCAATGGGAGCTGCGCCGAAATTCAGAGATCCCCAGCAGAATCAGCTCAGGCCAATCTTGAGGACGCTCTCACCAGGTATGGTGGATGCTTGATCAAGCAGCTACGCGAAGAGAGCTTCTTGCCCGAAAATGGGTTCTTCCGCATGAATGACATCGTTGAAGTGGGAGGAGCTGAATTGAAGCTGAGCGATGGCAATCGGTTCCTGCCTAGCACTCAGATAAGGTTTCTCGGCTCTTACTTCCCTGCCATCATTATCAAGGTCGTTACCGCCAACCGATACCACAAAGTACTGGAAGAAACACGTCGGGCTATGCTTACCATGCTTGGCAAAATCCGCGTCGCTATCGTCATCAAAATCGAGAAAGCTCCTCCGAGAGCGGCTGAGCCATCGGGCACGTCAATCGACAGCACCAACGCCAGAAGCACAACAACTCCGGAGGACGAGAGGTTGTCGATGAATGACCGCATCACGGTGAAACTACTCCAGCTCTTCCACACGAGCGGTAGCCAGCTGGTGCAACTGCATATTTCCAAAGAAGAAGTGTTTCCGAAGATCCCGGATACTGTGTTCATTCTCACTTGGGCCGACATCTGTCCGGATCCCTGGCCGTACAAAGACGTATCACCCCCCCTCGCTCAATTCCCGCTCAGGGCTCTCCATGATCTTGCGCTGAGCTACAGGATCAACGGTACACCCTACAGAGGTCGCCCACGTAACATGGACCACGTCTCTCTCCCCGATGTGGAATTTCATGAGATAGATTACACGAGGCCTCCACGACCATGCATACCCTCGCAAATGCAACCTCCACCCGGCTTACCACCGCGGTCTCAGCCTAGCTCATCATCGCAGTTTGCATCTACATCACCATCGCGTACTCCCCCTAGCTCAGCGTTACAGTCGCAGCTCCCATCTGGTCTACCAAGGCACATTCCACTAAGTCCGCTGTCGCAAGTTCGCAACAACTAGTGCTCAAGAACCGAACAATATCTTTACTGCACCCGTGCACGTCCATCGAAGCCTCGAATATCCTTCTGGTCTTGTGGATGAGATGATGTGGATGAATAATTGGTCAGAGGATCATCGTGATAAGACACACAAAATACTCAATACATTTCAACAATTGCGGCAGAATATGACATGCCATCCCAGCTCTCTATACAACATAAAATCGAATCATTCTTGCTTTGTGCCAATGCCACCATCAGCCCCTCTCCTTACAGCCCTATTGAGTGAAAGCGGATATTCATCACTACCCTCTATTACAACATACTCGTTCAATATCATCGCATCAGCGCGCAAGTAACATTCGCCGCCACATCTGCTGGTAGGAGATCATGCACATTAAAAATCCACTACGCAGACCTCTGCGATCCTGTGTGTAGCCTGTACAAACTGGAGTATCTGATCATGGTGCAAACATCACGTGCTGGATCACTCGGAATTGAAATTGATGCTGATCAGAGTGCACGTCATAGGTGTGCAGTGGAAAAGTACAAAGCACGAGTAGAGGTAAAGTGGAGATGACAAATACTGAGCAGACCTTTCAGCCTCGCTATTCAACTCGACAATTTCTGATCTGAGCAAGAGAGTTCAGAGGGGCAACCAGCTTGAACCTGTAGATGGTCTTGTGTCAACTTCGTAATCTAGACATGATGAGCAAACGTTGCACAAGGCCTTGGGAAAAACGGAATCAGATCAAGAAGGCCTTGGGAAAAATGGAATCAGATCAAGCTGGACATTGTCAAATTCTTGTATTATGTTCTTCCACAAGCTGCACGAAATTGTTTATATGTTCCATCACTAAAGTCTCTTCAGATGTTCTGAGATTGCTTGTCAAAATCCCATGGAGGGCATCCACTTCTTCAGAGCATCAACCATCTGCATTGGACGAGCATTGTAGAAAGCATACAACCTCGGCGACAACTTGACAGACCGATCAGGAACGTTCCAAACCTCAAAATCTTGCTCCGGCTCTTTCCCTCCTCTTTTGTCTTTGCCCAGCTCTGCGATGGGGGCCAGAGGAATCTCGCAAGATGGTACCGGCAGGTTTGCATGCGGCCAGGGCGCTGGTGTCAAGTCCTTCCACTCGAAGAGGACGGTCTCCATGCTATTGGAAGAGATCTCGAGGTTGTCATACACACCCTGCAGGACGTGTGTTTCGCCGTCTTCGGACTCGTAGAGCTTCAAGACGGTAACGGTGACTTTGTCGGCTTGGATAAGACCTTCAATGGCCTCTACCTCGGTTCGCTGGCCCTTGTGGAGAGAGATGAGGATGGCGCAGCGGAGACGACCATTTGTTTGCATCATAGCGGTGATTAGCTGCTTGAGTCTCTTCTCGTAGATGTCGCTCCAGCAGATGTTGAAGATAATGGCCGGCACTTCGGCTCCGAGGAAGGAAATATGTGCATCGGGCTCGTAGACTGTGCCGTCGTTGAGGTGGAGTTTATGAGTACCCTCGACTAGATTGCCAGTTGGAAATAGGTCGTTCGGGAGGAAGTTGTTTGCGTGTAGTTGCGCATGGACCGAGCTGCAGTAGCTTTTGAGGGAGTCGCGTAGTCTCGAGGGTGTTTGATAATTATCGGAGCAATTGCTGGCCGTGCGAGAAAGAGGTGTGTGAGCAATCTTGTCGAGCGTGGGGTACGAGCCTGGCATCTTTCGGGGAGAGTCGGCGACGGAACTGCTCTCGGTGGAGTCTTCAGGGTTGTCAGAGAGGTCCTCTGAGTCTGATGGAGCACAAGAAGTAGATGGACCAGATGCCTCACGGGACCAAGGCTGCTCTTCCAGGGTGACGTTGTCCGATGGGGAGTCCAGAGTTTCGGCAGAGGAAGAGTCGGCCTTTCCAACATCGTCCACGACACCCCTAGCGATGTCCTTCGGTTCTTCTTCTTTTACGGCATTCTTCGATGAGGCCTTCGATTTGCGGCTTCTTCTCTTCGTCTTCTTAGTAGCTTGCTGGCGTAGCAGACCTTCGTCATGGAGAGAGATAACTTCGGTGCGCTGGTGGAAATCATGGTGGCAGCCTCTGAGGTACGAAAAATATGCGACTTGATGCGATGGAGATATCGAGCTCTGGGAGAGAAAATCCGGAGCTGCGAGATATTGTTGAATCAGTGACTTGGAAAGAAAGCGTCATGAGATTTGTATTGAAGGTCATCGAAGCGTATAAGCAGTCGAAGTGACTCAGTCATCCAGATGAGGCTGTTTGCGGTTGTTGATGGAAAATGTAGCTTCAGACGTAGATTGCATTGTAAAGTTACGACGTCTCAGAATGTGGAGAAGAATCGTGTCGCAATGTGCCGTTATGGCGTGTTCGTTATGTTGTCTTGAGAGGCAGGCACGTTCGTCGTCGGGATTCGCGGTCAAGTCTACCTTCTCCATCAGACGAAAACACAACCACGTCCAAGCAATCTTACCCGACACTCTCGATCAATCCTCGTGTTACGTTACAAATCACACTGCGTAGTGGTAAATATAAGCAATGTTCGTCGGTCCATGGAGATCTTACATCAGTCCTCGATGGTGCCTAAACATCGTCTCGGGTACACTACCGAGTCAGAGGGCTTCAATTAAGTGACCGGATCCAGAGCATGCTATCAAAATGCGACGTGCTTTTTGGAACGTCCTCGCTGTCCGCTGAGAGCATCAACATACGGATTTCTCAGTGGGCAACGGACATGTATCGTCAAAGAAACGACTCTCTGCATTTGCACACATCAACCTGAGAGTAGCGGCATGATGAAGTGGTATAGGCGTGCTCAACAGGAAAGAGTAGAGATTGTAGAGCTCCCGTAAACAGCACCATCTACCAGAAATGTAGATCAAGATGTAACATTGAACTACTATCAAGTTTGTCGATCAAGTGCTGGAATCCAGATACAACATCTCTGGCTCTCGATAATTCCAAAGAGATCCCAAAGCAGCACTGTCTGGTAGTATTGCTTATTAGATGCAAGATACGATTGCTATTGAGCTCGTTGTCCACTGAGAGAGAAGGGTTGAATGCAAAGGTTCCTGCTTTCGGCGGACCTGCGGAGTACTGCAAAAACACTATGCATTTGGATGAGGGTTGCTCCGGGGTGGCTCGATGCTGGAGAAGTCCTGCTAGCTCACGGCCGGGGTAGTGAAGAGACGTGAGAGTAGGTCAGTGAAAGTTCGAAAGACGTGTTCCATGTCTCGTTGTCGTGGGGCTGCGCGCTGCTTCGTTACCACTCTCTACCAACGCTTGATCACCCTCTTGTTTTTCGACAATCCAACAACACAACCAATCCTTCTCTTCACACGTCAAAATCAACACCAAGAACAATAATCAAGATGTCTGCTCGTTTCGACAGATACAAGCATCACAATAGGCAAGTAGAATTCCAAACGCATGTGCGCGCACTCGACTAATTAACGCCAGAATCTTCGCACTATTCCCCACAAGCGATGACTACAAGAGCTCTGTGGAGGCTAGTGTTTGGTACAAGACCATCGAAGACTACCAGTGCCATCGTGCATTCATCATGGAGTACAAGATCAAGACTCTGTTCAAGCAGCAGCAGGACTTGATCAACGTCCTCACCAAGCCCAACAAATTCCTCATCGTCGAGGAATACCAACTCACCAGACCCTGCAGAGTTGCTGCTATGGTCATGCAGGTTTGCGTCAACGTTGCTGCCATGAAGAAGGTGATCCCTCCTGTCGGAGTGGATGAGGATGAGTTTGAAAACGGTGTGCTCTGCCGCCCCTACGTCCTCATGATCTTCCCCGACCAGGATATCGACCCCAGCATTCCTATGGACGTTGCTACTCTCTCACACTGGACTCACGTCGAGTTCTCGACCCCCGACATCAGTGTGGACTTCCCCGGCGACGAGGCCTTCCGCATGCTCAACACTGAGGTGATCTTCTCCAGCATGAAGAAGCTCAAGAAATTCGTTGGTCAGAAAGCTATCGATCTTTCCCGCGTCCAGCGTATCATCATCGACGAACCTCTCCACTTCGACAAGCCTGGCTTCGAGAGCTTTGCCATGCTTCTTCGTCACCCCGAGTTGAATCCCAATGTCGATCTTGCCATCGTTGGCCACTCATTCACCGAGTTCACCGATGAAAACATCAAGGAAATCACCGACAACAACCTTCCCTCTATGCGCCCTCACACCGTTGAGAGCCGCAAGGCCTCCGAGGCCGAGTGGGACGCTTATGGCAGATCCCTCTGAACAACCAAGCAAGCACCGTAAGAAGCGCCGACCCATCCCAACACGCTCGAAACACACTGACAACCATTAGGAATGAAAACTTTATTGCATGTGCATAAACAAGGAAAAGGAGGACTGTGTTCCAGGAGAATACGCCTTCCATCGGAAAGCAAAGGAAAGATGAGCTATGGGTGTGCACGTTGAATGTTATTCGAAGAGAACTCGCCTTTTATCAGAAAGCAAAGGAGGTGTAGGCTTGGGATTGGGGATTGGTAGTTGGAACTGGTTTCCGGCACCATGGCTCAGAGATGCAATAGCATCTTTACCTCGTCAATACCATCATTGCCTCTGTCGTCTCCAAGCTCCTCGTCTATTGCCCGTCCAGAAATGTTATCGCACGGAGGAGTCAGAAGCAACTATTCTGAAAGCATGTCGCCGCTTGAAAGACTTTCATTGTCTTCCTTTGTGTCTTTGTTCACACTTTCCCTCGCTGCCTTTGAGCCTTTGTCCGCATCGTCGCTTCCGCAGACATCATCACTGTTCAAGCTAATTGTAGGAAACGTTCGCCTGACCAGCCTGGATTTCTCTGCCCGTGTCCACGCCACGCTCTAGCTCTCCTCATGCGACAGAATGATTGCAAGGTAGGAGATCCACAAGCGTCGAGCAGGACGTGAAGTTGGAAATCGAGAGATGGCCGGTATCGGTGCCCCGCCCCAGGCCTGGTATGGCCGCCACTGCTCGCTCACGAGCCCAGATTGCCTTCGCACCAGGAGAGATGACGGCTCAAGACCCATGCTGACCATCTTGTCAGAGCTTGAGCATCTACTACAGCTCGCATCAGATTGGTCTTGATTAGTCAAACAGCTGTCACCTGGCCAGGACCGATTATGAGCTGGCGCGAAAAAAGCCGAGCGTCGCTCAAGCCGTGGGCGCAAGTAATCACTCCACGAAGCAGCTCCAAAGCGAAGCCTGTCGAGAATACCGACTCCTCACCTTTCTCTCCTTGCTCATACACTCGAGGTGTTTTTTGGCGACCGCCAATCAGGTGCGATAGGAACGAGCGGGCCGAGTATCTGTGGACACATTCCACGGACTCGCCGAATCGCAATGCATTCCCGAGCGACCACATCCGACGTTGCCGAAAACACTACGGACTGAGGGCTGACTTATATAAACCTCCAGAGGGCGCTCTTTGGTATCCGCTCTACTTCTGGAGAATTTTGGGCGGCAGCTCCAAAGTAAAGCCGACTAGGAAGCGAGTTCATGAGCAGACTTGTTGTCGACGAGGTGCACGGCAGTCCTGCCAGGGCGCCCCTGTCCAGCACACTCCTAGCCAATTAGCATACGATTATATCGCTAGTCACAGCATTCGCGGGTACCTCTGGTCGAGAGACGTTGCTGACAAAGACAAGTCACAACATTGCCAAGATGGCCTCAAGAATTTACCACCTGCAGATAACCCCGTCCCAGGACAATCACACGGTTGCTACAACGAAAGACTACCGCGACGAAGGAATGCATCGCGATTATCTGACCCTTGACGAGTCAGGAGCGTCTAAGATGCAGAGGTAGCGATATGGCCTTCCTATTCTGGCACTCGCTCAAGCTTGCACCCGCACGAACAAGCAAGGGAGGGATTCAGCTTCGACCCGCCATCAATAATCTCTCGAGTTTACCGCCCAGACTCTCATGGACATCCAGAAACGACACACTCATACTCAATCGGCCCACTACTTTGGAGGTAAGAGCAGCGAAGCAGGGTGCAGTTGTGTATATCCTTGTGGCGTTTCGAGAGCGGGAGCGCGTGGTGCAGATGCGGGTTGTCTCTCTTAGAGAAAGAACGAAGGTCTGCCTCGGCTTCCTGTTGATGCATTCCTCTATCTCTACAACTGCAACGTCACTGATCCGTCAAGCAAACATAGCCAATTTTCTATGACTCGCAGGCCCAGCACAATGCCAAGGGTAGACCCGATAGATCGGCCATGTTGGTACAACCCTTCAATATGGCGGAATGCAGAGCCGCACTTGGGGTATTCATCATATTCCAATACAAAGCATCTTCGCTCTTTCCCTACTATGGTGTTTGGTGCTTGCCTGCGTATCCGTGTGGTGAGAACATGTTGCGAAACTTTCCTTCCCTCTTGGGACTTTTCTGTCTTTTCCGAGCGAGCATCGCGCAATCATCTTCCGACGAGACCGCCAGTCAATCATCAAGCGTATGCACTTCTTCGACTGGCCAGTACGCCATCTATACATCAGACTCGTCAACATATCTTATTCAAGATGGCCATAGAACGCCACAGGCCGTTTCGTCATGTCCGGCGGGCCCAACTTCAACGGTACTTGAGTTCTCAACTGTCTGGCAAACTAACAATATTTCTACTGTGTATAGGTCCTCGACATATTACGTCTCCAATCTTTCCACAATCGCATGCGCTTCGAGCAGTAACGCCACTGCTCCCTTTGAATGCCCTGCACCGGCCACGGTGACCATACCCGCATCGGCATCGACAGCCATCTTAAACACCTTCAAGCAGACGAGCATTTCGACCGTCTTCCAAGAAGGCCCATGCCCATCTAATGCCAGTACCCCGGTAACGATAACCTCCGTCCTGTCCGACAACGAGCCATGCCCGACTTGTTCATCGAATGCGAGCGTTCCGTCGACAGTGACATCCTTCCTCCCTACCAACCAGACACAGCTCTTTTGTCCTTCCGAGACCGGTACAGATCTCTCCCTTTGGCTCTCAAGCCAGTCAGTCAGTTGTTCGCCTCTCGCCAACGTATCTATCGTGGTCACGTCGAGCATATCTGGCTCTCTCGTGAGCTCAGTGATCTACGGCACGGCTCTTTGTCCGGTCATCTTCGAATCTTCTCCAAGGTCTGGCTCTGCCTTGACCGTCGGATCAGACTTTTCAGGCAGCATTTCAACTCTTTATGAAAGCGCCAGCTGTCAGACTGTTAGCACGCTGCCTCCAATTACGACCTCGATCTACTTGTCTGAATCCAGTTGTACGAATTCAACAGTTTTCTCCAATGTATACCAGAGCGGTACCCCTGCTAGCTTAGCTCCTGGCAACTCAAGCTGTCCGACATGCCCCTCGGGCGTTCTCACAGTGACCAGCTCAGGGACCGTGACAACCGTCTTTGCAAGCGCCGCGAGCTGTACTGCAGCAGCCAACGCAAGCACCATCACTCTGAGCCAGAGCTTTGTGTCCACCATATTTACTCGAGATCCTGCGTGCAGTTTTATCAACTCCTCCTCGGCGATGGGTATGAATACGATTATCTCTGCCACTCGGTTCACGACAGTCTATGGGCCGGATGTGACCGTCACGATGCCTGGCTCTTCCACCACGCTGTCATCAGATCCTTACTGCGACACTTGCCCTGACGAGTGCTACATGGACTTTGATGATGATGGCGTACCCGATGCTCAAACACAAGCCTCGACGAATTTTACGTCTCTTGTCTCACAAGCCAGCTCTTCTACTTCCGCTATCGCAGCGAATTCAACAGCACCCGTTCCTCCTCCGGTCGTGATTGCGGATAATAGTTTCGAGAATGGCACTGGCAATCCTCTTAACAGCTCTGCCTCAAGTCCTGCAGTCATCGCCGAGATTGCTCAAAGCAACGACAGTTCTCCTCTGACTGCGCAGAGTGGAGACAGCTATTTGTGAGTGATCTTTCGCCGGGTTCTCCAAAAGCCAATATTGACTCGTTCACTCCAGGTTATTGACCTTCAATGATGGGTCTGCTGCGAAGCTCTTCCGTCGCCAGTCAGCCGCCCAGCCGCTCATGTACAATGCCACTCAGTACTTCGCAACAATCGCAGGCGATACCTACAACTTGAGTGCCTATGCTCAGCAAGCCCAGAACGGGCCCAACCCTCCCGATTGTTCCATTCGTCTCTGCGTCTATGACTCCTGCAGCAGTCCCGCTCCTCTACGCACTCGAATTTACCAGCAATACTACTATCTCTTCTCGGCGACTTCAGACGATGATTCAGCTCTAGCAACCTTCAGCATAACTTGTGTTGGCAACGCCTATGTGGCTCTCGACAGCATCGCCATCGTGGACATCCCGCCTCCATCAGACGGATCAGCTCCACCTTCCGACGGCTCGACACCTCCGTCTTCCGGGGCCTCTGCGACGGCGGCAGGTTCTGATGGTGGCTCAGTCTCATCGAGTACACTGTCTGATGGCAGCGTTCGAACGGTGACAAGAACAATTGTGCGGACGAGGACCACGTCCGCAATCGTCTATACGGCAGTTTACTACACCACAACCCAGTACATCACCTCGACATACCGAAGCGACAATACCTATACCACCGATCGGCCCACCACAGTAGTTTCAACTGCCTTTGCTACCGCCACATCTGTCCAGAACCTGACCGTTTCTGCGATAGTGACTTCCATCAGTAAGTTGAAGACATCTGCTCTTGCTTCTTCTCATTTCCCTTTGCCCGAGATTTCATTCCTTGCAAAGACCTTGAACTAGCTCTTGGATCGCGCCTCGGCCTCCCGGAACCGTGGAGTATCCATCAGACCCTCTGCGAAATTTCATGATGTCCTCAAGGGTTGGAGCTCTGTCCTTTGAGAGTGAGGTCTCTCTGAGCTCTCATTGGAAGTCTCCTGCAACCTGGAAACACCCATGCATGTCGATAGCAAGATCGTATCCTGTGATTTGGCAGATTATCTCTGTCCCTGACGACCACGCTGGCAAGTCGAGAATCTCAATGTACATCTGCTAACCAGTGCATCTTCTAGCTACCATCACATACACTGCAACCTACAGCCAAGTGAGCACGGCTTACGAAACTGCGACTGCAACTCAAACGCAGATTCAAACCACCTCTTTTCAACCGTATACCACTTTTATAACCTCAACAATCACATCCATCATCTATCCAGAACCCAGCACGTACATCATAAGCGCAAGTCCCATCGTCACCACTATCTACTCAACTTTAATTGAAACATCCTTTCTCTTGCAGCCGACGACGATTATCGAATCCAGAATCATCACACTTGAACCGCAGAACATCACCCGGACTGAAACCACCAGTCTTGCCCCCTACACAACTACTTTTGTATCTAGCTATCTTACAACGCTCTTTTTCACGCAGACTGGCCCGACTATAATCTCAATATTACCAGCCTCGACGGAACTCACGACGATCATCAGCAGGGAAGCACCAGTCACCCAGACTATCTATTCAGTCCTGCCTGCATCTACTATTATTTCGATTGTGAATGTTCCACCAGAAACTCAGTCCATAGCTGGCCCAACTACGACTGAACATCGATTGTCTCTTGTGACAACCACATTGCCTCCCTCGACTCTTACGACTGTCCAGACCATCATCTCGACACAAGCCGGGACCAACTTCACGTTCTACTCAACTTATCAAACGATTCTACCCGCATCCACTCTGGTGCTGACTGAGACTTTGGCTGCGAGTACGATATCTGTTTTTGGTCCCACAGTCACAGGCCCGACTGAGACTCGGACGTCAATCTCAGTTGTCTTAAGCACTGTAATTACAACATTGCCGGCGAGCAGCATCACTTTTACGACGATTAGCCTCAGCGTCCAGCCCGCCAGCAGCTTTACAGAGACTCGCGTCGTGATCTCCACTGCTCCTGGAACCACTATCTATTACACCAGGTGAGTTTTTTTTTTAGCATTGATTCATGCTTCTTGCACCTAATGCTCAGATGTTGCATAAGCAAAGAGCTTCTGCTGACTATTGCTCGCTTTAAGTACTTATATCACGACTGCAGCGCCCGTTACAATCACGGCGACCAGCCTGTCCGTGTCAATTCAACCAGCATCTTCGTTTACCACCGTTATAACTGCAACACTTCCTCAGGCCACTGTCACGTCACTCAGCGTACAGCCGCAGGCAACAGTGACAACGCTTAGTGTTCAGCCGCAAGCGACGGTCACGTCACTCAGCATACAGCCGCAAGCAACAGTAACAACGCTGAGTGTTCAGCCGCAAGCAACAGTGACAACACTGAGTGTTCAGCCCCAAGCAACAGTGACGGTACGTACAAACAAGATTCCAAATCGTACTCCTGATTTGGGAAGCCTCATGTTGGAGTGCTGCTTCTTGAAAGGCAGTACTTACCTTGAAACTTCCAGATCTGAGCATGATCTCTGAGCTCATGAGAGGCATGAGAGGCATCAGTGCAAAGTCAAGAAAGACTCGTGATATGTAGAAAAAATGTTTGGATCATTGCTAATTCGTGATTTGGCTCTAGACAACAAGTATTCCGATTGCATCTACCGTCACGTCAATCTCCGTCTACCTAACGACGCTGATATCTACCTATCTGACAACAGCTCCCGCTAGTAGTATCACATATACCAGCATCAGCACGAGCGTCATACGAGAGACTTTTACCACAACCTCGACAGTGATCAGTAGCGCCCCAGGACAAACCAGCACCTACTTGACGTAAGCATGATGAACCCCTATCCTCCGAGAACATGACAGACCTTTCCCTCCAAGAGCTTATGCAATTGAATGTTGTGCTGCTTCGGCACTGAATCCCTTCTAACAGACTTTGGGTGTTTTCAACTGGCCCACTCGTCTGGTCGACCTTTCTAATGGGTCTGCCTTGCTCGAGGCTCCCATGAGTTGCATAATTCGCTCGTTGACTTTCTCACGTAATCCTCAAAGCCTCAGCGCGACTTTTGTACGGCCGAACCTCTCAAGAAGATGAGTGAGCTGGTTTGAAAAAGCACTTGATGACTTGAGAGAGCTGAGCCGAGCAGCTGACGCCTCCTAAACCATGTTGAGCGAACTTGGCTGACTTAGGCGTTTCAGAACCTTTTTGACCACGGTCTACAGCACAACCACGTCTGTCACCCTATCCATCTCAACGCAACCTGCTTCCACATTTACGACAACGCAGAGCCTGATCCTTACTGCAACTGTGTAAGTGGATCTCGAGATCGTGCAGGCAGGAATATTCATATTCGAAATGTGATCACGATATATTCAAATGAGTAACATGCTAATACATATTCCCAGCACCTCAACTGCTCCGCCGCCTCCAGCGAGCACGGGAATCATGTGAGGAAAGCTGTAAATCGCGTCAAAATAAGCATACTGACAAGAATTCTCCAGAACCACGACATTCACGAGTTATGCAGCAACACCGTCTCCAGTTACAGTGTAAGCTTCAGCTGCAAGACCTGTATTCTAAGCGTTGAGATACTAATATCACCATTTAGCGTCTTAATAACCACTTCGGTTGTCTACGCTGCAACACCCTTACCGCTAACTTCGACTGTCTACGTAGCAACACCCTCACCATCTACCTTAACAGTCTATATAGCTACTCCTTCTCCCTTAACTTAGTAAGACGTTCTACGTCTTTTAGGTGCGAAACCTGCTAATTAGATCTTCTGAGGACTACGACCTCTACAGTCTATACAGTAACACTATCTCTAGTTATAGTGTAAGCTTTAGCTGCGAGACCTGTTCTGTAAGCATTAAAATACTAAAATCACCATTTAGCGTCTCTATAACCACTTCGACGATTTATGCTATAACACCCTCGCCGCTAACCTCGACTGTTTATGCGGTAACACCCTCGCCATCTACCTTAATAGTCTATGTAGCTACTCCTTCTCCCTTAACTTAGTAAGACGTTCTACGTCTTTTAGGTGCGAAACCTGCTAATTAGATCTTCTTAGGACTACGACCTCTATAGTCTATGTAGCAACACCATCTCCAGTCACAGTGTAAGTAATACTCGCGATGAATTGTTTGAATGAGCGATGGAAGCTAAATTAATCTTCTAGCATCTTAACGACCACTTCGACGATTTCCGTTTATGCAGCTACCCCAGTTCCCTTAACCTCAACTCAGTAAGTTATGTCCAAACTAAGTCCAGCTCAGGTTGATATACACCGCAATAATGGCTTCTTGGGTCCATCGCAGATGGAAAAGTAGACAGTCTACTTTTGATCTCGCCTGGGCTTAATGACGATTCATCTTGTCTATTCGATATGTAGAATGATACGCTAATTGAACTTTGGTAGGACTACCACAATAGTGAGCTCGTTCACAGCGACACAGACGACTACTGCTCCAGCACCGCCTCCCAACACTGTGTAAGTGATGTTCTTATCCAGTCTCATAACAATTGGTTGCAGGGTTGCTGATATTGTGCCATAGGACTGCGACGACCACTGCTCCAGCGCCGCCTCCCAATACTGTGTAAGATGACTGTCCAACCTGCCCGAAAGCAATTGGTCGGAGCGGATGCTGAAATTATTTGCTAGAACTGCGACGAGCACAATCTATGGCCCCACTCCAGCACCAATAACTTCAACTCAGACCTTGTGAGTATTGTATTTTTCCAGTGCAAAATTTGACGGGCCAGAAATCACTTGTCTGATTTTCTGTTCTGGACCAATCTGCAACGGAGGTGAAAGCATGGGCTAACGAAATTGCAGGACTACCACAAGTACTACAACTCAAGGTAAGATTGTTCGAACCTCAATAACCAGCGCAGTCCGCAAAGATATTCCGGTGGAGCCAGCACGCCTCCTCTTATCGTCTGCAATGAGATTCGAACTCGGAAACATTCTTGCAAAAAAAGACCCTCGATCTGGCTATGAAGAGATAACATTTGCTGACCTGCATATTTTCTAGTGGTCACTGTGACATCGACAGCGCCGGCTGTGTAAGTCGTTTCTGATCATCTCGTCTGTCGCTAGAGAGGCTAGCAGGACGGAAGATACTTAGCAATAGTTGTTTACGATAACTAATTGATTTCTTCTCACAGAACGACCACTGCGCCCGCACCTCCTGCTAGCACTGTAACAACTACTGCACCAGCACCTCCAGCAAGTACTGTGACGGTTACGGTGACACCAGTAAGTTTAGGCCGTTCTAATTTCTAGCTTGTGTCTAATGCTTATGAAAGCGTTAGTCCTCTATTACGAGCGTGACAGCTGCAAGTCCAGCAGCGCAAGGAGCAGTGAGTTGATTCTCCTCTATGACTCAACCTAGACCAGCCTTATGACCGAGAATACTAACTGTATCATTTCAGACTACTGGCTCCCGAACAACGACACCAGTGGTAGGCTGACCGTTAAAGAAAAGACACCGCCAAATTTTCGCTAACTCTTCCCAAAGTCAACAACAGCAGCTCCCACAGTCGCTCTATCGTCCCCTACTACAATCATAAGCTCAGCTGCAAACCATGACGACGAAATCGTTGCCCGTGTCGTGCCCTTCGCAATTTCCATCTGCGGCTTCTCCTCCAACAATCTCACCATAAGCACCAATGGTGTTCTCGGCTTTGGCATAACTAGTTCCTACCAGCCTGCCGCTCTTCCACAATACACAGCTCTCTCCCCCACCGGCTACGCCGTCATACCATTCTGGGCCGATCTCTACATTGCTCAAGGAACATCCCAAGGAATCTACTATCAAGTTGATGGTACAGCGGGCTCACGGATTATGACTTTTGAATACTACGCGACATACTACAACAAGACAGCCAACTATTATCATTTCCAGATTCTGTTCTACGAAAACAACCCAAACTCTTTCACATTCAAGTATCTGAATGTTACGGACAACGGAGTCAATGCCGTGGTTGGGTATCAATGTCAACCAAGTAAGCAAAAGCCCGCTGCCATAGCTTCGAAGAGCAGACGCTGACGTTTCTCAGACTCCAAATTCAAGCAGTACTCGGCCAAACAAGCTATCATCACCGGAGGTTTACAAGTGGACTACAGTTATAGCGCAGACACTTTCACCTCTGGTAGAGTGCCAAGTCGAGTTGCAATGATTGGCCCAATGATTGATTTCGTCAATCGCATTGTCGACAATGTGTCGAGTTCATGGCGAGCAGCGACCTCTTGGATGCGGGATAAACCTTCGAGTACGCCGTCGAACGAGGTCTACGCCCCAAAGCCGTCAGTGACCTTTGAGGCAAATGTTGAGGATAGCATCAACCGGAGGTGGGCAGGTGGATACGGTCGCCGAGGGAATTCCTCAACCTTAGCCTAGTTTCCTTTGTGGTGTGTTCCCTTTGTCATCCACTCTTTCATGATATCTCAGAAATGCCATGTTTCATTTCTCACAACATTCCGATTTGCTGGTGTCTTCACTCTACCGCAAGTATGTAGTCCAGACCGTTTGGGTTCACCTGTAATAACAGTCAAGCATGCGGGTGTCACAGACTTGGAAGTGAAGATGTTCATTTTCACTCAACCTCCACTTTCACATCCTTGTCTGGAACCTTCCGTCGCGAAGAGCAGGCGCCGCACAGCTATATAAACCCTTGAATTCCCCCACTCCCTTTCTCTTTTCTTCTTCGGCGTCAAGGGGCAGACAGTAAAATGCCTGTTCACTGGTCTTGCCCCTTGGCGTCCAATTGCCTTGGCCTTCTGCTGCGCGTACACGAACACTATGTTGCGCGCCCTCTCGCCTTCTCGCTCTCGATCTTCCCTCACATCACAACATCGAGACCAAACATCGCCTCAAGTTCAGTCCACTCACAACATGTCTTCCTCCCCCAACGGCATGACATACCTCCAGGTTTGTGTTGATCCCTTCTTGATGTGGGTGTGCTATTTTCTGACAGATCTTCGCAGCGCCTGGCCGCAAGGCGCATTGCTGAAGGCCGCGATGCCAGTGTCCACTTTGAATGTGTGCCTCCCCCGGGCATGTCCGTCAACATGGCTCGTGTCTACCGCGACAAGCCCCCCGCCCAATTAAGTGAACGATTGTTGTGCTGTTTTGATCAGCAGCTGATTTTGTGCAGGCCCCAGTCGTCGGAATGCCTGGCAAGACCGATCCCGCCGCCAGTTCTGCTGCCCCTGCCTCTGTCGCCCCTGAATCTGCCGCCTCCAACTCAGCTGGCCCTGAAGTCCAGCCCGAAGCCCAGTCTGCCTCCATCCAAGCCTTGATCGGTGCCATTCAAGAGCACACCACCGCTCTCGACCGCAACACCGCCGCGCTTGACCGCGCAGCTGGCCTGTGGCCCTGAACAGGGAACACGCCACTGCGTGTGTCTGCATGGTAGGGTTGTAGAACGACCTGCGTGCGCGATACAACACTAGATAGCCAGGGCCGCTCGATTGAATTGTAATTTTTCACATCATCAATATTTTCCATGCCGAATCGTGACCACTTCTGTATTCGTGACGTCCGATCGACATCATAATGCAGCATGATCATCATTATCTGCCAAGCTCAGATGATGCCCGCGATCGGAGCTATGTGGGCAATTAACGAGAGCAACAAACCGCCTCCGCTACTTCCTGCTTTTAGGGCATACACAAAGTCGTCCCTCCACCCTATACGCAGTTGTAACCGTGTGAAATCTTGAAACTTTTGATTTGGTCGATTTCACCAGCGACAGCGGAAATGTCGTCGTCTCAACGATTTCTCGACTTATGGTTCATATGTTTGTGATGTTACCCTTCGCTCTTTCTTATCTCGATTCAACAGCACAGGTTAGATCGAGTATGCGTGATGATTGGCAAGACCAACATGCCTCCCATGGCAGCTGGAGGTATGCAGCGTGGTGTGTATGGCAGAGCCGAATCTCCATATAATATGGAATACTTGACCGCTGCTTTCTCTTCTGGCTCTTCTAATGGCGCTGCTACATCGACTGCAGCCTCTTTTGCTGCTTTTGGTCTTGGCTCAGAGACGGTGTCCAGCGGTAGAAGTCCTGCGAGCAACAACGGCTTGGTCTGCCACACACCATCCAGAGGTGTGATTAGTCGCAGAGGGCTGTGGCCGCTGTATGTGACCTGCGACGTTGTCGTACCTCTGACAAGAACTGTTAAGGATATGTTGGCAGTCTTGGAGGTCATCACTCAGCCTGACCCCGAAACCATTGGCGACTTTTGGAGGGACCAATGCACTGTGACTTTGCCGAAGGCTTCCAATCTTGAAGGCGATCTCTCCAGACTTTATGATGCTCACTCGCTACGAGGCAAACGACTTGCTGTACCAAAGATGTACACAGAGGACAGGTCTGGTACCTCGATCTCCAAAGCCCGATTCGGGTCGGAAGGTGTCAAGAAGGTCTGGGCACAAGCTCAGTCAGACCTCACCAGCTCGGGAGCAATTTGATATCACCTTGGTGTCTAAGAGGCACCTACAAACCAAACATGATAGCAGTCCTACAAGTATTCGCTAGCTATAGGTAAAGCTTTCCTTCCTTCCTACTTTACTACGAAGGATAAGTCGCTTACGCCTCGCCTCTCGTTCTCCATCATATATAAGCTAGATACGATGGCTCTTATGGGTGTCGCAAGCTTACACAATATGTCAAGGAGCATCCTGGGGCGTTCCAAGACGCTTGGATTTGGTGTGGCCAAGTTGTGATGTTTCTCAGAGTCATCGTCGTTGTTCTGAATTCCTTGTTGGTCGCAATTTGCTGGATCTATAATTCATGTGTGGAAGGCCACAGTAATATGGAATGTACTCAGATCCAGCATGCCTTGATTTCCATCATAGCAGGCTACAAGCTGCGATATTCTGTTCCTCTGCTATGACATCCTTGAACGATAGATGTTGGAATCCCAACCCATCGTGAATTGCATTGGGGTCCGGATGTCAACAGTGATTCCGGCTCGTGGGCGAATGTTCCCGAAGGAGTACGAGCATTCTGTAAATTCTGCTTCGCGTTGAGGCAACAGTTGTTCGATAAGTAATGATTAATCGCTGGGGTACACATCAGGGTTCCAAATTTCCGAAGGAATTTTCACTGGTATGGAGTAAGCCTCGCAATCTAGCGAAAGGGTTGAGACTAGTTCAACATGTCATTGGAGGATCAAATCTCTTGAATCTGAGACTATCAAGCTCAATGTGTAGGAGGTGTGGAGGTCGATGCGGATGATGGTACCCGCGAGGATAGCAAGACTCTACACCCAACCCCGTGCCGCAATCTAGTCACGGCGTAAGGCACAAGGATTCCAAAGGCCTTGGATTCTACTGCTCGGCATCAGAACAATCAACAACCGACGTTTTATGTCTACGTCACATGGTTAGCGTCCGAGCTACCACAGGTGCGTTCCTGCGGGGCTCCGCAGATTTTGCGGATACTGTTTCCCACTGATTTATACCTTGCGTGTGATGGGACAAGAGATAGTCATATAACGACGGTAAGACTCTATTCAATCTGTCTCATCAATCACTTCCACCTCATCCCAGCAATCATTTGTACCATACCAACACCAACACCATGCCGTCCGGCCAAGAGATCTTTCCAGCGGATGCGCCATCCGGAACCGCCTCTCATGTTCCACCCGACTGGCAGACCCAGAAGGCAGAGGGTCACCTTGTCGATGAAGCATTGATCCGAGCTGAGAACGAAGACAAGATGACACCTTATCTCGCATACCTCATTCTTTCCGCAGCACTCGGTGGTTTCCTCTATGGATACGACATTGGCGTTGTCGGCGTTGCTCTTTCCTTATGTAGGCACAGAATTTGGTGGAAAAGCACTCACATACTCTCAGCAAGAGATTACCACGGCTGCTACAACCATTGGATCCATCTTTGGAGCCTCAATCTTGGGCACGTTTGCTGACAAGTGGGGACGAAAGCCCTGCTTGTTGATTTCGGACCTCTTTTTCATCGCCGGTGCCATTGTCATCGCTTTTAGCTTCAGTCTTGCTCAGCTCATCGTCGGTCGCCTGATCCTCGGTGTTGGTGTTGGTGGTGCTGCCGTAATCTGCCCCCTCTATATCACTGAGCTGGCTCCAACAGCTGCTCGTGGACGATGTGTCGGAACGAATGGCTTTTGTATTCCTTTTGGGCAGACCGTCGCCGTCGCCATCGTCTCATCGATGGCCACATATACTCGGAGTCAAGAAATCAAAGCAGATGCGAAAGGAAAAAGAGGGAATGCAGAGAGAGATGAAGCAAGAGGGCGCGCTTGTGAATGAGTACCAAGTCGCCGAGATTGTTAAGGAACATGGGGCTGTGCATCTGGAGAACCTTTCTGTAGGACCCAAGGTGTGATGCCTGTCACGATCAAACCAGGATATCGGGCCGTTAGCATAGGCCGTCGAACTAGTTAGAGCAATGTAGTTACAACACACCGATATCTACGAGAATCGAGACTTATGTCTCTTTCCTGTTCAAAAACTCATAAATTCTTGCTTAGCTTCTGACCCTTGACCGTGCTGAACTTCTAGAGTCCTGTAGATTTTTCTACCTCCCTATCCTCGTATTCGCAGATCTAGCAGCTTTTGACGATGTCCAGGCTTCTATAGACGCTCAACAATTCCCATCGCAGGCTCTTCACATCAGTACTTCTCAGACCTTTCTAGACGCTTCACGCCTCGATCTCTCCCAAGTTTGTCAGGCGCCTCTTCCTTTGGTCGCTTTCAGACTTTCGCAGGTCAGTTTCCATCAGTTCAAGCCCTTTTCGCCACCAGGCGCTCAAACCACTACCGCCTCACTAAAGTTCTGCCTTCAATTCGCATGTTGCCAAACTTCACATCATCACGTCCGGAATCTAGACAACATCACCACCGGCGCCTCTGAGCAATCTCTCTGGGTCAAGCCGGCCACCGAAGCGTATGGTTCAGTGCTGGTCTATGACATCAACAGATGCGTCAGGAGCGCGCAAGGTGGAATCACATGCCTGCGCAATCGTCACGCTGGGGTCACCTCGATGTCCAGCCCAGTTCAGGTCTCTCCTTCTCTGTATCTGCTTTGATTTCAAGTTCACAGAGTCTGCAGGGCCTTGCCTACATTTATCTTTCATGCTTTTTGGGAGACTTTCTCTGTCAATCTGTCCCGACCTGGTCGAAGGCATGATCTCCTGTTGGAATGATTAGGGACAGCATTCGGTATAATTCATCGCAAGAGAGCGCGAGCAGAAGAGATGTAATATGCTTGCAGCGACAGACGTTTGCGTGTCTCTTCCTTTTTATGCTGTGATGGACCGCTAGGACACTCCTACAGTGCAGACCGACGCTGACGGGATGCATCTATTCTCATTTGCGATGTCCTTTGCGACGCACGATATGACAGTGGACTTCTTGCAACGTCGATATAGTCAATATTCTTTCCACGAAATCAACACGTGGTAGCCTGACATATCTCGACAAGATCCGATTTCAGTCTCGAGGGATTTGTCGGATCAGATAAGCTCGAAATTTCTTTTGGGGAGCGCTGTGAGTTGTTCATCAGATCCGCAAGTGAATAGGGTTTCGGAAGGGCGAGAGAGAAAAGAGGGGTACAGCGGGAGAGCGGCACCGGGACCTCCTCGGGATCTCGAAGGTCCAGCTGGAATCGTCAACATCATGCCTTGGTGGCATAAACACTGCCCTATTTTTCTCGGACGCTTACAGGGCAGCATGTTCCTGCTCTTATCGTCATGGCGAGCCGCAGGCAACCATGACTACCAAGTCACATCCGCTTTTTTCTTCCACACAGTTCTCAAACATGTCACTTGGTAGAGCGAAATCTCAGCTCAACCTCGTCACCTCGAGTAAGCACCTTTCGCCCATCGCGGACAGAGCTGAACAACTACTACTGTCACATGTATCAAGTATTTTTTGTACTGGCGATACTGTGGGAGTTTGGTACACGGCAGACTGCAAAAGCCCAGACGGCACGACCTTAGACGGCACGACCCCAGACGGCACGACCTCAGACGGCATGATCCCAGACGACAAGATCCTAGGCCGTGGCTGGCATAGAGTACAATACAACGGCTGACAGTTCAGTTGCCGAAAGTGCGTCTATACCAGTCCCTAAATTCACAGATCGGCCGTTCGGGCAACAAAAGCTTTTCGATCCTCCGGGCCAGGGCCACTGAATACCCTTCGGGACTGTCACTACCCCCCCTCAAGCGGCTCAGTCTGCGGCCTGAACCATGTCCTCAGCTTTTCGAGGCCATTGCCCCTTTGGATCTGGACACAACAAGGTGGGCGCAGCTTTTACGGCGTCGGCGATGGTGAAGCCAATGCAAAGCACGTGTCCAGCGCAGACAAATGGTTAGTAATGGGAACAGGCTTTGAGATCGAGCATGGAACAGCTGCATACGCTTCAACCAGACTGAGGAAATTCGACTTCTGGGTGGTCAACGATCAACAAAGACTTATCACAAGTTGCGCATTATGGGCCGAGTTTTCATCATCCGAAAGTTCTTCACTGCACTGTTTGGTTTCATGGTGATATTGTATATCATCTTTGATGGCCCTATCGCACCTGAGGTAAAGTGACTTGTAATCAGGTGCACCAACTTGGAACACTGATGTTCACAGCAACCGGCCGGACATCCTCATCGTCGGCCCCTCCATGGGGCCTCAGAAGGATATAACGATCGGGGCTCTTTCGTGGGATATATGCTGCGTGGCTACGACACTCCTGACCCTAAGCTGTATATCGAGGGTTCGGCTCCTGTTTGCGATGCGCTAAATCATGGCTTTGAGATTGGGGTCCAGACGTCCTGGCATATGGAAGATGACTTGTGGCAGATTGCTGGCTCTCTATCGAAACATCCCATGGTTCAATATCATTCGGAGCAGGTCGAGGGCCGTTTCGACCTCCAGACTCTTGTTAAGAAGTCCTGGGCCCGGCTCGCCACTGCCTGTGTTTTGTTGCCTAGGGACGACCTTTATCTGTGTATAACTCGCGTTGTGTTCCATGCCGAGGCCACACGTGACCATGGCCGAGCCAGCTTTATCCGCGGTCAAATTTTCAACAAGCACTGGATTCATCTAGATGGCTACCGACTTGAATGGAAATCTCAGACGATCACTTTCCCGCGCATCTTCGAAATTCCATTCGATTACGATCTTGAAGGCTTGTGGTACGGGCCAGAAGACGCACGGATCATCATCGAAAACGGCGTGGACGATGCTGAACCGGTCGTTGTGTTTAACATGATAGGTTCAAAGTCTGACTGGAATCGCAGCATGTGGATCTTGCGGCCTTTCTCTCTCCACATGGTACTCCTCACGATACGTGACAGTGAAAGGGCTGGAGCGGAGAAAAACTGGTCACCATTCTTTCTCCATGAGTTCTCAGATACTAAGCTGTCACAGGGGGTGCGCCAGCCGAACATGTATATGCACTTTGTACGATCTTTCGGGCCCTTGGAAATCATCAAATGCAGTCTGATCAGCGGCATATGTGACCCGGTCTTTCTGCAAGATGTTTTGGAGGAACCAGAGTACCCTGTACAGGGCTATTCGTACTTACGCGGTGGAACGCAATTCGTTCCAGTCCCCTTGGGCCTTCTTGCCGAGCAAGCTCAAGCCGTTGATATCTTTGGCCATAAAGGACTGAAAGCCTACATAGCATTACCACGGACCAACACAGGAGATACAAAATACTGTCAAGAACCCTTCTACCGACCACATCTGGCGATCATGGTCACAGACGGCACTCACTTCGCCATGATCTACGGCTCTGATCCCATCGACTTCGGCCCGGATAAGGTTATCGATCAAGTTTCCTTGGACCAACCTTGTGGAATGGGGCGCATCATGATACCAAATGGTATAGCTGATTGGGACTACGCAGCCACGACGCCTAGAGGAAAAACAGATATCATGACTATACAGGTATCTGTCAATGATGCAACGGTCCAAAGCCTAAGACTCAGTGGCATTCTTGACTTGATAAGAAGCCTTCCTTCCATAGGCCATTTACTCGAAGATCCTGCCTCCTACCTTAACACCAGTGTTGGCAAAGCGGCACTCTATAACAAAATGCCCAATCGCATTTTTCACATCACGCAGGATATCAGAAAGTGTATGGAAGATGCTGCTAGACAGTATATAGAAGATCACACGCCTTCGAAGACGAAGAAACAGATTGATCAAACAGAAAAGGAGAAGAATGAGATGGAGGATCGGGGTCGACAACTTGACGAACATGGATCAGATGGATATATCGAAGGAGGCGGGGAAGATGGCGGTGGAGACGATGATGATGATGAAGATGATGGAGAGAATGACCAAGCTCGAGCACAGGAAAGCGAGCAAGCACCGGATGGACGCGAAGAAGGCGAGACTGCTCAAGAGAAGAGCGAGGATGGCTCGCAGATCGGGGCTGAAGAGAGTGATGAAGGAGCCGCAAGATGATGAACGAGAGTTTCTACAAGCAGGAAGAAGCTACAGAAGATGATACTCAGCCAACACAAAATGTTCTTCTACGAACTACAGCATGATGCCAACAACATATCAAATTTTCTGGATACACAAGCATTGCTTCGGTACAAAGTTGAAAAAGTATTCTGTGATCGCCCTAGTTGATTCTCATTTGACTATAGCAATACTACACCTCCCATTCGTACTCTTTCGCTAGCAAAATCATCACCTCCAAGGCATGTTTATCGTCTTTAGATATCTCGGTAAAGCTGTCAACTGTTAAGCAACAAACATTGTTCTCCTCCAATTCCCACATCTCAGTTTTACTCGATGGATTCTTCTTGACTGGCTCTTTGAGGAACACCTGGAAGTTGTCAATATCGACGTCGTTTGGTGCAGAAAACTTGTTTTGCGAAATCCATCCATTCAGCCAGAGTGGTCTGCCAGTGTTACCAAGATGAAGTAGCTGAGGTGAACAAGCTGTATGGTTTTGTGGCGAGACTGCTTTAGTGACCTTGGCCGATACTCTTGAGGATTGGTCCTCTTCTTGAGTGTCTGTTTCTTCGGCTCCACCATCCGGCTCCCGCGATCGTTCAGCCTCGGGCTCTTTGAGGATCCCCAGGATGCCAGTGGGCCCGCTATGAAAAGCATAATCATGTACTCCAGCCATCTCCCAACTGAGCCAAAATGTCTCTTTATCACCTGCAGAGGTCAGTCGCTACGACATATATAATACTGGTCACGACTCACCATAAACCATCTCATATACGCCCTTCTTACCTGTGTCGCTGTTTCCATCGCGGTCAATTCCATTCAGCCGCGTTGCAAGGAGTACCGGCACGAAATGTATCCACTTGTCGATGACGACGATTCCAGAGTCTTGCATGTGGCCACTTTCTCCTGTCCATAAACGGTTCTCTTTCACCTTCCCGGATATCGGTGATGGTAGCACTTTCTTCAGCCACTTTCTTTTCTCTTCACGACCCAAGTTGCGGTCTTTGAAGAACAACGCTCCAGTGGCTTGGTATTGTGGGTCTTCGAACAGGGTCTCGGGATCGACGAAAAACAACACATCAGCGTCCATGAAGAGAACTTCTTGGAACGAGGACATGAGCACTGCCCAAGGCTTCATCGCCCAGCCTGCTCCTGTCAACATACACGGAAATGATGGTATGTTGTTCAAAACTAACCTTTCAGTTCCCAGCCTTGGTCATCAACCATGATACTCAGGTCTCGGGTAATCACACCTGGTATCTCCTCCAGCATCACCCTAAATTCTTCCCCAAGATCTTCTTCCCCGAGATACATGATTTCAATGGGAAGAGTGCAACCCATTCTTCGAAATGCTCGAATCGATGTCAATACCATGTAGACTTGATGATCACCAAGAGTCAATACAATGCCTCTACCTGCTTTGTAGAAGCTAGCATGCAATAAGAGATGGTCGCCAAAGGCTAAATTTGTGCCAGGAAAGAGTGTAATCCCGAGTCGGTTGACGTAGTATCGAAATTCGTCGTATCTCTGTATTGCATTGCGAATATCAATCGCAGAGTTTCCAGGATTTCGAAGACGCTGTAGGATATTCGAAAACCCGACCTGATCTCCTGATGCTACCCCATGCAGATCTTCCCACGCTTCGAACGCAGCTCTAAAGATTCTAACTCGGGTTGCTACATCTTTCAAGTGCTCATCTCCGGTATCCACAAAGGGTGCCATCAGCGCTTTCATAGACAGCTCTGAAGGCATCAAAGTCATCGTGTTCCAGAAATTGGTCATAAATACGGAGTCGGTATCAGTCATCACTTTCTGGCCGGCATTCTGTGTGGAGGCTTGGTGCTGGTGTCCTGCGTGCGAGATCTCCCGCTCGTGAATGTTCTCGACGGAACGTTCCTTATGTGGAACAAGCTCGGTGTGGTCGGTACTTCGATCCCTTGGCTGTGACTGCTGCTGCAGCAAGACTGGTATCGAGTCTATACCATTCGGATGTCTTGATGTTAAAGCTGCTGAGGTATTCTGCTGAGCGAAGATAAGAAAGAAAAGAGCGATGGTTATGACGATAGCGAGGAAGCGACACACAGCAGATCGTCTTCGAGGAAACCCAAACGACGATAGATTGAGAGGAGTCATCTTCGTGATTGGAAAGTTATGTTGTGAGAAAAGGCAATGATCTCGAAGAGTGAGAGGAAAGTATGAAGCGTGGATGGGCAGCGGCTGGCACGGGGGCCTTGAGCTCACTTGCTCCACTCACCAGCGCTGGATGCTTGGAAGTAACGTTACAATCTGGATGGGGATGTAGCGGCTGGCGCTGATAAACTCGTTCCTAGAGCCGCGGAGTTGGTGTGTAAGATGCTTCCAGTACCACGATGTTTCCAGCTGAATGAGAGCTAATGTGGCTGCTTGTGAATTTACCTTTTCCCGCTTGGATAAATCGATCCCGCGCTCACGCGAAGCAAAAACAAGATGTCTTCTGCAATATTACGACTGTATACAGCGTAATATTATGATGATGCCGGAGATCCTCACCCAGAGCCCTCTTAGCTTCATGCATAGGGTCTTTCGCCCACGGCATACATACCCCACCCTCTGGTGTATCCAGGTACCTCAAGCCCTTGACTCCGCTGGAACTATATGCTTTCATCACTCATCTTGCACCACTCATCTTACACATCGCGGCAAGAACAAACTTTTCCAGGAAGCCTGCAGCCTGCATTGTTCAATATGCCTACCAGCGCGGAACGGTATACAAGCAAGCACCCCTGCGCAAACATGCGCTCATCACGTTGAGTTCTGCGCATCCATACTATTAGCCAACATCGATGGCGCCAGCAAGAACTATGCAGCATCGTGCAAACGATCCCTGCTAAAATTCCGTCCCGACTGAGATCTGGCATCCAAGTGCATTTGCTATATTCGCTCCCGTGAGAGTAAGGTACCTTGGATGAAATGCCAGATTGGAGAACTAAGATTGAGAGCATTGAGGAAGGCATAAGTAGTGAGTCCTTCGCGCAGTGACACGAATCAATCACATCAATCACATCGTATCTCCATCCATCGTCATGGCCGGACAAACTATACTCAGACTGGCTCTGATATGCTTGCTGTATTCGTTTGGAATTGTGTCAGCGAATGATGGCATCTGTCAAAAGCTTCCTTACAAAGATCTCTTATTTCTCACCGACTATGCGCCCGCAGAGTCCTTCTGTTCGAGGTACTTCCCCGTGCCCACGGTCACTGTTATTATCCCTGCAGCAGGCAGACGCAGGTTGAGACGAGGCCTTGCGACCACGACCGCCGCTCCTCTGACAACTTCTGCAACAACTACCCCAAAGACTATATCTAGTTCGCAAAGCAAAGATGTGGTATGGGCTAGCTGTATTGCTCAAGGAGGAGGATTCCTCGGGCAGCTATGTTCTTGTATCGAAAACACGGTCACGACCACTATCAAGGTATATGATATCAGAGTCCCTGAATGGCTTAAGATCTCTTGAACACTAGGGACTAACACTCTTTGAGGGAGGGACATCTTCTTCCAGCTCTAGCGTCAGTACCACTACTGGTCTGAGTACCAGCTCAACCTTATCTAGCACCCATGTCACCTCAAGTGCATCTATCTCGAGCTCGACCAAGCCAAGTACCACGAAGTCCAATGCTACACCAAAGAGTTCGATGACTACTTCATCTTGGACCACTTCACCAAGCATGACATCGACGACGAGCAAAGCTACCAAATCGAGCAAGACGACCGACTCAACCAAGACTACCAAATCGAGCAAGACGACCGACTCAACCAAGACTACCAAATCAAGTAAAACTTCGAAAGGTTCGACCTCATCGAGCTCAGNCACATCGTCTTCTAGCAGCTCGACACCAAAGACTAGTAAGACTAGCACAACATCTTCTAGCAGCTCGACACCAAAGACTAGTAAGACTAGCACATCGTCTTCGAGCAGCTCCACATCCAGAACAAGTGTATCCACAGCCAGCACGACTCCGAGCACGACCAGGTCAAGCACCTCGTCCACTAGTACCTCAAAAGTGACTTATTCAACTACTACGCCATCCACATCAAGCAAGACAACCTTAACTCAAACTACTCCAAGTTCGAGTTCAGCATACACATCGAAGACAACGTGGAGTACCACTTCGAAGACCAGTAGTTCGTCAAAGTCAACTTTCTCAAGCCCTACGTCGTCCACCTCGCAGACAAAGACATCCTCAAGCACTGCAAAATCTTCCTCAAAGACGTCTACAAAGACTTCCTCGAGTGTTACGTTCCAGTCTTCGCTAAGCACAACTACTAGCACTATATCATCAATCACTACATCTAGGGCGACGATCTCAAGCGCTACGACATCTTCGTCCAAAACGTCATCAAGCACAACATTTAGCACTACTCCCAGCACGAAGTCGAGCAAAACCACGTCTAGCGCCACGACATCCTCGAGCGCTATGACATCTTCGTCCAAGACGTCATCAAGCACAACATCTAGCATTACTCCTAGCACGAAGTCGAGCAAAACCACGTCCAGCACTACGACATCCTCGAGCGCTACGACATCTTCCTCCAAGATGTTACTAAGCACTACTCCGAGCACTACGCCTAGCACTAAGTCAAGCAAAACCACGTCAAGCACTACGTCGCTAGGTACGACTACTGCTAGCACTACTCCAAGCACTACTTCCAGTACCACTCCTAGCACCGCACCGAACAAAACTTCTAGTACGACTCCCAGCACTTCTCCCAGCACCTCTCCCAGCACTACATCGGCAAGTAAGACTAGTGCATGGACAACTACCTGGACAACCTCAACCACAAGCAAAAGCTCGAAATCAAAAAACTAGCTCGAAACAGACTTGGTGTTTCGAACTCGCTGTTCAATTAACACACGACATAACAGAGGTGCAACCGACGTGGTTGAGGCAATATGCACATTTCACGATCATTATCTGGGTTTGGGGAACCAAATTGCAATGCAAGACTGATGGAGTTTTTGTTCAGGGTGTTGTTTGTTGATCTTTACACTGTCTCTAAAATCCAACTATACTCTTTTGCAACCGATTCTTTGTTTTACTCCAAACCGTGCACGAAACATATGGGGGGAACATTCCACTGGATTTGCCTTGGTGACTCTGTCCAAGCACTGCCATGGAAGCAACATCGCTTGTTGTTGGGTCGCTGTAGATCAACAACATTTGTGAGCCCACAGTACCTCGAGTATATGAAGCTTCGTAGATCGCATCCGAGCCCCGAAGTTCCTTCTGCTTACTCCTTGCAGGTATCAGGGTATACGGCGATGACTGTTTCTCAAGCTTGCAAGCCGTCGTTCATGTCGGCAGTGGCTAGCGAGGGTATGCTACAAGACTTTGGATCAACTCAGAACTATTTCGGTCAGAAAGCGTCTGACGGACATTGATCACTAGCATAAGCGGGTGGCACAAGCTGGCTCGATGCAGAACGGCTCAATGTGCATGACGACGCAATATCGATTCCCTGCGGGCATCCCTTTCCTTGTTTTCAGGGCACTCTCACTCCGAAGAATTAGGACGAACTTGGAGGTTTAAGCCAATAGAATCGTCAGATTCTTGTGTGGGGTAAGTATCTTTTGGTGACGTTCTACCTCGAGGAAGGCCAAGATAGCTCTGTTTATAGGCTTCCCGCAGCTTTCTGACCAATAGAACAATCAGAACTGCGATCTACAGCACTATCCTCGGGCCAGCGACAAGTACACGCACTAAGAGCAGTAGTAAGTGTCCTGAAATCTCTGCCGGCCAAGGAAAGGGATGCACCGTACCTGTCTGGATGGGGGAACATGGCCAGAGCAAGGAACAGAGCTGCAAAACATGGGTCGTTGCGGGGTATCATCCAAAACCGACATTGCCTCGGAAAGGATTTAGAGCCTCTATTGTACTGTAGGGATTGTTCCATGCAGGTGCCAAAGCTTAAATCTTCTCCACCTTATCTCTATAGGTACCAGTCAGCCACGTCCAAAACCACTATCGTGACAAATTTGAAAATGGACCATTTCCCTCAGGGCATCTCGACGGCTCAGCTTGTGCCTCGAGAGAATCTTCACTGGGTACCTACCTTGCAAGTCACTCTATATGTCACGACAGGGATCTACAAGAGGCTCGAGGAGCGGCGCAACAGCTTGGATTGCGCAGATATGTGAAGAATGTAACTAATCTTTTCGGAAGAGGCCTTGTTTGAGTCGATCGCCATGTCCGCGGACCTGACTTTTGTCCCGGTCGAAACCATACTGTTAAACTCTAGTTGACCTGATCACTATACCCTTGACTACGCACCCAAAACAAGGCAAGGTACAGTACAGATTCTGATTAACCAACGCATCCAGCTGACGGGACTCACACCTCGTCTGTAGCACACCAGTTTATCTCAACTGATAGGTACCTTCCCACGCTCCAGACTTCCAGCTTCTCACCTTATGTGGAAGTAGAAGCCAGGTGATCCTTGCGTCTCGAGCGAAGTGAGCATATGACGGCAGCGAGTGATGGCATAATGGAGGATTCCAAGGTCTCGAAGTTGATGATTGTTTATCATTGACTCCTTCGTTCGACATCTTCCGTTCGAACGAAAGTTAACCAAATTTGAGACTCGATTAGCCATGAGATACCTGTCCACCGTACCCAGAAGTGTGAGAAACTTGTGTTCGCCATGGAGCGGCATGTACTGCTCACGAGAGAAATCCGCCATCCAGCAGTATTCTAAGAGGTCTACGAATTCTACACTCAAGCTCGTGATTCTCACCATACTGAGCTTCGTCTCGTCCCTTGCGCTGTATGTCCGCTCACCGCTTCCTCCTGGAAAATATGATGTTGAGTCTACATGGCTCTCTTGGGCACTCATAACAGTATTCTGTTTGATCAGAAGAAGGATGGAAGCGCGAAAACCAGGATATCAACCTTTACAGACTGGATCCACTTCTTCCTTGGCCTTTGTCGAGAAAAGTCCTCGAAAACTTCTTGAAGGAGCCTTCCCTTTCTTGGCTGTGACAGCTGGGATGTTTTCTGCTGCTTTTGCAGCGAAAGACTCTCTGGTAAGTGAAGCCCAAGGATAGAATCTTACCCTTCTGCTGACCATCGTCAAAAGTCCTTCGTGGTGGTTGTGTCATTCATCGTATCCTTTCCGCAGACTCGAGGTATGCGTCTGTTCCAACTACCAGGAGCATCGACTTGACAAATTCCAGATCACACACTACCGTCCTCAAATGCTGCGACAGAGAATCAGAAGTCAATCACGCTCTCGGGGAGAAGTCGTATTGGCATGTGGTCATTGATACAGCTTTTTTACATCATCATCGTCAACGCTTACATCACTTCACTTCTCTACAGAAGTCACGCATATGTTGATGGTCCCAGTCAACTGATTCTCACAGGTGGATCCATGGCAACGGTCTACGTAGTTCTTGCCCATCTAGCGAAGTCTACCACGATTCAAGAGCATAATGAAGGCGAATCCTGCGTTCCGACTGGCCAGATCTTGGTAACGCAATTGTCCTTGTCTTCGCTATGCATTGCCACTATCTTGATGGTCTTCATGGGTGGCACAGGTAGCGGCTTGTTGGTAACCTTCACTCTGGGCGTCGCGCAGGCGGTACAGTGGTCTTCGTTTTATTGCCTCGTACGTTTTTCTTTGTCATGATCCGACGCATTGCTCACACTAGTCATTTAGACGACATCTGGTTTCGCAATGGCATCCGCAACTAGCCAACTTGCCGCTTTCGCAGTTGGAGTGCCATACCTGCAGCAAGGCCCTTTCGGCGCCGACACGTCGAGTTTCATCATCGTAGCTTCACTTGTAATGTATTTCCTTACACTTCCCAGGATGAACTCCATGCCATTATGGAGTAGAATTATCTTGATGATCGTTCCCCTGCTACCACGCAGCATGACAGTAGCAATACCACAGACCTGGGCTCGAGAATCACATCCAATCGAACTTTTGCACCTGGAAGGGAGACGCCAATACAACGATATGGTATCCCGTCAGTCCAAGACAGTGGAAGAAGCCATCACTGAATATCATCGTCGGTATTTTCGGGCTCCGCCAACGGGATTCGATAGTTGGGCACAATTGGCTTTGGACAATGATATGTTACTTATTGACGAGTTTGATGGTATGACCAAGGCTTTTGAGCCATACCAACAGGTCGATCCCACCGTGCTAGCCAAGATACTGGAGCGCGTACTCGACATGGATCTCGACGATCTTGTCATTGTAAAGATCGAGAATTCTAAAATCACTTCTAATAGTGACAAGTTTTGGAACTACCATGGAGAGTACCTACACGACTGGCTCGCAAAACCTCTCTACAAAGAGCTTTTGCCCAATCTCACCATCATACTCAACACTTTTGACGAACCAAAAGTGGTGATTGATTCCAAATACGCACAACCAACATTGGATCAAGCTTCGAATATTCAATTTACCAATTTCGGAAAGACTCATCCATGGTCTAGGATGACGCTCAATTGTCCTGGTGCCTCACCAGTATCAGAGGTAGCAGAACATATCGCTGTGGAATTTGTCGCAGATCTGACGCAGACCCAAGATATCTGCCAGCATCGCGAATACGAGAAATTGCACGGTTTCTTCAACACGCCGGGAAACCTGAATTTGGTAGACCTACCTGTGCCACTGTTTTCTCAGGCCAGACCGTCGACCTTCCATGATCTCATGTATCCCAGCCCGTACTATGAAGCGCACAGAGACGACTACAATGAAGAGAAGGGGTTTTCATGGGATCAAAAGCGCACGAGCTTGTATTGGCGCGGTTCGACCACTGGCGGTTACAATACGATCGAAAATTGGCAAGAGATGCACAGGCAGCGCCTTGTTCTCTCAACCATACCGCAGAATGGACCCTACAACGTCACTTTGCTCGAGCGAAAGACTTCCAGGAGCTCGTGGAACCCATACCGCACGATTTCTACGCCAAAATTGCAAGGTTTATTCGAAACCAGTATCAGTGAAGTCGTCCAGTGCGATGAGGAAGCCTGCGATGAACTAAAGGCCGCGCTACCGCCGGAGGGGTCACAGCCTGACTCGGCATCATACCATCACAAGTATGTGCTCGACATGGACGGTAACGGATTCTCCGGTCGCTACTACCGTATCTTGAGATCCAGATCGGCAGTCATCAAGCAAACATTGCTCAAAGAATGGCATGACGACTGGCTAGTCCCTTGGTATCACTTCATACCACTCTCAATGCAAGGCAGTGAGGTCTGGGAGATGATGAGGTTTTTCAGCACTGATGAGGGTGATGAGATCGGCGCTGCCATCGCGGAAAGCTCGAGCAGATGGACGGAAACAAATCTTCGCAAGGTGGATATCGAGCTCGTCACTCTTCGCTTGATACTGGAGTATGGGGCTCTGTTTGACAGAAAACAATGGGCCATGGAGCATAGAATCTAAGGTCTGGCAGAGACGACTTGCCAGGGATGAGGACAGGAAGGGACTTGGGATATATGCGAATGCATTGCACTGCTATGCTCGTTTGACAGGGCCGAATGAGGTTATGAAAGCAAGACAACTGGGGATCACTTGTCTATTGCAATTTTCTCGGTTTACAAATTATACTACCGCCTTCTTCCTTTCGATTTCTGCTTTCCATGACCAGAAAGTGCCCAGGTATATCTCTTCTGACTACTTCGGCTGATCAGCATTCGTTACGAGATGGGCCGATCTGGCTATCGTGGGTTTTCCCTCTTGATTGCCAGGCAGTATAGCGTCTATAGAACCACGTTTCCAAAATACATTGAGTGTCGGAACTGTCTGGAGGTTGACGAAGGCCACACAAATCTGTTTCCACCAATTGGCGTATGGTAGTTCATGCATTTATAATCCTGCCGTTAGTTATGCTAAGGATTGCTACAATCATGGTTATGGAGATGCACAACGTTCGGGAAACTGCAATCTTGTCCAGTGAGAGCAGGTCGACAAGGACTCTTCTGTGGGTAACTTCGTCAATCTTGGCTAATCCTTGCGTCTCTACGGCTTCAATACCTGCAGCCATGATTGCGCGAGAGGGCCCGTAGTGAAAAGTAGTTCTGGTAGTCGCATTTAGATGCGAGTGGACAATGCGAGCGGCATAGAGCTACAGCTGCTCAGATTGCCTTTGCTGATGAATCAGCGTTGTGCAAGATAAAGCGTTGCAAGTCTCCCTCCTACCTCATCGATGATTGCATCTGAAATATATGATAAGACGTCAAAGATCGTGATATCGTTTCCGATCTTTGAGATCTGCCGGTCCATCGCGTTGCCGTCCACAAATTGAACTCTCCAGGTCAAGGGTATTAAACTGATACCATTAGATAACAGCTTTTCTCTTGGTTCAGAGCAACTTACGCAGAATCGTCGTCAGTGACAGGGACCTCAGGGTCTTGATCTTGCAGTGTCAACCACATTCTCTGCTCCAGATAGTCTGTAAGATCATCGTTCTCAAGCCCAACGTGCCCGTCTTGAGAGAAGAACCCACGAGGTTTCTCGACCACAAATCCAACGCGGCTATCTCGGCGAATTTTGGACAAAGCATCGTTGTTGGTCTCAGAGACTGGTATCGCGTATCCGTTGATCTGTGATATTCGCTGTTCGACATCGATGTCGTTCCCGAGAGAAGCAAGGTGGTCCTCGAGCGAATGACCATCTCTCAAGCCTATGATGTAGCTTTGAGGAACTTGAGAAGAAAGAACTCTGGCGCAGAGGCCCAAGAGAAATAGGAGTGTCCAAGTGCCCATGATCAAGAGTTTAATGAAGGAGAGGTGTGACTAGGTTGCAACATTTCTCAAAGATTGACGAAGACGGTGCAAGAACGCGAATGGTAGACCACATCGGGGTTCACCGACGGCCGCGGATGATTAAGAACGTCATTTACAACATTCTCGCCTTATAGACGCAATGCGGAGTGCACATTTACTAGTCATGTCGTCTCGTTCACGGCTTTCTGTTCTTCTTGCGACTTCATGCCCTTGGTCTTTTCGCCCCAGCGTGTCTTGACTAAGTAGAGATCAAGAGACTCGAGATTTCTGTGATCGGCCCAAGGTCTCAAAGATAGTATTCCAGCCACCGCAGCGATGTGAACATCGAAGCCTCCGAGCTGGGCGGGTTGCAAGTTTGGTCTGAATCTCTTGCGCACGAGGTCATTAAAACATCACAAGATCACTGGTTATGTAGAAAGAGATGTAAGCCGCAAGCGAACCCGTCAGTCCGTGGAATACCGGACAGCCGAGATTATAAGGGCATTTAGTCGTTCTTGGTCTCACGGGAATGAGAAGCCTCAACGGTTGCGTTCAGTAAGGCATCTAGGGTATGTGGAGACACGGTATCGAAGAAAGAAAGAAGAGCGTCGAGAGAGTGAAGAGTTTTGTGGTGCCTGGCAGCTGGTCTGTGCTCGTGGAGCGGGATCTGCCGTGGCCCGTGGGTGAGCGACAACGTCGACTGCTTCGAGGCTTCAATAACAGCCATGTCAAGCACAAAGTCGGAAGTACTAAATGTACGTTTGCAGCTTGTCGAGATACACCAGACCTTTTAAAGACGGCGACATTGATGGCCATGTCCGGTTGTTGACCGATGATCGCTTTTGAGATGCACAATCACCGCCTGGTCCGTCATGACGACTTCCGGAAGACCTCCTGAATAAAATGGACACGAGAGTGACATCCACCTCTCTGTATCGCGTCGAACACAATCTTCAAATGATACAGGTAAGGTTGTTCAACAAGCTTGGGTGTCCTTCGAAAGTTTGTTCGTTCTGGCTGTCGATTGGTCGCTCCTGCTGAACATATTTTCCAATTTCCTTTCCTGTCACGCTTCCCTGTCTATTGCCTCTAAGCCTTCTCTCCACACGAACAAGTTCTTTCAGCTTGGTAGGCATTTGTGTCTCGGATCAAAGGATTGTCTGAGATGTTTCGCCATATCAGGTCCTCAATAACACGCGAACAGCTGCCACCTCTAATATTATTCTTTGTTACCACAACGATCTCTGTTCATATATAGATGCCGAGTTTCCCGACCACCAAATCGATTTGCTTCTCTCGAGCACCTACGCTTTTCCCATCTTCAATCAAACAAGATCTATCACAAATCAATTCTCAGTCGTCTGCAGCACGGCTGATATACACAAAACTACAAACAAACCTCCTCAAACAAACCACAAACCATGGTCCACCTGACCGCCCCAATCCTCCTCCTAGCATCCCTCTGCCTCCTCCTCCTCACCACCCCCACCCTCGCCGACACAGAATTCGACTTTCAAAACCACCGCTACAAATGCCAACGCAAAAGCGGCGCCATCATGGACGCCATCGCCCGCCACTGCCGCAAAGACCTCCACATGCCCACCGGCATCGCCCGTTTGGGTGAAAGTTTCGACGGCGGCACCAATGTCGTTTCCATCGCCGCAAAACCCGCTTGCTGGATGGATGGGCGTGTTAATGATCAGACCCGTGTGTGGATCCCGGAGTACTGGTGCACGAGACAGTTTTGGAAGGTTTGTTCGCAGGGGGATAGTAGGGGTAGGGGCACGCAGATTTTTGGTGGCAAGGGGTGTCAGATGTTTACCATTACCGATTTCAAGAAATATTAGGTGGTGCTGCTGCTGCTTGGGATTTTTTTTTTGTCTTTCTTCTTTTTGCTCATCTCTGTATCCTACCCTCCGTCTCTCTTTTTGATTGATCGTCTTTTTCCAAAGTCCTTGTATTTCTGTAGTAGTAATTCTCATGTCAAGACGGGCTGTAGTCTTTCTCGAAGTTGGCTGTCACATGATACTACAAGTACATGTTCAAGACTCTCGGTTGGCAATCTTATATTCTCAATCTTCTCTTCTCGCTCACACCGAACTGTCTTTCTGCTAATTGTTCTTCATGTCCTCACAACTGATATCTTTCGTGTCGTATCGACTGTGAAGAATACTGATGGCACAAACATAGACACCAGCACTTATTATCTCACAGCCTTATCGTCTTATAACCATATCAAGATATCTAATCATAATTTTACCCCTTCTACTTTTTATAGCCTCATCTTTATATCACCTGTTACTGCATCACCTGTTTCACAGGCGATTTCTCTGATAACTATCAAAAAGAAAAAATATGTGAGAGTGCAGCTGAGAGGAGTTATGGTTGGGATGACTGGAGGAGCTGTGGTAAAATTTATCTCATCATTCGTAACGGGTGCTATATACAGCTATAGAAAGGTAACGTACAAATTGTAGGTACAAGGAAAATCCATCGAGAGCACCGGTCGCATCTCAGTTGGGGATGTCATCAAGTTTAGTGACGTGCATCTCCTTTCTACCATTCATTTTACGACGCAGAGCACTCGATGCAGGGTACACGACCCTGCGTAATCTGTTGGGGCCTCCAAGAGGTTGGTAAGACTTCAATCCATGCCAGGGGTCGACTCTCATGTGGTCTTCCCAGAAAGTCTTTCTCTCAAAGTCGAAACTTTCCTGCTTGGGGATCTTGACGGTAGCGACGGTCTGCCAAGGGTACTTCTCGGGGTCCCAGACCTTTCCGGCGTATTCTACGGGTTGATCTTCGAGGTTCTCGCATAGTTGGACTTGGAAAAGATACTCTGCGTCGTGAGAGGCGTGGAAGTTCTGGAGCCAGCGGTGAAGGATGTCGGAGCCGTCTTCGGGGCGCACAGTCTCGTCGTATAGCTTGCGTTGTGTCTCGCCAGAGGGGACCAAGCAGTACTTCATGACGTAGTCGCCGAAGCGGTAAGCGGTCTGGGAGTACTGACGAGTGCTTTCTAGATGGGTATTGCGGACCTTGTCGCGAGCAGTTTGCAGTTCGGTGTCATTGCGCTTCTCGAGTTGTTTACGGAGCTCTTCCTGGTCGTGACCATACTTGATGCGCAGGTCGATAATCTCGCGGGTGACCTTTGCTGTGGCGAGATCGAGAGCAGGTGTGCTGTTGAACTCGATGTCGTGTGTTGGGTAGTTCTCGTACATGTCACCTTCAACACCGAAGAGCTTCATGGCAAAGCCTCGAGGGACGGGAATGCGGTCCTACAAGAAGGTCAGATTCGATATCACTGTAGGGTAATATGCAACGTACATCAAGTCCTGGGTCTCCAGGCTCGGTGGAGTATCTAGCAACGATAGGGAACTCTCCAGGCTTTGAGAAGATTTCACCCTGCTGGAGATGCTTAGGCAAGTTATCATGGACGACAAACGAGCCCTTGACAATTCCATGTGTACGAGCATGGGTACCGCTGTAACAATGGCGATGGACGTTCCATTGAGCCTTCTGGATTTGATTGATCTGTTCGGCAACTGCGTTGATGTCGTCCTCTTCGTCTTCAGGGATCTTCTCTACACCTTCAGAGTCCCAGCGGATGTAGTTGCGTCCCGAGAGGTCCTCTTGCTTGACATCGTCGGAGTCCTTGTTGGGAGCTTCATGGACGGTCAATTTGGAAGTACGATCGACGGTCACAGTAGCAGACATGATGATTGTGCAAGAGGAAAAAGACAAGCACCTGTGTTGAAGGACCTACCACGGCGAAGACAGATCTATATAGTACGAGTGTCAGGTCTAGACCAAAGGCGGGGTTGCCGTCTTCAGGACGGAGATGTACAGCAAGATAGGCAAGACAGGTCGATAAGCTCGATGCTAGCCGATTATGGGCATCTTGTATTTGAGATAGCTGAGGAGTTCCCCGCCGATGGTGGCTGTTTTTGAGGGGTTCTCTGATCAGCGAGACATGTCCGGCCATACGGAAAGGCGGGATTAGTGATTGTGGCTTGGAGGCAGGCTGCAGAATGTGACACCAGATCAGATCTGGGGCTCGTTTTGACTGGACTTAAAGTCTTGGATGGTCATGATGAACCTGGTCGTCGGTATTGAGTGAGTTTTGAGTGAGAAAGGAGGAAGGGTGGATTGGAAGGTCTCTGATAGAGTGCATGGAAGGAGCACACGTTGGCTGCGGCTCTCAGACTTGCGGCGGGAGGAAAGTGTGGGGAAGTTCGGAGCCCCTGCTTGCCCTCAAGGTGTGGTGCCTTCCCGATGCCAACTTTGAACTCCGTAGACAATTGTTTCTCCATAGCGTTGTGCTTTTCGCCATTTGAACATGTCTGCTGTTTTCAATGCCGATGTAGCTTCCAAATCCGGTTTGTTTGATCCCTCTTTCCATCTCCTACACACAACAGGCTGACGCGGCCACGTTGCAGCTTCCAAGAAGAAGAGAAAGAACAAGAAGAAGACCAATGACAAGACCAAGGCCTCGGCCGATGCTCCTGACGCAAATGGCGCCCATGATGAGCCTGATGAAGACGGGGAGGACGACGAAAGCGCAAGTCGGAAGCAGTCAATAGCCGGCCTCGAAGAGGACCAGGACAACTCCACCACCACACAACCACTGCCAGTAAATGGTTCCGACGAGACACCCAACTCGACCAATACGCCCGCAAATACTCAACCCGATCACGATGCGCACGCTGAAACTGCTGCGCGACTGGACACGATTGTCAAGGAACGAGACTCGCTACGCCATGACTTGGCTGACTTGCGCAAGTCAATCGAGTCCATGCAAGAGCAGCATCAGAAAGAGAGGGAGAGTCTGCAATCACAAGCTCTCGAATTCAAGGATGCCAAAGAAAGTGGTCAGGTTCAGGGCTTGCGCGCTAAGATGGACTCCATGCAAGAGAAGCATGACCAGGAACTCGACCAACTTAAGAAGCAGTCCGAAGACGCTCAGACACAAAAGGACAATGCCGAGGTGACAGAATTGCGGAATACCATCACAACCATGCAGGATAATCACAGCAAAGAACTCCGAGACCTCAAGGATCAGGCACAACAGGCACAGACTACCAAGGACAACGCAGAAGTCGCCGAGTTGCGCCAATCACTTGCTTCGCAGCAAGAGAAGCATGCAAAAGAGATCGGGACTCTGAAGAAACAAGCAGAAGAGGCTCAGGCCGCCAAGGACAATTCGGCAATCACAGACTTGCGTCGAACACTGGAGAACCTGAAGAGAGAACACCAACAGGAGCTCGAGACCCGCGAGAAACAACTACAAGAACGAGACAACTCGGAAGTCTCAGAGCTGCGTAAATCGCTGGAGTCTATGCGAGAGGAACACCATAAGGAGGTTGAACAGCTCAAGAAACAAGCCCAAGAAGCACAATCTGGAAAGGAATCATCTGACAGCGAAGAAACGGAGCAACTCAGGACACAACTACAAGAAACGCAAAAAGGAAAGGAGAATGCAGAGAGCGCATACCGTACACTTCTGGGCAAGGTCAACACCATCAAGTCGCAATTAGGAGAACGTCTGAAGGCCGATGCCGAAGAGCTTTCCAAAGCTCGCGCCGAGATCGAAGAGCTTCAAGAGGAGAGCAGATCCGCTCGCGAGCGCAAAGAAGAGCTTCAAGCCACCATCGACCAGCTTGAAACTCAGCGACAGGAGCACCAAAGCGAGATCGAATCACTCCGAAGCCGTACCAATGTCAGTCAATCGAACTGGGTCAAGGAGCGCGATGAGTTGATCAGCAGAGAGGCGTACGCTCGTGAAGAGTTTGAAAATGCTCGACAGGCCATGCAGGACTGGGAGGTTTTGGCCATGGAAGAGAGATCCTTACGTGAATCTCTTAGCGAGCGTGTCATCGAGATTGAAGAGCAACTCAACGCTCGACAGGAAGCATACGAGCGTGCTGCGAGCGAAAGAGACACTCAAAACTCCACCGTTGAATCTCTCCAACGGGCTCTGCAAGAAATCCAGGATGCACGTAAGAAGGAGTTGCGCGAAATGGTCGAAAATTCACAAGCCCAGCTTGATGCTCTTCGTTCCCAAGCGGACGAAGCCAAGGCCTCGGCTGCATCATCAGCCGAAGAGCTTGAGAAGTTGCGGAAGGAGCTCGAGCGTGCCCTTCCCTTCGAAAAGGAAGTCAAAGAGAAGAACCTGCTGATCGGGAAACTACGACACGAAGCCGTCATTCTCAACGACCATCTCACGAAAGCTTTGCGGTTCTTGAAACGTGGCAAGCCGGAAGACAATGTTGATCGTCATATCGTGACCAACCACTTCCTGCACTTCTTGATCTTGGATCGTAGTGATCCGAAGAAATTCCAAGTACTGCAATTGATTGCCGCATTACTTGGTTGGACCGAAGGTATGTTTCATTTCTACTCTACTTTGTTGATCCATATGAACTGACACGCCAAACAGAACAAAGAGAACAAGCAGGATTGGCAAGACCGGGTGCATCAAATTCCATGCTCAAGATCCCACTATCTCCATTCCGCCGCACACCGTCAACACCCTCGTTATCCGACTCTACTTTCGACAACCACCAAGGAGGCAGCAAAGAATCACTCGCAGAGCTATGGTCTGACTTCCTGGAGAGAGAAGCTCAAGAAGGAGGCATGCATAGCAGTCGCAGTGGCAGTTTCGCCATGATGTCTCCGACTCAAGAGAGGCCTGCATCTTCTGGAGGTCTGGGCTTGAGCAGTCCCAGACCGAACTAATCACCTGCTTTTGTCAAAGGACCAAAGCTTCATGTGTCGATATAACTTTTCTGTCTTCTCCATGCAGCGGCTTCTTTATTTTCGTTGTTCTAGAGATGTATGCATCTATTTCTTCTCTTCTACCCTGCATATCTCGCAAGACATCCCAAAAGTCCAGCCTCAGATGACATCTGCCTCGCTGGTCCATCGAGGTGCAAAGTGTTCTTGACAACGGCATCCATGTTCAGGGAAAGTCTTTTGCTACGTATTTTCTCCAGGCAGTCAATCAAGCTCTCGACTTTCAGACGCATCTGCTTTCTTCACACATCGGAGTGCAGGATGATTTTCCACAGTCTGAGCTGTGGCCGCAGAGAGCATCACTTGCCCCATACCCTCCTCTGGACAACCACATTGATACCAAAATCCATCCTGCCTTTTTGACAGTGCTAACACAAGCCCTTGCCAGCAACAGAAAAGTCCAACTTTCTCTACAACCCATCAAGCGATTTCCCCTATCCATATCCCAATTTCCACAGTCGAGATATTAGAAACGTCGTTGTGTGTATGTAAAACTTCCACTCCTCCATCCCAGCACACCAATACTATACAGTACTATTGCATACACTCCCCAAACCCACTCAAATTCTCCGATCCTCTCATTTTCTGTGCATTCCATTTCTTTTATTGCTCTCGTGGTTGGTATGTTTGTGCTCAAACTGGGTCGATACCCATGCACGAGGATCAATAGCCGGGTCACTACATTATCGTAATTTGCGTCTTGCTTCGCTTGCTCGGCTGCCTCGATATCACTGAAAGGGTCGGAATGCACGATTGCTGCTAGATCGAATCGTCGAGGGTGGGATGATGGAGGTGTGAAAAGCATGAGTCGAGGGAGATGTCTCATCATAAAACAATACGCGATAAGGAGGATATTTGGACTTGGGAGAGACGATATCAAATGTCGCTATCGATTGGAGATGGGGAAGGGTGATGGAGAGGATAGGTGAAGGGGGGTGATGGCGAAGAATCAGGTCTGTAAAGTTTGGGGGGAAAGATTGGGAATTGCAAATGCAGTGGTGCAGTGGTGATGAGATAGGGGGCTGTGTGGAAATGCAGGAAAGTTTTTCGTGTGCAGATGATTATCCGGTAAAAGTTTCTCAGATGTTGTAAATAGAATGAGGCTTGAAGGATCCTCCCTTGGAAACCTTACTCAAGTGTAAATTCCAATCGTGCAGCATCTTGACAGATACACATGTTTGCGTAATACTGTTGACGAAAAACAATCTTACTTCAACTCCTGCCGCCTTCAAAATTCCATCTGACCCTAGAAATCCCACCCTGCCCCATCCAACCAAAATTCCCGTAAGATGCTCTCCCACCCAAAGCGAAATTCTGCACAATATAATGCGTCCTGATCTGCAAGACCAAAGAACCAGTACGATCTATGACATCTACACCCATACCCACACCAGCGACAACGAAACCATTTGCGGCGACATTGACACCATCGGGCACCCACTCTTGCGAATAGTAGAATGGACGTTTGTTGATGAGTGCAGGTGCTGCATCCGCATCAACGATATCGTATCTGTAAACCGTGTGTTTGGCAGTCTGATTGTAAAGCATAGAGTGGATATTAGGATAATGCGGAGAAATAGTACCACTGCCAGCGATGATATCGCAAACGTAAACGTTTTCGGCATCAGGGGAGATGGCGATACCATTGGTTTGACCGAGTGAATCTTCAGGCACCCAGAGTTGACCGTTGGGAAGGACGGAAAACGGTAGGTTTGGGCGTGGAGTTGAGGGGTTGTGGTCTGTCCAGTTGCCATTCCATGCGTAATCGGGGTCGGCGAACCAGATGTCGCCGTGGGAGTCTACGAAGAGGTCGTCTAGGCCGTTGTGGTAGAAGCCGAAGTAGTTGTTTAGGAGTGTGGTTGTCTTGTTGGTGGTAGGGTCCAAGACTCTGACACCAGGGCGCTGTTCCGTGCCGCCGATTGAATTGTTACCGCCACCGGCACCTGTTTTTTCCATAGTCAGTTCATCATTCATACAATCGTTGAAGATTTTGATTGTGAAGACGGCCCCAGTAAACCAGACCACCATGACAAGTACCACCATTAGGCGCATAAACAGGCGGATCACTTTCAAACTCGCTCAGAGCATGCGGATCCTGGTTCAAATCCACAACCAACTGCGGTAAATACCCTTGCTCAAGAACACCCACAAATAACTTGTTGAAACCAGGCACATATACCGGTGCCTCGTGAACAGCCATGGTGACCTAATCTCCAAACATCTTCTCACAAGTAGGATTGTCGCCGAGCAACGGTAACCCTTGAGCTCTATCATAGACGAAAAAGTCCGACGAGTTGAGGCGGCCGAATGAAGTGTCGTTGGGGACAGATGTCGCCGCGAAGGGATAGTCGGTCGTATTGTAGGAGCTAGGGCGGAAGAAATGATATGGCAAGACGGCTGCATAGCGGTTCAACGCATGCTACACTCGAGGCGTTCGAGGCGTTGTTGGAAGGACCACATCCTTATACCAATGGACTGACAACTCAGTCCTGAGCAGCTACCAACACAGTCAGCGATAACGTGACAGTAGCCAGAGACGAACACATCTTCAAAGGACCAAGCGGAAATAACAACAATAAAAGAATTGACAGACGAGAGAAAGTCACCAATCTACCTTTATTCATCCCATATCTCTTGCAAAACAGACATCATATCTCCAACACTGACGTCTAGGTATGCAGTCATAGCAAAGAAAGCACCAATCATATTCGGATGGTCCTTACCTTTTGAGGTTGTAGCATGGAGTGGAGCGGGTTGTGGAGAAGAGAAAGAAGCTCTCGGAGTGAAGATCAATGAGCGGATCATCAAATCATGGCAGTCATGTTTAACCAAAAGTTGGGAACCAAAAGTAAAGATCATTACTCCGTGACTGCCGACGGTGAGATGCTCCGATGATGTTGAAGTCCAGTGTGAATGTGTGCGCTCGAATCATTTGATCGAATTTCGATTGTTCTTGTGCATATCGGCGGCAGTTGATCTCTGAAGAGTGCCTGTCCCAAAACTACATACCGATTGTGGGAAAGGGCGAGTGTACCAAAGCAGATCTCCTTCTTTCCTCTTCCCTTTGTACATCAGGCTGCAATAGTTATTTCCTATAGAACTGACGTCCCCGTGTTTTGCTTTCCATTCCCCTCCTGGTGACAAGTCATTCTAACGCCGTGCGCCGCGCTTCATGCTCAGATCGTTGTTGTTACACACTCAGCATTTCTTGTGTGTAATTTTTCCCCTTTCCCAGCATTTGATCGTGAATAAAGCAAAGTTGATTCTGGCTCTGTTCGATAAACGAGAGCATCTCAAGAACATCACGTTCATCGCTTCTTGGAGTTAGGTCTGGGCTTGCACTCATCTCCAATAACAGGATGCAGCATGACCTTGTTGGGGTACTGGGGGTTGTTTCCTGAGTAACCTTGATGCCAGTCGTATGAAACGGCGTAGGCGAAGATGTTGCCATCGTGGGAGAAGTCGGTACAGCTGATACTACCGCCGACCTCGGGGTATCCCTTCAGCCTGTGTTTGGCGTCCTTATCCCAGAAGTGGAAGGTGCCGTCACTACCGGCAGTACTGAAGGTTCCGTGGACAGGGTGGAAGGAGATGGAGTTGACCGAGTAAACGTTGGACTGATCGCGAGTGTTGGGTGCGTTCTGACGGTGGCACTTGAAGGAGAAGTTCGAGCTGGACAGACTGTTAGCGATTGACGCATGCTGTGGGGTTAGGAATGAAATCACCTTGCGTCCTTTTCCTCGACATATTGTATAGCACATCTGCCTTCAATAGAGCCAATAGCAAAGCCAGTGGCATCGGCGAAGCAACTGATGGTTCTGGTCTGCCATTTGAGAGGGCTCTGGATTTGCTTGTAGGGTTGACTGGGCTGGTTCAGGTTGAAGATTTCGACCCAGCGATCGGCAGTAGCGACAACAAGAAGCTGGTCGCGGGTATCCATGGCGTAGACACGCTCTTTGCATTGTACAGAAGCGGCAGGGGTTTGTTGGCGGAGATCCCAGTACTTGATGGTCTTATCCCATGAGCCGGTGACGATCATGGGGGAGTTGTTCACTGTAATGCTCTCCACGCACTTGATGGGGGCGTCGTGAGCAGCGACGACTTGAGGAGTGGTGCTGCCTGATCCGAGATCGAGCATCGAAACCTGCTTGTTTGCGCCTGCAGCGAAGACTTTCGTTCCATCCTGCGTCTGATCAGTGACTGCTTTCACGCGCAGAAGAAGGTTATCGGCGCGCATACCTTTGACCAGCAAGTGCTCAGAGCGGGAGCACCGAGATCGATGAGGGCTTTTCCTGCGCTCTGACCCTCGCCGTTGATCTCATAAATGCGGACTTTGTTGTCCCATGATGCAACCGAGAGGTGGTTTGACTGAGGTGACCAGCTCAAGTCTTGGATGCTATCCTCTGGCGGGTTGTTGATAGGAATATCGTTTGTGATGGAGCCTTGAGTAGCAGTGGCTGCGTTGCTCGCTGCCGCAGTGGTACCGCCGAAGAGACCAGACATGTTCTTGTCGTGAAAGGAGTGGTCGAGGGAGCTGATGATCCGACGAGGCCGGGACGCGCGTTTTTCGTCTTTGAGAAGTACGACGTGGCGAGCAAACCAGTCGTGGTTGGAAGCGGCTTGGAGTTGAGCAGGAGTGGGGTGCTTCAAACGACTAAGACCTCCGATGCTGTTCCGTGTTAGTGGTCTTGATGCCCGATGTCTTCGTTTGGTGCTCTGTCTAGACAATGAACGAGTCTCGTGCTCGTCGTCGGCTTCGAAACCAGAGTCATGCATATCTTGCGCGATGTTGCGCGAAGGGGAGAGAGCGAATGCGAGCCATCTGGACATTCGCGAGCACAGTGCCCGAGCATTGATTACGTACCGTATTATATTCTTTCGACGCGACTCGACAAGCAATCGACAAGACGTAAGTGATAGCGCAAGTGTAGTTGACTATGCGACAAGCAACTCTACGGACCTCACAGCTGCCACGAAAGTTGTAAAGCTCACCACGCTTCGACGCTGCGACCACGCTAGCGCCCCGACCGCCCGGCAGATGCCACTCCCGACATTCCGCCGTCACAGCTTTCCGCTTCAAAAAGCCCGAAGCGCAAAGCTTTTTCTTTTCCTTCTCTCCAACTCCTCGCTCAAACAATCGCAATCAAAGCTTCCACACCGAGAGGGGCCTTCGCGCCTCTTTCTCCTCCATCACATACAGCTTTGGGAGAAAGTCCCCGGACACGCCATGGGTTTTTCTCGTGGCATGCGGAAACGCGCCGCCATAGATGCAAGCACACCTGCGGCTTACTCGCCTGCCCTATCCTCTCACAACCGGAGATCGTCCCCATTGCCGTCTGCACTCCGCATGTGCGCTGTTGGCTCTCTTGCTGGTCTCTCGCTCGGTCGCCTCGCCTGCAAAGGGGATGAGGATATGAGTCCGTGGCCGAGCACCGGGGGCTGGCTCTGGGGGTCTTCTGGCCTGCGTGAGGAGGAGGCGGTGGGTTCGTCTTGGTAATCTCGCGGTCTTTGGGCTGTGGGGTTCAGGTTGGGCATCTGGCATCTTCTTCGTCGAGGTCGAAAGATATGCGATTGCCCTCTCTTCTCTGAGGGGGTAACTCGATGGGGCTTATTCTTGATGCGAGGGGTTCACCACAAACTCTTTTTTTTCGGATCTGCTTGGGTGCTTTGCGCATTCACTGCGCTCTGCTTCACGCCATTGCTCGGTCAAACGGGCCAGATTCCTTTACACAACTTCCCCTTCCCACACACAAATCGTTCTATATGATGATGAAAAGGTATAGAGTCAAGCACTGAGATTTCCACTTCGGTACCCTTCATTGGGGCTGAGGCTGGTCCATTGATGCTACATTTCCTACGACGGTATCTGACAGAACGATTTGATGTACACCCTTTTTATATATAGCAAGATGAGAAAATTGAGAAATGAAAAAAATGATCTTGCACATTCGATGATTCTACTCCCTTCCACGTTTGCATATTGTGCACGTCGCTTTGCTGTGCTTGATAAATTCGAAGTGGCTTGATTTTGCTGACTGCTATTCTATCTACCACGATGAGGATGAGAAGAGTGCTTGCTGTCTTCATCATCGTCGCTATCCTCGCCAACATCGAACCTCTCCCTCTCGGGATTATGAGGACTCGTCAGCTCATCCAACTCTGCTTCGTCAAAATCCGCCGCCTCCAAATCCCTTCTTTGTTTTCTCCTAAATCCCTCGGCGTTGAGACCCATGCCATCCATGTCAGGATTGTGCGAGAGTCCACGGTAACCTGCGGCATTTCTTCTTTGGCGCCAGATGAAGTATCCCCAAGCTGCCACAGCAATAACAACCACAACAAGCGCAACCTCTCCAGATTTGTAGTATGCCTTCCATGTAGCCTGCTGTAAGGCTTCCTTCTCGGCTTCCTCAGCTGTGGTGCTGTTGGGATGCCCTCCAACACTGGTAAGAGGTCCCTTTTCGCCGTCGATTCGACTATCAGTGGGTGTGCCTCCAACGCTGTCGATGTCCACCTTCATAAAGCGATCCAACATATCTCTGCTGCGGCGAGGGTAGTCGAATGGAACCATGTGCGAGGCATTGTAGAAGACAACGTAAGTAAGGTTGCGAGCCTCTTGCCAGATACCAGCAGGTTCGTCCTCGAAGGTCCAGTCACGACGGGGTGCCCAAACGCCAGGTGATGTTTCGAAGCCCTTGCCGCCATTCCACTCCATGCGATTGATGAGTTCTTCCGTGCCCATGTAGTTGCAAATCAGATCCTTGTCACCAGAGAAGAGCAAAATTGGAACCTTCTCGAGCAGGGCTGGAAGAATCTCAATAGAGGGCTTAGCCTTGCGAGCGCTGAAGGCATGGCCGACTTGTCCATTACACTCGGTCCATCCGCTGGTCTTTCCAGCGTTGATATGGAGAGCATCCGTTACATCCTTGCGACGAAGATAAGGCTTGACAGCAGTAAGGTCTGGGGGCCAGTTCATGCCACAGCTGGGGTATGTGTCGTCCAGGCGCACATCATACATGTTGACACACTTGCCATGCTCTTGATTGCTGACTTGTAAGATCTGTTGCAAGATGTGCTCGCAAGACGGCACATCGACATGATCCTTTCCACCATCGCTCAGATCTTGTATACATTTTGCGTGCTGGGCTTCGACCTTCTTAGCGCCTTCAGAACCGTCCTTGATGAGACCGGCTTTCTTTGCGTAGGGGAGGTATGAGAGAGATTGGTCGACTGTCGAGATCCATCCGTTGCCGATGAGCAGACCTGAAAGGCTCCATTTCTTGCCCTTGGTTTCGGCGTTGCGCTTCAGAATGGCTTCGGCGAGGTATGGAATGTACTGGCCGGCGTATGATTCACCGGCGATGTAGAGCTGAACGTTGTTAGCAGCGTGTAATGAAGTAATTTGGGTCTTGCGCTTACATCGTCATTGCTGTATTCTGGGAAGAGGACGTAGAACTTTTCCAAGAACTGCACCATCTGGTTTGAAGCGTCTTCCAGCTCGTGCACGTAGCTGTCCGTGTCGACGTAGCTGAAGCCAGTTCCTACTGGCTGATCGACAAAGAGCAAGTTCGCGAACTCGGCCCAGGACCCGTTGTTGTAGGCCAGATTTCCGTCTGGCTTGACTCTGTAAGGCCCAACCTCCATCATGGCGCCATCCATAGAACTACATCCAGGACCTCCGTTCAGCCATAATACTGTGCGCTGCTTGTTTGCGATGTGACGATTCTGGTAGTGCCAGAAGAAGAGGTTACCGTGGTGTTCGGGTGTGATTTCGACATGACTTGGGACAGTATGTTAGTTCATTGTCGTCTGAAACACAAAGTCGAGCTCATACCCAGCATGCATCTTGAGTAGGGGCTCGGGAGCTCCAGGCAGTGACGAGACAAAGTAGTCAGCTGCCGTCTTGTCGGCGACAGCGCTAGTCATCCAAGAGGAATAGTACAGAAGACCACATGCCAGCGATCCGAACCATGTTGGGTGGCTCCTCCGGCGAGGAGAGGTTGAAAAGAGGTGCATCGTGCGATTCCGCTACCTCATACCAGTCGTCAAGTAATCGATGTCGTCGTTCAATAAGAATGCCAAGGGTGAGGCTTCGATGCTGAGATGTGTCCGCTACAGCGAAGACGAGTTGTATGTTCTTGAGATATAGATCCAAGGGTCTCAATCTCACACAGCCACTGCCAGGAAACTTCGAAGAATCAAGGGAAATTGTTCAAGGCGCAAAAGGAGTCGTCGTCGCTGCCGTTGACAAAGCAGACACGCGGCTTCCCCGGACTTTCATCGCCGAGTCCCTCGCCGACCCTGACCTGCATTCCCGTCACGCTAGCACGAAAACAGACAAGGTTCGATTTTGGTTGTCAATAACTTTGTATCATTGACCTCTCTCTCTCTCTGTCTTCCTATCTACCTGATCGATTGTTATTGCTTTCGAGCATTCCATCTGTTGTACATTTGTATCCACTCTCGCTTCCAATAGCAGCAGTGCCATCTTCTTCTGCCCCGGACGGTCGTACCGCTCATCGTTCAAGCTCTCACTCGATCTGCTCAGTCGTAGTAACTGTGTCTGTCGTGGTCGGTAGTGCTCTTCCTCTTGATAGCAAATCTTGGTACAGCGCCGTGGTAGAAGTCCTTGGCCAATGGTCTTGGACACTCCTTTTCGGCTGATGATCTGTCCTTTGGAGTAAGACTGGCGTCCCAAGGGCTTAGCCATGTTCTGTTCAGTGCTCTCATGTGGGCCCACAGCTTGTCCGAATCGCATCCTGATGGTGCTTTGGTACCCAAGGTGCTGCAGATCCATGGCCATTTCCTAGCCCTGTACGCCCCTTCCGCACCACCAACATCCTTGACGAGTGCCTGCAACTTCACAACATCAACAGGCTGCTTCTGGACTGATGCCGTAAGGAATTTATCAGTATCGTCGTGAGTGGCCTTGAGCAAGGCGAGAGTGAAGTGTCCAGGCAGCCACTCGAATTCTGCAGCGGCACGGCTAGGCAAGTTGCAGCGGTCGGCGTCGCGTTCGATGGCAAGCAGATAGCGGCACAGCCCAGATGTTTCTGGGAGTTCATCCCATGCCAGTTTGATGGCGCTGAAGTCAACGCGAACGGGCAGTCCCTCAGGTCTGATGAACTTGTCCAACTTCTCGAGAATCTGATCGCCCATGGCCGGCACGCCTCTACGATCAGCAAAGCAGTAGATCTCTACGAGAGCGGTGTCGACCTGGTCTGCAGTTCGGGGCCAGGCTTCTAGTGTTAAGAAATCCAGGTTGCCGTCCTCGAGCCATTTGCGGAAGACTTGAAACAGATCGTATCGCTCGCCGAGATGGATCTCGTTCGTGACGGCTTCCTTGAAACGACCAGTCAGGGCAGCTTTGAAGTAGGTCGAGTCACGGCACAGCAGAGCCTTCGAAACTTCGATCGGCTTATCCCTTGCTGTGACATAGACTCGAACGATATCGTCCTCAACCACAAAACTATCACGATATTAGCGACCTGGTCATTTCTTGTAATCGAAGGAGCTGACTTACTCGGTGGGAATCCAGGATTCATCGATTTCCTCGGCCTCATCGTCGTAGTCTGCTACAAAACTGTCGTGACCACAAACGCTTTCGGCGTCGCTACTGTAAGAGACGAGCTTGTCATCCTTCTGCACAGCGGCGCGGTCCTGAAGACGTTTGCTGGATGATAGCATTGCGGCGTGTCCAGATATTCGTTTATGTTTTTGAATCCTGTGGATGTGATGTTGGAGTGCGAATTATGCACAGGTGGTTAAAAGTCTTTGTTCGACGTGATGACTACCTGGCACAAGCGCGTCGGTGAAGTGAAAGCGAAATCATTGTCTTTGTTATGCTCACTTTGTTGTCAGACGATTGACAGCACTTGTAGGTACTTGATGTAGTGAAAATAACCTGTCAATAGAAGAAAAGGAAGACCTCTCGTCCGCGCAGACGGACGTTGAGTGGTTGTGGAAGTAGAAGAGAGGAAGGTTGAGAGAGATGATGGAATATCAAATAGAGGCTGGGAGGTAGAAGCCGAGTAGTGAAATAAGTAACTGAATGATAAAAGCAACAGAGCAAAGAAGTGTCACTTGTCGAGCTGCAAGATGACCCGACGTGAATGGCTACTACGCCTTCACTCGAGTCGAGTGACCAGTTCTCACTTGTGTCGGATTCGAACAGCTCTTCCTCCCAGTGGCCAACAGGTCACCTACCTAGCTGTGAAAAGGCAAGATGATATTCATTAACAAGATCGGCCAGAGAGAGGGCACGATAGATGTCACTCTCAGTGGACATTTCCCTGATCGTGAAAAACATCTTGCATTTTGACAGGCCTGTCAGAGTCCTACCTTGCGGATAGAGAGCCACGATATCCAAGGCTCATCAACAACGGCTACACCCACATCATCAATTTGGTGTTGATGAGTTCTCTGCGATGTCACGGCTAAGAGACGAAGCCAGTGTCCCAAGGTTGCAACTCATTCTCTAACATCCGAAGAGCAGCCGCATAAATTTCATGTCAATCTCACAGAGGGCACCACCCTGTCATGGGATAAGAAACGTCTCGCAGCACCTAATCTTCACACGATTCTTTTCAAACCTTTCGCTAAGAGATAAGAACCGGTCATTGAGATGTCTCGACAACAATCTAAAGCTTAAGAGCGGCTGTTGAAACAGATATGACTGAAAATATGGTTTGGCAATGTCTGGCTTGTGAAACAACAGCCACGCAATTGCAAACAGCATCATCATTTCAGCATTAGTTCAAAAGATCTGAGCAAAAACACAGAGAAGATCTGGTTCTGACGAGCGAAAAAACAGAAACTACCTACAAAGCAAAAAAAAAAAAGGTTCGTGCCACTGCTGGAAGCTAGGCCAGGTAAGGAACAAAAGGACAAAAGAGAAGATGCCCCCTAACGGAGTCGAACCGGTGACCTCGGCATTACTAGTGCCGCGCTCTACCAACTGAGCTAAAGGGGCTTGCGGATGAAGCATTTCTCAAAAGAAGCCCTCATAACCTATGAATCAGCAGAAATTCGGCTCGTCGATCAGTGACAGGAGAAGCAGAAATGTTGAACAGAAGGGATGTGCTGACAATGAGGTTCATTCCAAAACATCATTCAATGATACTCGTCTAAGAAGAGAAAACGCCGGGTATGCCGAACACGAATTTCCAAAAAAGTCTTGCTGGTCTTTTTCTCCCACAGTCATGCATGCACGCAAAAGCAACACATCTAGCTGGTCTGCAGAGCAGCCTGCTTGACACCCTCAGTGACCTCCTCGACAGCATCACCAGCGTCAGCCTTCTCGGCGCCGTCCTTTTCAGCAGCCTCGACAGACTTGCCGGCGTCCTTAGCGAGCTTGGCCTTGGCTCTCTCGGCCTCCTTCTTAGCCTTCTTCTTCTCCTTGTCTGCCTTCTTGGCGGCGGCCTTTGCCTCCTTTTCTGCTTTGGCCTTTTTGGCTTCCTCACCACCGAACATTTCGCGCCATTCCTTCTCCTTCTCGGGCTTGATTTGTTGGAACAAGTGGGCGGCGGCGTTGAGCTTGTGGTTGGGGGCGATGCTGTTGCCTTGCCAGTCATCGGGGATGATGAGGAGAGTGGTGTTGAGTTGTTCGAGGATGGCACTGCTGGTGGAGGGCATGTAGGGAGCGATGATCGAGGCGAGCAGGTGAACGTGGTTCAGACCCAGACCGACGACGGCAGCGCAGCGTTCGGGCTCGTCCTTTGCGAGGGCGTTGTCGAGCTTGTTGTCTTGGAGCAGCTTATTTCCGAGGTAGGAGATGTGCATGGCTGCTTGCAGACCTTGGCGGATCTTGACGGCATCCATGGTGGCCAGGTAGTCCTTGAGCGCTTCGTTGACTTCCTTCTTGTGAGCTGCGAGGACGCCCTCCGGGTCGTTGTACTTGGTGTAGTCGGGCACAACACCCTCAAAGTTGGGCGAGTTGACGAACTTGACGATGCGGTTGACGAAGTTACCAAGATTTTTGAGCAGCTCGTTGTTGTTGGAGTTGATGAAACCAGTCCACTCAAACTCGGTGTCGCCAGTTTCGGGACGTCTGGACAGGAGGTAGTAACGCCAGACATCTGAGGGAATACCGGTCTCCTTTGCGTTGGTTCCGAAAACACCAATACCTCTGCTCTTGCTGAATTTGCCCTGTTCGTAGTTGAGGTACTCGGTGGTGGAAAGATGGTTCAACATGGTCCACTTGTCGCCAGTACCGAGCTGAGATGAGGGGAAAACGACAGTGTGGAAGGGAACGTTGTCCTTGCCCATAAACTGGTACAAGCTGACGTTCTCAGGGTTGTGCCACCACTTCTGCCATTGATCCGTGTAGTTTGCTGTGATGGAAACGTAACCAATGCAAGCGTCGAACCAGACGTACAGGACCTTCTCATCGTAGCCAGCAAGAGGAACCTTGGTGCCCCACTTCAGGTCACGGGTAATACCTCTAGGCTTGAGGCCCTCCTGCAACCAAGAATTTGTGATGTGAATACCGTTCGACGACCATGCACCCTCCTTGCTCGACTTTGCCGACCATTCCTCGACCTGTGCTTGGAGCTTGTCCAACAGCAGGTAAACGTGTTTTGTCTCTCTTGCGACGGGTGTTGCGCCATCGAGCTTGCAGCGAGGTTTCTTCAAATCCAGAGGATCAAGAAGATGTCCACACTTGTCGCATTGGTCTCCTCTTGCATCCTCGTAACCGCACAGTGGGCATTCTCCCTCAACGAAGCGATCGGCCAAGAACGAGTTGTGTGTTTCGCAGTAAGGCTGCACTGTTGTCTTTTCCTCCAAGAAGCCGTTGTTGTGGAGCTTTGTGAAGATGTCCTGAGCAATCTCGGTCTGCTGGGTGGTAGGAGTGCGGCCGAAGATGTCGAAGCCAATGTTGAACCATTCGTAGACCTCTGCGTGAAGCTTGTGGTACTTGTCGCAAAGCTCTTGGGGTGTGCACTTTTCCTCGATAGCCTTGGTCTCGGTGGCAGTTCCGTACTCGTCAGTACCGCAGACGAACAGAGTGGGCAGGCCACGCGCCTTGCAGTATCTGCGACCAGAACGTCAGACATGATTGCGCAAACGTCGCTAGACCGAGACTGACCTGGAGAAGACATCGGCAGATAGAACACTACCAATGATGTTGCCCAAGTGGGGGACGTTGTTGACGTAGGGAAGGGCAGAAGTAATGAGGATATTCTTCTTGCCCTCCTCGGGCAGGATCTCTTTGCGCTCGCTCATAATAACTTGTCGCGCGATTCGATCTCTTCTTGTGCGATTTGAAGTGGCGGGCGTATGCGTATGACAGACTTTGCTGTTCAGTAGTGCGACAAGGTGATAGATTGGACAATTGCGCGTGCTTCTTGTCGGTCAAGTTTCAGCTTTGGAGGGGTCCAAACTGCTGCTGAAAGTGACTCAACTGCTCGGCTGCACCCGCCATCCCACCTTCGCCGTCCCTGCCCAGCCCTACCGCCCGAGGGAGCCATACCAGAACTTTTTCGATAAACATTCAAAACATTCCATCAAATCGAAAAAAGAATTCCTGGAACGCAGTACAACGATACACAGAAACTACAATCAAATTTTCGGCACAAAGTATCAACAATCATGGCAAACCCTCAACCCGATGATTTCGACTCCCTCTTCAACCTCGAAGAGGAATACTACACCGAAGGCTACAATCTCGGAGTAGCAGATGGATCACGCGCCGGTCGCATCGAGGGCCGCCTCTTCGGCCTCGAAAAAGGGTTTGAAAAGTTTGCAGCAATGGGAAACCTAGCAGGCAGAAATGCCGTTTGGGAAGCAAGAATTTCAGATCAAAATTCTGCTGCTACTGAGGCAAGCGAGTACAAGTTGCCCAAGCTTTCAGGTGGTACTAGATTGCAGAAGCATTTGCAGACCCTGTATGCTTTGACAGAGGCTGAGACTTTGTCTACTGAGAACAACGAGGATTCGGTCACTGACTTTGACGATCGCCTCAAGCGTGCTGAGGGCAAGGTCAAGGTCATCGAGAAGTTGGTCGGAGAGGGTCCTCTGACCCTCGAGGCTTCTCAGCCTGCTACTTCTGGCAGTGGCAGCGCACAAGAAAGACGCCAAATCAAGATCAAGAGAACAGATGCTGGTGGAGAGAGTAGTATGGAAGATTTCAATATTCGCCATGCTCGCTCCTGAAGCTTCTTTTTTTGCTTCGAAGGGATTTTCCCTATTGCTACCAAGCCAAGGATATCATCATTGTCGCATTCCAGCAAACACCGGACCTCGAAGACCCACAAAACGCAATACTCCGCAGAATGCACCCAAAGATCAACTCACAAGCCACTTTCAACCCGAACAAACGCCTCGCTTCATGCCTTCACGATACCCGACTACTTCAAGCCGCGGCTCCAGTCTCTCCGCTAGCCGGATTTGGTGGCTCTTGCACGGCATCCATCTTCAGCTTCTTGGGGTCGCTAGCTCCGTCAGTTTGCTGAACATTACTCATGTCGGCAAGTGGTGGTCTGCCAACAGGGGCTTCTGCAGGCAACGGTCTCTTCATAGCAGGAGGCTTGTAGGCACTTCTATTTGCCAACGGACTTTGCTGCATTCCAGGCATACCGATACGTCGACCAGCATCCATGGCTGGGTTGACGAAATTCGATCTGTTGGCGGGTGCTCCTCCGTTCATCATCGGTTTCGGATTTGGTATTGGTACAGTGGGAGCGCCGACTTCGGAGCGCTTAATAGGCGCAGACTTGCGAAGATCGACTCCTTGTGTTCGTCTAATCGAGGGACTTTCGTGATGGGGGTCGAAAAGTTTGATTGGAGGAACGGCGCCGGACTCCGGAGGTTGGACCAGAGCAGAAGCAGCAGCACCTGAAACGAAACCAGATGGCACATGGGACGGCACCTGGGAGGGCGTAATCACTGATTCGGGAGGTGTGATTTGTCTACCATTGGTGGTTGTCGATTCTGAGGCGGACGAAGGATTTGAGCGAAAGCCATTCTGATTGCTTGCTTGGTGAGGAGGACCCATCATGCGGTTGGGTGGTTGGTTGTTCATGCCGTTTGTGTTCTTGAAAGTCTGGGAAGGTACTTGGGGACGAGCTTGCTGCCCGTTCTGTTGACCGTTCTGCTGAGGACCGCCAGAGAACTGTCGTACATTGGGCATGGATGCTACTCGGTTCGGTTGTTGGCGATTCATGGCTTGTGCTGAAACAGAGTTGGCAGGAGGTCGGACGGGCGTCTCGACAGAGACTTCGGTAATGGAATTGTCCAAGCGAACCTCATCAGGGTGGCTGAAATCCACCTCGTCAAACAGATTTCCTCCAAACTCGTCTTCAAATTCCGATGTGTTCGACTGGGCGCTAGGCATGCGTGCCGGCGGGTTCGAAGCAATGGTTGTAGGTGCAGAGGGGCCGGCAATGGCTTCTTTCTTGATGGGGGCGTAGTCTGGGTGACGATGTAGATTCTCGGCATCCCATTTAGATGGCGCAATCCTGACCTTTGTCACTCTCTGGAGGTAGTCCTTGTCGTATAGACAGTTGCCCAGCACGTTGCCGAAGTTGCGCAATGCTCTTTTCAAGGCGTCGGTTGTAGCTTCTTTCTTCGCTTTCTCGAAGGCGGCTGCTTTGCCTTTACAGTTCTCGATGTGGCCATATCCGATGTCCTACACCGTGTCAGCTCGAGCCGATGAACAAACAAGCTGGAGAGCTTACCTCGTGGAATGTGCCATCTCTCAAAGAGACGCGCACAATTGTAGACAGTCCTAAGTTGATCTTTCCTGTTGTTGGACTCTCGTCGCACTGTGGTGGTCAGCATAACAAGACTTCGTGGAGAGTCAGAGAGACTCACAAAGTCGATTTGGACATCTCGAATAGCACTGCTCCAGCCATTGAAACCGAAGACCTCGTTGGCAAGATTGATGACCTTTTCTGCAGCAAGATAGTGGACTTTGCCTCCTCCGTTTCCAGGACGTGTCGAGATGTATTCGGGACCAAGCTGCTTGTCGAGACGACTCTGCAGCGTAGCTATCTCCTGTGCCGTGTATTCATTGATGTGGTCCTTTTGCTCCTCGTACGGATTAGTGAACTTGTGGTCCTTCCACTGATCACCAGGTCTGAGTTATTGTTAGCAGCTTGACTCAGCTAATGACAGATCAAGACTTACGCAGGCATGATTGATCATCTATCTCGACAACCAAAGTGGCGACGCGGACTTGTTTTATGCACAAATGCAACAGCGCTTGCCTTGGAGGCGTACGCGATGCACCGCGACAATGACGCGACCCACGTGGCATGCCAAGCCGATTCTGCCCGCTCATCCCACCCCGAGGCTCGCCCCTTCCTCTTCTCCCTGATGTACACAAATACACATGGTATTCGTTTTTCTCGACTGCCTAATGCTTATGAATTCGGCCTCTTACAAAAGACAAGAGCGCCTACGTTCTTTGCCACATGACGCTTTCACGCGACATCACAGTTCTTCGCATCCTTTACGCGCATCGCCAGGAAGGGTCCACTATTAAGGCTCGAACAAGTGATGTGATTTCAAGAACTACTATAGACGAATGATTGTCGGAGTTCCCAACCATGCAAAAACCTGGTCCCCGATGTTCTTTGATCCCTGATCATGTTTCAGGAGCATTGGTCTCGACGCCTGTGTAAGCCCTCGACCCAGGCAACTTCACCCAGGGTGCAAACACATTTGTCTTCTTCGGTATGGCCGCCGCCAACTCCGGGAAGTGCCTTGCCAGTACATCCTTCATGCCCGTGTTCTGGACCCAATGGAAGCCAACCTCGGTGTACATGTCAGCATTCCATTGTCCGGCAATAAAACGATCGCTCTTGAGTCTCCGACTGGCCATCAAGATGAAGATGCGAAAGGCGGTCTCACTAAACCCGAAGCCTTTGATGACGGGCTCGCTATGTGAGCCAACTAACGCGTCTACTGTCTCGATGTCACCACTGTAGACTTCGCTGAGTCTTGCTGCGAGCTCCTTGTCACCACCAGTCAGCTCGTCGAAAGTCTTCGGGACAGACAGCCGAAGCAGTCTTCTGAATTGGCAGTAGCGGGGGACACCTCTTTCGCGGTCGCGCAAAATATCGACCGTAGCGAGATCACGGACTTGACCATCTGGAGTAGGAAGATTCCTCATCAGATTGGCATAGTTGTTGTTGGTGATCGCTCCCGGATAGTTGATGCAGAAGGAATAGAACGCGTCGGCGAAAGATACCTTTCCAGACTTGAGAGGTTTCACGGCATCCTTGAAGGTGATCTCAGCTACTGGGACTGTGGCTTTATGCTTGCCACTTGCGACATCGAAGAATGCGACATTGTCTACGCCCTTGTTAGCAAAATTCAACCAAGGTTGATAGTATTGACTCACCCGGTATAAGCGAGTGCATCCTGTACACTGAAACGAACTCTTCTGTGAGAGAGTACGAGACGCCTTGATGGTCCACGGTTGACCCTGGGATACCGCTGATGGCCTCGCTAGTCTTGGAGATCCTGCCCACAATCTTGTTGAGGGTTTCTCCTGCGATACCCCACCTTCGAAGTTGTCAGTAAGGGTCTTGAACTAGTTGGATGGATTGCATACCAATTCGCATTCATGCTGATCTCCAGCGTGGGATGACCCAAAATAGCAGGCGTCCATTCCCTGCAATCGCTAAGGTCAGTATGACTACAATCATCTTATGCGGGCCATATCGACTTACACCGTGTGGATTTTCGCCATGAGGGCGCAGTTGACAAGACGAGCTTTGTCGAAGATCTTGTCCCTAAGTGTTGTCAGCAATGAGTTCACCAATCACGGCTCTCGAAATTCTTACCCGGTCCAATCAGGATGTGCTTCACGGATCTTGACGCAGATGGCATTGTGTTCCAAAGCGAAGAGTGTGTGCAACAACTCCATTCCGGTCCACCAGTTGTCTGAGAAGCCTGTCTTTGGGTTGCCTTCGGCATCACGAGGCAAGAAAGTCTCTTCGTAGCCTCTTGTCTCGAGGAGCAACTTGCCGTCTTGATGTTGATCTCTCAATTCCCTGGTCACAGCTTCACTCGAACCGTATATCTGAGAGCCATCCCACCTATGGGTTTAAGTTAACATGAGACATAATCAGACAAATCAAGATTAAGCTCACCAAGCTGTTGAGGTATTCTTGTAACCAGGACATTTGATGTCGGACGCATCGAGCACTTCATCTGGTTTGGTACGGTACAGCTTCATCTGATGATCATGCCAAGTGTCGTTTGGAAGTAAAGGCACGTCGAAGGTCTCCTCGCTCTGGAGTTTCTGGTCAGCATGTCGCATTGCAAGCTCACATATAGTATACTCACACTTTCATGGAAAACCCAATCGTGGACCTGGAACTGGATCCAAGCAGCGGCGAGAAGATTCAGTGTAGTAGCTGGCTTGAACTCTCCTGGCTTTCTAGACATGAAAGCTTCGCTGACCAGTATTGGATTTGGTGTCCACAGCTCTTCTTCGGTTGGCTTCTCGCAGTATTTCCTAGGGAAGTTGCGACCAAATCTCATCCCAGAACAGCCCATCTTGGGCATGGTAAGTGAGTTGTCCTTGCCTTCCGAGTTTCTTGCCGAAAGGAAACGCTTGTCATCTAAAGGTGTATCTTCGGTGTTGCCTTGGGCTGTTGCAGACGTGTACCCATCGTGGAGGTTGAACTGGCGCAGCTCAACACGCAGAGCATCCAAATTGAGTGCACCGATGATACTAGGAAGTTTGTGCCACGGGATGAAAAAGTTCACGAAGTGGAACAAGCCAACAAGAAGTCTGTCAAGAAAGCCGGGGCGGAAGTTGGGAGCGTCCATGGTGAGTTTCCAAACGATTCACAAGATGTGATTCCCTTCTTTTTGGACTCTCTTAACTATTATATTGAAGCAAGGGATGCCTGGAACTAATTTGAGGCTGTAATGGTGGGCAGTGCCAGAGCATCCCCGTTACCATTTCTGGCAAATGGTACGTTTGATGATATTCACATGCGTTCTCGATCCGGAATTGGGTGGCCTTACGACTCTCGTAAGCGTCTCGCGGTGTACTGCAGCCAAAGAGAATAAGTGCTCTCCCGCATCTCAGGCCACCACTCTAGAAGGATCAATTCTGTGTCGTCGTGCAATGTATCTTAGTTTCCGGAATACGTGCACGCAACTTCTGAAGGTTTCACGAGCTGGAAACGTTTCAGCGGTCTGGTAGGCGAAGTATAATATATGCATGCAATAGAGCTGCACGTCAGCACTAGCGTTCCTACATAAATCCTTCGCTATACCATGGGTCTCACAGCCTTTGCAAGTACCTGTAGGTACGCGCGACATCAAGGGAGCACGACTGAGCTGACCGTTGATGCCTGTCCGAGTGGTACGACCAGAGTGTCAGCTCAGTCTGAAGAATGTACATGAACCTTGAACACTACCTGTGTTCACATATGTCGCTATGGTTACAGACACATATCCCTCAACGATGTTTCCTCTACTCATTGAGCTTTTTCGTCTCGCTCGTTGCCTTTGCAAGAAGAATCCATTTTAATGTACCTCAGTCTGTGGGACTGCCTCAAAGGCCTTCTGACATTCAATGCCTCACGAACAGACGTCAATGGACTTATCAACTCGAAAGGCGGCGATCACTACTATACCAGAGGCAACATCGCAGACCGTGGTCCATGTCCAGGTTTGAATGCCTTGGCTAATCAAGGCTACCTGTTCGTTCATCTATCCAACCTATCTCGTACCCACCACTGACCCAACAAGCCCTCGCGATGGCAAAAACATTACCCTGCCTCAAGTCGAGGAAGCTTTGAGGATATCCCTACACATGGAAAAATCTCTTGCATCTTCCATCACCCGTCCTCTTCGCCCTCTACTCCGCAAAGATGGCACTTTTGATCTCGTCCTCATGCGCCAACACAACGTCATCGAACACGATGCCTCCTTCACCCGCCTCGACTTCCGCGAAGGCGACAATTACAACTTTCAACCCCGTCTCTTCCGCGCCATGCTCGATGACGCCGGAAATGGCCCTATCACCATCAGCGGTTTGGCCAAAACCTACATCCGCAGGAACAAGGAAAGTAGAGCAGCAGGTGCACCTGCTCTCCCATGGAATTTGTGGTTTGTGAATTTATTGCAGAGTGTGAGTCTGATGAATACAGCCAAGATGGGAGGGAAATTGGATAGAGAGGTATTGAGGGCTTTCTATGAGGAAGAGAGGTTTTCGGAGGTGATTTTGGAGAATGGGGAGGAGAGGACCTTGGTTGGGTTGGTTGGGTATGCTGTGGCTCTTCTACTTTGTGTCATTTTTCGCGTTTGAGTAGGAACGCATTAGGCTGTATTGGTGAATATCGGATGGGCATTCAGGATTGACAGACGATTGATCTGTACTGAGGATGGACTATGCAGCAAAATACTTCTCCGATGTGCATATTCATTCTGGATTGCTGGTGTACGAGCTGTCTTGTCGACCTCTGGAAGCATAGAAAAATATGATTGTTGTGCTGAACAGCTCATCAGGTTGAAGTTGTCTTGGAGCCAAGACATACCGTCTTTTCGAGCTTGTCCATGAACACCGCCTGTGTTGACGAAGAGTATTTTTTATTGCTGTCGCTCCGAAACGAGATATGGATGTCCTGTCGAGCGCGGATCAGGAGAATATATTGGGTTGAATTTTGCTTCGTTTCCAACAAGCTGCTGTAGCTCAGTGGTAGAGCGTGGGATTGCAGTCTCTGCAATTATCCTAAGGTCCGTTGTTCGACCCAGCGTAGCAGCTTCTTTTTGGATTTTTTGTTGGAAGCCTTGTGCTGTGGGGCCGCAGGTTCGAGCTCAGCCCGCTCACCCAACGTCTCACAAGACATTGCTGGATACGAGCACATGCAAAAATCATCTGTTTTTGATGGTCGCCTACACGTGAAGATTCGCAAACTTGCAGGTATCACAAGTCTTCAGCTCAAGGGTGGGAAAGGAGGTAAGCATGATGCTGACACCGGGCGTGTGCGACGTCCTTGCTCACGATGTTTGGAGGCTATGCGATGAGCTTGTAAACACGAGACACATCCGAGCATACTCCCAAATCCCCTCAGCTGAGAATTGCTGTAAGCTTCGGAGGTAGCTATGCGTAGCTGGACGGGCTGAGCAGACGCGTAACCCGCATATATCTAGCTGAGAGCTGTGCATGCAGCGAAAATCCAGCTGGATTCGGATGTCTCAACAGGTCTGTACTTTGCATGACTACATGTCACCAACCAGAGTGATGCTATTGATATGTTTTAAAGTTGTATACCGCGGATTACATTGGTAACCACCGGAGACACCAATACAAAGCTGATCCACCAGGCTGAGTATACAAGTCGATTGGCGAATATAGCTGTCACATGCGCAACGAGGCTAGAGTGATCCATGATATGTGGCATTTCCAAGAGATGAACACGACGGTATCATTTTCTTTCTTAGGATGTAGGTGGACGGCAGACCCGGAAGCCATGTTGCAGCCTATGAAAACCAGGAGTCGACAGAGGAACTCATCCTTCGGAGCAGCAAATGTCGACAGCAGGCAACCCTCCAGACTGACCGGTCTTTGATCTTGAATGAATAGACATCATGGGAGGCAGTGCTAAGAGCTCAAATACTCGGAGGCCTCGATGATCCTGCATACTACTACTTAAGCAGCCGAATCACCTCGACACTATTGCTTCAATCAACCGAAATCTTCAATCGGTTTTATACATCCAAAGCATATACGCTCTCGCTTCCAATCATACAACAGCTTCCGATCAATCTTTCTCCATAATGCCTACCCTTACAAACTGGAACGACGAGATCAAGTACGAGGTCCCAGACGACAAATTCAAGGCCCCAAACTCAATCTCTGAAGTTCAGGCCATCATCAAAGATGCTGCTCAGCAGAATGAGAAGATCAGAGTCATCGGAGCTATGCATTCTACCACCCAGTGCATGGTTGGCAGTGGTATCACCATTTCCATGGAGAACATGGCCAAGGTCTTGAAGGTCGACGAAGAGAGCATGACCGTGACTGTCCAAGCCGGAGTGGCTATTCATCAGCTATGCGAGTATCTAAAGCCGCATGGGCTGCAGCCCCCAGTCATCCTCGAATATGGCAACTTTCAGATTGGTGCCATTAGTGGAACTCAAGCGAACGACAGCTCCTTGTCTGACAGTGCACAATTCTCGTCTTTCGTAGTTGGCGTCAAACTCATCAAAGCCAACGGAGAGCTGATGGAAATATCCGAGACACAAAATGCTCAATACCTTCCTGCCATCCGCTCTCACTACGGTCTCTTCGGCGTAGTCTGCGAAATCACCATTCGCATCTGGAAAACCAGATCACTGCAATTCAGCTACGAACTAACCACCCTCGACGCCTTTTCCAAAGACGTCGTCGGCAATGTCAACGCCCTCCGCAACTCCTACGATCAAGCCTTCGGTCTTCTCTTCCAGGCCGACGGCAAATTCATGATCCAACGACGTAAATTCGTCAATGGCAACACGAAGCCAGCTCATCCTCTCACCAACACCCTCGAAGCAAAAGCCATAAACCTCTACGCTGATCTAGTTCTTCCTCTGGCAAAAGCATCCGCACAGCTCAACCTTCCAGCCGCACAGGCGGAATGGCTGAGCACTACGTTGGTGGATTTACCTCTCAGAGCTCTCGCTCACAGTAACTACATCATCGACCCCAATGATCGCGCTTTACCTTACGATGAAGATCAACCCGACTTCGATTTTTTCGATTGGGTGTTTCCAGAGGAGAATTGGTCCGCTATGGCTCATGCTTGGATAAAGCTCTGCGATAAATTCGAGCAAGAGAAGAATTTCGTCTTGACTTTGCCTTGTTTGGTTTATTTTCTCAAGAAGGATACAAACATGCTTCTGTCTCGATCCAGGGGTGGCAATATGATGGCAATTGATCCTGAGTATCAAGATCCTACTGATCCTAAGTGGTTGGAGTTCAGAGTGGCTTTCTGTGAGATTGCAAAGCAGCATGGGGGTATTCCGCACATCAACAAGACGAAGGATGGCGCGATTCATTGGTTTGCTGGACAGACTGATCAGGATGCTTTGAAGGAGTATATAGAGTTGAGAAGGGAGTTTGATCCTGAGGGGATGTTCTTGAATGAGTTCTTTGAGATAATGTTCGAAGGACGTCTCTAGGGAGAAGCAAGCATCGAGAGCATTGTGCGCTAATCTAGTCTGGCTTTTCAGGCTCTCAGTCGAGGTTTATCGGTACACAGCCAGTTTGTGCGTTCTTACAGCATCGTTCGGCGAGCGAGGTCAGAGAAGGGAAAGGTGAATAAGCTATCATGTTTGAGCTATTCCATATAATACGTAATTCCATCCAGCAAAGCTACCCAGTTCGGAGAGAAGCGGCAGGAGTGATCCCTCGGAACTTCACAATCAAGCCGTCGAGTCGGAACGTATCCTCATCCTCCTCATCAAGGATTTGGAAACTCGCTCTTGGAATGTCTAAATCTGGTCGTGCGCCAGCAATGCGGTCAGCAACAGTCCATCGCGGCAGATATGATGGACAGTCGATCCAGGATCCGTCGAAAATGTTCTTCCATGGTGGTCCGTCGTCGCCGATCGATTTCAGAAAGTCTCTGACTTCCTGCCTCCATATAGCAAGTCTGCGAAGCTCTGCAGGGTCATTCAACCTTTCCTCGCAGAATCCGTCCAGATAGAGCGTATGGCTGAACAGTACTTGCTTTAGCGGAGGGAGCTGGCTGATGAGTGCTTTCAATGTTGGCAGGTAATCTTTCGAGTTTAGCTTGTATCATGGCGATGTCTGCGACAACTTACTGCAATGTGGAGCTGGGTTCCCTGTCGCGATATACATGCCGAAGTACCGCAGCTGAGCAATAGCCCCTTTCGGCAAGATTGGACGGCCCGTTTGGAATCGTATCTCACTTTCGTTGTCTCCATGGGTTGAGTGAGGAAACCATGTGACGCACAGTACGATCCAAGGAATGGCATAATCGCTGTACTCGTTTTTGAGCTGTTGACTGACGCGCAGCATTGCAGGATGGAAGCATCCGCGAAGGCAGATACCGTCAACGACGCAACCAGGGAGGTCCATTCCAGGGACTCTAACATCCACATCTCTAACCGCGAGTCGGCTGTAGACCATCAAGCGAATCTCAACAGGTAGATCCAGGAAGCGGAAGGGTTGTGCTTCAGGCGGCGCAGGCGAGGCCACGGCGTTCGAAGAGCAGGCAAACGGTATGATGTTTGACAGGAAGGAGAAGAGAGCGTCGATAAGCCATTTCGATAGTGAGGGCTAGTATGCATGTCAATAATCTTTCGTTCAAGTGCAGATAGTGGAACCAGGTACCATGATGAGTGGTGGGGCTAATCGATGTCGTTGATGCGGAACAAAAATCATGCAAAGGTAAAAAGCCAGACCCAGATAGAGCGTGTGCCAATGGAAGATGAAATGGAGGATGTTATGTTGGAACAGGAGCGAGGAGGCCAAGTCGCAAGCACGCTGCGAAGAAGCCGAGTCTTGGAGAGAATCCCGTGAGGAAAGAGCGATTGTGGTTGAGTAGCTGTATCTTGCTTGCATTCTTCGAGTGCGGCTTCCTAGCTGGCAGCGCTGTCGAGATGCACGACGATTTCTCCTGAAGCCGAAGTTCCACTGAGAGCTCTGTTGGCTCCTTCCTGCGCTGGGCTCACGGAGAAACCCTCGGTTGTGTTCAGCTCTTGACCTACCTAAGACGAGCGATCACTTCTGTCATGTGTTCATGCGGAGGTAAAATTGGGAGTCGAGTGAAGGTTTCTTTTGAGGCTACCTACTGAGTGTGCTGCGACTGTGCTTCTTCGTTCCTTCGTTTCATCTGAACTTTGTCCTGCATGGGCAACTGAAAGGCCACTTATAGCTTGCAATTTTATGAGAGTCGTTCGTCCCTTCGGTGTGGTCGGTTATGCTATACGCACTGCCACAAAGCCAGCAATATTGTGAGCCGGTGCGTATTTTCCATATCCCCATTCTCGACCATGCTCCATTTCCTTCATCCGCAACCTTCATCTACATGATTCGATCTCATCTGCCGTCGGCCATCATTTGGGCCCGCTGATTTCGCGTAACAAAGCGACAATCGAGGTTGAGCACTACATCATATCCTCTGCACGTCTGCGTTGTGTGTTACGGTCTCTCATCTTGTCGGCGAAAAGGTCGTTTGGCTCTCCGTTGCTGAACTTTGAAGGGAACAACTCCTTGACAACTGGATTGACTTCGCGAGAAGCACCCCGAATCGAGAAGCCTGGTACGTCTACTTGAGCGCTTCCTCTGATGCTGAAGCCACCCGACTCTGGTCCTCCGGTGATGCGATCAGCAAGGCTGCCTATAAAGAAATTAGCTGTGACTGAGATGTCAGACACATGAGCATAGCCTACGTCTTATGCTTGCAGTCTCGCCAGCGTCAAGGGCGTCCGAACGGCGATGATTGCTGCGGGAGGACTTGTTGGGGAAGAGTTCTCTGTTGCGCTTCGGAGGACTTGTCGAAGTGAGTGGTGTATCAAGTCCAAAGGTCTTGCCGCCCTTTGCGGGTAGAAGTTCTATCGGACCTTTACTGGCACGAGCGGGAGCCATGAGATCCTTCTTACGTGGTGCGGGTGAGATGGTTCTGCGACGAGCCGTCCTGCGTTCGGGCTGCTCTTGGTCAAAGCCATATCTTCCATCTCCATCCCTGACAGGAGAAGCGCTACGATCGCGCAATCTACCTGTGTCCTTTCCAGCGAACAGATCACCCCCACGCGGCCTCCTCGGGCGTTCGTCTCTGCGGCGAACATTCCTTCGATCGTCTTCGTCGTCGTAGCTGAGTGCTGGCGTTTCTTCGGCGTCGTCGTACATGTTGACATCGAATGGCTTCGCTGCCTCAGGTCTCTGTCTGTTATCTCTCCGCGGGCCTCTCCTCCTGTTGTCATATTCTGCTTTGCGTTCTCTCGGGTCATGATCAGGGTTCATGAGGTAGAAACGACTTCTCTCATGAGCGCGAGGGGCTTTCTTGTCGGCAAGGGTGGCTTGACGGATGTAGAGTTCGGCTTCGGAATTTGAGGGGAGTGCTTTGGCTTTGCGCATTTGCAGAGGGGCGACATGTTGTGCGGCGCCGTCTGGTAGGTCGGAGAGGGCGTTGAGAGCTTCTGAAGCTGCTTCTGCGGACTCGTAGATGAGGTTGGCCGACGTGTCATCGATCCATTCGACACGCTGGAAGTTGTCTAGCGAATAGTACTCGCCAGCAAACTGCCTGATGTTGTCGGTGGTGAGGTTGTCTAGACCGCGGATGTGTACTTTGGTCGGGGCGAGATCGTCGGGGTTGTCGGCAGGGGTAGATCCAGATTGGTCTTGGGTGTTTAGTGCCGCCGAGCGGGCTTCCTTGATAAGTTCAGCGTGTGTCGCGTGACGGAGCGATCGGTTGGCGTACAATCTTCATGGCCTCTGCCTCGAGTTGGGCGATTTCGGGGTCCAAGCCGAGGTCGATGTCCATGTCGACGTCCATATCGATATCTGCCATGATGTCGGATGTTGTTGTCATGTGGTCGATAAGAGCGAGACTTTCTTGTGTTGGCGACTCTTGCGACAGTGAAGTGCAGAGGTCGTGAAGGGAAGAGTGAGGGTTCGGCTTACGAATGGTGTTGGCGTGAAAGTGGGATGCTCGTTGGCGATGGCTGACGCGCATGTGAAGTCTCGACCTGGCCCGTGCACGCTCTATTGACGAGTCAGGACCTCTATACCAAAGAACAATCGCAATCGAGAGGTACAATGCTAGTACTCTGGACCACAATACCAACTCTATCTACAGACCGTCAAACATATCATGACTCGTTTATGGGTATCTTTGTGTTGATATGACACCAGATATTGGCTGGTCAGAAAGTATGCCTCCAACCATTCATCACATCTTGTCGAAGGCCAAACGTCTATTCGACATCATCATGGTCAGATTGTTTGTAAGTACGGCTATGGGCATGTAAGTCCTAGAGACGATCGTCATGTTGCCCGAGTTGATAGACATGTCTGTTGCATAAAGCAAGGCACAAACATTGGCGTCTCTCATCCATGGAATGTCATGCAGCGAAAAGTGCTGCAATCACCCTTCCATACGTCGCTCCGGAATCGTTTCAGAGTCCTTTTCTTCACTTTTGTCGATGCAATAACCCGGAGTCCACCTTGGCTCCGTTCGTGGTCGTTTCGTTATTGTTTTGTCTTTGTATTCAGATTTAACTACTCCCTCGTCAAACTTCCTCCCAACCCGACATTTCTTCGAGATCCACGCGCATACCAAAAACGTCGACATGTTCTCCAAGATCTTCATCTTCTTCGCAGTCCTTGCACTGTTGATCCAAATCGTGGTCGCTACCCCCCCTGCCTGCGTTCTCAAGGCAGTCAAGTGAGTCGACGACAAGAGTATAGTCGTGCTCAACTGACGACCCAACAGCGGACCCGACTCTTCTCCTGGTAACGTCAAGGAGATTTGTGGAAATGGCAGCAATGTCAAGCAGGCCCTCGTTAGCGACTGTGGTACCAACTTCGACGCCGCCATGAGCGCCTTCTCCAGCATCTGCTCTAGCGCCGGTGTCACCATCTGTAAGTTGCTGCTGCGGTTCTTGTTCAAAGACGCGAACTGATGTTTGGCAGCCACTTGGGATGCTGCCCCCTCGTCCACCACTCTGGCCAGCTCTGACAGCGCAGGTACTTCTTCTGCCGCTTCTACTGCCATGACTACCAGCGACGACAATTCTGACACACCTGTTACTTCAGCTTTCAACACCGAGTCTACTGCTCAGTCGACCAACAGTGGAATCATCACTGCCACTGCAACTGGCTCTCTCACCAGCTCGCAGGCCCCTTCCACATCTGCTGCTGCCACCTCATCAGGTGCTACGTCCACTGGAGCCGCCGGACGCACCGAGATGTGCGCTCTGGCCATGGGAGCCATTGCTGCCGGTGTCATGATTGCTTTCTAAGCAAGGAATGAACTTGGATGGTAAACAGACACATCCTTTGTGCGATCTCCGTGTTCTCCTAGAACCTTTGGTCCAAGGCTGCAAGGCAGGTTACATGATCAGGAGGTTCTGTCTGAACATCTTGTTTCATAGTGACGAATCGTTAGACCAATCAATAAGTTCGTCCACAACACTCATCGTAATGGTGTAATAACATTGTGACGTGATTTCATGTATCTATACGATGCATAGAGCCTAGTATGGTATCCTCTGTTTCAACGAGTTCCAATCCCCAAACCCTCGTACGTTTTGGCAGACTCTCATAGTGGCCCAGGCGAGGAACAAAAAGTGAACTTTGGGTCAATGGACATAGAGAAACATACTGCTAGAATTCAAGCCATCCAAGAAGGGAAGATGATCACTTCTTGGCCACTGACCTACGCAGCGATGGTTCTGGAAACAAAAGTCATCAATACTCAATGGATTGGGCAAAAGGGAACCTCGCCATGGCATGACTGTGAGGAGAGTAGAGGAGGAAAACAATGATCACGCCAGGGGTCGAACCTGGAATCTCTTGATTCGTAGTCAAGCGCCTTGCCATTGGGCCACGCAACCGTTGATGTAGAGCAGAAAATAGTCTGCGTTTATAATTCTCAGAAATGCGCTGGCCGGGCATATCGGCGATAACGTCAAGCTTGGCAAGACATTTTTCCTTCGGCTTCATCTTTTGCGCCTGTCTTCGACAAGCAATTCAAGGAAATAATTTCGACACGGCAAACATGGCCACAACACTCGTCAAATCGCTCACCTCAGAGCCGCATAGCTTTCTGCAACCTCCGTCAACATTACACACCTCGTCGCTCGACTTTTTGAAGCAAACACTCGACCCGATCGCCAAATCCATCGCCGAGACACAACAGCAGCGTTTGCAAGAAGCTCGCAAGAAGAGAAAGCGTGGTCAAAACGATGAAGATGAGGAAATTTTGCGCCTGAAGAAAGTTCACGTCAGTGGATTCGCTGTTGATCAGGTCTGGGAGCAGGCAAGGCGGATCATCGATGCGGCAAGAAAAGAGGCTCAGCGCAACTTTGACGAGCTCGCCGAGAAATACGCCATCGACGACTCAGAGGACGAGAGTGAGGACCAGGATGGCGAGGAGCTCTCAGAAGAAGGCGAGAGCGATATTGGTGAAGAGGGAGTCGACTACGAAATCGAAGGCGAGGACGTAGACGGAGAAGAGGAGGATGACGACGAGGAGATGGAGGTCGACGGCGAAGTCGACGATTACGAAGAGTCAGACATCGAAGCCGACGAGGACGTCGCGATGGGTAGTGAAGGCGAATCCGAGGCAGAGAGCGAGGAAGCGGCCGAATACGTGCCCGATCCGCATGGCCTGAACGACGGCTTCTTCTCCATCGACGACTTTAACAAGCAATCAGAGTTCCTCGAGCAAGCAGATGCTCGTGGCGACAACGACTTCGAAGATGATGACGAGGAGGGTATCGACTGGGGCTCCAACCCTCTGGGCGCAAGCACCACCATTCCAAAGTCAGCACAAAACAATGACGAAGAATCAGATGATGAAGATGGCCCGACATTCGGCAATGCCGACCTGAACGCCCCTGAAGGATTCAGTGACAACGAGGAAGAGGTTGAGGAAGGTGAGATGGATGGCATGAACTCTCTATCGAACACAAACGAGGTCAAATACGCCGACTTCTTCGCCCCGCCTGCCAAAAAGGTCCGCAAGAACAAGAAGGGACGTCCGAACCCTCACAACTTCCCTGCCAAACAAGCCTCTCCCAGCGGAGCCGACGAGCCAGCCGAGAATGAGGAAGAGATGGAGCGAACTATGGAGAAGGTCCACCGTGATCTGTTCGACGATGTATCAGACGAGGAAGAGGATGAGGAGAACCTCGATCCTGCCGACCCTCGCTCCCGCCGTTCAGCTCACGAGCGTCGCCAGGCTGCTCTCACAGAGGAGATCCGACGACTCGAGGCCGCAAACGTTGCTAAGAGAGAGTGGACTCTGTCTGGTGAGGCTCGCGCCGCTGACCGTCCCATCAACTCCCTTCTCGAAGAGGACCTCGAATTTGAGCGCGTTGGAAAGCCCGTACCAGTTATCACCGCAGAGATTAGTGAAAGTCTGGAAGAGCTTATCAAGCGTCGCATTCTCGCTGAGGACTTCCAAGATATTATCCGTCGCCGTCCTGATGATCTGGCTACTGGCAGCTCAAGCAGACGCGGGCGTCTCGACTTCGAGCTCGACGACAGCAAGAGCAAAAAGTCCCTGGCTGAGATGTACGAGGAGGAGCACCTGAAGGCTACCGACCCCAACTACGTCGACGCAAAGGACGAGAAGACACAGAAGGAGCAAAAAGAGATCGATGCCCTCTGGCGTGACATCAGCAACAAACTCGACAGTCTCAGCTCATGGCACTTCAAGCCCAAGGGTCCTGCTGCACAACTCGACATCCGCGTCGATGCACCCGTTGTACGTCTCGAGGATGCCCGTCCCACCGCTGGCGCAGAGGCAGCAGCTGCCTCGCAACTCGCACCACAAGAGATTTACAAGGCAGGCGAGGCTGCGGAGAAGGGCGAGGCCGAACTTGCCACTCGCGGCGGCTTGGTCATCAACCGCGAGGAGATGAGCAGAGAAGACCGCAAGCGCCGTCGCAGACGCGAAAAGGAGCGCGAGAAGAAGTCTCTTGCCAACATCGACCCCTCAAAGAAGGAAAGCAAGAAGACAAAGGAGAGAAAGGGTATCATCAGCGACCTCAAGAAGGGTGGTGTCAAGGTTATCGGCAACAAGGGACAAATCACAGATGTCTCTGGTGCCGCTGTCAAGGATACAAAGGCACCTTCTGCTGGTGGTTCTTACAAGTTGTAAGATGCTTGTTTTTATACATGTCTATACTTCCCCCTTCCTTCTTGCATCCTGCTCAATACCACATTTTTCCTTTCTCTTCAGAATCAGTGTATCGCTTTAGCCATGTCAATGATTCTCATCCGTGTATTGCACCACCATCGAAGAGTACGATACACGCTTGCTAAAAGCCGATTCTTCCTTATCGAGAGACATATTAATGGTTGTCATAATCACTGCAAGAAGGTCTTGGATGCGACAGAGAGAGAGAGCTATGGTCTTCGTAGAGAGCTTATCCCAACAACACGCGACGACATACGCGCAGACGCTAAACTCAGCTATATTGCTCGGGTGATTGGTGCGGTGCTCGAGATAAGCCATCTTGAGTTCCATCGTGCTAGGAAGTGTGTACGGAATTCTGAAGGTATTTTCACCTAGTGTACGATCTATCGGCGCCTTCGTGATCTGGAAATGTTTCTCGATGTTAGAAAGAGAAGGAGAACTCGAGGAAGGAACGAAGGTCAGAGGTGACACGGTCAAGTTCGAACTCAAGCTCGAAAGCGGTGGAGATTCTGCCGGTGCCGCTACCCGTTCGTTGTTCCTATCTGCCAATCTCAACCTCATACCATAAATAAGCCTTGTTGTTTTCTCGAGATAACATTTATCTCGACTTCTCATCTCAGCAACTGTATAACTCATGATAGCGAGTAACTTGATGATCAACATGAGCTCTTCGCATATTCTGTCCACCCTGAGCCACGGCGTCGATCCCCAACCACCCAGTAAATTAATTATGGCGGACGAGGTTTGAGAACTTGTCGCGACACGTCTGTTCCTTATATTCCTCCGTGTCTCCTCAAGTTGACCTGTGATCTGGACTACCTTTCGAGTCGTATCATCTCTCGCTGTACAACAAACTGCTCGCTACAATGCCTTCCGCAATAAGTCTTACTCAGTCTCTGAAACGTATGTGTCTGGCTTGATTGAATTAGAACGCAGATGTATACTGACCAGAAACAGGTCCCCGTGACTCCAACGCACCAGAACCGCCTGTAGTCCCCGACAAAAAAAGGTCTCGTGTCGTCAAAAGCAGTACAGCAGACCAACTGCAGACCGCGACTCCACAATTTTTGCTCGATCACGTATTGAAGATTGAGGAGAACCTGTGGGATACAATCAAACAGCTCGAAGCCTCAAAAACTCAAAATTTGGAGCTGCAGGCGTCGTTGCGACATGAAGAAGCTCTCACGGCTCATTTGACATCGGCACTCCATGAGAGCAACGAGGATCTTGCAGCTGCTAAACGCGAGATGGAAGAGAAACTTAGAACGATTGGTGCCGATGATCCAAACCAACCTCCCAAGCCGAACAAGAAGGAGCGCTCGCTCGACTTTTACCAGAAAATGTCGCATGATAACCTGGCTCTTCGCACAAAGCACAACGACACGAGATTCCGGCAAGAGGTCGACAGACTACAGACTTTGATTGAAACTCTGAAGAAGGAACTCAGCACAGAGCGGAGTCTAAAAGAATCACTCGATCTCAGAAATGATCAAGTGGCAGAGTTTGCGACTGAAAAGCAATGGCAACTCGCCAAATTGGAATTCAGACTCGAGAAGCTTGGAGGCATAGATCAGGTTGAGAAAAATGTGGCCGAAAAAGCCCAGGCGGAACTGAACCGAAAAACCGCACTCAACAATGTTTCGAAACTCTCCAAGGAGCTTCGCAATCAAGAACGGGTTCGACGAGAGCTGGAAGCGGATATTGCAGATCTTCGCGCCCAGCTTGCCAGAGATGCTCCTGATGCGTTGACCTTGAGGTTCATGGAAGATTTCGGTCTTCCAATGGTGCCGGGAATGAGATTGATGTGAACGATGTCTCCGTTTTCCATGGCACATCTGCACTTGGACATAAGATGTGATTATCACTCTGCGAAATCACACATCAGACATCGTGGCCTCGCCCTTAATTCTTCTTTCCTCGTTCCTGGTCAGACATGGTACACCGAGTTTAGAACCAGTAGTATTATTCCACCTGTTAACTATCTTCTGTCGTTAACAGGGGCGGCTCACCAACGCTTTGTAATTCCTGCTCGCACAATAATTGTAAATCGTCGTTTTATCGAAAGGATTGCCGCGAATTCACGAGCACACCCACCATGTATCCTGCGAACAAGCTGCGCATCTTGTGAGTCATCCCATCGCTCCGCTTTGCTCCGTACGGCCATCCTACCACTGTGCATATGTACAGGCCAGATGACTTGGTGTGGTGTCAGGAGACGGCTGGAAGTGACAGCTCTCAGCACCAGCGAAGACTGCCAAAAAGAAAGACCTCGAGCGAGAGAATAAACGAGATGGAGCAAGCAAAAGACCCTAGTCTTGCGCTCAACATGAAGATGTCAAAACTGGGGAAAACCAACGAGCAGAGAAGGACCCCGAGAAATCGTAAGGAAACGCATTTGCGAGGATCCAGCCTCAAACCAATTCATCTAACCGTTCTACGTGTGCTACCTACCCAAACGCCTGGTCCTTATGTTCCCAAGTTCTCACAACTGCTGAATATTGCCCTCCCTGATATCATTCAAGTTTTTCGTCAACTTGTCCAATTTGATGGGCTTAGTCAAGAACAGGTCAATGCCAGATACAAACGCCTCTTCTTGGGCTTCAGCAGATCCCAAACCGGTGAGAGCTATGATGGTAGCTGGTGTGATATCTTGACCGCGCTCGAAAGCCCGAATCTGTCGAGTGGCTTCAAACCCATCCATTACAGGCATAGAAATATCCATCAGCACCACCTCGGGCTTGGGCGTTGCGTTATTGGTGTTGCCTAAGGCTGCAGCTTTGTAGGCTTCAAAGGCCTCGAGGCCGTTCGTTGCTGTCAGACGGGCGTGACCATGCTTTTTGGCGTACGCAGTGATCAGGCGGAGGTTTACTGCCTAATAAAGAAGGTAAAGTTAGTACGAGCTTGAAGAAAATGATGTGGTGTCCTGCTTACATTGTCGTCTACGAGCAATAACGTCGGTTTCGATGGATCGATGTTGGCCTCAGCTTTGGATGACTTGACTGGTGTAGTCTTTGTCGTTACTGTCACAGTTGTCTGCTGCTCAAAACCATCCATAGGCGAGTCTTTAGGAAGTGATAGAGGCTTATCGTCGATAGCCTCTTGTTTGGCAATATCCTTGTCTGCAGGTCTCGGTGTCTGCATCTCTGGATCTTCGGATTGCCGTCTTGCTGGGAAAGGATACCCGGGGCCAGGCGAGGGTTGTGACGAATTGCCCTGTGGTGTGGTCGAATTTTCTGACCAAGAATCAACACTAGGCGTATTGCTCAGACATCTTCTGATGGCAGCAGCAATTTTCTGTGGACCACAAGGCTGTGCTATATACTCGACATGGCCGTGTATGAGCTGATTAAGGGCAGACAATTTCATCTCGCGACGTGATCGGCAGTTTCGACAAACAACCAGAAGAGGCTTCGTTCGCAAGGCACGTATCGTGTCAGCCCCTGCGCTCGGTGTTCTAACCAATGATGGTTGAAGAAGCCGCAGAAGTTCAGGCACCTCTTCCTCAGTTATCATAGCCAGATCAAAAGATTTCGGAGAAGACCAACTAGACGGCGATACCATGACGTTGAGTTGTCGACATGTTTTCCGGAGGATTTCGATTTGAAAGTCGCGACCAGCCATGATCGTTTTCTCTCGGTAAGGCTCAGTTGGTGCGAACCCTAGACAGTGCATGGAGATCATCGATGGCCCAGATGATAGCGTGCGATTATGGATGCGCTGAGCATCGCCACTTCCTCTGACATCGAGAGGCATCGTGACGGAGACGGTCGTGCCAACATCCTTCTTGCTTTGCACATCGATGTGTCCACCAAGATTCTTGACGATCTTAGCAACCATAGACATGCCTAAACCAGTTCCCTCTGATAGATCGTCTTCCTGCGCGAATGCACGGAAGAGCTGGCTAGTCAAAAACTCTTTGCTAATTCCCCTACCGCTGTCGGTTATGGTCAATCGCACGCGTGAGCGCTTCTGTCTTTCAGTCGGCGGCATCAACTTCAGAGATGCGACGATGTATCCTCGCTCTGTGTACTTGAGTGCGTTGTTGATGAGATTGATGCACAACCTCTTCCAAGCACCGACCGCAATATTACAGCTCAAAGACAAAGCGCTAGGGTCAATATCCGTAATGACAGTAACCTTGCGTTGATCAAGTGTTTGAGTGTCCTTGGAGCAACAGAATGAGTAGACGGCGGTATCGATGATCTCCTCCGTCAGATCATCAAGCAGTACGTTTGTCTTCTCCACCACCATTCCACCAAGCGTTTCGGTCTTGCTCAAGCCGCCCGTACGGTTGCGATTTCTCTGATCAATCCCAGTCTGCAGCTGTTTTCGGTTGTGCTTGGAGACAGAGTTGACTTTCGAAAAATCGAGAAGATGATCCACAACATCCAGCAATGTTTGACCGCAGACTTGGATTTGTGAAATCATCTCGGAGGTTTCGCTATCGTGGACTTGGTCGTGAACAAATTCGGCCGTTCCAAGAATACCATGCAACGGACTTCGCAGTTCGTGACTGATGGAGGACATGAAGTCGGACTTGACCTTGTGCGACATTTCCACATCAAGTCTTCCAATCTTGGCGGTGATGACATCGCAGAACGCTTTCAGGTAGCACATTTCTGACTCCACGGAGAACACTCGAATCGGTGAATTCGAGTATACGATACATCCAGCGTCCCATCGATCGCGAGACATGTTCCAGAGACCAAGCAACATCAAACTCCTAGCTTGAGGGAACAAGGCTCCAAGCTTTTTACCTAGCGCAGACCTTGTTGATCTTTTGCGCTTCTGGAATGAGGTGTCTTTGCTATTGCGATTGGGTGTAAATGTCAGCGAAGCGAGCTGGCTATCGGCAAACCCAGAACCGTCCGATGTATGGGTGTCAGAAGTATAATCGCCTTCGGCACCATACAGGAACACTTTGCCGTGCTTGTGGCATCTAAGCAAAGACTGCAGCAACTTTTTGGGTACCTCGGCGTGTGGTGGTGAGAAGTTAGCTGGTACCAGTCCGTAAGACGCTCCGAAAACAGAGCAAGGCTTAGAGACGTCCTCCGAATCTTTCGATCTTTCGAGGGTATCTGTGGCACTTCCAGCCCCGTCCGTGTCGCTCGTAAGAAGGTCCGGCTCGCGACCAGGCTTGGTGACGTCGATCGACTCATCGGCTAGCTCGCCGAAGTTTGACATGGAAGCATCCAAGAACAAGACGCCATCTGCACCGACGGCCGTTCGGATGTAATCAGCAGCTGATTGCATCGCATTGCCCGCAACTTGATCGCGTAGTCTAAGTGGATCCTCCTCTTTCTTAGGGACAAGACCCGTGATTGACTTGCTACTATCTCTGCGCGACAATGGTGGACGGACGTTTTCGCTTATCGTTGGTGACGGGGAATTGTTTTCGGCGACCAGCGAGTTTAGTGTACGACCTGTAGCCAGTAGTGCATTCTCGTCTTCCAGCTTATGCTGTAGTGTCAGTTGTTCGATGACGTGTTCGGAGGATTCGGTCAGCTGCGAATTCGATATCTCGGTCGCATTGGCGATAGCTTCCAAAGTTTTCGCTGTAGTGGCGGCGGGTGGTCTAGCCGGCTCGTCTCTGGTACCTGGTTCATTCTCCATGAACGAGTTGAGGGCTTTCACCATCAAAGTTCCCCTTCGTTGCTCCGCGCGCGCTTTGAGCATCTCCAAATGCTCCATGACCAAGGAGCCCATCTCTTGCAGGAATCGCCCATCTTTCATGCTCAGCCCATCTCGTGGTTTGTCGTCAAGTATGCTATTTTGGTACATTCATTAGCTTCATTTTTCAGGGTGACCAGTCATGTCACTTCACAGTAGTGCTTACCACTAGTTCATGTTAGCAGTCTACCTCAGCGATGCTCAAGATTGTCACTCACGAAAGCTCCAATATTGAGTCCTTTGGCAGTCGTGATAGGTACTCCAGCATAAAACCGAGCGTTGATGCCTCCAACCACGTATGACTCGTCGCAGAATCGGTTATCCTCTCGAAGATCGTTCAGTATGTGTATTTTTGCTGCTGTGTCTTCCTTGGCATTGCTACCACGGTTTACCGGGAGATTGACAGTATGCTCGCAGACGGTTGAACCGCGAGGGATTTTGGTCATGCCTAACCAGAGGCCATCTCCGTTGTCGTGGATGTCATCATCTTCGAAGGACAAGGTCTGAGTGGCTTCACCAAGGATATATGCATGCTGACTGTCGAAACAAAAGATCATTGCCCGCCTGGCTTTCAAGCGAAGGGCGGCAAGTTGACAAAATGCAGTCAGCGCTCTATCTGTGGATGAGGTCGGAACATGCTGTGCAATAGATTCAGGAGAGTTGAGGTCGGTCCATTTGATGTCGGATCCAGCGAGGATTCGCAGCGGCTCATAATAGCTAGAAGGAGTTTAACTTAGTGTCGGGCGGGCCAGTGGGATTTGGGTTCTGTCAAACCTGTAGAACTCATGCTCGCGTTTCCTCTCATAACGTGCTCGGTCTTGGGGGCTCATGGCCTCGACATCAACTGTGGCGGACATGGCTCAACTTCGAGAGGCTACCCCATGAAATCCTCGAGTGATATGTACAAAGAACGATTCAGACCCATAGAAAGAAAGAACCCAGTTGGTTCGCCAAGCTGTCTGTGACCGCAAGCGCATGGCGATGGCTCCTGCATGTCCCAGATTGCGCTTATCAAGCTGTCAATAGATCGGACCCTGAGCGAGCAGGGCAGTGTCTGGCGATTGCCGGAAGGCATCATCTTCAAGTAAAGTACGGTGTACGTACACGATGCACGCAATGAGAGCCGGCAAATCGTTGCTGCCGGATGAGTGGCTAGCAGATTCGACATGCTCCACTACCGTAATGGGCCCCGGATGGGTCATGAAACCCGCGTCAGTATAAGCGACGGGGCCTGAACACCTACAAGTTCCTCATCGGCTACAAATGACGAATACCACAGATTTCATAATCTCGAATCAGACAACAACGATAACAGAATTGGCCGATGTCAGGTCAGCCGAGTTGAACCTGTCAACTCTTGAATCTTGACATCGAAGTTTGTTTGTGGCGGATTTACCCCCGAGTGTTCGGCTGGACTTGCCCTTCCGACTTGTCCCACGTAATGAGGCTCGTGTCAACATCAGGGGGGCCTAACAACGCCCTGTGCCTTGATTTTTTTTCTGCAGGCGTGCAAACTAGCGGCTACAGTTTGCTGGAAACAGAATTCAGAAGTTGGCCCTGCTTGGAGCTGTTCTTGGAAGACCACCACAGTCCACTTGCGGAACGACAAAAAAGATAACGATCAGCGGAGGATTATGTTCCATCAATCGGGAACTGCAGGGCAAATCGTCTACAAGGATAAAACACGGGAATAACGTAGGTTATTCGGGGGTGGAGAATGATCCCATGATAAGCTATAACAAGTAATAGTACTCCGAGTAGGCAAACAAACAACACACGCATGCAAAAAGAATCGAAATTCACAAGTCCCATATGTTCAGATTAACGCCATTCGTAAAGCATACACAGACGGGATGACGGTAGTGGTTGGCCTTACAAGCGGCTCTCCAATCCGTCCCAGTGTCTCTCACCAGGCCAGTGGTCATCAGGCCAAACTTGGCGCATGGCTTCCCAGATATGTCCAACGTGGCAGATCTCTAGGCCTGAAAGCACTTCTTCGGGTAGATCCTTGACGTCTTTCCTGTTGGCCTGTGGCAACAAGACCTTCTTGACACCAGCGCGAAGAGCGCCAATCAGCTTCTCCTTGATGCCGCCAACAGGGAGAACCTTACCACGCAGACTGAACTCGCCAGTCATAGCGAGAGTAGGCGGGACGGGCTTGCCACTGAAGAGACTGACAAGCGCAATTGTGTGGGCTAAGCCTGCACTGGGACCGTCCTTGGGAATGGCTCCGCTAGGACAGTGTACATGGATGCTGCGACTCTTCATGATGTCCTCGCTGGGATCATGTGTCAAAGCCAACTCGAATGCATGAGCTTTCACCCAAGATAGAGCTACCTCGACAGACTCCTTCAGCACGTCACCGAGTTTGCCAGTAAGCTGCACACGTCCAGAGCCAGGCATATCGGCCACTTCGATGAAAAGAATGCTGCCTTGACTGCCAGAACTGTAAGCCACAAGGCCGGTGACAACACCTGGACGTGATGTGGTAGCGGCAATCTCTTCCTCGAAGCGTTCGATGCCCAAAATCTCCTCGAGATCTTCCATTCGCACAGTAGGGCTGTAAGATGAAGCCGAGCTGGAGTCTGACGCTTCCGCGTACGCCACTGCCTTGCTACGACATACTGAGCCTATCTCACGCTCGAGGTTACGTACACCAGCTTCGCGAGTGTAGGAAGTAATGATCTTGTCTAGAACATCCTCATCAATCGCGACCTGATCGTGATCGAGGCCGTTTGTCGTGATTTGTTTAGGGATGAGATGGCGATTAGCGATGTGTCGCTTCTCCACGGTTGTGTAACCAGGCAGCTGGATAGTTTCCATTCTGTCTAGCAATGGCGCTGGTATCGTGTCTAACGAGTTGGCCGTAGCAATAAACAAGACTTTGCTGAGATCAATAGGGATATTGACGTAGTGATCAGTGAACGAGTTGTTCTGTTCGGGGTCCAAGACTTCGAGCATAGCAGCCGATGGATCGCCGTGGTGATTCGATGTGCCAATCTTGTCAATCTCGTCTAGCAAAAAGACGGGGTTCGAGACTCCGACCTTCTTGAGTCCACTGACGACGAGACCGGGCATCGCCGCAACGTAAGTCCGGCGGTGTCCACGGATCTCTGCTTCGTCTCTAACGCCACCGAGGGATATTCTGTGGAACTTGCGGCCAAGTGCAGTCGCGACGGACTTGGCCAAGCTGGTCTTTCCTACACCTGGTGGACCAACAAGAAGTAAGATAGGAGATTTGTCGACCATGCGCTTCCTGTCCAGGATCTTGGCCTCTTCGGGCGTCTGTTCTGGCTCCTTCTTTTGAGATTCCTCTGCATTATCAGACTTCTTCGAAGCGTTGGCTTCTTCGGTGATCTTGTCGATCTGAGACTGTAGATTGGCGTTCACCTGCTGCTTGAGCTTGAGAACAGCCAGGTATTCGAGTAGTCTCTTCTTGATCTTGTCAAGACCATAGTGATCATCGTCGAGCTGCTTGCGTGCTCTTGATAATGTAGCAGGATCTAGCTTGTCTTCAGTGAACTTGGTCCAGGGGATCTCCGCCAGGTTTTCGAGGTATGTTCTGCAGACTTGGTAGTCGGCTTGAGCTGGATTCATCTTAGACAACCTCTTCAACTCACGCTCAGCGACTTTGGCAGCCTCGGGAGACAACTTCGCCTCGTCAAGACGCTTCTTCAACTCGTCAATCTCGTTGGGCTCCTCATCGTCATCGGATTTGCCAATACCGAATGGTGAACCGGGACGACTGCCACCGGCCAAACCAGCTCCATATCTCTTGAGTAGTTGCTGCCGGCGTTGACGAGCTGCTTGCTCCGAGTCCACGTCGCTATCGGGAACAGAAGACTTGATAGACATGATGCGATTGTTGCCCTGGATGCTGGATACATTTCTTTGTAATAGATCAACAGCACGCTCAAGACGCAGTTTGAGTGGTAGAGCAGAAATGATGCGTAGCTTGTCCTCTTGAGAACAGTCAATGATGTTGGTCATGAAGTCGGCCAAAAGACCGGCCTCTTGTAAGTCCTTCCTCACGATGAAGAGTTCGAGGCGGCGAGCCAGGAGTGGTGATAGAGAGGTGGGCGGGGCTCGCGGCAGGAGGGAGGATAGTCTGATAAGAGCAAGCAACTCGCGCGAGAGCTGCTTCAACTCAGCAAACAGAGCCTGTATCTCCTTGTCTGCTTCGTTCACCACCTCGTCTGTATGAATTGTGACATCGGCTTCGAAGTATGGACGATCCTTGACGAAGCTGTTGACCTGGAAGCGGCTCACGCCCTCAACCACGAGATTGAGCTCGCCTCGCCTCTTTCCCTGAACACCTGAGACCTTTGCAAGAGTGCCGACCGAGAACAGTTGATCTCTCGTAGCCTCAGCAGGGTTGATGCCGGCAATAGGCCGTCGATTGTTGTCTTTGCCATCGTCGAGCAGCTTCTGACCGTCAGGGCTGAGATAGGGCGAGTTCACAGGAAGACATCCAACACTGATGGCAGTATGGTCGGGATTAGGGGTGGCGGCCTTGCTGTAGATGTTTGCGAGAATGGCGGCGATATCGCCACGACCCTGGAGTGGAATGCGGAGAGTCAAGCCTGGCAGAAGGACGGATCCCTCAGCCAGAGGGATTATCGGGAGAGTGGTATTCTTGAGAGAAGCCATGATTGCGATCCAGCAAGATGACCTGGTGTGACAGTGGGTGTCTTACTTGTATTTATGAAGATTGCGCGATAGGTAATCAAAGGTGAATGGGTTGATAAGGTGTTTAGAGTCGCACATGTCATGGAATCGTTAATGCGGAGAGAACGGGCCGAGGTCTTGTATTAACGCCGATCAAGGGACTAACGCCATCTTGGCGCGCGATTCATGAAACTGTGAAACCATCGACTTTTTGTTGCTGACGCTCGAGACTGTTTGCCTCTTGTAATCCCTCTCGACACTCATACTACAATGCTGTTGAGTAGTTGTGTACGCCGCTCGCTCGGCAGTCGTAGTCTGCGATCATTCATCACTCCGACTGCCGCCTCCGCCATTCGCCCAGCCGCATTGACCTTCCGTCCGATTTCCTTGTCCGCAAAGCTCGCCCAAGAACAGCAAGAGAAGCCCGAGAAGCCCGAGAACGATGAAACCGAAGCACTCGCACAATCATCGGAGGTTTCCGAGGACACTGTAATCTCACCACCAACAGAGCAAGATTCCGTGCCTTGGTACCTGCAAGTCGACACTCCCACGCCACAGCAAGAGCACCCCTTCGCCGAACGCCAGCGCCTTCCCGAATTGCCTGAATCTCCGCCTGCGCTTCTTCAACCTGTACTCGAACATGTATCAGTCGAACTTGGTCTGGACCATCTCTCACTCATCGACCTGCGCGAACTCGATCCTCCTCCTGCTCTCGGTGCCAACCTCATCATGATCATTGGAACTGCTCGTTCGGAAAAGCATTTGCATGTTTCGGCTGATCGTTTGTGCCGCTGGCTGCGTACTGAACATCGCTTGAGCCCCTACGCCGATGGTCTGCTCGGTCGCAATGAACTCAAGCTCAAGTTGAGGCGCAAGGCTAAGAGAACTCGTCTTCTGAGTGCTGTTGGCGCAAAAGAGACTGCGAGTCAAGACATCGATGACGGCATCAGAACCGGCTGGGTCTGTGTCAATGTTGGTAGAGTTGAAGGTGGTGAGCTCAAACAGGTCGAACAGTCGGACGATATTGTCGGTTTCGGCAGCCAGTCTTCCGGTTCCAGAATCGTTGTACAGATGATGACCGAGGAGAAGAGAGGCCAGATCGATCTTGAGACATTATGGGGCGGTATCCTCAGGAGATCAATCAAGGGCCAGACTGACAAAACCCAAGATGTCGACGATGCAGAAAAGCGCGTGCGCAGCGGCATGCTGCTTGAGGAATCCGCAGAAGCTCCTGGCTCCTACCGCTATCGTCCCAATGTTGCCGAACATCCCAGTGGACAACAGGCCCGAGCATTCCACTCTTCTGCCAGATCATCAATACAACAAGGTGCGCAAGTCTCAACAACTTCTCAACTCAATCCCCCGTCTGACAGAATTTCTCAAAGTGCCGTCATCCTGAATCACATGGTCGATCACTTCAAAGTCATGAGCGCGAACGACTCCCATACCGCACTTGGCTGTGACAGCAAGGATCAGGAATCGACTCCTTTCCTTCGAGCCTTCTATAGTGCAATGCCCAGGTTCCCAGAAACGACGCATTGGCACTCGAACATTGCACTTCGCTGTCAAGCTGTGCGCTCAGGTCATGCCGGCTATTCCTCTACATGTCTCATTGAAGACTTGGAGAGCATGCGTCTTGCCTGTCTCGTACCAGAGGAGCGAACTTACCTAGCCGTGCTTGAGGCTATCATGCTGCCTCATGTGGGTGACATAACTACTGCCGAAAGGCAGATCTCTCGAACAACTTTTCGCCGAGCCTTGGCTGTTTTGGATCGCATGTTCGAAGATGGCTACGACCCAGTAAGCAACTCGGTCTGTCAGATTCTATATCGTGCAACCTTCACCAAACCTGCAGTCATCGAAGACTATACTACAACTACAATGAGTCAATCTACACCAACAGATCAACAATCATATACGCTGAATCAACTCCTCTCTGCTCTCTCTGTTTATGCTCTTCGCACTGCTGCCCAGACTTCTGCTTGGTCTGAGTTTTGGGAAATGTGGCGCTCATATCCCCGCCGTATGTTGCCACGATCAAGTGACATGTATGTGACCATGTTCGACAAGGTTGCCGAGAAGAACAGTCAAAGGGATGCTATGGATGCTTTGCGACAATGTGTTCCCGAGATGTTGCGCGAACGACCTGCTGTTAAGCTTGGTGGTCAGGTAGCGGATTCTGTTATGCGTTGTCTCCAAGTCGCTGAACCTCGAGCTGAAAAGTTGGCTAGAGAAGGTAACAGGGGTGAATGGGCATCTCTCTGGCTGAGATGTGCTAAAGCTTTGGAAGTGGCATGAGCTTGAGGAAGATAATTTTGTGTTCACGAGTAACGATCCCACGACATGTCTTTTCCAGCATTATATCCACCTTGTATTGATACATCTCACCTCTTTCTCGTCCACTGCTTGTTGTAGGTACTACTCGTACTTATCACATCCCGATCAATCGAGCCGAGACCGAGTTCGGCGACCGACGGCCGAGTTTCAATCCTGGAGATGTGGAGAAATCGATTCTTCCCCACCACCAGTCCAGGGTCCCACTTTGCCGTGACGAACCTATGTGTAGCTCTAGCTTTATACCGCGCGGACATGCCGTCGTCTATAACCGATTGCGTCCGTGTGTACGGTTATGAGGCGCGGCTTGTAGATTTCCAGAAAGGTACTAAAGAGATTGAGTGGCCCGTTGATTGAAAGTTCCTCCTTCTTCCTCTACACAATTCACATCTTCATTATACACAAGCAAGAAAGTACTGCGACATTTTTTCTTGTGAGATTGTTGTATAGCTGTCATACCTTGATCCGAGATTAGAACTGAGGAACTCAAAACATCCAAAATGTCGAAGAACGTCAAGGACATGCACATCTGCATCGCCGGCTCAGGTAGGCCAACTCCAAAGAGGTCACAAGAACAACCCCACTAACAACCTCACTCAGGCATGGGCGGTCTCGCATGCGCCCTCTCCCTTGCCCGTCAAGGCTTCACAAAAATCTCCGTCTACGAATACGCATCCTCCCTCGGTTTCGTCGGCGCCGGCATCCAACTTGCCCCCAACATGGCACGCATCCTCGACCGTCTAAACGTGTGGAAACCCATCCAAGCCGAAGCCGTCGACCTCAAAGACACGTCCATCCGTCAAGGCTCCTCCGACGCCGAACTCGCAAACGTGCAACTCCAATACGTCCGAGAAACCTACGGATACCCCCACATGGTTGGCCATCGCTCCAATCTGGCTGGAGAAATGTACAATGGCTGTAAAGACGAGTCTGCAAACATCACTTTCCATTTCTCGCATTCGGTGCAAAAGGTGCATTCTTGGAGTCCTGGGGTCAGGTTTGAAGTCAAGCCTAGAGATGGAGAGGCGTTTGATGTCGAATGCGATGTCCTCCTCGCCGCCGACGGTGTGAAATCAAACATCAGAGATCAAATGCTCGCACTCCTCAACATCGACGCCAAAGTCGTGGATTCGGGCCAAGCAGCTTACAGAATCATGTTGGACAGAAAAGACATGGAAAACGATCCCGAATTGTTGGAACTGATTGATGGTGAAAGAGCTACTCGTTGGATCGGCGAGAGGAGACATATCATCGCATACCCGGTTTCCAACAACACGATTTACAATCTGAGTACTGCACAGCCGGATACCAATTTCGCTGCTGCGCCTTCGGCTACGTATACGACCAAGGGTAGTAAGAAGGAGATGTTGGAGACTTATGCGGATTTCTGTCCCAAGGTGCAGAAGATGCTGAACATGGTGCCTGAGGGCGAGGTATGCGAGTGGAAGTTGCGAGTACACGCGCCTCTGCCTACATGGGTGCATGGCAGTATGGCATTGGTTGGTGATGCTTGTCATCCCACCTTGCCTCATCTGGCCCAAGGCGCAGCTCAGGCCATCGAAGACGGAGCTGTGCTGGGCGTTGTGTTGAGCAAGGTTCCTGATACCAGTGCTGAGAGCATCAACAAGGCACTCAAGGTGTACCAGGAGTTGAGGAAGAGTAGAGCAGAGGGACTGGTTGCGCTGGCAGCGGCGAATGGAAGGGAGATGCACTTGGGAGATGGAGCTGCCAAGGAAGCGCGAGATGCTGCTTTCAAGGCCATCAGGGAAGGCAGAGAGGGAGCTAAGGTCCCTGACAGATGGGCGGATGCTGATGTGCAGAAGATGATTTATGGTCACGATTGCTGGAAGGACGCCGAAGAGCAGTTCGAGACATTGTTTGCTGCTGCTGCTTGAGCTGGATGGTAGATGATCATGTTATGTACATTCACGAGTGCAACGGTCATTAGCGTTCTCCATGTTCATCTCAAGGAATGTTCGCGATTCGTGAGCGATGGAAGCAACATAGAAAAGTGGTGCGTCAAAGAAATCTGGATTTGAAGGAAGTACTTGTAAAGTGTGTCTCCAATACGGCCTTCCGTATGCAGTCTTGATATTGTCGTGTGTTTTGTCTTTGTTTTCATTCCAGGTCGTAGAGGAGGGCGTCAGAGGAGTGTGAAGAAGGTCGAACGGTTCAGGCACCGCCCTCGCGCTTAGCATACTCGTCCTCCATAGCCTCGCGGTACTTCTTGTCGGCGTCAGACTCCTCGGTCACATCTTCGACCTCGATGTCTTGGAGACGACGCTGGTTGTTGTCGGAGCCCGAGGGAAGGCCCAACTGTTCGCGGCCTTGGCTGTCGTAGTGTCTGGTTTCTTCGATCGAAGGACCACCGACATTCTGTGAGGTGGTACGGACGGTGGTTCCATCCGGGTTTGTGTGGGATTGTGTCATACGGGTGGTGCCTGTCGTCTGGCCGTTGTTGTTGGTGCTGCTGGAGCTGAAAGAGTACGAGCTGGAGGTAAAGGAGCTAGAGTGGCTGGACATGGCTGCGGTGTTTCTGTGTTGCTGTGTATAGAGTTGAGGACTTTGCGTTGATTCAAGGTTGTGTGAAGATGATGACGGAGAAGCAAAGAAGGTCGAACAAAGTCGAAGAGCAAGAACCGGAGAGCGGACCCCTTCCGGACCCCTTGCGTCAGCCAAGGCGTGCATCGATCTTATCGCGGATAGATCCTTCCTCGACAACCGTGCTTTCGTTCTCGAATTGAAGCCTCTCATGTTCGAAACACTTGAAGCCTGTCCCGATCATCATCGGCCCAACATGGGGCGTTTTCACCCCGTCTACCTCGGCCGCTCGGATGGTATGCTGGAGACAGCTACCAAGCATGGCGCGAGAATCACCAAGGAACCGAACAAACCCACTCCGAAACAGCTCGACGACAAGCCCAAGGCCGATGGCGTCAAGGACTACTACCGCGAAGTCGCCATCGACGAGTCCAAGCACATGGACTGGAGAAGAAAGCTTGCTGCCATGCTCGCGCGCGACATTGGCCTAGATCAGGGTGCGTTGGTGCAATGCGACAAGGTCTTTCGACAGTACTGACAGGCTCGACCAGAGAAGGGTTACATCCTCGCACACTTCCCCGAGAACTACCGACTGTTCGAGCACGTCAAGACGGCAAAGAAAGGAGAAGGAGAGCCAAAAACAAAGACACATGCAGGTGGTGGCAACGAACGTCAAGATGCCTACCTCTACGGCCATCCCCTCGGTCGCAAGAAGCGCTTTAGGAGTCCTGGCGACTTCTACCCGCATCTCCTATGGCTAGCAACCGACACTGAGGGCGACTCGGACAATTGTACCTGCAAGATTTGCTGCCCTGAAGAGCTCGATGCTTCCGTCAAGGAGAGAGACCCGAATACCCAGCCCGCCCTTGCTCGTCGCCCGAGTACGCAAACCTCGCAAAGCAGGCCGTCGAACACACCTACACCCGCTCCGAGCACTTCAGCTCCTGCTACTCTTCCCGCTCGCCTTGCTGCTTCCGCTCAGCAGCCTGCCTCACCAGCTCCTGCCGCTCAATCCGCTGCCCGCACACCTGCGAAGCCCATGGACTATGACATTGATCGCCAGTACGGAATCTTCCTCTTCCGTCAGGGCGAAATGGTCTGGTTTGATCGAATGGGCGCATGGGGCCTGGGTGTCATCACCGAAAGGTGGAAGGTTGGCAACAACTCCAATTACAGAGTCCAGCCTCTCTCATACCCCGACCACTACACACAATCGGTTGTCATCACAAAAGACGTCGACCTCCGTCCCTGGTTGGCATGGACCGTCCCTCCCTATACTCATGAAAGACTCAACACAATCTCGCACGCGCTGCATTACAATACCTTCGATTTTGAAAGCATGGCTCAAGGAAAGTTCGGTCAGGGCACTACCGAGATCGATGCTAGTATCATGGCCGCGAAGGCCATAGACGCCGCCTACACTCCCTTCGGCCCCGAGTCTCGTCAAGACCTTCCGTCGTACACCGAGATTCGCTGGAGTGGCATGTATCTAGGAGCTGAGAAGATATGGTTGAACGAGCCAGTTCGTCTTGTCGCACCTCCCGGTCAAGCTGCCACTCGGGTTCTCGTCGTGAGAGCAATTGTTGAACGCTCTCACAAGGCTACACCACAAACACCGCAACCATACTCTTCAGTTTCCATTATTGGAGATGTCTTTGTTATGCTGCCTCACGAACCTACCACCATGAGCCAGGCTCCTAACGGCATAGTCGCTGGCTCTGACACAGCGAACGTCCCATCCCGCATGCTAGAAGATATACGTCGCCGCAACATCTTCACCATCCAAGCCAGAGGAAGCGCTCACGTCTGGAGACTCACAGAACGGAACAAGGTAGTTGACATGAAGGACATCCGAGGCAGATGGTATGAATCCACCCTCTTCCTTCCCATTCTTCTACCGGGCCAAGCAGCCGAATACGACCAAAAGGCCAGAGAAGGCGTGATCAAAGAAGTCTTAGGCATGATGAACGGTCACGGTGACTGCAACACGAAAGACGGCACACGTCTGATCCCAGACACACGGGCGTCAAAACGCGAACAGGCGTTTGGAAAAGCCGTGCCGCAACGCACAGTCATTGTCGAAGGTGTCAAGCAGCCACAGCAACAACAGATGCCGCCACAGCAGCAGCAACCGTCACGCATGGTCACCAACAATGGTGCTGTGGGATCAGGCTATCAGTCTCATGGCGGTCATCAAAGTCATGCGAGTGTTGCAGCTGCAAGCAACACCGCTTCTGCTTCTGCCCCTCCTCAGCAGATGTCAGAGAACCCATCAACCGGGTTCGAAGAGTTTATGGACTTGGACGGTCTCGGTGGTGGCGACATTATGGGTGGTTTTGACCAATCCTATGTTTGATCTTCCAAGTATTGCATGTTTCTACCCGATGGCGTTTTTCTTTTGTCCCTTGCTGCTAGGGGTGTGAAATGGGCGCATGGCTTGCTTCTTCTTTCATGGCTTCGTTCAAACATCATGTACTTTTTGTCTGATATCTTGATATTGGCGTTTCTGTGATAGCATTGCTTTCTTTGGCATGCACGGGAGCGGTGTAGGTGGTTTGTAGTTTTCGCATTTTCTTCTTTCAGCCGCTACAGTTTGTGGTTCATGGCGTTTTGACCAATCGAGATGGCTTTTCCCATGGCTTTCGCTTGACCGGTTTCTACTGTTTCTCTCTCATTGACCGGTCATTGAATGTACGTAGCTGGCTGTTCTAATTGTCGCAAAAGATACCAACATCGAGAATGCAGGTAACCTTTTTTCTGCTCGGCCGCTGCACCAGTGCCTTTTTCATGATCTGAGCATCATTGACACAATGTTTCTTGCAGATCATACTTGAAGCACAGTAGGTATTCCGTCTCCAACTTCTCAATTTCAAGCCACATTTTTTGCGGCTCACGAGACAAAACCTACGGACGTGGCTTTTTTCTCTTTCGATGCACAACATTCGATATCCTGGTTCTGGATCTTGACTCTGTACTTGCAGGTCAGGTTCTTTTGTGGCTTTTTTTTTTTTTTTTCTTAGTGTCTTTCGTCTACGTGTGTCTGATTGGTATTTTTGTGCAGTAGTGGTGGAAAAAGGTTGATATAGTGCTTGCCATGTCACCATGTCAAGGATAGGGGAAAGGAAAGTTACTATTGGATACTTGGGTTTGCTATACGATGTACGCTTTTTGTACGCGATGGGTTGCATAAAACGGCGCGTCTATATGATAATGTACTGTACTGGTCTTTATACGCTGGTGTAGAAGATGAATCATCAAATGGGTTGACGACCTCGGTCACTGTATGGATGTTTATTGGGTATGTTTATCTTTCGGTTCAAGCTTCCTCTTCCTTCTTATTGGTGTAGATACGCACCCACTATTGGATGGCGTATTCTGTTAGAGTAGGTGATGAGCGAGAAGGGCAAGAGAGAAGCAGGGCTTCATGGTACGGAGACGGATACTTGCAGTTCCGTGTGCATGAAGGCTTCGGAACAAGATGGTTCCGAGAATTCGATGCCCTTGTTTGTTTCTTTCCCTGGTGAATATCTTCCTATCTTTGCTTGAGTGGTGTTTCGCGGAATGTCGAATACGACCAAGTGTTGCACAAGGGCATCTCTGGCTGCATAACCAACTCAGTATCTGCGTATCCATGTACCTTTGGTATGTGTATGTTTTCGACCGAGGTTCAGCTGTCTGCAATACTAGTCTTTACGATCGCCATAACTCATGTCTAGAAATCCCATGTTGTTTTAGCTTCGAGCCTCAAAGCTCCGAAAAACCACGAGAGTTGCGGGAGTGGGTGTGAAACGGTCGTACCTACACATCCGCCAACCGGTCTTCGGTAAGCAAGCGAGAAGAAAGTGTGTGCTGCGCGCCGCGAACAGAGTTTAGCCCTGCCTTTGACCTCTGCTGGCGTGGTTGTTCGGTGTCTTTTGGTCTTCACATCTTTTCTCCAATCGCTTGGAACTCGGGTAGGGGTCGCGCCGTCCGCTTCGTGGGGGTGGATGAAGACAGGGTTTTGGCGGAAGGATTAACCGGATGGCGGCCGTGAGCCGGGGCGACGGTGTGCTCCATCACGCTGGTCTGCTGCAGGACGGGAGATGCAGGTATCACCAGAGAGTCCATCAGCCAACGCATAGCAAAGCTTGGCTTTCTCGGGCGTCTCTACTCATGCAACTCGGAGTGTGGTGAGAAAGACAGTCGGAAGGCTTCCCAAGCGAGGCAGTCATGATGATTCCCGAACCCATTCTGACTCGCACATCCCACTCTTTTCTGTCCCCGTCGTTCTTCACCCATCTCCCAGTCTTCTGGCCCACGGAAAGAAACCAGTCCCTGGTGCGTGGGATTCTCTGACAGTGTCGAGCAGCAGGCGATCAGGCAACTCACTTGACACACTCGTATCCTTCTTTGCACCTTCCCGCTGCCAATCAGCCGCACTATCATCTGTCGTGCTTCTCGTTTCGTTTGCTCCAAACAACATCGGGCCCCCACCCCTTTTGCTCATCTGTATAAGGAAGGGCTCCACGCGGCGGTGCACGCGTTTTCCCTCTTATCTACGGGTGATACCCTACCCTGCCTACGCGAGGACCAGAGACGAACAGCAGCAAGAGAAAAGACCGGCGCCTGCGAGAAAGAAACGAGCACAGACTAGGCTGCTTTTCCCAGCCTGACCTTGTGATTTCGCGCCGTCCCTGTCCAACCGCTTGCTCCGCTTTTTTTCAATTTAGGGTCCAGAAAGGTGACCTGGCTGCTTGCTGCACTTGATTGTTGTCTGGCCCCCCGAACACTTTCCCTGTTAGCGAAATAATCTTTGCAGTCTCCTGGCAGTCTTTCTTTTCTTCTTGTTTTAAATCTCCAGCGATGGCCGCCTTTTTCGCGAATTGAGATGCCTGGTTCTTGGCATTCATCCCCTTCGAAGCAATCTCACCCGGTCGCACTCCTCATCCACCCGGACTCTTGTTACTTGGTACCCATAGAGTACCTTGCTTATTGTCGTCCTGGAAAGGTTTTATAACCATTCGTTTCCAGCTTTTATTCATCTGCTTGGGCTCCGACTGTCTGGGTTCGCGCTAGATTTGAATGACCACCTGTTGCCCATTACTCTTTTAGGCCACCCTGTCTTTCGGGAACGCATCGTCGTTGGACCGATTTGCATCTGACTGGATTCTTGGTTTGACTTTGCCCTTGGAACACATTTTGGATCGCTGTCGCCATCGACAAGCTTACTTTGTTCGACCCCATCGTCGCCGTCTGACAGGAGTTTAATTGGACTACCCCAGAAATACCAACCCGCCAGCCTGTCCGGTATGCCACCATCCCCGCCTCTAGACTCGGCCTTCGAGCACGGTCGTCGAGGCCAGATTCGCAAATATTTGCAGAGATTCACCACTACAATCCGGAGAGGAAGCAAGGATGCCGACGTAGATGACAGCATTCCACAATCAAGTGCCGAGACACCTGATGCTCAAGAACATTCCCATGATGATACATTGTTCATGAACACAATCGACGCCGAGGAACCACAAACGACGAATGATGTCCCTGAAGAGCAATCTCGACCTACCCCACCAGCCACAGCTGAAACATTCCACATCGACCGGGCTTCCGTGTATCAGGAGAGGGCACAAAAGTTGCGTGATCGATTCGGGGTGAATATCGCTGGTGGTGACCGCTCTAGTTTCCCTGCCACTGCTCGGCGTGTTCAGAAGCCTGCAAGGATGCGTGTTCACCGTAGCTGTCATGAGTGTGGTGTCGACTTTGGTCATGGTATTCATTGTCGGGCTTGCCATCACCGGCTGTGTGGAGACTGTCCCCGTACCGCTGGTAGAGGGATCAAAGAAGCCATGGCTCAAGCGAGGGATTATCCGTTCCACGTTGTCTCTGAAGAGTCTTCTACGGATCTGGACTCCCCCATGGCAGAAGCACCGGCAGATGTCTCAGAACAGTTCAACAGCTTCAGCAATGTGTCGATTTCAGGCAAACAGACTTCGCGGCCTTCGACTTCACTGGATCCTATTAAGGTTGATGATAGCTTCTTGCCAACACTCGAAGTTGATGATGATATTCCCGAGTTTACTCCCATTCGTATCTCCCACAGCTTTCGTCATGGCAAAGACAGAAAGAGTGGCTCTATTTCTCCTCGCTCATCCCGTCATGGTAAGACTTCCGCTCTACAACATCAGACGTCTGATCTAATCATTTTTACAGTACCCTATTCCATCTCCACAATCAGAGATCCCATCTTAAAAGCACCTGCCGGCGTCCAACGCGTCTACCGCAAACCTCGCCAGCGCGTCCGCTACACGTGCCACGAATGCACAACACCCTTTACCAGCCACAGCAGAACATGCGGCAAATGTGCTCACGAGCGCTGTCATGATTGTCGCGATCAACCGTATGTCATACATCCCACCAGTCACCCATCTTCATGCGTACTAACAGCATTAATGTAGATCACAAAAATCGCACAAATCACAAGCAGACCCAAGGTTGATCGAAGCCGTCAATCAACGTCTCGCCGAAGTCGGAAAGTAATGTCTGCCTTTCTCGTCGTCTTTTTCTTGCAAAGCATAGCGGCGGGACCGTCTGCATATGGATGATTGTTATGAATTTGCACTCTTGTTTCGTTTTGTCTTTCTTAATATTGGAAGGGGAGATGTTCGTTGTTTTGTGGTGGATTTTTGTTACGTTGTTGCTGTTATACAAGCATGGAGGATACCCTGTCTTTTGTTATGAAATGGATTTTTTTCTTCTTTTTGCTTTCACTTTTTGGGTGCTCTTGGTTAACAGTTTCGGTATGTGATTTATGTGCATTTTTCTAGACGTCTGACGAGAAGAGGTAGGGAGTTTGTGGGAAGGTATGACAACATTTTTCGAATCGCTGTCTTGTCTCGTAGTGCTTTCCTCAGAACACATTCTTGTAAGTCGTCCTTCACTTGTTACGACTTCGCCTCGCAGTAGTAGTACACTCACTCACTTCCGTTGACAGCATTCTCACTACAAGTGAACCACCGCGACTGTCTCTCACTCCAAATCGTCAAGACTGCGCACTCCTTTCTTTTCAGACTTAGCATCTCGTCTACCTTCTCTTCTTTCCACGAACTTTTCGCAATCATCACCAAGTTCAATCAACCATCATGACTACTCCACCAGACAAATCACACATCGGTGACTCAGCAGGTAAAGCTGTCTCGACGCCTAACAGACTGCCATCCAAGTACGTCTACCTGTCTAGTTTTCGTTGCAATAATCTGACCACATCAATCTCCCAGGAAACATTACAAGAACACGGTTGTCTTGTCTGTCGGCCCCAGCAAGCAAGAATTCACTGTGCACAAGGAGTTGCTCTGTTTCTACTCAGACTTCTTTCGCGCCGCCTTCAACGGATCTTTCAAGGAAGCTACTGAAGGTCGCATCGAGCTGCCTGACGCCCAGGTGGATGTGTTTGAGAGCTTCCAAGTCTGGCTCTACTCACGCTCGCTTCTCAACACTGAAGATCTTCAAGATCAGCCGGACTACCAAAAGTACCCCAGCTTCAGTGCACTCGCTAGGCTCTGGGTCTTTGGCGACAAGTACCAGATACCTCTTCTCCAAAACTGTGTTATCGACTCAATACTGGAGAAGCAAAAGCAGTCAAACCGGTTCAACACTTGCATCGTACGAATCGCTTACCAGGATACCATACAAGAATCTCCGCTCCGCAGACTTGCGATAGATATCTCAGTGTTCAGGATGGTTCACGAGAAAGCCGCTTGTTCCATCTTAAATAAGGACTTGCTGCATAATTGGAGTAAAGACTCTCTTGTCGACTTTGCTCGCGGTATCAGTAAAGCCTGGTATCTTGGGCACCCACCCCGAAACCTTCCTGAGCAAGGAAAGTGCCATTACCATGTTCACGCAGAGGGCGAGCATTGTTGATTCATCGGTATGTTCTGCTATCTGAATGAAATCGACAACCATACTCACAGGCCTAGACACAAACATGCGGAGCCAATGCAGAGCAATGAGGAGGCTGAAAACAAGACATGAAATTAAGGGCTTGAGGATAAACGGACAATTCACAGGACAGGATTTTTCGTCAGCATAGAGAAAGGAGGACTTTGGGGCGAGATGGAAGTGAGAATGGTCACCACTATGAAGACGGTTACGCATAACGAATTGATACCGCTCTCTCGAGATTCTTTTATGCAACTCAAATATGTTTACCTTGACTGTTCTTCGGAAACTGAATCTCAGATCGACGCCCACCTATCATCACTCACTGGAAATACTCACGACAGCGCACCTTCCATTTTTCACGTCAACCAAGCCGCGCTTTCTAGACTTGGCTCACACCGATCTCTCTTTCCTGCATTGCATCCACTTTCCCACCACAACAATCTTTTCTGTCTTCGCGCATCTCATCACCTGTCACCATCACCCATCACGAGCATCAGATTTTCACTGATGGGCACAACTTACTCTCCCTGATTTGTTCTTCCATCGAAATCGCGCCTCACTGAACACGGCTTGCTCTGCGCTGAATCACGTCTCTCTCTCACTTCCGAGACAAAGTCTGCGCAACACTTTCACACGCCGGCGCCTTGGACTCTGCATCTCTGCTCGAATATCGACTTTGCGCCTTCTCATCTTACATTGCATCACTTCGAAACCATCGCCATCTTCGAAGCCGGATTACTACGTTTCTCGCCTCATCACCGATTGTTTCACTTCTCTTCGACTCGACTGAGCCATCATGTCGACACCTCCGACTAAGCCCTCGTCCAGCTCAACCACTCCTAGTACGAAGACTCCAAGTGCAGTCACTAAGGCTGTGTCTGTCACATCCAAGGCACCTCCCAAGTAGGTTTGTGATAGCATTTATAATTTACTGAGTCTAACCCAGCGGCAGCAACTGTTTCCGCGGTATCGTGGTTGTCGAAGTCGGTCCTGAGAAACAAGCTTTCTCGATTCACAAAGATCTCCTGTGCTTCTACTCCGACTACTTCCGCGGCGCATTCGACAGCAGTTTCAAAGAGGCAGCTGAGGGCAAGTTGTCACTTCCTACCGAAGACCCTGCTATTTTCGATATCTTCAACGGCTTCATCTACACTCGCCAGCTCCGCGACGCAACTGATGTCAAGGGACCCAATCTTTCCTTCACTACTCTTGTTGCTTTATGGATATTTGGAGACAAGTACATCGTTCCTGCACTCCAGAATAAGGCTATCGACGCGTTCAAAGAGAGATCTGACAAGCTCAGAAGCATACCGTGGCAGCTTCACCTTCGAACCATCTACGACAACACCCTACACGGCTCCCCACTGCGAAGAATCATCACAGATATGATGGCCTATGAGATAACCGTATCCGAGAAGCCGCGTGACAAGATAATGGAGGTGTACCCGCTAGAAGCTCTGGTTGATCTTGCTTTCACCCTTTCCGATAAGTCCAAAGAGGATGTTGGCCACTTTCGATTACCAGCGGCTAAGAAGGCCAAGTGCTACTATCATGTCCACAACGAAGGAGAGAGCTGTCCATGAGCTGGCTTAGAAATTACTCCAGCGAGACACGAGTAGTTCTCCAACAAGGATTGAACCGCCGTATTGGACTGCACAACGCAAATTGACAATTGGAAACGTGTCCGAGGGTTTTCAAACAATCATGCTCTTGTAGTATGACTCTCTGTCTCAAAAGCTCAAACCCACTAGTGTTCTTGAGATTCTTTGCCAAACCGTAGTGTAAAGAGCCCCCAAAAAATATCATGTTTTGTCACTCTGGATTCTTTGGATGAGTATATCAGCAGCCGTTACGATTACCACACGAGACCATATCCTATGATTGAGCGTAACACATCATAACGTACCAAGCCTGCTTGTTGGTACAACTCAAATGTCTCTTGTCTACTCTCTATCTCTTTAGTACGTAAACAGGGATACAGATTCACGTTCAGAATTGACCGAACTTAAGTGGTAATCAATCAAACATCTTGATCAGTCAGGTAAAGCATCGAGCAAGAAGAAAGAAATGATCAAGCGACGATATGAAAATCAGTACTTGTTCAAAAGGGATTCACTCGAGGTAAATCATAGACTGAAAAGATAACACATTGAAAATACTCAGAGGGAGAGTCCACAGACGGATGAGTTTTCAGGGAAGAAAGGATTTGGGCCTCGAAAGGTCTGATATGATGGAACGTTATACAGTAGAAGGTGGGAAGTACTTGAGATATGTTGGATGACATGGCATTCTCAAGGTCCGCATTGTGAAATGCGAAAAGCCTTTACAATTATTGATTGAAATCTCGGGATCTGGTCGAAGTCTCTTATATCTATGTACTTTACTCTACGAGTCTCGAAGGGGCAAAGACTGCTTGGAGAACAGAGCATAGAATACGTCCCGCTTGGGCAGAAAGTCTCGAGTCTCGTTCTCATCGACGTCTTGTTGTTCTTCTCAATGGGTATCTGAAGACATGGCTCATGACTCTATCCAAGCTCTCAAAACGCAAGTCTCTGACAGTTGCCCTTGATCACAACTTTTACCCTCATTATGAACGTGATAATAGCACCCCATGCGGTATGCAGGCAGCTTGTTTTGCTCGCGATCCAAGTCGTTGAGTCCAGATGAGACGACAAGAAGGTCCTTGAGAATTTCTTCATTCCACCACGGTTCATGTTCCGAAAGCCATGACTGGACGCAAGTCGTGTGTGCGATCCTGTCGATGAACCATCGTCTCAGAGGTGATCTGGGCATCGTGTTTTCATAAACATACATGACCCTCTCGATCGGGACCACGTTGCCTGTAACACTCTTTTCCATCAAAGCAGTCATGGCCATGTTCTGGAGAGCTGGAGCGATGACTCTATCGCCGAAGATCCAGAGACGTACCAAAGTGGTGAATAGGAGATCGGTGCCTTTGGTCACAGCTCCATCAGTGAGTTGGTTGGTATAGCAGAACGATTCGAATATGGTGAAAATGTATGGGTCTTCGTCAGAGGTGAGCGTTTTTTCCTTTGCTTCTCTGAACGAGCCGTTCAACATGCCACGATAGTAGTCGGACCAGAAGCTCAAGACACCTTTGTGAATGTGAAACCCTTGTTTTGACTTTTCGAATCTGATCGTCACAATGTCCTTACGGCAATCGCTTGTTCGCATCAGTTAGTCGCGCATTCGAGACAAACATAGCGGAACTTACACGGGCAGTTTTGACCAGGGCACACAAGCAGCTTTGGTATTTGCAACGTGTGCAAAACTCGACGAGGCACCTTCAGAGCTCGAAATGTGTGCCGAACTCTTTGGATCAGAGTCATTTTTGGTTGCATGAGACATGATTTGGCTGCGCGGAATGGCAGGAAAGCGCAGTCGTTGAAAGAGGAGACGAAGGGTGTGACAGATAGATAACAAAGTAGCCAAAGGAGGAGAGTGATCGAATCCGAGGCACACGCTTTTCGTAGCAAAATGTCAAGTCTTGGTGTCGTATTCTCTGAGTCAAGAGGTAAGTGTTTTGCGCGACTGGGCGGACTGTCCATAAATCTGAGCAAGATAGAGCACTCATCTTGCTTCAATTATCTTGATGATACGCGAAGCTTCGCGCGCATCTATTTGCAGCTCTCCCCATCATTGTGTACGTGGTAGTAGCACTTTCCTCTCTTCGGTAATGCGTTCAACTCGCAAGCCTTCTGGTCCCTTTTGTCCAGAACAAGTACAAGGTCGCCCCAAGCCTCTTCGTGGCGGTATTCCTTCTCTTCTGTACATTCCACGTATTCATCGAGACCTCCGGTATATGCGACCAAGTCTATCACGACTCGACGCATCTGTGATCTAGGCATGGTGTTCTCGTAGATGTGTAAGATGTAACAGGAGGGTATATGTTTCACTGCCGCGTTCTTTTGCATAAAAGCATCCATGACAGCATTCTGGAGTGCTGGAATAATGTGTTTGTCGCCGAAGATCCAGAGATTTATGAGGTCCAGGTAATCCATTTCCGAGCCAGCTTTGTCTGCCATATCTTGTAATTTGCGAGTATAGCACCAAGACACGACAATCTCGAACAGATATGGATCTTCTTGTGGCATCGGGACAGCTCCTTCAAGACCTTCTTTGAACGATCCGCTCAAGGCACCACGGAAGTACTCTGAGTAGTGGCAGAGAAGACCCTTGTGGATCAAGAATTCTCTTTCCTCGGGGCCGACGACAATCTTTGCTATGTCCCGGAAGCAAGCGCTTGGAAGTATCAGCCAGCTGTACTACTATGACTGGCTTGATAAACTCACCCACCAGGCTCCGAGGATAGCACTGATGCAGCCTTCGTGACTTCTTTGGACGCCGGTTGCTTCTCGTCTTTATGAATCACCATGACCGCGAGTGTCCAGTTCCGAAAGCGTCGAGAAGAGAAAAACATATACGGACCCAGTTATCTCGTATGAATGATCGCTTTGCGTGAAAGAGTTGTGGTTGAGAGACAGAAAGTGGAATTGAACCGCCAGGCTCGAGTAGCGGTTTGCGGCCAGGCGCCGAGTAATAAGGCGATAACTGGTCCTCGAAGTTCGACGGTCGTCGGTAACATTTTGAGCAGGATTGAGCCCGAAGCCTGTTGTCAGCTCGCGGACATGTTAACCGAGATGACCATAGTTCAAATGACCATCAACGAAGACTGCTCGAAGGGGGGTGTAATAGGTCCCACTCGCAGAAGATGGCGATGAAAGGTATGAATGATGGCCTCTTGTCGGATCATGGTGTTATGAGTATTGTGACTTTGTGATGGTGTCTCCAACGTGGACTTCTGAGAAAGCCACAAGTATGTTTTCGCGTGTCTTCGAGTTGGATTGCGAGATGGCCAAGATCGTGTGTCACAACTTCCCAGCAAAGCTCATAAGGATTCAAACAATCTTTTGATCCTTTTGAGTTCTTCGCTCTTTCCATCTTCGCATCCGGCATCCTCTGGCGGATACGCTTTCACAGAGGTCAACTCTTGGAAGGTTCGGATTTGCCGTTGGCTACGCTAGAAGAGCTCTGGCTCTTTGGTGAGGAATGCATCATCCCTGCGCTTCAAAACGCGGCCATGAACGCGCTACAGGCAAAACATGAGACAACCAACTTGGTACATACTGACCGACCTACATCCATTTATGAGCACACATTGCCTCAGCTCTACGAAAGCAACGTGTGGATTGGGTCACTTACAAAATGCAATTCCCAGATCTCTTGGAACCCGGATTCGTGGATAGTTTACCTCGAGAGTTTCTGAGAGATGTTGTCCTTACTGGCCACAAGCAGAGTCTTGCTCTGCAAGGAACGTTCTACATGCCAGAGCGAGAGCATTGCTATTATCACGTCCATACTGCGGGCGAACATTGCTAGACATGTCGTCGGCGTGCTTGTACGACTGCGTTCACGCGTCGCAGACTCAAACATCAGACGTTGTCGGTCAAAACGAAATACGAGAATCTGATCGTTGAGACATATCGAATTCTGTTCCGGTGATAGATTGAGTCGTGAGTTTCCACAGTATGAGCATTCGTAGCTAAGTCAGCCATATGTATGTTTACATACTTACAAATGAAGCAAGTGTCAGATATCTCAAGTGTCCTTGTCAGACTCGCCATCAACGTCATCCTCGCCTTCCTTTGTGACACGCTTGCCCTGGACACCCTTCTCAACCTCGGGAACGAGGCTGTCCATGTACTCCTTGTTTCTGCCTACCAGAGTGACAGTGTTTCTCGCCTTACCCCATCTCGGGTAACTACATATCTTCATTAGTGTCTTCTCATCGGAAAATACGATGATCAATTGCTTACCTTCCAACCTTGATACCTTCAGGCTCGACCTTCTTCGCCAGCTCAGTCAAGTAAGATGCAACTCCACTCTCAGGCAGGGGTGTCGAAATAATAATTCGGTAAACACCTTTGCCCTCGGGGTCGGTCAATCTAGGAAGAAGTCCTGGCTTCAAGCCGGTGAGCATGCGCTCGAACAGTCTAGGTACACCAGGCAGGATGTGAACATTCCCATTGACGACGGCGACAGGTACCCAGAGGTCGTCAGCTGTGAAGACGACTTGCTCCTCGCTCGACAGGTTTTTGTCGTACGGCAAGATCACCATGCGCTTCTTGGCTTCCAGTGCGGGTGATGGGGTGTTCCAGTCAAAGTTGGGCTGGTTAGGGTGAGGTCTGCTCAAGCGCTTCATGCGTGAGAAAGTGTCATCGTGAAGTACCAAGGGTAGATCGAAGGCGTTGGCAATGCTTTGATAGGTAATGTCGTCGTGAGTGGGACCGATACCACCAGAAGTGACAACGAAGTCATAGTTTGAAGACATGCGACGAACGGCTTCCACAATCTCGGACTCCTCGTCACCGATAACTTCGATGCGCTTAAGGTTGATGCCTAGGCTGAAGCAGAACTTGGCGAGGTAAGCACTGTTGGTGTCGACGGTCTGGATAAATGGTCAGCGATGTATTCCTTCTTTTATTCTCGCATTACCACGAATCGGTTTATTCATGTCTGCCATGTCCTCACTAACACCATCATGATGAGATGAATATGATGCAGAGTCCACAGGGATATGAGCAAAGGAAAGTGATTGACCAACCTTTCCACCCAAAACCTCATCACCGATAATCAGACATGCCGCAGTGTTGATAGTGCGCTTGTTGTTTGCCTGTGCCATGATTGTAGGGTTGCTGGTGAGTCTGCTAGTTGCAGCTGCTGCGGATTGATGCAAGTAGTTTGGTAGAGGACGGCTTAGGTGACGTGCCACTTGATTGAGGCGGGAGAACATGTGATGGTCTTGACAAGACTTTTGTAAAATGGAATCAACAATGGAGGAAGGAACGAGATATGTTCGTCGTGTCCACGGAAGATGCAGTCCAATATGTCATTGTCGTTTGCGGGGAGCGATTGCCGGCGGCCGAGTCGTGTTGCGAGGATCGGGCTTTGAGATCTGACTTGTAAGAGGTGCAACCCTGTTAATCTGTCGAGTCGACGATATTTGTACCATACCGCGAGCTATGGGGTTGTCAGCACCTCAATATGAACCTTGAAAAGGAATCACACTTGTGTGTAGAGCTACAACAGTGGCTCTGACCCTGATCGTGAGATATTGAGCTCACGAAAAAAGAGCTTACTGCTTCCCAGCATTTGACCTGGGACCATTGCATCTGCTGACTGCTTGCAATTCGATAATGACATCCGAAGCTTCGATCAAATTCAAGATGCTGAGCCTGTGCACAACTTTTCAAAGCAATCCCACCGTCTCCAGGACACTGTGGAAAGGGTGCTGTATCAGTCGCACCTCGTGGTCTTGAGCAACGTTTCTCGGAGACGCATCCCACAGCACCGACGTCAACCGACTGCGGGGCATCTCAACCCTGAATCTCCGTCACCACAAGACTCGAATACTCTTGACATACATTTCACACCCCAGCATAATTATACAAGATGGTATACATATTCCGGTCATCTTGACGCTGCACCCCAGCTAATTCAACATCGCAACAGGCATCCGAAGCACGCCTCTACACCTTCTCGCCCGAAACCAAGACCGCACTGCGCAAGTTCCGCCTAGGAACCTCGAGAGCAAAGGACCCTCAGGCCGTAATCTGTAAGCAAGCGCTTCCCCCAAAAGGACCAGAGAGACCGATATCCACGAGTCGAAAAGAAAGAGCTAGGAACAAGGCACACACACAACAGAAACGGACACAGAGAGAGGGAACACACGATGAGAGACCAGCCAGAGACCACGGAACACCGAGACTGATATATTTTACCACAAGGAACAGACCAAATCGACAAAAAGACCCTCGAAATTTCAAAAGCAGATGATGAAGTCTACACCGATCTAAGCCTACTGGGCGAAGAACTGCCCGACCACTCGCCCAGATTCATTCTCCTCAGCTATCCTTTGACAATGGTATATACAACACCCTTAAACCTGCCTCTTACATGCCAAAGAATGGTTTGCTGACTTCGTGGTCTGCTCCAGGCATCCGGCCGTCTATCCGTTCCATACGTCATGCTATACTACCTCCCCGTCACCTGCAACAGCGAGCTCAAGATGGTCTACGCCGGTGCAAAAGAGTTGATGCGCAACCAAGCAGAAGTCGGCCGCATCATCGAGATCGACAGTGTTGAAGAGTTGGAAGAGATTGAAGAACAACTCAGAGGAGAAGAGTAGAACGGATCGGCTATATCACAGTATGGGATGTTGATACCATGAAAGATGGCGCTGCTGTGCTTCGGTCAAAAGGTCCGCGGCCACCACGAGCCTGCAAGACGACGATCATACACCTTGATGGAAATAGAGCGTTGGACAGATCGGCCGAGATAACCCTAGATTCCCCACATGCGTGTGTACTTGAATCAGGATGTGTGATGGTTCGAAAAAAAAAACATTTGAGATTACATCTAAAGAGTATCGATTTGTCGCCCATGAACGCCGATCTTTTGTCCCGTTGCGCAGTCGACCTTGTCAACTGCCGAGACACATGCTGTTATGACAAGGAGAAAGGAGAGAGTTCTGCAAGGTGCAAGAGGCAAGCCAAACAAGATAGCGTGATGTTGGCGCCTGATCCGGTCTCTCTCCGAGCCAGCGAGACCACCACCACAATCGTTCCAACACAACTTTCGACAAGGCAAGCAGAGAAACAGAACACGTAAAAACAGATTTGAAAAAGCAGACGGCATTCTTGCGTCCATTCATTTGATGTGATTTTTTCTTTGTCCTCCACCTTTACTGTCATCATCGTTGCCGCCTCTTGTAGACCTTCGCGGCTTTCGTCCGTTTGTAATACGTCGGGAGCCTGTGTATCTGTGCCGGGTGGAGCACTGACTTCTGTCGCCGCTTTGAGGTTGATAAAATGGTATAAAAGAAAAGATAGAAAGAGAAGAAAGACAATGGGGGAGAGTGCTGGGGGAATCGAACGATAAAGCAGAGAAAGAGAAAGAGACAACCAAGGCTCTCTAAAAGTCAGATCAAGAAGGGAAGATTAAAAGCTCCAGGCACAAAAAAGAGGTATAGCGAAGGGCGGTCGGGTGTGCGGGTATGTGTGTAGGCGGTGTTACATGACGGTGCACTTGCAGCAGCCGGCATCTGAGTCGCCTTCGTCGACGTTCAGCTTCTCGGCGGGGCCGCCATTTGCTCTCGCGCCCGATGCGCCGCCGGTGATGTCGCGGTTGTATTTGCGGATTTCGCGGACGATGTCGTAGAAGGCGTTCTCAACATTGATGCGGGACTTTGCCGATGTCTCGATGAACTTGCATCCGAAGCTGCGAGCGAGCTCCTTGCCCTCTGCAGGGGGTGTCAGTCAAACGGCCAGAACAAATAAACACGAGAGGACGAGGGGGGACGCACCTTCAACCGAGACTTCTCTCTCTCCGTCCAGATCGCACTTGTTTCCGACGACGATCATAGGGAAGTAGTCCTTGTCCTTGACGCGCAATATTTGTTGTTGGAAAGTCTTGATCTCTTCGAAGGATTGTTGCGAGGTGATGGAGTAGACGAGCAGGAAGCCTTCGCCAGTGCGCATGTACTGTTCTCTCATAGCCGAGTATTCTTCTTGTCCTGCTGTGTCGAGCACATCGAGGAGTGCGACCTCATCGTCGATGACACACTGCTTGCGGTATGAATCTGTGGGGAGGAGTCGCGGTCAGAAGAGATGGTGGGCGCGGGGAGCGGCGATAGGGACGAACCTTCAATTGTCGGGTCGTATTCATCGACGAAGTGGCTTTGAATGAGTTGGATGGTCAAACACGACTTTCCGACACCACCACCACCGACTACTACGAGCTTGTACTCGCGGAGGAACTGCGACGAAGGTGAGCACGCGCCGTCGCGACGACAAAGCGGCATGGCCGGCACATACCTTTGATGCCATTGCGGCGATAAGAGACGGAATGCGGGTGGGCGATTGATGCAATTGGTCGAGGGCGATGGACGAGGGCTGGTATGGGCGACGGAGTTGTTGGAGAGTCGAGCGGAAGAGAGTGGTGATGATTCAATCTCAGCTGCGGAGAAGGCTGGATTCGGAGTGTCGACTAGAGGCTAGAGATCTAGGACTGCTGCTGGGCAAGAGTGGATGAGGGTAGAGGAAAAACGGGCACCGGCAGGCTTCAACGGTCGATGCACGAAGGTGAATGCCGACTTGGGTGAAGTTGTGGCTAGAGCGAGGGACAGGGCGGCGGCCAAGACAAACACGACGAGACTGGACGGCAGGAAGCAGCGTCAAGCACGGTGAACAAGCAGCAGGGTTAAGAGATAGACGAGAGGGCGACGACGGGGGCTCGGACTGCAGGGGAAGCCGCAATTCGATTCGAGCGTGAACGGGCCTTTGACGATGGACGGTGCACAGTTCGCAATTATGAGGATGGAGTCTTGACTTGACTTGCAATCGAGTCAAGATCAAGAAATGCACGCTGCAGAGGCCATCAATAAACCTGGAGAAGGCCAAAGAGTCTGCCCTCCCTTTCACCCAGCTCCCCTCTTGATTGGTTGCCTCGCCGATCTGCCCATCGTTATTTGATTGTTGTCAACAACTAGTCTGCGCCCTCTCCTGACCCTCGAAAGTACATGCTAATCAATCCCTTTGCTCCTCGCCCGCCACTCGCTCGACCCTCTCCCATAACTCGGCTACAACCTGCATGTGTCTTGAAGATTCTTGCTGGCGAACGAGCCCACCGGTCAGATGTGAACTGTCTTCGGTCAAACAAACACTTGCCAGCCAATTTAGGCGTCACTCCGCCGGCGGGACAACCGCCCACCCCAACTGCCTCTAGACGGGCCCTAGCCAAAACCACCTCTGACCAATCTAAACAGAATCTCTTGCCCGCTTCCCTTTTGACCACCAGCCAATTTTACCTCCTTCTTTCTCCCTCTAACTTCTATCGCATCATGTCCGTGCCGCGTCTATCTTTCGCTTGATGAATTAAAGAAGATATTGCTGCAAATTCTTCTCGCCTTCTAGCTGTTTTGTATAGATATACATCTCCCTATCGCGCTCTACATGATTCGCTTAGATCTACTGACATCATTCCCTGGGCTTTCACCTGCTCAATCACCCTCCTGGCCACGCCGGTGTCACCGTCACATTTCTTCCATCGAAGATTCGAAGGAAATTTCCCATATCCGAGCTGTGACACTTTCTGAATGGCGCTTCCAGAAGCCAATAGTGGCGGCCCTTCCCTTGTACGCCCGTAACTCTCTGCCGGCGCGCGGCAGCGTGGGTCTCAAGCACAACCAAGCACGTGTGTCCGAGACAACTTCCTTTGCTGTCTCGTCACCTGTCTCTGCCAAAGGGAACGTGATTGCTTCTGGAAACAATTTTGACTTCTCTTCCATGGCGTCCGCTATGTCGCTTGTATACATTCTCGGAATTCGACAACGTTCTATTAATGGCATCTTATAGGCTACTCCGACGCCAATGCGAACCCCAGACATCAAACTCGGAGTCGCATCTACTCTGATCGCATGTTGAGTCTCCACAAGTCGTTGTATGCAATTTTACGACCCTGATGGACAGTTTTTTTTAGAAGAAGAGTATGCGGTAGAGACTCCTGTATTCGAGCTTGATCGAAGTTGTATCAAAGTCACGAACTATTAAGAAATTTCGGCAAGCAGCTGACTAGTACCGCATTGACACACTCTTGGGTCAACGTCCCGCGTGGTTTATCGATTCAACACCCAGAAGCTTCTTCGATGAGGATACCGCACATGTCATTGTGCATACAAGACAATTTCCAAACATTGTCTACCTCCATCACCGGACTTTACACAGTCTTCTCAACGATCGTCTCGTGCTGCAGCTTTCCATGCTCTGAATCCGTATCAATGCCATTCAGCATCTGTGGCTCATTACCTTGTACCACTCCAAGACTGGCAGCCTCTTGAGGTGTGAAGGTCTCATAGACGTCCACCTCGTCGTATTCGCCCATACCAGGATACGGGAAAATCCAATTAAGCAGGTAAAACACCGTTCCACTCACGAAAAAGCCGACCAGAAACGCCATGTAGTACAGCTTGACCAAGCCTCGAGGAGGGCTCGATGAACCTCCAACAGTAACAACGAGTCCACCAATAGTGGGCGCCCACCCGCAAATCCAGGCTGGTATGGCGCGCCAATTCACACCTTTGGTGAACCAGTACGACGTGTCTTTCGTCCTGTACAGATGGCTGAGCTGGATCCTGCCTTTGCGCAAGAGGTAAAAATCAACCACCATGACACCCATGATTGGTGACAGGAAGACCGAGAAGGAGCTCAGCACACTGACGAAAGTAGCCGCTTTGTTGACAAGCTGCCATGGCTGGCAAACCCACACAGCGACAAAGGTCAGAATGGCACCTCTTCGAATATCGAGATACCGTGGGAAGAGTCCTGCAAGGTCGATGCCTCCTGCGACTGCGTTTCCGCACACATTCTCGAACATGCCAGTCAAGGCGAAGCCAGCTGCAAGGAAGAAAACTCCCGCTCTTGCTTTGGAAGAGCCTTCACCACTGTCCATCATGCGCATGAGGAGATCCGGTGGATTCCAATAAACCTCACCGTATATCTTTTGGCAAGCGGCAGTCACGACGAGCCCTACCAGACTCACAAGAACGCCAGTCACCCAAGCGGACAGAACAGTGCCTAGGACGTAGTTCTTCGGTGATCGAGCATAACGCGAAAAGTCAGAGCCGTTAGTTATTCCAGCTGCGATGCCGCCGATAATCTGATTGATGCCTTTCATCTCGAGCCAATGAAGGTTCCAGGATGAGTTCTCCGGAATAGTTTGCCCAGTCGTCCAGAGCGGTCCTACACCTTTGGCCACGGATAGTGACCAGATCATCATACTGAGCATGCCCAGACCACAGTATATTGATGTGATCAAGAAGGGTAGCCGGAATTTCTCTGGTCGGACGAACAGGAAAGGGACTGACAAAACCCAGAACAGGACGAAGCCAACGAACTGATATGTCGTGGTTGGCATGGATGATGGTAGCGTATTGTGCATCTTCGCAAAGGACGGCCATATCGCTGTGATACACACTGCTATCAACCGACCTCCGTTCCAACCTGCGCAATTGGTCAGTCGTCGGTTCGTCTGTTTGCATGGCATACTCACATTGGATTGCACACCAGATGAAGTTCAGCAAAATTCTTTGCAACAGAGGAATGTAACTTCCACGGAGTCCCCAAGTGTAGCGGTTCTGTACCGTGAATCCGATGTGCCACCTGAGTCCACACCAAGCGATGAGTGTGGAAAAGAATGTGACCAGAAGCTTTCCAACAACAATCACCATCATACTCTGACCAACGGAGAGTCCATAAGCTGCCCTGAAGTGTCAGCCAAATTTCACACTTGTATCAATGCAGAACATACACAGGAAGGTGTTAGGCGTTTGCCAATTCGAGACATTCAGCGAGTTCAGCGTCCAGTATCCGAAGAAGTGAAACCAGCCCCAAGTTCTTCGCGACGGTGGTAGTGGGATGAGATCTCGATTGGACCATGAATCAACCTGCTCATGCTCTTCTTCGTCGCCCTTGAGTTGGATCTTCTCCTTCAATTGTCGCAAGCGTAGGGATCCCATCTTGAGTTTGGGAGTGGACTTCTCATGAGATAATCTTTATACTACGGGAGATATGCTACGCTATATACTTGTCGTAAGCCAATCAGCATTGTTGCGATTGGCCAGATGCCGCTATCATCACAAGGGAGTCTTGTACATATCAAGATAGGCCAGCTGGAGTGCAGTGTTTGCCGATCCTTGGGTGGTTGTGCGGAGCAAGGTCGATCTGATAACGAATCTGGAGCCGATAAACGACGTTGCGTCGGGCACGCTCGCCAACCTTGGTGGTTGCGACATAACACTGACACGCAAACCAGGTTCTCAAATCACACCATGCATTCGCTTGGGGTCATATTTTTGAAATGGAAGGAGTGCTGGCCGCTCCTTCTGCCAAGGAAGATAGGCCGCTGTAGGCCGGCATCGGGCTATTTGACCATCCTCCGCCGAGCATTTATCATCGCATCTCTTGATACCGTCCACTCTCTTTCCCATCTCCAAGATCTTGTTTGCCAATTGGTCCATTACATTTGAACAAGACTGATTTGCAGAATGCCCAAGGTGCTCAGAATCGGTGTTGATGTTGGCGGGCAAGTCCACCTTGAAGAAGACCTCGATCCTTGGCTAATCAACGACTTGTTAGTACAAATACTGATGGCGTTGTCTTGGATCCAAAAAAGTCGTCAGAGCCTAGCAAAGGAGTTATAGCATGGTGAGCTTGCAAAAAAGATGTATCTCAAAGGCTTTAAGCTGATGTAAATTCAAGGCACAAAGCTCCGACGACCACAAATCCAAGCTTGGGCATCAGCAATGCTCTCGTTTCCATGTTTGATCAGGCCAAGATAAATCCTTCTGATGTTGCTTCTGTGACCATAGGTACCACGGTACGTCGTGACATAACGAACAGGAGACCACTTCTGACTGGAGAACAGCATTTCGTAAATGCGGTGGTAGAGAGAGATGCTGCCAGACTCGCTCGAGTGGCGGTGATACGTCTCTGCGGCCCCTTCAGCAAGCATGCCTTACCATGCATCGATTGGCCAGCCGACATGAGAGATCTTATCCTCGGTCATCATGCTTTAGTCAAAGGAGGTCTCGAAAGTAGGACAGACTACAGGCTGTTGTCGCTCCATGATCTAATACAGTGTGCTCAGTGGATGGCAACTTGATCTCCGATATCAACGCCGAAGAGATCAAAGAGCAATGCTGCATCATCAAAGAGAAAGGCATCACAAGCATCGTGGTCAACGGAATCTTCAGCCCGATTGACTCGACACATCATCAAGAAGAACGAGCCGCGCAGATCATTAATCAAGCTCTTCCTGGATGCCATGTTGTCCTTTCCAAGGAAGTCGCCAATCTTGGATTCTTGGAGCGCGAGAATGCAGCAATCTTGAATGCTTCAATTCTCCCTTTCGCGAAGAAGACTATCTGCTCATTCCAGGAGCCAATCAAACGACTTGGATTGACTTGCCCTGTCTTCTTGAGCCAGAATGATGGAACGATCCTGAGCGGAGAGATGGCATCTCGGCTACCCATCAGAACTTTCTCCAGTGGGCCAACAAACAGTATGAGAGGTGCTGCATACCTTGCGCAAGGTGGAACCAAGGAGGCTATGATGGTAATTGACATTGGTGAGCCTCACAACACATCCTCATCAACACGATTCTCACACGCATCCAGGTGGTACGACGACTGATGTTGGTTTGTTGCTTGCCAACGGTTTCCCAAGACAAGCCGCAGCATACTCCGAGTTTGCTGGCGTCCGCATGAACTTCTCATGTCCCGACGTCAAAAGTATTGGACTCGGAGGTGGCTCCATTGTGCGAGAGCATGACGGTGAATTCACTGTTGGACCTGACAGCGTAGGCTACAAGATACAGACAGAGGCCCTTGTGTTCAACGGCAATGTTCCTACCACTACCGATTACACAGTCGCTGGAAACACCTCAATAGACATTGGCGACCGAAGCAAGGTGCAACATTTGATCAATGATGGCATTTCTTCATTCAAGGCGGAAGTGAAGAAAATGTTGGAGAAGGCAGTCGACACCATGAAGACTTCGCCAGAAGACCTACCTGTTTTACTGGTCGGTGGTGGAGCTGTCATCGCACCTGATGAGTTGGCTGGAGCAAGTCGTGTCATCAAACCTGAGTACTCTGGTGTTGCCAACGCTATTGGAGCCGCAATTGCCAGAGTCAGTGCTGTGGTAGACACTGTCAAGTCTACCGAGACGAAGAGCGTTGCGACTCTGGTTGAAGAAATATCAAAGGAGGCTGTCCAAAGAGCAATTGAGTCTGGAGCGGCCCAAGATTCGGTAAAAATTGTCGAAGTCGAAACTTTGCCACTACCAGTAAGTTGTCACTCTTTGAGATATTCTATGGAAAAGCTGACACCGATGGCAGTATATTGCGAACAAGAGTCGATTCGTTATCAGAGCTGCAGGAGAATTTGACTACAGTCGTGCGAACGAAATGAAGCAGGCCACAGAAGAACTACTCTCGGACAAAAACGTTATGGACGCGTACGAGAAGGATGGGAACAAGCCGCATTCTGCCATCAATGGCATCGAGAAGCATGTATCAGCGGAGCCGGTCAACATCTCTACTTACAAGCCAAAGGTTGTGGACCGAGTCTGGTATGTCTCAGAGACCGACCTTGACTGGATGTCAGTCGGCTGTTACATTCTGGGTACCGGTGGTGGTGGTAGTCCGTACTCGCATATGCTTCGTATGAGGAGTCTTCTCAGAGACGGAGACGTTATTAGAGTGATCAACCCTCACGATCTCAAAGACGATGACCATGTAGGCTGTGGTGGCGGAGCAGGTTCGCCGACAGTAGGCATTGAGAAACTTCCTGGAGACGAGTAAGTGTTCCTCTCTCTTCGTCTTGAAGCAAATGGCAAGCAGCATCACTGACAGTTTTCAGGATGATGGATGCCCAACGCGGCCTCTACGAGATGTGCGACAGAAAAGCCACAGCAATGATAGCGCTCGAAATAGGTGGTGGTAACGGTCTGCAAGGTATGATCTTGGGAGCCAGTTCCAACATGAATCTGCCAACAGTCGGTAAGTCGATACCTCTTGAACCACGTCAATCCAAGAGATACTAATAGTAGCAGATGGTGACTGGATGGGACGAGCATATCCAACAAAATGGCAAACAACACCAGTGGTCTTCAACGAACGCCCATGCGTCTTCTGCCCCATCGCTACAGCAGATGGTAATGGCAACCTGCTATACATGCCAACAGCAGTATCAGATCTAGCCGTCGAACGAATCATCAGAGCTGCTCTTTCCCAAATGGGTAGATCACACCTCCCTTCTCTTCTCTTCTCTCGAACACATCACTGATCTCTCCCACCCAGGATCACACGTCGGCTGCGCAGAAGGCCCGGTAACAGGAGCAGAGACCAAACGCTGGGCAGTCGAACACACAATCTCCCTCTCCTGGCGCATCGGTCGCGCAGTCGCTCAAGCCCGCCAGGCCAACCGCATCGACACCGTAGCCGAAAGCATCATCGCTGAAGTCGGTGGCCCCTCGGCCGCAAAAGTGATCTTCAAAGGCAAAATCATCGGCGTAGAACGAACGCTTCGAAACGGTCATGTGTATGGCGAAGTCATCATCGAAGCCGCCAACGACAGCACTCCATCTGAATTTAAAGGCCGTGTCAAGATCCCATTCAAGAATGAGAATATCGCGGCCTTCAAGATGACAGAGGATGGCAGGGAGGAGGTTTTGGCAATCGTGCCTGATCTAATTTGCGTGATCGATGCACAGTCTGGTGAGGCTATCGGGACACCAGAGTATCGGTATGGATTACTGGTTACTGTTATTGGCATCACGGCTAGTGATAAGTGGACTTCCACACCACGAGCGATTGAAATTGGAGGACCCAAAGCGTTCGGATTGGATGATATCGAGTACAAGCCACTAGGGAAGTTCGTCAAGCCTAGGAGTGTGATTGATGAGTACTCGAACTAGGTATGAGAGATAACAATCACAATCAGACATATGAGTTGATGTAGCATGCCACATAGTGAGGTTTGGAACAAAGCTCTCCATGACCAACACAGATCGTTCCGGAAATATCTTGCACTTGGACGCATGCACTTGTAGAGCTCCTCGATAACAGGGAGATCAGATCACCCGCTAGTCATCCATGATCCGCTGTATCTACAAGGGTAGCCCGACTCTTCCCACAGCAGTACCATCTCATCTCACCAGCAAGAATGAGCGACCCTATGGACAGTAAATCCGAAGGTCGTCTCATGACGTATCGTATCATCAAAGCATAGCAACCACCCAGTTAAATCAACACCACAAAAGAAAAGTACAATCGAGCTTTAATAATAAGATTTCATCGTAGAGTCGAGATGGTTCGTTGGTATTCTTTTTGGTATCGTTACAGCAAAGCCAGAGACGGCGAAAGAAGCAAACAAGAAAAGTAAAGTCAAGGGAGAAATCGCTCAGAGAAGAAGCAAAAGGCTATCGATGAGCCTCGGAGAAAACGCCTACCCCATCCTTGAATAGAACTCCAGTCCCTTTTTGAGAAGGACATGCGAAAAGAAAAGCGACAGGTCACCGAAACACATTAGCAAAGGCAGGATAGCCAGTATCCCGAGATCTTTGTGTCCTGTGATCTAGTTGTCGAGCCAGTCCAGGAAGTCGGGAGTGAAGTACGAGACCACAATGCTTGCGCCAGCACGGAGAATGCCCTCAGTGGCCTCGAAAGCCATAGTCTTGAGATCGAAGACACCAGCCTTGGCGGCAGCGCAGATCATGGCGTACTCACCACTGACCTGGTATGCGGCAACAGGCAAGTCCTTGCCAATCTCTTTTGCGTCACTGATAATGTCGAGGTATTGAGAGGCGGGCTTGACCATGATGATGTCGGCACCTTCGTTGATGTCGCGTATGATGGCTCTGCGAGCGAGACCGCGGCCGCCAGGGGGGAGTTGGTAGCAGCTAGAAGAAGGAATCAGTTTGTGAAATGCATGAATCTGTCCAAAAGACATACCGTCTGTCTCCGAACGAGGGAGTGCTGCCAGCAGCATCGCGGAAGGGACCGTACAGACAGCCGCTGAACTTGGCCGAGTAAGACATGAGGACAACCTTGTGTGCAATTCCAGCTTCGATGAGCTTCAGCTTGATGGCGCGGATGCGACCGTCGTTCATATCTGAGGGAGCAACACAGTGGGCACCGGCTTCAGCGTAGGCCATGGCGACGTCCGAGATGCGGTCGACCGAGAGGGCGTTGTTCAGACTGCCATCCTCACGCAGGATACCGCAGTGGCCATGGCTGGTGTACTCACAAAGACATACATCGGCGGTGATGAAGAGTGAAGGGAAAGCCTTGCGAAGCAGACGTATCGAAGCGATGACGGGGCCGGTCGGGTCATCGGCGGAGGTGCCCAGAGCGTCCTTTGCTTCAGGTTGAAGAGGAACACCGAACAGGATGACTGATTTGAGACCCTTTGCCATCAGAGGACGGAGGAAAGGTACGAGCTTGTTCAGGCCACGGCGGTACTGGCCAGGCAATGAAGGAATCAGAGTCTCCTCGTCTGGGTTGTCGGTGATGAACAGGGGGTAGATGAGCATTGATTTGGTCAACTGGCGCTCAGCCTGCCATGCGCGGGCAAGGGGATGGCTGTAACCACCGTGAAGTTGACTGGAGATGTCTCCGGTGATGCTGACGCTGGTGGCTGCGGTGCTGGCGTAAGAGCGGGCGCGCGACATGGTAGATACCTGTCGTGACACGGTGGATCTTCTATCGTCAGCACCGCCGTTGCGGTCGCGGTATGTGAGATCAGATACGAGTGATGAGAACGACATGATGTGTGTTGTGTTGTGTCTTGGTGACGGCGAGTCACTTGTAGGAGAGAAAGATGATTTGCGGCGACGGAGATGGTTCGGCGGTCGTGTATAACGTCACTTCTTGTTTCAATTCGTGTCTTTGGCGGGGTACAAGGTCAATTGGCGACGATTATCGCGAGGAAGATGAGAATATGTAGTAACGACCAGAGGGAAGGCAGGGAAAAGGAGTTTGGATTCAAATGCACAAAGAAGGAGCACTTTCTACTTTTGTCATCGAAGGAAGGCGCATATGAACCCCTCGTGTCATCTCTCATCTAATACCGCCGCATGCCTCGGGCCAATCGCATCCTTTGCATATGTCGACTTCGGCAAGAGCCGTTTCTCTCGGTTGCCTCCTTCCCGACCTGTCGCCGATGCCGACCGAACGACTCCTTCAGAACATCAGACCATTCTTCAGGAAATTCATTTCAACACTCGCAGTATCGAGAACTAATCGATGCAAACGAAATGCAAACGAGAGTAAACCGAATCCTCCAATCTATCGCCTCTCAAAATCACCCTCAACTTACGAATGCACATAGAAAAGCTGGGACACAAGTTTTGGGTACAAAGAAATTCATAAATAATCATGCTACAGACTTATTAGATACATCTCCTCCTCACAATCGTCCCCAAAGAGCAAGTCTATCCAGGTTTGAAAGCTGACACCTAGTTCTGATACTTTTCGGCCCACGCTGGACTTCGTTCTGACCTCTGGTTGCTTGGAGGAATCTTCGCAAGGCAGACTTTACAAAGTCATTGCTTAGAGGGCGGCAGCAAAACCGAGAGCGGCAACTGCGACACCGAAAGGAGCGTACTTTCCCGCGGTCTGGAGGGCGGCAAAGTTGTCGGTCGAAGTGGACGAAGCAGCAGTTCCAGATGCAGCAGTGCCAGTGGTAACCGTGTTGGTAGAGGTTGCAACAGTGTTGCTGATTGCGCTAGATCTGCTTGCAGAGTTGCTGAGGGTGTTGGTCGTGTAAACGGACTCACGGGTCTGAACGATGGTATTCAAGTTGGTGGCAGTGCGAGTGTCAAGAGACGAAGGAAGAGAGGTTGTGCCAAATTCGACGTTGGTGCTGGTGGACACAAGAATAGCAGTGTCTGTGGAAGAGATCAAAGAGATGCGAGAGCCAAGGCTGGTGCTTGAGGCATCGGCGTCTGTGACAGTGGTCGTTACACTGTTTGTGTTGATTGCGACACCATCGCTTGAGACGGGAGTGCCGTTGCTGCAGACTACGCCGTTGTCGTTCTGAGGGTCGCAAGGTCCGTCATCGTCGGCAAAGCCAACAGCAGCAAGAGCTGCGGCGATGAAGAAGGTCTGAGTGAAACGCATGGCTGTTGGTGGTTTTGGTTGGAAGGGGTTGAGATGGAAGGTTGAAGGAGTCTTGGGCTTGGGAAGAATAGATAGTGAGTTGATATGTTCAGTCTTGGGGAGCAGACAGCAGGACTCTTATACCTCGAAGTTGTCCTCGCCTTGCTCTTTGCGATCTCGATATCTCAATATTTTCATCCCGGCTTTAGAGCCAATCCTTCTCGGGAACAGGACCTGACGATGATCGCCGTCATACCGCGGACGTCGAGAAGCATAATGCACCTTGCCAAGGAGGTGTTGGATGTAGTCAGTTGTCTATTGCTCGAACGACTTGGCAATGATGCAATATTGGCGGATGTCTGCACAGCTCCTGCCCCCAGTCAGGTTGTGTATCAATGGCTTTGCCCGGTGCGGAGTGAACCTAGATGCAAGAGCAAATTCTGGCAATGTCAGTCGGGGCGAGCTTGGGCTACTGCTATGATGGTCTGTCCCTATGGCCCACGAGTCAAGACCCACTGATACTTTCAATACAATACCCACGAGCGTTGTGTCTGATGCACAGGCGTGATGGACCCAGACGTCATCTACTGCAGCTGTATGCAGCGAGACTACCAGTTGAAGTCCAGTCCAGAATCTACCGTCAGACGAGATTGCCATGGCAAAGACTGAGACTCCATCCAATAAGTGCCATTGTGGGTAATCTTTGACGCCAAGCACAGAATTGAGTTGTCTGCATGGTTTGCATTGGCTTTGCAAAGCGAACGAGATCGAAGAAATGCTCTTGTCGTCCGTGGGATTTAGTGACTGATGCTGATGTGGTATTAGCTCGTGCATCCCGCGGCTATTGGTTGCGTCCGCATGACTGCATGTTCTTACTCTGCACAGAAGAATTCATCTCTGCGCGATGTGTCAGTGTAGTGGACTAGATGTGTGATCCGCGGAGCGATGTTGAAAAAGGCTTGATCGCCGAACTCAATGGAGATCCGGGGAATGTCTACAGAATGATGGGGACCAAAGGTGTGGTTAGTTTACGTGAAGTGGTTAGTTATCTGAGTAAGAAGAACCGCGGACCTCTACATTATGGTTTGACAAATCGTCTTATGGAGCGTGTAGGAGTACTCCGAGTATGGACGACGAAATCTCTATTTCGATGGTTCCAGCACGAGGAATGTGTACCGTCCAGACCTCTAATGCGTTACGGAGTGCTTAGAAACACTGGGGAGATATACCCGGAAGACCGCTGATGCACTTATATCCGGGAGCCGATGATCAGGTCTAGTAACTCTACGCTGATGTCAAATGATTAGCGTCTGCAGAACAAACCTACAACTTCCGCCACCGCCTAGTCGACGGGGTAGTCAAAAGCAGATCCTCGCTACGATTCGCTGTCCGCAAGTAGAAGAGCCTCATTGATGATCGCTATGGTATGGCAGCCACAAGAAGTGGAAGCAATTGGAATCACTTCTCCGATGACATCTCGCGAGCAGACAGAAGAGGTCAACGGTCGTTGATCCGGCCATCGCGAGAAGAAAGTTTAGTGAAATATGTGGAGGTAGTCAGGTACCGAGCGTAGGTCTCTTTCGTCCAGCAGGTGAAGCAACAGAAGCGCGTACAGAAGGGTGGACGTTGGACGGGAATAAAGAGGCGGCACTCCGCGGGTTGAGGCTCAAGTGAGTTTCCCTGACACTTGGCGCCATGCGAATGCCCAGGCGCATTCCACCATGCAGGTCATGTATCGCACGTGCTTGTATATGCTTGGGCCTCGAGGTCCGGACCGCGCGATCGAGAGCATCTCAAACATAGATGAGGGGTGGATGTGTAAACATTGAGGGTGCAGGTTCCGAAGCAAGATTTGGAAGATCGATGTTCAGCTTCAACGTTGACTTCATGAAGCCTTCTGTTGACAACAATACGCATTGGCAACAGCCTCTATCCGATTCATGCAAGGTCTTCATCACTTTTGTTAACCAATCTTCATTTCGTACATTCAAGGTCATTAAACTTTTGTCTATCTAGCCGATGCATCCATGGCCTGCTGAGCCTCAGTGATGCCCTCCTTCAGCGCGACAATGGCACGGTCAATGTCATCACGGTTGGGGTCAGTGACACTGACTCCCATGTGGCCGAAACGGATGTACTGGGTAGCAATCTGCTTGTGCAGACCACCAGCGAATACAACACCACGCTGCATGAGCTTGGGCAACACGTCGGGAGGTGTCATGCCCTTGGGAAGGTAGATGGCAGTCATACCATTGGCCTGGTTCTCGGGCTTCTCAGCCAGCTGTGTAAGACCGAGGTCAGCAACAGCCTTCTTGACCTTTTGCGAAGCCTTGCGGTGAGCGGCGAAGCGGTCGGCCAATGGGATGGAAGTGATTTGAGTAAGAGTAGTGTGCAGAGCGTGGACAAGCTGGGGCGAAGGAGTGGCAAAGTATGAGGGTTTGCCAGCCTCGTAGTTTTGCATGACTGTACGCGTCAGTTAACACGATCGAGGAAACACAGAGGAAGTGCTTACTCGGCATCCAGTTCTTCCATGAACCAAAGTATGAGGTAGGGGGAACCTTGCGGCTCTGGAAAGACTTGATGGCACGGCCAGAAGCCATGACAATGCTCAGACCAGCTGGACATCCAATGGCCTTCTGAGAGGCAGTAATAACACAGTCAATTCCCCACTTGTCGAACTGAATCTCCTCACAGCCGACACTGCAGACACCATCGACAACGACCAGCGTATCGGGGCTGACCTTGTGGACAAGCTTGCTGAGAGCTTCGATCTCGCTGAGAACACCAGTCGATGTGTCGACGTGGGTGACAGTCAAGAGCTTGTACTTCTTCTCTTTGAGGGCCTTCTCGACTTCGTCCAATTGAGGACGGTCGCCAATGGGTGCCTTGAGCTGAGTGGCCTTGACACCGTATGTCTCGAAGCAATCAGCGAAGCTGTCGGCAAAGTAGCCGGTGTGGAGGACGAGGACATCATCTCCGGGTTCGGCCAAGTTGGCAGCGACCTGATCCCATCCGAGGGTACCAGAGCCAGAGATGACGAAGGGCTGCGAGGCGGGGTCCTCGGTCTGGAACAGCTTGCGGAGCATGGTCAAGGTCTCGCCGAACGTCTTGACAAAGGGTGCGCCTACGTGCGACTCGCTGGTGGCTGTCAGTCAATGCTTGGTATGGTACCAAGACGCAATCCATACCTGTAATGGCTCATCGACTGCAGGACCTGGTCATCGAATTCAATGGGGCCCGGGATGAGCAGAGCGGGATGGGACGGCTGGCTCGACATGTTGGTTTTCTTCTCTTCTTGGACAGCTGGTACAGGGTTGTATGGAACGTCGTCAGGGGGACTGGATTGGCGCTCGTGTGCGTAAGGTGTATTCAACTCGAGTTGAGGTCTCTGGTCAAGGTGTCTCGAGATGAGACTCAGGCGGGATTGAGGAGCCACTTTGCTGGTGATGGCGGGGTCCGCCGATTGTCAAGTGCGGGGATATGGACGATGTCGGAGCAATCGATCGTGATTGGTGCTGAGGAGCGAGTGTGAGATTATCCGCTGGGCCGTCTGCGTCTGAGTATCTTTTATGCTGTTCAAATCGACGCGTGCGTGGATAGAAAAAAATGTTGCGATTCTCAATTGGCGGCAAATCGGAAGACATGGATTACGGAGACAAGTCACGACTCACGACATCGGCGGCTCCCCGATCTACTCTCGGCCCGGTCCTTGGAAACACAACTGCCGACCCCAGCCATCTTCTCCATTCTTCGACCAAAACAGATCACTGATGCAGTGTGAAAGTTGGTATTGATGTGTTCGATGGACGAGAAACTCGACCTGCGTCAGAACGTAATGTTGATTCCTTTCCCGAAGGAATGTCTTGAGTGGTAAATTCCCAAGGTTGATGTACCCAAAATGCACTTACTCCACCGATGCTGTTCTTTCATGATTACATGACAGGATCACGCCTCTGGTCCTGTCCTTTTTTGCGGCAACGAGTCTATGAAGTCTCGCGGACAACCTTGTCAACAGCCTTGGCAAAGTATTCGACGTTGTTGGTGTTGAGGCCAGCCATGCCTATACGAGGTCAGTAGGTATTGGAGAGTCAAGATTGGGGTCAAACTTACTGATTCTGCCGTTCTTGGTCATGTAAACATGGTCGTCGGCTCTGATCTTCAAGACCTGCTTCTCGGTCAAGCCGGTGAAACTGAACATACCAATCTGGTTGATGATGTGGTCCCAGTTGCCAGGAGTCTGCAGCTCGTCAAGCTTGGCCTTGAGAGCCTTGCGCATCGAGATGATGCGACCACTCATCTCACGGAGGTTCTCCTCCCACTCGGCAAAGAGCTTATCGTCGTTGAGAATGACTGACGCAATGCGGGCACCGTATGCAGGAGGGTTGCTGATCTCAGAGCGCTGGAGGATAGCAAGCTGACTGCCGACACGGACAGCGGTGTCAGCAGCCTCAGAAGCAGGACCGGTGACGAAGTGGAAGCAACCAGCACGCTCGCCATAAAGACCGAAGTTCTTGGCGTAACTCTGGGCAACGAACATCTCGAAGCCCTGCTCGACAAAGTAACGGATAGCCCAAGCATCCTTGTTCAGATCACCGGATGCAAAGCCTTGGTATGCGCAGTCGAAGAAGGGGAACTGAGACTTGCTCTTCATGAGCGAGGCAATCTCCTTCCACTGATCTTGGGTAGGGTCGACACCTGTGGGGTTGTGTGCGCAAGCGTGGAGCAGGATGACACTGCTCTCAGGGGCCTGCTCTATCGTCTGGACCATGCCCTTGAAGTCAAGACCCTTGGTCTCAGCAGAGAAGTAGGGGTAGTTCTTGATGGGGAGCTTGACATTTGAGAAGATCTGGTTGTGGTTGGCCCACGTAGGGTTTGAGACGTAGATAGTCTTGGCCTCTGAGTTGGAAGGGTTGTAGAACTTGGCCAGGAAAGCAGCGCCCAGGTGGACAGCTCCAGTTCCTGAGATGGTCTGCAGAGAAACGACACGCTTCTCCTTGAGGGCGGGCGAATCGGCACCGAAGATCAGCTTCTGAGATGCGGTTGTGAAGTCGGCGAGACCAGCAATAGGTAGGTACTCGTGATTGAGGTTGGGATCTTGACGAAGGAGGTCATCGGCCTGTAAACAAATAATTAGCCTCGAGTGACTATGGATACATTGCATCTCCCTCCTGATCTTTGTGTAGATTGAGAAAGATATAGAGATCAAGCGCGCACCTTCTTTACAACGGGTAACACCCAGGGCTTTGCGTTGTTGTCTCTGTAAGCTCCGATACCAAGATCGACCTTCTTTGGGTCAGTATCGCGGCGGAAGGCGGCCATCAATCCAAACAGGGGATCTTCAGGTGCCTGGGGCACAATGTTTGCGCCGAACGATGAGGCCTTCATTGTGTTTGTGGTAGACATGTGGGAGGTGATCTGTTGGAGGCGAGATTGAGGGTCTGAAGAAGTCGAAGTGGAAACCATTTTTGTCTCCTTGGAAGCACACCACCGGCGGGGTCTTGCGGAGTGAAAGGCGGGCAAGTCGCAGGATCGGCCTTGGCGGGCAGCGTGATACACGAACTCAGCCTGAAGCCTTGTCAAATTCCGATGATCGGCTGAGTATGAGATGTTGTTTGACGTTTTCTACACAGAAGAGAGGAACTTCGAGGACAAAAGGCGAGCTGATAGTATCTGCATCACGCCAGCATGTTTATTGCTTGTACTCTATCGACAACCTCGGGATCCCCACGCTTCTCGTGCTCACAAGACGTTCCGAGGCATCGTCTCCTCGATCGATCGGTCCGGTTTTAACCCGCACCCTTCAGACCAAACGCCGATCGCTCAGCGAATGATATCGTCTCGATACCTAAGCCTGGTCTTCATAGTAGCACTATCAGAACATATGAAGACTGCCGGTCAAGGCCGCTTATCATCGGCTCAGGTTGATTACCTCGAAATATCTCAGAATATCAAATCCCACACGACGAGGAAGGCACAGAAAGCACACGTTCCATGGAACAAAAGCCTTGCTGTGCTGGGCCGTTCGCTCGCTTTCTTGAGTTCTTTGTTTCCCCTGCCAATATTTTCAGTCGTGAAGAATGAGTCCTGCACCAGTTGCTCAATGTGCTCGTTTTGCTCTGTGAGATTGGTGACAAGAGTTGACTGTAGTTCGGAAATCTCAATCAGAGAACGTTCCGCAGTGCTGTACACACAGTTAGTATTCTGTTTTTAGAAATTGGCCCAATCTCAAGAACATACCGGACTTGATCTAGCGTGTCCTGATAATGCTTCATCATGTCCTGGTTCTCCTGCGCAAAGAGCTGCATCTGCTCATCACTCAACTGAGGCTGTGCCCTCTCCTGCTCCTGCGCTGCTGGTTTCTCCGAATCTACAGCAGCATCGAAGCTTTGAGAGAAGGGAATGCTGCTGCCCTTGGTCTTGTATAGCACGCTCTTGCTCTTCTCAACTTCGCGTTGTATTCTGATCTCCATCATTGTGCTTTGGAGAGTACCGGTTTCTCTGAGCTTGGCCTGGAGATACCAAACGATACCCTCCCGGTGTGCGTTCAGCATCTTCTGCCTAGCCTCCTCTAGCTCTTCCTCTGCACTCTTCGCGGTAACGGCTCCTCCAGCAGCCCATCTTCCAATGGCACCTAGTCCACCCTGATTGCGCTTGCGTAACGCGACATGCGATGCGGTATCCTGTCTGATTTGCTCGGTCTGACCTATACGTTCGACAGCAGCATGCAACTGTCGCAACACTGTCTTGGCCTCGGCATCAATTGCAGCTCGCTCCGTATCGGACAAGTGCCGTTGTGCTGTATCCTGTGTGCTTTTAAGGTCCGTGGAATTCTGTCGTTGTGGTCGTCTAGGTGCAGGAGCGGTGGATAAGTATGAAGGTCTGATAGCACGAAGGTACGTAGTGAGATCCGCTATGCGAGCATTCTGTATCCATGTCAGTCGTTGGGTAGGCTTCCAACAAGAGACTCGCGCCTACAATGCTGTATGCTTCTTTGAGAAACTCGTCTAGCCGATCGATAGAATAACGATGAGATGTCACTGGCGGTGCGTTGTGAGCTTTGAGCGCTGTGTTGAAGACTGCCGTGATATCGGCCATGATCGCCTAGGGTGTATAGACAAAGTTGCTGATGTTAAACTTCTTTGACCAGCTTGTCGCATGTGAACTTCCTACGTAGCTCTTTCCCAGACTGACGTTGTCTTGGCGCAAGCTCCGGCAACATGTCTGTCTCGCCGGTACCGGCGACGGCGACTTCGTGACCTGCCTGACGTGCCTCATTGCCCTATCATAAGTCGTCTTTTGATAGCAATACCACGGGAATCGGCATTGAAGCATTGCTTTGCAAGCACAGATAGGCACATACGGTAAGGCTCTAGGTAAAAACGAATTCCTTCCTCTCTTCTTTTCTCCATACCAAACCTCTACATGTCTTCTCCACTACAAACTCATCAGAGTCTTCGACGTGAGCAAACTCAAGGAGGCGAATCTACGAGCCCTGTCTCAGCAGAAGCCAACCACAATACAGCTCTCGAGCGAAATGATAAGCAGCACTATATTGGCGAAGCAACGGAATCAGTACATGATGTCTCGCGTTCGACTTCACACGATCAAGTTGCTTCGTCCATAGGAGAAGACGATACACGGGATCTTGAAGCGAGTATCGCAGAACCGCCTTACACTATATTCACGTCGAGTCAAAAGAGATTCATCGTCTTATTGACAGCTTGTGCGGGCTTCTTTTCTGCCGTAAGCCGACTAGCATCTTGCTTTTCACAATGCTCTGTTAACATCCGCAGGTCTCGGCAAATATCTATTTTCCTGCTTTGAATTCTCTCACGAAAGACTTCAATGTCTCCTCCACGCAAATCAACCTGACTTTGACGACATATATGATCTTTCAAGGTATAGCGCCTACTATCATGGGAGATTTGGCGGACATGGCTGGTAGACGACCGGCATACTTTGTGTGCTTTGTCATCTACATCGGTGCTTGCATAGGCATTGCACTATGTCAAGACTATGCCTCGCTACTCATCCTGAGATGTCTGCAAGCCACCGGCTGTGCTGCAACAATTGCTCTGGGAAGTGGTGTTGTGGCCGATATCGCAACGAGTGCTGAAAGGGGAACGTTCATGGGCTATGTCACATCCGGTCCCATGGTCGCCCCTGCTTTAGGTCCAGTTCTTGGCGGCATTCTGGCACAATTTCTAGGTTGGCGATCCATCTTTTGGTTTCTGGTCATCCTCAGTGCCTGCTACCTTGTACCGTTCCTCATCGCGTTTCCGGAAACTGGTCGCAATGTGGTTGGAAATGGATCAATCAAGCCTCAGAGCTGGAATCGATCGCTCATAAACTACCTCCACGAGAGAAAGGTTGCTAAAGCACCAGCCTTGACACGCACGGTAACTCGTGAGAGCATCCGTCTCGAGGAAGCCCGGCTGGCTAAGGCACGCAAACTGCGCATTCCCAACCCGCTCAAGACACTCAAGATAGTCTTCGAGAAGGATACTGGACTTTTGTTGCTGTACAACTCCTTGGTGTATACAGCCTTCTACGATGTGACGGCGAGCATGCCATATCTTTTCGGCATGATCTACAACTACAATGACCTCCAAATAGGTCTTTGTTTCATTCCATTTGGCATAGGCTGCTTGATCGCTCCAATTCTGGGAGGGAGAGCTCTTGATTGGAACTTCCGCCGTCTAGCCCTCAAGCACGGTTTCCCAGTCGATAAGAAGCGAGCAACTGATCTCAAGGACTTTCCCCTAGAGAAGGCTCGCATTCAGGTTACGTGGCCGCTTGTTGTTGTCGGCGATGCAGCCTTATTGTGCTATGGTTGGGTTATGCACGTAGAGACCAACCTGGCTGCACCCTTGGTGTTGCTGTTCTTCATCGGACTCTGCTTGACAGGAGCTTTCAACTGCAATAGTGTCATGCTGATTGATCTGTATCCGCTGAGCCCCTCGACGGCGACAGCGGCAAATAACCTCGTCCGCTGCTTTATGGGTGCTGGTGGAACAGCCATCATTATCATCATGATTGAGAGTATGGGCAGAGGATGGTGTTTCACGTTCATTGCAGCTGTAGTCATGCTCTTCTCGCCCATACTCTGGGTGCTTGAGAAATACGGACAAGGGTGGAGGAATGCAAGAACGCAAAGGCTAGAAGAAGAGCAGGCAAAGAAGCAGAAGGCCGAGCAAGAAGAAAAGGCCGAGGAGTTACACGCGTACGAAAGTCATGCTGAGGGACGAGACAAGGTCTGAGTTTCAAGGCCAGGACCTGGGTGGCCTTAATGACGAATCAACACATAGACACACGAGCCTTCTATCACACCTTGATGGTCGGTGGTATAGCTCCACTCGTCCTTGAAATGGTTGTCCAATCGGCGGAGCAGAGTTTCAGATCTCTCCGGCTAAACTTTAGAGTTTCGGAGAGAGTAGGGAGCTAAGGGGATAGAAGCGTGGACCATCTTCACATGCAAAAAACTAGAAACGGCCACAACAGTCGAGCAGGCTCTTGAAGGTGAGAATTATCTCACTGGGATGCCGGATGATTGAATGTCGGGTATCACCTTGTAGGTGCGCGTGTGTAAGGCTCAAGTGCGATGGTAAGCCAGCGAAAAATAGAAAGTTGTGCGAGTAAGGGGACGAAATTGAAGAAGAATGGGCGCGTCCAGACGTGTAGAAAACCGGAGAGGATCGTCAAAAACGAGGCGCGGGTTGAATCATGAAGGAAGAATTTTGGCCACACGGCGCGCCAACAAAGACCGAAACTCGCAACGCTCTTTTCTTTGCTTGACTCTCACTCTCTCCCTTCAGTAACGAAGCACACGACACTTGTGGAAGACACTCTTTTCTGCTCACGCGACATCTGCTATTATTCCGTATTCCGTATTCCGTCGCTACTTGCCAGCGCTTTCGCAAACTACAAGCAAAAAATCAAGGACCAAGGGATCAACAAAAGGCCCCAACGCTCTCTCCCGTCCGCCGGCTACCAGTCCGCACTCCCGTATATCTTCCACACTCTCGACCCAACTCCGTCTTCTCCGCCAACCAGTCCCTCTTCGCAACAATGAAGTTCTTCGAGTCGCAACACGAGTTCGACTACTCATGGGAGGAGGTCTCGACTGCAAACTGGCGCAAGTACTGCCCATGGAACGACAAGACCACTCACGTTATCGCCGTCGACACTATTTCGCGTCATGTTGACCCGACCACCGGCATCGTGAGTTTCCTTTCTAATTATTTCACCCTCACGTCCAGTGACTAACCATCATCCCAGCTCCGCACTGAACGTCTCATCACTTGCCAGCAATCCGCTCCTAAGTGGCTCAGCTCCTTCCTTCCTGGCGCCGAAGTCTCGCAAGTCTACGAAACCTCCTACGTCGACCCCTCGGCCAAGAAGGTTACCATGTGCAGCATGAACATGACCTTCAACGACCTCCTCTCCGTCCGCGAAACCGTCGTATACCGCCCCTCTCCCGCCGGCCCCAACTCTCGCACAATCTTCCAGCAATCCGCCCAGATCACCGCCTTCTGCGGCGGCTGGCAAAGGATCAAGAACAGTATTGAGGAGTTCACTGTCGAGCGCTTCAAGCAAAACGCCGTCAAGGGTCGCGAAGGCTTCGAGGCCGTGCTCGAGATGAGCAGAAAGGTCTTTGCCATGGAAAGAGAACGCCAGCGCCTTGCCATCGCCGCATAAGCGTGCCACTCTCGACTGTTGACTTGCGACTCTTTCTCTCTCATCACTGCTCTGCCGTTATTCTTCGACGATTTCTCACCCCGTCCTGCGTTCCAGCGATTGGTGTTTCATGGCGTTTTTCTTCTCATCACAGGATAGACATTATCCTCTCCGCACAAAACTAGGGTTGTTGGCTGGCTTGCATTCTCTCTTTCTTTTTTTCCATATACCACCACACGCACGACACGAGGTCTCCGATGCTTTAAAAAGTTCTGTTTTTTGTTGTTTTCTAGAAGGGATATCTAGATGGGAGGCTAGAGGTTTTGCTCCGCTCTGTCATTTTCTATCAGCGATAATATCCACCCTCTTCTATCCAAGTATAGATGGTGTTAATGTTGTATCAATACCATACATACGATTGAAATATCCCTACGCTTCCACGTCTGCATTGCTAGTGTTGCCTAAAATGCCCCCTCATCGGCGATTTTTCCGCCGCATGAGGAATGCTGACCCAGTGACTGCTTGTCTTTCCAAAGGGCGTTTGCTGAGGAGGAACCAATCACTATACTACCGCAAGTTGCTGACAACTTCACTGAAGCTGCGCGAGCTTGACATGGATCACAGATCAGAGCTCGAATATCAGGATCGAGGCGTTCTAAAGCCATCTGTACAAAGCATTTCAATTGTTTGGTAACAAGTACCATGCATGGATGATTTTTAGACACTACTCCCAAGAAGGCGCTTCATGATGGGTGGGACAAAAAAGGACAATCCGCACACTCAGCCTTTGTTCAATTTCCTTAGTTCCTTCTACCTCCAAAACTCTCCCTTCATACCTCACTCACACTCAATCCCAACCAACGCCCCCTTGACACCACCAAGCTTACACAAATACAACTCCTCCTCCCCAAACATCCACATCCCCTCCCTCGAAAAACAGAAATTAGCCACGCAACCACCAACCACAACTTTCCCAATCAACGTCCCCTGCTTATCCCACACGTGCACTCCATCCCCACACCCCGAATACACATTCCCCGCCTCGTCACATTTGATCCCATCAGGCACCCCATTATCACAGTATGCGAAAACCCTCCTGTTGGCAAGCTTGGTGCCATGCTCAACGACATCGTATTCATATATCGTAGCCGGCAGCCTCGGGTTCATGGAAAAATTATGCCCGTCGCCCGGGCCCGAATGCGCTTGACAGGCGCCGGTATCAGTGACGTAGAGGGTGGCATAGTCGGGAGAAAAGCACAACCCATTGCATTGTGCGAAACCATCGGCCACACACCAAACCTCCCCAGTGGAAGGCTTATAGCGGTAGATTTGAGAGGGTAAGTCGGGGGTGGGCCGGAAAGCTTGTTCGTAGCCGTAGGTCGGGTCTGTGAACCATATGTCGTCGTTCGCGTGGTGGATTATCACATCGTTTATGCTGTTGAAAGCGCGGCCTTGGAAATTGGTTATCAGTGCTTCTGAGGTGGAGGTGGATGGGTCCACGAGCACTAGAGCGGATGGAGAGGTTTTGGAGCCTTGACAACAGTATAGGATTTTGTCTTTGTAGTTGCATGCGCCGTTTGCTTGGACTACGCCTGAGAAATCGTCATCGGACACTTCGAGGGTAGAGGCATCGACCGAGTAGAGAGCGATGGGGTCGCAGGTTTGGAAGTTTGCGGTAAAGTAGACGCGGTTGGTGGATTTGATGTACACGCCTGCTTCATGAGCGAACTGATAATCACGGCTTTGGACCTGAGTGATTGAAGGGTCATCGCCGAGGATTTTGGTAAAGGCTTCGTTGTAGATGCGGAAGCCTTTTCCTCGGGACAGCTGTTTTCCGTAGTTGAGATCTGTGGCCATGCGTTTGAGGTCGACGGTGATGGTGTCGGTCTGGAGTTGCATGGGTTTCTCGGATGGGTTCTCCGGCTTGTGGGTGTCTGTTGGGAGTTCTCCTGACATGGTGGGTGCTATTCTCGAGGTTGAGGTCGTGGAATGATATCTAAGTGGTCACACTTAACTTCTGCTGATGCCGTGGGATATTAGGAACGTCTCGTGAATAGCCACTTACATGAATAAGTAGTCTACACTCTGTACAGGTCATAGGGTTACTAACGATGAGTTGGTCTATGAAGATGGCACCAGTGAGTTTTGATCCTCCTGAGGCTCAATTGATGTCGGCTTCTGCTCTCGGCTACTGCCCAGAAGCTTCATCGCACTTCTCACCGTGTGTCTCTTCAGCCTGTATAGAACGGAACTCCCAATTTGGCTGCGTTACAAAAATCCGTACCACTAACTAATTGAATACGATTTGATCAATTCATGTCCATCTGTATAGACCGATCTTCATACCAAGTCAAGATGCCGCGGATGTAGTTGTGAGGATGAATGGAACCTCGGCATGTGCGAGCTCTCTCCGCATCGTCTCCGCATTGCTATGCCCCGCTGTGTAACCGCTACCTGGATGGTCAAGGGTCGTTTCCCTGTCTAATAGAATCGTACCATATAGTTGTTACAAGCCAACAGCGACATTCACAAACCATCGAATTCGATCAGTAACAAACAAAACCAGCATCATGGGCAAGAAGACAAGAGCACCATGCTACGTCCTGGGCGTCGGCATGACCAAATTTATCAAGCCCAGAGGCAAAGTCGACTACACAGAGCTAGGGTTCGAAGCCGGTGTCAAAGCCATGCTAGATGCTCAGATCAACTATGACGATGTAGAGCAAGGCATAGCATGTTACTGCTATGGTGACAGCACCTGCGGTCAACGCGTCTTCTACCAGTTCGGCATGACACAAATCCCCATCTACAATGTCAACAACAACTGCAGCACTGGCTCTACAGGTCTCAACCTTGGCCGCACCATGGTTGCTAATGGAGCTGCCGACTGTGTCCTCGTAGTCGGGTTCGAGAAGATGTTCCCAGGCTCTCTGCAAAGTTTCTTCCAGGACCGTACCAATCCTACCGGCACCACTGTCGACATGATGAAGGCGACTAGAGGGATCACAAACGCCCCCGGTGCTGCTCAAATGTTCGGCAATGCTGGAAGAGAGTATATGGAGAAGTACGGAGCAAAGAAGGAGGACTTTGCCGAGATTGCAAGAGTCAACCACGAGCATTCGAAGCGTAACCCTTACTCTCAATTCCAGGATGAATACACTCTGCAGCAAGTCATGGACTCGACATCAATCCACGAACCTTTGACGAAACTTCAATGCTGCCCTACTTCGGATGGTGGTGCGGCTGCAGTTCTGGTTTCTGAAGACTTCTTGAACGCTCGACCACACCTCAGAGAACAAGCCATCCTCATCGCTGGACAGTGTCTTGCTACCGATGCAACTTCGCTGTTTTCGCGCAGCAGCATCGATCTGATGGGGTACGAGATGACAAAGAATGCAGCCAAGGTCGCTCTGTCAGAAGCAGGCGTCTCCATTTCGGAAGTCAAGGTGTGCGAACTTCACGATTGCTTCTCGGCCAACGAAATGATTGTGATTGATGCACTCGGGTTGAGCGAGCACGGCAAGGCACATGAGATGGTGCGCAAAGGAGACATAACTTACGGCGGAAAGATGGTGATCAACCCATCGGGTGGACTCATTTCCAAGGGTCATCCCCTCGGAGCAACAGGTATTGCACAGTGTGCAGAGCTGGTATGGCATCTGCGTGGCTGGGCCAACAACCGACTGGTGAAGGGCACGACAGCAGCATTGCAGCACAACCTTGGCTTGGGTGGTGCTGTGGTAGTTACTGTATACAAGCGAGCGGATGGCAAGGCAAGCGAGTCGATGGACTCGCAGACGGTCGGACAGAAGAACGGACTCGGATACAACCCTGCTGTTGAAGCCAAGGGTTTCAGCAAGGACCAGGTGAACCGGGTCCGCAGCAAGCAACACAGGAGTGACTGGGCGCTGGCAGACACGGAGCGAAAGGTGGAGGCGCGATTCTGAGGAAGGGAAAGATGGGACCTGCCCACGGTTTATGTTTCTTTCTTGACAGTAATGCAAGCAAATTGTATGCGACTCCATGATTCCCGATGCATCGTGTTGCTTTAGACGGCTTGAGGCTGACCGTCAGCCTCTCCCGAGTTGACTTTCTTGCCGGTCTTCTTGATCTTCTCAAGCACTGTGTTGTAGTCGAGGGAAGGTTCGGTCACGACCTTTGCTGTTTGGCTGTCGAGGGAAACGTCGAATGACTTGACACCTGGGAGACTCGTCAGTAGATTGTCTTGGTAGTATTCGGAGGTAGATACACACCGTCGAGCTTCTTGAGGACACGCTCAACAGCGCCGGAACAACCGCCGCAGGTCATGGTGATGTTGAAGTTGTATGTATGGTCCGACATGTTGATGTATTTGTGTTTTGAGACGCTTTACAGGTAGAGAGGAGTTGAAGATGGAAGGAACAGGTACAGGAAAGAGGAATGTCAGCAAGTGTAAGATGGGGAAGGAGGGGATGGCGTGCTGGTGTTTCGGACATTGGATAGGAAGGCGCCAAGAGCTTGATTACATGTTCCAGGCCCTCCCGTTTGGCCATTCGTGATGCCACTTCATTCTATCAGAGTATCACTGGCAATGTGTTTCTGTTGCCCTTGTGATAGGAGAAACTAAATCAATCATCGGTATAGACACCTTGATGGCAAAGAGTGGCATGTCTCATGGTATGCAAGGTATTCGATGAACCAAGACGCCGCCGCAGAAGCCACACTTCTGAAGCTGAGCCACAGTCTCCCGCATGACGTTTCGCATCAACAGTCAAAGGCACTTTTGATCTTTTGCGCGTTACAGCATCACGACCTCCTAGACCTTCGCTTGCGCCATGGCTTCGTATGCTGCTCTGCTCAGTCGCGCCATAGCTCACTCATGACTGACATAGACAGGAGCAACATTCTACACCTCCCGTTCCGTCGGACGCACAATGTGTCCATCGCCGAAGCAATCAAGCGCTACATCTCGACCAAATATGACCAACATCCGGACATGTTCACCACCGACCTCGAGCACATAGACCACCTCCGACATGCTGCTGTCCACGCCCTCGAACCTCACACCAGCGGTGTCCGCAAGATTCAGCAGTATGCTGCCCAACTGGTCTGGATGGGCGCAAAGTTCCCCGTCGACATCGGTCTGGAGTTCATCTGGTATCCTGCGCTAGGCTACAACACCCAGCGACCCTTGTCTCAAGACAACATCCGCTTTGAGCTCGCCAACATCCTCTTCAACCTGGCCGCCATGTACTCGCAACTGGCCATGTCCTCCAACAGAAGCACTGGAGATGGCCTGAAAGCTGCCTGCAACTACTTCTGCCTGTCTGCCGGTGTCATCTCTCATCTGAAAACGACCATTGTCCCAGATATGAGGACTGCTCCTCCAGAAGACATGGACACCTCTACACTTGAAAGTCTAGAATATCTTATGCTCGCTCAAGCTCAGGAATGCTTCTGGCAAAAAGCCGTCAAGGATGGTCTCAAAGATGCCAGCATTGCAAAACTCGCTGCTAAGGTCAGCGACTTCTACAACGAGGCCGGTGATTGGGGCATTAAGAGCGATTCCGTCAGCAGCGAATGGATTCACCATATGAACGCTAAGCACCACCACTTTGCTGCTGCTGCCCAATACCGTGCCGCCTGTGACTGTCTGGAGAAGAGAAAATACGGCGAGGAGGTTGCTCGTCTGCGCGACAGTCTCAAATGCGCTGATGAGGCTCTGCGCGAGGCCAAATATGTCAACAAGGCTGTACAAGACGACCTGAATGGCCTTAAGACAAGAGTCTCAGAAGACCTGAAGAGAGCCGAGAAAGACAACGACATGATCTATCTTTTACCCGTGCCGCCTAAGTCGGAGCTTAGAACGCTTGACAGAGCGAGCATGGTGACTGCCAGGGTGCCTAAGGAAGTCTCGGAACCATTGACCATGCTAGGAGACCACGGGGAACTCGGCAAACCGCTCTTCTCGAAGCTGGTACCATATTCAGTCCACGTCGCAGCAAGCATCTATGTGGACAGGAGAGATCGACTAGTAAACAACACAATCGTACACGAGCTCGAGGATCTTACCGTGAGAATACACGATTTGTTGAAGTCTATTGGTCTCCCTGGATCGTTGCAGGCGCTGGAAAAACCACTTGGTCTTCCTCCGAGTGTGGCCAGCCATGCTGAGGAGGTCCGACAAATGAATGGTATCTACCGACTTCATGGTGCCATGGCAGACACAGAGAAACTGAAGAACAGTGACCGCGCCACTTATCAGGAAGGTGTTGAGATGCTCCGCTCAGAATCAGCCGAGGACGATGCCGCGCGACGAAAATTCGGGACAGACAGATGGGCTAGACCGCCCTCAAACGAGGCATCACGAAAGCTTTACTCTCAAGTCACGGAGATCGACGGATACCTCAAGCAAGCAGCTAACAGCGACAAGCTTGTCCAAAAGAAATTGAAGGACAACGAGGCCTTGATTCGCCTGCTTGCCGGAACAGACCGTGATCTCGAGGATTACGTTCCAAGCAGTCGACGTGCAACGATGACTACCAAGGTCGAGCGCGAGGCCAACACTCTCCGTGCTGTGCTCAATGATATCGCCCGTTTCGAGAACCGTCGCAAGCGGAAGATCGAAAATGTTCGGGCAAAGGCCAAGTCCGACGATGTCAACGCCGACTTGCTTCGCGAAGCTGCTCGACTCGAAAGAGAGTATCCAATGCAGACACTCGAGGCAATTCAATTCGAAAGCTTTTTCGATCAACGACTCGAGAGATACGCCGCCGACCGCAACGAAATCAACGAAGAAAAGACCGAACAGGATGATCTGCTTGAACGTGTTCAACAAGCAAACAATTCGTTCAATGTTGCCAGAAAAGGAGACACTTCTACAAAAGACCGCGAACAAGCTTTGCAGAATCTGGAAAATGCATACCTCGCGTACAAGGAGATTATCTCAAACCTTGAGACTGGTCGCAAATTTTACAACGACCTTGCCAGCATAGTCACACGCTTCCGCGACGACTGCCGCAATTTTGTCTATCAACGACGCGCTGAAGCTTCAGCCCTCGAGAACGACGTTAGCACCTCCATGGCTCAGATGAGTTTGCAGAACGCCAACCACACCAACCTGCGCCAACAGAAGCAGCAAGAGACGTTGTTGAATCAACAACAGCCCCGTGGAACGCCACGGACAGGGCCGCCGCTGGCAGCGCCCTTACCAACCAGAGCCAACGTCGCACCTCCCTCTGTAGCGGCGGCTACGTCGCCTACTCCGGGTATGTGGACGCCGGAAATGGGTATTCGGTTTGGAGGATCCAGCGCTGCGGCATCTCCCATGGCAGCTGCAGCAACCAATGATGGTAGTTCTAATAAAACACGCGACAACAGATGGGACCCAAGCACACAGAACATCCAGTTCAGGTAGGTGCATTTTCCGGATGTTGTTTCGGGACAGGTCAGAGCGTTGGAAAAGGCAACTACTCCCGGAGTTGAGCGAAAAGCATCCACTAAGGGGGTATGTTGTGCATGCGGAGGAATCCGGTAGCCCCTGGTACACGTATGTTGAGACAAGGGCTTGAGGCTCTTACATTGCAGGTTGACAAGCCCTTAACCAGCGAGTCATTCTATGGTTTGATCATGCTCCGCTCTTAGGAAGGTACTTGAAGTACCGATCAGACTCCACTTGTCTTCACTCGCAGGTGGGAGATAACCACGACTATCTTGAGCCGCCGGATTCATTCGAGAACCAAAAGCTTGGTATAAGCTGGAGATGGATGAGAAGACCCTAGCTGAATCCTTCTTGGTATGGGGCGCCGGCTAGTTGCGACATCGAGGAGAATCAACGACGGTACATCGTCTCAGCGCTCTATCTCCGGGCTAGTTACCAAAAATCTGAAGTGACGTTTTACCGAGGTCTTGGGTCATGGCTTCGGGTAGTCTTGCCCTTGCAACGGCGCGCGCTCCGTGCGTCTCTATCAGAGATCAATTCATCTTTGTGTGCTGCCAATGGCAGGTCAAAGGTCATCAGCACATTGAAATTTTGTCTTCTTCTCGTCTATTCTTCGTTGTCAGGGCTCGGTATCAAAGACCACGCCTCAATGCATGGCAGTGGAAATACGACTCCGCCCCAGTGATTATGCTCTGACTTCCACGAGAAACGCAAGTGGCAGTCACGCTAAACAGGGGACTTTACTCTACGCGGCGCAAAGCTTTTATGGAGGTCAGTGACCAGCCAAGGCTTGAAAAGTCAAAGTAACTTTCAAAAGTCATTCCTCTGATTCATGATGAACGCAAGGTACGAAGATACGTAGGCAGAGCACATCATACACAAGTCACGCGAGATGATCCCTATGCCTTTACAGTCCATCAGATCCAGGCGACCTCGAACATGAACGGGAGATCGCTGTATATCAGATTGCATTTCTGCGTGAACCACCATCTGTTTCTCCGCCCCGGGTGAGATGCGGACAAGATGCGTCGCAAGACATACCCCTCTCTTCGGAAGAGTTAGAATCTATACCAGAGTTGCAATTATTACAGCGAGAGGGCTCTGTAAGGCCAAGGCTCAAGCCACAGTGGAGGAAGACGGACTCCGACTCGTGGACAAGGTGACTGCTTGGCCCAGCTAAATCACGACCTATCGAAGCATTTCGCCTGCCGGGACTAGGCTTCTCTACCGGCCAACGGCCCACCAAAGTCTCCAAAAAAGTCCCTCTTTGACAAGTACTGGGCGAACATGTGGTTATTAATCAAGTTCTCGAGCACTATGAGGGGCTCCAGGAAGGCGCAGTCGCTGCAGGGGCAGGAAAGAGTACCGATGGTAGTGACATTGATAAGGCGATTGTGTCGCAGCAGGAACGCAAGCAAGAATGGCCCAGGCGAGACCTGTTCCCCCAGGCTCAGTTCTGAACCTGAACTCAAACAAGCCTTGAACGCTAGGACCGGGTGGCTTGAGATGGCGGCGCGCCGACACCCGAGCGCAAATCGCAGTCATGATTTGCGTCACTCGGATCCAGTAACGTAGTTTTCGCTGTTGCGTCTCCGGCGATGCCCAGAAGTTTCGAAGAACCATATCATACGGACCTTCGTAGCGGAGTTAAGATGGAAGAGTCGGCGGATCTTCAGCACGCCAAGCGGGTCAATCTTTCGTTCCTGTTTCTTGACACCTGCAAACCGGCAACCTCGGCGCTCTGGAATAGCAATGACTCGGCCTAGGCACCGCTAACACCACAACCTTAGGCCTGCGTCCCCAACTTTTCCATGGCAGCCCAAGTCGAACTCGGGATATGCCAAGGTGCATCCATCAACTGTGTTTGCGCCCGGACGCTGGTTTTACTACTGCTACGTGCCAAGAGAGAACGTTGCGTGCCCTTCGAGACTGTCCCATCTTTCATGTCCATATTTGTCACAGACGATCGTGCGCCTGGTGGCATCTTGTGGATGATGTGCAATTTTGCTCGTCTGGAGCTTCTCATGCTGTTCGTCCGTATGCCATTACTAAACCACGGCCAAGCCTTTACACCTACACTCTTATTCCCACAGTCTTAGCATCCGTCTCCTCTTATTCATCGTCGTTGACCGAAGTCAGTTGCGTCTCCATAAACTCACCGTCGCGCCTTCCTTCTGTCAATTTACCTTTCCTGCCATCTGCTCTCTTTAACTTTTCTCTTTCAAGCTTACCTAACCTCTCCCTTTACACAAGTTGATTGCCTGCCCTTCTGAAATTCCACTCTCAACACTGTTCTGCTTTCTCTTCACATTTCACCATTGACTTGTAATGCCCCCAAGAACAATTCTCCCCAAGGATGAACAAGGTTCGCGAGAAGGTTCGGCCAGTATGGCACCTCCGAAATCCGCAAAGCGAAAAGCCGTTTCCTCTGCGTGTATACCCTGTCGCAAGCGCAAGAGCAAGGTCCGTTGCATCGCAATGTGTCTGAAAGAATGCTCTCACTAACCTGCCCTTCTTACAGTGTGATGGAGGACTCCCTTCCTGTTCTACGTGCTTAGCGGTCTACCGCACGGACTGCAGCTACGACCAAGACACAGACCATCGTCGCAAAGGAGCACTTCGAAAAGATATAGCATCACTACAAAACAAGAACACAGCACTCGACGTGGTCATCAACTCGTTGTGTGCTCTACCGGAACACGAGGCCACTGCGCTCTTCCACAGTCTCCGCCGAGGCGAGCGACTCGACTCCCTGGCTGAGGCCATCAATGCTGGAGACACAGAAAAGTTACGAACACTAGATACCGACCTGTCTGGTCCATCAGGAACTCCAGGTGCCACGTTCCACACACAAGCTCCTTCAACGCGGAATGAATCCTCTCGAAGCCCGATTGAAGGGGAGTGGCATAAGCCAGGGAACCAGAGTGCGGCAGCAGAAGGGTCATCATCCTGGTTCCGCATACCGCAAGACGCTGAATTCGTGGACCATTTGCTCAACTTGTACTTCTCCTGGAGTCATCCGTTCTTCTGCTTCTTTTCGAAGGACCACTTCTTGAGGGACATGGCGCGAGGCTCAACCAAGTACTGCAGCGCGATGCTCGTCAATGCAGTGCTTTCAGTTGCTTGTCAGTACTCTGATCGACCTGCGGCACGCGACCGAGGAGGGGACTACTTCTTCAGCGAAGCACAGAGACATGCCGAGAATATTGGTGCGGCAGACTTGACTGCAGTACAAGCCATGGCGGTAATGGCAGTAAGAGAAGGCTCTGCAGGCCGCGACCACATCAGCTATCGCCTCTGTGGGCGTGCCGTACGCCTAGCACTGGAAATGGGTCTCCATTTGGCCGATACCACCGCAGGAGAGCCCAACTTGCGGTCTAGCGAGATTGACATCCGGAAGCTGACATTCTGGGGTGTTTTCAACTGTGAGATGATCTGTTGTCTTGCCCTAGGCAGGATTTCTTCAATCCCCAAGAACGCGATCGAGATCGATAAACGTAGGTTCTTGAGACCTCGAACGATTTTGTACCCTGATTCTGACATGTTTACAGCCTTGAACTCGGAGAAACTGGACGCACTGTTCTGGCAACCGTACGAAGACGCCAACTTGCCCGTTAGCCCCAGCGCTGTGCAGCCCATGAAGTGTCTCTTATTCCACAGTCACCAAAGCAAGCTCGCCGAGTTGATCAACGATATCAACCTTAATTTGTACGCACCTAGAGAAAGATTCACGCCTCGACGATTGGCATCAGCATACAACCAATATCAACAATGGTACAGTGAGCTGCCGGACATGTTCCAGCTCCAGAACACAGCAATGCCTCACGTCATTGTCCTCCACATGTACTACCACCAGTGTGTGCTACAGTAAGTACTACCAAGACCTATCCTTGGGATTTGGCTGATCGATCGTAGTCTATTCCGACCGTTTATGAAACTGGACCTCTCAGACATCGGGCTCTATCCCCGCGAACTAGCGACCTACTGTGCGACCGAAATCTCCAAACTTATGAATGCGCTCCGCGGAATGTATGGATTGAGGCGAACATCACTAGCCGTTAGCCCCATACTTCTGTCGGCCAGCACAGTCCATCTCATGAACCTCCCTTCTCAGGGCGCAGCAATGCAACTCACTCAAGCAATGCGTAAGTCTATCCTCAGCTTCTTATTGGCTGTATGCTAACCCCATATTAGAGGACTTGGACACTATGTCGGTGAACCACCGGTATGCTTCGTGCTGCCTCGAGGTCATCAACAGACTCGCAAACCAGTGGGGTATTCGATTGCCCGAAGGAACTGCCAATCTAGCCCCCTTCCGATCTCCAGAACCCGATCAAGCAATGCCGAACATGTCGTTGTTCTTTACTCAAGCTACACTCAGTAATGAGTCTATGGAATCACTAGTCGCCCCTCCGTCCAACAACCTCAGACACGATTCTGGAAGCATGTTTGAGCCATCTTTCGCTCCGCATAACATGCCGATCCTGCCCACACCTAGCCAGTCATCTCTGGGCTCAACATCACAACACAGCATGCACTCGACACCCATGAACACAACACCAGTTCAAGCACAGTCGAACATGTGGACAACTTTCCCATCACAACAAATGTCGGCTCCCATGCACATACAACTACCACCTGGAGATTTCGGAATGATGAATGTCGACCATCAGACCGCTTTTGGATATCAGGCATACCAACCACCTCAATGACTATCCGGCGTACCTGTCTTTTGACCAGACACGGTCACGCAACCACCGCCATCAGTGGCACCACAGGAGAACGAAAGGTGGATTCAACATTCTCCACTAGACCAAAGGCGTAGCTCATCTTCCATGATGGCTAGTAATGCGGACGCAGCATGTTGCACGTTGGGAGCAGATGATATTTCTGAGACTCATGGCAATGGCTGAGGAAACGAATAGACGTGATCCATGCAATCATATTCTTGTACATACATACAGCGACCTAATTACAACTACATAGACGACGACCCGTCACGAGAAGCAAAAAAGCAGTCTATATTTACCACCATCATCTTTTGATACGTGCTTCCCACATCCATCACAAGATCGATTTGATGACCCTTCGCTTGCATTGCTTCCAAATGATCGTCCCTCTTGATGACTGATCATCAGCAATTCCAATTGCAACAGTAGCATCGGTTAGAAAGTCGATTGCCTCGTTGTCAATACCAGGCATCTGGGCTCTGTCAGCAAGAGATCTGCACGACATGCCGTTCCAGCCAGCGTATGCCGTACAGGGAAGATGATAAGCTTGGCCATCGGAACAAGGTTCACGAGGGCAAGAAAAAGGATCGACATATGATTCGGAAGAGCAGCACCCGGGTTCGCCTTACCCGAAGGCCCTGCCAAGGGAGTGGATTGGGCCAAGGAAAAGTCAACAACACCTTTTTCATGACTCGAGGTGAAGATCTTCGTGGACAAAAAGTGGATTGTGGATAGAGGCGGTATTCTGGGCATAAGTCCGACCGAAGAAGACCGGAATGTCACCAGGGAAAGCTCGGGACTCGGATGCCGAGTGCAGAAAGCTGGGCATTCTTGATACAGAGGTGGGTTGTTTCAGATGCAAGCAACAATTGGCGATGGAAGGAAGGCCGAGAACAGGATGTGGAATTGCCGTGTTGTTTCTTTCTTCCAACGAAATCATCAGCCATCTCAACAAGAAAGTGCCACCTTGAATTCTCGAGTGAAAGTAGTGAAACGGCGCGATATGGAGGGATTCAGGAAATCAGGAGGTTGCACCTGTTGCACCGAAGCTGCCGGTCGATGACGACATCCAAAAGCTCACGAGACGTGAGAGCATTTCGAGAGCGTGACAGCGACGCGCTCACAGAAGACGGCGACTTGTCATAGTAGCCACAATCAAAACCACTGTCAAGATCAGAAATGGTGCTCGTTCCAGGATTGCTTCCGCCTTCGCGCGAGAATTGGGTCTTGATCAACAATCTCTGGCAGTTCTTCCCTGTCGTTACTGGTATCCAATGGCTCATCGACTTCTATCCTCAGGGAAAGACGTCGATTGAGTCGCGTTTCAACCTCCCTGGAAAATGGGCGTGGGCTATCATGGAAGCGCCAGGCTTCATCACGTTGCTTTACAACATGAAGACGCTGCCCAGTGAGCTCGGTCTGGGTCCTCTGCCCTGGGTCAATTGGACCATGGCTGGTCTCTACGTATGACTGTCATCTTCCTCTACCATCGACACGCATAGCTGACACGACTTGCACAGTCTGCCCACTACTTCTACCGCGCAATCCTGTCCCCGCTCGTCCTCAACCCAAGCATGTCGCCCATCCACCCTCTCGTTTTCGTCTCCGCCCTAGCCTTCAACCTGACCAACTCCCTCTGTCTATCAGGCTGGCTCGCTGGCTACGGCCCCACCACCGCCCACGACTGGGCTGGTCGCCTCTACTGGATCCAAGCCGGCCTCGTCGTCTGGGGCTGGTCTCTCCTCGGCAACATCTTCCACGACGACGACCTCCGCGAGATCCGCCGTTCCGCCCTACGCCGCCAGAAAGAGCAAGCAAAGAAGGACAACAAGCCTATCGAAGGTGTGCAGAAACTGTACATGATGCCCAAGAATGGTCTCTTCCATTACGTGCTCTTCCCTCACTACCTCTGTGAGTGGTTTGAGTGGTTGGGCTTCTGGATGATTGGAGGTTTGGCTTGTACTCCGGCTAGAGCTTTCTTGTTCAATGAGATTAGCACCATGTTGCCGAGAGCTCTGCAGGGTAGACGTTGGTATATTCAAAAGTTTGGCAAGGATAGGGTTGGCAACCGTAAGGCTGTCATTCCTGGCTTAATCTGATCTGATCTGAGCTGGTCTGATCTGGTCTGATCTGGTCTGGTTTGATTCGACACAATACGGATGCATCTGCTGAGACGCAAATGGAGACGATGCAATGTCTGCAAATGCTCATAATGACTGGCACGCGAGGAGTCGGCGTCCAACTCATGATTACTCTAATATTACATAGCAATGAGAATACTAATCGGTTACATCCAATCATGAATCTTGTCTCGGCTACACGTCCATCCGTGCGAACCACCTTAGAGACAGCCTGCAGCAAGGGCGCGTCTCGGCGTTGTTGGTAGGTCTTGAACTGCAGGAGGGCGCTTAGCACCATCTTCAACTTTTCGACTCTTGTCCAAAGTGTCACCCGTTTGATCTTCTCTTACCTTCTCCCACTCAACAACATGCCATCATGGCATTGTAGTATCGAGGACTGTCACAATCCCTCAGTACGGGTGACTGGTGATTGTACCATCTGCAATCGACATCTCTGCTACGAGCACCTCAAACCAACCTTCCATAAGTGCCCAACCCTTGACGTTCGTCCTTTTCGCATCAGCATCGCACAGTCGGCCCCAGCTTACGATTGTCCAGGATGAGGAAGACTACTATCCAGCTTATGCCAATGCAGAACAAGAAGAAATCGAGACATTAGGCCAGAAGATCAATTACGCCGCACTGGAAACCCATGCCATGGCTCTTCGTCCAGGCATACTTTGTCACGCTAGTCCTCTCCGCTTCGATAGACAGACCAAACATGAAGTAATGGGTGGTATAAACATTCATGTAAACGTCGAGTTCCAAGATGGAGTTACATGGCTCGCTCGCATCAGACGTTCAAATGCCACTTCACCGCCACCTGTTGTTCGCGACTACATCATCCTCAGTGAAATCGCAACCCTCCAATTCTTGGAAATTGTCAATGTGCCCACTCCCAGATTACTGGGGTACGCCTTGGAAACAGACGAAGGCAATAATGTGGGCGTCGGATACATGCTCATCGAAAAGCTTCCTGGAAAACCTCTCGACTGGGCACGAGCAACCGAAGACCAAAAGCACCGTATCATTGATCAACTAGCCGATCATGCGATCGAGCTATCCAAACACCCACTGGACAAGATCGGCTCTTTCAACCGACCAGGAGATGAGCATATTGGCCCCATTGCCAGAGAAGAATTCAGTGACGTTACTGACGGCGCAATACACGCTCTTGGTCCCTTTACCAGTATGCAAGAATACTACATCGGCTACCTCCACAATATCCTCGACCAAATTCTGACGCATCAACTTTACACCCATCACCCTCTGGACGCATATCTCATCCATCGGTTTCTTCTCGACTTGACAGAGCGAGTTTGGCCGGTGGAAGAGGAAAACGAAAAAATGTATCTCAACCATGCGGATGACAAGGGAGACCATGTACTCGTAGATGATAACTACACCATCACGGGTATTATAGATTGGGAATGGGCGTTTTCCGCCCCTTGCGCTCTCTCCTTCAATTCCCCCCTCGTCCTCCTCGACCTCGGAGGATTCTACGCAGGTGACCCTGCTATTTCTTTGGCGGAATCTTATTTTGCAGACGCACTGGAGAGGAAAGGCGGAATAGAGTTGGCGGAAAGTGTTAGAGGTGGGAGGAAGAGACGGTTCTTTGAGTTTTGTTGTGGGTATGATATGTACACTGATTGGGAAGGGTTTAAAGGGTTATTTGAGGGGTTGAGGAGGTGTGTGGGTGGTTATGGTGAGTTGGAGTGGGAAGACTGGAGAGAGATTGCTTTGGAGAGGTATAAAGAGGATGAAGGGGTTTTGCAATTGATGGTTTGAGTGATGTGGAAGTGCAAGAGCTGGCGAGCGTTGGGAATCATAAGGCTTCACGAAGACTTTTTCTTCATCAAATGGGGTTGTGGTCTAGTGGTATGACATCTTCTTAGCATTGCTGTTCACAGCATTACTGAGTGGAGAAGGTTCTGGGTTCGATTCCCAGCTACTCCATCCTTTTGCCTGCCATCCATCCTATCAAGCATCTTGTTTTGCTAGTGGTCATGTTGGGTGGTCATTCCGGCAGAGTTGTATTTTTGGTGTGGAAATTTTTCTCCAAAAGATGAGGGATGCAGGACCTGCGGTCATTGCTCCTTCTGACTTGGAGGGTGGGCACTGTTCACGAGTGCCATTTCCTCAATTGCCAGGTCACTACTGGATATCTCGTGCATCTCTCCGTACTTCAAGAGCTTTTGTCTAGCAAAATTTGGTCCGGCTCATGAGTTGCAAACCTCTCAGCCTGCTCAAAAGCCGGACCATGTCAATCCTTGCTTGCACGTTACATCGCTTTGTTTTTCTCTTTTGTCTTTGTCTCGTACTCGTATCTTCTTCTTTTCCAATGACACCTTCCTGTTGTGATGGTTGTTTGGTGATCTATTGCAGATTTACCGCTCCAATCTTCGTGTACGGACGTAGAAGTTGCTGCACTTCATAATCCGTCATGGAGAGTTGAGATTTCTAGCAGGTACAGCCGAGAGAAACCTCAACCCCTTCGAAGCCTCTCCACAAAAGAACAGCACAGCACAGCACAGTCGGCAGAGAATGAAAAAGGCAAGCACGTAGAGAATTTTCGCACCTACGGCACAACCCCAACCACCAAACCTTCTGCTACTCAATCGCAAGCCGAATAAAAGATGGGAGGTCTAGGCTATGGGCAAACAAAAAACAAATGCCGCTTCTGTGGATCGAACACAGTGCCTCCAGAATACTCTTGTTGCGGACAACAAGAAGGACAGAAGTTTACTTCAGTCTGGCGCTCTCCCAGATGAGCTAAAGCGGCGATATTGTGTGAAGCAAATAGCTGGGTTAAATTATAAAGTACACAATCTAAGGATAGGACGTGGAGCAGACGGAGAGGTCACCGAGATGTCGAAGTGTTGTCGGTGACTGATCAGGGGGTGCTAGAAGATATCTTCCGGAGTAATAGACACACTTGTTTGAGGTTTTGAGTAAGTTGACAGTTTATTCGTTCGTGGGGAAAGGCTGTCTGTCAGTTGTTTGGTTTCTCTGACATGTTCTGAATTTGCGAATTCCAGAATCGTTTTTGTTCCATTTATCCACCATTCGTTGTGATATTCCGAGATTGATGATACCGTCATATTTCTAGGTATTGAAGATCTATTTTCCCCGAGTTGCTACTTACATAGCACCAGTGTTGATGCTGTAATCAATGATTGACGAGTGAAAATGCTTGTTGAGGGTGGCACCCGGACCCAGTTATTCGAGCGACCGAAAATGAGAGGAAGTGAAAATCGTGGATTAGCAGTCAAATGTGATATGGTTGCCAGGATAGGACTTTTGGAAGTCAAATTCAAGCCCTGAAAGAAGACATGTGGCTCAATCGCTCGTCGTAGTGACATCCTGGAGAATTGCCAAACAAGTCTTCCAACCCTCACCACACGGCCTCAACGGCACATGCGAGTCTCGTAGAACATCCAGAAACACCAGTGTAATTGTTTGGCGTGGCAATTGAGTCCAATAGGAACACTGAACAATGAATGTTGTTCGGTGACTGCTCGGCGTTCAGAGAATCAATGAGAATTAGGCATCCATCAGGCCTGTGAGCAAAAGTTAACCCATGTCCAGATGCAGCCTTACCCAGTGTTGGCTCGAAAATATACATGGATGGCTAAATATGTTAGGAAAAAACGTGTTGTCAATCTTCGATAGATAAAAGTCGATAGCTACCGAAACCGGCCACACGCATTTCCCATCCATCACCTACCACTCCACATCATCACTACCATGCATCTCTGGAAACCCATCATCACCCTGGCATTGTTCGCAATCGTCCGCCCAGTAGTCGCGTATGCGGACTCATCAAATCATCAAATGCAAACAACCTACCTTGCACCCCTACACAAAGCCTACGACAACGAAAGGATAAAAGGCCAATACATCATCGCTCTCCACAACGACTACAATCCAGACGCACACCGCTCATACATCCAAGAAAACCTACATCTGGATCCAGCCACAGACGACGACTGGGAATGGATTGACATTGCAAAGTCGTACATCGTCACCGGACTTTCTGAAGACGCAGTCGAGCAAATTCGTCGCGATACCAATGTCGAGGAAGTCGTCGAAGATCGCTTCTGGACACCGACAGAAGAGGTAGAAATCAATCAACCTTCGACAAAGGAGTTGGAGAATTTTCTGCAGGAGTTGTATGGGAGCTTGGATGAGCCGTGAAAAATTGCAGGCTTGCTGATTCACCAACACACAAAAGGATGGCATAAGAAGACGACGACCCGATGCGATGGTGAACACCAATGACTATTGATAATAGTCTTGTTAGTCTCGCATACCGGTCGGCCTATTGCGAATTGCAGATCAAAACATAGCCATCACGACTGCGACGTCCCATGAGCGGCGGGTGGGAATTATCCTGCTTGCTCCTACCTTGTTTGCGTTCTAGGTCGGAGCCCATCGTCTGTCAAGGCAGGATCGACTAGGGAAGAGAAGGGCCTCTGAGAGATAGAAAGAATTATCCTGCAGATAGACAACGAGGAACCGTTTCCTCCTTGAGACGAGGCAGAATGCGTGGAAAGAGATCGACGCCGAAAAGATTTCTTTGTCATGCGAACAACAGAATTCAGGCAGTGAAACGATTTTGGACGATTCCTCCAGTCAAGATCTTTGATCGAATCATGCTGTCTGAAGTCAAGTTCGGATTACGTTAGAGTCGCAAGACACGCTTGGTTGCTCTCGAGTACCTTTGCGAATGCAACACGGTGCGGAAAAGTTAGCGAACAGAGTAAAGAGAGGTATAAAATAGAAAACGGCGCTAGAAATGTCCTTTGTCCATTGTCCAATCTTGTACCAAGAACTTCTCCAGACTTTAGAAAACAAGTTGTGAATTGTCACGCTGTAAGCAGCCCTTTCGCAATGCTGTGACGCTAAAGCCGTGTCTCAATAGCCATTGCAGATATTTTGGAACCACAATCGAGAGCGCGGAGTGATAGCTGACCAAGCCATCTGCAGGCTCAACGGCAATGACTAAGCTGGAGATCAATGTCAAGCAATCGTTCACTGTGTTGGCAGTGTTTGCAAGACGGAATAGCAATTGAGATGCTGAAATCATATTCAAAAGGCAGCAGAGAAGGCCTGCCTAAGGGGGTCAGTCGCATGTCGAGATTGTGTAGCATCCCAGCGGTAGGTTGTTTGAAGATGGCACATTGCAGCGAGTCTCATGTTTACCACGAAGTAGACCGAGGTGTGTACTTGTCGGCTAGAGGCCCGCTTTTGCGAGTAATTCCGGCGTCTCCGGTCGAAAAAAAGGCATTCTTTCAACCAGCAGTGAAGTCGTTCAATGTATGTTGCGCAAGCCGTAGCGACACCGAGTCGAAGTATTCACAGCAATCTCGAGCATGCCGGTTTGTAGTGTATACAGATAAGAAGTGGTCTAGGACCATGTCGCTCGGTTGTCCGGCTCTATCTGGAGTGAATGTTCAAACTCTGGTGGATGTCATCAACACTTTGGTGGGAAACATTGGCCGCGTGGTTGCTTTTTGAGTTTCGCGTTGTCGACGCGTTTTGACAGAGGTTTCGCGGGAACGGACCGCGCGTTTATGATCCTAATTCGCACATGGTAAATTTGTCTTCAACAAGACGTCCTGTCGCAGTTCCAAGTGACAGAAACCATCTTTGACAAGGCCGAAGCTGAGGTGTTGTGTTCGGACAGAATGAGATCGGAAAGTCGAAGGCGTTCGGCAATCTGGGATCTCCTGCATCTCGAACGTCATCCCGTCCCTGCCATGACTTGCCCTTATCCACCACTCTAACCATCCTAGGGTCACGCATTCCTTCCACTCCATATCCTTGTCAGCCTCAACCGGTCTTCTTCGAATCCGACTGAATCTGAATGTCATCGATGCATAAATCCAACCAAGTCTCTGAAAGAATAGAAGCGCCGACATTCAGCCTGTACAAGTACTCCGTACCGTGAACTGCTGCAACTGTATCAAGAGCGGCTTGGAAGCCGCCACGAACTGACCATTTCCATGGCATTTCCGATTCCCAGACCCTGTCACTTACAGGATCGATCAAGACCGAGGTCATGGGTCGTGACAGGCACCGCCGATGATCATTGACTATGCCAAACCTCTCAGCCGGGACGGACCTGTCGCCTTGGCTGATGGATGCTTCACCAAAAACTCCACCACGTTCGATCCCATCCCGTGCAGGCACCAACCTTAAAACCCATCGAGGATGGAGAATCGACCTCTTAGACGTCTGCCGCTCGATTTCTGCCAATCATCGTGTCGACATGACATTTCAATCTGTATCTCTGATGGCATCCTTGTGGAGATTGCAAGGGTAGGAGTCGAAGTTCTTGGTTCGCATCTTCATTCTTCCCCCATTGATGCTCTCAAATTGTAGGTCTTGCATCATGATTTCAGCTGGTAAGGTCGTGAGCCACAGGCCAAGGAAAAGAGGAGGACATGTTCAGCATTTGGTCTTTCTGTTCCCAGATTGCTGATGTCCTTCTGATGTTCCCATACCTTCGATCGAGCTCTATGTCTTCCAGAAATGTCGCGAAATCTATCAACAACATCTACTCTCCCAGCTCGAGAAAGAGAGTCCAGCATTGTGCAAAGAGCTAACAGAGCGCCTTCTGCCATTTCGACGCAGCAACAGCCAGTCGCTACTGATGTTGTGATACCTTCAAACCTTTTGGCCGCCATCACATCTGGACCTTATATTTCGAATCCAAATCAGTTCGAGAACAAAGACGCCTCAGACACTTCTAACGATTTCGATGTTCGTCAGATAGCACAGCAGCTACAGGGAGAGACATCCCGTATCCTTGCGCGCTCCACCAGCGTATCGATTGCCGGAATCAACCGAAACAATGTGCGGCAAGACTTACCAGAGTTTCGCAAGACCAGCCTGGAACCCAACTTTGATTCGAGCCTGAGGAACCGATTGAATCGGCAGCAATCAGATCCAGGACGACATGGGCTTTCCACCGTGGTGGAAGGAAAAGTCATTACAAATGAGAAGCGGGCACCCACTAATGACTACTTTGGCGACTTTGCTTTCGGAACCCAAGGTCCTCGCATCCCACAGCGTACTTCATCAGACCAGAGCGTATCCAGGAAGGCACGTATAGACGAACCGAGCCCAACTCATCCAAACCCCATGCGACCAGTGGACATGAGTCTCTCGCACGATATCAACATCAATCGCATCAGCGCAGAAAGACCTCGACGATCTACAGCAGCTGGTGATCGCAAAGAGAGTATCGTACAGCAGTCTGCCGCGATCGTACTGGATACTGTGGAGAACGTCAAGCAGGCTATAAGGAGGAGTAGTATCTACGATGTCTACGAAAAGGCGAAAAAGCGAGGTGCAGAATTGCAAAGAAGCACTTGGGCCATGAAGCTTTTCGAATACACCTTCTACCTTGTACTGGTCGCCTTTGTCTACTTTGTTCTGATCGGCGTGCCCTTGTGGAAAGGAGCCGTTTGGTGGTTGTACTGGGTCTTTGAACACAAATTTGCGATTGCTGGAACATGGTATGTTATTCCGTCCTGTGGTTTTGCTCTTCACTAACAACCATCAGGTCCATTACCATTGGCATCGCTTTCCTCTATGCCTATACCCCCCTCCTTGTCTTCTTCGAGAAAGACCCACCTATGCCTGCCGATATCAACAACATCGACCCCAACCGAACGCCACGCGTCCATAACACAGCGTTGATGATACCATGTTACAAGAGTGCGAAGATCATCGGACCGACACTAGAGGCTGCCATAAAGATCTTTCCGCCCTCACACATTTTCGTCATTGCGAATGGAAACAGTCCGACACCACTTGACGATACAGAGCTAGTGTGCCGCCCATACGGAGTCAATCACGTCTGGTCGCCCGTAGGATCCAAGATTGTAGCTCAATTTGTCGGATGCTACGCCGCTCGGGGTTTCAAAAATGTTCTTCTTATCGATGACGACTGTGCACTGCCGCCGAACTTCCCTATCATTAGTGAGAGGATGACACCGCATATCAAATGCATCGGCTACACAATCAAATCCGTCGGACCCGAATCATCACGCGGTACACTATGTCAACAAGCTCAAGACTTGGAATACAAGATCAGTGGTATACAACGAGCTCTGGCCGGATATGTTGGCTCAGCTACCTTCCCCCATGGAGCAATCTCTCTCTGGGATCGCGAATTCTTGATTCAGACCTTCTACAAACATCCAGGCTTCAGCGTCTCGGAAGACTGGTTTTTCGGTCACGTAGCCAGACAGTTGGGCTCCAGGATCACCATGTGCACATCCGTGTTTATCGAGACCGAGACACCCGATGCTGTCTTCTTCAGCTCCGGTGGTGCAAGAGGTGGCTTTGGCGAAATGACAATTTTCAAGCAACGATTCCTCCGCTGGAATTTCTTCTTCGTTAATGGCATGTACTACAACATGGCATATATCCTCGGATCATGGCAGTTAGGCTTCTGGGAAATTGGAGCAAAACTCTTCGTGTTTCAGGAAGTCTACGAGACATTGCTGTATCTCTTTACACCATTTGTGTTGCCAATCTCCATCATTGTGCGACCAGCTTTCTTCGGATACCTCTTTGCAGGCACATTTGTGTTGTACTTCCTCAACGCTATCATCTTCAACGAGCTGCATCTAAGGTTGAAGAAGGAGAGAGTAGGATCAGTATGTCTGTACCTCTACTACATGCCCTACAAAATTGTCCTCACCTTCATTAATGTCGGGAGTTGCTACTGGTCTCTCTACAAATATGCACAGTACTTCGCTCGCCGCCATCCCAAGATCGTGGAAGACGAAAAGGCAGTTGATGTAGTGTTGCGCATGGAAGAGCAACATGATACTCTCGCCGATCAAGGTCGACGCATGACAATCACAGCAGTCGGCGCACAAGTCCAAGGAACAATGACCGAGCAAACACCCTCTGGACCCACAGAGAGAAAAATGACAGTCACCACGCTCGGTCCAAAACTAGATGTCCAACCCATGTCGCCAGTTATGGAGCAACCAGAGCAATTCGCTCCTGCCATCAGATTACAAGGCGAACGCGTCAGCTTCGGCTCCAGCCGCCGCAGCACCCATTCCAACACTAGAATCGAAAGGCTACCTCGTCAAAACTCTGATGGTGTATCGCCGACGCGCAAGCCCAGTAGTGTCGAGTCACCGCTTAAGTCACCAACATCGCTTACTCAAGTCATATCGGCAGAAGACACTGATAGACGCTCTCTTGATCGTGTCAGCTCCAGACGTTCAGCACGTTCTTCATCCCTCCGCCGCTCCACCTCACTCAACCGTGAAGTTTCCGCCGAATTCACATCTCCCGGCTTTGAGGAGCTAATGGATCGTCTCGCATTGATCGAAGAGCGATTGAACCCGCAAACTGTTTCCGCGATTGAAGTGTCAATTGCAGAGAACATTCTACCTACGGTGCCTGAGGTCGATAGCTCGGCGTATACTGAAGGTGTCGAGGATAATGGTGGGAAAGCAGATGAAGAGGAAGAAGGATATGAATTGTGGGATTTGGAAAAGATGGATACGGGAAAGACTGAAGATTCGAGGAGTATGGTATAGTATAATCAGTGGTTAGAGATAATGTAATGAGTTGTTTTTGGTCTGTGATAGCCGCAGAATGTTAAATTACGAGCCGCACAATTACTTCTTCTATGAACAGTACGAAACTGCAGAAAATCAAGGCGACCCCCTAGAGGTTCTGAAAGATCTTAGGTATGATTGTGGCCATCAAATGACATATATATATATATATATTGGCAGAGAACAACCTAGCCTACATTAATGTCATCGAACAGCTCAAGCAACATCAATGTCATCGAGAAGATTCATGCAAACGCCATCTTCCACTGCACATCATGATGCGATCCTAGCAATTCAAGTACCTCGAACATAAATCAGAGCCCAAGACTCAACGAGACGTTGACAGCAGAGAATTGTGTCCAGCCTCGAGGGTCGAGATAAAACAAAAGTCGTCGAGGGCGAGACCATCTAGAAGATCATGAACGGCAAAAGAATACAATTTGGATACCAGATGACATTGATTGCGATATTGACCGTATAAGTAACCTTTGCATGACCTTGATGACTACCGCAAAGGCGATTGAGTTGCGGCATGCATATAGGCCTATCTAATCCGGGTGGCTGCAGGAGACGGCTTGAGGGTCCAACTTGATTGGTTAGCCATATCGCAGATGCAACAGGTGCATCGACCAGTCATCAGTTCTTTCATGTGTTTCCATAAATCTGCTGCCACCCCATTTAGTTTTTCGAGGCGCAGAATATGCAGACTGTAACCCGATTTAGATGCAAACACAAGCCGTCAGGGTTGTCCACTCCTCTGCACAGCCCGTCGACTTTATCTTCAGCTGAACATACGATACGCTTCACGCTTCGGAGTTTTTCCGCGTTTCAATATACCTGTGCCGTTTCGTCTTCAGCGATTTCTTGTGCTCAACACAAAGCCAAAATCTACCTTGATCTAGCATGGAGTTTCTCCATCAATACAATGAGTTTGATGAGGCCATCCTACAAAGGCAATACAACTACTTCAAGGGAAAACCTGGAAAGTCTATTATCGAAACCAGAGTGAAGCTCATGACACTGATGCCCAGTCGTGTCCAAGTGAACTCCAACCACGAACAGGGAAACTGGGATTCCCTCAAGGCACCCGACGACATCTCAACCGGACGTTATCTGGAAAAATACCTCACCAAAGCTCTACATCCCATCTCTACGGACGCCCATTTCCAGATCTGGTAAAGGTCAAACCGTCTATTTGCCATTCTTCCTAGCTCACACTCTCAGTTTCTTAATCATCAGTTTCGGAACGGCCCGGAATCATTTTTCAATCTGGCAAAGTGCAATCGAGTCGTTCAGAGGGTGTCAACGAGACATGCACCTGGCTCCTGCTAGAGTTATTGCTCGATGCGTCGAGGAAGAATGGGACCTGAAGGATATATGTAAGCCTGGTGTGCACCAATCCAGCAGTATACTACCGTCGAAAAAACTACACCAAGACGTCAACCTTCTCTTTGGTAAGACTGAGACCACGTACGAAATGCACTGGCAAAGTGATCTACTGACGTATACGAATGACGTGAGTGTATACGTTTGGCAGCCTCACCTAGAAGAGATACCAACCGAGCACTACAACTCGATCACGATTGTTGCTCCATCAGATGATGTTTCCACCACACCAGCAGCATCGCCCTCATATCGCATGCTTGTTGTTGCGAATCCGCCAGCTCTGATGTCCCGATTTCTCAACACTCAAGACGCCTTTGTGGCGAGCGCAAACACAACACACGCGTGGGACGCAGGTCACGAGAGGTTTCGTGTCTTCTTGATTTTCCTCAAATTGACCGTTGAAGACTCATCAGGTCTTGTTGATTCGATGGCCGCCAAAACTAGTGAAATGGTAACGTCTCCGAAGCTCTTGCGCCTACCCGAGTATTAACTTCAAGGTGCAGATGTACAAAGGCCGTCGCAGGCCTACGAGAAGCAAGATTCAATATCTTGTCCACTTGGACGATTGCCGACGCCTAGCCATCAAGGACTTGTGGCACATCAACACTTTAGTTGACAAAGCAAGATCCACGGTCGAGACAAACACCTTCTGCTGCAACCAGTCAGGAAGCCAAGACAAAGCGAAAGCAATTGAAGTGCTCTCAGGCTTCCAAGACGACATCATCTTTCTGGTCAACAGTTTCGAAGCTTTAGAGAAGGCTCTGTTGGTAGCACGAGAACAGATCAAAGAGCAGATGGAACTTGCACAAGGGCAAAGAACTCTAATTATCACCATTGCTGCTGCTTTCTTCATACCTCTGGGATTCATTGCAGTGAGCTTGACATACTTTATGATAATGTTCAACCTACTGATAGAAGGTCTACTAGTCAATTTTCGGCATGAATGTCAAGGATCCGCTGTTTCCACACTCGCCAACCAGTACAGATTCCCCGACACCGGCATCAGCTCCAAGTGTAGTCCCAGTCCCTACTACGATCGCCGAGTCATCTGAGCCGACGCAGCATTACTGGACCATGTCTTCATACCTCGCGATCTCTTTGCCTCTAACAACCGTAGTTGTTGTGCTTCCTCTGATCGCACCACCATGTTTCAGATTCCTCTTGCAGAAATACGAACGGCATCGCCGCCATTGGCATGCTCTCATCGTCGTAAGCATCTTATGGTACTTCATTGCCACGACATCTCTATTCTACACAGGGGGTTGGATCTACAATTGGCTCGCATACCTGTTCATGGGCTACCTCGTCCTTTGTATGATTGGACTCACGCGAGTGATTCAGGCGTACAGAGCAGGAAACGGTCGTATTAGATGGTCTCTACAGATGATCCTTATGGGAATGTGCGTTTGGGCAGATTTAGCAGAAGTTCTTGACATACCTTGGGCACTTGTGACATATCTGTACATGTTTCTGACATCGAACATGAGTATCAAATGGTTGAGAGGCTCGTGGTTCTGGTTGGACAAACGAATGAGGGGTCTACACAGAACTTCAGAGTTGTCAAATACGACTGTATAGGCAAATGGTTGCGTGTTGTGGGTCGCCGATATACCTTCTACTGAGAGCAAGAAGCCAATATGAACAAACGTCCTTGCTTTGTCTATTGACAAGAGTATAAAAATGCCCGTGCTCCTTTGCAATTTCATTAGTTTTACGAGAGAGCTCCACACGTGACTCACGCGAAACAGAGCTCTCTCCAGATTTCGCGAAAGCTCCTTCCACCAAAAAGCCTCGGCCCCTTCCGACCTTCCACTTTGAGAAGAGCACGCGACTTCCTAACAGGCCGACCGCAAAACTTGCATCTTTTTATAACGACAGATGAACAAGGTCTTTTCTTCTTTGTTCAACGCCTTTGCAAGATCATCGATTCCTGGAAGCTCGAAACTCGCAAGCTCGAGGACTTTCGCAACAATGCACAAATCCCCCGCGGCAATGCTGAATCGCCCTATCCCGGACGATGTTGACACCAGCATCCATCAACCCAGAGATCCCAACACCTTGAGTAACTATAACGTCTGGAAAACCAAGCATGTCACCGCCGATTTGGAGCTGGAGTTCGCCAACAACAGATGTGTCGGTACCATTAAAATGGAGCTGGAAAGACTGGAGAAGGGCCAAGGAAGCGGAAAGGTAGTTCTGGACACCAGCTTCCTCGACATCCAAGAAGTGAAGCTCGCCGGAAAGAAGGCCAAATGGAACCTCGGAGAGAGATTTGAGCCTTATGGTAGCCCTCTCACTATTGAGATTCCCGATGACCACTCTGGAGATGCCGAGATCGAGGTCACCATGGCTACCACCGACAAGTGCACTGCTGTTCAGTGGATGACCCCTGAGCAAACTTCTAACAAGAGACACCCCTATATGTTCTCTCAATGCCAAGCCATTCACGCTCGTTCTCTTCTGCCTTGCCAGGATACTCCTGATGTCAAGTCAACATTCACTTTCAACATCCGCTCTCCTCTCCCCGTCCTCGCCAGTGGTCTGCCCACCGGAAACAAGGACTTCCGTCAAGGCGAAGGCGATGCCCCTGGTACTCTTCTGTACACTTTCGACCAAAAGATCCCCATGCCTGTTTACCTCTTCGCTCTCGCAAGTGGTGATCTTGCTTCTGCTCAGATTGGTCCTCGCAGCTGTGTTCACACCGGTCCTGAGGAACTGTTGGCTTCGCAATGGGAGTTTGAGCCTACTGAGAAGTTCATCCAGGCTGCTGAGAAGATCGTCTTCCCCTACGCTTGGACTCAGTACAATGTGCTGGTTCTACCTCCCAGTTTCCCTTACGGCGGCATGGAGAACCCTATCTTCACATTCGCAACACCGACTCTCGTCTCCGGCGATCGTGAGAACGTCGACGTTATTGCACACGAGTTGGCACACTCATGGTCTGGAAACCTCGTCACCAATTGCAGTTGGGAGCATTTCTGGCTGAACGAGGGCTGGACCGTCTATCTCGAGCGCAGGATCCAAGCCGCCATTCACGGCGAACCTCACAGAGACTTCAGCGCTATCATTGGCTGGAAGGCTTTGACTGACAGCATCGAGGGATACGGAGCTGATCACGAATACACAAAACTGATCCCCGACCTCAAGGGCAAAGACCCTGATGATGCTTTCTCCAGCATTCCTTACGAGAAGGGGTTCACCTTCCTCTACTACCTCGAGAAGCTCGTCGGCAAGGACAAGTGGGACCCCTTCATCCCCCACTACTTCACAAAGTTCGCCCAAAAGTCACTCGACTCGTACGAGTTCAAGGCCACCCTCCTCGACTTCTTCGCCAAGGATGAGAAGGCAACCGACAAGCTGAACTCGGTGGACTGGGACACTTGGTTCTACAAGCCCGGCTATCCTCCCAAGCCCGACTTCGACACCAGCATGGTAGACGTCTGCTACGACCTCGCTAACAAGTGGGAATCCCTCAACAAGGGCAGCTCGGACTTTACACCCTCAGCCTCTGACATCTCATCCTTCTCCGCCAACCAATCCGTCGTCTTCCTCGAGAAGATCCAAACCTGGGATCAACCCCTCTCCCCCACTCTTGTCGAAAAGATGGGTGAAATCTACTCCTACGCATCTTCCAAGAACGTCGAGGTCGTCAGCAGATATATGATTGTCGGTCTCAAGGCTAGATGCGAAAGTGTGTATATCCCCACTACTGAATTGTTGGGCAGAGTCGGCCGCATGAAGTTCGTGCGCCCGCTTTACCGCAACCTCAGAGAGTGTGATGAGAAACTCGCACAACAGACTTTTGAAAAGTACAAGGAGTTTTACCACCCGATCTGTAAGGACATGGCTAGTAAGGATGTTTATGGCAAGGCTCGTGGTGGTTAGATATGGCGTGAACCAAGAGATGTGTGAGGTTTCGATCAGATAATTGCATGAATTGAATCCGAGTTTCCGAACAGCCAGAATCTACCTCGTCGGTGAAATAATTCGGCGAAGTGGAGGAAAACTGCGAGTTTGGTCCCTCCATCTTATAAGTTGTCGAGTCTTGTTCCCCGGATCATGATGTCTTGATCTCTTCTTCGCTTCCCGTTGCCCCTTCCCTCTCTATCCAATTACATCCTCCATCCATCCATTTTCACATCCTCCTTNGTGAGAGTGAGAGTGAGAGTGAGAGTGAGAGTGAGAGTGAGAGTGAGAGTGAGAGTGAGAGTGAGAGTGAGAGTGAGAGTGAGAGTGAGAGTGAGGGAGAGAGTTTTGCAGTTTTGAAAGATACATGTATATATGCAAGATCAAGGGTGTTGCAATGATGCGTATACGTACACGGAAATGGGTATATTGATGTTCCCACTAAAACCCAAAGGTGAGAATTTGATATTCTCCAAACAGGGAAAGGAAGAAAAAAGATGAGGAGTTGATATTCTCCAAAAAGAAAAAAGAAGAAAAAAAAAAGAAAAGAAAGATGAGGATTCGATACTGTACAATTAAGGAAAGCGAGCACCCCAAAATACGGTCCAATGGTTTGCTCATTGGTCTGTTTGGTTTCGAATTCGGTGTCTTATGCACCTTGATTTGCAATGTCGTATACTTGAAGCATCATTCCCGGAGAAAACACATGGGATATAGCAGTAGGAGCAAAGGACTCTCCACGGCTTGATTTGCACGTATTGCCAGTTTCAAGATTCGAATATGCTCTGATTTAGCTGCCTAGTGGACTCGTACGTACTACTAAAGGACCCGTATCATTAGTTCCATGGCGCCCTTCAACCTCCAGGAGAGATTGTGACTCTTCGTTTCGATGCGTCAATAAGCTTTGCGTGCTTTCGTGTTGTCCTGCCGAAGGTCTTTGTGCTGGAAGATGGTTCATTTCGATCACTTCTTCGCTCATGCCTGTTGAGGCAATGGTACTGGTGGTTGTTGGTTTTTTGGCGAGTGAATCTTCTTCCTTCTTTCGAGCAAGGCAGTCGTCGCAGATGTTGGCGTCTGGGTGACGGCTCTTGAGAAAGTAGCCGACGATCAGGTTGTAGAGGGACCAAGCAGTTCGCAAGAAGACGAGATCAGCGACCAAGATAGAGACGAACACGTTCGCCCAAGACTTCAACACTGGGTTCTGGCACATGTATGTGGTAGCTATGACAGATGCAGTGGGGTCAAAAAATCCAGTGGCGGAGTCGTTGTTCTTCTGCGTGTCATTGTAGGTGAGCAGATAACGCGATCCGTCAGATGCTGCCATGAACCAATAAGGGATCTGCTCTGTGATTGTGGAAAAGTTGGCTGTCCAAAACTGCAATGACTCGGGAGTTGAGAGCATGTTCAGCTTTGAACGCGATTGCCACTGTTGTCCAAGATCGAAGTTATTGGCGGACACCATCGCCTTTCCCAGGCGGTCAACTTCTGACCAGACATTGGGCCATGACTCATTACGCACTAGGCCGGCAAGTCCTTCGTCAACAGATATTCCGGTATATTTCTGCCCTCGAGCTTGGTCGAGAAACGCCCATTCCACATGACTGAAGAATGATTCATTCTTTATGTCCATCGTTTGCACAAAGCTACCAGGCTCCAGGCTTATGTAGCCGCTTGATAGATTGTATCGCGACGCTGCAGCTCCGGCGGCTGATTCTTGTATCGTTTCGTTCGTTATCGCAACGAGAGTCTCCAACCAGAAAGCCTTCAAGAGTTGTTCGGCCCAATACAGGCCTGGGGTCGACAACCGGTTCGTCGACAAAAGGCGGTAGAAACCCTCTGGAAGGCTGACTTTAGAATCCATCATATCCCCTGACATTGGTCCATACCGAGTTATGAGGCCGATATCTCGCTGTCCGACTAGACACACAATCCAAGAGCTGATAGTGACCTCCCAGTCAGATACGCTCATTTGTGCAGGCGATCGAGAATCCGATGTTTCGAAATTTACACGAACTTGTTTGACACAGCAATTTTCGATTGAACCACCATAGTAAGACAATGCTGCGGTTTGGTGATCTTCAACTGAGAGCAGTTCGTATGTGAAGCCGCTCTGATTAGTGTTGAAGTATGAATGAACCGGAATCACCGAAGCTTCGCACCAAGGTTGTATCTTGCTCGTGAAGACTTCTGGAATGTAGCGTGGCCATCGCCTTGACAGAAACCACTGCCTGTCTGCTGTCGTTGTCGTTGTGGAAACCATTGTATACGCGGTCGAGAAGAAGTTTATAGCCGAGAACAACACTGTCAGCAGGATCCCCCCCACGATGGCAACAGGTGTGAACCATTTGTAAGGATATTCTCTGGTGATACTGTAGCTGAATGCAGGCACCGAAACCTTGTTTACAAACGAAGGCATGCGCATTGTGATTTTGAAGTGAGTTTGGATGTGTCGAAAAAGAAGTGGGCGAGCAACCAGGTCGTAAAGAAGAGCAGGCCGTTGCTCTTTATCGCAATTGACATCGCGCGTCAATGGTCTGGATCCTACAGTCGGCTTCGCCTTAGACTGAGGCCATGCAAGACCGGCAACATGTAAATGCAGACTCAGCTATTCCGAGAATCAGGTTGGGGGCCATTGCCATTCCAATTCAAGACAAGACGATTGACGATCCAGTGAGAAAGAGAGAAGATCAGAGATAGCGAGGTACCCTCCCAATGACTGCGTCAAAGTCGGCGCAAGATAGACGGCTGTGCCAAGGAGGATGTAAGCACTGCCAGGCAGGCAACAAGCCACCAAGGCTGATGTTCACCAATGAAAGCGACGAACATGGACCTTTCGGCCCCCAATATTGTATGCAAGTTCCGGATTGGGTCGGATGTACATAAGATGGAGAGGGCAGCCATCAATCATTATGCTGTTCATGCCTCATGCATGCCATGAAGACGCAACTGCGGCGTAGATCTGCCTGCAGTGATGCGCGAATTATTGTCCCCGCCTGATCAACGCATCCCGGGATCCTGGGGACTTCGTGTATAATGTCATTGTAAAGATGCTGTCTGCTTCAACATTACAAACAACCAAATATGTCCTTGGTGAGATGACCAAGATACAGAAATGATGTCGTATGTCAGAAGCAACAAGAGCTTTGCAGACGCACTGATGTGCGCGCTATCCAACGGCTGTGAAAATACCCGGTAAAGCTGAAGGGGAAGGCGAGTGTGAAAAGTCAAGAGTCGGGTATAATTATGTGCCTGCCTAATCATGATAAGAAGAAAAACAGAAAATGTCAAAATCGCCCAGTTGCTCGAGGAGATAAACCCTGCGCCGGCATCATTGAAAATCATAACGCGAAAAAAGAAGGAGACAGAGGAATCCAGAATACATGCGAACTCGAGTCCTTACGAGCTGTAGGCTTGGTCGACCTCCTTCTTGTACTTCTCGAGAATGTTCTTGCGGTTCAGCTTCTGTGCTGAAGTGACGAGCTGGTTTTGAGGAGTCCACTCATCGGGAGCGAGGACGACACCCTCGATGATCTCAATACCGGCCAGACCACCCTTCTTACCGGCGGCTTGAAGGTTCTTCAGGACAGCCTCGTTGAGCTTTTTGTCGTGGCACATGTCCTCGAGGTCACCAGCTTGGCAGCCACTCTCGGAAGCCAATGACTTGAGAGCGGGTTCGGCGGGAACGATGATAGCGATGGGCTTGTTCTTGCTCTGGTCTGCGTAGACGCAGATGTTTGCAACAACGTTGCTGGCGCGGTAGATGGACTCAAGCTTCTCAAGAGCAATGTACTCGCCGTTCTGGGTCTTGACCAAGTTCTTCTTGCGGTCGATAATCTTGAGGTTACCGTTCTTGTCGAACTCACCAATATCACCACTCTTGAACCAGCCGTCCTCGAGCGACTCCTTGTTCTCCTTCTCCAGATCGAGATAGCCGTCAGTAACGGAGTCACCACGAATCCAGATTTCACCCTGAGGAGGGCTGTTGGTGGAGTAGTAGCCAGCATCGGGGAAGTCGACAAGCTTGACCTCGATTGAAGCAGGCAGACCACCAAGTGCCTCGTCGGTCCAGGCAAGGGGGTCCATGAGAGCACCCATAGCAGAAGTCTCGGTCAAACCGTAACCACTGATCATGGGAGCAATGGCCATGGAAATGAAGCGCTGAGTGTCCTTTGCGACGGGACCACCACCGTTCAAGCAAATTCTCAGTCTGCCACCGGTAGCCTCCTTGATCTTGCTGAAGACAACAGAGTCCATAACGCTGGTGCCGAGACCAGTGAAAGGCAGGGCAGAGTGGTTCATCATGGTGCTCTTTGCGGCCATACCGGCCCAGAAGAGCTGCTTGGCAACACCACCAGTCTTGTCGACCTTTCCGACAATACCCTTCTTGACAGTCTCCCAGACAGCGGGAACACCGACCAGAATTGACGGCTTGAATTCGCGAATATCACCAGCGCAGTTGCGGACCGAAGCGTCGGAGATGGTTCTGGGGTTTCCGTAACCCATGGTACCACCCCAGTAAAGACAGGCGGACTCGAAGACGAATTCGAGAATGTGAGCGAGGGGGAGGTAGGTAAGGAGACCGTCACCGGGTCCGAGGTAGGGGCCGACAATCACATCAACACCGGCAACTACAATGTGTTAGCTGGAGACAAGGAAAAAAGATGGAAGACTGTACGTACTAGCGGCAATGACGTTCTTGTGCTTGAGGAGAACACCCTTGGGAGTTCCGGTAGAGCCGGAAGTGTACATGATACAGCAAAGGTCCTCAGGCTGGGGAGGAACAGGGTCGACCATGTTCTCCTCACCCTTCTTGGTGAGCTCGTCGAAGCTGAGGATGGTAAGGTGAGGGTGAGCCTCCTTGAGCTTCTCAATGTCCTCCTTCTTAACTTCCATCTGGCTGTTGTAGACAACGAATTGGATGTCCTTGGTCTCCTTGAGAGGGTTGATGAGCTTGGTAAGGAGATGAGGGTCGAGGAAAATGAGCTTGGCGTGGGTTTGCTTGAGAGAGTGCATCAGACCCTCTTCGCCGAGAGTGTCGTAGGCGGTGACGATGGGCATCGACTGTGTGGAGGCGGCTGAGAAGAAGCATGTCAGAAAGGGGAATGCAGATAGTTGTCAGACGGAGACTCACCGTGAGCAGTAGCGAGCCACCATGGACTGGTAGAAGCAAAGATGTGGACGCGGTCGCCCTTGTTCATGCCAAGAGCGCGGTAACCAGAGGCGACCTTGAAACAGAGCTGCTCATACTCGACGAAGCTGATGTATGTGTAGGCGCTGAGCTCGGAGAATTGCCATTTCTTGTCGACGGTAGTCTCCTTGCCGTCAACGACCTTCTTGATCTGCTTGACCTCTTCGTGAACCTTGATCAAAGTACGGTATCCGAGCGCCTTTGCGTTTCCGAACTTCTTTGAGCTGCTGCGAAGAACATCGTAGATGGTCTTGATGTCGGGTGCGGGAGTGCTGATGAGACCGTCCTTTGCTGCCGGGTGTACACGAGGGATGGTCTCGCCGTCCTTCTTCTCGTAGCCCTTGGCCTCGACTGTGTAGGGGCCCTTCTTGTAGGGCTTGGGTTGGGGGACCAACTTCTTCAGGTCTGTTCGGTTCATGATGTCGCCCATGTTGAAGATGTTGGTTATGTTGGGCAGACTGTCAAAAGACATGAAAAGTAAAAAGGCAAGGAGGAGCCTCGTTTTGGCAGAATAAGAGGTTCTGGCAGGAGCGACTGTGATGACGGCGCGCGTTGAAGCGGCGTCAGAAAGACAATTGGTTGGCTCCGCTCTTACCGGGACGACCAATGACGCACCAGGTTCCCGTGCCCGCGCCACACAAGGGCCAGAGCTCCTCGATTACTCCAAAAGTTCATCCGACTGGTCTGTACCAACTCATACCTCCCATCTCCCTCACACCATCCTCGCAACCTGCTCTGCTCTGAGTCTGCCTCGGTATATGACCGTCGCAACATCACTGTAACAGAAAAATATACATCTACTCGTCGTCCATGTCTCTCGCCCCTTTCATCACCCAGCTAGGTGCCGAGATTCAGGATGCTTCGGAAGGTGATTGCCTAGAGTCCAAGCCCCATTCCTCCTCAGCATGGTAACGGTAGGTTCTATACAGAAACCTTTTTACTTTTCTCCCAAGACATCCCCTCTCAAAACCTTGGCATAATCGACTCACACTCCCCTCTCCTTGAGCTTAGCGTTGGATCTCGTGATCTATCCATCAGACAAAGCCCCGCAGTTCTCAATTCTGCTCGAGGAGGTGGTACTACAGGTGCTGTGGTATGGAAAGTCACTCCGAGGTTTGCCGAATGGTTGATCTCGCCTGGAAACATACTCACACAGCATGGCATCGTATCTGCCGAGTCAACTGTGCTTGAGCTGGGCTCCGGGATTGCCGGCATTGTACCACTTACGTTAGCTCCACTGGTGCAGCAGTATATCGCTACTGACCAGGCATATGCTCTCAAATTGCTGAAAGAGAACATCGACCAAAACACAGCCTCGACGCCAGCTGGAACAAAGGATAAGAAATTCTCAAAGAAAGCAGTGCCCGTGCAAACCTCGAACCTGCAAGTCTTGTCCCTGGACTGGGAAACAGATGATGTTGAGTCGTTCCTGAAAACAAACGCTGTAGCGGAAGGCGTTGATCTGGTCATTGCTTGCGACTGCATATACAATTACGCTCTGATCAAGCCATTCGTGCAGACCTGTGTCGATATATGCCGATCGAGACAAGGCCAACGGCCGACAGTCTGCGTAATAGCGCAACAACTTAGACAGCCAGACGTGTTCGAGGAGTGGTTGGAAGAATTCAACAGACACTTTACAGCATGGAGACTGTCAGACGATTTGTTGACTCCGCTATTGAGAGAAACCTCAGGATTCATGGTTCACGTCGGCATACTGCGTGGAGCGGCATCGACGGCCATGTGAGATGGCTAGACCAGGAGGAAAGAGTGGTTTGTTGGGACAATGAAGCAAAGACCTGCATGTCGTGAGCATAGACTCGTGCTACGTTGCGTCAAGTCACGGTCCTGAGATAACATCTCGGATGGGAGCCGAAGACATCGATTCAGCGTTGAAATGGCAAGGGATGCATGATTATGGAGTATGGAATGCAGCCCTATAGTCGCTAGGAGGGGTATGAAGAGTGGGCAGAAAGTTTGCTACCTTATTGATGCCTTGATTTAGAAATCGACATGTCGTATTATGATGAATCAACATGTGAGGTTTCACAATCGATAGAAGAGGCGTATAACGCTTGTCCGGAGATAGACGGAGCTAGCGAGGAGCGTCAGATGAGGACGAGCTTCAGCAGGCAGGCGCGATCGGTAAAGAGCAAGCAGGCCAGACACGCATCTGTCAATTCACTCAAACTGGCGCTTACTACGGTCAAGAGACAGTACAGCTACAAAACCCTCTTCTTCCTGTCACTCGCCCTCGTCCTGGTCACGGTGGCTTTCACACGCATCGCCTCCCGTCTCAGTCTACTGACGACTCACTTCACCCCGCTGAAGCTCCCCTCCGGCCTCGCCTCGACACGCAACATCACCTCTATGAGCATGGCCTCCGCAAAGTACCAGAAGCCTCCCCAAGCCCCTCCTCTCTTCACTGCCACCACCGAGTCTCTCGCCAAAGACACCCGCCGTCTGCTAGACCAGTCTCGCCGCATCCAAGACCAGATCGTCAAGGACGTCACGACCGAGTCGGCAAACTTCCACAATGTCGTCCTACCCATGGCTCTCGATGACAACAAGATGGCCATCGAATCACACATCATCGGTTTCTACTCAGCCGTGTCGACCGACTCCAAGCTGAGACATGCTTCCATCGAGGCCGAGAAAGAGATGGACGAGTTCGGTATTGAGTCTAGCATGCGCGAGGATATCTTCAAGCTTGTCGATGCCGCTCTCAAAAACTCGAAGGATCTGGACGCTGAGAGCCAGCGTCTGCTCGAGAAGGATCACAAGGGCTTTGTGCGCATGGGTCTGAATGTGCCTGCTGGCCCCAAGCGTGACCGTTTCAAGGACATCAAGAAGCGATTGTCTGAACTCAGCATCACCTTCCAGAAGAACTTGAACGAAGAGCAGGGTGGTCTCTGGTTCTCCGAACAAGAGTTGGAAGGTGTCCCCAAGGACGTTCTCGACGGTCTCAAGAAGGGCGAGGGCGAGAACGCCGGCAAAGTCTGGCTCACATTCAAGTACCCCGATCTCTTCCCCACCCTGAAGTACTGCAAGAACCCCGAGGTCCGCCGCAAGGTCTTCACCTCGAATGAGAACAAGTGCAACGAAAACGTTCCCCTCTTCAAGGAGGCTATCGTCCTCCGCGATGAGGCCGCCCGTATTCTTGGTTACCCCAACCATGCCACCTTCCGCATCGAGGACAAGATGGCCAAGGCCCCTGCCACTGTTGACGATTTCCTTGGTGACTTGCGCACCCGTCTCTCACCCGGCGGTGTTGACGAGATCAAGAAGCTGAAGACTCTCAAGGAGAAGGACTTCAAGGACCGTGGTGTTGAACAGCAGAACGACGGCAAGTACTACCTCTGGGACCACCGTTATTACGACACTTTGATGCTTGAACACGAGTACCAGCTTGAGCAAGAAGCAATTGCCGAGTACTTCCCTCTTGAAACTACCATTCGTGGTATGCTCCAGATCTTCGAGGAGCTTTTCGGTCTCGCCTTTGTCCAAGTCACTGGCAAGGACCGTGATTCTATCAGTCCTACTGGCAAGGGTGACGACATCATTTGGCACCCCGATGTTCAGGTCTTCAGCGTTTGGGATGATGAGGGTGAGGGCAGCGGCTTCGTTGGCTACCTTTACCTCGATCTGCATCCTCGCGATGGCAAGTATGGTCACGCTGCCAACTTCAACCTCCAGCCCGGTTACATCGATGAGAATGGCAAGAGAAGGTACCCTGCCACCGCTTTGGTCTGCAACTTCTCAAAGCCTACTCCCAAGAAGCCTTCTCTTCTGAAGCACGACGAGGTCGTCACTCTCTTCCACGAGCTCGGCCACGGTATTCACGACCTTGTATCTCGCACCACTTACTCCCGCTTCCACGGCACAGCCACTGTCCGCGACTTCGTAGAGGCTCCTTCACAAATGCTTGAGAATTGGTGCTGGACCGCTTCACAACTCCGCAGCTTATCGCGTCATTACAGCTACCTCTCAGATAGCTACAAGGCCGCTTTCACCGAGTCAAGCAAATCTGGCAAGCAACAGCCGCCAGAGACTATGCCCGACAACCTGATTGACAGCATCATCCGTACACGTCATGTCAATGACGCTCTCTTCAACCTCCGTCAGCTTCACTTCGGTATCTTTGACATGACCGTACATGAAGGCAAGTCACATGACGATATTAAGGGTCTTGAAGTGAGCAAACTGTACAATTCACTTCGCAAAGAGATTTGTTCACTCGACGGCCCAGAGGAACTTGGACAAGGCCTTGACTGGGGTAATGGTCAAGCTACGTTTGGTCACTTGATCGGTGGCTACGATGCAGGTTACTATGGCTATCTGTCTTCTCAGGTATACTCGGCCGACATGTTCTACTCGGTGTTCAAGAAGGACCCCATGAATGGCAAGGAAGGAAGGAGATATAGGCACACTGTGTTGGAACGTGGCGGTAGCCAGGATGAGATGCAGACGCTTGAGGATTTCCTCGGCAGAAAGCCCAGCACAGAGGCATTCTACAAGGAGTTGGGCCTGAGTTAGATCACCTACTGAGCCACACCGAGTCTGTATTCGATCTCGCAATTTTATAGTGTGGCTCTGAGCTGTGGATTGCTGACGAGAGCATCGAACTCGGTTATGGCTTACAATTAGAATGAATCACATGAATTTCGAATCATATGTTGCATCTCAACAGACCACAGACTCATGATGCTATCAATTAACTCTCTCGACAGCTCTGAAGTTTGGTGCAGAGAGTATACAGATCCTGCCCAATTTACTTATCAGGCGCCAAGAAAAGGCGTGCCTCAGCCTGAAGCAGCAAGCCGCCCCAAATCCTCTAGCCATCACTGCAACTCTCAAAGTCTTGCCATCATCACAGCATAATTTCTGTTGTATACTGATTCTACTTTTCGCAAACTGCATATTCCCATGACCTTCGTCATCGCGATGAATTTGATCCTTCATGCATGGCTTAGCCTCTCACACATGCAGCCCACTGCAGCAATGCCTCATCCTTCGAGATGTCCGTAAATCTCATTGGTTCAAGGACTAAATTATATCGTCCGAGCACCTAAGATGCTCAGCCTCTTGTCGCAGATGGCTGCACTACTGCATAGGCTATTTCTCCAGGTCTGGAGTAGGATCTTTACCGGTCCGTCGACACATCGTTCACTGTCAGCTTCAAACCCTGCGACAACAACAGTCAAGTTACCACCACGAAGTTGAAGTTCAACCTGCTCGGGTTTCTAAGCTGGTCTAATCTCATCCATCACCTCGAGCTCGAATGTCTTCTTTCTGCTATAGTATCACAAGGCCATATCCTTACAAATGGTTCACACCAGTTGCCGTTGTGGGAGGAATCGTCCTGGCAGCCTTGTTCTCCTTCATCAATTTCTACTCTAATGCTTACAACATGATAACTATCACGACGAACAATCCAGACATAGTTGAAGCCAACCGATGGTCTCACATTCCAGGATCTTTGACGAGTCGCATTCATCCAAAGTGTGAAGATGCTATCATTCCAGTTGGCTCCACTTTCAACACAAACCAGACTGCACTTTCCTATCAGCTTGTCAGTCTACGAAATCACCCGGCACTGTCTTATCACAACAGGCGACTTGCATTCTGTGAAGTCACACAAATCTCGATTGATTTTCAGACATCGATTGACAGACAAGCTGCCCTGATCGATAGGTCCAGTTGGGGTGTCACTGTTAGTGCCGACATCACTTGCAATGCCCCGAACGAAGAGCACGAAATCAATTACATCGGATTTCGTACTCATTATGATCCCTTGACATGGGCTACCCAGCCGGGAGTGTCGGGATTCATAAGAGTAAATGCATCATCGCCAGGTTTCGTGTGGGCCAATACACTCCTATTAGCCTTCTGGACCGAAACCGTCACTGCAACAGTCGATCAAACTCTCCAACCCAATTCCTCCGAAATCGTTCCTCTATTCAACTTGTCGAGTGGATATATCTCCTTTTCAAGACCAGGCATCAACATTTACAACGAGTCATTCTTTCGCCTTGGCAAATACGCCTTTTTCAACCTCCCCGAGTCAAAGGCGTATAGAGGAGATTTCAACATTACAGACGATACTCTTTACGAAGGTCTCATCACAAAGAACACATGGCCAAATATCTGGTCACCGGCAAACCGTCTCGCTAAAGCAATGTACTCGGTCATCCAAGTCGATCTAGGTCAAACAGATACAGTGATCACTACCTTCAACGGCACACCCGCAGACATGAGTATCCTCACCACCGCAGACCGCCTTCACCACTGGACCGAAAACCTGACGCAAATCTGGGACCGCAGCACCGTTGCCGATAAAAATAATTTGCTCCCTTATGGTTTAATGCAAATGCGTCAATTTGACAAGAATACCGATGCGACGAATCCGAGACAGCCATTGCGATTCACACCTTCTGTCATTTCCGCCACGTATACTTGTCAAGTCCCTCGTCTGAAATCGCATGGCAATATTTTTATTTCTATTCTCGTGGCTGATTTGGTTTTGTTGAGGGCGGCGTGGACGCTGTATAATTATCTAGTGGACTATTTTCTGAAGAGTAGGCATCCGGATGCTAATGTGTGTGAGAAGTGCTTGGTAAGAGGTCAAGATGATGAAGTAGTGACGGTGGCTAGCTCGCGGAATATTGGGAAGGGTGGGAAGGAGGAGGGGGCTGAAGTTGAGGATGTTGAATTGGATGATCTTGGGATGTCGAGGAGGTCGAATGGGAGAGAGGGTGATGGACAAAGTATGCAGAGTTTGCTGCCGCATAGAATTGTCGATATTTGAAGAGGTCGTTGGGTATTGATATAAGACAATAGATTATAGGATTTTGGTTCTCTATATTTGTCACTGCATGTCAACAACACCTGTATGTATTACAAAATTCGCAACCCACGACAATCTTGTCCTAATCATCCCACTCCCTCGACCTACTCAACAATCCATATCCGATTGAAAATCCTTCCTGATCAAACCTCTCCGGCCACCCGCATTCGAAATACAACTGCTTCATAGCATCATACTGCAAAAACGAAACAAACAAAAAGCATCAGTATATCCTTCTTTCGATTGGTGGTGATGGTGGGTTTGGAGTTTTTAACTTACCTTCCCACTGCCATTCCAATCGTCTTTTTCTTGCTGCATCCATATTCCGGTCGAGGGATCTGGGACCCAGAGGAGTTGTTTCGTCTTGTTTATCCAGGATTTGAGGGTTTCTGGTGCTGGGTTGTGTGGATAATGCTGGTAATAGTATTTCGGGGCACCTTTTGGCGGTCGTCGTGTTTGTGTTTGTGTTTGTGCATTATTGCTTATTTCGTAAATCTCATCTTTGTATTCTTGTCAATTTACACCAAACTCTTTGGAGGAGGGGGAAGGAGGGATGGATGAAATGGGTATATACATACTGGTGTGAAGATCAAGTAACAACAACCACCCATATTCTTCCCCAGCACAATATGTCAATGGAATACAAGTCCCCAAATACCCTTGCACTTTCTCCCCTCCCTCACTCAATCCAAACGGATCTTTCCAAACTTCCGCGGCGAAATCATCGTCCAGATAATTCAACGGTCGTGTAAATGGTGCTAATTCTTTCTTCTCCGCACCGCAGAGATAGGGTAATTGTTTGAGTGTTTCCATCACTAGATTTGACATTCCTGCTGTTTTCCAAGAGGAAAGGAGAGATGGGGAGGGTGTGTGGGGGGGTTGAGAGATTTTGGTGTCGAGGGGGTGGAGCGTGGAGAGGAGTTGGAGGGTGTACCATTGTGTTAGGAGGGCGGCGATGGCTTCGATTCTGTCCTCGTGTTCGAGATCTGATTGTGCGGTTTCTGGCATTTTGGTCGTTGGTGTTGGAGAAGGCGGTCGAGGATGGTGTTTGATGGGAGTGCTTGATGGAGGTTGTCGATCCCGGCGTTCTTCCGGAGGGTCGCAACGTTTGAACGCGTTTCGAGCGGACGACTTTCTTCTGTCCAACGGTCGACTTGGGGAACACCTCCGGTTTGTTACCTCTTTCTACTTCAAGTCGTGATCTGACGGTACTTGTGCTAGTCGAGGCTTAAAACTCGAGAGGATGGTCTACGGCGACTTAGCCTTCTGCGGAGATAGTGCACCGAAAGGGGATGCGACAACCTGACAACCAACGCGAGTGTAATTTCAGGCTCAAACACGATTTGACTTCCATCTCTCAACATGAAGGTCTGTCGAGAAGAGGGAGTAGCACAACTGTCGAACTGTTGTTGCAGGCCCGATACATAAGATATCTGTCCTCAGTCGCCAACGACGCGTCGCGCACGTTGCATACCTGATTGAAACCTCTTACTTAACGTCTTCAACAGCATTCTTCCTAGCGAAACGGACTCTGAGAGCAAACATCCATTCATCCGTAAACATCCACAGCCAAACGACCACAAAAAACGCAGCCACAACCAAAGTGCTGAAAAGACCAAGAACACTGAACCAGCGAAAGAAAGGCCAAAGTTCCGACCACCGATGTGAGGCCACTTGATCAACAGCCATTGCTACCTGCATCGAGCTTAAGATTGTGGTGATGACAGCAAAGACGAAAAGCATGGGTCCGTAGAATCGAGCAAAGTACTCGGCATATTGTCCATGGATCTGTTCATAGTATCGGCTGTGAAGTAGCAACGGCGCGTAGCGATTCAGACGAGAGAGTCTGATCTCTCCGTAATGATAGCGGCCTGAAACTTCGTGGTCTTGGATTTCTGAAACTTTCTGGATGAACTGACAGAAAGCTTGCCATGTCACCTCTTTTGGGATCAAACGGTGGTCATCTCTCTGGGCAATGCTTAAGTCTGATTCATGCTGGATAAGGTGATGGTAGGTTCGTAAGAAACCCATCGCCGCTTTGTGAACAGCATCACGCCGCTTGCCGAGTGGAGAGTTATCATGCAGCAGATATACCTCCCAGAATGCATGAGAGAGCAGATACCTGGGAAGAGGCTGGATGAAGATTCGAGTATAGCTCCACACCAAATGCAGACGAGGGTCCTCAGTGATGACGATCTCGCGGCCTTTGATCTTCTGGCGATGTAATGGGTTTATGTTTGCGCTTGATTGGGTCGTTAACACCCATAGTTGGCTCGAGATATTCTCGAGATCGCGAGCGCATAAAGCCTTTTCAATGAAGCTTGCAGCGTGTGTAGTATCCGCGAGATGGATATTCGGGTATCCTGGAAGTGTCGCAGCGGCATCAAATTTCACTGGCGACTTTGTCTCATGGTAGCCGGTAGGTTTTAAGAACTCGTCACTGAGTTGATAGTTTTCTGAGAAGGGAAGGTCCATTGGAGTGATGGTTGCAGCTTTTCGGTATCTTTGGTCTGATAATAAGCGCCGGCTTCGTTCTCAGCCTTGCTCTTGGCTCCGTCCGCAGTCCGTCTGACGTGGCATGCATCGGATTCAAGATTGTGGCTTGCATAAGATGGTCAGATGCGAACCTCGCCTCGCTTGAGTGGTTTGTTATTGGTGGATATTTGCGTGAGTCGCTGTAAGTCCTTCGACGATAAGTCGTCGGTGTTCGAACATTCTTCGCGATTAATCCACCTCCATCTATACTTGCACGACTGAAAGCTTCAAAATGGTGAGTCATTTTGATGGCCACGACAAAGAGCTTGTATGCTGACTCTTGTTATCAGGTTAGGGCTGTGACTGAAGACGACACTGGCATCAAAGTCTTGCGCGAGCCAAGTAACCCGAACATCGAGTATGACACATCCTGGAAGTCGCCGAAATGCAACTAACACTCGGCCAGTATTGTCGCTATTCACGGCCTTGGAGCGCATCCAGATGATACTTGGTGCAAAAATATCGGCACACCGGAAAGTCCGCAATGGGTCAATTGGCTAAAGGACCCCAACATGCTTCCCTCGATAGCCTCGAACGTCCGGATAATGCGCTATGGATACGAATCAGCATGGTTTGGCTCTGATGCAATCAAACAAAGTACCACTGACGCTGCCGAAGAGTTTTTGGATGATCTCAAAGGTCTGAGGGAGGTACGGATATTGTTGGAGGATCGTGACATGCTCTTGTCGTTGACCTATCTGTTCGCAGGATTCGCCTAATCGACCTTTGATCATTATTGCACACTGTTATGGTGGACTCGTTGCCTTGAAGGCTAGTGGTCCCTCTCCCAGAGCTATCGCGATCATGCTAATACATCTTCCAGGCTATGATCCATGCTCGCCTCCACAGCAAGCGATGGCCAGACCTCCTCAGCTTCACGACTGGTCTCGTCTTCTTTGGAACCCCTTTTCGTGGTGCTGAAGGCATCAGCCAGAGTGAGCTGCTCCAAGCCGCTATCGAAGAACACAAAGTCGTCGAAGCTCAGGCGCTTCGAATTTTGGACCCTGGCAACGATCCACTCGAAGATCTGGTCACCGATTTCTGCAGGTTACACTCGGTGCCGCACAAAGCGCAGATTGCATGCTTCTTCGAGCAGAAACCCAGTAACATAATGGCAATTGTGGGCAAGAATGCACAGAAGGTAGCAGGATGCGTTCCGAATCTTTCATGTATGCTCTGAAGAACTGACAAGTCGTAGAGTTTCGTGGTCAGCAGAAGCTCGGGATGTTTGGACGAGTCCGAATCAACACAGAAGTATCGACTCGCTCGTACTCACTTTGACATGAACAAGTTTGGCAAGCCCTCGGAGCGGGGATTTACGAAAGTGGCGCAAGTCGTCAAGGGCATGGTCGAGGCAGCACCGAATTTGCTGCTCTCACGTTTGGAGGGTATTAATTCTCATCCACTGCTGACGTCGGAGGATGCTGACATGTATTACTATGCTAGTTAAAGGTAATCATCAAACCTCCGATCTGCATATGGCTTTGTCCTCAACATCTCTGCGTTTGTATATCGTGGTCGATGCTGACACGTCAAGTAGTGGACGAGCCGAAATCGATCGCGGCTGTGAGACGACTTGTTGAGGTGACTGATAGCTCTCTAGAAGGAAAACGTCATGAAAGCACAGAGAAGGTTCAGAAAGACATCTCAACGGCCATCGAATTAGCATTCCAGAAGGCGAACTTCACACGAGGCGTCATGACAGACTCTCGTCTGGGCCCACAACCCGCTCATCATGCTATAGATGATGTCGAGAGCATATTGGCAATAGTCAGGCTGAATACAACGGTCAAGATCAACAAAAGAAGTGAGTGACGTATAGTCAGCTCTCGGGATACGGGGCTAAGCACCATCTCTACAGCTCAGCACCGATTTTCTAGCCATAGCACATCTCGTCTGGTCACCCAGGCCCTTCATGACAGTATCGATCTCGCAAATGGCAAGTTCGATATACTCACAACGAAGCGCAGCACAGAAGCTGGCCGGGATGTTTCCTTCATGTCTGTCATTACCTTCACTGCTGACAAAAGCCAATACAAGCAATTCATGCTATCTATGCATCTCATCCAGATACATGGCCTCGATGGTTCTAATGTCTTGTCCCCATGTATAATTGGGCACGCAATCATCCCTGACGACGCCCCTATATTACAGGCGATTCGCGATAAGAACCTCGAAGAGTTCAAACGACTTCTTGAGAATGGAAAAGCTAGAGTATGGGATTGCGATTCAGAGGGACGAAGTTTACTGAACGTAAGTCTGAGCCGATATCGAGGCTAAGTTTTTGTACCACTAACGCTCTCACTAGATTGCGATCTATCATTTAGAACCCATAATGGTCGAATATCTCGTTGCGCAAGGATTGGATGTAAACAGTGTAGAGATGTCCCTCGGGCCTTCTAGCAGAAGAGAGTTCGACATCACCTAATTTGATATGTACCCGGCGACCCAACGCCTCTAATACCATTCTCACAGGCATATTCTCCGATTTCCTTACGTGGACCGTCCGGAAACCTCAGCCATTCAGACTATACTCCTGACAGCAGGGTCTGATCCAACTTTCACAACGGCCGATCGGTCTTGGAGTCATCTGCATCGAGAGTTGAGATTTGGGAAAGTTGTGTGCCATCCTCGCGAGTCTGCTCAGTACAAGTATATTCTCTAATAGATCACACAGGAAAGCCTACGGTTGTTATTGAAAGCGAGTCAATACTTCATCCCTGTTGATCTTGAATTGCTAAAACTCTGCGTCGAGACCTCAGGACGAGATACGTGGGCGAAAGTCCAACTGCTGATAGCACTCGGAGCTTCCAACGGGAGTTCTGTTGACTGGATGAAAACAGCCTTTCTTCACATGAGATATCCCTTGGACACCTTACATTACTTTCGGACGTTGTGCGGCTTTCTACACAGCGGTGTGGTGGATACTGACACTAAAGATAGCAGAGGGCTGAGTTTATACGATTCGCTTCAGAAAGACGAGAAAGTCTTTTTGGATTCTCAAGCCTCAGATATGCTACACTGTGCAGTGGAACGAGAAGCTCGATGCAATCCTCAACTTCAGAATTGGGTTATCGAGCATCCACGAAAGCCAAGTGTTTACGACATCGAACACTACATGCCATGCCATCATCGTCGGTGTCACACGAACAACCACGATGAACCAATCCAAGATGTTGAAATTGACTGGGAATACCAGGTTCAAGCTGGTGTCTGGCCAGATATGACACCTGAGGAGGAACACACTGTCGCTCATGGTTGTTACATTAGAAAATATTCAAATACTAGGGCAGGTCACTCTGACGCATGGTATCGATGGTCAAGCAGCGGAGAAACCTTAGTCTGTGACATCGAGTGGGGACGATTCGATGAAGTGGTTGAGAGGAAGTCGATTTCCTTTCCCTGTATTGACTGTATCGCAAGATGGCTCCATGACACGGGATCTTCTCGTCCTCAAGATCCCAACGACAAACTATACTCACATTATAGTGTACGTTTTGTCGCAACCAGTTTTGGAGGTATCTGGGATTTGGATAATAACATGGACGGTTATCCGACTTACGCATGGGTACCTACACCATCATCTGACTGGTTGTGTTACAGCGAAGACGGTGTCGAAAGGGTTATCAAGACGGTTCACGTACCACGTCCGAGCGAGGTCTTGGACTCGGAGATTGACATGCAGCAAGACCACAAAGATGCTGCCGACAATGAATTTAAGCGCCGTGCCCAGCCAACGTCATCCTCGAGCGAGGACGAGAGGGTGTACAGGCGACTGAGACTGGATGATCAGGAGTACGGTTCTACATCCCCTCATACTCCCTGAGCATTGTTGAACATATTCGAGTGGTAGCACGTCTCGGTATGCGCATATCTGTATCAAATCGTTGTGTATCGGCCAGGATGCACTTGTTCTGTTGGATTGACATAGTACTACGAGGTCATAATGCTCTGCGACAACTGCTTCCATCATTATGTTCAAGACAAATCGGGTTGTCTTTTACGTTGCACAATTTCCTGGACAGTTCGCGCAATGAAGTTTTTTCTTTCCCGTGACATACCTGTAGCATGAAGATATTGTTCATATCAGCCTAACCTCTTCTTACTCAGCAACCACTACTCCACGCTTGATTTCTCTCTCCCCAGCAAGACCTTCAGCACATACCATCAAAAGACAACACCATCTCCATACCTATCTTGTAATCTCAACTGCTTTTACGAATCGCTGTAACCAACGAAATCGATATTCGGAAGAAAAGAAACTCCTGCCTTGTAGCAGAATAACAAGAAGTCTAGCCTTTGAAAACTACAAACTCGTGACAAGATCGAGACACTAGAGTTCTACTTTATCTCTAGGTTCGGATAGAGGACCAAATTTCTCTGTCAAGATGCAAGATGTTTTTGACATCCACGCACATGTTCACTGAGAGCAGCTACTTGTGCACGCTTTCACTGGACAATCAAACTTGTACGAAAATTATCTCGCTTTCGGATAGTTTCTTTTCGGTGATCACCCTGCCCTTGAAAAGCTGTGATGAGATTTCAAGCATCCACGTTTAGAGTCTGAAGGTGTAGCTCTGCTGTACACAAAGACAATGCTGATCTCCTTATCTCCTCGTTTCCCTATCTCCTCATATCCCCATCTCCCATCTACCCACCCCAATCGCACCTCCATGCCTATCTTACCCCTCTCATCACCTCCTACGCACTTCCAACTTTCCTCCAAGCCAAAAACCTGCCCCGAAAATTCTCATCCGCGATTCCACCTCTCTCCACAACCTCATCGATATACCTCTGCATCTCCTCCACAAACCCCCGATGAACAGGCCCTCCTACCTTCCCCTTTGCAACTCTTAGTTTCCTCTCTATGATCCTATCACCGAGTTTTTCCAATTGCTCACGTCTTCGCTGTTGTCTAGCTTGTTGAACAGCTTTCCCCATTTCCGCCAATTTTAGGGTGTCGAAGTGGACGTTTTGGATTGTGGTAGTGTGGGGGACGAGGGAGGTATTTTCGACATCGATGAAGATGGTAGAGGGAGGCAAGGATAGAGATGAGTAGAGCAGCCATGTCAAATACTGCACACGTGTTTGGATGATCTTGCAGATATTGTTGTATTCGGATGTATGATTGCAAGCATTCGATCCACGTGGACAGTCACCATGGGCATTAGCCAGAAGTTGGATTTGCTCTGCCAGTTGACCATTGTAGATGTGGACGCGCAGCCAAGTGAGATTGTAGCATTCTTTTGCCAGGCGTCTGAGGTTTTCGTTTTGATGGCGTATGCGTTGTGTGTTGTTGCCGCGGAGGTTCTTAGATGGCGAGGTGTTGTGGGATAGCGAGGGCTCGAATCCATCTTCCAGGGCTTCGATGTTGACGTGTATCATTCCGATAGTACGCTTAGTGCGTGCATCCAGCGTGTTCAGGATATTGTGAAGGTCTTTAGCGTTGACGACGAAAGCATTCTGACGCCAGAAGTGTTGATGTGCCTCTTTCCAAACCGCGTGTTCTTTGGGTGGTAGCAGATTCAGAGTGGACTTTGAGAGGAAACAGCGTGCGTTTTCGTCGGATAAGAAAGAAGTGCACTGTGCCAACACATCTGTACCACCTTCTGCAGGATCTGAAATTTTAATCGTGCCAGTTGCACTGAACTTATTGGAGTATGCAGCCTTCCTCTTGTCGATGTTCTGTTCCAGAAATGCTTGGATACTGGTGCTTGCGAAGAGCTTTTTTGCAATTCGAGTCCGGAGTTCTTTGGCTTGCTTTGTGCGAAAGGTCGAGGGGTGAGCACGACGCTGGGAAGGCGACTCTAGACCATACTTCCGACGCAAAGACTGGTGTTGTTTCGTCTTCACTTTCCTCAGTGCCTTGGCCCAATCCTTAATCCACTTCCTTGCTTCCGTAGCTTCTTGATCGATATTCATTCTCTTTAGCATGGAGTCCGAGATTTGGCTTCGTTCAGAGAGAATGATGCTGGTATCACAAAACTGCTCGGGTACAGGGCTTGTGCTAGAGAGCAGTGGATTCAAGCGCACAGGCGGTCCAGGAAGTAGAGAGACAGGAATCACAGGTTCCACATCGGCTGTAATGTCGTCGAAATCGACCAGCCATTGAGACAATCCCTCATCATCGTATGAATCGTTCATGTGATAGACTGTGGAGCTATCGTCGTGTTCGAGATCAGGTCGTCCAGGATGTTGCGTCGATTTATTGCCCATAATGAGAGGTCGCGAAGATGATCGCCTGCGTTGGGCCAGTGCTTAAATCGCTAGCTTTTGACGACCAAGTCGGGCAGCCAGTGTGTGGAAGCGCGTGTTGGTGATAGAGAAAAAAGATCTGTCAAATAGTTAGTCGATGCAGGCTCCCACCAGATCATGCATGCAGCCGAACATGAAACAAAGCACTAACCTCTATTGCCTGAATCAGAAACAGACCTGTCAAATTTGATAGAATATTCGAAGAGGTGGAGCGTAACATGAGAACGCAATCAGGCAGCAGAAGGAGAAGAAGATTCCAAGATGAGAGTACCAACTCGCCAAGCTCTCGTCTCGGCGAAGAGGACGATTTGGGAAAGAACGTCACTTGTTAGAAGAAGCGATGGAAGAACAAGTCCAGGTAGGAAGATGCGAGGGTACCTGACCATACTACAATTTGAGAATTACCTATTTGAGTACACATGACTGCTTGTAAAGATCTGTCGACTTCTCAATGCTCGATACGATCTTTCTTCCCCTACGCTTACATAACGTACTGAGTATAGACAAAATGCAAAAGTACCACACTATTTACTTACTAGAAAATCGAAAACGCTACACGGGTATCCAAAACAACACGACACTTCTTCTTTCTTATCCTTCTCCTTCCATTATGTAGCACCACATACTAATAAGGCGCTCTGCTGACTCCTTCTCCGCCTTCAACATCTTCTTCGGTGCCGATAGATGACAATAGATCTCTAAGATCCTTCTTGCCATGTGTGCTAGCGGCGCCACCACCAAAGCCTCTGGCAGAACTCCTGCTTGCGACTCTTCTGCTGGCAGGTCTGGTGACCAAAGTCTCTTGTCGGCCTCTCTCGGAAGCAGGTGCTGAAGGTAAAGTACCGTTGGTCATGACTTCGCCACTATTGAGTCTGAGAGCAGGCGCAGGAGGTGGTTGCATGGTGTTTTGATAACCGTAAGCAGGATCCTGTGTTGCTGGGCGGTGAGGTGGTGGGGTATACTCGCTGACATCGTCATCGAGCTCACCGTCCTCGACGTCCATCATACTTTCGCTTGAGTCGTCTCCAGCGCCAGCACGATGCATAGACATGGCGGAGGAGGGCGGTGCTTGACCAGCGAGCACCCTCTTCAATTCTTCGACACGCATAGCACCTGAGTTTGTAACGCTGCTGGCAGCATCTCCGTGACCTGATGTACTATTACTAGGTCGTCGACCAGCAGGGCTGCGGCTAACAATGCGGCTTCTGACTTGCGAATGGCTGGTACCAGCTCTTGCAGGACCAGATCTAGAGGTGCCTCCATTTCCAAAAGTCTCAGATGTACTACGAGGGCTCTGGTAGGGGAACGTGTTCGCAGCGGCAAGCAAACGACGGTGATCGCCAAGGGCAACAAGGTTGGTTCCTGACGGGTGTGCAGATGTGGTCCCAGCACGTGAGCCACTCAAAGATGTCGACTTGGGCACTGCCGCTGCAACAGCTGCGAGAAGTTCGTCTTTAGACCAGACTGCCATAAGCTCATCGATGCATGATTGTGGAAGATCGGGCCTGGGTCTGCTGGGTGCGGCGAGGAAGTCGCTGGGAGCCAGAGACAAGGTAGGCAGGGAGAAACTGCGTCCAGGACTACCGGGCGTGCCAGGCGGTGAAGCGATGTTAGCGCTGTAAGCATCCGAGATACGCTCAATTAACTGCTCTCGGTGATCGAATGGCTTCAATGCCTGAGACTCAACGGTGTTTTCGGTCAACTGTGTTGGAGCAGAAGCAGCCACCTCAGCAATTCTTGCCAGTGACACCGCTGGAACCTGAAGGCCGTGTACCCAAATGCCGCTTTGCTGTCTGCGCACAATCTCTGCTTGAATTTCGTTTCCGACAACAGAGTGCTCGAAGTTGAACTTGTGAGCAACAGCCCAGAAGTACCCGTGGACTAGACTACCAAGTCTGACCTTGGCCTTGGGGTTCTCAATGGCCAGGATGTCTTCTTGAAGGCGGAAGATCATGGGCAGACCAGAGCGAGTGGCATTGATGCCGAGCTTGGCGACCATAGATGCAAGGAGATAATGCAAAAGCAGGAATTCATGGTCAGCTTCAGGGCGGTCGGCAAGATGCAGAGCGTCCTCGTAGATGGCAAGATGCAAAAGCTGCAAGAAGAAGGAACGACTCTTCTTAGCGCCACGACCACGTGCTGAAGCATTGGACACGGCTCTGCGAGCCATGTTGTTGCCGTTTGCATTGTCCCGCTTGTGCTTTTCAGGAGCAACCTTTATCTCAATCTTGGAATCCTTCTCGCGAGTTTCAAGGTCAAGCCAAGTGCATAAAGCATCCACATAAGCGACACGGACTGGACGGTAAGAGTCACGCAACAGCCATTGGGTTCCTTCCCAGACACCGATCGGCACAGGGTTTTGGTTCTTGGCAGCCTCGTTAGCGGAAGGACCATTTTTGTTAGCAACAATCAGAATGCGCTTGACTGAGTCGAGAGCAACTTCGCGAGCAGTGTCGAACGAGAAGAAGCCGTCAGTGTTGGGTCTTTCCTTCAATCCATTACTAGTTGCAGATTCGTGGGAAGCAGCACCCGGGTCTTCAATGGCATTTGCAGTGGCTGCAAGCATGTTGGCAGCAGTAGATGCAGGCTTGAGGCGGAGAAGGATGGCAGAAATCATGTCCGAGATTTGATCGGTATAGTAGACGTGCATGGCAAGGTTCACGATGCATTGGCGCAAATGAGTAAGCAGTTCGACTCTGACAGGCGAAGGAGTCTTGACAACCTCCATCACGGGCGACTTTGGCTTTTCGTTGGTCCCGTTCATGCTAGATTGGGTGGTTCCTAGCTGCAGTATCAGCAATACGTGCTGAACCAGGCCGAGGAGGATATCCATGACTGATAAGCCAATCAAGTTGATGTTTGAGCCAAGAACCTGCTCAACAATCACAGCCAAAACGACTTGCTGCTGCAAAGCGTCTTCGACAATGGGACTTTTGATCAGAATCTCGACAGCGCTGAACAAGACGACGAAGCGATCCTGGACCGGAGCACATTCGCATGCCAGCTTGACGAGACCAACGGACCAAGCATGGGGAGAATTGTGTTGAGCAATATATTCGAGCATGCTCAAGGTGGCCATGCGCACTTGACCACGGTTGTCGACATCGAACAGAGCCTTGAAGCATTGCATGGCCAGTACACCAGCTTCTTCTTCTGCATAGCGATCGGCTTCCTGAGCAGTGCCACCGGCAGCGCGAGGATCGCCTTCCTCTCTTGTATTCGTACTGCGAATGGTCTGCATGCTAGGACGAAGACCTTGCTGGGCGTGCTTCTGCTCGGCCAATCGCTCGTCGAGGGTGGTCAGGTATGCAGCATCCTGGGAATAGAGGTTGCGCAGAACGGCAGGCAAGAAGACAGTGATTTGACGGCCGGGATCGCTGGCGAGTGCTTGGGCTTTGGCGACACTGCGCAGAGCTTCAAGGCCAGCCTTGCGCAGCTTGAGGGCATCGCTAGAACCACCCGCCTCCTTGTTTGTCTTGTCGGCATATGTTGTCCATCTCTTGACCACATCGGCGAATTGTTGACGGTACTCGACATCGGCAGCGAGCGTAGCATGGTCCTGGTCGTGACAGAAGGCATCCCACACGGGTAGACATGCCTCAATCAAGCCAGTGTCGTTGGAGTGTCCCAAGACTTCTTGAAGGATTGTAAGGACGTGAGGCGCCAATAGGGGAAATGTGTCGACCGAGGAGATGCTGGACGAGTTGAGGAAGGCGGTAAGAATTCCTAAGGTGACATGTACCGCTCCTATCCTGCCCTTGTAGACGTCCGAGGCGGTGCGCTTTTCCAGAAAACTGCCAACCTTTGTGAGTTTCTCCCTGCGACTCGAGGCGTAGTAGACGAGATAGCTGAGTTCGCTGCCATTCGGTTTGGCCTCACTCGCCGTGGCTGCCGGGTTCTTGGGGAGCTTCGGATAGCACTTGAGGATCAAGACCTGATGTTTCGGCCGGCATTTCTGGCGGAGCGCGTTCATGTTGGCTGACAGATGGCGTGAGTCGTGCTTGTGTCCGACTTAGGCCTGCCGTGAGAGATAGATTGCCGCGTGCTTCGCCCTCTTTCGTGCTGTCTGAAAAAGTGGTCGAAGGGTATAACAGCCCGACTCCGTATGAGACACGGACACGTCGCGGAATGCGATCAACGACAAGGCCGGAAACGAGACAACCCAAGTCACTTCGTATATCGTAATCAAAGCCGTTCCCCCAATCCCAATCCCAAAAGTGGCTGGCCCGTTTGTTTCTTGGCAGCATGCGCGAACCGAACCCTTTGCTGCGTCATTTGCGCTCCGCACGTGTCGATGCAGTCAAGGCAGAAACAAGGGGCTTGTATCACAAGGAAAAACATGGCTTTCGTATATTCATGCCTATAGAAGTCGCTAGGCCATGGTGAGCCCTCCAGAGCAATGCCATCTGTATCTCTGCTCGTCGATAGAATAGAGATTATCTTCCTTGGAGTACCAAAAACGCCATCTTGTGCTCCGAAACAGAACTCGATCACTTGCTCGTCCAAAATCAAAACTCCTCAATATCCATAAACGTTATCCTTCACTTACGTGCCTCCGTTTCATGATTCGCTTCTCGTCACTTCTTCAAAGCTGCGTGTGTTTTTTGGCTTCACGCTTTCCACTGTTTGGTGCGCGATACATCGGATGCTGCTGCCAGCCGGGCATTTCAGGTTGCATCTAACGTCCTGCCATGCCCATGCCGAACCTAGCTGCTCCGATTTTGTGAAAGGTACCAATAGGTTGGAAGCCCCTGTATAGAGTCAGTGATTTGTTTGTGATCTTCATCCCGGGAAACTTACTTGGCAAGATCAATGCCGGCTTCGTCATCAGTGTCTGCACCATAACGCAATGATCCCATATTCTGTTGCATGCCGCCCATGTTATTCGTAGCATAGGCATGGCTGTTGAGAATGTTGCTGGTGTTGGGCGCAGCGCCCGCTTGCTGTTGGTTGTTACCGTTACCCAGCGCCTGCATAGGCGGACGCATCGAGTTAGGAGCGGGCATGCTTGACTGCTCACGCTGCTGCTGTGCTTGGGCCTGTGATTGCTCCTGCTGCTCTGACTGGTTCTGTTGTTGGTGCTGCTCGGGCTCTTGCTGCTGCTGTTGTGGAGGCTGCAGCTGAGGGGCGTTGAACGAGGGATTGGCAGGAATGCTCTGTTGTGTCGTCTCACGTTCGAAAGAAGTTCTCTCATTGCTCTCGGGTGGCATGCTGGTGATGATGTGCTCCTCTGGGTCAAATTCAAGCTTGGCGGAACGGCTGTGGCTGGTTGCGGGTCTAGGTATGCTGCGAGTTGGACTACCGTCAATACGGTCGGGAACGCCGCTAGGACGAGGAGGGGAGCTGGACTGGATGGCCGGCATGTCATCGTCCTTCTCGTCTAGTATACTCTTCTTGTCGACAGCGCTCTTGTCATCTTCGTCAAGGATCTTAACGTTGGCTCCAATTCCAAGCGGCTTGAACGACGAGAAGGGAGTTGCCTTTAGAGGACTAATGTCTGCGAGAGGGCGTAGTGGAGTGGAACCAAACTTCCAGAAGGGAGCAGGCGAGGAGAACTCCATGAAAGCAGAGGGGCGCTGAAGTGTCGAGGGAGGAACCAACTTCTGACTGCTGCGTACGGGGAACGGTGTGTCGAGAGGGCCGATGCGACCGTCGTCGTTGATGTACAGCGAGGGTGGCGATCCAGCAGCGTTGGCGACAGCGGTCAGATGGTTTAGAGTACTCTTGGCCGAAGGAGGGTAGACAAGTTCAGGGTCGTTATCGTCGAACTTGACGGGACGGCGAGAGCCTCGGTCGGGGGTATAAGCCTCGGTGGCGGTAGGGTACGACGACGGGTAGGTGTGCATCGGAGGGCTGTCACTCTTTTCAGTCTTACTGGGAATAGCGTGAACAGCACCATTCAACTTCTGGTGGGCGGAAGAGGGAGGATGCAACTGAGCAGGACTCGAGGGGTCGATCATGCCAGAAGGCAGAGGGTTTGGTCTGCGGCAGCCCTTCATGCCCTGACTGAGGAAAGTGTCGCGCTCCTTGGGCGAGATCATCCATTTCATGCCCTTTCCGGGCTCATCAGTGCGGCGAGCAATCTTCTCAAAGGCTTTGTTGAGACTGAGGTTGTGACGAATCGAGTTTTGCCAGCCGCTGGTGCTGTATCGGTAGAAGGCATAGTTCGCCATGATCCACTTGTAGATGTTGTTCAATGTCATCTGCTGCTCGGGGGTCGAAAGAATGGCCATGCCGATCAATTGGGCATATGAGTGGGGAGGCTTGAGGTCTTTGGCACTGTCTGCAGAGTAGTCAATCGACTCGGTTGACTCGAGCATGACACCGCGAGAGTAGCCACCGATCGAAACAGGTGAAGGACGGGTGCGTTGTGAGGTAGGAATGTTCATGCCGTGGTTGCGGATAGGAGTGCCCGGCACAGGGAATGATTGAGATTGTAGTCCAGCGTAGGAATGAGGGTGGACGCGGTGTCCGGTACTGCCATCGGGGAAGCTGGACGAAGGGTGCGTAGGACGGCGCACCGACGAAGAGGGACCAGGCATGTGGGACGACGGGTTTGGAGGTGGGTTGCCGCTACGGCCATCGGCTTCATGGTCCTCTTCTTCTGATGTGTATGTCTGACGGACAATGGCGTCAGCGAAGACGGGGCCATCGTCCTCATGGCGAGCGGTAGTGATAAAGGCCATCTGAGTACCACTGATGTCGATGACGCATCCAGAACGCAAAGCTGCCCGGTTACCACGCTTGAGCAGCTGAGTGTCGACTCGGAGGCCATTGCGACCGTTGACGGTGATGAACCACTTCTCCTGTTCGCTGTCGTACGAGATGACGGCGTGTAGGCGTGACACTTGTCTGTCAGGACCGAGATCGATCGAGATTCTTGACTTGGCCGACGGGTCGTTCGACTGGACAAGAGGAGAGTCAAGAGATTCGGCCTTCTCATGCGACTCGGGACGACCAATGTTGATCTCGACACCCTGAATGATGTATGTCCAGTTACGTCCGGCAATCTTGCCATAGCCAGGCACGTGCTCTCTTCCTTCGAGTAGGTCGTTCGAGAAGTCGTGTGTGGCATTTACTTGCTTATCCGAGACCTTGAGCTTGGAGATGACATCGACCTCGGAGGGAGTCGAGGGCTCGGTTTCGGCGTCGGATTGTTCGTTGGCCTCGGTGCCCTCGGTGTCTTCTCGCTCGTTAGCGCGAGCAGTCGTGACCTTTCTGCGCGTGGCTGCACGGCCATTGGAAGTCGGGGCATCGTTGGCGCGCGCTCGCTTGCGCGAAGTGCGCGACGGCGTAGCGATGGATTCGGGAGTGTCGGCGTCAGACACGTCGGCTGCCGTGGCTGTGGCTGCAGCGGCCACTTCGGCGGCCTTGCGCGCCGGTCTTGTGCGCCGATTTGACGGCGGCATGGTGATGTGTGTGGTGATGTTGACTGCAGGAATAAAGGGCGTGTTGTTTGGACGAGGACGTCGCTGTGTCGCGTCGTTGATGTCGGGTTGGAGCGGGAAAAAGCAAGCGAAGTGGAAAGCGATCGCGTCTCAGAGCGGGCCAAGAGTTTGCCTCCGCAAATTTGCGTGGGGACGAGGACGATGTAGAAAGAAGGCCTGATATTGTCGCTCTCGCTCTTGCTCTATTATTCCCTGCTTGTTTGCTGAATTTATCTCAGCTGAGACAGTGTCGTCGATACTGATAACCCTGCCTCTTCACAGTCGCTCAAAAAGCGCGGATCGTTGGGTATTTGACAAACAGACCTCGAGACGCCGTAAGCGAAGGACGTGCTGTTTACGTTGACTGACGCGCTCGATCAACAAAGGCTTTCCAACAATGGCTTTGTACTGCAGCTCTCCGTGAACCACTCGGGGATATTTGCAGACTGGAATCCACCTCTTTAACAGCTTTACTGAATATAGGGGCACAAAAAGGGTCAACGTTGTATCCGTTTCTATCACCTCCGCTGTCCGTTCGTTGTCAAAAGAGAGCACCTGTAAAAAGGCGTGCTGAGGCTGCCACCCTTGTGCGCCCGATCAAACCATCTGCTTGATGACGCTGACTGTTTTCCCCGCTTCCCACAAACTCAACCTTTGTTGACAAAAGTAAACATGGCTTTTATTCGGTCACCAACATTTTCAACTCTTTCTAGGTATCTCCTGTCAAAATGTCCTTGAAAGAGCTCTGATAAATTCTCGAAAGTGTCAAATCATTGGTGATGCAGTACAAGTCGTATCTAAGAATATCGGAACTGTTTCACCGTCCGCTAGCTTATCATCTCCGAGAGCTTCCTCGTCCACTCAGACCGCTCATCATCGTCCTATTGTAGCGAGCTGTACCAGTAGCAGTATGCCTGTGGAAACATATCGTTTTGCCAATCATCTTATAGAAAAACTGTCAGATGTGGCCAATCATTGGCGATGTTGTTCTTGCATTTTGAGCCGCCGGATGTTGTGCAGATGACCCTGTCTGACTTTGTCATGACCGACAGTGATGTATTCTCTGCTCTAGATATCGGTTCTAGTGTCGAGTCAGATAGCTTGAATGGTCTAGTAGTTGTTCGAGTTGGGTATATGTGCATATGTACCCCTATCGTCGTGGAGTGACAATTCTCGAACAACTGAAATTTCGCTGCCTTTTTGTTGTGCATATCCAAATGGAATTCAAGACCCACGTTGCCTTCTTTGAACTACAGAACATCGTTGATATCGGTCCATGTTTTTGCCATTCAGCATACAACACGAGCTGCTCTTCTAGAGCTCATACATATTACACACTCGAGAGACATCACTGTCGCTGAGAGCCCGAGTCCCGAGCTCAATCGGGACTAGTACAGTCTTGGCACAGCGACAAACTCCAAAACCTCCAAGGTCACCGAACCAACAACGCGTACTTCGACCATCGATTCCACCAACCAAACATATCATCCGAAGTTTTCTTTCTGTCGCGTCGTATATTCTGGAACCAATATACATAAATCATGGCCCCTGAGGACAAAGCTGCTGCTGGTCCAGCCGGAGCAAATGGAGTTGTCAAGAAAAAGCGCGTCGTCACCACCGCTGCAGACAGAGAGAGGGCCAAGCTCAAGGCCGAAGATGCAAGATGGAGAGCAGCCAAAACCCCTGATGCAAAAGCCTGGATCAATTCCACGAGGTTGTTGAGAGAGTCTTTCTCCATGAACAGAGAAGACATTCTGGCTCTCAAGGTCGGTCCCGCTACTCGACGTGATCTCTGGGCCAAAAGTGATGCTATGGGTCTGCATGTTGAAATGTTCGACACTAGATCACGCAAGGATGGACCATTGGAGAGCTACATTGTGATTGGACAACCTAGTTCGAGACATCTTGTGAATGACAAAGTCAGAGAGATTCAACGCCAAAACAAGAGAGCAATCCAGGAAGCCGAGGACGAGGCCGAGGAGGAAGACGAAACGAACGCTGGAGCCGATGAGCCCAAGAATCCAGCCGAGATGATAGATCCCTCCCTTCGCGAGCAACGAGCTCCTGTGGCTCAAATGATGCTACCTGGTGTTCGACAAGCCGCCAATCAGGGCAATGACATTTCTCAGCAACTGCCTCCCATCGATCAAACACCAAAGGCAACCGCCACTGAGACTGCCCAGATGGATCTCCCGAACGAGGATATTGAGGCAGCAAAGCAGCTCAGTGATCTCAAGGCCCAAGCTGTACCTGCAAGACCCGTCTTCCGCAAAGAGACTACCGAACAGGAACCTACTCTGCCAGGCGAGACTCCCCAAGTATCTGAAACTCTGCCACAAGACGAAGCATCAGGACTTCTCACTGCCGAAGAAGCCGCAGAGAGCGACCGTATTGCCAGCTGGGTATCCCAACAAGCTCAATCGGCTCAGACAGAAAAGGACATTGTCGACCCCACCGGATATTGGAAAATCACCTGCGCAGCAATCGCCGAACAACTAGGTTCCACCACCAACGAACTTACCCTAACCATCTACCTCGAGCCAACAAGACCTCAGAGCGACAACGATACCGATGATGAAAACCCCTCAGCCGTCTCCGAGAAGGACATCCCCGAGGCCGACCTCACAGAAGCTCAAAAGGCAAGACTCGGCACTTACCAACTCTGGGCCACCTTCGAACTAGGCCTCTACCAAGGCATCATCCGCTTCATGTCTCCTACAACTCCCAACACCACTCCTACCCAACGTACTGCTTTCGACTTGCTCCCCACCCAGCTTCCTTCCCTCACAAACCGCACTTTCCAATACAAGTGGCGCGGCCGCGAGACTTCCGACTCGGAAATCTCTGTCGAGGCTGAGAACGCAACACAATGGGTCAAATTCGAAGAAGACGGTGTTAATCTCACTGGTGTTTTCGAGAGCGAATATCTTGGCGAAACTGGATTTGAAGGACAAAAGGTTAGCAAGAGTGACAGCGCAAAGGTCCTTTTAGGCAAGGCTTGGAGTGAGGTTAGTCCCCAGGCTCATGAGGCCGAAGCTAAGCAGAAGGAGTGATTTTGCTAGAGCATGTGAAAGTGGTGGGTGTGTTTTGTAGCCGTTGAGATGCATAGATTTCCCATTCTTGCTTTGATACAAACCTTGGTATGAGAAGCTTTGCTCAAACTTCTACTCAATCGAACGTGCAATCTACGAACGATGGAAAAGGGCGTCACATACACACTGATCATGAGCTCTAGAATGAACGAAGAAGAGTGCTTGAGTGGGGAAACTGGCAACGTAGCCACATGAATGTATTTAAAGCTTCGTAAGAAAAAGGAAGAAGAAAATGCAACTTGCTAAAATCCTGTTGAAGTTTGAAGTTTGTGAAAATGCAAAGATGAAAAAGCTCTCCAACATCCTTCTCTTTTTGTCATCGTCCATCTCCAAAGAACATAAAAGGAATGATGCTGTCGTCAAGATGTTTCTCTCAATCCGATTCTTCAGGAACATCTTCCTCGGTGCCCATAAGTCCAATAGCCCAATGCACTCTAGCACTAGCTTTTGTCCTTACGAATTTCCTGTCGTTCTCGGCGTCCAATTCAGATAATCGTTGTCGGTTGGCTTCCACCTGACTATCGCCATATCGTCCGATTCTGAAATCGGAGAAAGTGGCTTTACGCACGCGAACGTGAGGAGGTCCCCTTCCAGCCTCTGCAGCACGGATCCAGCCGCTCTGACATCCTTCAGCGATGATACTGGCGGTAGCCCATCCACTGCGTCTGTTTGTTTCGAAAAGCCGCTCGACTAGCCAGGCTCGATGAGATGCATCTGTGTATTGTATGCCGGCGAAGAAGAGCGGGATGATCATATCGATCATCGCGGCGCCCATTTTGGGGTCGAGCGCACGGTCTTCGGGAGGTGGTTGGATGCCAGCGGCTATGCGGCCGATGGAGTAGGCGTACGGTTTTGTGGACTCTGCTGCTGCGGCTGCCGCGACATGGGCGGCTGGGGGCATGTGTGGGTGGTTACGGAGGGCGGCTATCATGGCCATGTTGTAGCATGTCCAGAATACGCTGATGTCCCAGGAGCGGTAGAGGAGGGCGGGGCCGAAGGGTGTGGGGAGGGGAGGTTGATATTCGGCATCTAGGGGTTGGAAGTAGGGGCCTAGACTTGCGGCTACGAAGTCTAGGGCGGCTTTTATACTGTTCCATTCTTGGACGGCGTTTGCGGTTGCGATGTTGAGATCGATGCTGTCATAGGCGTGTGAGGCTGTGCTTGCTGGCGAATGAGAGGCTCCTCTTGATTTGAACATGTTTGGTGGTGGTGTGGCTGATGCGTTGTTCGATGCACTGGACGTGCGTCTTCCGCTGTCGAGCGGTGAACCCATACTTGATTTCTCCACCTTCAGCTTTCTCTTCCTGTCCTTGACAGCAAAATCTGCGATGCGTGCGAGTAGCAGCACTACGTGGTCAAATGAGCCGTAAGGAGCATCGGCCTTGCCCAGCGGTGCTCGAGGTGGACAGTCGGTATATCGACTGTAGTCCATCCTATCTCCTGTCAGTACAAGTATTTCCGTAGACATGAGAACTGTACATACATGAGAGGGTCAGTGCTGATCAAGCTGTGATAAGCATCTTGCTTGCAATACCACCAATACAAGTCCTTCAAAGTGTCGTACGTCTCCAGATTGAACGGCTGTGGAGAAGGCATTGCTTCGCCTATGTGGCCATATCTGTCATAGCTGACTGCAGTACCGCATATTCCACCAACGATGTTTTCGTCAGCCTCGTACATCTGATCCAGTAGTATGTCCTGTGGTGATTGATCTGGCGAGATCTGTGGGATACCCGTGGCTGAAAATCGTGGCATCTGCTGATCTTGTCTCGCTTTATCAGACTTCAACTGCTTGAAAGTCTTGGTCATTCCGGCAAAGTCCATTTCCACCACCAGTTGTCGAGCACCATTCAAATGACTTTGCCAATTCGCGTGATTTGCTGCCATGCATTCGTAGTAGCCAAGCAATAACGACGCCGCAAAGACGGGCACTGATAATCGTTTCTTCGGATTGCCAACGCAATTGTGAATTCTCTTTAGCGCATATGCGTAGTGCTTGAGCGAGGGTGTCTCAGAAGCACCCTGGATTTTAGCTATTTGTAGACTCGAAATTGCGAGCATTGACTGTAAAAGGCCCTGGTGGTGCAGTGCTGCCATAGGCAAAGTATGCGTCCAGATGCACTTCCGTACCATAGGCATACTCTTGCTGTTAGCGGAGGAGTTTAGTCGCCAGATTTGCCTTGCTGAGGTAGTCAAGACTGCAGCAGTTTCCTGGAGGAAGTGGGCAAATACTCTCGCCGTGGCTGGGTTCTTCAACGGGTTAGCAACATGCTCAGGCCGGTAGCTATCCATGGCGCCGCTGAAAACAAAGGTGTCGAAATGTCGAGAATCCATCCTGGCCCCACTGAGTCCATATTGACCGTAATTGCGTCCTTTCGATCCGTGGATGTTCTGAGCGTCGAAATCGGTGTCCATATCATACATTTCATCCTCTGTGTCCACATCGTAGTAATCCTCGTCGTGGACTTCGATGGCTGCCTCATCCAGAACACCACTGCGTCCCAGCTGTGTTTGCAGAGGAGCATTATTAGTCATTGTCGGTATATTCTGAGGTTGTGATTGATGATTCACAGGCTGTGATCGTTCTGGATTTCCACCATATCCATAGGGTAGACCACCTGGTGGGGTTGGCGTTGCTTCTGGTATGTTGGGACTGATGAAACCTTCCCCGTGCCATTGATGCGGAACACCTATTGGCTGCTGATCATCTGTGACATATGCATTAGACCAAAGAACTGGTGTGAAATGGCCCTGTCCATCTTGCTGCCAGCCCGTAGTGGAGTATTGTTCCATGTAAGGTGAAGCCTCCGGGATAGATTGGTACAGTGTTGGGTTTGGTGGACCACTATCCACTGGAACGCCCTGAGAAAATGACGAGCTCCTGTCAAGAAATGGTGCTCCAGCAAGTTCGGGTGACCGTTCGAATCGGGTTGGTTGTTGTGGCATGCCATGTACCATTGGGTCAAAACCATGATGCTGAGTTATTGATGGAGATTGTTGCTGATCCAACATATCTCCAGCGGCTCCATACTGCTGTGACATCTGGGAAGCGACAGACAGCGAGCGCGGCTGCGAGCCAGAGTGTGGAGGATATGCTCCATGGTGGCCATGCTCATTAGGAATTCCCGTGAGTCCAGCGTCAAAAGTTATGGTCGCTCCGCCATGAGGTAAGTATTGGAAATCAGCAGGCTTGAAGACAACCCGTTGGTTGTAACCCTCACACTGCCGTTTAGATTTCATGCAATTCTTGCATACAGGTTTTCCTTCGTCGCACTTGATTCTGCGTTTTCGACACGTGAGACAACCCGTCTTTGTCCTCTTTCGAGCGGACCTTGCGGCATCAGAGCTGGCCGCCTGCGCGCTGGCCGCCTCGCGACCCACGGACGCGCCGCCGTTCTCCTGTTTGAAAGTACTCATCCCGTAGCAGTCTTAGGTTGATTGCCCAGGGTTATCTGGAATTCCAGATGGGAAAACGCGCATAGTAGACCTTCGCGGAGACGTGAGGTGCAAATAAGGATGCCCGCGCATACACCAATTACACAGGTGATTTGGTGGGGAGGCACTGGCCACTCGCCGCTGTACAGAAGTCGGGACGTGCCACAGAGGGATCGCGATGTCAGGAGATCCTTCAGAAAGTGGCCAGCGACCAGGCGTGAAAAGAGTGTGGTGTTGATAGACGTTTGCTGGAGGAGCGAGTACAAGACGAGAGGTGTGCACTTTGAGGAGAGAGGCACGATGGCCAGGTCCGCTGCGTCTATCTGTCAACGGTTCCAACGGCGTCGAAACGGCTTTGCTTGTCCCGGCCGCACGAAGGATCCGTGGATGTGCCGACCGTGTGCACAGTGAGGGTGGATTATGTTATGACCGTGCCGCCCCGCCTTCATGTAATTACTTCGAGTGCCCTGATTGATGGTATCTATGTAGCTAGGGAGGGCTAGATGAGACCGGCACAAGGATGAGGGCGCGATTAATTTGTGAGGTTGGTTGCGCCTTCCACCGACTACAAGAATTACCGAGGCTGGCGTGGGGAAACAGATAGAGAAATACCTACTAATGTTACGCTCGATACGCCCGTACTACCTATCATGTAGGAGCTAGCATATTGCACACTCCTTCAATTCCAACTCGCATATATGCACCACTTACACACTGTTTGAGGATTGATTGCCGACAGCATCTGACATGTGACAGTCCAGTGCTGAGGATGCTGCCGAGACTTTTCTGTGCACAAAGTAAACCCTGAGACCCTGACGTGCCCTGGGTTCGCATTAGAAGAAGAACAGTTCACTGCACCCACGTGGCAGAATTCTACATACGGTGATACGGCATACCTTAATGTCACTGAGGTGTGGTGATTTGCTGTGTGGCCTGGAGATCATCTCTGAGTTCCTGCTTAAGCAATGCACGAATGAGGAAGGCTGAAAGTCGCTTGAAGCATGATAGATTGGATGGCTTTGCTGACGAATCGACCCCTCGAACGAAGTATTTCTGCCATGTTTTTCTGGCGATCAGAGAAGCAAAGTAACCTTCTTTTGTCACTCTATGGGAAACCGTACTACAGTGCTCGGCTCTGACTGCTTGTTCAATGTTTCCATTGTGCCATTATTCAACGTCTTCGCAAGCTTTGCCTGTTTGTTTTAGGGGCAGGTCGGAATGGATTTCATCAGGTAAAGAGAATGGACCTTTAGGTGATCGTGGATTATAAAGCTTTTAGATTCCGGCGAGATCTCAATGACTCGGGCAAAAAGCTACCAACGACTGTTGAAATTCGAGAGGGACCGTGAGAACTCGTATCGCTATCGCAATGCAACCTTACTTCTCACACGTGAAAACCATCACACTCTTGGAGCTGATCAGACACAATGCTACCCATTGTACATGATGATATGAGCGAGATCATCATATCGAGATAGATACCCACGCTCGACAAATGCTGTCTGATCGTCCGATATGGGTAGATAAGACAATGCAGAAGTTGTTGCAAGGCCAGCTTGAATTGCTGCGAGACTCTCGAGAAGAAGTTTCAACGACGGAAGCTACCTTTGTGCTCATCTTGCAAGTCTTCACAGCGTTCGTGGTGGAACACGCCCGAGGACTGGTTTTGGTCGAATATCCAGAGCGCTCTGCATCACTGTAAGGTACGTGTGAAAGATGCCAGAACTGCTTCGATCCGGAAACCGATCCGACACGGATGCATGATCCGTGTTCAAAGAAGCCAGTATTTTGCTGACTTTGAAGCGCCGAACCTTGAAGACAGATGTAGTTCAAAGGATTGACAGGCTTCACACTGCAACGGTGCTAATATTACTTGGTCCGCGGTTTATTGTGCGAACATCGAATGATGTGGTCTGATGATGGCAGAGGCGGCCTCTAGTAGTCATCCTGCTTGCTGCAACTCAGCACATCGCAACATGCAAGACCTGCTGTTAGCCTGCACTGAGCAGAGATTCCCTGTGAGGATCACATCTCGAGAATGACGCGACGGACAAAGTGTCTAACGAAAACCACGGTTTTGCACGTGCCTATCGTCAGCGGCTGCTCTTTTGAAATCGCCGACTGGGTGCCGGAGGGAGCCGGGCGCCGGCCAAGCCTCTGCGCCTCTGCCGCTGCTCTGCTCGAGACAACAGGTGGTGATCAATTCTGGAAGGCTTCTTTTGAGCAGCCGAAATACGAACGTCAAGGTGAAGGTGAAAGGTGCTTTTCAAAACGCAAAACATCCTTCACGACTGCCGGAGGTGCCGGGTGAGTACGTATCTACGCCTGTACTTGTAGATCTATTGCGAAATACCAGTGTCTTGGCACCTGCTGCTGAGCCTCCCGTTTTCAGCAAAATTTAACCACCGGACTGCGGCACTCTCCACGGACCCTCACTTCGCACTCTAAACCTGATATCGAAAAGATTGACAAGAACTTGTGGATACTCACACAGCACAACCCCCAGACACCGGCAGAATTGAAGACTCTACCGGCGGCGTAGCCAAACGCTTGTTCGTGGAATGGGCGTTGCACTCGACTTCTTCATCCGACGATGGTGGATAAATTCGAATTGGTATAACCAAATGATGTCATGTTCTATACCCCGACGGCGGAGAGTTTGACTCCTTGGGGCCCCAGTGTCGTGTCCCACAATAGCATGCGGGCTGGGGTTAGAATATAAAGGTAGTGGAGCCCTCAGAAGAGCGCTTTTGGTACTCTCAGATCAGACGAGACTTCAGCACAGGAGGCTGGATATCTTTCATCATGTATACGATTTCAAACATCTACGTTCTGGCAGCCTTTGGCACAATTGGTGGTGCCCTCTTCGGTTTCGATGTCTCCTCTATGAGCGCCTGGATCGATCAAGAGCAATACCTCGAATATTTCAATCATCCTAACTCGAATCTGCAAGGAGGTGTAAGTATGGCTTTCCCCATGATTTGAAACTGGTGTTGACCAAATTTCAGATTACTGCTTCCATGTCAGGAGGATCTTTCCTTGGAGCCCTCGCAGCTGGATTTATCTGTGATGCCATCGGTCGTCGCTACTCATTGATGGTTGCATCCGTTATCTGGATAATTGGTTCCGCAATTCAATGCAGTTCTCAAAATGTGGCTCAACTTATCATTGGCCGACTCATCAGCGGTCTCGCCGTTGGTATTACCTCTTCTCAAGTTTGCGTGTACCTGAGCGAACTTTCGCCCGCAAAGATAAGAGGACGCATTGTTGGCATCCAGCAGTGGGCGATTGAATGGGGAATTTTGATCATGGTAAGTTGTTGGCAGTCAAATTACGGAAAACGGGTGGTGAGCCACTAGATGAGATTTGGGGTTTCCCGAAGTCCTACCTGGAATTCGACTGTCAAGATGTAAAGTACTATCTGGTCTGGCATACGATTCTATAGGGAGCCTACATTATTTGCCGGTCATGGTTGGCTCTCTACGGAAATCAGCTGGGCTTTGATAGTTCTCTGCATCTCGACAGTTTGTATACTCTGGTGGCTCATCATCCATAGTTCTGTACTGTTCTACACGCAAAAACGATGCTAATCATGTTCCTACCTCATAGTTCTTGGTCGCCTATGGCTGTGCCAAAGGCGTTAGCGGCCCATCTGCTTTCCGCATCGCTTGGGGTGTTCAAGGTATCCCTGCCTTTATTCTGCTCGGCTCTCTATTCTTCTTCCCTGAGAGCCCTCGTTGGCTCGGATCTAAGGGTCGCTGGCAAGAGGTTGAGAACACTTTGGCCCTTCTACACGCAAAGGGCAATCTTGACGATCCTGGCGTACAAGCTGAGCTTCTTGAGATTCGCGAGGCCGTTGCTGCCGCTCAGAACACTGAGGGTGTTTCTTTCTTCGGACTGTTCGGAAAGAAGATGTGGAGACGTACTTTGTGCGGTACCACTGTTCAGATGTGGCAACAACTTCTCGGAGGCAATGTTGCCATGTACTGTAAGTTTTGACTTTTAAGGAGCAACGTGTATCAGTATTGACATCTCACAGACATCGTCTACGTCTTCCAGATGGCCGGACTTGGCGATCAGACTCTCACTTCATCGATTATTCAATAGTGAGTTTCCCCGTCCCGTTTTATCCTCTTCATTCCTTAACTTTACCTCGATACTGACTGCATGTACAGTGTCATCTTCCTCGTCACGACCGGCATCATTCTTCCATACATCGACAGAATCCCTCGCCGCCTGCTTCTTTTAACTGGATCTATCGTATGCTGCATTTGTCACTTCACTATCGCAGGCCTCATGGCAAGTTATGGCCACCATGTTTCCGAAATCAACGGCAACACAATTCTCAGATGGCAGGTCAACAATGACACTGCTGCCAAGGGTATCATCGCCGTCAGTTACATTTTTGTTGGGTTCTATGGATTTACATGGGCTCCCTGTGGGTGGATCGTGTCCTCAGAGGTGTTCCCTCTCAAGTACCGCGCTACTGGCGTCGGTCTCTCTGCTGCCACTAACTGTATGATTGTGTGAATGCCCCCAGTCGAAGACCACATCGCTGATTCAATTTGCAGGGATTTTCAACTTTGCCCTTGCGTACTTCGTTGCACCGGCCTTTACCAACATCCAGTGGAGGACCTACATCATCTTCGGCGTTTTCTGCTTCGCCATGACCATCCACATCTTCTTCATGTTCCCTGAGACCCATGGAAAGACACTTGAAGAGATTGATGTCCTCTTCGACGCCAACATTCCCCCATGGAAGAGCAGCCAAGTCAAGAGCCGCTTCAGCGAAAGAGTGGACACCGTCATCCGCAAGGGCTCCGTCACCGAGCACGTCGAGAACGAAGCTGATGACAAGAAGAGCTCTGAATTTGCTCTCCAGAAAGAGAGTGTCTAGATGTTTCAAGCTGGGCTTGATTTCACATACATGGTTTTAATGCTATAGAATTGGTTTGGGGTTGCATATTTCTTGACCAGGGGTCGGAAAATCATAGATTTGGAGTTATACGAATATAGAAGATATGGCTTTAGATTTGATACCTATTTTATTGGTTTACAACGCATTTCTACAAACTCGACTCTCTTACCCCATGCAAGGCTTTTAGTACCCTGTCGCAAGGCATGACGTTTTGACAATTGAGCCTAAGAGCCTGCACTTGGTCGAACTCTCTCAGAATAGCCATACTAATGTCAAAATCATCTTGCCTTTTGACAGCTAATCTGGTGGCCACTTCACATTGGGAGAGGCGGAGATCGTGATTCCTCCGCCCCGTCTATGTGCTCTTTGTCACAACAGAAGAGCCACAAATGCCGATACCATCGTTTGACACTCTATCTGCTCCCTCGCACATCTCTGAAAGTGATCATGAGAATGCATGATATGTTTCCGATTACTTGGCTTGTCCAATGAGGGAGCTACGTCGAATTCCAAGACTTCTCTTCGGACTGCTACAAAGATGTTCGTACTCACTAGCAACCCATCTACAATCATGAGTATGCACAGCTTCAAAGTGAGCAAAAGCTTACATGAAACCACTTCAGCGTCAGTCAGCAACGCCAAAGCCACGTTCGTACCTTCCCAAAATTCTTCAAAATTTTCATGTACCTCTACAACATTCATACCACACCTCAAGCAGCTTCAAAAGAAGCGCCCAGATGGCAAAAGAGATGATTCCGCCCGGGTTCGAACCGGGGACCGCCTGTGTGTTAGACAGAAGTGATAACCAACTACACCACAGAACCATGTGCTTGATGACAAGAAGAAGATGTGAGCGCCTATGTTTCTGTTTTCTGCCGTGGGCAGGGCATGAGGCAGAGTCGAGGTGTCCAGAGAGGTTATCGTCAGTGTCAGGCAGTGGTCGGACAGGTGGAGGACTCAGGTGTGGATTGAACGAGCCGAAACGTTCAAGAAAACTCCGAAGGAAGCCACGGGTCTTGAACTCGTACCTAAACAGAGGCCGACACACGTAGAGCCCGCCTGAGCATTGGTTCGCGGTGCTGTCCTTGACCAGAACACTCAAACACCGACCTCGGTTCCCTTTACCTTGCAATATCCGCTGAATATGCTCATCAATCCATGTACAATCCAGGCTGTCTTGTCAAGTCTTGGTATACCCTTGGCTTGGAAATGGGTTCTACCGCCAAGTTGTTTCCTGGACGGCGAATTGTTGTGAGTAGAAATTGTGTTTCTCTTCAGTTGTCGCGTCAGGCCGGCGTCGGGGATGCCAAAGGCAACGGCTAAAGTGGAAATGCGCCTCGCCCACCTATATCTTGAATGGCGACGCAGGCTACTGCGTATGAACAAGCAATTTGGCGACGGTAGCAATATCGTATATTCAAAAGTTAGTCTCGAACGGACGTGGTTCTGGCGGTGGGTGCTGTTGAGCAATAAAGTGGAAGGCGCAAAGTGTTCGAGTAGCGTCACTCGGTGGATTTGATTTGCCCCGAGGGCCAGCCGTGCGACCTTCCTATTCCTTCGGAGGTGGAATTTTTCTCTCGAACATCCTCTCACCTTTGACAGAACATTCGTTTTTCGACGAAATACGTTTCGTCTCTGCTTGCTTGCATCAACATGCAGCAGGATCCATCGAGCCAGGAGTACGCGGACGAGGTTGCTCGTCTCCGCGCGAGCGAGTCTGACTCTGATGCTGAGCTTTTGGTAAGTTTTTGATATCGAATCGCACAGCCATGACCTTTGACTTTCTTTTATTCCTCAACACTCAAAGGGTCGGGAGTCTTGATCGAAGGTTAAGGCTAATGCTATACACAACGATGGAATGCTGTTGTCCTGACTTTCGACCATTGTAGGAAAATCTAGGCTACAAGCCAGTTTTGTAAGTTGAGATGATCTTAGCTCTATTTGAACCTTGCTCATTCTTTCAAAGGCATCGATCTTATACGCTTTTCCATAACTTTTCTACAACCTTTGGTAGGTCCTGGAACAGAAGTCGGGACCAAAACCCGCCAAACTGACCTCAGCGCAGCGGCATTGTATTTTGTAGGAGGTGTTCGGGTTACCTTCTCGACAGGTATTAGCGCCGGTGGTAACCTTGCCTATTGGTGAGCGTTTTCAGATCGCTGTGTCGCGCTCCGACTAATGCATAGGCAGGACGAGCTATATCGTGACTTGCGTCTTCACCTTCATTACAGCAGCCGTCATTGCTGAGATATGCTCCTCTCTACCACTTGCTGGATCTATCTACCTCTGGGCTGCTGAGGCTGGCGGGCCCAGATTTGGTCGCTTCTTTGGCTTCATTGTAGCTTGGTGGAGCACCACGGCATGGACAACCTTCTGCGCAAGTAACACTCAGGGCGCGGTCAATTACCTTCTGGCTGAGATTGTGGTGTTTGATGTCGACTATCCCTCGGACTCTGACCACATCAAGTACCGCGCTGTGCAATGGGCTGTTACCGAATTCATGCTGGCAGTAGCTTGCATTGTAAACCTGCTTCCGCCCAAGTTTTTCCGTTGGATCTTCTATGCTTCCTCGAGTATGGTCGTATTGGACTTCATTCTCAATATGATCTGGCTTCCCATTGGAGTGGCTCAAACATATGGCTTCCGCACCGCGCATGAGGCTTTCATGACCACCTACAATGGCACCGGAGCTCCTGCTGGCTGGAACTGGTGTCTTTCTTACCTGGCTACTGCTGGTATCTTGATTGGATTTGATGCTTCTGGCCATGTGGCTGAGGAGACCAAGAATGCCAGTGTGAATGCTGCTAAAGGAATTTTCTGGAGTACCGTCGTCAGTGGCATTGGCGGCTTTATTGTCGTGATTATGTTCTTATTCTGTGTGGTAAGTGATGCCAATGCAGATGTACTTGAATAGAAGTTGCGGTGAAATCGAGCTCCTGCTTCCCAGAACAACCTTTTGCATGCCTGTCGGAAGGCACGAGCAGTTTGGTCATGATGAGATGTCCAGAGAGAGCAGCGCTCTGCGCTATTCCTTGATATCATCCTCTATGACACATACACTCTGCAATGCGATAGCTGATTGCGAAGGCTGACGGACTTGATTTTGTCGCAATTCTTCCGTTCATACATCTGCGTCAGGATCTTGACAAAATTGACAAACGCTGATTATCTTCTAGCCTGACGCGGACACCTTCTTCCAGTTCGGCTCTGAGCAGCCATTTGTACCACTCTATGCCGTGGTCCTTGGTCAGGGCGGACATGTATTCATGAACGTCGTCTGTGTCGTAGCACTTTGGTTCAACACGGCAATTGCGGTGCTCGCCGCTTCCAGATTGGTCTTTGCTGTCGCCAGAGATGGCGTTCTCCCCTATTCCGGCTGGGTATCTCAAGTTTCCAATGGCCAGCCTAAGAACGCCGTCATAGTCGTTTGGGTCGTTTCAGCCATTGTCAGCTGCACAATCCTTCCTTCCAGCACTGCGTTCACCAGCCTGGTTTCAGCCGCAGGTGTCCCATCCGCAGCGGCATATGGTCTGATCTGCCTTTCCAGACTCATCCTTACGCCAAAAACATTCCCCAAGCCCAAGTGGAGTCTTGGAAGACTCAGCAAACCATTCCAATTTATCGCTGTCTTCTTTAACGGCTGGGTCGTTGCCGTGTTGTTCTCGCCGTATGCTTTCCCAGTCACTGCAGGAAATCTGAATTATGCCCCGGTGATCATGGGAATTGTTACAATCTTCGCCATTGTTTCATACTTCATCATCCCGGCGGAGAGATGGCTGCCGAGTCATAGAATCCAGCAGACACTCGAGGCAGAAGGACCAAAGTCACTTCGTGTGGAAACAATCGCTCACGACTAGAGCCGAGTCTTCACGAGCGACAAGATTTGTACATATGGCTCAGAAACTCGCCATGTAATTACTAAAAGTTAATATCACACTTGCACAGCATTTTGTGTTTTTTTACTCGCAAAGGTGAACTGCACCGACTACACCGCCAGTCTGGTTCCTTGTAAGCACGACTTGGTGATCCTAAGGCATGTGTTGACCATCAATGTACAAACTTCAAGCGAAGGATGACAATGTCTCACCAAACCAAGCGACTTCGGAGGCCGTGTTGTGAAGCGACAATGATTCGATGAACATATGTTGTTTTACGGATACACGCATGCAGCTGCAGACTGTTCGAGCGCGGTGGATAAGCAGGAGGTAAAGCGCGCAGTGGTGCCATCCAGCATCCTGTTTGTGTGTTGCAGCGACACAAGACACAGACAACGCGTATCTTACAAGAGACGGTAACCATGAGCTGATATACCTATTCAGAACAAGCAAGACACGAAGCACGAGATTACGTGCCAGTCGTCAGCAACAACGAGCTCTCCGGCAGCGATACGGAAGAGAGACGGGATACGAGCGGAGAAGATGCACGCTACCGGCCGCGGACGACTCGGACTCGAGACATGGGTGTGAAGTCCCTTGTCACGGTGTCGTCACCCTCGAGTCCTCCGAGGCGCACCGGCGTGCTTTCATGTAGCGCCGGAAGTTGTTGGTGTAAAAGAGTCTCGGGCATTTCGGAATGGTGCTCGCGAATGAAGTGGTTCCACGTCGCAAGAGCTCTGAGGCTCAGCAGTGAAAACATGCCTCTGGAGATGAGTGTTTTAGAACCGATGGAAAGCAAAAGAGGGGGGCCAGCTCAGGAGAAAGGTGACTGGCTTGGCGCACTTTAGCGCGGAGGAACTAAGGGCAACAGCCAATAAGTTGGCTCTACGCCTCGTTAGTGCGACATTTTTGGCTTTTCCCGCGTTATCTCTGCGTAGACTTTGCTTGCTTGCTTCGCGATTGCTTGCTGCGCTGCTGCTGCTGCTCACAGCGCCGTCTGCTGCCGTCGAGCGCGACGACCTTTACAGCGACGAACCCTTCTCTAGTCACAGCTCTCTCCAGCCAAGGCCTTCAACAGTCCAGGCATGCAAAGAGACTGCGGTGTCAGGGCCCTGGGTCAAACAACAACGTCCGGCACTCAATGTTATTTTTCTTCGCCAGTCGCGAAAAGAAAAAAGAATAATGCAAGGGCTCGGTCACGTGTTGTTGGAGGGTGTGGAAGTTGGAAGGCGCGTCTGTGTGGCCTGCGGGCATTTTGGGTGCACACTGACTCCTCTCTCACCCAACTCTCACTCTTCCACACCTTGTCGCCAATGCCTCTAACCGTCGCCTGATTCCCTTTCTGCCGTTGCGCCTTTCGTCGTCGCTGTCGCACACTTCTGCCAGCCATTTTCGCCAAACTCGGCACCGATCTCTCATCCTCCCGTCTTCTCTTGACCCATTCTCGACCACCAACGCCTTCTGCACGCAGTCGTCCTTGTCCTTTCCACCTGTTCTCGTAGTCAAGAGCCTTCCATCAGTGTTGGTCGACTTTATCAGTCCTCGTCGAGCCCAGCGCAACACCGCGCAAGGCTTTCGTGAATTAATCATCCCTTTCCACAGCCTCGACATTCCTGGCCTCCAGCGACATGCGTTGCAGACACGATCCGACACCGCGCACGACATAGAAACCCCCCAACCACTATCTCTGCATGACGACAATAGGTAGCTGGATTATGACCGACGTCCCGCTGCCGTTGAATGCACTCGCTGCTGCTGCTCGCCAGCAGCACCACCCTCTGTCGGCTCAACCCTTCGCCGCCCCTCCTTCGGCACCACGACGACAAGCACAACCGCCCATCGACGATGGTGTCGAAGAGGACGATGGAGAGATCATCTGCATCTGCGGCATGCGCCACGACGACGGCTTCTCAGTTCAGTGCGAGACCTGCAACAACTGGCAACATATGATCTGCTACTATCCCACTGAGGCAGATCGTCCGGGCGAGCATCAAAAACACTACTGCTTCGACTGTCAACCACGATGGCTCGACGCAGACCAAGCCAAGGAAAGACAGAAAAAGCAGTTACAACGAGCAGCCCTCGACTCGCGACGACCAGGCCCGAAGCATCGCAAGAAGCAGAAAGACTCACCAGCTGCCGTCAATGGCTCCTTACTACAAGCCCGCGACCGCAAGAGTGCTAGCCCGCGCGATCAACCGCCTCCCGCCAAACGACCGAAGACAGGTCACCGTCCTTCTGCTGCCGCCAACCACGCTCCCGCCAGTCGCAAACGTAACGGCACCATCACGGCTGCTCGCAGTCCTTCACCCGACCCCTCCAGACCCATCATTCCTTGGTACTCAGAGGAGTTCTACCGCCTCTATTCTCAAGTCTCTTCGCATGTCGAGACAGAAACAAACCTCATGAACAACATCGCTGTCACGAATTCATTGTCGGAATGGCTCAAGAATCCGATCGTCGTCGAGAAGGACACGAACGGCCTTAGCCAAAACGACATCTTCCTTCGCTGGGATGGTCCCTTTGAAGACATGCCCGGTCGGCCCGAGGTCGCTCTACATTGGGAAGCAGACCCCAACTTCACCGACCAGACAGAGCCTCCGAAATGGCCATGCCTTACCGTCGAGCAAGACATCTCGAAGCGTACCTTCATTGGCGAGCTTCGCGGTCACATTGGCTACAAGGAAGAATACATGAACGATCCCGAAAGTCGATGGTCATCACTACGCCATGCCGAACCCTTCGTCTTCTTCCACCCGCAACTCCCTATATACATCGATGCCCGTCAAGAAGGCACCATGTTCCGCTATGTTCGTCGCAGCTGTCGACCGAACACGGAGATCCAGACCATCATCACCGACGGCACCAACTATCATTTCTGCTTTATGGCGACCAAAGATCTTCAATCCGGCGAAGAGATTACTGTGGCTTGGCAGACGGACGACACAATCAAGGCAATGTATGCCGAGCGAGGAGTCGTGCATGGCGACGTGCCTGCCGACATCAAGTATGCCATCGCCATGTGGGTCTCCAACGTACTGGCTAATTGTGGCCCCTGCGCGTGTAACGGAGATGGCTGTTTGATGGCCAGATTCGATCGACGCGGTCAACCCCAGCCACTCGAACCGCCGGAAACAGCTGCTGCCCCAATCAAAGTCCCCAAAGCTCGTAAAAAGAGAATCGCCAACAACCTCTCGCCTGTCGACATGAATCGCAACAGCCAAAGTCGCTCTGGTAGCGAAGCTCGCAAAGTCGAGGTCGAAGATGACATGACCGATACTCGCTCCGTGTCTGGTTCGTTCCGAGCCTCCGCCAGCCGAGACATCACTCCCGGCACTCACTACTCAGCAATTGTGCCCGAGATGTCGGAACGCGAGAAGAAAAAGCTCATGCGCGAGGAAGAGATGTTCCGAAGACAAGAAGAGGAAAGCGGTCGACAAAAGAAGAAGCGCCATTCCGGTGCCACACCTTTGCTGCCGCAAAGCAGTACTCTTTCATCTTCGAAGCAACAGTCATCAGAGCCTTCATCTTCCCGTCGCAGCACCGTCTCGAAGCGACCCTCGAAACCCGCCCGAACGGACAAGCAGTCTTCGGAATCGACGAGACCCGTCTACGTTGACTCTTCCATTCAATGCGACATGGACAACGACGACCCTCCGGAACCACCAATGCCGACCCCTCCGAAGAGGAAACAATACCTGTCAGTGACACAACGCTTGCTGCGGAGGTGTGCGTCGAACAACCTGAAGCGTAAGGCTGAAAGCGAGACGCCCGAGGACTCGCCCACGAATGGAACCCAGCCGGACGAGAACATGGATCTCGACAATGCCGGACAAAGCCCGCGCAGTGTCGCAGCCGTTTCAGAAGCTACTCCTCTGTCGCCAGTGTCTATTAAGCACGCCGACGTCAACATGACTGAAGCCGCCCAAGCACGCCCTGCCTCGCTGTCGCCAGCCTTCGGTCCGGTCGATGCTGACATGCAAGACATGGACAATGATGAACCCCATCGCGCCACACCCCCACCTAATGATCAAGACGCTTCATTGTCGTACAGCTCAGCGAGTCCAAACATGACCAAACCGGGCGTTCCTTCACATCCGCCAATGGACCCACCACCACCTCCATGGCCACTGAGTGATGCTCCAAGTATGGGTGAAGTGCATCCTGCCTCTCCAGAGTCCAAACACGTCCATCCCGAGATGCATTTGACAATGCCTCCACCACTGAACTCTGCAGCTTCACCTCCACTTCTCACTCAGTCTCCTTCGACACTTACCCCAGGTCTCTCCAATATACCCCTCTTTTCGCCGTCAGTTTCGGCGGCAGTAAACCCCAGTCCTGCCAGGAAGAAGTTGAGCCTGAGCGACTACACAAAACGCAACAAAGTACACCAACCAAGAGATATATCACCGGCTGCCAGTCTGACGGACAGCGTTTCTGCCAAAGACAAGGAGAGCATCTTGAACGGTGTCGCCGTTACAGACTCCCCTGCGTCTGAGCAAGCCACCGACGCCGCAGGACCGCCAGTCGGAAGTCAAGAGTCAGTGGTACCACCAGCTTGAATTAGAAAGGATTTTGTAATATAGGGGCGCAAAGGCGGACATGGGTGATTTTGTTGTTTGGGAGGCGTTTTTCTACTTCATGAACCAACAAAAGAGGAGGGAGGGATCTTGCCGTTATTTTTGTGTGGCTTTCAGCGTCTTCATTCTTCTTCTCACTCATAGTTTTCTGGTACTCACCACCCTGACTGTACGACGATGTTCACAACTACTTTAATGTCTTGGCATATCTCTTGTGAACGATGATGTGTTTGATAGGCTTGACACGGCATAAAATGATCTCAGTTCCTCAAATGTTAGACCTCTCGAGTAAATGATCTCTTCTCATGCCCGATTGTTTTCCTTTACGAGTACTTGAGCAGTGTCGCATCTTCCAAGACACATAAATCTATCGTCACTTCTAGCAAGCCAAATATTTCCTCTTACTACCAGATAGCCTTCTCCACGGACAGAGAAGCCGACCAAACTAGCTATTAAAAGGCAAGATGATCTTCAGATTTAAGAAATTGTCCAGAGATGTGTCAAGATTGATTACTCTCTTCGGACATTTACTCGTTAATAGGGAACTTCTTGCATCTATTGGAATGCCGAGGCCAGCTTTGTTGGCAACACTCAGAGAACATACAATGCATCCATGCTTCTCTCCCGCTCCCATCCGATGACATCAAAGACAATCTCTCCTTCCTTCCATTGTCAATCAAGTACGGCCACTTGACGCAACAAAATTATGTCTGGACGCTCGAATTAACTCTACCTTGCGGATTGACATCTGGCTCGCTAAATTCCGAAATTAAAGGTCGACCAACTCGTGTGCTGAATCATGGAAAATGATTAAGATGTGAGCTTAGAATCACAAAGAAGGCGCGACCCTGTTCGCAGGATTTGTGCCTTGAGCATTCTGAGCAGTTGGTCAATTTAGCTGTATATGCTACTATGCAAATCTATCCCTGCCTCTCAGGCATCTTGACACCTGCCTGCCGCTTCTCAATCTGGACGGCCATTTTTGACGGTCAATCCGATTGTGATGCAGCCATTGGAATCCACTCGAAAGGACACCCCGACCGACAATATGCTACAAGGACTCCCAACGGAATTGCTCCTATCGATCTTCGAAGAATTCTTACCGGACCCAGACTGCATACAAGCATTTGAAGAGAGGTATTCTATGAGTGCGAAGTCTGAAGATTAGCTTCAATGTGTCCGTCAGACATACTCCCCTCTCGCCAGTCTTTGCCGAACATCTAGGAGATTGCGCACTGTAGCCGAGCCTCAACTTTATCGACACTGCTTTAGGACAGACACTACTGAGGTTCCGCTCGAACATAGATCCATCTAGAGATACACGCAGACATTGCTCCAGCGTCCTAATCTCAGACAGCACGTAAAGTCGGTGACTATCGAGCCATGGTTTCAGCATGAGACGTTGGAAGCCCATCTGTATCAGGATGAGCCGTTTGTCGCTGACGACGCCTTCAAAGACTTTCTTAGCGACGATCTAAGCGCTCTCGGTCCACCTACCGAGCTATTGTTCCTATTCAGGGGATACCTAGAGAAGCTCAATATCACAGATCAACTCCGGGAGACTTGGTTTCACGGTCTCGAAGCTGTCGATGAAGACTACGAGATTGCCTTGTTGTTGGCCCTAATGACCAATGTCGAACACCTGGAGATCACCATGCCGAACTACAAGTCTTTCATGCGACCCGAACTGCTGCTGGTATTTCCAATGATTCTCGGGGACGATTCATTCCTTCAGCACTTGCATTCGATACGGGTACGCGCTGCCGACCATGATTTTTACGACTTCGAATATCGCCCTGAGTTTGAGCCTTATCATGGCTACCCAGCATCTTTCTTCCTACCCTTACTTGCTCTGCCCTCGCTCCGAAGTGCAGAGATTAAGGACGCATTCGACCTGCTCGACCTCATTGTTGAATACACCTCTACATGATCAATCATTTACAAGTTGGAAAAGCTCTAGCTTGGCCAATGTGCTGTTCATCCGAACATAATGGAGTACATCTTGAGCCATTACAGCAATATCCGAGTTTTTGAATACGGTGCTAGCGAGCCGTATTATTGGCCATGGCACGCTGAGAGTCTGAGACAGATATGTTGCACCCACACCGACACAGTCTCGAGTATGTCGACCTTAACTCCGACCAAGGAGTCTACTCTTTCCCCACGGCGTTCGTGCGACCTCGTGGAGGATCACCATTCGATGGTAATCCGTTCCTATCAGATGGTGTCTTACCCAAACCCTTCAAGTCGTTCAGTGATTACGACTCACTGCGTACCTTACGAGTCACCACACAAGCCCTGCTCGATCTCGCTACAAGCCGAGCACCTGATAAGTTTCTTCCTCGTCAGCTAGAGGTATTGCACTTTACGTATTGCGATGAGCTTGTAATCCCACACCTCGAGATCCTGATCTCTGATCTTTCCAATACAATGTCAAAGTTGGAAAACATTCGCATCGATCCCTGGAATCTGAACATCGCTTGGCGATATCAACAAGATGATGAAAACCCGGCGTTCGGCCACCGCGGAGGAAAAGTAACGGATCATAAATTTGAAGCAAACACGCGATGTTTGTGAGGTTGCAGGTATTGAATCCCTAGTCGATCATATTGACGCGTCTAATATGGTGAATACAGAGTGTTGGGCAGATGTTTTGGCGCTCCTGTGAAGAGCTGCAGGGTATCATTCTGGCTTCAGGACAGCAGCACTTCGCCCTGGAGTATCGATTTCTGATCTCGGTATTTGAATGGCATCATTCGGCTGGTGTAGTTGGTGGACGAGGGCGATCAAGCTTCTTCGCTCTCACTAAAGTCGATATCGCGGTAACCTCCCCATGTGCTAAACTCTGTCACGCGTATAGCTGTGGAAATGCACGATTGCAGCAATTTCAGGAGTAGTCTCTGCAGAGAGCGCAACAGTTAGCATCTCTCTTTGGACGACCAGACCAATGTTGAAGATATTGTGCATTTCTATAGTTCAAAACGGCCACAGGCGTGGCCGTGGAGAATGCCTAGCTAGACGTGACAGATTTTAGCACACGGGGAGGAAGGGATGTCATGATATAAATTATAGCTTGTGATTTAGAGCCTGGGATCGCCGCTTGCGCGGCATTACAGCTCTTACGAATGCTCATCGTCCTTGTGATTCTCGTCCCTGTGCTTCTCGTCCTTGTCCTTCTCGTCCTTGTACTTCTCGACCATCTCCTTGCTGAACTTCCAGTAAAACGAACTGTCCTCATAACAATGTTTTCCGCCAATCTCCTTGATGGCGGTTTGAATCGCGCGTGTGGTTTTGCAATAGTCATCGTCTTTCTTCAGAAGCTCAAGACGTTCCAAACGAGGAGCAAGCTCGAATAAAAGCTCCAGATATGGCAGAGCTTGTGCTACCCAGTGTTCTTCATTCATGTTAGGAAGGTCTTCAAGATCTCTAAGTCCGAGATGGTTTAGGTGTGGAAACAAAACGGTGCCGCTTGTACAAGATTTCCACGCGTCCAGATCTTGTTTCCAGCCTAGTGTACACCGCTCCAGTTTCCTGCAATGGCTAGCAACGGCAAGCATCGCGGACTCGGTAAGGTGTTCGTTATCCCACACTAGAGTGAGATCATGCAGGTGAGGAAAGTTCATGACCCATTGATTGAAGTGCTCGTTAGTCAACCAATCCGTAGAGGCTGATACGTCGCCACTGTAACGGCTGGAGATTCCTAACACTTCCAACTTCGACAAGTGGGTAAGAGCATCAAACTCGCTTTGTGGCAGTGTCTGGGAGGAACACATGCGCAGGCGGAGCTCCGCCAGATTGGTGAATTGAGATAGTTGATCGCAGACGTTGCCCGAATATTCCTCCAACAAGGTGATGTTCAGAGATCGAAGGGCTCTCGTAGCGGTAGAGAGAAACAGTTTCACTGCCAGTGTATGTCCGTGAATGCTTAGAGACGTCAGACTGTTGTTGGGTACGAGGGGGCGTCCGACCATGTTCATGATCTCTTCCGCATCGGTTTGATCAATTTCCTTTCCGAGACTGAGGCTTGAGAATCGGCTGAGTCGAAATAGATGTGCGTAAATCTTGTTACTATGGTCAACCTCAGGATCGGTAGTGTAAATTCCTCCGCCAAACTTGATTGAGGTCATGCAAGAGTGATTCGTAATGAAATCGATGAACGGATCGAGATCGAAGACGACCACGCTGTCTTGGAAGACAAGGTGTCTTAGTCGAGGGCAGTTTTGAAGGGCTTCGAGAACCGATGGAGAGACGTCAAATGAGGACCGGAACTCGACTGATACCAGGGTAGGTTCCAGAAGAGAACACATAATTTCGTCAAGGGGATCAGACGGACCGTCGTATACAAGCTTCTGGAGGTTTGGCAATCGCACAGCTGGAAAGACTTGGATCCAGTATACTGGCTGTCGGTTCTGGAATCCGGCAGGTCCATATCCATTCAGCTCGAAGATACGAATCTTGTCGGCATAGAATTGACGTCTTCCCTCAACAGGACGCAACAGCGCCCCCCATCCAGGCTTGTACCAGAGGTGATCGATGAGCGAGTCGAACCATGCTTTGTTGACGCGAACAGCGTTGTAAAGTGACTTGTTAATCCCGATGTAGCCAATGATGATATGGCGGAGCTCATTAGGTAGCTTCTCGAATGGTGCTTGCTCTGACTTCTTGTCAAGATTGTTACCAGCAACATCCAAAGCGGCGGGTGAAATGGTAGACATATGCTGGGCAATTTGGGCATCCTCAGCATCAGTCATAGCGAGATCCTTGTTGACGGAAACTGAGGTGGTAGGCTCTACGACGTCGGTGATGTTGCCGTCAAGCACAAGTGAGGGCGGCGATGATGAATCTGGATGTTCCGCACGAGGCGCCTTATCACGGTTGACTTCTTCGTCCATGACGCTGATGATGTTGTGAAGGACAAAGTGCTTTGATGAGAGATGAATAGTATGTGTACGATGTTCTGTGTTGAGAGAGAGTTGAGGGTTGGAACAAGGAGGTGTTAGGGTCGGATTTGAACGAACGAGGAAGGCACCCAAATGACGCGCGTGTTGAGTGACGGTGGATGCGTGAAGTTCGAAATTAAGTGGAAGTGGAAGGAGCAGCTTCACTTTGTTGTTTGATCGCAACACACAGTAAGAAGCTACGACCGCAATGCACTATTTCCTGGCCACAGACTTTTCCACTGAGATACTGGTTGACGAGAAGAAAAGGTCGGCTCTCAGCGGCTCATCATCAAGTTCGATTGACGCGGTGCATTGCAGCAGCTTAATTCATGGTGATATACGATGAAGAGAGACAACAACTACCTTTTCTTCCTGTCTCCCGTGAAACACTTTGCTAGAATGTATCTGCTGGCTGTGTTTGCTGCATCAAGATGCAAATCATAGGAAGCAGCAAATCGCATCTTTTTAGACAATCCACAATGAATAGGATGCCCTGCATCGCTGTGCACAAGGTATGCAACGGCAATTAGTATGATTGGAAGAAGTCTGGAATTTGACTGAGTATGGAAAATGTGCACTAGGAGTGTCTGATCTCTCCGATTATATGCCGCTCAATTTCAATCCTGCTTGACCTTTCTCGAATCCCTGTTGGTGCTGATTACCTCTCGACATGTGCACTTGGGAGATTTCTTTGGTCTTTGCAGATTGAAGCCTATATGGCTTTGTAGGTCCTTCCCTTTCCTCCTCTAATTACTGTACGATCCCGGCGTCAGTGCTCGGCATGGAACGACGCTCAGCTAGAAACACTCTGATGGTACGGTTGAGATGGCGAGTGGGATGGTCGATAGCATCCAAGTCGGGTGGAAGTCTGTTCATCATTACACCGACTTGGAGCATTCGAAGCCTTGGAATCAGATCGCAGACTGTGGGGATGATGGCTGGATATAGATCTCTGCTGAGCTGTTAGAACACCACGTCAATCAGTTGCATGGACTTCACAAAATACCTCACAAGGGGCGCAGCGAAGGAAATATGTTCAACCTTGCCGAGCTGGAGCGCCTTCAGCTTGGGAAAGAGAGGTGCAAATTCTGTCAAACTCTTCCACTCATCCAGATTGTGCTTCCATCCCAGGTTACAGGTGATGAGGTCAGGGCAGCTGCGAGAAATGGCGACAATAGAAGCCTCTGTGAGACTGCACTCCTCCCAGTCCAACTGTAAAGTGTGCAGGCCGGCGAAATGTGAGATCCAGTCAGCGAGCTTGTCGTCGGTCAGCCATCCAAGAGTGGCTCTATGTTCGGATCTCCAGCCAAGACACAAGTATTTGAGGTTTTCCAAGGCACAAAGAGCGTCAAAATGGTCTGAGGTCATCGGCTTGGTAGTTTGGTTCCAGTTCAAAGAAAGATGGACTAAGGTCGTAAGAACAGAGACCTGATCGAAGATCTTCTCACTTGGGAAATCGAGCGAGAGTGTCAGATGCTGCAGTGAGGCAGCGACGACGGAGAGAAACACTGCAACTACCGGGCCCTCTCCATTGATGGATAAAGACTGGAGCTGCGTGTTAGTGGGCAGCGGTACCATTGACTGTGGGTCGATGTCGGTATGTGTCTCGCCGAGGTACTCGATCAATGGTCTGCGCAATGACAGGTGCACGAGATCACCACGTCTCAGGAGCACTTCCGCCACACTGAGTGTGATGTCGTGCCCACTTGCACCCCGAAGCCAGCCTCCAAATGTGAGAGAGCGTAACGGTTTATGCTTTCCAAGAAACTTCAAGAGACAGTCGTTATCGCTTGTTGTTACTTCGCCGCTGAAAGAAATAGTGTGGAGTTTGGTACAGTTGCGGAATGATGCCAACAGGGTCGCGGTGAGATAAAATGATCCGTTCAACGTCAGGTGTTGCAGAGTAGGGTGCAAGAACGGGATCAGCATTTCATGGGCGAGGTGAACCCATGTAGCTTGAATCTCAAGGCGTTTGATGACTTGGAACGTGACACCGTGAAGCAGACCAGCGGTATGGTCGGAGGATTTGAGAGTTCGAACACGAATTCTGCGTGCATAGATCTGGCGTCGATTGGTGGAGGTGTAAGTTTTGGAGCCACTTTGTAGCTTTTCGATTGACGTTGTGTGCCACAGCAGATCAATCAGACGATCGAACCATTCTTTGTTAACGCGAATTGCATTGTAAAGAGTCTTGTTGTCGAGAAGTTTGCCGATCTGTGACTGTATCTCGACCGGCATGTTGTAGAACGGCACTCCAGGGACTGGCAGCGCATCGCCTTCGTCGGCCATGATGATGTTGATGCAGAAAGGTGTCAGATTGATGTGACTTTGATGTTGGAAAGGAGGGTTGTGTTGATGAAACAGAATATGTGAGCAAGTCAAGAGCTGACAGGGAAGACAGGAGTCAAGGAACTGAGAAAACTATTGACTGGTTCAAGATTCACTCGAAGCTGTGAAAAGTCCTTCACCTACACCTTCGCTTTCACCAGTTCTACAGGACCATCCTTCGACTACTCAGACCTGCAGAGCTGCACGATGCTTTAGCTCTAGTCACATCGTCTCCAGAGATGGGCGATTCAACAAGATTATATGGAGACACAACCTCAGCTCGAGAAATATCATGCATTGGTACAGCCATAAGAGTAACGAAATTCGGCAAACGGGGAGATGCATATGGAGCCAGTGGTCGATGCAGTATATGCTCTATCTTCAAGGAGTCAAGGACGAAGCTTGACGGGCTTGATGTCAAGAAGGGAAGTCGACGCAGGAACAAGACGATGGAGTTAACACGGACATGTCGGGTCAACCCCGGTATCGGCTTAGTGCATTATGTCGATGCTTAGACAAGCTTCAGAACGTCATGGAAGAGATGCGGCGATTAGATTGAAGCTGTAATACACGAGGAGCATTGAACCATCGAAGGCGTAGTTAGCTGACGACAAGACTTTTGATAACACAACCGCCCAAGAAACTCTGGCGCATCTGCCAGCCTGTCCTTTCTGCTTCTCACATCCACCACCAACACCATGTTCAACCGGCAATGCAGAGCAGCGCTGCAATCGTCGCAGCGACTGTACGCCACATCGCGATACCATGTCGCCACTGCTTGCAACTACTCGACTGCCCCCCGTCGCATTCCCTTGACACCGCTGTCTCTTCGCCACTCATCCCTCGCCGCATCGCGTTCGCTTAGTACCACTCCTGCCCGCAGGAAAGACGATTCGCCCAAGAAGGTTGATCCAGAAGAGGAGGCACAAGAGCAGGAAGACAAAGACAAGAAGGACCGCAAGGACTCGCTAGACCCTGTCAAGGAAGACTCGGCTCCAAAGGAACCCACACCCATTGGAGCTTCTTCAGCAGGAGCCTCTTCCCTCGGAGGCGAATCCGCAACAGCAGCAGGCGGCGAGAGCGGAAGTGGCGGCGGTGGTCGCAAGCGCAAGGGCGGCGAGAAGGGTCTTGTCAAGCCTTCGGTGCCTGATGTCTACCCGCAAGTCCTCGCCATCCCAATCGCTCAACGGCCGCTGTTCCCTGGCTTCTACAAGGCCATCACCATCCGCGACCCCAATGTCATTGCCGCCGTGCAAGAGCTGCTCAAGCGTGGTCAGAGCTATGTTGGTGCCTTCTTGCTGAAGGATCCCGAGTCCAACACAGATGTTATCACCGACCCTAGCGAAGTCTACGATGTTGGTACTTTTTGCCAGATCACCGGAGCCTTCCCCGCTGGTCACGGTGATGAGAAGGCCCTTCAGGCAGTCTTGTATCCTCACCGCAGAATCAAGCTCACCAGTTTGATGCCTCCTAAAAAGGGCGAGAAGGGTGACGCTGTGGTCGAGGACACCCCTGCTGTCGCCACAGCCACAATCGAAGCTGCTGAGAAGCCTGAAACCGACGTCGAATCCAAGGGTGACGTGACTGCCAGCTTCGAAGAGTCTCACGTCGAGACTCCTGGAGAGAAGAAGCAGGTCGCACAGTACGAGCCCACCGACTTCCTCAAGACATGGCAAGTCAGTCTGGTCAAGGTTGACAACCTCGCCGACGAGCCCTTCGACAAGCGCGACCCTACCATCCGCGCTTTGATCTCCGAGATTGTCAACACTTGCAAGGAGATTGGAAGTGTCAACCAGCTCTTCCGCGACCACGTTTCCGCTTTTGCCATGTCGCAGTCCGCCGCAAACATCGCTGACGAACCCGCCAAACTCGCTGATTTTGCTGCGGCCGTGTCTGGTGGCGAGGGTATGGAGGAGGCCCAAGCAGTTCTTTCCAGCCTGGACATTAAGGAGAGACTCAGCAAGGCTCTCGAAATTATCAAGAGAGAATACATGAACGCCCAGCTCAGCAGCAAAATTAGCAAGGATGTTGAGAGCAAGATTCAGAAGCGTCAGCGTGAATACTGGCTCATGGAGCAAATGAAGGGTATCAAGCGCGAGCTTGGTATGGAGAGTGACGGCAAGGATAAACTGCTCGAAAACTTCAGAGAGAAGGCTACCAAGTTGGCCATGCCCGACCCTGTCAAGAAGGTCTTTGACGAGGAAATCAACAAGCTTGCCCATCTCGAGCCTGCTGCTTCCGAGTTCAATGTCACAAGAAACTACCTAGACTGGCTGACCCAGATTCCGTGGGGCAAGCGCAGTGCTGAGACTTTCGGCATCAAGAATGCAATGAAGATTTTGGACGAGGATCACCACGGCTTGAAGGATGTCAAGGATCGCATTCTTGAATTCATCGCTGTTGGAAAGCTTCGCGGTACCGTCGAGGGCAAGATCTTGTGTATGGTCGGTCCTCCTGGTGTAGGAAAGACCAGTATTGGAAAGTCGATTGCTCGCGCATTGAACAGACAATACTACCGCTTCAGTGTTGGTGGTTTGACTGATGTCGCCGAAATCAAGGGTCACCGCAGAACTTACGTTGGCGCCCTGCCCGGTCGTATCATTCAAGCTTTGAAGAAGTGTCAAACCGAGAACCCTCTTATTCTGATTGATGAGGTCGACAAGATTGGCCGTGGTCATCAAGGTGATCCGTCATCAGCCCTTCTTGAACTTCTCGACCCCGAACAAAACAACTCTTTCCTCGACCACTACATGGACGTTCCCGTCGATCTCAGTAAGGTCCTCTTCGTCTGCACAGCAAACATGACAGACACCATCCCCCGCCCTCTCCTCGACCGTATGGAGATGATCGAGCTGTCAGGCTATGTCGCTGACGAGAAGATGGCTATCGCCGAGCGCTACCTCTCACCCGCCGCCAAGGACCTTTCCGGTCTCAAGGACGTCGACATTGAAATCGAGAAGGAAGCCATCGCCGAACTCATCAACAAATACTGCCGTGAGTCTGGTGTCCGCAACCTGAAGAAGCAGATCGAGAAGGTCTACCGCAAGTCCGCTCTCAAGATCATTCAGGATCTCGGCGAGGACGCTTTCCCCGAGGAGAAGGCTCTCACATCCGAAGGCAAGGAGGCACAGCAGGAAGCCGCAAAGGATACTTCCGACACCAAGGAAACACCTACAGATATCGAGAAGGAGACCACAGAGACACCACGTGTTGCACTGTCAGTACCTTCATCAGTGAATGTTCGCGTCACAAAGGACAACCTTAAGGATTACGTCGGCCCTCCCGTTTTCACCGCCGACCGCCTCTATGAAACCACTCCTCCCGGTGTCGCCATGGGTCTCGCCTGGACATCCATGGGTGGTGCCGCCCTATACGTGGAAACCATCCTCGAGTCCGCCCTCTCTTACTCCTCCCGCCCCTCCCTCGAACGCACCGGAAACTTGAAGGCCGTCATGAAAGAATCAACATCCATTGCCTACTCATTCGCCAAGGGCTTCCTCGCACAACGCTTCCCCGACAACAAATTCTTCGAACATGCTAGAGTGCATATGCATTGTCCTGAGGGAGCCGTGCAGAAGGACGGACCCTCTGCTGGTATTACCATGGCTTGCTCGTTGATCTCTCTTGCACTCAAACAGCCATTGGCGCAAACTGTTGCCATGACTGGTGAATTGACTGTTACCGGAAAAGTCTTGCGTATCGGTGGACTCAGAGAAAAGACAGTAGCGGCCAGACGCGCCGGAGCCAAGATGGTCATTTTCCCCAAGGACAATCTTAGTGACTGGTTGGAGTTGCCCGAGGTATGTTTTTGCTCACCCCTACCATTTTCCCCCATCACACCACAAGTAACTAATGTATTCCGCAGAACATCAAAGAAGGCATCGAAGGCAAACCAGTAGCTTGGTACAACGAAGTCTTCGACCTCGTCTTCCCCGGCGTCGACGCAAAGCAAGCGAATGGACTTTGGAAACAACAATTGAAAAAGGACAAGAAGGAGAAAAAGGACAAGGAAGATAAAGACAAGGAGTATGATTCCGATTAGGAACTGCTTACTTTCTCCCCCTTTGTTGAGCATCCTTCCCTTTTCTTCCTCTCTTTGTCTTTGGTGGTGGGCTTTTGTATAGAGTAGATTGCTCTCTTTCTCTCTCTCTGCTATTTTGTAGATCATAAGAGCATGTTTTTTTTTGGCGTTTGTTGTTTATTTTCTAGCGATTCATTTATTCTGGTTGTTACTTTTTTCCAAGTGTATAAAAATCCTCTCTTCTTTTTTTTGCTTCTCCTCGTTCTTCCCATCAGTCCCTTATGTAAAGCACATCAGCATAGAGTGATAGTCTCCACCATCTCGGGGAGCGAATCTACCACTGCAACCAATTTCTTTGCGAGTCTGAAGATAAAGTCACAAAATGGTCAGAAAAGACATAGACAAGATGATAAGAAGATAAAATGAGATATGAAAATGTTTTCAATTCGTCATTGAATTGGTTCTATTCGAAGCAAAAGAATAACGCCATCATCTGTGTCCCTCCAGAAAAAGAAAACCATTAGTCATTATGCATTATGCATTGTCGTTGAAAGAGCCCTTCTTGTCCCATTTTCCCAATCCTTGCCCGACCAATCCAAAATTCAGATGCAAGAATGATGTCTTGTGAGAAGACCATGCTAGAGAAGCAGATAAGAAATCGCTCAGTGAGAGATACGAAAAAGGGTCAAAGGGACAGTCGCGTGTCTCATGAGACCAAGACGCGTCGAGAAGCGTAGCGCCGCAATTAAGCGACGACCTTCACGGGCTTCTTCTTGGTAGTGCCAGTCGACTTTGCAGCACTTGCGTTGGAAGAAGCAGTAGCAGAAGCGGAAGCAGTCTTGGGACAGTAAACGTTACCAGCAGTAGCGTTGACATACTGTCCCTCAGTCGCAGCCACGAAATCCAAAGGCGTCAAGGTGCGGTTGTACATGAAACAGCCAACCTCCAATTCACCACCGGGCAGACCCAACCATCCCTTGGGCAAGGGCGCATTGTACGCCATATACGCCGACACGCAGCCAGAGTAGCCATTGCACTGTTCGATGCAGTTGGACCAGCGGGCTTCGCGGGTGAGGAAGTCGGGTTGGGGGATATACCAGGAGTAGACTTTTGAGGCGGAAAAGGAGGAGGAAGGGACGTAGCCGGAGATTGTGCCGTTGCCGGGGTGTTGGGAGGCGTGGGGGAGGGGGTTCATGAGGGTGCAGTTTGCGGCGAGGGGCACGATTGCTGGACCGCCGGCGCGACGCTCGAGGTCGATTGGTGTGGCTGCTGCGAGAATGGGCAGAGCGACCGAGGCGAGCATGGTGGAGAAGAGCATCTTGATGTTGTGTTTGAAGCTTTTATTTGACGCGTCCAGGGAAGAAGGTCTTTTGTTGGTCGGGTTATATATGTGAGTCGATGTGGGATTGACTTGATCGAAGCTCAGGCTGGACAAGGTGTTGTTGTTGTATGATAAAAAGTCGCGTTTGATGAGATCAAGGAAATGGGAAGGCGGGCATGGTCATCTTTATAAATCCATGAGGTTGCATAAGGTAGGCACGGCAGACGGGAACTAACTGCACGTCATTGCTATTCTCGGTAGCAGTGGAAGAGCATCTGAGGGTAAAAGTTTCCGGTCTCATCCACCACCCCACGCCAAATCATGCCCTGACCAAGCACCCAGATGGGCTTCGCCAGTCGCCATCAAGCCCAGTGAGATGCACAAAACAGGGGCTGAGTCTCCACCCAATGCGCGACTCGGGACCCTGCCCATCCTACGCGACATGCATGCATATCACAACCACTTGTTTGGTCCTAAGCAAGCGACCACTTTTGCTCTCATCTCAGCCTGCGATCAACACACAGCCACTTCTTTTTGCCTGCCTGTCGCTCTGTACGACGGAGGCCTCTCACAATTTGAAACAGAAAGGGCAATTGACTTTGCTCAACGGTCTTTCCTGGACCATGGATGCAGGTTGATGTTTCTCGCGTCGCATGGTGAGAAGGTGGTCCGTCCGTGGCAGTCGCGTGCACTGCTTGCAGTTCTACGCGCAAGGTGGGCCTTAGATTTTTCGCGCGACTCTGACTAAAAATACTCTCTTTTCTCTTTTCCAATAGTCTTGTGCCACCAAACACGAAACCTCGACAAGATGGCTTGTGTTCAGTAGGTCACGGTAGCATTCTTCTGATCTCTTGTTTTCTCTCCTCTTGGATTTTGTGCAATGCATGCGATTGGCGGTATGCGAAATACAGATCGCTGTTCCCAAGACCGTTCACATACCGTTGGTTGTTCAGGACGCCTCTTGTCTCATAGTCCTCCGCAACGACGTTGACGGGTCGCGGCAGAAACGTCACTCTTGACGATAGCCGGCAGCGGTTATAGGTCATGAGCATGTCTTGACTTTGCTCACGTTTCTCATGCTGTCCCGTTAATCCCGGCGTGGCATGTATGCAATGCACAAAGAAAGACACTGCCGAGCGAGGGAGAGCGGTGTGCACTATTCTTACACGAGGGTGGTAGTGGTGGCATTGAGTCAAAGCCGCCATCTCTGGATACCATTTGGAAAAAGTACTACGCTGACACGATACGGCGTCAAGATGGCTGGAATGCCTGGAAACATAACCATGTTGCACAAGACAGCTTTGTTCGGGATCGACGGTCCCACAGTCACGGCGGTTCCCCGCCGAGAAGCAAGATGGCTATCGAACCAAGCATTTCCATGCATTGAGCTTCTGTCAAACAGGTAAGGATTTCGACAAAGGTATAGCAAGCGGGTATATACTACCAGGCGTCCATCATGTCCTCCCTATCACGAAACGCTCTCCATTCACAGCTTATCCGAGGATGTCGTCGGAGCTCATCATTGCGTCATTCCTCATGGCGGGGTCCACTGCCGACGACTTCCACGACGAGAACGATAACCACATCTTCACCGCTCTCTCCTATCTCTTCGAAATCAACATACCTCAAGTCCTTGCAGCAAATCAGACACAAGTCCAAGATGACCGAATCTTCGCAATCCCCACTCTCCGGCCTCTGGAAGCCCACCCACCTCCAACAACTCTTCTACGGCTCCGACTGTGTTTCCAAGCACCTTCTCGAATGTCTCCCCAATGAAAAGTCCAAAGCCTTCATCATCACCGGATCCTCCCTCGCCAACAAGACCTCCCTGATCAAATCCGTCGAATCCCTGCTCGGCTCGTCTCGCCACGCCGGCACTTTCTCAAACATCAAACAACATGCTCCCGTAGCTGAACTGGACAAAGCAACCGATGCCGTCCGCAACGACGATTCCATCGACACCATCATCAGTATTGGCGGCGGCTCCCCCATCGACAGCGCAAAAGCGATTTCCTACCGTCTAAACGAAAAGAGTGGACGCTTCCTACACCACATCGCCATCCCTACTACTTTGTCAGCAGCGGAATGTACCTTCAACGCCGGATACACAGAGACAAATGGGCAAAAGACCGGAGTCGCGCATCCAGAATGTGCACCCCACGCCATCCTCTACGACTCCAAATTCGCCCTCGAAACACCCGAAAAGCTATGGATGAGCACTGGTTTGCGCGCCCTAGACCACGCAGTAGAATTGCTATACCACCCCACCAGTACGGAAGTCCCTTGTCGCCAATTAACCCTCATCGCCGCCCACGATCTCTTCACCTATTTGCCAAAATACAAGTCCAGCCCCAAAGATGAAGATGTGATCACAAAACTCCAATTGGCATCTTACGCATCTTTGGGTTTCTTGGGCTTGAATGTAAAAGGCGGATTAGGACTCAGCCACACCCTCGGCTACGCTCTAGGCTCCCCCTACAGTATCCCCCACGGCATAACATCCTGCATGACTCTAGGCCACGTGGTCAAGTTGAAAGCTTCCACCGATCCCTCCGCTGCCTCTCAGATCTCCCGTCTTTGTCCTTTTGTCGGCGTTACTGCTTCTGGAGATGACAAGACAGATGGCACTGCAGTCGGCGATGCGATTTTGAAACTTGTGGACAGCTTGGGGTTGAAGAGTTCGTTGACGGAATATAAAGTTGACGAGTCAGAGGCACATACGATTACGAAGACTGCTACGAGGGCGGAGAGTGGAGAGGTCTATGATAGTGTTATGAAGCTTGTCAAGGGGCTTTGGTGACTTGATGAGCCTCATCGCTTGAAGATGAAATTGTAGTTGATGCACATGAAATATACAAGGCTTTTCGTCGCACTTTTCTTTCCGCTTATTCGCTGCGAGCACGGAGTCAAGAATCTGTGCCGGTCTGGGACTCGGTGGCTCTGCTTCCGTCCGATGCGTTGGTATCGCTATTTTGTATGTTTTGTGTTCATGTGCTGGCTACGGCATATTTGCTTACTGACGAGCTAATCCATCATCAACATCCCTTTTCGTACCATCTACGATATTGACACTCCCATGCCACCCTTCAGAAACGCAACCTGCAACCACCAAAGCAACGCAATAACCTTCATCATACCCCTACCACCTCCCTCCTTCCCCCATCCTTCACCTTCCAATCACGAAGCATAAGCAATAATCTCATCCCCCCTGTCATGCGTATGATCATAAACATCATCAGCAATCCTATGCCTATTCGGCGGCACATAATCCACCAATCTGAAAAACTCCGCCATGGCAGGATGTTTAGCCGCATCTTGAATATTAAAGGGTAAACTGCCTTCAAAAATCGCTCTGGTCAGTACGTTGTCTAGTTTTTCTTTGCGGCGTTGGGCGGCGCGGTGGGCGAATGCTACGGCGCGTTCGGGGACGGAGTCGGCATGGGGTTGAAAGCGAGGGAGGGGGCGTTGGGGTGCAGTGGTTGTGGTGGCGGGTTCGGAATTTGAGGCTTCGTTCATGGGTGTGTCTGTTTCTAGATCGGTGCGGTTCCATTCGTGTATGTCGTCTAGAGGTTCGGAATTTGGGTCTCTTCTTCCACTGCCCAGTCCATCCAGTAATGTCGGCAGCGAAACATCGAATTGTGGTCTTCGCAGCGGTGTCTGTTGAGCCGTATACCCACTCACACCTCCTCCTCCATAACTCGCACCTGAACTCTGCGTTCTTCTTTGCGGTCCATGCAGCAGTTCTTCAGGCACATCATTCAGTTCTTCATTATTTATAGCAACAAGTTCAGCTAAATAGCGATGGAATTCTGTGCATTGTTGGAGATGCTTCACTTTTCTGCTGGCGACACTGCGGGCGAGTCGTTTGTTTTTGCAGTGGCGGCATTCGACTATGACTTGTTTTCCTGTGCTTTCGACTTGGTCGAATTGCATGGATGCGTAGCCTTCTGGTCGAGGCATGGTTGCGCGACTTGTAGCCTACTTGGTGTTGATGATTGTGATTGCCGATGGAATTTAGACACAGATGTTCGAGTTGGTTTGGGAAGCTGGTTTTGTTTGTCCCTCTGTCTGATGAGAATGTAATGTTAGCCAATGGTGAGCTACAAGGTTGGTCAAGTGAAATTGGGGGGTCATCAGCAGGGTAGGAAGGTGTTCATCTGAATCACGACATCAACAAGCAAATTAGTAGGAGCCACGTCCAGCACGTCGCTCGCGTGATAACATCAAGATGCTTAGCCGTCATGAATTTATCTGGTGGAGATTTGCGATAGCAGCTTCTACAAAGACACATCGTCCTCGGGCTCGAGGTTGAAGGAAGGCTTCCAGGTCGGAGCCTCGTAGCTCAGACGCGTCTTTTCGTGCAGTATGGGAAGTGGTCAAGATTTGATAAGACTTACGGTATATCAGGGTCAACGTAGGCGACGAAGGATGAAGCTGTGAATGTGATGCGAACGCGTCCGCGACGGTGGTGGTTGATCTGTGGACGTTGACGACACGTTTCCGACTTGAGAGTCGACGAGCGATTAACAACTCACGTGCCGTATGGAACTACAGGTTAGGGTATAGCGTCTTTTTTAGCGTCGCGTGATTATAAATATCGGCGACTAATCGTGTTATTGTCGTAGTTTTTCGAAAGGGTTTACCACTAAAAGAGTGTTATTAAAAGCTGTCTAATCAATGAGATAAGATCGGCCGGGTGTTTCTTCCGCTTTTTGGCCATAAACATGATTGTTAACTCGAGGAGTCGAGTATCTTGGATGCTGTTGGAACCGAACAGCGATGTATACCCTGCGAAAAGTGATGAATCTCAACGTGTTGCCTTTGTTGCATTCCAGCTTGTCAGGTCGGAGTCTGACTCCAAGCTAGGCCCAACATGGCCGAGTCTTGCACAAATCTTGCGCAAGCAGCAAGCATCAGTCACACTGATGCGCCAGAACTACGAAGACCGCACATCTGGCGATGACACCGATACGAGGGCCTCCACGCCGAGCATTTCAAGTTCCAACCTCACTCCCTCCAAGATTCTCTTCTTTGTCCTGTTAAAATTTGAACGAAAAATCACGACCGAAATCCGCGCTCAAAAGAAGGACTTGACGCTAGGGATCAAGGAGCATGTGACGACCGTAGCCATCTTTCGAGCCGAAACCCGGGATGCGTCGCGCCGTCGAAGACGAGACAGATGAAGTAAATCGAACAGGAGCCAAAGAGAACCGAAGAGGAAGCAAGACACTTCCGTGTTATAAGGTTGTAGCAGGTGGACTCTCCTATAGTTATCATAAAAACCCCATCTGCAAAACACTTGTTGTGCGGACTGATGCTCGTTGTAGAAAAATCGATACCGCCCATGCTTGCCTGTAGGTTTTACTTGTCTTCTTTCCCTCTCTGATTTACGTAGAGTTCTTGTATATCGCGCTTGCTGCTCGCTTTAATTGCTATTTTGTTTATTGAGTTGGGACAGTTAGTCCTATCGTAAAAGAATACGCGTTTTGTTTTTGTGCTATGTTATGTCCATTTTGCTTGAGCGGCCCCCCTTTCTGCCAGCGTCCCGCATCACTTGCTTCGTCGATCGATTATTGTATCCAATGCACTTACCCTTACCATTGCCTTTACTCGTCATCGACACCCATCCTGCTCGTTTCTTGCATGTAATTAATCTTGTTGTACATCATGTTGCACGCCGAGTGTGTCCCTTCCTTGCCTGTCTTGTTCAGCGCTATGCCAAAATTTGCTGTCACGTTTCGTTGCTGACTCACGTTACCATCCACGCCTCTCACATCCCGATACCAATGGGCCACCATTCATATTCTCGAGGCTTCTGTTGCGGTGCTTTCATCTCGTTGCTTTTTGGTAACCCATTGTATTGGTTGAGACTGTCGTCGTAATGCCCGCAACCAGCTCTATTAACGGAAGAAATAGGCACCGCAGTCCTCCGTTCCGGCGTCGAGATACCCTCCGATTCGCCAATCCTCTTTAAGCTCGTCCTCATGATGAACGAGTTTTCGGCGCTTGCGACTAATTCACGCTGTCGCCTAGATAAATGCCACTCTGGTATATCGACAATACTATTGCGAGTGCTCTCCTGTACGCTGCGAGGGTCGTAAAATCACCGTCGCAATGCAGGATGTTTTTCAAGAACAGAGGGCTGTCCAGAGAAGCAGAGCTCGTCTCAATCCATCAAGGGGTCAGGTAGGTGCTTGGAGCAATGAACAGGAGTGCCATGAGGCAGTTCTATACACTTACTGTTGTGATTCATATAGCGGCGACATTTACTTGCTCTGCGAGAGCTCACTGATCTCCTTATAATGTCTGCTCTTCGAGTATCCCCCCTTTCTCTTCTTCGTATCGCTCCATCGACTGTGTCACCCATCAAAAAACATCTTGCATTGCAGCAGTTTTATTCTTCATACCAGTCAAAATGTCGACCTCTACTTCTTCTCTCGTTTCACGAACCCCCTCGCCAGCACCAACTACCCCTGCTTCAACGCCACCATCAAGCCCTGAGCAGCAGCAGCAAGGCCAACAACAACAACAACACCGCCAACGACCGTCCCCTGGATCGATATGGTTTATGCCTCTTGGCACTCCAGTCTTGTTTGCTACGGAAGCAGTCTGTGGCCAGCCGGGGAACCACCCCGTCTTAGTTCTGCCGGACCACCCCTCCTCCCCGTTCGTCAACGTCCTATTTCTCACGACAATAAACACGGTCCAACGCTGTAACAAGAAGGATTGGGCCTCAAATTACCTGCCCATCGAAGAGCAGCTGCATCCCTTTAGGGACCCTGTCTCGCTTGCTTCCGGCTCTGCTACCCTGAGATCACCAAGCAGTATCAACGTGGGCTGTGTCTACACAATCGAAAGAGACTGCCTCAGGGAGCTTAATTTTAGGAATCCAAGTTCGGGCGCTCCCACCTTGTCGGAGGCCGCGATGGAAACGGTCCTGCATTACACCGCGAACAAGTTTCACGACCATGATGCGCCGTGGAAGCCGCACGCAAAGCAGTATCGCCCCGAGGCTGCTGTTTCTGCACCTCCGGTCTCGGTCGCCGCCCCTGTCGTCGCCGCCCCTATCGTGGGGCTTATCGCTGCCCCAGTCGCTGCCGTTGTGTCCTACGCATCGGTGGCCAGCCAGGCTCCTATCGTTACTGTCGAGGCATCCGTGTCTCCTCAGGTTAACGCGGCTGTTGGCGTAAAGCGTAAGCTCTCACCTGGGGCTAAAGTGTTCCGACCCTCTAAGCAGAGGGTGCACCTTGTTTCCAGCGCGACAGCTTGAACGAGAATTGCTTAGGTTTCTCTACACCTCTTTCTCTCCTTAGGTACTCTGACCTGGCCCAAACAGATATAGGTACTCTGACCTTTAACAGACTTATAGGTACTCTGACCTCTAACAGATATTGTTTGGTTACCCTGTACCATAACAGAAGAGGTTCGCTGGCCTTGTCAGCACGATGATTTACGATAGTCTTATGAGACTTACGAGTGGGAGGGTGCACCGCACAGCTTTTCTTCTTTCTTATCTTGTAACTCTTTTTCCCCCTTTGTCGGTTTTCCATCACTACACCACTGGGGTTTTTTAGCGAGGCAAGAGGCTGTTTTGCGAGGGTCATATGGTTTTTATTCTTTTTATTTTTTCATCGGGATGGACATGAGCATAGTTTACTGTTCTTCTTTAATGTTTACTATATTGTTTGTGTTTGAATCTTATCGGTCCCGTGTCTCTCTGGTATTGACTGTGAAAATACAGGATTGTATTTGATTTGCTTGATGGTTCCAGTGAGAGTCGAGATTCAAGGGGTTATGCTGTTGTATCTCTCTGGCCGTCTTAAGGATACCAATAACTTCTTACATGGCGACAAGCTTTTTGCTCACCTATCATGTCAAGGAGAGCATATCCCTTTTTCCTGTGCTCAGATTTCTACACCCTATCTTTTCTCTCTCCTATACAGTGAACGCCTGTAAAAATGCGCGATGGTATCCGGACTGCTCGATGCTTCCAATGAGAGTCAGAAACCAGGAGCGCTTCTGCTCCATTTCTCTGGCAGTCATCGAGAAACCAATGACTTCTTGCATTCCGACAGAGTTTTTTCTGGACGATCATGTTGGAGAAAGTCAGTCATTAGCCCCTGTGCCTATGGCTTGATCGCTATCCTCACACGCTCCTGTTCCTTCTTCCATTCGGTATATGTCGGTCAAAATGCACGATGTTTCTGAGATTCTTCAAAGCCTCCACTGAGATTCCGAAAATTCGAAGCTGAGTGTTGCCTCTCCTTGGACCACCTGCAGTAAACGAATAACATGCTGCATTGCTGCAAGCCTTTTTACACATCGAGGTTTCTCAGGGATCGTATAGATTGCTTTGTCCTCTCTCCCATTTCCTCTCTCCCATGTCCTCTCCTATCCTCCCCCACGCCCTCTCCCACGTCCCATCTCTTCGGTCCTCTCTCTCATCTGATAAACCTGTCAAAATGCACGATGTTCTTCAGATATCGCGAGACCTCCACCACGAGTCGAGTTGCTGAGAAATGTCCAGTGAGATCACAAGAAGGATCTCCAGCTCAGTGGACGTTTGGTGGAAATCGGATGACTTTCCGTATCTCCACAATGGGGATGCCCGAATCTTGTTTGGGGGAGAGAGCGCGCTTGTGGGTGATTGGGCTTGTGATTCAAGTCGTTAGCTAATGCTGCTCTCTGGACCGTTATGTCCCTCTGTGAATATTGCGGTCGCAATATTATGATGTTTTCCCAGATCGGAGGAGTTGTCTAGAGAGAGCTCGAAGTGCTCTCGATACGTCTTCGCCTCAACTACTCTGATAAATACCACCGCTTATCCTGCATCGACAAACGTCACAAACCTCCCTTCAACGTTACCCCGTTCAAGAGCTGCAACGCATCCCGCAACGACAAGGATCATTTACGGCCATTGTAAAGCTGTCATAGGAGCGCAAACCCTCTCGGACAGAAATCGTCAGGTCCACCCCAAGAGTGAGAAGAAGTCATATTTCCTCGAGTGTGGTTGAGAGAAGGTGATATCATGATATAATGCACAATTGCAGCATACTTCTAATCCCGAGAGCGGAGGTAACAGAAGAAAAGAAAACGAGATGCTTGCTCAGAGACACAAGGAGCACAAGCGAGGTGCAAAATACAAGCGATTGCACAAAAAGCAGAGTCAAAATCAATGTTTGGATAAATCTCTTCTTCTTTACTTCTAACCAAGCAAGAAGAAGAAAGAAAAAAGAGAGAAAGTAAAAGCCAGTAGTATACGCTATAGCGTTTTTGTTTTGTTCATTCCATCTACCATATTTTCCCTCAGATCAAAAGCAAATCAACGCTCCAAAGAATCTATATACGTCGGAAATAAACTACCTGTAGAAAGGCGCGAAGTGATTTCAGAGCAGGGTGAGCCTCCACAAAGAGACCAGAAATTTACCCAGCGAAGCGGAATCTTGTAGCTTCCAGTCTACCGAGTCCCTCTCTTGGTGCGACGTTCCTTCTTCTGTAGGAGTTTGTAAAGTCTTGGAGGAGTGTGCGGATTTTGCGTGTATCACCGGATTGAATGCGTTGTTCGATGTTGCGCAGCAGTCGCTCCTGCTCTTGTGGGCTGATGGATCCGGAAGGAAGCATCGAGACGGTGTTTGCCGTCCAGGTCGCAGTTGCCTCAGGCAGCAGTTGGAACATGCTGAGGAGGACTCCAGAGGCATCTGGGAAGCAGTCGGCAGGGAAGGTGTACATCATGCCTGTCATCAGACGTTGAACCAGCACCTCGCCTTGTTGAGATATGAGTGTTTTGACCGCGTTTTGAATTTCAGGCGAGTTGACGCGACGGTTAGGGTCTTCGCTGAAAGTCGAGGTAGGAGCGTTCTCGCCGCCGTACGCGAGGAAGTCGCGAAGGAAGTGAAGGGTGGCCAGAATAGGCTCGTCCTTGAGTAGCGTAAGTGATGTAGAAGCAGCCGACAGGATCGTAGGTGTGAGCTCATTTGCGATAAAGGAGCGTGAGTGGTAGGCCTGAACGTCAACACAGAGACGGAAGAAGTCTTCAATGACGTCGGGTAATTGTTCTGGGGGCAGGTCGTTGAGCGCGCGCAAGAAGTTCGTAGCTTGTTGTACATAGAAGCTGAAAATGGCTTGTGTCGTCTCAGGACTGATGCCCTCAGACTCGTCGGTGAATTCGCGGACGATTGAATCGGTCGCCCAAAGGAAACAGCCTTGTCTTGAAGCAGCAAAGCCAGCAGCCAGCTTCTCAGCCAGCACAGGAAGGAGGGGAGCGGTATGTGTGCGGTAGGAAAGCACGATGTAACGCCAGCATCTACACACGCGCTCGAGGATGGGAGTGAAGTTTGAAAAGTTCTCGGCAATAGCAGCAAGAACGGGGAAGATTTCTTGGCAGTATTGAACAGCAGGGTGAGGTTCGCCAGGTCTGATCTCAGGTTGGATCCATTGTACGAAGATTGTGATGAGGTTAAGGTGGTCAGCAAGAGCGAGTTTCTCTTTTTCACCAGTCGCAGACTGTGCCATATCCATCAGACGCTTGACGACAGGATCGCAGCACATCTTGAACGAGGCATATATTTGGTCGACTGGCTGTTTTGATAGAACTGATGCCATACCCTCGGTGATTTCCTCTTGACTGGTAGGAGGTAGTCTATTGATGACGGTTTCGTAGAAGGTCTGCAGTTGGTTTGTGAAGCCTTTGAGGAGTTCCGAGCAGTCGTTGCAGAAGAATCTGAATGACAAAGCTGCTGCTGTAATGACTTCCTTGGAAGGGTGATCGAAGGCGGCCATGATGAAATTCAGCTGAGCCTCAAGAGTGTCGGGGTGCTGAGCAGTCCATTCGGTGTATCTTCCAAGCGCCATAACAGCCTGGAAGCGCACCTTTTCTTGATCCGGAATCTGAACAATCAGAGGGATAAGTCTAGGCAGCATGATGTTCTCATCCGGAGGAACCATACGGCCCATAGCGCGCATGCTGAACAAAGGAGCTTCGAGCTTCTGCCATTCAGGAACGTTCCCTGCCGTTGCTTGCGGACCATATGTATTGACCCACTCCTCAATCTTGACGTATGACTTTTGCAAACACTCTGTGACACCAATGACCTCGCAGCAATCTTTCAACACATCACCCATCTGGTGGCGGAACTCGCGGAATCTCTCCTCCTGCTCACGGTCGCCATCGAAAAGGTCGTTATCGTTGCCACTTTCAGGCTTGGGGAACTCGAGGTGTCCGATCATGATATCGACCAAGTTCAAGTAGATGTCGACGAATTGCATGCGAGCTTGCATGTAGCGTTCCAGGGTGATGTATTGCTTGAGTTCGTACCAGAAGATGAAAGTGTTTGAAATGGCCTCCTTCTCGGTATCCCTAGCAGCGCATTCAAGAACGGCCTCGACCAGGCCGCGGAAGTCTTCAGGCATGCGGGCGATGAGAACGACCCAGGCTTCACCAGCCTCTGCGAAGATACGTGTGAGGCCCTTGAACATCTCGAAGTCTTCTGCCTCGGCAGCTTGTGCGATTTTAGGGCGGATGGACATGACTCTTGGGTACATGGTCTTGATGATGGCCAAGCATTCGTCAACGTCTCTTGTCTCTCTGAAGATTGCGCAAAGGGTTTCGACACTGGACTCGAAGGACGAATCTGCTTCCAAGGCGTTCATAACAACATCCAGAAGGGGCGAGTTGACAATGTCGTTCAGCGGGACCTCTCTGATCCACGATGTGATACACTCCATGAGTTGCGGGTTCTTCGATGCGGCGTCCGACGACTGTGCGTATTGAATGAGGAGTGTGAGGACCTGGTTGCCATTCTCTTCCAACAGCTCAACAGTCCTGTCTCTGAGCTCATCTTCTGTGAGGTTGATCTTTCTTCCTTCTGTGACTTCTTCGGGCAGGACGTGCAGGAACTCGAGTACGCAAGCGATGCCGTTGGGGTCGTTGCCGAGGGTGGAGACGACAAGCTGCAGTACGTCCTTCCACTCGAGCATTTGGATAGCGAGATTGGCTAGGCAGACGCATAGTTGTGTGCGGATAGGCTTGGGACCTTGGCTGAATTGGGCGAGTAGCGACAGAAGGGTATTGCGCAGTTCGGGCAGCGATTCGCGAGGGAGCTGGTGGAAATCGAAGATGATCTTGCCTTTGAGGGTGGTGGCGGCGAAGAGCTTGGCCTCTGTAGTGGCATCTGCCGAGTTCAGAATCATGAAGGTTGTGTTCCATGCTTCGTTCTAGTGGTCTCGTTAGTGGGGCTGTCAAGCAGAGAGAGTGAGTGTAGGGCCTACTGATTTCTGGAATTGTTCAAGGAACTCGTGTGCTTGGCCCTTCTGTGCGCGATCTACATTAGATTGCATGGTCTGAAGAGCAGCCAATACAGGCGCAAAGGCCTGGGTGCCGTTGGCGGCCATGGTGGGCTGTGTCGAGTGGAGGGCCTGGTGGAAGAGCGGTGGAAGCGGGTGTTGTTATATAAGGATTGACAGACAAGGCTCGTATGCTTGTAACAGCCAGGACAAACGACAAGCAAATGAAGCGGTGGAAGGATTGGGGAGCAAAAGAGTGAGTTTGTTGATTTGATTTGGCTGCTCCATCTTTCTTTGGACTTGACACTGACGCAGATTCACATAACGTCCGTGCGCCTGCTTCATGGTGGAGTTGATAGCAAACGTCAAGGCTGACTTTCTTCTACTCCGAGTAGCAGACCACGAGATATTGAATCTCATCTCAGTCCAGACAGCCTCAGAGAGAGCTCGAGTAGCCGGGGCTCTCAGCGGAGCTTTGCCAAATTGCAATAAGCTCTTGCATTTCTACAGGCCGATTTAGCAGTAGAAAGTGGTAGGAAGCAGCGACTTCTTGGCGCGCGTTGGATAAGAAAGCTCATGCGCTTGGTAGCACTTCCAGCGCTGTTGCTGCTGCGAGCCTGCGACAAGACCGTGTCGCATCCAGACCATCACCGAATATACCACCGCCCATTGCTCCCTCCGACTTTGTAGCACCCTAGTCCTCGGTCCAAATCACTGCGACTCGACATACCCGAACACATATCCACCCTCAGACACTATGGAAAGACGCGGACGCGGAGGTGGTGGAAAGGTGCTGCTGCCGCCCATCAACTACATTTTCAAGCTCCTTCAGACCCGCGCAAAGGTCTCGATATGGTTGTTTGAACAGCTGGGCATCCGCATCGAGGGAACCATCAGAGTGCGTTATGCTGTCACCGAGATTCACTTGCGCGCATACTGATCAACATCCAGGGATTTGACGAGTTCATGAACCTGGTCGTCGACGACGCCATCGAGGTCAAGCAACCCACAAAGACCGACCCTGAGGAGTCGAGAAGAAGCCTTGGTATGCTCACATCTACTGCGCGACATGCATTGGCTCACGCGCTAACTACAATCAAGGCCAAATCCTGCTCAAGGGCGACAACGTTGCTCTCATCCAGAGTCTATGAGTTTGACGACTTCCTTTTCTTCACTATCGCCTAGAGCAATTCGGAGCCATTTGACAGCTCCGACATCGACCAACGAGCGGCCAACCACCAACATCAAGCCCTCACCAATCTGGCCTCTGACCCGCCATCTCCGAGCACTATCGCATCAACCTTCCAGTCCCATGAATCAACCGGCAGACGATATAGAGAAGGAAGCATTTGCTCAGCCAGCGCGAACCCAACTAGAGTTTCTTGTGGTCAGAGGGGAGGGTTGTCATTGGAAAAATGCTAAAAAGGCGTCGGTACATACCCAAAAACGGTTTCTTTCTGTTCAGTCCATCTGCTGTCTTTCCCGAACAATACCGTGTGAGAAAGTTGTCATAGTAGCCTTTGCCGTGGCCTAGACGATTGAGGTCTTGGTCGAAGGCCATGCAGGGCATGAGAATTACGTCCAGACCTGCTGCATCCGGTGCAGGGGCGTCTCCATCAGTCAGGTCCTTCCCTCCGAATGAGTTTGTACGGCTCGGAACAGTTTCCTTGGGAATGGAAGGAATGCCCCATTTATCAGGCTGCAACGAAGTAAAGTCATCCTCAGAAGCAAGCTGCAACATATCCATGATAGAAACGGGTAAGTTGTCTTGACGAGGCTGCTTCGGCTTGTAGATGTACGGCACGAAAACATGCTTACCCGAGCTCAGTGCATCTTTGGTAAGACTTTCAGTGTTTATTTCAGCAGAAGGCATAGACATGAAGATGCTAATCGAACGAGCATTTTTGTACTCGGGCAACGACAAGAGCAACTTTGTGGCATTGACAGCTTACAAGAGGTCAGTTTTACTATGGAGAACGAGGCACGACTACATGAGGACGGACATTGACGTTGGACGTAATCGGATGGCAAAGACGACAACAGGCTGTGCAATTGCTTTCTCACAGCCTTCTTGTCGGACAGTTGAGACTCGGCGCCCAGGTCCAGACTGGCTGACGACGACATTTGAGATGAAAAAGTCCTTGTAGCAGTCTTGAGTTTATGAACAGCGTGAGTGGCTCTTGGTGGTCTCAGAGACGCGTACATGTGCTCTGATGATGATGACGATGGATGATTGAGAATTGAGAATCGCAAGAGTTGAGAGTCAAGCAGTGTTTCATGTGTCAGCGCTATTTCGGGAAGGGGCCTCCTTCTCCGTGTTTTGGGGGCGCGCCAAGCGTCGCTCTTTCGTCCTCCTTGGATTGTTGGTATTGACCGTCCGCTCTCAACCTTGTTTTTGCCAATCGAATATTGCTGTTTGCCTCGCTCTTGGACCTTTCGACACAAACGATACCCTTGTCGACTTAATACGCGCCGCACCAACGAACAACCATTTTCAAGAGATAGCGCCACAGACATGAGACTTCCATCGGCTTACGCCCTCACGGCGACGCTCGCCTTTGCCAGTGTCGGCTCGGCCCAGGTTGTTGATGCTGACTTGGTCGGCACATGGGCAACAAAGGCCAACAAGACCTTGACAGGTCCCGTAAGTCCATCGTCGTTGCGAGAAGACCTCAATCAGACATCTAACAATGCATTCCAGGGCTTCTACGACCCCGTCGGCGATAACATGATCGAACCCTCGCGACCAGGCATCTCCTACTCTTTCACCTCAGATGGTTTCTACGAAGAAGCCTACTACCGCGCCATCTCGAACCCTGCCAACCCCTCCTGCCCCGGCGCCATCATGCAATGGCAACACGGCAGCTATGTTATCGGTAGCGACGGTTCCCTCACCATGACCCCCATCGCCGTCGACGGTCGCCAACTGCTGTCACAACCCTGCCAGAACAAGAACTCAATCTACACGCGCTACAACACTACTGAAAAGATGAAGGTATGCTGAACATCTCTGGCCTTCCATTCAAAAGCAACAAGTACTGACTTGACGCAAAGGCCTACCGTGTCTATACCGACCCATACCACGGCGTCGCCCGCCTCGATCTCACTGAATTCGACGGCAAAATCATGCAACCCATGTACCTGGTTTACTCTCCTCCCACCATGCTCCCCACCCAAACACTCAACCCCACGCTTGCCGCCGGCGCCACCTCGACCTCAAAAGCAAAGCGTGACGTCCCAAGAGAGGTGCCTTCGAATTTCAAGATGGGTGTGCAGAGCCAGGTCATGAACCCTGACAGATGGTGGTGGATGGGTTTGACATTTACTGGTATTGGTGGCCTGCTCTACTTTGGTCCCAGGAGGATGGGTATGCAGTTGTGAAAGATGGTGGTTTGAAATGGGGATGATTATACATATTCTGGAGTTTGCTTTTTATGAGGTGGGAGATTACCAGGAATAAGGTGGATGTGAACCTATGGATGGAAAGACAATCATGATTTCACTCACCTTTCTTTTCCTGAGGACGGCCAAAGCATTTTGATTTTCTTCAAGGTTTGTAGCTGTGTGTTTTTTTCACTGGCGCTTTGTTCTTTTGATCTTTTGGGAAATTATCGTTGGGAGGAGCTCACGCTGCCGTGTCTTTTTTCTTTCTTGTAATTATGAAATGAGAAACTTGATAAATTATTCTTCTTCCTTTGCCTTTGCCTTTGCCTTGGTCCCTTTTTCTCTGTCTCCCTTTCCAAAGACGTGATTGCATCTCTGTTTTGCAAGCTTTGTGTTTGAATCCGGTGTCAACAATTTAAAAGCCTCCTTTGGTGGGCTGTCAAGAATGTGATATTTGGTTGTTGCTTTTGATGTGAAATGAAAGCCTTTCTTGGTGATTGATGCAAGATTTTTGAGTGGTAGTTGTTTTTTCCTCGTGGTGGAAATGCAAGATTGGTATTGTATCGTGATGGGGTCGTAAGTGTTGGGAGAATGTGAGAATCGTTATGTCGTGAGTATGTCGTGTCGTTGAAGGTCGTTTTTCATCCTCATTGTCGATTTGACATATCAATCAAAGCTGACAACATCTCCCCGATCGTATCGAGCAGATGCCTCGTCCTCTGCATAGTAAGCAAAAAGAAGTCTCTACCACTTCTTAGGTCTCTTGCTTCTCGGTCTGAGCATTGTCATCATCTCTTCCCTTCTCGCTCTCTCACCTTCTCCATCTCTACTTCCGTTCTTCTTCCAGGTCCCTTCCTCTCTGACCATCATGTCGTAGAATCCCTCATCCCAGCCATCACATCTCAATCCCATATTCCAGAATCTGATTCCTGGCATTTCGGCGCCTGTGTCTGGAGCGCTGAATGCGGCAAGTATGTTCTCGGGACGAAGGAATGCGGTTTTGACATGAGTGTCCCGCTGCCATGCTTCCATGGCAGTCATGTGGCGGCTTAGACCAGCATTCACCTGATCCTCATCTGCATGGTCAGGTAAAGGGCCAGAGTATGTGGGCTGGGGAAGCAGATGTTTTTGCAGTGCTTCTGTGACCCATTTGGGACGATGTGTGGATGTCAACTGCTCGGCCCAGAAATCCTTGAGGTGAGAGGGTACGACGGCGTCGCAGCGCTCGATGTCGAGGCGGTCGGCGCGGAGGAAGGTGTACATTCCGTAGTAGACGTAGCCCTCATCGTGCTTGACGAACAGAGGGGCGTTCTGCATGGACTCGGGCTTTGGTGTGGTTGGGTTGTTGACTTCAGGAAGGCGGAGGATGGGGGTGACAAGGGAGCCGTGGGCGCCTGGAGTGATGGGGCCGAGGGGTTCGTGGACCGCTTCGAGGATGAAGTAGCCGCGATCGGGAAGTAGGGATCGTTCGGGCTCGGGCACGTGGTAGAATGAGGGTGACCAGCTGGTTCCTCCCAGTTGGGTGAGGAGGAAGGAGCGGTTGAAGTAGTGCATCCCCTCGTGAGAGGGGATGACTTGCAAGTCTTGGGCTGACAGGCAAGGCAAAGCCTTGATGTAGGCCGGTTGCCAACCCTGGCCGATGCTTGTGACATTGTCTGTCTCGGGGACAGAAGTCTTGAGTACTTCGACTTCAATCTGGGTATCTGGAGCCTTTGAGACCTGTACATGTTGGGCAGCGAGCTTCTGATGAGGCGCAATCTTTCTTCCTCTTGTGACTGGAGACTCGGCCTCTGATGTTGTTGCGTCGGCGTCCTTTCTCAGCTTTGATGCCCACGCCTCTGCATCTTCAGCCTCCAAGATGTACTCGGCACCGCGTATGTAAACTCTTGAGCGGAGTAACTTGGCCAATTTGTCCATCTGTGCCGCACGAATGCAACCCTGGACGGGTGTGAGATCCGGTGACACATCTCCAGAAGCAATGCGGTTGAGACTACGGTTCTTCATGGCCGACTCGAGCTTCTCTGCCTGGGTTCGCGGCTCGATCTTTATTAGTCTTGTGCGCTCTTCGTTTTCTTTTTCGGTGAGCTTGGCCTGCAGGCCGAAGACAGTGATGCGCAGTTCTAGGATCTTGTTGTCCTTTGCTTGTTCGGTCTGGAGATTTCTGAGTTGGCGAGCAGTACTGACTTGATTGAAGCGGGCTGTCAGGCCTTCTTGGAATTGATAGCGTTCGACTTGGTCGATGCGCTGTGTGAGCTGGTTCATCTCGGCAGCTTCGTTGATCGTTTGAGGGCGGTATGAGATTTGGTCGTTCGTACCAGCCGCGTACATAGAGTTCGCCAGGGGTTGTTGAGCTGGAGGTTCGAAAGAGTACGGCCCTCCATACCAGCGGTTGGTCGGGAGTTGATCTGGCGTGTTGATCGGTGCAGTGGAAGGGTGCTGGGGAGCGGTCATTGTGTTCGGCATATTCAATACTTCAAGGAGTATGTGAAGTGGAAGAGAAGGGTAGAAGAGGTGGTGGAAGAGGAAGAGGTGGTGGAAGAGGAAGAGGTGGTGGAAGAGGAAGAGGTGGTGGAAGAGGAAGAGGTGGTGGAAGAGGAAGAGGAGTATGTTGATGTTGATGAAGTTGTTAGAGATCGATGGTTGAAGGTTGAAGGTTGAAGGAGGTGGAGGAAGGAAGGGAGGAAGAGAGAGATGGAAAGAAGTTATAGCAGCCGGCCAACCCACATGTGATAGTGTAAGTGATTGTCGACGACGACGATGAGTCACGTAGATCAGTGAAAGTCACAAGCTATCGATGGTAGATCAAGCTCAGTGAGTGATGAGAGAGGCAGGAAGACTACGGTATACCGACCGAGCGATCAACGAGTGATGATATATGTGACCAACGACGAACCGAGTCCGTCGACTGAAGGCCGCCCAAGCTATCGACGACGGATTGAGCTCAGTGACTGAGAAGAACCGGCAGACAAGGTGATGCGGCACTCGGCAGACTGGCGAGTGAGCCTGTATGCCTGTATGCCTGCGAGCGTGGAGTATATGAGCTTCTGCAAAGAGAGAGAGGGTCTTGCACACGAGTAAGAAGTATGCGACTCTAGCTCGCTTCTCACGTGTCTGCTACGGTGAACATACAACAAGTACCTAGCTTCGACTTCTTTCATCCAATGCCTCTGAAGTGCGGCACCCTGGTTGTGCTTCAAAAATCGCGAACTCTTCCTGCTTTTACTTCCTAGTACGGTGAGTGAGCCTTGATAAGCTTGCGAAATTACAGTATACCAAACGTGCTGCCTGGCTTTGTTCGACTGTTGATCATCCGAGTCTGTCAGCCCAGTGGGATTTGACTAAGGCGTACATTCGGCCTTCCTCCAAGTCGCAACGAAGGTCTTCATGTGCTCACAGACGCATTTACTTGGCGTGTGCTAAATAGGGAGGGGTCAAGGTCCTGACCGCAAAGATTTTGGACTCAATTAGATTGGAATCAGAGCTTCAACCAGGATATCGAGACTCGGAGCTTTGCATGCTGGGAGAGCACAGCGCATCATCTGATAACCGTTTGGGGTGTCAGATCTCACACCGAGCCATTTTCACGAGTTCTCGGTGTAGTGCGGCTACTCGGGTTGCAGGTATCATTGAGTCGGTCAGATATTGCCAGCTACTTTTCCAGAGGTCGACAGCGCGATAGTGGATACGATGGAAAGATTCTAGGCATAATATGGAAACACGGTCAAGCTGCAGATGTCAGTAGGAAGAGTGCAGAGCTAGTTCTGTCCCTGATGTCAAAGCAACGCTATAGCTGCACGCGTTTGTTCCCCGGTAGGCCAGCTCAGCCTCGGGCAACACTGCTGTCGTGGCATGCGCAGAGTTGTCGCCGGTTCATGTCGCCAAAGTAGACGACGGAGTTGTATTCATTTTGGAAGACCAGACTTGGTTTCGCATTCATTCCAGGCATTCGATAGGTCTTCCGCCAGGGTCAGACCAGCGCAACCCCACTTTGTTGCAGGTAGAATGGGGACGAAACACAAGAAACCAACCAGTAACAAGGCACGGTCGAGGGGCGATTATAACCGAAGTGGTGAACGACAATGATGTGCGCAGCAGAAAGAAAGACGCAGAGACGCAAGGCCGTGGATCCAGAATCCCTCAGGACGCCTCAAGGCTTAGTGCGTCGGCCAACAGATGTCAGATGTAGATGAATGATTCATGTTGGAAGCCGGCGTTATAACATTTTCTGACAGACGGCTGGCAGCGCATGTGCGCGATGAGATAACAAAGGCGGTCGAGGTGGCTGGAAGGATGATGATGGAGCAAGATGATTGAGCAGCGGCCAGCCTCACGATTCAGGAATCAAGATGCTGGCGTCGTTGGTGCAGGCTTCTTCCATTCCACCCGGCCGGGAGATCACCTCTCGTCTCCACACACACACCGCGTCTCGCGTCCCGGTGAACCTTCTGCGCCTCCTGCAACAGGAACCACTTGCAGATGGCTGGGCCAAGGCATGCTGAAGGTATTTCAGCCTTTAAATCCCTGTGTAACCTGACCGACTGTTCCTCCGGTGTGCTGCGATGCACTGCCTCCATCACCAACTCCTCCCCCGCACTGCCTGAGACCTGATTAAATCGCATCATGCCGCGCGGTTACACGACCTGCCTTTGGGTCGCACGTCTCCGAGAATAGTTGCTTGTCCGAGTCTAGTCTGGCTTGGTTTCGTTCTCTGGAGTCTGGAAGACGGATACATGAGCGAGTGTGCCGCGAACTGTGAATGGTCAGCTCTGTCGTTATGCCACAGCTCTTCCCATTTGCCAGCAGCAGCAGCCATGCACTCCAGCAAGATGTGCCAGACCCGCGACGCGACCTACCGAAACATGATCCCACCAGGAAACGTTCTTCTTCTGTCCTTCGGACCTTCCATCGGATTGGCGGCTGGCTGAGGAGGGACGAAGACGATCTTGCTTTGCCTGACGAGCCGTCACACCAAATTCATCAGAAGCAAGCCTTGCGGGAGCATCTCGCTCCAACGCAGGAATCAGGAAATGGCCCCGTGGAACCAGAAGCTGTGCTGGCACCATCAAGACCGCGGGGAAATAGTTTGCTCGGCCGTACCTTGTCCAAGTCTAAGAAGGTTGTTCCCGAGCTGTCAAGACAATTCACATCCAAGAGGCAGAACTCGGAGAAGAGAGAAAAGCTGTTGGCAGTCGAACCAAGTGCCACAGAAAGAAGAGCGGTGAGCGCCGAACGAAGGCCTCGAGACATGAGCCCCGGACGCTGTCAATCTCCTCTATCAGCTACATCGCCGCCGCGCTCAGCCCCAGATATCAATACGCCAGGACACATGCGGTTACCGATTGGCGACAGTCATGCAGAGAGCTACTTTGAGGCTAGAGCTAAAGAGCTCAGTGAATATCAGCATGACTGTTTGCCCAAATCTCTCCCTCTCGAAAGCATACCGCCTATGTTAGAGGAAGTCATCGAGCCTGTATTCCTCGACGATCGTGATCTGCAGGCCGAACTTGAAGCAAAATGGATTCTCAATTTGAGCATGCACTTCCGGGACAAATCTGATCGTGAGAAATTCTTCGTTACCTACGCCCAAGAACCAAATCGCTGGTGCAGGGTGACCGTATCTTGTGATTATCGAGATGCGCCCCCATCTTCTCTCGAATCTGACCTGAAGTCTCTCAAGTTTCAGCGAGACAAAAACCAGCGCATATACGAGGCTATCAGAGAGTCTTTGCCAGACATCCAGTTCTACGATACCGTTACCAACCTGAAACTCGAGACCGAAGATGGCCAATTACATGTCCATGTCACCGAGGATACCAACGAAATCATTCCCTATCCGTCGGTGGACTTTGTCGAAGGCTGTCGCATGTATCGCGAAAGCGAGCTTGACTTTCAGTCGCACATCTCTGGCTTCGTCTACAAAGTCAGAGTCGACAATCAAGTCTTGATTAAGAAAGAGATACCAGGTCCAGATACAGTTGAAGAATTCTTGTACGAGATTGAAGTACTTAATGAGCTTCAAGGTTCAAAAAGTGTGATTGACTTCCATGGCTTGGTCGTCGACGATGATGAGAGGCTAGTCAAAGGGTTGCTGATATCCTTTGCATCTCTTGGTGCTCTTGTGGATGTCATCTACGATGAAAAGCCTAGCAGTTCACTGTCGTGGCATCGTCGCGAAAGATGGGCCCATCAGATCGTTCAAGGCCTTGCTGAGATTCATGAAGCTGGCTTCGTTCAAGGCGACTTCACTCTGTCCAATATTGTCATCGACCACGCAGATGATGCCAAAATAATTGACATCAACCGTCGTGGCTGCCCAATCGGTTGGGAGCCACCAGAAATTCTTCGTCTTGTTCGAAGAGGCCAGAGGGTCAGCATGTTCATCAGCGTGAAGAGTGATATATTTCAGCTAGGTATGGTTTTATGGGCATTGGCACAGAAAGATGACGAGCCGGAGCATGTCACAAGAACAGACTCTGGAGGCATGCCTCGCATTACTGAACAGGATGTGCCAAACTGGTTTGAATATCTTGTCGATATGTGCTTGAGTAGCCAGCCTCGGGATCGGCCGAGTGCAAAAGAGCTTCTGTCGATGTTCCCGCTTCATCCGCAAGAGTACGAACAGAGGCGCATGAGCCGGAGAATTTCAGATCACAGCCTCGCCAGCCACCACTCGCATAAGGAGTTCAACGATCCAGTGACCGCTGTTGATTGGAACGCGGTCGAAGAGTTTAAAAGAGGGCAGCGGAAACCGGCCGACTTTCTGCCCTCATATCCTACAACTGATCCGTATCAGTTCATCAACGCAGCAACTTCTACCGAGTACAGAGTCGACAGTACTGGAAGCTATGTTATGCCACACAGAGGAAGGAGCCCGCATGGTCATCGCCAGAGATCGGCAGCGAGCAGCAATACCAGTCTATCTCTCAGTCAAGGGCCTGGATGTGAATACATCTGTGATGAGGATCTCTCGGGCTTTGAGTACGCCGAAGGCTCAGGAAACCGCGGGATAAATACCGCACAGCAAAGGCCTTCGATACCTGATGCTCCTCCATTTCAACTGGATGCTTTCGAGATGCAGGATGAATATAGTGGCCGGCGAGCCGTCAGGCAAGCCCCTAGTGACGAAGACTGTCCATACCCTTTGAGGCAGCATCGCGTCCTATTCGGACCGCCAGTTCATCAAGACTCGGGATTCGATGAGTACATGGTTGACACCATCGAGCATGGCCAGCCGCCGGCACGTCCGCACCACAACCTGCCTCCTATACTTACAGATAGCGGTGAAGCTTTCGATTCAGCAGACCAAGAAGTGTCGGCAGTGACCCGACAATCGGAGCCGTTGACAAGCCCTACGTACTTTACTCATGATACACCAGGCCCAGCAACCCCTATGACACCCATGACCCCATTCTCATATCATACACCACTTGCGTCTCCGCCCCACCTGGCCGAACACAAAGACGAGACCCAGAATCTAGACACGACACCTCGTAATTTACCAAGACCAGACTCCAGATAGGCGACAAAAGTGCTTGACAGTGGCTACCGCAGGTCGAAGACGTGATATATTTCCTTTGTTTCGGCCATCTGACGTCTCTCAGCGAGCATCTTCTTGCAGCCTTCTCTATCTTCATTCTTGTATCTTCTCGAAAGCATGCCAGGCGTTGAACGGGTCTCCTCAGTTGAGGTGCTATCTCCAAAGCAGACAATGATGATGCCTAACTTCACGAAGCAACGACAGTCATGCCAACAACGGAAGCTTGTTCAAGTATCAGTGCTTGGAAGTATGGTTCTTTTCCCTCTCGGTTGTCATGGGTATCTATTTTAATTCACCGTATCGACATCACATGTTTCATCTCTTTCGTCTAGCTGCTGGCACCGTACTTCTTCTTGTAGTCCTCCATACCCTTGAGCTGCTCTTCGGTGGCTTGTCCCTTGACACCCTCAATGACATCGTCCAAGGTCAAGACAGCCAGGACCGGGACACCGGTCTCCTCGCGGACCTGACCAATGGTGCTTGGTCTGTCGGAGCCATCATCGGGCTTGCCCTGCTTCTCACCCTCGCTAGGGGTCTTCTCTTGTCTGTCGAGGGCGACAATGATGCCGACCAACTCACCACCCTGGCTCTTGATGATGCTGATAGCTTCTCTGATGGCAGTGCCTGCAGTCATGACATCGTCGATGACAACAACCTTCTTGCCCTTGAGACTCTCGCCAACCATCAGACCACCCTCGCCATGGTCCTTGACCTCCTTGCGGTTGTAAACGAAACCGAGATCGCCATACTTTTCCTCGTCAATGCCAGCAAGCTTCTCAGCAGTGGTGGCGCAGAGAGGGATACCCTTGTAGGCGGGACCGAAGAGGACGTCGAACTTGAACTCGGGATGGGCGGAGCAGTACTCGGCGACGGTGCGAGCGTAGGCTTCACTGATTCCGCGGATGAGCTTGCCCTTGGAGAACAGACCACAGTTGAAGAAGTAAGGCGAGATACGGCCGGACTTGAGGGTGAAGGAGCCGAAGGTCAGGATGTTGGACGAGAGGGTGAGCGAGATGAGGTCGCGCTTGTAGGCGGGGAGAGCTTCTGCGGAAGACATTGGTGGCGGCGGGGTAGCAAAGTGGATAGGGAAGGGATGGGAAACGAGATGCGAAAGGCTAGACGCGCGATTATTCACAGCGGCAAATCGTGAGCAACGGGAGGACCCAAGTGTGCAGATGCAGATGTGACAAGTGTGAGGCTGGACGAGCGGTGTGCCGGAAAAATTGGAGGAATGGGAGGGAAAGCGGCGGCTCTGTTGCCCTCGCTGATGCCCGACTTCTTCCCCTCCAAACGTTATCGATAGCGAAAATACTACGTAGTGAGCGGAGCGCCTCTACAAGGCGGAACAAAATTGGCTTCACCGCGAATAGAGCGAGTGAGAGCAGTTAATCACGTGGAGTGGATAGTTGTGACCCTGTTGAGACACCGCAGTAAAAGATACACACATCAATTCACGATTGCTGCAGTTTGCCTCCGCCACCACGGTCCATAGCAAGAAAAAAACGACAGAAACGACTCCGTTACATCACTTTTCCTTCAGGCTCCGCTTGGGCTCCCAACGAAGCTGCAAAAAAGTGAAAGAAAAAAAACTAGCTTGGCGGGGCAACTGAAGCTAGACCCTATTCTCGCTTAGTCAGTGCGCGCTCTCACACAACACTCAAAAAGGCCACCCCTCCCGCACCCTCTTCTCAACACTGTCTTCATACCACGGTTCATCAAGCAATCGTATCTGGTAAGCTTTGACCCTCGAGCTGGCTCCACTTTGCTATTTCTTGGATCTGCTCGTCCTTTTCTTCCTTCCTCTTCTTTTTCTAACCTCTCTTCAGAAAGTTCAACTGTACTTCACTCAATCTTCCATACACAACCGTCAACATGGGGTAAGTCCTTTGCACTCTTGCATCTGTCCTCCATCATGGCTGTGACATGATCTAACCGGCGCCTGCAGTAAGGAAAAGTCTCACATCAACGTCGTCGTTATCGGCCACGTCGACTCCGGTAAGTCGACCACCACCGGTCACTTGATCTACAAGTGCGGTGGTATCGACAAGCGTACCATCGAGAAGTTCGAGAAGGTAAGCCATCCCGTTCCTTCAGCCTGCCCTCTTCTGCGCACTCTTTTTCGACACGATCTCTGTGTTTTTCGCATTTTTCACCGGAGCAGGCTGCTTTGGCGGGGTCGAGCTCAGCTTTGCGCTTTGCCTCAACCGCGCCCGGCGCCCGGCTCGCAAAATTTTCACAACCACACATCGCCACCCATATCAACAACATCCCCAATGTCTGACAACTCTACAGGAAGCCGCCGAGCTCGGCAAGGGTTCCTTCAAGTACGCCTGGGTCCTCGACAAGCTGAAGTCTGAGCGTGAGCGTGGTATCACTATCGATATCGCCCTCTGGAAGTTCGAGACCCCCAAGTACATGGTCACCGTCATCGATGCCCCCGGTCACCGTGATTTCATCAAGAACATGATCACTGGTACCTCCCAGGCTGACTGCGCCATTCTCATCATTGCCGCCGGTACTGGTGAGTTCGAGGCTGGTATCTCCAAGGATGGCCAGACTCGTGAGCACGCTCTCCTCGCCTACACCCTTGGTGTCAAGCAGCTCATCGTTGCCATCAACAAGATGGACACCACCAAGTGGTCTGAGGCCCGTTACCAGGAGATCATCAAGGAGACCTCCGGTTTCATCAAGAAGGTCGGCTACAACCCCAAGCACGTTCCCTTCGTCCCCATCTCCGGTTTCAACGGAGACAACATGATCGAGGTCAGCTCCAACTGCCCTTGGTACAAGGGTTGGGAGAAGGAGACCAAGGCCAAGGCCACTGGCAAGACCCTCCTCGAGGCCATTGACGCCATCGACCCTCCTTCCCGTCCTACCGACAAGCCCCTCCGTCTTCCCCTCCAGGATGTCTACAAGATCGGTGGTATTGGCACGGTGCCCGTCGGTCGTGTTGAGACCGGTAAGATCATGGGTGGTATGGTTGTCACCTTCGCCCCCGCTGGTGTCACCACCGAGGTCAAGTCCGTCGAGATGCACCACGAGCAGCTCACCGAGGGTCTTCCCGGTGACAACGTCGGCTTCAACGTCAAGAACGTCTCCGTCAAGGAGATCCGTCGTGGCAACGTTGCCGGTGACTCCAAGAACGACCCCCCCAAGGGTTGTGACTCCTTCAACGCCCAGGTCATCGTCCTGAACCACCCTGGTCAGGTCGGTGCTGGTTACGCACCCGTCCTCGACTGCCACACTGCCCACATTGCTTGCAAGTTCTCCGAGCTTGTTGAGAAGATTGACCGCAGAACCGGCAAGTCCGTTGAGGCTGCCCCCAAGTTCATCAAGTCTGGTGACGCCGCCATCGTCAAGATGGTTCCTTCCAAGCCCATGTGTGTTGAGGCTTTCACCGACTACCCTCCTCTCGGTCGTTTCGCCGTCCGGTATGTTCTCTTCTTCAATCATGCTTCATGACATCTTACTGACCATCCTCCTAGTGACATGAGACAGACTGTCGCCGTCGGAGTGGTACTGCTCTCTTCGCCCTTTTCTCTTTCCGCCTTCATTGCTGACATTTTCACAGATCAAGTCCGTTGTCAAGTCTGACAAGCAGGGTGCCGGCAAGGTCACCAAGGGTAAGCAACAGACACCATCATCACTTCTTCACGAGTATCACTGACAACCACATAGCTGCCCAGAAGGCTGGCAAGAAGTAAACCATTCGACATTTTGGTCTCCAAAAGCTCGTCTTTCCTTTGCTTCGGTGCTTTACTCAAGGTCACATGAGTTCAGCATTCTACTAACGATACCACCTTTTCACCTGTCACGACCTTGCATGAAACATGATGGCGAGGCAGTTGCTTCGAGGGATCTGGGTTTATGGCTTAGATTATTTGCTGCAGCAGCAATTCAAAATTCATTGTTGATTGCACACCACTTCTTCTTGACACCTTCGCATCTCTATCACAACTTATGTGTTCAGTGACTTGCTCTCGTCCTTCGCTCGCCTCTGACATGCCCGTCGGGTGTCTTTGACATTCCTTTCAATCGTTCGCCGACCTGCCTGTCGCGCTTTCATCGTTCCTCTCGTCTCCCTGCTCCCCCTCTCCATAACGTTTTATTCTTGCGCTACAAGAACAACACTTGACAACATCCACTCGTCCCCGGCGCCGCTTTGAAACAGTTTCGGAGGTCTGGATGTCTCGCAAGATGATGAATAGGCCGTTGGTCATTTCTGCAATCACACTTTGCAAGAAAGAGCCCACCAACAGATACACTCTCTCTTGTTGCTTTGTGGTTCGTGGAGCTACCAAGTCTTGCTTGTAGGGCATATCACCCTGGCTCGAATTCCAATGTCTGTCACTACCTCCCTTTTCTCCTAAATATCAAGTTTCTTGGTGTGAGACGGGTCTTTGGCTGCTGCTCATCCTAAAATACACATCTTCGATGATGCTCATTGCGCTAAACACCGAGTTGGCTGTGATTTCGAGATTCTGACATTCCAGATTCAAAGCAGCCGACGTGATGCTCGACTTTCTCCACCAAGTCTACCAGTCATCATGCAGTAAAGATAAAGACTACCAGAATCAGGACCAAAATCACCATTCGATCTCTCAATGGACGTCTTCAACAATATCAAAATCCTTGCGTCTTTTGATAGCTACAAACGTAACCGAGTCGCGGCCTTGGAGGCTGAGATGACGACTTTCGAGCGAAGCTTCAGCCGACCGAGCTTGATCCGTGGCATAGCAAACCTCGCTCACGACTTCGAAATCTCGACATTCGAGGTCAAGCACGTCTGATAAACTCTTGCATTTCTTGCCTGCCTTGCTTGACATTGCGTCGCTAATTTCCGCATGATTGAACGACATGAAGGCTGTCTCCACGCCCCACCACAATGTGCGAAGATCCTCTCTATACAGAATCGATTTCGCACAGGTATGTGCACTTGTGGTGTAACAATTTTTCCTCTTGAGACAAGGCCAAGGCCTTACGAAATAGACAAGGACGCGTCTCTTGCGTCAAAGATCAAATGCAAGCAGCAACGAGAGGTTGTTAACCCATGCAAGCCACAACCGATGTCTCTATCAGCCACCACCTCATGCGACGCGATGGCATATCTGGAGAAACTTAACCTCTACTGCTAACAAACCGCGTCTGTTTCTAGTATAACCCTTGCAGACATGACTCTAGGAAGTACTGCAATGTTTATGAGCCTACGTGGTCACTGCTAAGCCTCTCCACCACCGTATAGACAGTGGTCTGTGGTCTATGGTCTGATCAAGAATCTCTTCAGTAGCCATGAGCTCGTGTATAAAGCATCTCGAAGCCAGGTTTACATGTGCAAAATAAATCCTTCCAGATCAACATCGTTCTACAAAACCTTCGCTTCCTGATCCTCACCCATTCGTCATCTCCATCGACTATGAGTCACCTCGCTCGCGCAGCAGTTGCTGCCGCCGCCGCCGTCAATGCTTCATCTTTGGCCGATGTATGCACTGTCTCGAACGTCCAGGCTGCTCTGCCTGCCAACGGTACCCTTCTCGGCATCGATCTGATCCCCTCGGCTATCACCGCAAGCGCCGTCTACAATGCATCTACCAGCATGGGTGGTATGGACTCTAGTGGAGGAGCTACTTACACCTACTGTAATGTCACCATCACCTATACCCATACTGGCAAGAATGATGAGGTTGTTGTCAAGTACGCTTTCCCGCAGCCTTCTGACTTTAAGAAGCGCTTCTATGTCGCTGGTGGAGGTAAGTTTCTCCGCTTATGCTCAAATGCTCAAAAAGGGTTGGACTAACTATTCAGGTGGCTTCTCCCTCTCCAGCACCGCGACTGGAGGTCTCGAGTACGGCGCCGTTGGTGCTGCTACTTCTGCCGGCTACGATGCCTTCGACTACAGCTACGACGAGGTCGTCCTTGCAGGCAACGGATCCATCAACTGGGATGCAACCTACATGTTCTCTTACCAGGCTCTCGGTGAGATGACCAAGGTTGGCAAGTACATCACCGAAGGCTTCTACGGCATGAACAACACCAAGGTCTACACCTACTACGAGGGATGCTCTGATGGTGGCCGTGAGGGTATGAGCCAGGTCCAGCGCTTTGGAGACGAGTACGATGGAGCAATCACCGGCGCTCCCGCCTTCCGTTTCGCCCAGCAGCAGGTGCACCACGTCTATCCCGCAACCGTCGAACACACCATGGACTACTATCCTCCTCCTTGTGCTCTGGCCAAGATCGTCAACGCTACCATTGCTGCATGCGATCCCCTCGACGGCAGAACTGATGGTGTCATTTCTCGTACCGATCTGTGCAAGCTACACTTCAACTTGAGCTCCATCATCGGCGAATCCTACTACTGTGCTGCCGAGACTAGCTCTTCTCTGGGCTTTGGCTTCAGCAAACGCCAGGCTGGTAGCCAGACTAGCACTACACCAGCCCAGAACGGTACCGTCACTGCTCAAGATGTCGCAGTTGCCCAAGCTGTATACGATGGTCTTCACAACTCCAAGGGCGAGCGTGCCTACCTCTCTTGGCAGATTGGCTCTGAGCTGTCCGATGCTGATCCGACCTACAACTCGAATACCAGCTCGTGGGGGCTTAATATCCCTTCTACTGGCGGCGAGTACGTGACCAAGTTTGTCCAGCTTCTTGATCTTGACAACCTCTCCGACCTTGATGGTGTCACCTATGATACTCTTGTCGACTGGATGACCATCGGCATGGTTCGCTACCTGGACAGTCTGCAGACCACCCTTCCCGACCTCACCACCTTCAGAGAGTCTGGCGGCAAGCTCCTCCACTACCATGGTGAATCCGACCCCAGTATTCCTGCTGCCTCTTCTGTCCACTATTGGCAGTCCGTCCGCTCCATCATGTACGGCCACCTCTCGCAGGAAGACGCTCAAAAGGAGCTCCAAGACTGGTACCAGTTCTACCTCATCCCCGGCGCCGCCCACTGTGGTACCAACAGTCTCCAACCCGGCCCTTACCCCGAGAACAACATGAATATCATGATCGACTGGGTCGAGAACGGTAACAAGCCTTCGCGCTTGAACGCTACCGTGTCCTCGGGCGACTACGAGGGCGAGACTCAGATGCTTTGTCAATGGCCCACCCGCCCTGTCTGGCACGGTAACAGCACTTTTGACTGCGTTAACGACAAGGCCTCTATCGACAGCTGGACTTACACCTTCCCTGCTTTCAAGGTTCCCGTTTACTAGACTGCTTGATGCATATCTGGTCTTGAAAGACTTGTCTTAGGTTACGTTAGTATATCATGTAGATGAGCATCAAGAAGACATTTGACAATCTAATACACCAGTATCAGTGAGATTGGCACGTTTCCAAATGAAATATATTCACAGGCTCAGAATAGTCTGGCTCTGCAGCCCCTGGACTGGTATATATCAAAATGCAAGATGATTTTCCATCAGAGAGACATGTCCAGTGAGCGTGATACTTAGCCCATCAGATAGACATGCTCTCAGTGGACAAACTCTCCAGTCTGAAAACCATCTTACATTTTGACAAGCACATCACTGGAGAATACCTGCCCTTGGGAGTAGACGATCATTCTTTCAAGTTCTCAAACCTGATTTGATATTGTAAGATGGCTGGCACATGTTTATGATAGAACAGGAGTGACTGACTCTCTGAACAGCAGTGACTGGCTGTTTTGTAGCGGTCGCAATGCAAGATGATCTTCGGGTTCAAGGATATGTTCAGTGAGAGTCAGCAATTAATATGCTCTTTTTGGACATGCTCAAGGAGTCAACAAGGTTCTTGCATCTCCATAAGCAGATTGGAGCGTCTGCTCGTCTCTGAGATGACACGAGGGATCTTGATAGGCTGTTTGAACACGGATATACAGCATTGTTGCCTGAATTCCTCAATCCAGTATTCGTGATGATGTCCCTGAATCGCAAGATGATGCTCGCTTCTCGTGACGCGCGAGTTCGAAAACAAGGCAGGTACACCATGGATTTTCTACGCTATTTACATAGGTAAATAGCACGGGTCAACTCGGGTAGTGAGTGAATTGATTGAGAACCAAAAGCTATGGCACATAAACAGGGAAAGAGCCACCGCACAACTTCACTTTCGACTCAAGCCTTCATGGTCCAGAAAAACCACGAACATTACATCTCAAGTAGCTTTGGTCTAGTGGTTCAAGACGTCTTGCTGATACAAACTACCCTGGGTTACGGGTAGTCACCGGACCCGGGGGTTGCTGTTAGTTCTGGTACGAGGAGACGTGGGTTCGATTCTCACTCGCTACATTTACTTTTTGCTTCTTCTTTGTTTTGTGAGAGGAAAGTGTGCTCCCATGGTCACAAAGCCAGCAGCGACGAGCTAGTGGAATACAAGATGTTTTTGCGCTCCTCGATTTGTCCACTGAGAGGATGGTTGTTTGATGCTCTCAAAGGACAGAGTATACGACTTGAATTAGATCTTGCATCTCGACAGATTTTCAAAGGAATGGCACAAGGGGAAGGGAGAGAGTCACTCTTGCAATAACATTCGATATATCACAATCATCATCGTAGCACTCGATGGACCGGAACAGAAGAGTTTGGAGCATGTGTATTGTGAATTATTCGTGTATGTCTGGTTACCGTGAAGAAGTTGAGTTGTATGCGCGAGAAGAGAAATGGGTGAAGGGGGGCGCTGATTTTTGGCGGACTCGGCTCTGGCTCTCATCTTCATTGTGCTCACAAAAGGGGTATTGTCGTCGTTGGTGGATCAAGTAGTCTCTGACTCTGGCTCTGCCTTGACCTTGATCTTGACTGGGTCGCCCTGGTGAGAGTCATGATCAGAGCCCTTGCTTGGGTCAACGGTAGAGGTGGACAGAGTAGAGCCAGCCTCCTGCGTGACGAGGGCGCCGATGTTGCTAGCTCCCTGGGGAAAGACCGACTCAAACGAGCCAGTCTTCTCAACCTCCTTCTTGATGTTGACCGCAATACCAGTGACTCTGGGCTTAGCGACAGCCTTGAACATGGTCAACACCGATTGCTGACGAGGATCACGAGGAGGGGGGCTCCAGTAGTAGTTATTGCGGGCAAGGCGCTTCTTGTCGTCTGGGGTCAGGAGTTTGTTCTTGAGTACGCGCTGCTTGCGTTTCTGCTCAGCGGCGAGTAGTTCGGCAGCGGTGCGTGTCATTGTGATTGTGGGATTGGTGCTGAACTGAGTTAAGGCATAGTCTACATGGTGTGCTGAAGAGGAGAAGGGAGATACCAGTTGAGTTCGGGAGAGTCACGAGCCCCGAGGAGTCGCGCGACAGCCAGAGGGAATGGTTGTGCGTATGAAGGAAGAGGAACGAAAATGGCAATGATAAGAAACAATAACAGATATAGCGCAAAGTTCAATTTCCCGGACGTCGTGGTTGTTGGGGTGGAAGTAAGAGCGACAGTGATACCGAGTCGATTTTCCCGCGAAAGATTCGAAGTGACGCCAAATTCATATGACTTTAGGGAGACGGTGAGAGTTGGAACCAAGCTGATAGGATAAGAGCAGAATGACCTCTTTACGTCAGCTCTCTTGTCCAAGCCCATGTCGAAATGCACGATGGCCCTCAGAAAGACCTCGTCGTCCAGAGAGACCGACTTTCCACCACTTACCCCTAGATCCAGCTCTAGTTACGGAAGCTATCGTACTCATAGCTCTGTAGTTGACAAGATTGAGGACACAAGAAGAGATGCCAAACCAGCCACAAAATTGAGAAGAAAAACATAGATTAGATATCTTACCTACATACCAGCGCTTTCAGGCTGTCTGAAGATCTGATCAACATACTCACCCGCGTCTCTTGTCAAGACGTCCACGTCCAGCCTACCCAAAGTAGCATTCACAGCCTCCAGAACCTCTCTCTCCTCGAATAATTCATGCATGATTTCGCCTTCTTTCCGCCAATACTCGTTCAGTTTGCCCCTGAATCCAGATTCTCTCATGACAGCATTTCTGATGGCACTGAGGGCTTTGTATTTTGCCAAAGATGTTTCGAGTGACTTGGTCGAGGCTTCGAGTTGCAGGGCAGGAGTCGGAGGGAGGACAAAGGCGCGGTTGGTTGCAGAAGCCCAGATCAATAGACCGATCACAGCGTCTGTAATGCAAATAGCCAAGTGCGAAACCAAGTATCGTGTCCAGAAGAAGTTTTCAACATCAGAGTAGGTGACAGCGCGAGCATTACGCTGGTGCTCGTAAGTTGCGACTGAAATGACGTCTGCAATCATGACAGCAATTCCCGATAGAACAGCAGCAGTCCTCCATCTGGCGGCTGAAGTACCACCGAGACGAGTTGATGTCGCGAGTCCAAGGAAGAGCAGGTGCATCAAATGTGTCTTCAGGAGCGAGGGAAATGCGCAGATCAGGTAGCTCATGCCCACGTCCTGAGCTTTGGGATCCGTGACCAAAGGACAGTTGCATAAGACATCCGGACCGAAACGTAGGTATTGTAGTCTTGCTTCTAATCCTCCTGTTGCAAAGATATGGCGTAACGTCTCATCTTGAGGAGTGCTGCTGGGCAGCCTGTTGAAGAGCACTGGCGTTGGTGTTTGAAGTCGCGAACCGGTCTTGCTGAAGATGTTGTTCGGCGTGAAGTAAGGGAGGGTGAAGATGAGCGAGACGGCAGCGCTGGCGAAGATGAGGTTCAGCGCACGCGCAGCCTCTGGCGATACGGGCACTCGCGTTGCATTTGTTGGTGCGCGGAGGCTACGGTAGAAGGCGATTATTCGAGGAAGGAGCATAGGCCCAAAGAAGAGAAGAGCCGATTGGATACTGTATAACAATTGTTAGCCATGTGATTGACATTCAAGAACTTCTATAACGTACGTGCTCCAGGACACCATGATTGCGGTTATGGTGGTGCGTTGGACGGCAGTCGCGATTTACACAGGGAAAGAGCTCAACAGTAGTGCTTGCTCAAAATCGCGAAGAGACGGTCATGAACGGCCTGATCGCTGCTGCTATTTCTACACAAGAAATTGTACAATGATGGTGAAGCGCAGGAGCTGCCACTTGACCTCCGAGCCTTCTCCACACAAGCTCATCGTCGCGCATTGTCAACGTCTGCTCCTTCCCTCAATTCACCTCGATACTCCATTAGCCAAACATTGACTTGCATTCGTTCAGATTTATCATTTAAAGAGTTTCGCTTGAGGCAGATCGACTGTCTCATACTCAGAGGTGATCGGGTGGGAAAGCTATCGCGACACGCGAGGTGAACCTTGTGTCGCGACTTATTCATTTGAGAACTCAACATGGAAGACGACACCAAGCGCTTGCATAGTTCTGTACAACGTATGCATCTTCCCAGAAATGGCAACGCCTAGCTGAGAGTCACTCGGCATTGAAAGGTGAGTCGCAGTTGCCGCTGTTTTTTTCTCGTAAGAGCACTGGCTCTGAGTTGTTTGTGTTGAGCTGTGATGATGCCGGATTCTGGCACGCGGCAATTGTCGAATCCGATGTCGATTGGGCGAGCAGACCGGATCTAAGATATTCATAGTCGCGAGTAAGTGGTGTTCATGCACGCACGAAACACCTTTATTGTTGTTGAAGCCGTTCTCTGGAGTGGCGTGCTTGAGATTCGTGAAAGACGCAGCCACGAGCGCGCTCGGAGAATCGAATCTCGAGAGGAATCGCACTAGAGCCGAGTGCTCACTCCAGTCGCAGACAGGTCACCAAAATAATTATCAAAAGGCAAGATGATCTTCATCATCAGCTACATGTCCACTGGGAGCCGGTGCTCCACTCCCCTCTCTGGAGACCTCATTCATACTGCCTTCACGTCTTATAACCACTGCAATACTGAGGAGAAACACAAGGAGAACCTAGGAATTGATATCCGAACAAGATGCACCAACCGGGTGGACAGGAACACAGGTCGACAGGTTTTTAAAAGACAGAAACTCAAGACCAAAACACGTGCAAGAAACTGGACAATCGGACCAACATCAAGATCATCTTGCCTTTCGATAGGCTTGTTAGAGACCCTGGACCGACAGGGAAGCTCTGTCAGAAATTGCTGGCTAGGAAGCAGTATAGCCAGTTGCTTTATCTAAATATTCTTCTTCCCTGACATGGTATGTAACGTTCTAGACGTGATAAACCTGAGCACCATCGGAGTCGCACCGAGTCAAAAGAGCGAGCAAGGACACGATTGAGATTCTGAGGCGAGCCTGATTAAGCTTCAATTCGACAGAGTCGCAAGCAGTCGATTGATTATATGTGGAAGCAGATCCTCGGTGTTTCTGCAGCTCCTAGCAGTCTCTTTCTTACCACCGCGACGAGAGCATGTACTCAGGGAAGGTAGCATTGTCAATAGAGACTTCCAACTCAGATTGATCCAAAGTACTTCCTTCCTGAATGAGAAAATGCCAAGCTTGCAGATGGGCGACGCGAGCGACCACCGGCGAATGTCCGTGCGGATCCCGGGTCCGCCATCTCTTCCTTCCTCACCCTGCACCCATGTAATTGTAAAAATGCACGATTATTTTCAGATCAGTGCCGCCTCCAGTGAGAGCGCAATAGAAAGTCGTGCACACATTCGACAAATGTGCACATTCGAATGTTGATCATCAAGAGTGTGGTTTGAAAAGCCCAGACAAACATCTGCACAGATCCGGCAGACTTCTGATGCTTGCGACTCTACATCGCGTGCACGACTCTCTCCAAAGACAATATCTCTTCGTTTTCGCGGCCAATCGAGCCCATCTCAATATGACTGGAACCACATTAGACGATGATCTCCTACCATCAGGATCGGAAACAGTCGCAGACCTGTCAGAACTGCCATACGCAGTCACCGACCAACCAGAAGAATCACCAGAAATACAACCCTTCCGCTTCTTTGACCTACCTCAGGAACTACGCTTCATGATCTACGAAGAACTGATGGACAACACAAAGAACGACCTGAAATATGTGCAACCCAGGGGGTTCGAAGTCGAATCGGTCTACATCGATGAATTACACTATCCGAGCATGTTGCGGGTCTGTAAGATGATGAATCAAGAGTATTGGAACTTGTGTCTGAGAGGAGCGAGTTTGTGGATTACTTATAGTCTTCCTGATCCTTTGAGTTCTGATGGAGAGGACAGCGAGGATGAAGGCTTGGGTGAACAAACGGAGGCAGAGGCAAGCTCAGACAGAGATGACGAGTCGGGCGAAGATCCAGACCATGACGCAGGCCTCAGACCAAGCGAAGACCTACATGAAGAGGAAGACCCAGGAACAGGACGAGGACCAGGACCAGACACAGCTATCAACACAGACGAAAGTTCAGACACGGACGAGTACTCGAACAAATTTGCAGACGACGACGATGAGATTCCACTGCTTTCAACATGGGTGAAAATCCCAAAGGAAGCTCTGGCAAAACTCGGAGATGTGGTTTTCAAATTCGAAGCAAGATGGAATCTGCCACTGATCAGTAAGTTTTGTGATATCGTCTTCTCACGTCTTGACTTTAGCCGAGCTGTTCAGGGAGAGCGATACGTGGCTCGCTCTCATCGACCATATGGTGCACTACGGAAATAAAAGGCAGCTATTGCTTTCTGGAAGCCTCGCTAACAACGAAACAGATCCATTCTCTGGCATTGCCCGATGCACACTCGAGATGCCTAGCCTGAAATCCTTGCTCTTATATTCAGAGATAGAAATGTGGATCATCGAGTCCGCCGCCGAGCAAGACGATAAAAACCTTGGCTTTCAATGGTTCGTCAACGGCCTATTCCACGAACAACATCTCCTCTTCGACATCGAAAAGGAACATGATCGCAAAGTCGAAACAAGCGTAGGTGGCGGCCTGTACTCCCCTCTCTACGAGATGAACAAGAGATACCGATATCCCCGACGCAGGCATTTGGCTCAAGGTATCGCACCAGTTGCCGGGCTGCCGGAGTGGGGGTATGCGATTTATAAGTTCGTGCCTCCGTGGAGTTGTCCGGATGACAATGCTTTCGATTATCATGGCCAGCAGGTGATCTTCGAGCATGTGGAATATGCATTGCCTGTGCCTGAGCGTATTGACTTTTGGGAGAGCTGTAGTGAGGATGAATATGACTGGAACGACGGCTCGGATTGGGCTATAGGCAGAGCAAGCAGGGTCTGATTGGCGGAGGAATCCAATGAGAGCGGCCAAAGATTCTTGCATCTTTGCAACATAAGGAAAGCTTGTTGTTGGAGATGGAGGTTGGGCGGTGCGGATATTACGGCAGATGCCAGGTCAGTCCTGGAGGACAGCTCTCATACACAATCGCTGGACCACGTTCGGAAACCAAAAGAAAGCACCGTGCATTACGACAGCAACATCCAGATGACCAGTACCGCTGAACGACAGGGGGGAACGAAGAACGCACACGAGTCAAGACACCAGACACAAGATGCAGAAAGAACAAACAGCAGGAGTTTCAACATAATCAAAGTAAACATCTCGAGAATTTCTCAGAAATACTCCTTTACGCCATGAGCACCACCACTACCAACATGAGGCGAATTACGCTTATACTCTGCCAACTCCTGCATTTCCTTCTCCCACAACGCATCAGCAGCAGCACGTTCCCTCCTTCCAGCACGTCTGGACTTGATACAGCAGAATACAAACGCAACAAGCGCAATAGCGAATACGGCTACCGAACCAGCGGCAATCGTGGCTTGAGCCCATTTAGGAAGTGCTTTGTAATGTGCCTCTGCGCCATGGGGTTTGGCAAGACGTTGGGCGATTGTGCTGTTTCCTTCGGCGATCTTGATGGATTCGTAAGAGCCGGTTTGATCGCCGTAGGTGTAGGTGCTTCCGGTGCTGAAGTCGGCGACGTAGACGCGTTCCATGGTCATGGTGAAGGGAGTTTTGTGGTAGTCTACTACACCTCCTGCCCATTCGACTGTGCCGTTGGAGTTTGAGTCCGGATCGCCTCCAGCCCATATGCCGATCTTGAGTTTCATGGGTGTTTGAGGGTAGTTCTCGCCGTTGAGAGCGTCTTCGTATTTGAGTGTGCGCAGCACTTTGTCGTCGACGAGCCATTCCAATTTTTCTTGTGTCCAGGTGATGGAGTAGTTGTGGAGTGTGCCGGTCACATCGTCGACGTCGTAGTAGATGGCGCGATCGTATGAGGTTGTGTTGCCCTTGCCGAAGTAGTTGGTCTCGACGCTTGTGTTGTTTCCACCCAGCCATTCCCAATCGATCTCGTCGAGGTCGTCGGATTCGAGGACGACTGAAGAGACGATACCGACGCCTGGTGCGGCCTTCATGATCACGCTGACCTGGCCGAAGAAGATGTAGAAGTTGGATTCGAGTGTAGGGCTGTCGCCTTTGCCGCCAATCTATCAAAGTCAGTATGGCTGTTATGCATGCCTGTTGCAACGGTGGTGACGCATACCGTGAACTGAGCACCGACATCAGTGTAGTCGGGCGTACCACCAGTCGTGTTCCAGATCTTGGTGTCCGCGATAGTAGAGTCGGTAAAGTTCCAGTCGTGCCATGTACCGAGAGCAGTGTTTGGTGTGCAAGTAGTGTTGAACATGGGATTACAGTCGGAGAAAGTCTGAGCTGAGACCTTGGAGACAGCGGTCGCGGCCAGCACGAATGCTGCTGTCTTCATGAAGCCTGCCATTGTATATGCTGTAGGGCCGAGATTGTGTTCGAGAAGTGTAGTATAGGTGAGACCTTGAAGTCGATAGTACTATCTGTATGATCGAGTCGAATGAATGGACGCGTGCTTGTACTGCACGTCTAGTTGAATGAATGTACGCTGGGCAAATGGCCTCAAGCAAGGGAGTGTAGAGGAAGGAAAAGAGAAAGGTCACTGTCGGCACGCAGACTCGCAAAGAAGAGGGAGAAAAGAAAGAGAAAGTGGTGTGCTCAACCAACCTTCTTGAGACCTTCAATCTAAAGCTACTGTGCCACTCGACCCTTATCGACCAGTTGCGATTGCCGTGGATGGTCAAGGGCGTTTCAGCAGGCGGTCCCGGCGTGCTCAGGGGTTGTTCCTTGCAGTACGGGAGTGTTGGAAAAGAGGTTAGTGTCATGCTCTCCGCATTCTTGAAGCTCGTACAAAATCTGGTTAGAGATCCCCCCAGAGTTTCATCGGTGCCTGTTTGCATGTCGCAAGTCAAAGTCCTTGAAGATGTAGTGTGACAGTTTGTGAGATCATAGCATTTCAGCCAAGATGATCAGGCCTTCATCAACGCAGGATGTCTTCCGGCGATAGACTCGACTTGCGATGGTCATCAGGAAATAATTATGTAGCGCTCGGAGCAGTGGGCATCTCTACCCGGCTCGTACAGCAGGGACCAAACCCAATTTAGACAGCTGCTTGGCGCGTCTCAGGAATTACGATCTGCTTCGAGCCTGTCTGACACGACTCACGATAACATTTTGATAATGCTCAAGAATCATGACATGGATGCTCGACCTTGAGCCCATGATTCAGCAATGATTTTCTCATCTCAATAATCCATGACAGAGCAACGACCGATAAATACACACATTTGAACATTTCTAATCTCGGACTCTGATTCATCATGATTGAGCTTGGCCTTGCTCGGGTCTTCCGCCTTCTGGCACGCACGCCTTTGCCATGGCGGGCATTACATGTTGCTGGAACCAATGGAAAAGGATCAATATGCGCCTACATATCTGCCATGCTTACGGCGTACAATGCTTCACAACTACGGACTGAATCTGGCAAACCACCTATTAAGCATGGACGCTTCACATCACCACATCTGATTGATCGCTGGGACTGCATCACCATCGACGAGAAGACCATCTCCGAAGTCATCTTCAGACAAGTCGAAGCAAAGGTCTTGGCTCGCAACATCTCGGAGAACATCCAAGCAACAGAATTTGAGTTACTCACTGCGACTGCCTTCGAGATCTTCACCCTCGAGAATGTCGATATCGGAGTCATTGAAGTTGGTATGGGAGGTCGTCTCGACTCGACCAATATCCTAGGTCAAACCTCTGAATTCGACGAGCTGGAACCAAACCAGCAAAACAGACCCAAGCCTCTAGTCACAGCCATATCAACCATCGCCCTGGACCACCAAGGCTTCCTCGGAAACACCCTTCAAGAGATTGCCACGCAAAAAGCTGGTATCATGAAGTCAGGAGTACCTGTAGTGCTAGCCATGAACAACGAAGCCGTAACCAACCACATTCTCAACCTCGCCTCCAAAGCCGGCGTAACACAAATCCTCCATTCAAAAGATACAGCAGGCTTCGACGTTACACGCGCGTCAAGCAAAACCAACGCAGCACATGCCCGCCAACAAAATGGTGCTATGGCATTCACAATCACCTGGTTGGCGCTGAAGCAATTAAATCGTCTGCCTGCTCCTCCTACCACGCAAGCCGCTTGTGGTTCTTCAACTCTGCGTAATGAAATACGCACTTCGTCGCTCTCTTCTCTTGCTGCTGCATTACGTGCAGTACCGGAGAAAGTCGTTTGGCCTGGTCGTTTGCAAGATATCAACTTGGCGCCTCTTACAAGCTATACACCTACCGCTCTGCTTGATGGCGCTCATAATGCAGAATCAGCGACTGTGCTAGCAAATACTGTACGGACCCGTGCTGGATCTCGTCCAGTGGTCTGGGTCCTCGCTGCCTCGAAAGGAAAAGATTTGGCCGGCATGTTTGAACTGCTACTTGCCGGAAGACCTGACGACGGCGTTGTGGCGACCGAATTCGGAGCCGTGGACGGTATGCCTTGGATCACAGCAACATCGGCCGAAGATGTCAAGGCTGCCGCTGCGGGCGTTCTGAGCCAAGACAATGTGATGGTTGAGAAGGATATCACAGCTGCTCTGAAGAAGGCATCCAGATTAGCAGAGGAGAAGGACGCTTTGCTAGTCATTGCAGGAAGTCTGTATCTGGTGGGCGATGTTCTACGTTTAGTACGCAGTGCAGGTGGCAAGATCGATTGACATCTCACTCCTTGTCTTATTCGTTGATTGTGCAAAATCAAAATTACGAAATACCCATCGTCCACCGAATTTTTTACTCTTCTTAATCTCCCTGAGATGCCCTGTTACCTCTTGCATTCATATAAGCATAAATACACCACTACTCCTCCTCTAGAACACAGAGCAGAAGCCCACGGAGAAACGATGAAGTTTCGTACATCAATCCTTCTATCCCGGCTCCCTGCTACAGTCTCGATTCATCTATCAACATGCAAGATAATTTCTCAAACCTTTGAGATGTCCACAGAGAGGATGAGTGTTTAAGACCCTCACTGGACAAAACCCAATCTCTGATAAGCATCTTGTATTTTGATGGTGTGTAGAAGCAATGAGCAGACTGCTGGGATGGGATTTCAACATGCGAGGGTGACGGTGTAGTGCGATATATGATATGTGAATGAATTCGTTCACATGCGTTGTGATAGTCATATGGGGGCTACAGGAAGAGAAGAGAAGAGCATTCCATGTCATTGATCTTGTGACTGTTTGTTGTAGCTGCCTGAAGTAGTCTCTGTTGTGCAGCAAGTGTATAGAATCCCGCCTCCACAACTGCTCGATCTCTAAAATGTTCGGACCACCCTTCAAAAGAGTGGGTTGCGACATGCGGTTTTCTGCACTACATCTCCCACTCCACGAACTTCTTGGTGACCTTCTTGATTTCCTTCTCGATGTCCTGCTTCTGAGGCAGTAAGCTGGCGCCGCCACCCTCCTCATCGCCATTCTTCTTGGCTTCCTTCATCTTCAAGTCCTTGATGCAGAGACCGAGCATGGCGTGAACGGTGTAGACAGCGTCATTACCAGCATTGTGGGTGTTCCAAGAGTCCAGCTCGAGGGTAAACAAGACATGCGAAAGACCGCGAGTAGACTGTTCGCCAGTGATAGCACGCCACATGGCAGCGGTGTCCTGGAAGTCGATGAGGTTGGAGAGATTGCTGGGGTCATAGCCGAGCTTGCGGAGGTAAGCGACGTCTTGCTTGGTATCGTGGCCGACGAAGACGATGTTGCGCTTCTCTTGGTGCTCTTCGGCGACATCATCAACATTCTTCGCACTGTAAGGGTGCTTGAAGCAGGTAGCGATCATGCGGGGGGCATCTGCGAGGTCGACGAACTCGCTCTCACCAAACTCAAATCTGTCTGGGCAGCCACGGACGAACTCGCTGTTGGTGTAGTGCTTGTATTCGTTGATGCGGAAGTGACGACCGCGGACGAACTTGTGCCAGTCCTTACCACCTTCGCCGTGATGAACATCCTTGAGATCGCGAGTGTCGAGTGTGGCAAAGCCAATTTCTGTAATGATGTTGTGGTTACGCTCCCACGACTCGCAGTCAACAGCGATGTAGATGATATCGAGGTCGGGGTTGGCTGACGAAGCAGGCAATAGCTCGAGAGAGGCTTGAGTACGTTCAACCTGGCGGTACATGTTATGTTGTTGGATGACACGTGCTTCCTGCTTAGCCTCCTTTGCGGCCTTGGACTTGCCCTTGTTCTTGCCAGCATCCACAGCGGCCTCCATGTCACTTCTGAAGTAGGAGAGGTAGTCTGGCTCACTTTCGTCCGATCCGAGTCGACCGAACTGGGGAGCGAGATTACTGAGGCGCTCAAAGTCATCTTTGTTTGATGAATGACCGAGGAAGTGAGGTCTCAACAATCTGTGCTCGCTGTACTCGAAAGGGAATACAAGACTGCCCTCAGCGTTGTTGGGCATGCGAACGAGATAGCTTGGATAAGCGCCATCAATGTCCTTGAGCAGTTGCTTGAACTGTTCGAGAGGGATGAAGATTGTGGGTCTCTCAGCATGGTAGTAAGGTGACCACACATACCACCTAGTATGTGGTTAGAACCGTTGACTTGAAGCGGGTGCGTACATAGTGGATATGTGGAATAGTTGATGATGACTTACAGTTCCCAATCGCGTTCCCAGAACTTACCGCCTGCAAAGAACTGTTTTGACACAGTCTCACCTTGCGATTGCTTCATGTACTTGTATGGAAACTTTGAAACAGCGTTGATAGGCACAAATTGTTGGTTTGCAGGGGCCACATCGCAGAAGTTGTGCTTAGATGCGGTGGCATTGTTGGTGGTGGGTGTAGATGATTCGCCCAATAGCGCAGCAAATCGCTCTGCTCGGGTGGTCATTTTGAAGTGTAGACAGGTGTTGGGAGGAAAACGGATGGGGAAGGCACGCGTGGTTGAAATTGCGTGTCGTAGGAAGCTCGCGCGGTAATGAAGCGCTCAAGCTGGCGTGAACAAGAATTGAAGTGTAGCAATTTACAAGTGAAGGAAATTTACCAGGCCTTTGACGTGACACATGCGCTGTTGTTGTTGCAGGTTTGCAGGGTGGAAGAGGTCAAAGGTTCGGCGTCTCCACCAAGCTCAGGTGCAGCCAAACAAACAACATCGAGTCTCCCTCTTCGTGAAGGACATGCTATGTGTCCATAAAAAATGCACGATGTATTTTGAACCACCTGGATTGTCCAGGGAAAGCACACAACATCGTTGCTCTCGTTGGATACAGTCCTAATCATGGAAATTCACAGTGCATCTTGACAGGCATTCAAGTGGTATCATGGAAGGCAGAGAGCTTGGTTGGAAACTTTCGGCCCAAGCTCAACCACACTTGATAGTGCCTCTAGCAGCCATTGCAGAGACCTTACTAGAATCACGGAGTCCAATCCTGGTGATAATTTACTGGAGGGGAAAAGGCGCAGAAGATGTGAATGTCCGTGTTGCCTGGCCATGACGACCTTGTGACAACTAAAGCTGATGGGTGCATTGATGGGTATATACAGTAGTGGCTGAACGTAACAGAAATGAGAAAATTGCCCGGTGTAGAAAATGCAACTTTTACTCGAAGAAGCCTCCTTCGCTGTCTTCGTCCTCGTCTTGTTCCCGCATGATCTGGTCCTCGTCGGCCTTCTTTGCGGGCTTTTGTGCCTTCTTGTCCTTCTCCTTCTTGTCTTTCTTGTCCTTCTTTGCTCTGGCATTCGATGCCTTCTGACCGATGGTATCGTCGTTGTTGAGTTGTGCGGGTGCTGACTTGAGTAGTTTGCCATTCCTCAGAGCGTCGAGTTTGCCCTCTTCCATGCACTTTTCGACCACCAACCACATGTCTGGGTCTCCTTGCTTTTCAACCTCAATCTCGTTGCCGTCGGCGTCCTTCTTTCCCTTCGTCGGCCATAGTGCTGAGTAGACCATGTCCAAGGGGTGGTACATGGCGTAGTTCAAGTCGACCTTCGCCTCGTGTATTTGCTCCTCAAGATCGGTCTCGCCTTCCTTGGCCCTTCTTTCCAACTTCTTCAGGCGACGCTCTGCTTTCCGTCGCTCAAAGAAGCGCACCATGTGGTATTTGCCAATCAAATCTTTCTTGCGCTGCTGGCTCTCGGCCTGAGCAAGCTCCCACTCGCATGACTTCAGTTCTCTTTCATGGTTGAGACGGACATCGGCGGGTAGATTCTCTTTGTGTTGTAGTAGACGGTTCAGACTGCGAATGCGCGACTTGATCGGGTTGACGGGGTTGGCCTTGGGCTCAAGTTTGCGGTGCGGATTCGGGTTGACCTTGCGTTTCTTCTCCTGGCCGGGAACTTGCTCTCGACGAGAGGGGTGGACTTCGCTGTGAGGGCGCTTTGTTGCCATGATTGTTCGTATATGTGGAGAGAATGTAGATTGACCGTGACGATGGAGATTATTTTTTCGGAAGATCGAGAAAGTCCCCTTGGACGGAAATGGCAAAGTCTAGCCGAATACTGGGGTAGACCGAGCCGCCCTTGGCGTTCACCACCACAGTTGACACCTTCGAGGCTTGAGACACTTCATGCAGAGCATATCAGTGTTGTGTCGAATCCTGGAGCAAGACCACAGTGACCCGGATAGGTCTTATTGACGGATATGAAACCTTGTACAAGCTGTTCTGGGCGTTCCCTGAGCCTACCGGCACATCCTGGTGTGGTCAACAACATATCGGAGGTGATATCCATGACTACTGAAGAATTATGCCTTAGTAACCTGATCTGTTCATCTCGAAAGTGCTGGGTAAGCTATGGGATCTGCGTAGAAAGCAGCCATGCGCAGAAAGATCCGGAGAGACATGTATATGTCTCAAGCGGTTCACATCCATTGAAAGAATCTATCTCCAGAACAATGTGGTTCGGTAAATGTTTAGAAGCAATAGAATGTTCTACCTCGATCTATGACAATGTGAGACCCAAACAACACGTCCGATTGATTTCCTGCTAGCACACAACACGACACAAATTTGGCTTCTCATCTTTTGATCTTCTACTCAGCCTCTCCAACCACGAGCCTCATGATGAACCTGGCAAGGAGTAAGTTGTCGAAACCATTTTTATCATCAGTCATCTAACCTCAAACCAGGCAGCAAGTTCGTAGAGAGCTTCGATGACGATACCTCAGTCTCGTCTCTATCGTCGGAGCCACTCTCACCCAGCACGCCTACTCCCAAGCCGACTTCACAGACCACGTTATCTCCGGAGCCAATTGTGAGCCTGTTCTCTACTCTGAGTCTGGAACAGACAACTTCTCGCTGTTCAGGACCGCAATGCAAAGATCTGCGCTGTACAACATCGCATGCTCAAGACGAAGAGCCACCAGAAGCAACAATTGAAACCGCGTTCCAGAATCTTTTCGCCAGACTCAAGGATCACCAGGAACACATAAGTGTAGAGAAGCCCAATAAAGGTAAGCTAGCATGTTTAGAGGCACAAACTTTGATCAGAGCCGCCTCGGATGATAGCTTCTGTACCCTTGAGTCTTCAGAGCTTAGTAAGAGCGCAGCTAACCATGGTGCAGATGCTAGCCAACCCGAATTAAACACTGTAATTGAGAGCTCATCGGTCGAGACTTTCAACACTGCCTCGAACAATATTCAAGAGGAGCAGTACGGAGAGGCAAAGTCTGAGCACTTCAAGGACCTTGATGACTCGCTGGAGTTTTTCTCTCGCGACAACAAGCGTAACTTGGAGGTCAAATTCGAAAGGCTTGTGCAAGATCTCGAACACTTCAATGTCCAGCGCTTCGAGATCTATCGGAAGTTCCAAGTCTGCATCGCATACCATGAGCAGATGAACGAGTCACCCAAAACCTGCCTCAAATGCTTGCAACACCTTCAAGACATCGAGAAAAATTACCGCCAAGCTCGATCGAGAGTTTCTTCTACAGGCTTAGTACTTTCACCGTTCATCTTGGCCCCTAACCTTGATCTAGACGCCGTGCTCGAGCGCGTGCCCGACTACGCAGAAGATTTCGTGGACAACTACAGATCCGAAAGACTTCTCGTCTTAGAGAGACTGCGGCTGCTCCATCGTATGCAGAAATCGCTGTCGGAAGATTTTGGAAAAGCCAAAAGCTGGCAAGACCTTTGGAATGATACGTCTGCGACCGAACAGCCACAAGGTTATGGAAGAGAGCAGGAGAATGGCAAGGGCCATGAGGAGTCAAAGGACTATTCAGAGCAGAGTGAGGCCAAAGAAGAGTCAGCCAATGTTCCGACAGCAAAGGTCTATCAGGATGCCAGGATCGAGGATGCGGAGTCGCACAAGGCTCACGAGAAGAGCAGAAAGAGCAGACCGAAAAAGAAGCGGGAGAAGAAGACCATCACCAGCGTATGAAAGGGGTCGAACTTGCCGCCTGGCCAAGTTCTGACAGTCATGTCTCCTAAGCATCGGCTGTCAACACATTGACTATAGAAATGTATAGTATCGATATTCTGAGAGAGAGACCCCCTTTCGAGCTCTCACTGGATTCTCTATCCTCGAAACCATCGTGCGTTTGACAATCAGGTTTCTGATTACACCTGCCGCCGGGATTGCATGTGCTGAACCATTACCCAAGAACCCGAGAGTAATGGCTGCCATGCTGGGGAATAGCGGAAGTCGATTCTGCCCAGAACTCGAAACAATCATGCATGCATAACAAGGCAACGAACAGGCGCGTGACCTGCGATAATGAATACATTGGGAGCATCACCCGAGCATCCGGTCTAGAGAGTCATGATCGATGTCGCATAGATATCATAACTGCAAACATGTTGATCAATCGCAACAGAGTTTGGATCTTGCAAATATTAGGTAGCGATTAGCTGTCGAAAATGGGAGATCTTGTCTCAAGGCCGAAGAGACTCCTCGGAAGCCTATCAAACAAACCAACTCAGAAGAGCGTAGGATTCTCAGCCCTCTCATAGACGGTAGAACGCCGTTCCACCTGCTGTCAACATGCAAAGTGGTTTTCAAGGAGATGGCAAAGTCGATTGAGGATTCTCAGCTGTCAATTTCCTGAGGAACTTGGTCAACACGCGTCCGTCAGACAGAGCGACGATCGATGTTATACCACGATCGAGCCGGAGGCTGACAACGGCGTCGTTATAGTTTTGGGCACGGGGTTGCGCAAAAACCCCTTTGGTTTACGCTGTCTAAAACGAGTCAAACTGCCGAACACCGTTGGGCGCTTCAAAGCTGGAAAGAATTGGTAATTTGTGTACGCTAACAGACAGGCGTGTTTACTGAAATCTTCTTTTTCGACACGACAAATGTATAAGGACGGAGTTTTGATTGATTCGCCGCAGAAAGAGTGTCGTGAAGGAGCTGAGACGGGGATTTTACTGAGATGGTTGCGCCTGGCCCGAAGTCGAGAAGCAGGTGGTGGAGGGCCAGACAGGGTCGAACTTCCGTCAAGCCACAAAAATGGCAGGCGGGACCGAATGACGAGCTGTCGGAGTTTTGGCAATCACCGTCAATCAATGCATCAACATGGTTCCCGTAACCTTCGCGACTCGAATGGAGTCGTGTTGAGATGATTCGAACGGGACAGAGTTCACCATTTCACAGCGAATTTGTGATACAACAAGATGGAAGCGACTTTCTCGAATATCGAGGCTCAATTTGACAAGCGAAGTAGAAGGTGATCTCCCCGTGCCCGCGACATGGAAGGAGCAGCAAGCTGTCGGGACTAATGGAAGTGGCGCGCCAGAGTTTAAGCCATGCGGAAGTGTTGTTAGCCCTTGGCTCCTAATTGGAGCCTTGCCAGTCGCAATCGACCTCAAAAGTCGAGCGCAAGAGATAGAGGAAAGAACTATGGAAAAGCGGAGAGGAATAGCTACTCGGCAAGGCCGTGAAGGCAAGATAAGGGTGTATTCTTTGTTCTTTTTGTCGCAATTGTCTTGCAGCAAGTCAGAGGGACCCCTGCAGACCATCCATTTTAGAGCGGGCGCACAGACCCTGATCTATTCCATCCACGAACACGGCGGAGACGTGTGAACCTGACAGAGAGCGGTGGGCGGTTTGAGCTCTCTCTTGTCTCGCTCGCTTTCACTGTGAAGCCTTTGCCTCTGTCGCTCCTCCACTCACGCTCGTGCAAGACGACTCGAACTACACCCATCACCGCCAAAGCATTGCCATTGCAGCGTCGATCGACAGACTGCAGCCGTGTTTTTCTGACTACTGTATCCGGCACGCATCCATCGTGCATCCTTGTTTGACAGACGTTTGGGTTGCAAATACGTCGCGGCCTTCTTTTGCGCCAGTAAGACAGCACAGTCAGCACTCCCCCGACTCTCGACACGACACGACAGGACAGCGTCGACGCTCCTTTTCTTTCATCGCATCGCCAGCCCTCAGTCTTGGATACTGCTGGCCAATAGACGACTTCCCGGCTACCCACCTAGCGTCATCTCGACCTGGTGCTACTACACCACCCTCGTGACACGCTCGAACAAGTCACGCCCCTCCTCGACGACGTTTGTTCCTACTCGATTTTCTCCCCGCCTGTGTATGCTCGACTAAATCACCTCACCGTCCACCCTTCCGGCCGCCGCGCCGTCGCTGCCACCCACGACTCGACCTGATCCAGCACGACCGTCGCCATGGATCACAATGCCTTTATGATGAACGGTGGAGGCATGCAGATGCAGCAAAGACCACAACCGCAGAACGACCAAACCGGTCAGGATCTCCTTGCTAGGATCGTACAGGAGCTGAGAAAGAATACCATACAAACTGGATGGCAGTCCGCTTTCGATCCTGTTCACCGTGCTCACATGGTCATCAGCCTGTGAGTCTCAACAACATGTTCTGAACATGTGCGACATGTGACTGACATGATATACAGAGTGAGAGCACTGCGCATGCTGAACAATTCCAACGACTTGATGAGCGCTGTTCAAGTAGCTATGCGCTTTGAGGGTCAAATTCTTGCTAGTAGTCCATCTGAGGTATGTTTCCACGTGGCCGCCATCACTTTCACGCTCACCTTCACTTTCACCCCCGCTTCCGCTTCCTCTTTTTCTATCACCTTCAGACACTAACACATAACTTAGGAACAATGGATGGCTGGCATCAAGCAAAAACTGCAGGAAATCAGTAACGCCGCCCAACAAGCGAAAATGAAGGCACAGCAGCAACAACAGCAGCAGGCCATGGGTATGCAAATGCAAGCCAGCCGCTCACATCAAGGCGAAATGGCCCCGCAGATGTCTATGGCGCCTCAGATGATGGGCCAGATGAACATGCAACCGCACATGCAACAGCCGCAACAACAAACGCCTCAACAGCAGCCTCAGCAGCAGCAACAGCAACAACAACCGCAGCAGCAAGTGCCTCAGAACCCACCAAGCCAGGCCTTCACTCAAGAAGAGCAGAAACAGATCATGGCGCACGCCCGCAGTATGATGAGCCAGGTGTCGGACGAACAACGGAACGTAATGCGCCAACGTCTAATGGCCAGTTTGACACCTCAGCAAAGAGAAATGTACCAGCGTCAAGGCCAAGATCCACTTCCTCGCCACTTTCATACCCTTGCGACCAAGAAGTTCGCCCTGGAAAAGGCCAAGAGAGCACAACAGGCAGGCGTCCCAATGGATTTCTCGGCTTTTGCTGGTCAACAGGCTGACGCCATGAAGATGGCCGATCAAGGCCAACTCGTAGTGCCGGCCAGCAACAACAACATGGGAATGGATCCTGCCGCCGCAAACATGGCCAATATGGGCCAGATGAACATGCAAAACAACCAGCAGCAAATTCAGAACATGATGGCCCAGCGACAACAACAAACTCAGGTTCAACTTCGCAACAACCAGATGCAACAACAAGCTCAAGCCCAAGCCCAGGCTCGTAACGCTGCCCAACAGCAAGCACAACAGCAAATGCTCAGAGGTCAGCCTGGCGGCCTCAACGCCACTCAAGCGCCGCAACAAAGTCCTGCTATGTCCATGCTCAACCGTCCCATGGCCCCCCCTGGGCAGCCTTCTCAAACACCTCCTCAATCCCGTCCCCAACCGACTCCCCAGCCAAACCAGCAGATGAATCCCCAGATGATGGCCCAATTCAGTCAACAGATTGCGAACAACCCCAATTTGTTCCCCGCTCCCAAACCTGATCTACAACTTCCGCCAGGACTAGTTATCCCACCGCATGTCAGAGCCAAGATTGAAGGCTTGCCGGCCGAACAACAACGTGATATCCTCAACAAGCTACGTCTCCAACAACAGCAGCAACAAGCCCACCAAGCGCAACAAATGATGATGAACGGCTTAACACCCGGGGGTCCCATGGCTCAGCAGGGAATGGCGAACAGCGCCATGGGTATGCCTCCGCAACCCCCGCTCAATCCTCAACAACAAATGGCCATGGGAATGGGTGGCGCTCCCAATAACCAACAGCTGCAGCAAAGGTTGCTCATGCAGCGACAGCGTGAATGGGACGCAAGACCGTTCCCTCCGAAGGTGCTGAACGAAATCTGTTCGGTGCCACCGACCGTCAAGACCTGGGGTCAGTTGAAAGAGTTCGTGCAACACAATCAACAAAATCTGCCCCCGGATATTCAGACCAAGGTAAATCGGCTACAGGCTATTGTAGTTCAAAGGCAGCAGCAGGCTGCGGCCAACGGAGCGAACGGACAACCTGGCAATCAGATGCCCGGTCAACCCCTGGCAGGTCCCGGCCAAGCAATGACTGGCAACCAAGCTCCTCCTGCTCAAATGGTGCCTCAGCCGTCCCAGATGGGTCTGAACCCGGGAGTGCCGAACATGAACGCTCTTCCGCAAACCCTTTCCAACATGAGCAACCTGCCGATCCCTCAAGTCACTGAGCAAGACATCCAGACATTCAAAGCAAAGTTTCCCACAGCTCAGACCTGGTCGCAAGAACAAGTTCGACAGACTATCATCAAGATCAAGCACTCGCAAATGGCCAAGACCCCCAATGCTCAACAGGCCATGAACGCAATGCGACAAGCACAGATGCAGCAACAGTCAGCCACACCAGGCATACCGCCACAGAACCCTATGGCTCCTACGGTGCCTCAGATGGGCGCTCAATCCACACCCATGCAAAATCAGCGATCCCAACAGCAATTTGCGAACATGCAACAGCAGATAAATCAAAAAGCACATAAGCGCCCGGGTGCCAGTGACGATGTTGTCGAAATCCCCAACCCGAATCAGTCGCCTCAAAGGCCTACAGCACCCAACGGACAGCCGCCCAGGGGCCAAAAGCCGGCCATACAACTCGACCCCGAGCAGCTCAAGAACATGCATCCTGACAAGATCAAGAACATGCCTGCGGAGCAGCGCGCTGCCATGCAACAGTCATTCATCCAGTTGCAACAGAAGATACAGATGGAAGCCTTGAAGAGAGCTCAATCCTCGACGAACCAGCCTCAAAAGGCGCAGGATGGACAACAGCAAGGTCAACAAGCACAACAAGCTCCGCCAGTGTCGCAGTCTCAGCAGCAACCTCAGCCACAGGCGACCCAGCAGGCTGCGCAGGCACAACAAGTTAAGGTTCAGCAACAAAGAGCTAGACTAGCAGCTTTCATACAAGAGACAGAGGCAACTTACCGCAAGGGTCCACCTCAGGATGTTACCGAGGGTAGCTTGAACGAGTCTGTTCAGAAGCTTCAAGGTTGTCGAGACATGATCGTCAAACTCGACAAGATGCTTCCTACTGCTATGACATTTGTCAACGACAGAATCGTGCGCAGTATCTGCCTTGAGAGAGCAAAACTTCTTGGCGAAATGAGCATGGATGGTAACATTAACCACTATATCTCACTAACAGTACAGCAAATCGGTGAAGCGGAATCGAGAATACGTGCGTTCATTATGCAATGTCTGCAGCACATACAGAAGATGAAGGCGACTTCTTCGCCAGAGCATGCACAGCAAGCCGTGGACCAGCAAACGAAGCCACCGGCTGCGCCACTGGCAGCTACAGCAGCGATGGCCCGAACAGGTTCGAAGAGTGGTGATAGGTCTAAACCTCCTCCAGCGCCTACCTCGGCCGTCCCTCCTCCATTCCCTGTCAGTCATCAATCCCCTCACGGTGTTCCCGTCTATGACGGTAGTATTCAAGGACTTACACCGGACAAGCTCCAACTTCCTGCAAACAAGCGCAGAAAGACCGGCCAGCCCGGCAGTTCTGCTTCTACCCCCGCGAATGCAGGTACGACCCCTGGCAGTATTCCAAGCCCGAACATCAAGATGCAAAGTCCGGATGAGAAGAGGCGTCAGGTGCAACCCAAGGTTGAGCCACCGAGAGGACCGGAAAAGAAGTTCAAGTGCGCCGACGAGTACTGTGAATTCCACATTACTGGTTTCGAGAAGGAGGAAGAGCTTCAAGCGCATACCGCAGAAGTACACAAGCAGATCGAAAACCCTCTCAACTTCTTCCTTGAGAATGCGGCTGCCGCCTTTGAAGTCGACATCGAAGGCAACGAGAAGGCACTGAAGAGCGACAACAAGTCTTTGCCTACCATGGCTAAGCCATCAGCGCTGGGACCGAGCACGATTAAGAAGGAGGCACTCAAGGTTGAGGGTCAGACTCCTGGCAAGGCCATCAAAGCAGGTACACCTTCTCCTTTCATCAAGCCTGGTACACCACCAACCATGGCTCGTACGCCGCAAGGTTTGAAGCGATCTGCTCAAGATCCTGAGCTAGCTTCTACCTCACCCAAGAAGAAGACTATGCTTGACACTATGATGGAGAAGGGCGGTATGACGATGCCAGTCACTCAAGAGAATAACCGCAAGCAGTCTTCAACATCTCCTGTCGTTTGGAACAGCAACGATGCTGATGACAGCTTCATGAGATCGGTGCGCGAGACTCTGGACGGCCTCGATGAGGTTGGCCATTACTCAGACATGGACTGGACCATCGACCCATCACCCGACATGACACCCTCAAGCTCCAACTCCGGAACTTCGGCCGCTACCTCGAACTTCACCGACATTAGCGAGCATGACCGTGTCAAGATCATGTTCGAGAGCGACCCCTTCGGCCTTGGTTCAGGCATTCAGTTCGATCTGGGTGACGATCTCGGCATGGGTATCATGGGTATCCAGTCTACATTTGACAACAAGAAGGAAGGTCAGGATAAGGGTACACCGCCACCTGACGTCAGTTGGGACGCGATGTTTGGACCCAACGCTGGTTTGGACAAGGACGACACAAACTGGGACAAAGACCCCATGGGTAACAGCATCTTCGAAGGCGTTACCTTCTTCGACATTTAGGACATTGCGAATGGGGAGGAGTTTCATCGAGGAGGACACAACATTGATGCATTTTCAAGCGCGGAGTTTTTTGATATTCTACCCAAGGCTGCTCTAGGCAAAGGAGGAAACTGCCAGGCAGGGGTCATCTGTCATTTATTGCTTTCACGTCTTCACATTGAACTGCTTTCAGCTTTTTTTGCCGCGAGGCCTTTTGTTGCTTGTTACATAGTTTCAACCATGGCGTTTCTGATATGACACTCACTTCATTTTCTTGTGGCGGTGGTCAGGTATATACCCAAATGATGAGTGCTTTTCTTGCAGTATTGTCTTTGATCATCGATGACTATGAACGATCGTGAAGCGCAGGAGCATATGAACCACACTTGTAGCTCGCTCTCGGTTGACACACTTCCGTTGACGCCATCGTGCCTTCCGACAATCATCCGATAGCCTGTGTAGAGCAATAAACATCAAGTCGATTCAGGCAGACTCTCTCTGGATGACTGACCGAGCAATGTCAAAATCAGCTTGTCTTTTGACAGTCGATTTTTGTGACTAGTTGGCGTCCGCTCCAGGTGGTGCATTGGCAGGGGGCGAAACTACCAAGGGTGTCTTGAGCAAAGAGGTATCTTTACTCGAAAAGACAACCCCACGCGAAGTCAAGTGGCGGATAACAACGATAAGCACCCTGATCGGCAACAGCGGGGGAACGATAGGCCAGCGGTTTCTGCAAACAAAGAGGAAAGCGATGGCCGAGCCTGAGACCCAAAAGGCGAGCCACGACCGACCACTGTAGGCATATCTAAAGGTAGGCGCGACCTTGCTCGTAACTCCCCACGTTCCTTGATTTCCATCTCTTGCTCTTCAATTCTTCACGGACAACCCTCATACAGACGACACTTCTATACCTCACTACAAACACACTCGACCGCAACCATGGCACCCACTGCCGTCTCTAACCCCGAGCCCCCAACCACCATGGCAATCAAACCAACCAAGCCCACCAACCCCGGTCTCGAAGTCGAGAAGAAAGAAAAGACCCCCTTGGAAGCAATCAGCCAAGGCGTCTGCCTCCCCGGCATCCCAAAATACATCTCCTTCGACGCCCACCGCCGCGACATGCTCCAACACATGGCCGGCGCCTTCCGCGTCTTCGCCCGCAAAGGCTACACCGAAGGCATGAGCGGCCACATCTCCGTCCGCGACCCCGAAAACCCGCACACCTTCTGGACAAACCCTCTGGGCAAACATTTCGGCCTGCTCAAAGCTTCGGATATGATTCTGGTGGATTATGAAGGCGTGGCTGTAGGTGGGAATATGTCGAGACCGGCTAATGCGGCGGGGTTTTTGATCCACAGTGCGGTGCATAAGGCTAGGCCTGATGTTATTGCTGCGTGTCATACGCATTCGCCGTATGGAAAGGCGTGGAGTACGTTTGCTAGGCCGTTGGAGATGTTGAATCAGGATGTGTGTTATTTCTACGGCGAGGCTCAGGCTGTGTACAAGGAGTTCGGCGGTATTGTGTTCAATGAGGAGGAAGGACTCAAGCTTGCCAATGCTTTGGGACCCAAGGGCAAAGGTATGATTTTGAGAAATCATGGTTTGTTGACTGTGGGTACTACGGTTGACGAGGCTGCGTATCTTTATACGTTGATGGAGAGGAGTTGCGAGGTGCAGTTGTTGGCCGAGGCGGCGTGTGCGAGTGGTATTCAGAAGGTCATTGTGCCTGATGAGTCTGCTGCTTACACGTACAAGATGGCCAGCGACCCTGACGCTCTTTATGAAGAGTTTCAGCCTGATCTCGAGTACGAGGATGCCATGACCAATGGCGACTTCAGAAATTGATAGCATTACAGTGGCGTTCTTACTTGATAGGTATGTAGTCTTTCTTACGATTCATGGTTCTTTATTACATCCAGTCTCCCACTAGATCCGACTATGTTTGTCACAAGTTTCGTGTCTCGTCGATGCAGCTTCTCATCTTTCATATTCACATCACAACAGCACACTCAGTGGGCGATTCAGACAAGATTGGAAAGGGCAGTGCGTATTGTAGAGTGTTGACATAGCAAGAGCAAGCTGGACATTCGCTATCCTTGCGAAATTCTTGTATCCGCACCCGTACTATATCTGTAGCGTGCTATCTCTACTCTGAGCATCCTGACTCAGCTGACTGTGCTCTCCGAATCTAGCCAATACCCGTCCAAGCGTTCTGTGCGTACGAACAGTTAAGCCCTCATTAGAAACGACGTCTCTTCGACTTTGAAGCGAGGGCCTCGAGCTTACGCTTGCGCTCCAGCTTCTGACGGATGAGTGCCTTTTTCTCTGGAGTCGAAACAGGGGTAGGCTCCATCTGCACTCCTTCTGAGAGCTCCTCATCGACGGTATCGATACAGCCATCCTCATCCTCGATTTCTCTCTTTCTCTTTTCCGGCTTCTTGGCTTGCGAAATGAGTGCCTTGAGTTGACGCTGGCGGGCCCACTTCTTCTGGGTCTTGAAGAGCAACTTGAACGGGCTTCCCGGCGAGAGAGTCTGAGTTTTGACTAAACGGATGGACGAGTGTGCTTCCTTGTTGATGCCGGCATCTGTCTTCTTCTGAGCAGGAGTCGTGATCTCGTTGTCGACGACGGGAGTGGTCTGCTCCTTGACGGGACCAAGCTGGCAGAGAACCATGTCGCGGATGAGTTCTGCTTGTCCAGTGGAATCCAAACTCGGAAGGCTGACATCGAGGACCTTCCAGGCGACCAAGAATGCGCGCAGCAATCTGTACTCGAGAAGGACTTTGCCTTGACGAAGGACTTGTGCCATGTCGTAGATTTCGTAGGCGGCGAATTCGGTCTTTCTGAGGTCGCGCCAGAGAATCTGCGCATGTTAGTATGTGTTCGGGAGGCAGTCTTTATCTTGGAATCCTTACCTTGATCTCTGAGACGGCTTGAGTAGCATGCTCCTGGGTGAATTCTTCGTTGATGGTAATCAGTCTGAGAAGAGCGGCATCAGAGATTGTGGTAGTGGAAGCAGGATATTTATTGTCCTGATCCTCAATCGGATCGTTGACATTAGGTTCTGGCATGGTCGATGACTGAGTTGTGTCAGCGAATTGGTCGATGTTTGTTGAAAAGGTGACAGTTGTCGAACTCACAATGCGCCGATGAAAATAGAAAGAGCGAATCTGTCGTACGAAGCAGGAAGGTGCCAGAAAACAAACTCAGAATCAGAACAAACGAGGAAGGAACTGTTTGACAGATTCGGAAGTCGAGGGTGACTCTGGAAACGCGCTTTCCTCCTCGTGCACCGAAATCCAATTTGGTGCAGGATATTGATCTCTCAATAGTCCACTTCAGATTGAGGAGTGAGGTTTTCTACAAGGTCTTTCAACGTACTTGCCCCTGAGTTATCAGCGATCAGCATCTCCATCGCACCCCCAAACCGTCCGGTCTCTGAAGCACGAGATGTGACCGAGAGTTCGGACAAGGCAAAGCAGGAGTAGCAAGCTATCCTTAAGCAAGCTCATACGCAGCATGGAAAGAGGCTATCGGGCAAGAACATGCTCAGCCCCAATACTACTGCCATCGAGGGTGTTAAGAATCATCTTCTAGACAACTTCCTGTTAGACACCTTCTCGATTGCACCATGTATTGTGCCTTGCAAAGAATTGAATCTCTTTCCACTGATATGAGGAAACGGATCAGAAGCTAGGGCTCGATCAAGCATGACCTATTCATCTCATAAAACAAGCACAGCACGATATCAAGCAATCTAGATGCAAAACGGTATTCACATATCACGCTGCCTTTAGTGAGAGCATCAAATCCAGTTTCTCGGACGACCATCCGATTGACGGATATCATTTTGCGAAAACATGTTACATTTTGATGGGTAGATTAAGTGTATACTCAGTCTACAGAGGAGAGCGTCAAGCCAAAGGCAGGTCGTACAACCTCCCGCTGGACCAAGCGGAAGATATTGTTGTGTTCGCCTCTCTTGTAGCAAAGCACAACAAAGAGGTCTCTTTGTGCCCATTCATATTTCAGACATGTCACTGTTCTCTTCATCCTGACGCTGCTTCCAACAATGTTGACGAGGACATACGACATATTCGTCGCAGATGGTGGTTTATCCTGCATCCTACCTTCTGTATAGTTTCTAGTCAAACCAAGGCAAAATCGTTCTATCACTTCGGCTCCCACAACGTGTGATATTACACCGGCCTTGAGACGCACAGCTCACGAGTATTACTCAGACTCTCGAAAAGCAACTTCGATATTCAGACTTGCTTGCTCTGCAGAACAACGAGGTCTCATTCTTCTGCAGAGAGCATGGTGGCCGTTGAGACGTGGCAGACGCGTGTTGATGTCATGTAAAAAGGACTGCAATCAAATCCAGAAAACAAGCTTGGGGACTCTGTTTGACGGGTGATGCAAAAGTGCATCCTGTCCAGCGCAAGGCGCACAGAGAATAGATGGGTCTAATCATGGAGAGAAGCGACCAATCCTGGTAAGCTGATGAGAGTGTTCCTCGCTGGAGACGTTGATTGGTTGCTTTGTGGCCCCAGAGGCACAAAGGTGTGCTATCGTGATAGTTGGACCCTGGAATATCAGCATTTCGAGAGCAGAGAAAGTGTTGAGCAGTCAGCTAAAGTACGAGTGTCTTCATGTGAAAATCGAGCAAGGAACAGATGGAAGAAGCGAGCTGTATCCGAGAGTCGTGTACTTGTATCAATATTACTTGCTGGAGACGATTTGATGAGATGCAACTGTCTGATGATGTCCAAGGATAGTCGACGTCAGATACATAGAAGACCCCATGGTTGAATGGAAGATGTTCGGTCTATTGAACAACCCCAGTCTGCCAGCATTGGACTCAGGTATGGGGAAGCGCTGATAAACCGTCCTGCATGGTGGTTCAGAGGATTGTCAACGGTAGATGTACGTAGCTGGATGTACGATAAGAGTGGCACTTGAGGGGTTGCTTCTTGTTGAAAGGATCAATGGCCAATACGGAACCCTTCTGTCCCACATGAAGATATCCCGCAATGATTGTTGGGCAGGTTGCATGATCAGTCATTGGTGTCTTGTGCGTTGAATTCTTGTTGCATGACACAAGATCTTGGGATGGAACGTGGATAGCAGCGGCGGGTGGAACAAGGCAGCTTGATAGCAACGGCGGTCATTGGCTCGCAACCTCTACCGCTTTGGGAAGAAACTTAGTTTCTTGGGTCTCGGGAGTAACCGCGAGGACCCTCGATATCCGGGAACAGGTGGATCAAGGAACACAAGGCTGAATCGAATGCCAGAACAATGATGAGGGAAAGACGACACAGTAATCAGCGCGCACCTACACCAGACGCGCAAGAGGGGTAGGTCAAGAGACAAACGTCAAGCGCGTGCGAATGTGGTCATCAACGGGCATCTGCTGGGAAAGAAAGCATGAGGTGACACGCCTTTTGCTCAACTGACGCTAGCCTCCGCACGAGATGCAATGCTTGGCAGGTCAGCACCACAAAATTTAACCAGATCTCAAACACAGAGTTGACAATTAAGATTGAGGCTTGACGCGGAGACAAGGCAGACAAGGTGGGAATCGAGAGAAGGGAACAGAAGTTCAACCCCTGATCGGCTGGGATGTCAAGTCGAGAAAGAAGCAAGTAGAGATGAGCAGCGTCTGGAGGCTTCTACTCGAGTTGTCTTTACGTGTTTGCAACGATGGACCTCGGGATTAGCGCCGGGCTTCGGGCACAGGCTTCTGGAAGTGGTGAATAGATCGGCAAGGAAGGCCGGATGTTTCGCGTGCCATCCATAAAGTCAAAAGTCCTGGTGGCAAAATTGGCCAGCTGGCGGTGGAATGTGACTTTTCAAGGGTCCTGTGTGGGAATTGAATCAATTGTTGCTGCTGTTGTGAGGACGAGACAATGGTCGGAATAGCGAAGGAATCATTCAGTTGAGCAAGCAGGTTCATGCAGGTACAGCAGGGGTTGTGTTCATGTACAGCTATCCCACGGGAGTGGCAAGGTGATGCAATCCAGCGTATGAATTGGTTGGGGGACAGCCCAACAGTCGACGATGGACGGTGAATTCTGGCCAGAGGCGCGTCTGAATCCCCCACATTATTCGCCTCGTCTATCAGGCCATGGCACATTTGACCCGAGCTCGCGCTGGTTCAAAAACTTGAGCTGGCCAGCCACTGTTTCCTTTCCCTCCCTCAGCGCCCTCCACTTTCACCCATCTAACCCCTCGACACTCGTTTGTTCGAAGGAGGCTCTCGCATTCTCTGCACTTGCTGCTATCGCTCTCGTGCAACATGCCTTCTCACCAGCCCGCCGCCGGCATGATGGCTGTCGACCCTGCCTATGTGTCGCAGCCTTCGCCCATGGCCTCCAAGGACGAGCCTAACCGCAACAAGTCCTACGACCCCAAGAAGTGAGTGCAGACTGCATCTCCACTGCAATTGACTCGATACTAACCATCTGCAGGCCTCACATCACCGACACTCCCTTGACCAAGGCCAATTGGTACAAGCACGTCAACTGGCTCAATGTCTTCCTCATTGGTGGCATTCCCCTCATGGGTCTGATCCAGGCATGGTGGACTCCCCTCCGTCTTTACACCGCCATCTGGGCCATTGCCTACTACTTCGCAACCGGCCTCGGCATCACTGCTGGCTACCACCGTCTGTGGGCCCACACCTCGTACCAGGCTACTCTTCCCCTCAAGATCTTCCTCGCCGCTGTTGGTGGCGGTGCCGTCGAGGGCTCCATCAGATGGTGGGCCCGTGACCACCGCGCTCACCACCGCTACACCGACACCGAGAAGGACCCTTACTCAGTCCGCAAGGGTCTTCTCTACTCTCATCTCGGTTGGATGATCATGAAGCAGAACCCCAAGAGAATTGGCCGTACCGACATCTCCGACCTCAACGACGACCCCGTTGTCGTCTGGCAGCACAAGAACTACCTCAAGGTCGTTTTCGGCATGGGTTTGATCTTCCCCACCCTCGTTGCCGGTCTCGGCTGGGGTGACTGGCTCGGTGGTTTCATCTACGCTGGTATCCTCCGTATCTTCTTCGTCCAGCAGGCCACCTTCTGTGTCAACTCCCTTGCCCACTGGCTCGGTGACCAGCCTTTCGATGACCGCAACTCTCCTCGTGATCACGTCATCACCGCCATCGTCACTCTCGGTGAGGGCTACCACAACTTCCACCACGAGTTCCCCTCCGATTACCGTAACGCCATCGAGTGGCACCAGTACGACCCTACCAAGTGGTCCATCTGGACCTGGAAGCAGCTCGGCCTCGCCTACGACCTCAAGCAGTTCCGTTCCAACGAGATCGAGAAGGGTCGCGTTCAGCAGCTCCAGAAGAAGATTGACCGCAAGCGTGCTGAGCTCGATTGGGGAACTCCTCTTGAGTCTCTCCCAGTTATGGAGTGGGACGACTACGTTGAGCAGTGCAAGAACGGTCGCCAGCTCATCTCTGTTGCTGGCATTGTTCACGACCTTGGCAACTTCGTGCAAGACCACCCCGGTGGTAAGGCTATGATCCGCTCTGGTATCGGCAAGGATGCTACCGCCATGTTCAACGGCGGTGTCTACTTCCACTCCAACGCTGCCCACAACTTGCTCTCCACCATGAGAGTCGGTGTCATCCGTGGTGGTATGGAGGTCGAGATCTGGAAGAAGGCCCAGCAGGAGAACAAGGATGCCTTCATCGCTAAGGACTCGAACGGCCAACGTGTCGTTCGTGCTGGTCTGCAACCCACAAAGGTCTTCGAACCTTCTGCCACCGCTGGCGCCGCATGAAGAGATACCCCGTCGAGGCTCACTGCCAAAGACAACCTTGTTTAGTCGTTTTTTCTTTCCTTCTCGCCTTTCAGCGATCATCATTGTATATTGGTAGCAATTGCGTCTCACCCTCCCCTCGTCTCACAAAGGCGATTTGGCTTCTGGTTTGGGGTCATCACGATCGCTCTAGACGCGTCTTGTTGCACACTTAGATATGACTCTAACTAGCGAACACCTACAACACCCTATCATGGGTTGTCCGTCCAAGACGGACGAATAATGTCATTTATGCCTCAATTTACTCCATCTTGCCTTTCCATCTTATGATCCAATCTCCCAACCAATCCTGCGTGCAGAGTATTCTGCATCTCATCCTGCAGCCTCTCAAAGGCCAGCCTGTACAATCTGAGAAACTACCTGCATCTTGATGGCTATCTCAACGCACGATGAGGCTCACGAGAGCACCGACCTCGATCTCAAGCAAGGCTTGATGACGAAAGCAGTATCGACGACCATCATGAGGTCCTCGACACAACAGTTCTGTCCACTTGCTTCCCCTGCCTTGCGTGACTCGTCACAACACATTCTGCTTGCTGTCAAACAGCAAACACGTCGAAATGACAGATGCTGACCACGTGCCTGGCTGCCTGATCTTGCAACACCACACCAACAGATCTTCCCCAGCGCCATCTCCACAACCTTATCGAGTGAGCTTGTTGTGCTATTTTCCCTTTTTCTTCCTTTTTTCCTCTTTTTACTTCTTTTTGCGTTGCGTGCACTTTTCCTCCAAACCACCAATTTTCTTCTTTTCTCGCACAACACTCTTCTCATGCTGTTTTCGATATTTCCAGCGTACGGAAGAATTAGGAATCCCCATTCAACATGCAATTTCCAACTTTCTCACCGCCAAAAAGAAAAGTCCACGTGAGTGGGTGTCTTTAATTTCATCTTGCTGGTCGAAACACCGGTGTGGAGGTTCTGGTGTTTAGCCTCGGTACCACTTTTTTTTTTTTGGCTGCGATGGCTTTGGGACGACAACTCATTGTTGTCAACTGTTCTTGAGCAGAACCTTTTCTGCTTGTGAAGTTATCTTGTCTGTGCCTGGTCTTCTTGTTGAAGGGTGATGAGGAGCGATAGGTCGTCTTGTGGATTGATGATTGTTAATGCAACTCTGCCTTATCACTCCTCGAGTTTCTTTCAAACCATTGATGGGTTCTCGATGAGTGGTTGATAGTTGCTCCGGTCAGACTTTAGATCAAATTCCTATGCTCGGTCATTCCTGCTACTCTGCTGTTGATTCGGTCGCTCCTTCTCTATGCGTGAGAATCTACAGCATGTTGCAATTTCATGCCTGCAACTTACCGGGTCAGTAACATAAGCGCAAATCAGAAATTAACGATCGTCGGACAACTTCTACAGCATTTTGGTGTGATGGGCAGCACGCAGATACAACTAAACTGCAAAGATATGACTCAGTTTGTTCATGGAGAGGCTTTGGGTCAGAAGCTCTCACTGGACATCCCAACCAAAGCAATGAAAGATCTTGCATTTCTATGGGTTCAAATCATGGCAATCGTGCCGCGAAGAGCAAGTGACTGAGTACATTGAAGCGAACCTCAACACCCCAGCATAACAGCAATCTTGTGGCATCTCAGTTAGACGGAGAAGATCTATCGGCGCCTGTCAAGATGCAAAGATTTATCCAACAGTTTGTGTATCCACTAAGATAACCTATACTACAGGTTCTCAATGGACATCTCGACGAAAGCAAAAAGTATGCTGCACTTCGACAGGGACGCAGCAAGGTATCGGTGCCATTGAGAGCAAGTAATTGGATCAACTATGAGGACAAAAAGAAGAGACAAGTTCAGCTTGGACAACTCCAGTGCGACTTGTCGAGAGTCACTCTCGGGGGTTCGCTTTTCCTAGGCTTTCGAGCTCTCTGGCCTTCCTATAAAAGACCCTCCTTTCTACCATCACCACATTTCTAAGCTCTCATAGTTTCTTCCATCCATCTCGCGCCACATTCAAAATGGGTTTCTCTGTATCTTGTCTCCAACACCTTTGATCTTTGATGCTCTCGATCTTCGGTGTTCTTGGATGTCTCTTCCCATCAACCCATCCTGTAAGATTTTATACTTGGTCAGCGTATCAGGTGTCGAGACTCATCTTCAAAAGTCATCAGACGGGGCACCATCTCACTGTGAGACTCCTCCGGACTTTCCTGTTATCTCAATATGCGCGATATCAGACACGAGTCCTGCACAATGAACAATGTTGACAGATATTCTTTTCAAGCACTTCTCACAACAATCTAATATATATCAATTTCCACATATATTCATCAGATATAACCACAAAGACAATCCAGACCACCAAAAGTTTTCCATCCCCAAGCATGTTCCATGCTGTTTCTACGGAGACAATAAGTGCGAAAAAGAATAATGAAACCCGTCGGGCGAGAGAGTTGAACGCTGGTTACGAGGTTGGCGAGCAAAACTCATACAAGTCCTCCAACCCTCGGACCGAATCACACGAAGCCTTTTTATTCATACATGCAGTTGTTGAGGGTAGGGTGGTATATATACGCTGAAGTTCTCACGTAAAAGTCTGGTATGGTCGGCTTCTGCATCGCACAAGTCTTCTTTACAGCCGCTCGCCTTCTTCACAAGTAGATCAGTCTCAGCTACGCCAACTACAGTCATGAAACTGAGGAGTTAAGAGAGCCATTTGGACTTTGCGTCTCAGACTCTATCGAAGACTTAAGCTGTATGTCCGTGGACGCCAGATTCGTCAGAGACGAGGACGCCATACGCACTGTTAAGAGAGGCATCGACAGACGCTAGGGGGAACTATCATAGATACTTTGAATGACATACCCGAGATTCACAGAGAGGTGACCAAGGTCTTCGGAGAGTCGGTCAGTGATCTCACGATCGAGAACGAATGGCCCAGTACAGTATCTACAACGATTACTGGTGTACCGCCGGCAGCTTAAAGAAGACCTGCCATCCTAAGTTCAACTTCACCGAAGCTATTTCTGATAGCCTCACTGTTTTTGAGGAAATCTTTGACATGAGAGAGCCAAATGAGAGTGATAAGTACAGGACAAGAGGAAGTGACAAGAGCACCCATCCCGGCTAATTATTGAAGGCGGGAAGGTTTCTTTTTGGAAGTGAGTTGCGCAAAGCGTGTTAAGGGTTAAGAGAATAATGGTCTCGGTGCGATCTTCTATGCCTTTGTGGTTTCTTCCGACAGGTGGCTAGATGGACTTTTCTAGCAGTGAACGGAGTCAGAGATGAGTCTAAGAGAATGCACGAATGTTGTTAGGATTCGGCGGAGTGTTAGTGAGGAACGACATACTTCTGAACTCTTCTAATCTACTCTTCGACATGGCTTGATAGCTGAATCTTTAGAAGCATATGATCTGGAGGTTACAGCATCATGCAAAAAAGAATCATGTATTCATGATCTTCAATGCCAAAATCCTTACTTTCAGAATGCACATCTATCCCACATGAAAGAACAAAAAGAAGAATAAGCACCATGGGCAGGGATCGAACCTGCGACCTCCTGGTTCATCGGGACCACGCTTGTAATGAAAGAATGCGCACGTGCCCGAACGTAACCAGATATGCTACCACTACACCACCACGGCTTTGTTATAAAGAGGCAAGAATATTATAGAATATAAAGGTTGGTGGGCGTAAAGAATGACGCGGGTGTTTGTATGGAAGTTGAGTTTGATTGAGGGAGTTTTGAGTAGGCGGATGACCCGGCGTCTGGAGACCAATGTCTAAGGCAACGTGTGATGGAACATGCCTTCCTCATGTTACTTGCCATCTTTGCCTTGCTCCTTCTCGACATCCTCGATAATCTCCCTTAGGCTTTTAGCACTCTGCTGCACCTCCTTCTTCTCACCATCGTTGAGCTTCATGGGAATTTGTCTGACAATACCCTTTCTGCCTAAAACCACCGGCATGGAGATACAGACATCCATGTCTTTCTGGTAGTGACTGATGGGTCTGATGTTGCATTGGTCGAAGAGGATAGACTTGCAGATTGAGGCTGCTACACCACCGATGCCGAAAGCTGTGGCTCCCTTGGACTCCATGATGGCAGCAGCCTTCTTCTTGGTGTCTTCTGCGATAGCTTCTTTGTCGATAGAGGTGTCCGGGAGAGCTAGCTCGAGAGGTACGCCGCCGACTGAGGCATGAGACCATGCAACCTGAACCTTGATTAGCAAGTGGAATGGACATATTTATGAACTTGGACTCACCATCTGCGAGTCACCGTGCTCGCCCAGCACATAGGCGTCAATAGAGCTAGCTGCAACACCACATTTCTCTGCGAGAATACCACGGAGACGTGCGCTGTCGAGGAAAGTACCACTGCCAAAGACTTGGTTCTTGGGAAGTCCAGAGAACTTCTGTGCAAAGTAGGTCAAGATATCCACAGGATTTGAGACCAACAGAATGATGGTGTCGTCGCGGAAAGGCTTCATGTCCTCAATCGCTGAACCCAGGATCTTGAGGTTGCGACCGACGAGGTCGGTACGGCTCTCACCTGTGACAAAGTCAGTATACAGCTCAATGGCCACAGGATCCTATCGATAACTTACCCTTCTTCTGTGCTGCTCCTGCAGTGATGACGACGATATCACATTGTCCGGCCTCCTTGTGTGTACCAGCGCGTACCTGGGTGGAAGTGTTGCCGTGGAAAGTGGCATCAGAAAGATCCTGTACCTGCGCATCACGAACATCTTCCTTGGGATCGACAAGTAGGATCTCTCCCGCGACAGGGTTCAGGATCAGCGAGTAGGCGATTGTGGAACCGACTTCTCCAGATCCTAGAATGGCGATCCTCGAAGTCATTGACTTTTGAGACATTCTTCTGATCGACTGTGTGGTAACTGAAAGCTTGGGTCTGACGAGGGACTTCTGTTGAGTGCTTGAGAAACTGCTGCTTGAGGAGATGAAGTGGTGAGTGGAAGTTACAAAGGTTGCTCTAGCGACGTGAGAAGTTCTCAGAGAAGATGTCAAAGTGGGGCGAAGGAGTCGACCGGATCGAGAAGCCAACATTTCAATTGTCGTGTTCAACGAAGCTCAGGGAAGGTGCTCTCCATAACGCGTCGAGAATGTTGGTGGAACTTCGAAATGACGTCAAGAGTAGTCATCAAGGTGTTCCATACGGCGCTTGTTCTATACAGATTCTCAACTCTGCATGACTTCTCGACCTCAAACACAAGTATTGTGCTACAACGTAGTCCTTTTGACAGAGAGCGTTCGAAAATATCAGTGGATGGACGTTTTCATGTTGTGAATAGGTAAATGAGATTCGTGCTCTGCATGACCCCGGGATATCATCTCTTCGGGTGGGGTCAGTCCGTAGACAAGCAAATATTATATGATAGCTTTTAGACAAAGGAAATGCATCAAGTATAGACTCATTTCGGCACACCGATGCTGTTCCAGACTCCGCCCATTGAACCCGTCTCCTCGTCGCGACGAGTGCTACGAATGGCATAAGAAGTCTCAACTCGAACACCGTCTTCCACATCATACGGGTACTGTTGACTGTGGTTGCTTCTTGTAGGGACCATCTTTTCTGTTGAGGCATTACTTTCGATGTCGAAAGTGTCCGAGACAGGAGTTCGGCCTTCAAGCTCATACTCACCAACGGTGGCTGACTTGTCGATCTCACTACTGAGCTTCGTGCCCTTGTATGACTTGTTGGGGGCCGAGTGTAAGTTGTGCCCAGATCTGCCATATCCCGATCCCCTGCCGGAAGCGTTCGGGTCGTATGCACCTGGCAACCAGAATGCTCTGCTGAAGATCGGGCGTAGGATGGGTACGTTGATGGTGAAGATACCGATGAAGGTCTCGCGGACTCCCCAACCGTTGATGTTGGCGGCAGACGGTGCAGCGTCAAGAGACAGGACAACGCGGATGATGGCGGCGACAATGACGAACAATCCCGACGACAAAACGACTCCGATAGTGATCTTCTTCTTCAAGGGCATCTTCAGCTGCCAAAGCATGGGGATCGGGACCATAAGAATAGCGGCGTCGGTCAGGATGTTGGGGATGGCGACAGCAAGGAAGTTTTGCGGTCTGAAAGCACACTTCCATGGAGGCGCAGGTGTGACCTGCCAGTTCATGTGGGTACTGCTATATCGTCAGACATGTTACTCGGCTCTGAATATAAGGAGCACTTACGGGAAGCAGCCGAAGATGAGCACAAACCAGACAATGACATAGCTGACCCCAGTGAACCAGAAGAGATACTTGATCATCTTGTTGTGGAAAGAGCCAAGTGTCAGACGCTTGTAGAAGAATAGCATGGTGAACTTCATGCACCAAATCAATGCAGGGTAACTACACCAAGCAGCGTATTCGAGTTTGGAGCCATATGTTACGCGGTCGATGTCCGCTTGCGTTGCGGTTTGAAGCCATTTCTCACTGACTTCTGAGCTTTCGCCAGTGTAGTGTACCAGATGGACAAGAACAGCATCGGAAGTGTTGAAGATCAAGACACCGAAGCAGAACAAGTCATCCCAGTAAAGGCCTTTGATGCCGACGGTGCGCAGACGGACTGCATAACGGCCCAAGATGATGAATGTAGCAATTGCATACAGAGCCTAGAGCACTATTAGTCCTGCATGTACATTCGAGCGTCATCTGGAGATGCTCACCCAGACTTCCTTCAAGATGGCATCGAGAGCCATGATGGTCTACCCCAAGCAGGGCACAATGTAGGGCTTCGATAGGTGTGGTATTGAGTTCGATGGACACCAAGAGACCAGTACTACCCCAGAAATATGTAGAGAGAAGTGTAGCGAGAAAGAGGATGAATCTAAGATGCAAGGGTAAAGATAGCGATGGGAGAGGGCTTGAGCCGTAGTTAAAGTTAAAAGTATGACGCTGACCAACGGTGTGTGTGGTAGTCTCAGATGTGCAGTTAAGCACTAACATTAGCCGCAAGTCAATAGGTCGACGGTGGAGTTGACTTTAGACTTGAAACGGTTGCATATTGCCCGTTTAGAAAGGCGAGATCTGTCAGCTCACAGCTTCCAGAAGGAATTGTAGACGGACATCTGTCACTACTGACTCGCTGTGTGTAAAAGCGATCTCGGTGGTGCCGTGAGAGTGTAAACTCATCCACGTGGGCATGATAAAGAGATTCATGCAAGTCCTAAATGTCCAAATTCGATGGGAGCATCGCATATAGACTTCAGCCCTGCACGTGGAACAGTTGCGAACGTACAATCGTTTGCACAGATCTCAACTACCGAGAACCTGGAACTCGGCGGCCTTGATGATTTGATTGGACAAAAAGATGGTAGAATTTCCTTTCTGTGGGACGAGATCGGAACGAGGCGAGGTGGGTACACGATTAGGCGTGGGTGGAAGGCGGCATCTCTCACTCCGGTGGACGATTTGGGTTTGAAAAGGCGATCTCGAAAAAGCAGGGCGAAACCGAGGGTCCGGCCTCGACCGCTGTAGGTGAACGTTGCCGGGCAAGCGGTAAGAAGGCTCCAGACGAGTACTTGTAGATCGACACCTAATATTTCGCGCACTACTGTGTACCGACAGGCAGGTTAGACACCGTACATCATCCATTGCTCCGCAAGCCCTATACCATGACTCTCGACTTTACCGCAAAGCAGATTCGAGATGCAAGTAACGCTAGCATGTTGCGTATGTTGCTACAAAATAAAATTGAGTCGACCCGTCCACGCAAGCGATCCCTGGGTTCGCGACGGCCAAGGAGCTAGAAGCAACGGCAGAAGGTTGAATCGATTGGAGAAATGATGGGCGTATATCAAAGCCAGACTGACATCAAAAGAAAGCTGTGTAACCGAGAGCGAGATGCTGGCTGGTGTTGGTGGCAGACAGCTCGGCACTTGCACGACAGTGTCTCATGAAGCTATATCAACTATGATATGACCCAACGGTGTTCAAATCGAAGACGCTGGCACGACCAGTGAGACAAACATGGACTGGAAGTTGTGTCTATCTGCAGGGCTTTTTGCGAAAGCGTCGGTGGATCGGAGTTGCCCTAACGGAAAAAGATTGAGCGGCATTCAATAGAGGTCATGTCGTGACAAAATGAGTATGTCCATGACTCCTTAAGCTCAGGTTGGTCGATGAGGCTGTGGCAATGCGATGAGAAGCTTCCTATTCCGTGGAATGTTGACTCGAGAGAGTTGGAAAAGGAGAGCGAGACATTTCCGTCCGAGGTGATGCCTCTCTGGTCTGGTTATACAGAAGGCTTGGCGGGATTATGGCGGGGAAGTGGAGATCCAAATTCAATCGCAGAGCTGGCAGGGCTGACTTTGATGCCGTGCTCACTTGGAGCTGCATCATACTGCCGTCGTCCGTCAGCACCACTCAAATCACAATTATGGCAGCGCCTCATCGCCCCCGCGTATTCCTGGAGATCAGTATCGGAAACGAACCGGCCGGCCGCTTGACCATCGAGCTCTTTGCTGATCAGGCTCCCAAGACATGCGAAAAGTAGGGGCTCTCTCAAGTTGTCTGAGGTATGCTAGTACTGACTTGAGCAACAGCTTCCGCGCTCTCTGTGCTGGTTCACACTCAAATCTCAACTATGCGCTCAGTCCCTTCCACCGCGTGATTGATGAGTTCATGGTCCAAGGTGGAGACATCACACGCGGTGATGGTACAGGTGGTGATAGCATCTACGGTGGAGACTTCGAAGATGAGAATCTGGGTTGGCGCGAGATGGATGCTGCCGGTCTGGTGTGCATGGCCAACCGTGGAAAGGCCACCAACAGCAGTCAGTGAGCATACCCACATCTCTATGCTTGAATCCAGTAACCAATGCTTTCTAGGTTTTTCATAACTCTCGATTCATGCCCTCACCTCAACAACAAACATACCATCTTCGGACGCCTGGTCGGCGGAGAGGATACACTTGCTCGTATGTCCAAGGTCCAAGTCGACAAGGATGACAAGCCTCTGGAGCCTGTTCTAATCGCACGCTGCGGAGAACTCGAGCGCAAGAAGAAAGCACCCATTGCATCTCCCGAACCCGCCAGCAAAGACAGAGGTCGAAGGAACAGACGCGGAAGCTCTGCCTCTCCCTCTCGCTCCCCATCTCCACGACCTGAAAAGAGCCAGCGCGTACGAAGAAAGAGCGATCACATAATCGATGAGAATCTGCGCGGCAGAGTACGTGCAAGGTCTGATGATGATGACGGAGAGTCTTCTGCAAAGGAACGTGCCATCGAGTCAGATTCGCAAAGTCCGGACAGCAGACACAAGCGAAAGCGCAGCCCTAGTCCATCGCGCGGATTTGAAAGGAAGAAGGCCAGCCGCGACACCAGCAGAAGCCCAGTAGATTCGCGCCGAAGGAGAAGAAGCTTGCCGAATCAATACTACGATCACGATGCACCGAACCGGTCCAACGACGGTGATCGTAGACGGCCCAGGGATAACGACCGGTATAGACCCAACGGCGGCAACGAAAACAGACAGTATAACAGAGATGGTGGAAGAAGAGCTGGAAGAAATTCATATCGTCCACCGCCGAGGCAAGAAGAAGGACGTCTAGGAGGAGATACGTACGGCAGTGCTGGCACAGGAGCAGGCGACGAGAACGCCGTCAAGTTCAAGGGCAGAGGCCACATGAAGTTCAGAGAGCCCGATAGACGTTGGTAACGATGTGACGATATGTCAAGGGGAGATTGCTGTTGTAGGTGGCCAAGGAGCAATGCTATGTTGCATGATACGAAACGTAATGACCAGCATAATCATCTTCGTCTGCTCACAGGCGTCCTTGCTCTCTTCCTGCAGCTCTTAGACCACCATCTCCATCCACAAGTACACACCAACCTTCTCCTCCTCTGCCTCCATCTCCACCTACTGCTGCGCCAGGGAACTCCTTCTTCGCATACTCGAGGATGTCATCGTTGAAGCTTCCAGGCTGTAACCAGACAGCTCTGACACCTGCCTCCTTTGCTTCCTGCAGCAACTTCTTTGTAACAGCAGGTGGAGTGATGACGCTCAATCCTGTCTCCTTGGGTTGTTGCAAAGCTGAGGGCGAAGGCACGGTATCGTAGTCCTTGGAGGAGACCGAAACGCTAGGACGCGAAGGGTTGAGTGGTGTAACCGGCAGAGAGCGCTGAAGATACCATGCGAAGACTGCAATGCGTCAGTGGGGTTGATGCATGGTGGGGTGCTCGGGAAGCCTACCTCTGTGGCCAAACTTGGAAGGATCACTGCTGGCGCCTGCGACGGCGAAGCGAGGGCTTGCAAGGAAGTTCTTTACTGCTGAGTTCATGTCTTGGTCGGTCATTGCTACAAGTTCGAGTTACGATGGAAGAAGGAAGCTAGAAAGAAGTGATGGGATGAATGAAGCAGTTGCGGAGTTTGGAGTTAAGATTGAACCGAGGTATGGAACCTTTGGCTTTCTTGTGCCAGAGCATCCGTTGAGCACGCAAGACAACCCAGGTATTGGGGAACACCCTGTCTTCATGGCTATCGTTTGTTCCAAGACTCGTCCTCTCTACAGACGCGAAGTCTGGGGAGAATTCGAGTGGATGGAAGTGATAAGATCTTGCTGCGATCTGCTACAGCCTTGTCTTGCACGTTTCACAAGCTTATGGTCGAAACTCCTCCCATGTCGAATTTGCAATTTAATGTTTTGAAGAACAACAAGCACTGTGGTCTGTCTTTTCACAAGGAGTAACAGTGACAGGATTTCTCAGGTCTATGTAGTTTGAGGAAACTGATCAAGAAAAGGCCTTTCGATACAGGGTCGTCGCTCTCACAGATGACAGAGACGACAGCAGGCCTAAAGAAAGGTAGGTAGGTAAATGGCAATCGTAGTGGCCTAATCGGGCAGTGTGTTGATAAGAGTCCATGACAACGGGCCTAAAGCCCCTGGGCCGAGCGCAGATTTGACAAACACATCAAACCCTCCTTTCCTTTGGCGGGGGTCCTGGGAGACGCAGACATCTTCACGTATATCCCTCTATCGCAAAACTCAATCCTATCGCAGACTGAATCCGTCCAACCTCGAGAAAGAATACCAGCCGACAAACATAACTGCAATGGTGAGTTGATCTGTTTACTGCGGGCCCAGACCCTGCATGGAGACCCGAAAGTCAAGATGCGGCCAACCAAAACTCGCCAACCGCCCTGTTTTGAGTCCGTCGATAACTCCCGCTCTTGAACAACACACCACAACAACGGCCATCCCACTCTCCTCCACCACCTCTCACCCTGAAAAACAGCCCATACAAAGCGCATCATCGCATACAGATCAAGACTAAGACAATGGATCAGGCCAACACAACAAACTACAAGGAGGCTTTCGCTCTCTTCGACAAGCGCGGTAACGGCCGTGTTCAGATCGAGTCTCTGGGCGACCTCCTGCGCGCATGCGGCCAGAACCCCACCCTCGCTGAGATCAGTGACCTCGAGAAGAGCATTGGCGGAGACTGTGAGTCTACATGACACGAAAACGAGGAGGAAGGTAGAGGCTGACACAAGATTCGCAGTCGACTTCGACTCATTCTCAAAAGTCCTCAACCGCGCTGGTGGTTTCCGCGATCCTGGAGAGCCTGAGGAGTACTGCCGCGGTTTCCAAGTCTTTGACAAGGAGATGACTGGCTTCATCGGTGTCGGTCAGCTCAGATACAGTACGATCTGCTCAAACATCATAGATGCGCAAGACCAGACACTAACAAATACACAGTTCTGACCAACTTGGGCGAGAAGATGAGCGACGACGAGGTCGACGAGCTCCTCAAGGCCGTCGACACCAGCAGCGGCGAGATCAACTACGTTGGTATGTTCATTCCAGACTTTCCCTCACTCTGTGCCGCACGCACTAACACGTTCTCTCAGACCTTGTCAAGACCGTCCTCGCAAACTAAGCACCTTTCTCTCCTCTATACCCACCCTTTTTCTTTTTCGAAACAAAACACAATCTTGGGCGCTCTGGCACGGGATATGAAGCATGGCAGGCGTTTTTTCTCCTTTACTCTGTTTAATTCTGGAACGAGAATGAATTACATCGCGATCACTTTTGGGAAACAATACCGAATTTTGTACAGCGGCAATTATACCTCTACGGCTTTTCTCAAAACATGTCTATTGTTTCTACCGTCTCTATTCTGTAACGCTGCATGTGCACGTCGGGCATGGCATCTCAAGAACAGGGCTCGTTGGAGAAATTATGGGCATCCTTCTGCATCTCCTCAGCCAGCCAGCGAGCCTCCTTCTCCATCTCCTCCATACTTCTAGGCTTTCTCTTGTCATCCTCGACCTTGGAGAACTTGCCCTTTCTCACGCCCTCCTCTTCTTTCTGATGCTTTCCCACATCTCCCTCTTCACCCTCCAATTGTTCGTAGATCTTGTCTCCACCACCTTGCGCATCCATGTCACCGTCTCTTCTGGGTATCAGATGCGCGTGCACATGTGGCACGCTCTGTCCTGCTGCCTCGCCATCTTGTATCGCTATATTGCAGGCCGATGCATTGTACACGCGCTTCAACGTCCGGGACGCCAATTGTACTGTGCTGAATAGATCCGTGACTTCTGGAGCGCTGAGTTGATCGATATGTTGGACACGGCGGAGAGGGCAGACTAGGATGTGACCAGGTAACAAGGGCTTGAGATTCACGAGGCAGAAGGAGAGGGGTGTTTTGTAGAAGACCTGGGTTGCTGTTAGCGTCTCTTGCCAATCCATGGAGGGGTAGCAGTGGTAACAACTAACCTGTGAGGTCACAGCGAATTGGCCAAAATGTATGGCCTTGCTCAATGATGGCGGTGGCATCTCTGCCTGGGTATCAGAGCTCATTTGTGGATTGCTTGTGTGCAGTGGCAGAAAGTTGTGTTTGGACGGTCTTGTGTGTTTGGAGATATTCGCGATGGAAGACGTCACTGCCACTTTCTCAAACACTCAACACGCTGCGGACTCTCCTCTCCGGCAACGAATCCTTGGAGGCAAACACTCATGGCTTTCCAAATAGCGTCGCTCTAGCGAATATTGCTAAGGTAGATATATCTAAAGAAGGAGATGGAACTTGGGTACACAGCACTCCCACCACAACTCACGATAGGACCACTCATCTCTGAGTATTGATTTTAATATAGCATAACTTCCATTAGCCTTGGTTGGAAACTCTTTGAGATGTGCTTGCCATTCGCCATGGCATGCATCTCTACTCCTGACATCCTGACATTGATATCTGTATCTTTCCCAGTTTCGCCCGGTGATCAAAGCTCTTTTGCGGCGCGGTCGCTGCGGAGCCATGGCATCCTCGTTTGCTCTTTCCTTGTTCCTAAGAAACAAGCTCAGGCTATCCTTCCCCAGAGCTTTTGCCATATATCAGACTCATAGCCCCGTCTGTCATCTTCCTCTCCCATCCCATCATCAACAGCATAACATCTTCAACTCATCTCCACCACAAAATGCCTTCCAACAACTCCTCCACCTCGGGCTCTGGCTCCGGCTCCATTTCAAGCTCCAGCACTGGTAGCGGCTCCTACGAAGTTACCTCGAGCGGCACCAACGATCAGGGAAACCACTACTGCTCCCGCGACTACGGCTCAGGTGCTTCCAACGACAACTCCTACCATTACTCCAACAGGTAAGTTCAGTCGCGTTTCATCCTTTGGGGTAAAGAGAGCGATACCAATGATGTGAGGGACAGTGATGGCTCGTATTATTACAGCAACCCCAATGGCTCGACCTACTACAACTCTGGTTCTGGCTACTCCAACTACACTCCTCAGGGCAAGTGAATGCCGATCTGCTAGAGCTTGATCAGGAGATTCCGATCCAGACGGCCGGGTACGGTCAACAGGGATAAGAAGGTGATGATGCCATGAGTTTGACTTTCGAGGCGAGAAGGATAGATGATGCAGACTTTGGAGAAATTCATTCAGTCGATTGACGAGCACGTTGTCCATGTTTTACAATCGTTGTGAATTGCAAACCGACAAATATGACAATTCACGAGAAGCCGTTCGCCTTGTGTATTGAAGTATGTTATGGCCGTTGCAAGCGCAATTTACACCTTCTTTGGTGGCTGCCGCCCTCTGTTTCGACCTCAAATTCTGGTAGCGACGAACCAAAAGTCCTACGGATTGATTGCCGACAAACGATACTGTTTACGGTCGGAGCGCTCCCCGCAGCCAACTCCAAACTTCAAGACATTTGACATGAAATGTTAACAACGCTCGCTGTACAACGGTTGTTCGACTGCGCAGAATGCTCGTGCCTGGGCCTCCTCTCAAACGGCAGTCACACAACTTTATGATCCACACGGCGTAACCTGATGACTTGTACTCCCATTATGGTAGACTGTTGTAGGTATCTTTCACGGCTGTTCATCAAGCCGCAAGACATTTATCGAGCCGCGGTAGGGTTCAAACAGGTAAACCTTGACCTTACTCTTATCTCTGGTCCATTTCCCTCTCTCTTCCTCTTGTTCATTTGCTTGGATCATTCATCGACTATCTCATGCTTCGAATTACTTGACAGGAATAATGGTGTCGCCAGATGTCGCACAGTACAATCTCCATCCGTGGGCCATCATCGTGCTACCAATCCCTCTAGCTGTCTTGTCAACCATCGCAATCTCAATACGCATATGGATTCGATGCGTTCTTGCTAGGTCTTTCGGTCGTGATGATGTGTGTTTGATCATTGCTCATGTAAGAGGTGTTTACTACTGCTGTAAATGACGTTGCTGACACCTCTATAGATCTGCTTCCTCGCTGCTTGTGGAGTGTTCATCGCCATTGGAGTTACTGAGTACAATGAGGGTCTTGCTCCCATCGTGAAGCTTGCCATGGTATGGACTTTTTTTTGCTAGACTTATGTATACATTCCACTGACCACACGATCAGCTCAGCATCTTGGGCATTGCGTTGTATCTACTAAACCAATGTTTTTTCAAGCTCTCGATGGCCTTCTTCTTCCTTCGCATCCCGAACAGACGACTGCACCGCTGGATCATCATCATCAGTGTCACAATCTCTATCATCTTCAACCTCGCCCTCCTCGCCATATCAATTGGCCAATGCGGTAACATCGCAACCATCGACCTCAACCACCCCCAATGCCTCAGCTGGAAGATCCAAGGACCACTCAACTACTTCTGTGCAACTCTAAACGCCATCGTAGACTGGATCTTCGCCGCTCTAGCCATCTACGTCGTCCAAGGCCTCATGCTAGACAACAGAAGTAAATTCTCCGTCTACGGCATCATCCTTCTCGCCTCAGCAGGCAGCATCGTCAGCGTCGTCCGCATCCCCTACATCCCCGGTCTCCGCCTCGACAAGTCCTACTACTCCCAAGAAAATGACGTGATCGCCTACACCTCCCTCATCGAATCCGCCATCGGCATAATCGTAGCCTCCATGTCAGTAATGCGACCTCTGATCACCAAACTCCGCGAACGAGCCAAGATCGCACTCTCCTCGGATTCCAGATCTAGATCTTCACAGAAAAAGTCACTGCAGAAACAGGCGCCGCAGAAGATTGATCTGCCGCCGAGCGGAGGGAGTGTCAAGTTGTATCAGGCGTTGCCGGATCCTACGCCTACGCATGTTGAGACGGAGGTTATGAATATCGAGATGGATTACCTGAGTTCGAAGTCTAGAGATGTTGAGAAGGGGACTGGTGCTACGGTTATCCAAGAAGAGCGGTTCGGGACTTGAGAGCTGCTGCCAGGCTCCTCGTGATGATTACTCAACAAGCCCCTGCTAGGGTCAGCAAAGCTCAAAGGCTGTCTGTCTGTTGTACCGGGGCAAACGTCCCCATCATCGACCGCCCAAACCCCTTCAGTCAGCCGCAGTGGTTCTCCTGACTGGCCCGCAATTCGTGGAAGGAGCAAGCGACCATACGAGGCGAAAGTAATTCACATCTCAAAGAAGAGGAAAGAACGACTCACCGAAAGAAGAAAGCACGACCGGTCAACAGAGGAAAGCACGAACCCGTCAAACGAGGAAGTAACGACCAACCAACGCTCTGCTCAAAAGGAAGGAACGACCACGCGACATCCAAGTCAAAAGTCACGACCGACAGCTCATCGCTCCTGCCCTCTTCCAGTCCTTGAACACCGCATGGACAAAGTCGCCACAAAATGAATCATGGCACGACCGAGATTTATGTTCTGGCGGAGGACAGCCTTGGATTGATTATTGCAAAGCGTCTTGGGCCCAATAGACCACCACTACACCGTGTTGTAGAAGATGGGCGAGAGAAGCCACATGGCTTGGGACAGAGAGTGAGAGGGTGGAAGTGAGAAACAGAGCCAGATGTGGGCACATAAACACGATACTAATCATTGGCCTGTGTTGTCGTTTGGCTTGGTGGAAGAATAAGGCGGCTTGATTGGATGAGAGGCAGCTATAAGTGATGGGTTTGTCCATTAGTAGATCTAGACTCATTTGTGGCATTAATACATACATTCATTCTGCGAGTTTGACATGATATGCTATATCCCTTCCAGTAACTTGCTCAGTCTTTCGTACGTTCAGTTAATGCGAGGTTAGTTCTGCTCTATCGCCTTGTTTACTCTTTCCTTCCAGATCAACGGAATTGCTCCTACTCTTTCTGTGAGTTGTCGCGTTCCTTACTGTGTTCTGTCAGCTTGGTTAATATTCCTTCTCTCCTTTAGAAAATCGTCATAACAAAAAGAAGGTGCCAGTGAGCAAAGCCGAAACAAGCACTTAACGTGGAAAGTACGATCAGGATAGTGATAATCTGATAACACTAAACTATGCCATGGTAAAGAGATCAAAGTTTGCTCGCATTCAATATCATTCATTAGTATAGCGACATGAGAGAACGTGGCTTGTAAGGAAACATCAACGAGAGTATTCCTGAATACCCCATCTGCCACCCCTAAAGCACAACAGCATAAAGAAACCCATCATGACTGCCCTCGCCAATGGTCTGGATAACAGTAGCACTGACCCTCTCATCCTTGCCAGCATTCTCAATAACTCTTCTCGCACCCATAACATGCTCTTGAGTATTCCAGATCTCATCCTCACTGGCGATAGCTCCACCTTGAACGACATTGTCAACCATGATCACAGCGCCTTTTCTGCATCCCCTGATTGCAGCATCGAAGTAGTTCCAATTGTTGCCTTTGTCAGCGTCAATGTAGACCAAATCGAATGTCTCAAGTTTGCCAGCGTCGATGTCTGAGAGCACGGTGGGCAGAGTTTCGATAGCAGGGCCGACGTGGACTGTAATCTGTTCAGTCAGACCAGCAGTGGCGATGTTGTCTCTAGCCACTTCGGCATGGTGAGGGTCAAACTCCAGCGTGGTGACTTTGAGACCAGGGTTTTCGGAAGCAAGCCAGATGCTGCCGTAGCCACCTAGAGTGCCGACTTCGAGACAGTGTTTGGCGTTGATGGCTTTGGCCTGGAGCGCGAGAAACTTTGCAAAGGCACGAGGGGAGTAGATTAGAGGTAGGCCTTGGGCTGCAGAGTTCTCAAGAGTACGGGAGAGAATAGAGCTATTATGGGCGATGGAAGGATGAAGGTGGTTGAGAGTGTAGAGATCGGTCGCGACCGCTTTGGGGTCAGGTGGTGGACGACGGGTGCTTTTGGGCGGGGTGGTGGATTGCTGTTGGTCGGACATGTTTGTGCTTGTTGTATGTTGTTAGATACAGAAGGAGCTAGATGAGTTGGATGAGAGTCCACAGCTCCTACCTTCCATGCTTTTATATTTGATCCATGATCATTCACATGAAAGTAGCACGTCAGAACATCTTACGACTTGCCATCTATTGTTGCTATAATCGATTCTTGACAGCAAATCAACGCGAGAATTAGGCAGCCTATCTCTGCAACTCGCCCGTGGTAGCCTGGGGAGGATTGCTGGAATCTCCTGTGTTAATGGAACACCCATAAACACATATTGCAATCGTACGAGGGTTTTCGATTATGTCCGTCCGTCTCGGCCGACGATGTCCGAGGTGTCGGAATGTAACTTCAATCCAGTCACAATTCATTTTGATGGACTGAAGGACGCCAGAAGACCATTGAGCTGCAAGACAAAAGCTGTACAAGATCATATCTGCTTTCGGCACGTAGAGCGCGGTACATGCTTAGTGGTATGTTAAGGTGTGCACGCCGGTGAGCGGACTACCACCCGCAGTATGGACGCATCTCAACAACGAGTAAAGTCGCTCTACACATACGAGTACACAGTTGAAAGTTCATTGAAGCATAGGTCGGAACAATTGGGACACTTCCGTGGTCGTCGCTGCTCTGCCTTCAGCTGTGATTAAGGTTACTTGAAGGCGTGAAAGATCCGCGCTGAGGTGACGTAAAGATGCACAAGGATGTTCGTAGCTGCATAAATAGGCGTGTGCGACACGCCTTCCAACCTCGTTCCACACGAAAAACCACAGATAAGCATCAGCAAGACGCTGTGGGAAAGAAATCAAGGATGGCTTCTATAGTTGATGAAGACTACCACAATAGAATTTGGGAACAGATCAACAACTACAATGGAAACATGAACAAGATGATACTCGACAGGTTGAAAGAGCACACAGACATGTCTGACAGCCAGGTCGATGAGTTCGCATACTATATCGTAGCAGCCGACTATTTCAAGCTCCCTGATCATCGTGGTGGAGCCACTGAGCCAGGAACGAAGCATTACCGGGCGGATGGCACAGAGTACACCATCGCGGACGTGCCTTACAGGCATGTTATCAGGGAAGCGATCAAGGAAATTCAGAAGATGCCAGAAGACAGACGGACTGAGGCTTACAAGAAAGTTGTTGACCATATTTCTGGAATCAAGAAGACTCCGGACTGGGAGAGAGAGCCAGTCAATCCCAACGCAGAGCCTGCGACCGCGTTCTCGACGTCGAAAGCTGTATGACTTCACCTTCCCATCTTACCTTTGTTCTTCTGTTATCCTGACCAGATTCTAGGCAGAGGGTTCCGTCAAGTCCAATCAACAGCTCCTCGACGATTTAGCGCTTGGACTGGGCTTGAGCGACAGCCAGAAAGGCATGGTACAGGCACAAATCGTATACCGCGATGCTCTAGGTGATGATACACGACCCGCCAGTGTGCTTCTCGGTGGGGATATGGGAGGAAAGGTATCAGGTGGCCGTCTAGCCCGTGACCACACTCTCGCCGACGTACCCAACCATTTCTGCCGTGATCAAATCATGGGCTACATAAACCAGATGGAGGACGAAGACGGGAAAAAGGATGTTGCACGCGCAGCCGTCTTCTCAGACCTCAACCCTGGAGAGAAATTGGCATACTCTGCAGCCATAGCCCAAAAGACCGAGGAGATGCGCCAAAAAGAGAAGGAAGAAGAGAACCGGCTTGATGAGATCATGGACACTCACAAGCCGAAGCCGAAATCAATACTGGAAGCACAGAACATCCTGGAGCAAGAAACCCTACTTGACGACATCTCGGATGATGACCTTGACTTGGCTCAACGAGGCTCCAACGGACATATCGACTACGATATGGAAGGCGTATATAAGTCGGTGGTAAAACCGGGGGCAGAGAGGCTCCCCAACGAAGAAACCCGGCGCTCATTCATCATAGAGCTAGACTGCGATCAGCTACGTGCATGCATAAAACGCTTCACGCGTGGTGGTATCTGGTCAGTCGATCAATTCAGACTCGCACTGGGTGGGGTACCAAGACCCGAATTAACAAAGTTTCTGAATAGGAAGGGTAGACGTGACGGAGCAAAAATGAGGATGTTTGCATTGAGTTGGGAGTTCTTCAAGAAGAGAGAGATGATGGGACTGGATATGGTCAAGAGCTCGGAAGATGATATCAAGCAGATTGAAGAAAGAGGAAAGAAACGTCAAAATCCTGCAGCTGGTGATGGTAATCCAACTACTGGCAAGAAGGCGAGGCCAGTGGATCTAACAGCTGATGAGAGCGACCTAGAATCAAAGTCAGCATAGTGTACCATGTAATCACTGTATATATCCTGCGCCAAAGAATGGAGGTTGCACGAAGGGGCGTCCGGCGCTTACGCTGCTTCAAGCGCGCGCGTATTGCCTACCTACCTTCTCGATGCAGACGGCTCCAAAGACGGTGTCTGACAAATCTTTCTCTAGTCGAAAAGAGCAGTCGTGGTCCTCGAATTTTAGTTTTGGAACCTTCTTGCTTGATTTAGTTTTTGCTCTATATACCTTGTTGTTGTTGTACAAGAAACCAGTCAAACGAGTCAGGACGAGTACTATCGAACATGTATCGATCAACGAAAGCTCTTCTCCAGCTGTTGTGCATTGCTTTTCTCTCTCCGGCTGGCATAGCGTATGAGTTGGATGTCGGGGTTGGTTTCGCTCTGGAGCTAGATTATGGGTAAAGGATGCAACTGTCAAGGACACACCAGACTGCTGACGTATTAACAAGTACAGCGAGCATCCAATTCGCAAACGGCTCAGCCCAAGATATCATAAAGATTGAAGGAGGCGTGTCGTATCAGGAAACGATGCGCTGGTTCTCGCACACGAACAACATGCCTATTTCACCAGATCAGGTCATGAACCAAGCGGACTTATCTTCTGAGATCCCAAGTTCCTGGTCACACGACTCGTTCATGCAGACTCGTTTCGAAATGCGATCAGCCTCTTGTCTTCAATGTGGCCAACACAACCACCCTCTTTGACTCCTCAAGCTCATGCTCTCCCCTGGATGCTCAAAGCCCTGAAAGCAGCAACAGAAGCCTACATCGAACAACCCGTCCAATACATCGTCATCACAAACCCACTACCTCTCGAATCATCACCTACATACCACTCCGCCATCCACTCAGCCAGCTCGACTCTAGGTCTCAGACTAGGCAGCACACACTTCCTAAACGCACAAGCTGCAGCCGAAGCATACGAAACAAAAGGCACCTGCGACCTCTTACCAGACTCTTACGACGACTATGCCTCTGATCACCTATTTGTAGCCATAAACTACAACCGTGCTGCAGCGCTGCTTTTTCTGCTTTCCTCATAATCGAAGATTGTGATATCTACGAAGAGCTTAGGACTGTTCACGATACTACACTTGGCAGTGGCAGTGACATCCCCCGAGCAGAAAGGCATGATGCGATTAAGGCGGCTCTAGGAGATATCGTCAAGCCACCGTATGTTCATGGTACATCTACTTACAAGGCGATCAAGGACGTTATTCTACTCGGAGAATCAACGGACAATGAGGTCTTGCATGTCGTGCTTGAGGAAGTCTTGAGTCGGCCATTTATCAACCTCAATATCGGAGCGAGCAAGGAGAGATTGAAGATGGTTAACCCTCTGTTTGCCGCTTCAAGAGGTGCAGCGAAAGCATGTCTGAATTGTAAGTTTGCTAAGAACCATAATGGCATGTATGGATCGACGTAGTATGGGTGTGTTGAAGATGGAATCTAACGATGAGTATGAATGCAGATTAGCTGGATTTGGGATCATGTCTTGTGCACTGTTGAATTTTTTTGATACAGAATTTTGTTTGTTTGAAGAGGGGCGGTCGTGAGACCTAGACGATCTTTGAAATCTACATGTTGCGAAAAAAAAATGAGCCTTGCCGCATTTTTCTAAAGAGGCATCCGTCGTACCATTCGTGTTTGCTTTGCAAAGAGAAAGCCTCGACTCCATGAAAATGCGTTGGAACAGCAAACCATCCAGCAATGAAACAAAGGAAAAGGGAAGAGCAGGAACCGATACTTGTAGAACTTCATGTCAGCCGCATCTTACCTTCTGATTGCGCCCTGCACAAAAGCAAACGAGATCAAGTCTCCATCACCCATCCGTCTATCTAGTTTATTTTGATTTTGTTAGGACTCCGTTGTCCTTCTATGCACCGACACCGTAAAAACCGTAAGAGAAGCGTAAGGAATGCGTGGACTGGGTTGTAAAGACAGGCTGCTGTCCCTACACCCGAACTTTTTGTGCATGAAATGAGAAAAATCGTCGACTGCGTTGTTGCGTCGAGTTGAGAAGTTGCCTGACCGTTGTCGCGTCGTGCAAACTTCATCGAGAAATAGAAAAAATTGTTCCAGGATCATAGGGTTTCACAATCCAGTGAAACATGCTTGTTTCGAAGGTGTCGTGGCCTCATCGTATCGTGTCCGTTCGAACACCTGCTATCGGGCTGTCTGCTTCGCCCATCGGCTTGAAGAGAAGCTTCATGTCCAGAGTAAGATCTCCAACGCCATAAGTGTCATCAATGTCGCCGACGGAACCAGTGTCTAGGCCGCCTTGAGTGTTTTCGTTCGAAACAAAGCCTTTGATCTTCTTCAGAAGACCCATGATTTGCAGGAAGCGAAGATCTGGCGGTGCCGTCCATTCGGAAGCCTTTGTCGAGCGCAGTAGCGATTGACCAAGGTAGTAAAAGTGGATGCCGTCACGAGAGAAACCGAATCGTCGGTAGCCAATGCCGTTTTGAGGATATTGAAGAGCGATATCGACGTCCCACATAGTCTTCCACTTACTCATGGCAAGCTGAATGGACTTAAGGACGGGTTGGATTTGCGCATTCTGGGCTTGAGGGTTGTCACTAGGTGTGCCAACATTGCTGCTACCGTCTGAGGCGATCCAGTCGTTCTGCCCGAGCGGAGTGCCGGGACCACTCGCTGTGGCACCATGTCCAAACTGGCCTGTGATGTTCTGCAAGAAACTCGCGCGCTGGAATTTGCAGATCTGAACAAGGAGGGCATGGATGAGAATGAACTTGGAGTAAATGTTGGTAGAGCGTGATGAGAAAGTGTAGTTGGGCTCCATCAAGCCTCGCATAGCGCTTCTCATGTCTGGCTGACGAGGACGTTGACTGCCACAGACGTTGAAGGCTTGCTTAGCAGTGCCATTCAAACCTAGCGCGTCGCGACACTCTTGTTCAGTCCTAGCTTCCCAGGCAGCGTCGTCACAGGGTAGCGGCAGGCGGAACTCGAACGGATCGAACTTGGGCTCGTTGTTGAAGTACATGACGAGAGCTGCGTCGAGCAGGAAAAGGGTGAATGCAACTCTGTTACGCCTCTCTTGCGCGATCCAGGAGGACCAGGTCCAAGTAAGAAGAGCTTCCTGGGATATGGGGCCTGGCTGGTGGAGTACGCTGTATGCCGCTTGGCCGGAACCTGTGGGAGATATGACAATTCGTCGGGCGATTTCGACAACACTGTCAAAGTTCTTCCTAGCATTTGCGCGCTGGCTTGGGGTCCCATGCCAGCAAAACAATACCTTGAGCATGTACAAAGCTTGAAGCTCTTCAATATCGGACTCGAGCGAGCCTAGAGGCTGGTTTCCTTCTTGGATAACACCCATTATTACGTTGTGGACTCTTGAAGCGTTCTTGACGGCATCTTTGACAAGCTCCATCATTCTTCGGACTTGATACAGGTCGCGTTTTTCGGAGTAGACGGCTCCGATACAGATGATGGTGAGGACAAGGCCATCGTTGGCTTTAAGGATTTCGAAAGTAGGCATGTGGATGATCGGCCAGTGACCCTGGAAGCTGGTGAATTTCTCGATGAAGTGCTTGATGTTTTCAACAGTCAAGCACTTTCTCATCTCGTCGCAAGCGTCATCGCTTGAGGATGTTCTGTTTGAAAGTACGTACGTCAGCAATGCATTGGCCTTGGCCTGCAATGGATCGCTTTGCACGAGATCCATGTTCCAGTTTGGGAAACCAGACAGGTGGTGCGCACCTGAATCTTCGCCGAAGCCCGACGGATGTGAGTAGAGTCCTCCAAAGAACTGCTGCTCGTTGCTGTGCTCGTTTGACGAGTTGTAGCTGTGATTGTCCATGCCGCCCTCGGTCTTGACAGGCATCTGCGGCTGGCTTGCATGAGACTGTGTCATGAAGCCATCGTGAGCGTGCTGAGGCGCGAACATGGACCAGTCGACGCCGTTGGGTTGGCGGTTTTCGGCAATCGGAGGGGGCTGGTGAGTGTAGCCGCTTGGTGCCTGCTCTTCAGTCTTGACGTTTGGAGGGTAGAACTGGCTGCCGTTGCCCATCTGGAAGCCGTAGCTGGGGGGCATAGGGTTCGAGGCAGAGTGGGGACGCATGCCACCGTACGCGGGGACGCCATTGGGGTAACCTACAGAAGTGGTTAAGTATTGGGCACAATGCGGCTTGCCATGTTTATACATACCTGTGAGGCTACCTCTGCCATCACTAGTCATACCGACCGGGTGAATCAGGCTGTTAGCACGGGACGAGCGGTTGGAAATTGAAGCCACGCTCGAAGCGTACGAAGAGCCCTCGCCATTGACGGTAGGGCTGTTGGTGACACCGCTTAAAATCGTTCCATTAGTATAAGGAGCGCCTGCGGCTTCTGCGAGACCAGCGAGAGCGACCGGTTCGGTGCTGCTGATAGACATGCGGTTGGAGCCGTTCGTGTTTCTGCGCTGATGAGCGAGGTGATTAGCTCCTGTAGGATTGCCGCGACGAATCGAACACTTCTGGAAATGGCGCTTGAGAATATCACTGCGCGAAAACGTGTCTTTGCACAGGTGGCACATGTACGGACGGTCTCCGGTGTCTGTCTATAGTCAGCTCCTCTTGTCCTTCAGCTTGGACACGTCCAAATACTCACGGCGCAAAAGATGTCTCTTCAAGTGTTTGGCATGCAGGTATGTCTTATTGCAGTGTGGGCAGGGGAACTTTCCGTCTGCATCTTTTGCTGGAATCATTGATTTGGTCGAGGCAGCAGCAGTTGTTCCGGGTGCAGGAGCAGCAGCACGGCCGGGCGCACTAGGCAGGATACCACGTCTTCCCTGCGATCCCACAACATGGGTAGGTTCCGACTCGTGATTCTGCATGTATGGCTGCGCACCTACAAGTCCCGATGCGCCAAAGCTGGGCAGTGTTGACACGTTGTTGTAAGAAGCCTGAGGTTGAAGTGGGCGCAAGTCAGGCAGTCTGGCTTGAGCCGGAGTCTGTGCAGCACTCGTGGCAGTGGATGCAGGAGGCAGGGTGGATTGCGACGTCGAGTAGGGAATGTAGGTGGACGAAGGAGGAAGCATTGAACCAGTGGTCGCCGGCGACGATTGGTGCTGCTGTTGCTGCTGCGAGAAAGCGTGGAGACCGTTGGCACCCATTGAGGAAGTGGTGGGTGTGTGCACGGTAGTGGGGGTTTGGGGGTGACTGCCAGAGCCGTTGTACAGAGAGGGCAGCTGACCAAAGTTGGCAGCTTGGGTATGCAGGGGAGGCAGTGTCTGGTTGTGGTTGTGGGTGTCGCGCGAAGGTTCCTGCTGCGATTGGGCTTGCTGCTGCTGTTGGTGCTGTTGGTGCTGGTGTTGAGCCTGCTGCTGTTGGTGCTGGGGATGCTGCGGGTGCTGCTGCTGCTGTTGCGGGTGGTGGGCCGAATAGCTCGAGTAGGGCGCAAAGCTGGTGGGCTGAGGCATGTAGGTGGTGGAGGGGTATTGGTTCTCCATGTTGAGGGACTCAATGATGTCGTGTTTTGGGGAAATAATGGGGCCTCTCACCGCGAGAGCATTTGGCGGGCACGAGGGACGCGGATGTGGAGTGGAGCAGGTCAGTTCGAAGGGAAGCGGCCAGACGACAACTGTAGAGTAGGCAGGCGCGCTTAGTTGTTAGATCCCAAGCCAGACCGAGCTTCTAACGCGGTAGGAGCAAGGCAATCAAAAGTCGAGTGGAGGGAGAGGGCAGCTCGAGGGCAATGCGTTACTCCAATGCTGCGGTGCGTCGAGGAACCAACGGCCGGCCGAAAAATCTGTTCAACGCCGAAAAGTCCGTTTTGTGCAAAGATGTTCTGCCAAGCGTGTCGCAAAGGTGAAAAGCTTGCAGTTTCCCAAGTACAGAAGCCTTCAGCAAAGCCAACCTCAGGGTTGTTCAAGGGTTATCTCTGGCAGTGTAAGAACGCGCCCTGACGCGATATAGATGCTTGTGTCGCTCACAGTTGATGATGATGATAGCAGTGCACGGGCTGGCTGATGGATTAGATCCGTGTGGACCAGGAACCCGAGCGGATGGAGTGTGGATCGGAAATCTGTCAAGCACACGAGGGGTCTTGGTGTGGGACTCTGCTTGTTTCTCAAAGTACAAGATGAGAAAGCGGGTCGCTCGTCGACTTCCAGCTGCTCTAGAGTGGACGAAAAGAAAGAAACAAAGACCTCTGTCTGTGATGACAAACAACTCGGATTCGCACCATGCGCGGTTACGCTCACGTACTTCGACTGGGAACCTTTCACTAATCGAGTGATGAGCTCGAGGAAGTCTCAACGCCCAGAAGCACGGGTTCCGGAACAGCGCCATAACGATTTACAATACCTAGTCGGCTACGAACCACGTCATTCGACAAGCCCTCTTGCTCTATCGCGCTTTCCCTAAACAGTGCCTCAAGTCGTTACACCTCTGCTTTGACTTTGGGCTTTCCGCTCTTTGCTCCCATCCCTTTTCTATCTTTGATCTGCTCAAGAGTCTCGAGCACATTGTACCAGAAACAGAAGTCGACTTTCAACTTTGTTTCTCAGCTTGCAAAACATCTGATGGCCCGAGCCCTTTCGCTTTATGCAGGTGCAGATTCGTTGCCACAGATCAGAAGCCCTCTTGCTACCATTCTCGTGGCTGCGCTTGCAGGAGGTGACTTGAGCCGCTCTTGGCTCGGATAAAGCGACCGCGCGATTTTCTTGCGACAACGTCCGAAGCAGTTCGGCACGAGCAACTGATCTATCCGACCGCTTCCGCCTACACAAGTCGGCTTGGTCCGAAACTACGATACAGGACGTCGCTTTGTCGGACACTTGACGATAACATAGTCCGTCGCAATCGCTTTCCTACCCGTGATTTGGAGAGTCATGGCTGGTCTGCTCGTGAATGATTTCTCTCTAGAGAGAGCCAATGACCAGTCAAAATCCAGCCCTGAGCAAGACCAAGCGATCCGTTCAACTCTGTCGGTCAGGATGAACCTAAAAGGATGACCTGCATTGGTGCTTAAGCGAAAAGCAGGTGCGCCGAACAACAACCATGCTCTTTTGACTCGTGGTTACAACACGGTCCTTTGCATTTTCAACTGCCTGACCAAACACTTTCGGAATCAGGTCTGCGCCAGCGGCAGAGATGACAGAATTGAAGAATGACCAATAAAGGCGCGAGGACAAGTTTGTGGCTTCCATGTCGATCAACGCAGCGACGAGCCCTTGATATCCTCCCTTGACTCGTAAAGAGCCCACTGGTTTGCACAACGGAATCCGCTATGCCGCGCCGGTAGGGGTGGTCAAGTTACGGAACTTACTAGTAAGTTACTCAATGTCAGTTACTGCCGTAACTTGCTGCAAATTTTGAGTAACTTACCGGTCTCCGATATAGCCGAGCTCGGCCGAGCTATTAACGTTAGTGGCGGTTGTTCGTGAGGGGGTTCCGGAGGCTTCAGAGGTGATTAAGACGACGGTCTGCTAGCTGTATACACATTAATAATTAGCAATGTCGACTAAGCGAGGTGGAGGCAAGCCGACTAGTGTTATTAGACGTTAGTTTACTAGCATCGGAGACTCTACGTACAAGTGCAACTAGTGTCCGGATTTTACACTTAAGAACAATAGAAACGAGCGTAAGGTTAATTACCTCGCCGAGTGCCTACCGTTCCTTAAGGACTTTAAGGTATTAGTGCGGCAGGGTAACCCTAAGGTTAGACAATATCTAGAGGTTCATCGTAATAGACTATTAAGCAAGGTCGGGGTAATAACTAACGCTATTTCTTTAAGGCCTTTACTTAATCGACATAAGCTAGATAAGATAGCTAGTATAGCGCTATATCGAGGGGGTTTGCCCTTTAACACCTACGAGAAGAATCTAGATCTCTAGGCGATGTTTAAAGCATTAAATCTAGAGCTTAACTACTTGCCCCTATCTAGACATCGCCTTGCAAAGGAGCTTCTTTAAGAGTGCTATTAAGAGGTTAAAGATTAGCTAGACAATATTATCGCATCTAAACGTCCTTCTAGAGCTTATCGTTACCGGCCCTACCTAAACTTTATTACCGATGAATCTAGCGCGAATAATAGAGATAGGGTCTCGAACTTGTCTATTAATACGGCTAATAGCTAGGCTTTTTTTGTCGATGCCGTAAACGGAGGAGGCGTAACTATAGGTAGCGACTAGACTAAGGACATAGTTATCGAGAAGGTTAGTAAGCTAACGGGAAATGAGCTCTAGAAGTAGAACAGTATCTATACTAATACGTGCACGACATAGCGCAATTTCTATCGTGCCCTATAGTAGGACCTAAGGACTTAGCATATGTTCTATGTTCTCTACGATAAGCATAGGTTATAGCTCGGACTAAAGGATATTACTAACTAGGAGATAGCTAGTAGCATTAAGTATTATTCTTTAACTTTAAGAGAGGTTAACATAGCCCTAACTTACCTAAGGGCATTAGATAAGGTCTAGTAACTACTACTAGAGTTAGCCGAGGAGGAAGGCGTAAAGTTATATACCTTCGCGATCGCCTACTTAACCCGATAGGGCTCTTATTACGTAGCTATAATGGCGCTACTAAAAAATCGAGGGTTACTAGAGCGCGCATCTTATAGAGGACTACTATCTAATGTCGATGTTTGCCTACTAATAGACTCGTTAGAATAGTAGAAGGAAATTGAGGCCCTTGCTAACTTAATTAGACTATTTCACTTTACGTAGAAGCTCTCTAAAAACGACCGGTCGACTATCGGTATAGTTATTCCTCGCTAGCGTAATCTTCGACTAGAACTAGAGGCGTAAACATTGCCGGACGGCGAGCTAGTGTTAAAGAAGTTAGACGAGCGCCTTACTATCTAAACGACTAATATCTATTATGCTGCTTACCTTCTTAACTGCTAGCTAGATGCTAAAGACATTAAGTAATCGCCTAAGGAGTAGGCAGCTGCTTACCGGTTCTTCGAATAACATGTTCCTACTAAGGAAATCGGTGCGTTTTAGCGATAACTAGTAGCGTATATCGAGCGTAAGGGAGTCTTCTTAAGGGCTTAACTATAGCGCGATAAAGTAAGGTTTAATCCTTAGACCTTTTAGAACTTTATAGGGAACTTTAGTGCGTTAGCTCTAGCTAAGTTAGCTAGTCGTCTAGCNATTACTCCGGCAAACTCCGTGCCATTAGAAAGGTCCTTCTTAGCAATNAACTACATCTAAAACTCTTACCGCTCTCGTATNTTAACCCTTACTACGAAGATGCTATACGCTATCTACATAAACTNCCGCGCCTTTAACCGTAGGGAGATCCTTTAGACTAACTAATTAAGAAGCAAGATGATCGAGCGACGAGTAGAGCGATAGAGGGCCTATCTTAANAAGCAANAGATCTACNNGTTCTGCCTTAATAAACTTAAGCGCCTTAANATGTTAGAGCTAGTCCTTAACGACCTAATAGATAACATCGTAGCTATAGTTAGCGCTACTNNGATCGAGAGAAAAGAGCCCGAGGACAGTTAGTTAGCGCCATTTCTAGAACTATNTNATTAGGTCGATGCTTTACCTCCTACTCCTTAGTCGCTTCGAAGCACGGATCTTAACCTNTTATTACTATTACCGTCGTAGGTTANAAGGCCGCATTAGTAGTTCCTTTAGCATCTTTAGACTAGCGAGAACTATCTAACTAAGAAGGCCGCTTAAAAGGCATTAACGGCGTAGACATAAAGGCCTAAGAAATCGANAAGGAAGCGAGGACCTTAGTCTTAATTATCTNNTNCGTTAACACTAGCTCTAGACCCTCCTCCTAGTTAGCAGTCTATATCGACTATTAGGTNATCCTTCCTAAGCTAAAACTTCTAATANACCCGCCCTAGCACCCCTTGCNATACTTAGTATTACGCTAGATTACCTTCGCTAAACATTACTCTAGAGNAGCTTTAGAGAGAACGACGAGCTTTAGAGGTAACTACTTAAGGAACTATATAGACTTAAGGCTCGATAGGGCCGCTAGCGAGGCTAGTCCTCGGAGAGCTAGACTATAACTTAAACAGCTACGAGCATTATGCTTAACATAAGGAGAACACTTATATACATAGAGGAGTGTTGCTACTGGCGCTGCAGTTCGATTTTATGAATTCTTCGCAATAAATATGACTTTTAAGAGTTCCGACCATCTAACCCGTGCTAACCTAATAAATGGCCCATTTCCCTTACTAAATCGTCCAAAAACAGGGCCTCGGTGGGCGATCAGGTCAACGGTGCGGGGCGGTCATACCTCGGCCGTAACCAACTCAGTAAGTTACTCGGAACTTACGAGTAACTGACATTGAGTAACTTACTGAGCCTACCCCTACGCGCCGGCGGCCGTCGTCCTTGCGCCAGAACAAGCATAATCAGCTAGCCTGCTTCTTAAGTACGCCATATCCGTGACTCGAGATATTCCCGAGGTGTTTTTCCAGCCGTCTCTCCTAGGACTTCCCTCCATGGCGATAGAGGCCAAGAGAAATCGCTAAGTAACAAATCAGGGAAACCGATTCCTCCTTTAGTGCCAGTATTGCATTCCCTCCGCTGTATGGCCGGCGCTTGATGCCCAAGCTTGCCGCCACGGGGTTGCAGTACGGGGAGAGCGCGCTGCCGACTTGATCTCCCGAGGGATCTCTTTGTCGACTCGCGTTTAGCCGGACAGCGCCGCACGTGAAGAAGCAACATCACGGCCATCCCTCAGGTCTGAGCGCTGTCGGTCTACCTGCTTGCTCTTCAAATCAAGTGACAACTGTTTACTGCGCCTACGAACCCACGAGACGTGGTGAGAGTACGCATGATCGTATCCGAATCCTGTGCACTTTCAATACAACGTTGCATCTGTTTACTAATATCAACTCTGCGTCGAGAAGCACGACATCCAATTGGCTTGTCGCATTCTTGGTTTCGCTATTGCCAGAATGTAAGCCGGGAAAAGTCGGGATGCCGTTTTGTGTGCTTGCCCTGTTCGGTGAGGATGGTGGCATGTCGTTCAGGTGAGCTTAGGAGCTGTCGCCGCCTGCACAACGAAACCATCTCATATCGACCGCAACACGCAAAGCAAATCCAGATGCTCGAGATCGACGACTGAAGAAACGTCGGCGGTCTCAAGATCTAGAGCAATTGCCGGTTACGAGCCCAATGTAGTATTTTCGACGACAAAGGCGGAACTGGGACCTGAAACTCGAGATTATTTGCTCTCACGACACAGGCATGCTGAAGCATTGATCACAACCATCACGAGAAGATCGCATTCGTCTCCCGAGACGAAGTTCTCAGGAGGCTGGGTAAGCATTGCACAGGTCAAGCATTCAGCCACTTCCTGACTTACGGCCGTGTATCACGTCAACAATTCATTCGGTTTCTATGTTGTTCTCTCTTTCGATATTCAGGTTCAATATTGTTGAGCCATTCTAGAGGTCATACGGATCGGGGCGGGAGAGGAAGGACGGATGCATTCCGTAGGATAATATTCTTGGCAACAGGCCTGGGGTATGGCGCATCTGGGTCAACGTCTTGGACCATTTCGACTCTGATGCTGGAGCGCAGCGGGCTGAGGAGCACAGCTGAACCTGTTGAGAAGCATCGATAGCCACATGGCGTTGACAGCGCAAATACGCTGTAGATTGACGATTTTGGCATAGCCAAAGGCTTCGGAGGTGCTTGTACAGTACTGTAGTCGGTCACACTCACGCAGGAGAAGGTTTGAACAGGTGTTCGTTTCGTGACAGCATACGACACCCGTTGGGTTCGACTGATCTGATAGTGAGAGGTCGATTTCGACTTTATGCCGTTCTCGACCATTCTGGCAAATGCATGCTATGTAGAAGCAGCTTGCACATCAAGTCCGGCTTCTCTTGATTGTAGAGCAACATGCATAATGGAAGACGTCAGAGAGGGCTGGTGATAATAGCGACCGCCGACCACACGCTTCCAGATTCCTTTTGTTAAGGAAAGGAGATGCCGTGCTACTCCCAGCCTTTCCTTATCTAGCGGAGCTTCAACACTTCCAATCCAGAGCAGGTCGGCAAAAGAAGGCACTGCAATGACACGGACGACACGACACAGCAAACGTCATGTCTTGATATGCAAGGCTTCCTGGTCAAAGGAAGCAGAACGTACCGATGCACAGGAGCTTCGAATCCCACACCAGATGCTCGCAGACGGGACCGTAAACAGTGATAATCAGCAGTGCTAGCCAAAGTATAAAACCAATTCGAGTACTTCTAACCGCGTCACCTTCGTAAGATCCCAGCCACCTCAAGTGAACACCTTGCAGGGGATTTGAAGTTGATTATTGATCGTTCAAGAGGTGTTTCTCTGCTTGGAAAACAAGGTGGAAGCTTACGGGATCCAACGCCAGAGGTCGCAACCAGACAGGGTTAAGAGTATTAAGCATCAATCTTCGAGCCGATTGGACAGAGGCAATAGGGACGAGTACCTACAACGAGGTGGGTCGGATCTGCGACGTTGTTGGAGCAGCACGTGTCGAGGTGTATCCACAGGCAGGGTCACCGGGCTTGCATCAAAGTTGGAAAGGAGGATCAAAGTAGGAGCCGAGACATGCCACCGCAAGGTCTGTGGCCTTGCCCAAACACAAGTCGGATCTCAAAATACTGGAAGGCTTCCCTTGGTGACCAGTTCGACCTGTTTCTCTCGACAGGAGCGAAAGACAGCAGCGTCCACCATCCTTAAGAAGTGAACAAGGGAAGACTCCCAAAGAGGGGCGGGTAGATCCGCAGAGCCGCATCAGACGGAGGCAAGGGCTTGGGTGGTCAGCAAAGCTCCGCAATTGAAAATGTTCAGGTGAAGCTCCACTGTTGATGTTTCTGCCACGAGCAACTTTTCGATCTTCCTTCCGAGCAATCTCATCAATCCAGAAGCCATCAATCGCACCCGTCTTCAGCCTCTCACGTCAATACATGTCAGCAGCCAAAAGAGTCAAGATGTCAGGCCCTCTTATTGGAACCCACAGCGGCCACTTCCACGCCGACGAGGCCCTCGCCGTCTACCTGTTGCGCCTCCTCCCCGAGTACTCCAACAGCACTCTCGTCCGTACCCGCGACCCCGAAAAGCTCGCTCCCTGCCACACCGTCGTCGATGTCGGTGGTGTCTACGATGATGCGGCCAAGCGCTACGATCACCACCAGCGCGAGTTCACCACCACCTTCCCCGAGCACAGCACCAAGCTCTCGTCTGCTGGTCTTGTTTACATGCACTACGGCAAGGATATCATCTGCGCCTGCACTGGTCTCTCCAAGGACTCTGCCGATGCCGAGCTCCTTTACCAGAAGCTCTACGACAACTTCGTCGAGGCTTTTGACGCCAACGACAACGGTGTCGCTCCCTACGACCCCAATGCTCTCCGCAAGGCCGGCATTGAGAAGAAGTTCTCCGACGGTGGCTTCAGCATCGCCTCAGTCGTCAACCGCCTGAACTATTCGCATCCCTCTCCCGTCGCTGTAGCCAAGCACTCTCTCTCCACCGAGGGCGTCAGCACCGAAGGCGGTGTCTCTGTCCCTTTGACCTCCGACGGCGTTACCAAGTCTCCCGCCGAAGCACAAGCCGAAGAAGACGAGCGTTTCCTCAAGGCCTCCCAGTTCTGCGGCGACCAGTTCATCTCCGAGCTGATGGACAAGTTCCACTCGTGGTTGCCCGCCCGCGCTGTCGTCAAGCAAGCCTTTGGCGACCGCTTCAAGTACGACGACAAGGGCCGTATCATGGTTGTCCCCCACCGCCCTGAGGGCTGCCCCTGGGCCGACCACCTCTACGCTCTCGAGAAGGAGACTTCCACCGAGGGTTCCGTTCTTTACGTCCTGTTCGCCGAGAACGGCGAGGCAGACAGCAAGTGGCGTATCCGCTCCGTCAGCCGCGAATCCGGCAGCTTCGAGAACCGCAAGGACATGCCCGACGCCTGGAAGGGTGTCAGAGACGAAGAGTTGAGCAAGGTCTCCGGTGTCCCCGGCGGTGTCTTCGTCCACGCCTCCGGCTTCATCGGTGGCAACAAGACCTTCGAGGGTGTCCTCGAGATGGCCAAGAAGTCCGCCGACGCATAAATGGGAATGCCATGATGATAAAAACAAGGAAAAGGTTAACCATTGGGGGGAGGCGTTTTATTTTGGTTCGATCAAGATATATACAAAAGGGAAAGGCTCCTTTTTTTTTTGTTCTCATTCCGATACCCGGGATTTCTTACATAGATGTACAATTCATCTTTCGTGGCAGACCGCCGCGTCTTTTTTCACTCTGATTTTTGATGCTTTCCATACTCACTCTTGCCAGTCTACTTTGCCAAACTGCGATCTCTTGAGTACTCGACACATTACAGTTTCCAGCTTATGAGCAAAACTCACCCTCGATACACTGAGTGCAAGGTGGGAGAACAAGAAGAATAGTCTTGCTGATGCATACGTCGACAGCAGTGTCGTTTTCGATTGTGCCCGTGATTTGAGAGACATAAATGGACATCTCTCGCCCTAGCTACACATACACCACCACCACCAGCACGCCTATCAAAATACACAAAGTTTTTCATATCCTGCTGTTTTGTCTAATGGGAGTCCTATGCCTGGTTTTGAGAATCAGAGCTCTCACGGGACGAAACAGCGATATCTGGAAAACATCTTGCATTCCCACAGGCATAGGAGAAGGAGGTCATGGCGAGCTGAAATAACGCAGTTTGAACAGATCGATTGCACAATATAAGAAAGAATAACATAATCATGGGTATCTCATCTCATAAACCTCATTAACAGAAAAAAGCAAGTTTCACCCACCAATTCCATCCCACCTCTTCAAGAACTGAACATTCAAGCCTTTCCTCTGGTACGTCTCGTAGTCATCCTAGGCTTTACAACTTCTTCTTCACTCTCTTGCTCATCTTCGTCATCCATTTCCTCGCCGCCGCCATCGTCCTCGGTATGTGAGAAATAAGGACTCTTGACCTCTTTCTTGACAGCTCTGTTCTTACGAGGTGATATCACAACGCGAGGTGAAGAATTGCGTCTCTTGACGGGTGCAGGTGCAGAGTCCTCGGATGCGTCTGTAAGGTCGGATAATTCTGAGCTTTGCTCGGCTTCGTCCTCATCGTCTTCAGCCTCGTCTTCGGACTCTACTGTGGTGGCTTTGCTCTTCCTGGCAGGACGTTTGGGTGTAGGCTTTGCTTTCGGTGCTGGCTTCGCCTTTGGTGCTGCTTTCGGCTTTGCTTTTGGTTTAACTGCAGCAGAGGTTGAGGTACGTGGTTTGCGACGTTGGGTAGGCAGTTCTTCAGCTTCAATCTCTTCGTCGCTGTCTTCCTCATCCTTAATGGGTTCTGCGTCTGAAGATTGAGCTTGACGATGCGCGGCTGCTAGAGACATGGGTGCGAAGTGTGAACTGGTAACAGGCTTCTTCTCTTCCTCTGCGTCTTCTTCGTCAAATAGGAAGCCACCACCACCCATTTCGATGTCCAAATCTTCTGCTTTCGTGTCCTCCTCTTCCTCATCTTCAGCCATGAAGCCGCCACCACCGAGATTAAGGTCTGTGTCTTCTTCCTTGTGCTCTTCAGGTTTCGCGTCTTCCGCTTCGTCTTCAGAGACCAAGAAGCCACCACCCATTGTCATCTCATCTCTAGGTGTCTTCTTCTTCTGCTTGTCTCGGTTGACGAAGGGATTGATCTCGTCAACCTCATTGGGCCGGTCGGCATAATCAGTTCTGATACGCTCGACGATACGCAGACCCATGAGGAACTTGCGCCACAGATGCAGGTTAGTAGCCTGCCTCTTGACATCTTCTTTACGTTTGCGTTCTGCTTCCTCAATCTCCCAGGCATCGATGACAGCGTCCTCGTGCTCAACAGCCACAACAACACCAGTGATGACAGGAACTGCACGTTGCTTGCCGAACTCGAAACCGGTACAAGCTTCGGCATAGTCGATGTTTAGCTTTCTGCAAATTCTTGCAGTGCTGCGGAGAGGGATATGGACAGCACCCTTTGGTACCATTGATGGTACGTATACGTCGATGTTGTTGTACGCGTTCTTGGGGATAACACCGTTCTCGATAGGTGGTGGAATGATCCATTCAGTCTGGTCAATACCATAAAGACCTTGCTTGAGCTTCTCACCAGTTTCGCGTTCGGCTTCCTCCATCTCACGCTTGCGCATGAGAGTGACTGCACGGACAGGAACCATCTTGAGAGGTTGTTCACCAACCTTGATTTGACGGCCCTCTTTATGCCATGACTCGACGGTTTTGCAGTTCACGACATCAGCTCTCTTGTAGACAGGTTCTGACTTCTCCTTGTCGCCTTTGCCTGAGGTGAATGTTCGTACCGGCTCAGAATCGGGGAGGATTGCTTCTTCACGACGTAGATGGCGTTCGAGCACAAACTCGGCACTTTGCTTATACCACTGCAATGACTCGGTTGCGACTTTCGCTTTTTCGGTCGCTGGCTTGAACGGCTTCAGGTCCGTGGACTCTTCAACATCGTCTGCTGCAGTACGCTTGTTCTGTGGACGAACGAAGGGTGACAAGATGCGCTTGAAGAAGTCATAGTCTTCAGTCTTGATCACCTTGCCGCGCTTGTTCAGAACAGGGATCTTCTCGACAGGCATACGGAAGCCTTTGGTACGGCCGGGCAGTTGGTGCTTCTTCAAATAGCGGATGGTGACATCCTTGGCTGTAGCGTCTGGGTTGTGAGCGACAACATAGCAGATGACCTGTTTGGCCTGGTCTGCACGCTTTCCTCTAGGCTCAAATGTGGATATCAGTTCCTGATTACTGGCAACAGTAGACAAGACAATAGAGTCGACGGGGATGTAGTTGTTCGAAACAGGGGAGAGGACTTCTGTCCAGTAGTGAGGAAATGCCAGGTCGCGATCGTACTTCTTGACATTCTTTGGTGGTGGTGCAGGTGTGATGTCGATGACTGATGCATCATCATCGTCGTCGTCTGACGGGACATCCGAGAGTGAGCTAGACTCATCTTTGACCACAGCGTCTTGGGATTTGCGAACAGATTTACGAGCAGGCTTCTCAGCTTTGATCGGCTTCTTCGCTTTTGCCTTGGACTTCTGTTTTGGCGATTCAGCAGGACCCTCATCATCAGAGATCTCGACAGGGTTCTTCGAAGTAGATGGGACTGGCTTCTTAGGCTCGCCGTCTTCGACCTTGGTCCATCCAAAGCCAGTAGGCTGTAGACTGGCCACCATTCTAGACTCGATGCCAATAGCACGAATCAGAGCGGTGAAGAGCTGAGCACCAACATCCCGCGAACCTCGACATTGCTTTGCACACTTGCGAAACTCTTCAACGTTCTCAATACGCTCACCGTGGCGTTCGAAGTTGGATTTGTCTTTTGCCCAGGCCTTGATCTCGTAGGTGATGTGTCGTTGAGGCATATATCCTTGTTTGCGTATACCAGGAGCAGTTACGACGAAGCGTTTCCTCCAATAGGCGGTCAAGACCTTCAGTAGTCTGAGTAGAGGATCTCCACTGCTGAGGTTCGGTACACCAGGCTCGAGTCTATCGGCGTCTTGTCCCCAGTCTCTGGCCTTGTTGTTTCCCTTGCTCTTTCCCTTCTGCTTCTTCTTAGGTGGCGGCTGCTTCATGCCCATGTTGATTTCCCAACGATCGATCTCATCCTTGACACCTTGACTGAGGCTGTCGAGTAGGATCTTGTGCAATTCGGTGTCGTTGAGCCATGAGTTGCGCACGGCATTGTGGAAGAGGAGTGTCTGGACGTGGATGCAATGTGCTCGGATGCGGGCCTGGCGTTCTCGTTTGGAAGGACCCTTCTTCGACTTTGCCTGTTGCTCAGCAGCAGCGACGGCTTGCAGACTACCATCTTCATTGATAGAGATGTTGACATCTTGGATAGCACTGTCGTCGTTGACCTTGTCTTCTTGAGCAGGAATAGCATTCTCCCAGTCCATGTCATCATCTTCATCCTGCTCTTTTGGTGCTTCCTTCATGGGCACATCTTCGAAGTCGTCGTCGTCTTCGGATGAGGAGGCGTCATCGTTGTCGCTGTCGCTGTCGCTGTCGCTGTCGCTGTCGCCTTTGCCGACACTTGCAAAGAAGTTCTTGGCCTCTTCGGCAGTCGCTTTCGTCGTAAGAGTGTCGATTGCGTCGAAGACATTACTCTTCGCCTTTGTTGGCTTCTTGTCGACAGGAGCTTTCTTGCCACGGGCTGTCTCTCTTCGTTTCGCAGGAGGCGCTTCTGGTGAAGGCGTGCGCCTTTTGCGCGGCACATGCGGAGGCATCTATCGCATCAATTGTATGAGAGAAGAACGAAGGTGGAATTCGAAGATGGCAAGAGCATTCGAAGACAAATCAATAATACTTCCACTTTGGTGTTGGTACCTGCAGCTCATTGACGTCACCCAACACGTTCGCAACACGAAGAACGCGATCAGATTTGTCTCGCAAAAAGAAATAATCCATACATTTACCTTGACGACATTATTAGAATGGCTGGGAATGACTTTACTCATGCCGATGCCATAGCAGACTGTGTTCTCACTGCCTTTGATGCGCTCCCGGCACATCGCAAACCACGATTGCCGTCCTCAGGCCTGAAGGCTGGTCGTAGAGAATGGGTTCCACTCGCGGGAATAGTCCTTGAGAGCAGTCAAGGCATTTTGACATGTGCAGCATTGGCTACTGGTATGAAATGTCTGCCTCGTGATAAGATCAAAGGCCTGGACGGCAATGTTGTACACGACAGCCACGCCGAAATCCTGGCACTTCGAAGCTTCAATCGCTTCCTTCTTGATCAGTCTGCTTTGCTATGTGCCAATCCTGCTGCTGACAATATCCTTCGAACGTCAACTACACAATATCCTTTCACCATCAAACCCGATGTCAACATCCACATGTACTGTAGCGAGGCTCCTTGTGGAGATGCCAGTATGGAACTCACCATGGCCCAGCAGGACGACCAGTCTCCCTGGACATCAACTTCCGAGGCTGACCCCGATGAACTCTTCGGAAGAGGCTACTTTGGCACGCTGGGTGTAGTACGGCGGAAGCCTGCTCGTCCAGATGCTCCTCCCACTTTATCAAAGTCATGCTCTGACAAGCTTGCCCTCAAGCAGTACACATCCGTCTTGTCTGCCGTCAGCTCTCTGTTGATAGATCCAGAGAACGCATACATCCAAACTCTCGTCATGCCGCAGAGTCAAATGGTTCCCGAAGCATGCGATCGAGCCTTCGGTCGTACCGGACGTCTATCAGCATTGCAAAACACATCATCTGGTCCTTTTGCTTTTCGCCCTTTCGCGGTCCATCCAACCACACGCGAGTTCACCTTCAGCCGTCGCATTGCAGATGCATCAACAACATCGATCGTACCTTCAAATATCTCGTCTCTGACCCATGGTCTCCAGCAAGAAACTCTCATCAATGGCACTTTGCAAGGCAGGAAGCAAGGTGACCTGAGAGGAGCTTCTGCAGTCTCTAGACGCTCAATGTGGTCTCTGGCTTTGAAAGTCGCTACCCTACTAGCACAGCCTGCTTTAGTCGCTGCTCTGACTACAAAGTCCTACGCAGACGTCAAAGCGAGCAACACATTGGCCGACCGAGAAGCAGCCAAACAGATTGCTAGAGATCAAGCGCTGAAAGGCTGGAAGAGAAACACTGGTGATGAAGAGTGGTCGTTGGCTGAATAGCATCCCAGGTGCCACACTGGGCATCAACTATACTGTCCAAATGAACAAACTCGTCAAGCTTGACATCATTGTTTGAGGAGAGTAATGCTCGTTGGAGTTTTCTCTGGACAACTCAGATAAGCACAATATCATTGAGCAATTCTACAGCGCACCAAGCAAAGTCATCGAAATGAGCCCAGAACATAGGGAGGCAGCGTCGCTTGTGTTTCCCCAGAGCCTGACAGTGCTTTGTCGGGGTGGTGCGAATAGTGCGTGGGAGGAGGCGGAGGATCTTGAGCTAAAATTGTGGTGACGCTACAGCTGTGAAAAGGCACGAGCATTTAAACAAATCAATTACGTTGCTCTTCCATTACGAATTGAGCGCTGCTTCCGATCGTCGCTCAGTACTGGCCATCGAGAGTAAAAGTACCAGTCTTGGTGATCAAATACTCATTGACCGCCACATCCTTACCAGACTCCTTACCATATCCACTCTCCTTGATACCTCCAAATGGACTCTCCGCAGCAGATGAATTACCTACACCCTCAAAGTCAGCGAAAATCACCTTCCTTTATCGTAAAAGCAAGCACTCACCAGTATTAATCCCAATCATACCCGCCTCAAGATTCTCAAACAATCTCCACGTCCTATCAACATTCTTCGTAAAGTAATAACTAGCCAACCCCATACTAGTATCATTAGCCCTCTTGACCACCTCCTCCTCATCCTCAAACGGAAACAGCGCAAGCACTGGCGCAAAAGTCTCTTCATCCGCAATCAACATATCCTTATTCGCATTTCCAATAATCGCTGGTTCGAAGAAGTAACCCTCGCTATTGGTTGCTCGTTTACCACTTCCGAGCAGCAATTTTCCTCCATGTGAGAGGGCGTCTGCGACTTGGGATTCTGCCTTGTCGAGACCGCGGTCGGTGGTCACGGGGCCGAGGGTGGTTTTTGAATCGCTGCCGTGGCCCATGGTGAGGGATTTCGTCTTGTCGAGCATGATGGTGGCGAATTTGTCGTAGATTGATTTTTGGACGTAGACGCGGTTGGCGGTGATGCAGGCTTGACCCGCGTGGCGCCATTTGAGTGCCATGAGTGCTGCGAGATATACTGTCAGTTATTCCTGACATGTATGAGTAGAGAAAGTTTTGTGGATGATATACCATTGGAAGCTTGTTCGAGGTCGGCATCTTCGAAGACTAAGAAGGGACAATTTCCTCCGAGCTCCAAGGTTACTTTCTTCAAGCCGTCGGCACAGATCTTAGCAATGAGCTTGCCTACACGCGTACTGCCTGTGAAAGTAACCTTCTTGACAAGCTCATGTCTGCACAAGGCTTCGGACAAGGAAGGCGTGTTGTCAAGGCTTGTAGTCAAGACATTGAACACTCCAGGAGGAAAGCCAGCTTGCAGAGCCAAGTAACCCAGAGTCAAGACAGAAAGTGGTGTTTCGGGTGATGGTTTGACGATCATGGTACATCCTGCTGCCAGAGCTGCTCCTGCTTTACGCAAGATCATGGCGATGGGGAAGTTCCAGGGTACGAGTGCTACAGCGACACCGATGGGCTGCTTGATGGTGAAGACACGACGACCTGGTGCTGCAGGTGTAGAAACTGTGCCTTGAATTCTTTCGGCCTCTCCGGCGAACCACCTGTGTATAGTCAGCTATCGAGTTCTCTGAATTGTCTGACGGAATCACACTCACCAGGTAAAACCCAGAGCATAGTCGAGCTCGGCCTGACTCTCGGCGATCGGCTTGCCAGTCTCATAGGTCACAATCTTTGCAATATCATCTCGGTGCTCTCGAATGAGTCCATCCCACTTCAAAAGCCATTGAGCTCTGGTACGAGGGTTGACCTTGCGGTAGGACTCAAAGGCTGTATGAGCTGCCTTGACAGCCTTCTCTACATCTTCGGGTCCATTGTCTGGTGCTGTAGCCCATGTTTTACCAGTACCGGGATCTGTCCTCAAGTATCAGCATCAACAATTCTTGGTCGAGGGTATCACCCTGGTAGCTGGGACACCATACCAACAACGTCGAAGCGCTTCTTCGATTGCGCTTCAAGCCACTCTCCATTGATCAGAGAGTTGTCGCGAAATATATCCTTGTTGTTCAACTACCCAATCTATTAGTATACCACCACCATCGGGTGAATTGCTTGCAAATCGGTACCTTGAAAGGTAGCTCCGACGCCATGACGATGGAGCTATATCAGATACTTTTGCTATCTTATAACAACTCTCGATGCTTTTTTTTGTTTCGTTCTTGTTTCCCCCAAGCTCGCTAGTCAGAGATAAGAGTCAGTTTCGCGTGATAGTAGAGAGGCAGGAAATAAATAAAGGAGCGACGATGATGCGTAGACAACAGCTCTACGACATCTCGCATGAGGGGTCGCTTTCCTTTGTACCGCGGGTTTGGGAGCTCCTCAAGGCGGGGTTGAGCTTCCAATCCCACCATGCGATTGAAGAAAGGAAGCTGTCAAGACTCAAAAGCATCTTGCTCCTTTTTTTTTTTTTTTTGCTGTTCTACAATCGCTGCTGCATGGAGCTGCGTGTCTGATGCATGCATCTCAGATGCCTTCTCCGATCCTTTTTCAACGGTCCTGCAAAAGTAAAGTTGAGAAAGTGCATTGCCATGGCATGATCGGCGGAGGAAGAGCGTTGCTTTGCAGAGAAGTAGTGCATGTATTTCATGAGCCGTCCTTCCACCCGGATGGTGTTTGCAGCATGTCACTTTTGACAAAATCTTGTAACTTTTCCTGTTACTTTTTGTCCAAGTAGGTGTAAAAAGATACACTGTTTTGTTATTGTGAGATCGTCTTGGAGGTGTCACAACAAACAGCGGGTGATGGGTGGAAAGTCAATTGGACGACGGCGAACACTATATAAGCATCGTGTCTTCCTGCTGATAGTCGCACGCGTTTGGTGCTGATGTCCACTTACTTGTCTTTGCACACAAGCAAAAAATGCTCTGCCAGATCGACTCGCCGAAGACGACCACTAGGCTAATGCCTATCCCGCCATCCTGTTCGTACTCATGAACCTCCAACTTCCGGCAACGATTGTTTGAGTCCACACCTGGCCATCGATAGAACAAAACTACCTATTAAAGCATTCATCGATCGAATTCGTCCTTCGTGTTGTCAATGTGGTAACGCCTAGATGGCATTGAGACAGGGATGTCTTCTAAGAAACTTGAAGACTTGTCGCATGAAACAGAAGCTGTTGTCGTTTCGGCATAGGAATAAAATCGCGGATGAAAGGATATGCTTTACAGTCGGATACAGATGCGTGAATGTCCATGTAAGTGTGAGTGAGTGTTGCTGTCAGCGCGTCTAGTAGCCCATGGTGCGTATCCGAGTAGACACTCATCGGTAGCTTTTGGGCGATGACGAAGAGCGCAGTACGCTTTTGATGTCACTTCTGTTGACATCGGTGACCAGGCGTAGCCTTATACAGGTACTGTGATGTAGAATTGAACACAGACGCAGAACCATAGTGTGATTATCACGAAGACACGCAAGGACTGATATCAGCGGCAGTGGACTAATTCAGCAATACATCCTCAAGAAGCCCAGATACTACCAGATGGATGTGGTGGTGTTGTTCTCGAGGTTCCGGTTCAGCCCACGTCAGGATCACAGATACTTCCTCGCTCGAGCAGCTCAACCAATATTGACGTTGACATCGCACAGATTTCGCTGCGCATGTCGTGGATATCTCGGTGCGTGCGGAAAAAGCGGATGAGAGAATTGGACGACACATGCCTTTGAGCTCGTGATGATAATCGCCATCGTTATCAAAGGGTGTTTACACTTGTGTTGACAGTAAACACCACAGCGATGATAAGCCAACGACTAGTCAGACCACCTACTGTACATTCATCTCCCAGGGCAAGATCGCGACATGCAACAGGGACAAATTTACCAGGAACGGAGTTTCACGTCTCTGCACCAAACATTTTGAGCCTGAAAAGAGCGGGTGATTTCTCGGTCAGTTTCGGCAGCTCAGATACGCATTGCGAGACGCTGCGAGGAGCCGGCCAAATTCCGAGTTTCGAACAGGCAAGAAGGAAGAGGAAGAGGACCGAAAGGATGCGTCGGCCTGAGCGATTATATTCATCATCGGTGGCAAGCCAATGGTTTCAATTTTTCTATGTCCTTGGTATGGCCGAAAGTTCGGACTCGTCGGTTGTTGTTCTCGCTGTCAGCTAGTGCGTACCCTCCAATTGTCGCAGTTCTTGCGAAAAGCAAGACAGCATTCAACGACACGCCTTTAATCCCGGTGTTGGACCGGCGGACCATCGCTTGACGCGGCTAATCACTCAATAGTCTGCTCTTTAAGAATAGTTAAGTTTTCGTTAAAGTGATATAAGTGGGTGATGGAAGCCAAGCGAAAGCAATTGCGTTCGATTTCTGTTGATTCCAATTTGGTGGCTGGCGATGCGTGCCGATGATCAAATAGAGGGCTCTGAAAAAAGTCGCATCCTTCTGACCACCTATCATCGGACAAGAACGGACAAAGCCGCCGATTCGCAAAGACGTTTGTTTAACGAGCGATTGTTTTGTACGGGGATAACTCCAGGTTATGAGTGGGCCTGTTTCCCGAAGTATTGGTGCTCTCCTTTGGGGCTCCAGTATGACGCAGTCTCATCCTGCCTTCGCTTCGTATCAACCATTGCTTGTGTCCGATCGTTGGTGGGCTAAAAGCGCCATCGGGAGGGAGGATTGATGGACGTGAGCGCCTCATGCAGGTACAGAAATTCATCAATCAATGGTCATCTATCAACACGAGAATGATCAGTAGTGTCATGCAGCTGTTTTATATATGGCAGCAGGTCAATAGCAGCATTGGAGCACAAGTCTAGTCAGGTACCAGAGAAGCCCATGGTGCTCGTCAGGGTTGTGGTTGCAACAGATAAGATCAAGATCATCAAAATAGTGCAATGTCAACCTTGAGACGAGATTGTGATTGCGCTCTGTGGAGGAGCATGGCCAACACGGAGAGGAGATTATGATTGCGCTTTGCGGAGTAGTATTAATGTCCCCAGGCATCATTAGACAGGAGATGCCGAAGTGCGTGACAGGTGCACCTTTGAGCATGAGCATAACCATAATGAACGACAGCAGTGCGTCAGAAGATCACCACGGGGAGCGGGGTATAATTTGATGCAAGATATGTAGCAAGGAGGTGGATGGTCATGAGTCTGTAGGGGTGAGACGGGCGAGCGACTGTTATATGTGTCTCCGCCTAAGGAGGTTCTGGAAGAGGATAATCGACTTCTCCTGAATATCAAACCTCCTTGCCCATGGGGACAACAACGTCCTTGTCTTGTTATGTTTTGAGTCTTTGAGTAAACAAAAACACTGTTGCTCTGCTCGCGTGTCCTTTGACTGATATGAGGAGATCGTGCACTGTAGGCGTCTGCCCTTGGCAGCTGTTAATCTTATTTCAACCAAAGACGGTGAGCGTGTCCTGGCACCAACCCCAGGAACAAGAGTATGGAGAAACGAGGAACTATTCAATAGGTCACGGTCAATATAGACGTCATTTGACGAGTCTACCAGAGAAGCGGTAAACAAACACGAGACTCAAGAATTAGTCCAGGAGGTTTCGATGCGATTCAGGTGTTCGATGATCTTCTTTTCGCTAGATGAATTACTTGATGAATGGACTCCACTTTAGATCCCCGGAGAAGTACCCACCTGTCAGTCCAGATCTCACAGGAGAGGCATCAGGGGCTAAGGTCATGAGTCTGCAAACGTCGGGCTATACCATCGTGATATTGGAGACCATTTTGATTGTGCCTCCTAACAAACGGGCGTGGAGTAGAGTTCCATGTTGATCTGATTGTTTTGAATACCCGTCACAGGTTCGAATAGGCATAACCTGAACGTTGATGATACGCAGGTGCCATGCCGGTAGTCTGTGCAGACGTTGGAAATTGCGACTCTGCTGCTTCAATTGACTCTCTATCAAACGACGGTCTTTGGAAGGGCTACAAGACGGTGAGCTGGCAGAGAATACGATACACAGGTCAAGCAATTGGTAGAATGTACGTTGCAACGTCTGACTCGACGTCGATGGCAGTAAGCTTCGATTAAAATCTGGAGGAGGTGAAGTCGGGATTTCCTACTGCTCGCACATGATTGGTCGGGCATGTGCATTCGGCCCGTTAGAACCTCCAATTGAGAAACCGAAGAAGGGTTTGGTGGGAGAGAGAGAGAGAGCCCTTCCCGAATAGCAGGCGAAGTTTGCATGAGACCCGGCATTCTTGTCGTTCTCGACGATGCCGAAAGCCGACAGGTGGCAGGAAAGAGTATGCGCCCATGTGCGACATTTTTTGCTAGTTTCTTGAGACACGAACGGAGAATATCCGCGGCCAAGGGTGCACTCTACAATGACGAAAAGGCTTTGGCCGGGCATAGACGGGGAGCGATGGATAATACGGAAGGACTTGGTAGAGAGCTGTCTTGCACGTATCGGAACGTCCGTCGGAAGTGTCTAGCAACGGGCAACGGAGAATGAGGCAAACGTAGAATGTTGTGAGGCTGGCCGCTGGTGAGCTCGAAGAAGCATCAGACTCGGCTGGGCCCTCAGCTACAGCACATGGCTGGCTTGCCATGGATGTGAGAGTTTGAAGCTGTTCGCTGTCGAGAGATCTGTTTCAAAGACGTGCTAGCGCCAGAATAATGTTGGGGGCCCAAGTCTCGCAAAGGCTGGACAGTGGAGAGAGAAGGGCACGAGCCGGTTGCCATGACAGCCCTGCTTCCAGTCCGGGTTTGGTTGCGAAAGCCAATTTCCGTACTGCGGGAGCAGCCGATGATAGGGCCCGACACTTTGAAGACGACGCTGAATGTATGGAAGATGTTCTAGCTTACCACTTGCGAGATAGAATTGTCAGAGAGCGGTCAAAAGCGGAATGGAGAATGTTTGATGCGAACGACAGAAACGTGGCCAGCATAAGGCGAGCCAGGTCTGCAATTACCTCCTTTGCGCAATCGGGACCGAAAGATAGATAATATGAGCAACGATTTGATGGCCGTTCGATAAACGGGCAGATGACCGGCAATGGTGTATTATTTACCCCAAAGAAGGAGGAAAGAACCATAGACAGTAAATTGGGGGACAAACCGTCGACGAACTGCTTTTTTGGTGGGGACGTCATGATGGTCGGCGAGCAGGGGGAAGCAACTTTGTTTTACTAGGAGTCGCATGCTAGATGGCTAGTCACGGCAGAGAAGCAGCGAATCAAAATGATAGACAAATGGAAGAGGTTGGGCGAGGGCGGCAGAATTATGTCACGGAACATGCAGAGAAGTCGATAGGATGCGATGGACTAGGTAGGCTGTCGTGTGCTTGGATTGTGTGGTCTTGAGCGCAGGTTCGAGGCAGGAAGTTGCAAATTGAACAATTTGACAGGCCCAGCGGCGCACGTTGCCCAAAGGAGGACTGGTCAACGGTATTGTCTGGTCAGTAGAGCGGTTTCGCATAAGGCGGGCCAGTCGCACAACTAACGAGGGTCCGGTTAGCACGGCTGGGTGGGATTACGTCGGTGCGCCATGGATCGGCCTGGGATTGGGGTGGAGCTTGTTGGAGCGAGCGCGCTTGGTCTTGGAGGCCGGTGTTGATGTGAGGGCCAAAAATGCCTCACCAAAGCACGCAGGCCAACGCTTCACTGAAGGCAATTTGGCGACCGACTCACTGAGGCACGCCGGCCAGCCAACCCAGCGAATTGCAGTCCACGCTCGCGCACAGACGTCAGCGGCAGATTCGGCCACGGCCAAAATACAATCGAACGCTGGTCAGCCTTCCTTCAAAAGAGCCCATCCATCCCCATCTCAGATTCTTTCTTCCGTTCACGCAGGTGCTCACCCAGTCGACCGACCCCCACTCCTTCACCCATCGACCGCGGTCTGCCAGTGCAGCATCAGCAACATGTCGGAAACCAACCCCCCTCGTGTGTCCTTCAGCGACAAGGACCTCGAGAACGGCGCCCCCAACAACGACCGCGCCGCCTCTCGCAAGTGGTCGACCGCTCCCGGCGCCATTGAGGACCTCGACGAGTACACTGCTCTCCAAAAGTACATCTCCACTTACCGCGACCCCAAGGAGAAGGCTGCCGAAGAGGCTGCCAACGGCGGCGGCAACGCTGACGGCAAGCCCAAGAAGGGTTGGCAGTTCTGGAAGAAGAGCTCCGGCGCCTCTGTCGACGACGCCACCGTCGTCCCTGAGGAGTGGCTCGGCTCCGACATCAGACAAGGTGTCTCCAACCACGACGTCGAGTCCCGCCGCAAGCGCTACGGCTTCAACGAAATCTCCTCCGACAAGGAGAACATGTTTATTAAATTCTTGTCATTCTTTACTGGCCCTATTCTTTATGGTACGTTCTACTATCTCGCCTTGGCTTTTGCTTTTGCGTGCCGATCTGGCTTGGGGGCTTGCACTAGCTCTGCCCCGATGCCACCGCCCCCGCAAATTCCGCAAGCCAAATTCACAAAAATCAAAACACACGGCTAACCAATCGCGTGCAGTTATGGAACTTGCTGTCCTTCTCGCAGCAGGTCTGCGTGATTGGATCGATTTCGGTGTCATCATCGGTATTCTTGTGCTCAACGCCATCGTCGGTTGGTACCAGGAGAAGCAGGCTGCCGATGTCGTCGCCTCTCTCAAGGGTGATATCGCCATGAGAACCACTGTCGTCCGCAACGGCCAAGAACAGGAAATCCTCGCCCGTGAGCTCGTCCCCGGTGATATCGTCATCATCGAGGAGGGTTCTACCGTCCCCGGTGACGCCCGTCTTATCTGCGACTACGATGCCCCCGAGGATTTCGCCAAGTACAAGGAACTCCGCGAGCAACACGCCCTGAACCCTGAGGAGGACCCCTCCGGCTCTGAGGAGGGTGAGGGTGAGGAGACCGGTATTGCCCACCAAGGTCACCCCATCGTCGCTACCGACCAGTCTGCCATCACCGGTGAATCTCTCGCTGTTGACAAGTACATGGGCGATGTCGTCTACTACACCACTGGTTGCAAGCGCGGAAAGGCCTACGGTGTCATTGTCTGCACTGCCAAGCACTCTTTCGTCGGTCGCACTGCTACTCTCGTCGCTGGTGCCAAGGATCAAGGTCACTTCAAGGCCATCATGGACTCCATTGGTACGGCTCTTCTCGTCCTCGTCATGTTCTTCATCCTGCTCGCCTGGATCGGTGGCTTCTTCCGCAACCTTGGCATCGCTACCCCCGAATGGTCTGACAACACTCTTCTCCGCTACGCTCTGATTCTCCTGATCGTCGGTGTCCCCGTCGGTCTCCCTGTCGTTACCACCACCACTCTCGCTGTCGGTGCCGCCTACCTTGCTGAGCAACAGGCCATCGTCCAGAAGCTCACCGCCATTGAGTCCCTCGCTGGTGTTGATGTTCTCTGCTCTGACAAGACTGGTACTCTCACTGCTAACCAGCTTTCCATCCGTGAGCCTTTCGTCGCCGAGGGTCAGGACGTCAACTGGATGATGGCTGTCGCCGCTCTCGCTTCTTCCCACAACATCAAGTCCCTCGATCCCATCGACAAGGTTACCATCCTCACCCTCAAGCGCTACCCCAAGGCCCGTGAGATCCTCAAGGATGAGTGGAAGACCGAGAAATTCACCCCCTTCGACCCCGTCTCCAAGCGTATTACTGCTATCTGCACTCTCCGTGGTGACACCTACACTTGTGCCAAGGGTGCCCCCAAGGCTGTTCTTAACCTGACCGACTGCGACAAGGACACCGCCGACCTCTTCAGAGACAAGGCTACTGAGTTCGCCCGCCGTGGTTTCCGCTCCCTCGGTGTTGCCTACAAGAAGAACGACGAGCCCTGGATTCTTCTCGGTATGCTTTCCATGTTCGACCCTCCTCGTGAGGACACTGCCCAGACTATCATTGAGGCCCAGCAACTCGGTGTTCCCGTCAAGATGCTTACTGGTGACGCTATCGCTATTGCCAAAGAGACTTGCAAGATGCTTGCTCTCGGTACCAAGGTTTACAACTCTACCAAGCTCATCCACGGTGGTCTCTCCGGTGCTGCCCAGCACGATCTCGTTGAGAAGGCTGATGGTTTCGCTGAGGTCTTCCCCGAGCACAAGTACCAGGTCGTCGAAATGCTCCAACAGCGTGGTCACTTGACTGCCATGACTGGTGACGGTGTCAACGACGCTCCTTCGCTCAAGAAGTCTGACTGCGGTATCGCTGTCGAGGGTTCCACCGAGGCTGCCCAGGCTGCCGCTGATATCGTCTTCCTTGCCCCCGGTCTCTCCACCATCGTTTTCGCCATCAAGACTGCCCGCCAGATTTTCCAGCGTATGAAGGCCTACATTCAGTACCGTATCGCCCTCTGCTTGCACTTGGAGATTTACCTCACTTTCTCCATGATCATTATCAACGAGACTGTCCGTACCGACCTCATCGTCTTCATTGCCCTCTTCGCCGATTTGGCCACCGTCGCCATTGCCTACGACAACGCTCACTCTGAGCAGCGTCCCGTCGAGTGGCAGCTTCCCAAGATCTGGATCATCTCCGTCATCCTCGGTGTCCTTCTCGCTACTGGTACCTGGATCGTTCGTGGTACTCTCTTCCTCCGCGAGGGTGGTATCGTCCAGAACTTCGGTTCCGTCCAGGAGATCCTCTTCCTCGAGATTGCCCTTACTGAGAACTGGCTCATCTTCGTCACCCGTGGTGGCAAGACCTTCCCCAACTGGCAGCTCATCCTCGCCATTCTTGGTGTTGACGCCCTCGCCACTATCTTCTGTCTCTTCGGTTGGTTGTCTGGTGACCCGCAAAACACCTCTCCTCCTTCCGCCTTCTACCCCAACGAGCGTCTCGATGGCTGGACCGACATTGTCACCGTCGTTGTCGTCTGGGCTTATTCCATTGGTGTTACCATCATCATCGCCATTGTCTACTTCCTCCTCAACCAGATCCCCTATCTCCAGAACCTCGGTCGCAAGAACCGCAACTTGCACGACACCAAGATGGAGAACATCATCGCTGCTCTCTCCAAGATTGCCCTCGTTCACGAGAAGGATGATGCCACTGGTGGTGACCGCTGGCTCCTTGCCGCTAAGACCGAGGATGATGATGAGGATTAGATCATGCTTTGATGCTCATTTCGCCGGAGTTCTTTATTAATTTTTCTTTTCTTCTTCTACATAAAGTGTTTATACCACACACACTGCCCTTAGACGCAGAATAATACCCAAACCAAAATCATTTCAAAAAACTACATTTATTCCAGTGTCTTGTGATTTTTTCTGCAATAATTGTTTTGATAATTTTGTTTGAAGCTGTTTTCCCTTGGTCAAATCTCAGAAACGACGGTCAGCAACGTCTGGCGTCCCACTTGGTCCAATTGTGATCAGCAAAACGTGACGAGTTTCCTTTCATCCTCCGTCGATGGACATCGTATCGAACATCCATCGGGAAAAATGAAACACTCGAGAAAATTTTTCGCGTCCCTTTATCGGCGACGGCGAGTCGGCGTCTCGCATCGTACCTGCCCAGTGCTCGACGAGCCGACAAAAGTTGTCTCTCCCCGAGGTCTTTTTTGTTACGTGAAGAATTGACTTGTCCCGCAATTGATAAAAAGTGTGGATGGGCCCCGTGGAGAGAAGCTAGAACGACATGGCCCCGTGGAGTTATCTGCGGGCTGCTCGCGGCCTTACTTCGTAGTCTCATCCTCCCGCTGGTCAGCAAAATCAACGACACTCAATACGAACCACCAAGAGGCACCCGAAACATGACACGATGGGTTTCTTTTTCCAAACGAGCGATGAGCGTTTAGACAGCACCAAGGGCTTTGCAAAAGATCGGCCAGACCGACCGTTTGCGATACACATGTATCTTTCGTATGTTCCATCGAAACCGCTCTTCTCGCAAGTCTCAGTGCCAATGGGCCAACTCCAAGTTGTTTAACCAGATTAAGCAGCATTCAAAGTCGAATGCATGATTGAAGTTTAACCACCGGCAGCCGCGACATGCACAAACCTCGACACAAGCAGTAGCAGATAAATCCCCGGACCGACTCTTTCTCGTCCCAAGAAAATATTCCAACTCACTCTCATATGCTTGTCGTTCTTGTTCACTCAAGTCGACTTGTCTCCCTGCCTTGGCTTCTATGCTGGTTTGAGACGAGGTATTTTCTGACAAGTCTTGGTATTCTGGCTTGACCATCCCGATGCCGAGAGATCGATTTTTTTTACGGACGAAGAGGCGCTTTCGTCAGACTACTGCAAAGAATGGTCAACACGGGCCGACGCCCAGGCAAACTCTGGGAGCCCCAACCACCACACACCTTCAGCTTGATTTGACTTTTCCCACCCCGGGCACAACGATTTATGGTTCCTGTCACACCTCACAAATACTCTCTTGGCTTTGTCTGCAGCGCTGTTGTTTCCGTATGCGATGCGATGCCAATATATCGCCTAGAGACTTGTAACCCGCATCCCCAACCTCTCTGTCTCCGCAATTGCCCGTAACATCCTCCCTGCGTCTGGTATGCGAAACAAGCGATGAGACGTGCATGGTCTCCAACCTCCTCCATACGATCTACGGATGTGTTGGGGATGCGGAGAGGTCGGTATGGCGGAGGTCTTGGCTGTAACTGACAAGAGTCTTAGGAGGGTTACTCAAACCTCACATCATCTGTGATGCGTCTCACCGCAGGATGGCTGAAGGGTATGCATGAGTTTGATCTTCGTGCTCCGGAGTCCTTGCTTGACTTTCTTGTCGTTGTCTTCATCACTGTCTCCTGCATCACGTTCCAATCTCGAGTGTCTATCACAATGCCAGAGGTTGACTTGGCAGACGGCTGCTCATCAAGGATGGCGCTTGCCAAACCGGAGTAGAGGCGACTGGGTTTGACATGAACACTTGCGTCGCAGCATAATACTTGGAGTCGTCTGTTCGGTAATGTGGTTGAAATAGTATATTTCCAGACACGGCTGATGACACGCGAGCACACCACGAGCTCTTGACAAATGATTCTCTACCGTAATATTCCCATGTCCGCCATCTGGAAGAGGTCAACATCATCTTTAAAGCTCAAGGACACTTTACTGGTCAAAGAAAGAGGATAGCGATGGTCTCAAGCAAACTTAAAGTTCCTGCCATCAGACGTCGAAGCTAATCTGTATACGGAAGTACTGCATTGGAAAAATCACCACCGTGGTCACCGAGTCTGGATCGCCACGCTGTGACAACTCGTTCAAATCATACATACATGAGCTCGGCCATTAAAAAGTCGCAGTGATACACAAACACCTGAGAGCCCACCTCTTGTCGACCGCTGAAGTTGTATCGGATCATGGAAGCATCACCATATGTGGCTACCGATACCAACACAGCAGGCTGCGATACCCTCATTTGATACAAGCATACGGTTCGGAGTCCGTCACCAGCTCGTAGCCGGCGAAGCTCAAAGGCAGAGCAGAATGTCCTGTGAAAGACATGGACGAAGGCCGTTGAGTTCGTGTAAGTTCAATTTATCTGGATCTGCTTTGCGCTTGCTTGATGATGGGGCGAGCGATATTGTGATGAAGCAAATGGCACGGGTAGTCTGGAAACATGGAGTCCAAAGTTCTGGTTTTGGATCACTCGAAAATATTGAAATGAGCAGGAAAAGATTTGCACCAGTGATTCGGCCTCCGTGTCCCTTATACGCGGCTACTCGACAAGCATAGTTATTCAAACCTCCGAACTTGTTCATTGGAACTGATGATCTCAAAGTAGTAGGTCCACCTTGAGGTTGTTACGACGAGCTTCTCCGCACCTTCCTCCACTTTGGACCCATCAACAGCTATCTTGACTTTTGTCAACGATCAATCAATCAATCATGCCACTTACCAACAGCCTTGTAAGCTGCCCAGTCATTGGGATTCAAAAGCTCGATGTTTCTGCTTTGTACTTTCTACTTTCTATCTCCCCTTCTCTTGCACACTTTCTGCAGCAGAGATGAAGCTCTATCAGTTGTTCCTTCCATGGCTGGTAGCCCTTGGTGCTGTCGCAGCACAATTGCAAGTCTCAAGGAAACCTGATGCCTCGGCTTCTCCCCAACAGTCGAGCATCGGATACCAATACAGCACCCTTCTTACAAGCATAATTCGCCAGCCCGATCTGGGCCTCCCTAATACCGCTACCGACACCGCTACCGACAACCAGAACGAGCTTGACGCCGCAGACTCCGACTCTGACGACAGCGATTCTGAACATGCTGCTGATGGCCAAGCCGACATGCTCGATGCCGACTACGACTCTGATGACACCGATCCCGAACTCGTTGCTTCCGCCAGCAGCGACAAAGGCCACCCTAAGAAGCACGATCCCGACGACGATGAAGATGGCGACGACAAGAAGGAAGAGAAAGAAGAGAAGAAAGAGGAAAAAAAGGAGAGAAAAGAAGCGAAGAAGAACGCAACCAGAGTGAAGTGGTACAAGCAACCTGACTGCAAACGTCCTAGTCGCAGATCGCATAAGCGGATGCCTCTGGGTGAATGTAGGAAAATGCACAAGGTAGCGGCTTACAAGTTCAAGGGGTCGAAGAAAAAGCACGGCAAGAAGGATAAGGACGACGACGACGATGCTGATGTCGAGTACGGTACCAATTGTACGATGAAATTCTACAACGACAAGAAATGTCAGAATCAAGTGTTTATTCACAGTGGTCCTGTAGATACTGCCGCTGGCTGCATCAACATCGGACGTACTGATAACGATAATCCCGACGGGAAGAAAGAAAAGAAGGAAAAGAAACGCAAGATTTGGTCTGCAATGCTCACTTGTGGAGACGAGGACGACGACGACAACTCGAGCAACTCAGTTGGTTCTAGCCTGTCAAGGACTGCTGCTGGTGTATCCAAAACTACCGGCCTCGCGTCAACAAAGGCTTCAGGCACCAAGAAGGGATCAAAGACCTCATCCGGAGTCTACCCTACCGAGTCTGACAAAAACGACGACGAGGATTCTGATGCTGAAGATGAGGAGCCAGCTACTGAAGTGAAGGAGCCAACTACCACAAAGGCTGGCATCAAGAAGTCATCAAAGATATCCCTCACGGCCGAACCTACCGAAACGCACAAGAGTGACGACGAGAGCGACAAGGAGCCAGGTACTGAAGACAAGGATTCAGACTCTGGATGGAAGGAGCTGGAACCCGAAGACAAGAAGCCCGACGACGACACCCCGAACTAAAATCTGACATCGACACTCACTTCCAGCGGCCGACTGCGATTCGCACACCCACCTAATGTTTATGCTTCCAACTGCCGGCTCGACGACATTCACCATCGATTATCAACATTCATTCAACACTACATCAGACTTTGACCTTCAACACTCATTCAACATCCAAGACAAGCCGATCATGTCTTACTAAAAAGTACATCATGTAGATACGTATAATTAATAAAACAATCGCGACATTGAACATTCGTTCCTATTCCACTCTTTTGCTCGAGTACGTTGTCGTTGCCTTGGATGCAGATGGGCCGCAGATCTCGGCTTTCGCAGCCGACTGTCGATTTCGAGGAACGGGTTCATGAATCGACGAGCACTCTCGAGTACTGGAAGGAGCCTTTTTATGGCTGTGACAATACCTGTGAGGCAATGGGAGCATTGTGTGGAACATGGCTATCATTATTGCTTATTATCTATTACCTCCAACTCAACTACAAAAACCTCATACTACCCGCATGAGACGTCGAAGTCGCCAACACACCAGCAGAAATACCATGTCCCTGAGGAACATTTTCGACTGCATCCTCCCATTCAGTATCATCGGTGTTTGCCTTGTTCTTGTCTCCGGTTTCCTCGACTTTAGCCATCGAGCTGCTGATTCTATTCCCTGCCTCTACTTGCACAAGACTCTTGCGTCCACGCATTTGCCTCGCGCCGCTGAAGCTATCGTTACTGACCAACTTGCTCAATTGATCTTCATCTCTATTCTCCTTGTCCTCGTCGAATTTACTCTTGAGTCTTTGCTTGCGGCCCTTGATACCAGAAGCACTGACACCGCTAAGCGTGACTCGCAATGGCGATGGCGAGCGAGAGGCAAGATTTCCAGAGCTGTTGCGATTGAGTCGGTCTGCCCATTTGCGACGTGCGGCTTCGCGGCTGTCGCTGGCGGTGCGGAGGATACTGCTTGGAGGTGGCGTTGGTGAGGCTTCTCCTGGCCGTACCCATGTGCGTTGATGGCGTGGTAGTTCCATTTCTACCGCGTATTCGGCGTATTGGGCTGCTGCTCGGGCGTCTGAGTTGTCGCGGGAGAGTGAACTGCTGGTGTCTGTTGTTGTCCAGTTATCTGCTGTGTTCGCTGGAGGTAAGGTAGGGCTGTTGTTGTTGGTAGCGCGGACTGGGGACGGAGTGATGGCTCGAGGGAGACCAGGAGGGAAGATGTGTGGACCAGAGACTAAGCGGCGTGGATTACGAGCCGGTGGTTCGAGGAGTGATGAGGAGGTAGTTTGTCGACGTACACTGGGACTACCTTTAATCGAGCCGAGATTGCTGTATAGGCCCATATTTGAGGATCGTCGTGATGAGGCGAACAGCACTGGACTCATCACGCCACTGCTCGCTCTATTACGGATGAAAGATTGCCGTTTCTCAGCAAGAGGTCTGCGATCGACGACACTTTCAGACCGACTGACTAGACGAATACTCCGACGTTTCTCTGCTTCTGTCAGAGCACGCCGATTTTCTGTTTCTGTAAGAAGTACCGCAGGCATTATGCTCGAATTCCTGTTCGAATTGGAATCTAGATAGTCCGATGGCTTGGTCGAAAGTATGCTGGTGCCATGCGTGTTGAAAGATCCTCGGCTGCTTCGGTCTCTTGTGATGGAGAAGGTGCTACTCAACCGGCTCTTTCTGTTTGGACGACGTATCACTGTGCCCCGCGTTGTGATGCCCAAACCTGGATGCCAGCTCTTGATCAATCTGGATGCACGTTTGCTAGGAGATAGTCTTCCAAACTCGGACAATCGTTGGCGTGAAGCTCGGATGTTTTGTCTTGCCAATTCTGTTGCTGCTGAATAGCTGTGATGTGGCGTGTGTGTAGTCCCCGAGTCTCTGCCCCAGACAGGAATATTGGAGTCTGCTTGTATGGCTGCTTCTCCATCACCAAGAGAGCTAACGACAGACAATTTACTCTGGCGTGCATCTCTGCCTCCAAGGAAATGTCTCGGCTTCACCGGTGGTTGCATCGGCATAGGTAGGTCGACCTCAAGTTGTGGTGGCTCATCCGGAGAGTGCTTGACGGGTGACCCGATGAACTTCTCCTCATCGTGGTTGTGATCTACCATCATCGGCTCCTGGTCGCCATATGGCACGATCGGTCTAATGTCGCCCTTTTCTATCTTTTTACGAGGTTCTTTTTGCTTTCTCCTACGGCGACAACACAACATCGCAATGGCAAAGAACAGAGCCAGAACAGCCAAGCATCCAATCACGATACCCACTATAATCCCAGCAGTCATGCTTCTGTCTTTTGATGGAGCCGCTGAGGATGTGACGGAGGGTGATGAAGTTGAGGTCGGGATTGGTGTCGTGCTTGTAGTTGATTGGCTGGTGGATAGACTACCAACAACTGCAGCCGCCTTCAGGTTTATGAAGAAAGTCTGTGTTTCAGAGTCAGAGGCGGATGAAGCAATCAATGTCATTGTGTCTGCGGAAGCCTTGGCCGTGGCTGGTGGGGTGCCTTCAAGCTGGCGTTTGCTCGCATCATAAGCTAGCCATGACGACGCGTTCCCAACATCAAGCTCGATGTTCAAATCACTTTGACTGAACAGAGAAGGTGCGAGTGTGTAGCTGAACGGTTTGCCAGCGGTCGCTGTCAAGTTGCCAATCTCGTGGTCAAACAGCGAAGCATTCGCTGAGCGAAGAAAAATATTCTTGACCGCCGTATCACCATATGTGTCTGTCACAGTGATGGATATCGTTTGCGACGTGAAGTCTTGCGGAGGTGTTCCTTTCAATTCGAGGGAGCTGTTCTGAAAGGTGAGCCACTCTGGCGCTTTTGCTACCGCACGTTGAATTTGGCTGTCAGACACCTGTCCACCATTTATTTGCAGTTGTCTTCGAAAAGGTCCCAAGGTGACCGACTCTTCCGGCGTAACGGTGATGTTCTCTGTCTGAGTGTCGAATGCTAGCTGGTTACTGCTGATAAGCAGGCTGAAAGTAGTTGTTGCTCCTGCAAAGCCAGCCACGTCAGAAGCAATAAAGTCGACACCGTAAGTCTGCGAGCCGGTGACCAGGACGGGAGTCATGCCCCAAAATGTCAGAGAACTGCTATCAAACTTTAACCAGGACGGTAGTGGTGTTCGGTCGGCCATTGTCGCATAGTAAGATTTGATCGTTCCCGGGTCGCCAAAGAGGTCATTCGAGAACGTGATGGCAAAGGCAGTTGAAGGTTGCAGTAGTAATGTCGCTGGACCCGACAGTGGTCCTGACCTCGCGAGGTCCGATGAGATGTTGCCTGCCAGAGTAGGGGCACGATTGCTAGCCACTACTAAAGTACAGTCCATGTTGGCCGATCCATCGTTCCCCGTCGCAACGATTTTAAAAACGTTTGGTCCAGTATTTCCTTGACCAGGCGTACCATACAATGTCCGAGTCGTGCTTTCCAGACTCAACCACGCCGGCGCACTCAACAGGCTGTAGACCAGAGTGCTGCCATCGCCAGAGACGAAGGTAGTGGGAGCGAGTTGGAAAGCGTAGGCTTCATTTGCTCGTGCAACAGATGGAACCTGTGAGTTGAAAGGAAATGCGACTTGTGGTAACGCCGATGCCAGCGTGTTGAAGAGTACCGAGAAGAGTAGGCCGCGCATTATCCCGTAAGTCGCTCGAGGCGGTGACAATCTGCACCTCGTTGCGGACAGCATAAAGGTTGTCGTAAGTCAGGTCCTGTTGTGCAGAAAGGCGATATTGTGACTGCACGGGCGAGGGCCAACTCACACTCATTCATCAACCACCTGTACAGCCACTAAACACGCTCTCAACGCGCGAAGACGTGTATAGCGATTTGACATATCCTTGCGTACCGGGCGGAGGAATGGCACTTTGAAGAATGAACGAGGGTGGGCTGGAATCTGTGTGCTGGGAAGCAAGGGGTAGTGTTGAGCGATACCACACCTAAAACCTGATCAGAAGACAAGAGTTCGATCGCCCATTCGCACAAGAATCTATGGCGAGTTTGGTCGGCATTCTGGATTACCGTAAATTCCATATTGACTTTTCAAGACTGGGAAGTACTATCTTGTCTGACAAGAGGCATTTGAAGCCTCGATAGATAGGGTTGATAGATACCACGCGACCACACTCAAGGCCATTGTCTTCATATCGATACTGACCCGAGACACATGCCTACCTGAGTGAGGAATGTACTCCTCCTCGTATAGTGGTATACCAAGTACTTACCATGTACTTGGAGAAAACAAGTCGAAGGTAGTACCACATCATTGTGGACGATGCTTGTAGAGATCGCGTCGGATCTTGCCTGTATACAGGCCACCATCGCAAGTTTCTTCTGACACTTCAAAAAAGAGATACTCTTGACTCGAGCTGCGAGTGCCGAATTGATGTTCAGAATTGTGGATGGGTGAAAAGGAAGGTCGTAGTGAGGGAAAGAACGCGTCCCGAGGCTGATCTCAAAGCAAAGGGTCTAGAAGCCAACAGCCACAGCAGCTCTAGCCTAATCCTTCCACTTACTATCTACCACATACAACCCTCACCGACGGCAAACCCATTCTCTTTTGAACACATAATCATCCAGAAACACAAAATCGCCCAATCATGTCATTATCAGACGACGAAAGAAATGGCGTGTTCGGAATTGGAGAAGAACTCGTCCCAGTGCGTGAGCTAAAGCAAGCTGGCGTCATGGAGCTGGACTTTGATGGATTGCTAAGCACACCCCTGAGATTGGAAGAAGATCTCAAGAAGGGCTGTGGAGGCATGCTATGGCCTGCTGGGATGGTGATGGGAAAGTACTTGATGAGACAAGATCGGAATACGTTCATGGACAAGTCGATGTTTGTGAATGCCAAGAAATATGGTACAGGGATCATGGTATACTGACTGAATTGTGTAGAGTCGAACTCGGCGCTGGAGGCGGTCTTGTTGGGTAAGTGATGTTAAATTTTGATACTTCTGGTCAGTTTGACTAATCTTGATATGAACAGTCTTGCTGTTGCCCTAAAGTTCCAACCAGATCAACCTCTACAAATCACCGATCAAATACCCATGTTCGCCTTGATGGAACGAAATATCGCACTCAACGACTTGCAGGACCGAGTCAAGCCATCAATATACGACTGGGGTGAGGCGGTTCCGGAAGGTATACCTCAACATCCAGACATCATTCTTGCGGCAGAATGTGTCTACTTCGAACCCGCGTTTCCTCTTCTACAACAAACCATGAAGGATCTCATTGGCCCGAACACAGTCTGCTACTTTTGTTTCAAGAAGAGGAGAAGAGCAGACATGAACTTTGTCAAAGTCATGAAGAAGATGTTTGTGGTTGAGCCCATCGAGGATGATCCTGATAAACCGAAATGGTCAAGGGAGAATCTACATTTGTGAGTCTACCCATCAACATATACCAAAAGTCCGCTAACCTGTCTCAAAGCTTCAAGGTCACTCTCAAGAAGAAGAAGGTATGAGTACAGAGCCACTCAAAAATGATTCAAGGAAGTTTCTTGGACATAGAGCCGTTCAAGAAGCCGCAACCTACAGAAAGAAGCACAGGGGGCTGGAGGCAAGAGAGAGGCAATCACCTACGGACAGAAGTCCTCATGATCCCGGAAAACCCCCAACGATAGCATTCATCAAGCGGCAACAGATCGTTGAGAGCCATGCTGGCCAAGAAAGGACAGAAGTACACATCGATGTGAAAAAAGGAAGACCAGCTTGATCAAGAAAAACCAAACGACAAAGCACACATGGGAAAGTATAAAGCAAATCAAGAGTACAGTATCCATATCAACGCACTCGCTCGCTATCATCCTCATACATCATCAAAATCATAAAAACCATAAGACCAAACATCATCAACACGTACAGCCCGTCACCTCATACACAACACACCCATAATCCCATACCAACCACCCTTACAACCCACAACCTTACGCATCCCCTCAACCCTCAATCTCGCTCCTCTCCCCCTCATCATCCTCCCTCCCCACCCTCCCCCCTCCTCTAACAAAAATCTTCTTTCTTCTTCTCTTCAACTCTGCCAATTTCAAATTCCTCCTTCTCCCACACCTGACACACCTACACCCAAAACTCCTGTCACAATTCCTCCTACCACCCACCCTCGGCAATCTCAAAAACTTCCTATCCTGTTTCCCCACCACCTCACCCGCATCCACATATTCCACTGCCGTAAGCGTTATTGCAGGTGCGAGAGGCAAGGCAGAGTTGAGAATGATATCCGGGTCCGGGGATGTGGGTGTGAGGGTCGAGAGTGGGAGAGCAGGAGAAGGTGGTGTAAATATCGCTGTCGAGGGTTTGGAAGTCCGTAAACAGGAATGCAAGAATTGGAGAAGGTTTGTGCGGTAGATTGTTGGGTTTATTATGAAGTAATTGTCGTGGTGTGAGATGTGTGGGTGTATTATATCGAGTGGCATAATATTCGATTCCAATATTTCTTCTTTTTTTGTAATTTGTTTGTGATTCGGAAGTTGGTGAGATAATTGTTTCGTGTAAAGTGTTTGGCAAGATGCGAAGAGGTGTAGATGGGTCGCCTTATGTTGTAAATGTGGGTGGCCTTGTTCGTTGTGGACGTCGTGGAATGCCAGCGGTTGCGTAGTATGGAGCAACCGAAGCTTGCTGGAACAATGGTGAATGCGGTGGTGTTATACTTCCGGGTACCGTTTTTGTGTTGCAAGGATCTGGAATTATGACGAAGATTCGAGCTGCTCGTCAAAGACAATACATGAGAATTGATTGATGGACGATGTTTGAGGAAGCAGAAAATTAAAATGTTGTCAAGGCAGAAGCGGTGTGGGTGGAAGATTTGACAGGCACCAAAACAAGACTCACCGAGCTTTCAAAGACAAGTGGAATTCCACGTCGACGTCAGAGGTAGTCTGAAGATGTGCAATTGATACTAAAAATGGGGTATAGAAAGGACAAAGATATAACAAGAAACAAGAGAAGTCGTGAAGTCGTGACTTCTCGGCCGTCGAAGAATATCAAACTCCCGACGCCATCGCTCGATAGACAACCACCCAATCATTATTCTAATAGACGTTCTCAAAAAAGGCAGCAAGTGCTCCTGCGAGATGCAGAAGAAGAAGAAATCATTACATCAACCCTCCTAGAACCAGTCTACCGAGTCCGCCTATTTCAGAACGGACTTCGCGGCGAGTGGTGTCGCCCAGCTCTTGAACGGCATTCTGCACCAAGACCTTGCGCAGAATTTTGTCTGCTTTGCCAAAGGCTTCACCCACACCGGGGCCTACAGACTCTGTGTTCGGCAGGAGTTGGACAACTCCAGAGTATGTGTCAATCAGGATATCCGCTAATGTTGCAAAGGCGGTGTGGAAATCCGGATCAAAGGGCAAGGAAGGTGTTTGCAGATAGGTAAACTCCGGCATGTTGCCAGAAGATACGGGAGGTAGAGGCAGGGAGTCCAGTTGGGCGCTTTCAACAGATTCGGAAAGACTCTCAATGGCAGCACTGCTAGATCTGCGACCTTTGACACCACGCATGCCGCTCTTGAACATGGCGCCCATGCGACCACGGGCACCTACTGAACCATCGGGGTTGTTGAGTTGTTGATAAGTATCGTACTCTGCGAGAAGAGCAGCGAGAGAACGCAGGTAGTCGAGTGGATTGTCCGAGTTCATATCGAGAAGAGGAGGTATGGAGGTACCGAGGAGGAGGTAATTCGAAGCACGGCGACCAAGCTTAGAGTAGTGCATGGACGGAAGTTGGTTGAGGTTGGAGGGTGTGTAAAGGAGGGTATTGAAGTAGTAGAGGTGACCTTCATGTCTGGATTTTGTCAGCGCATTGGACTTGGAGGGAGAAATGATTGCGACGCACACTTTGCGAAGATACTCCAGAGTAGCTATGCGCTTGCGGCATGTGTCATGTATGTGGTTCAAGAGAGCGGCAGGAACGAAGCTGGTTTGAGGAGCTTGGGTTGTATTTGACGGGACCAGATTAAGGGAACTACCATTGGTGGCATATGATGTCAACGAAGGACGGTCTGTCTCTGAGCGCTTGAGACCATGGCTGAAAGGAGTGGCCAGCATGGAGAAGGGAGTCTTGGGAACAGGCTCAGCAAGACTGTGTTGGCGATCGCGCGAGAAGCTATCCGACGACTTTTGTGGACTCAATGTGGTGTTGAAGGGCGGTTTGATCGTGTGAGTGGCATTGGCACTAATGGAACGACTTTGACGATGCAGGCGGATGGGAGAGCGGGATGGAACGGCTATGGACGAGCCTCGGGCCTTGTGGTGATGTATCGACGACTGCGACTCGTGGGAGCGAAGGGATGCGCTGCGACGAATGTCTCCTTCGGCGATTGAGGAAGGGAGCGATATGACCGACGAATCTCTGCGCGCTGTCGGAGATAGTTCTTCGCTGACTGGCGGCGAGATGGGCGTGATGGAAGTGCTTTCCTTGCGTGACGACTTCTTGCTTGAAAACAGCGACGGCTTCCTTCCAAAGATGGAAGCACTGGGAGCTGGCGACGGGTCGGGCATCTCTCTCTTTGTCCCTGGACCCCTTGACGTTTAGACTCTTTAGCCCTGCTAAGTTCCAACGGACAATTACTCAGGGGTGGACCCTGTATGCAGTACGCATCAAGCAGATCGAGAGATGTACTCGACAGGAGGCCGGCCGTGCTGCGCTGCGACTACTGAATGACTACAAAATCAGCCTTCTAGGACATGGAACCAGAGTAATCTTCTATCTTGGCGTGTCAAATCTCCCACGCGAGCAAGGAATCTAGATGTAGGCAAAAGACGTGGTAGAAGGGACTTGGTTTGGTGAAACGATCGTTTCCGCAGAGCCCCTGGATCCAATCATCCAAGACGGAATCCTCGCCGTCATCCGAGCGCCAAAACTCCCCCACCTTCAATCTAATCCGCGCCTGCCCCACCACGTGCTTGTTGATGTTGACGGGAAGGTGCAGCTCACTCGCTCGACTCTCGACTCTCGACTCTCGATTCTCTCTTCTTGTGCAACCCGACAAGTGATAGCATATTCGTAACCATGTCTTCCACCGAGGTACACGATGACAACTCATTGCCCAACGCGCCTACGTAAACCTCAGAGACGCTGACCGTCTCGCAGAGCATTCCAGCTCCTGGTAAGTGGCCCGTCGACCCTCAAGAAGACATCCCAATCAGCGACGATCGCGTCTGGGTGGATGGCTGCTTCGACTTTGCCCATCATGGTCATGCTGGCGCCATGCTCCAAGCACGTCGTCTGGGAACCGAGCTTCTTGTTGGTGTTCACTCCGATGAGGCCATTCTCGAAAACAAAGGTCCTACAGTCATGACTCTGGATGAACGGTAAATACTCGACATTTCCTGCACTCCGTATTGCTGCATACTGGGCTGTGTCTGTGCGAAGCTGAACTGTCTCGTCTAGCTGTGCTGCTGTCGACGCATGTCGCTGGGCCACAAAGTCCATTCCTCACGCCCCTTATGTGACTTCCCTACCTTGGATCTCCCACTACGGCGCCAAATATGTCGTTCATGGAGACGACATTACTTCAGATGCCAATGGCTACGACTGCTACAGATTCGTCAAGGAGGCCGGCCGTTTCAAGGTCGTCAAGCGCACACCTGGTATAAGCACGACCGATCTTGTTGGTCGTATGTTGCTGTGCACAAAATCACACTTCATCAAGGACCTTGATGCTTTGCTGGAGGGCCAAGAAGGCCCAGGCGGAGAAACGGAGAGAAAGAGCACAGGAGAGGACATGAAAGAGAGAATCAGGGAATACGCGACCGATGAGTCTGGCAACAACCCCTTGGTCGAAGTCTGGAGTTGGCGCTCTGCACACTCCAACCAACAACACTTCCACCAGAATGGCTCCTTCCTCAAGAAGGTCAACGGAACTTCACCACTGCCCGGTCAGAAGGTCATTTACGTTGATGGTGGCTTTGACCTTTTCTCGACTGGTCACATCGAGTTTCTCAAACAGGTCGTCGAGACTGAAGAGAAGCAAGCCAAGCAAACCGGATGGGACAAGGAATTCAGTCCCATCTATGTTGTCACAGGTGTCCACAGTGATGAAGACATCAACGATTACAAGGGTATCAACTACCCCATCATGAACATTTTCGAGCGTGGTCTATGTGTCCTGCAATGCAAGGTTAGTATCGTCTCAACCCACATATCTGCACCCAATACTTATACAAACCACAGTATATCTCGTCTCTCATCTTCATGGCACCCACAGTTCCCAGCAAAGCCTTCCTGGAATCATTACCCTACTCAGTCCAAGCAGTCTACCACGGCCCCACAGTCTCAGCACCTCCTGGTGAAGACTTCTACACCGACGCAAAGGAAATGGGTATTTTCCGCGAAATCTCCTCACACCCATACTCGCAAGTCAACTCAGACTCCATCGTCAACCGCATTCTTAAGAGCAGAGAGTTGTACGAGGAACGTCAACGCGTCAAGGGCGTCAAGGGTATTGGAGAAGAGGCCGTGCGCAGAAGAGAGGCGATGGAAAGGGAGAAAGCAGAGAAAGACAAGGCCGCGCGCGCATAAAGAGGTGACGTCGGAACCACAGTAATAAAAGTCTTCTTCCCCAAACCTTGATCTTTGTGCAACAGGCTCTCGGCGGCCAAGGTTCATCTTTTCCAAAGGCCTGTTGCATTTCAACAAGGTGTCGAATGAATACTCTTTCCAGCAAGTCGACACATAGACGAGAAGCGTTGACAGACTTCAACATATACTAATCATCCTTATGTCGGAGAACGAGGAACGAGCAAAAAGGCAGACGGGTCAGGGACGCTATTGCTTTCTTCGGGTACATGGATGCCTAGCGGGAGTATGAGAGAAAAAAAAGGCAGAAGTTCACGGTGTAGTCCTTTATGGTGATTGATGCAAAGTGTTCTTTGCGTTTGGAGGAGAAGTAGGTTTGCAGGGGGGTGCTTGTACTTATAGCTAATGCAAAAACACTCTCTAGCTTGGGGAACGGGGTTGCTCATATTAGAATGCTTCTACTTCCAATTATTACTAGCAAGCTTGTTTGGCTGCGATATGGAAGTTCATTGGCGTGGTTTGTGGTGAAAGAAGAAGGATGTAGGATGTTCTAGATTCCTGCATGATGGACATGTCACTCTGTTCGAAGATCAAGCGTAACGGATAGCAAAAAGTTTAGCATTTTTTGAAGAAGAGAAAACATCATCTAAGTAAGCTTCTGCTTGATGAAGAAGTTTCTAAGGTGAGAAAGCTGCCATGCGCAGGTGACACCCAAGATTGCCAACTGAACAAGAGTCCAGCGAACAACACGGGCATTGGTGTGCTCAGACATGTTTCTGAATTCGGCCTCGCGCTCTCTCTGGAAGACCTGCTCCTTTCTGATATCGCTGAGTCTGGCGTTCAGGTCCTTGACTTTTGAGACTATGTCGTTGAGCTTGTGCTTGTCGTCGCTCTCGATGCGGGAGGTTTCGCCAATGGCCATGTCGACTTCGAGCTTGATGTTTCCGGCCGAGGAGCCGCCTGCGAGCCAGCCTTGGGCAGAGGGGACGTTGGTGGGGGTGAAGCAGATGCGGTGGTCGCCAGAGTCGGCGGCGGAGAAGGTGAAGCGGCCCTTTGAGTTGCCGCGCTGGGAGACGATGCGGTGGTCATTGTCGAAGATTTCGTCGACGCTGATGTAGAGGCCCATGTCGGGGTTGGCTTCGTATTTACGGCTTTGCTCGTTCCATTGTGTGGCGGTGTAGTGACCTGTGATTATTCTGTTAGGACTGTATTCTGGGAGCAGAAATCATAGACAGGACAATGAACTCACCGACTACCAGGGTGTCCTTGGGGAGCTCCTCAAAGAAGCACTTTTGGGAGGGGCCGTCGATGTAGAAGTAGAGGGCCTGGGTCGGCAGCATCAGAGCCGCAAAGGCAAGCACCGAGAACAGCATCGAGTGCATTGTGAGGGTCGTTATTCGTGATAGACAAGATGTGATAGATAAAAGGACAACAGTGCAACATGCCCCTAAACATGAAGGCCAGCTCCAGCGGTCGTTCGCCAAGAAGTGTGGAGCGCTCGCCGCAACGCAGAAGCACCAACTGCGACATCTTCACGCGACGACGACATTTCGATTCTCATCAATTAATTCCACCTTCACAGCCACGGATTAGTTCAACATGTCGGCACAGGATATGCGCGACATGCTGGGTCTGACGGGCGATGTCGCTCGTCCGCCGCCTTTGAAGAAGCATAAGACGGTCGAGAAGCGTTCACGTCAGTCACATTTCTGCCCAACTCAATGCGCCGCATGCTAATTGAATGCAGTGGAAAAGGGAATTGCCCGTGAGGTCTCGGCCTTGATGGGTGAACGCGCTCCACCGATTGCTATGATTCAGGTCCAACCCAAATACAAGCAACGTCCTAGAAGATCTCAAAAAGTCGCTCCCTGGGAATGGCAACCCTTCAACAACTCAGCAAGAGAGGACGGTCTTGTTCTACACCACTGGCAGCGCAAAATTACTCCCAGACCTCGCCCTCAATCTGGACAACAGCCCCAAACAGAGTCGGAAGCCGATGGAGAGAAACAACCCGAGCCTGAACAGCAAGAGAAGGAATATCAGTACGCCAGATACAACGTCCAGATCGAGACTCCCACATACGATCAGTCCTTGTACGATACCCAGCTACAAGACTCGAGTTGGACAAAGGCAGAGACGGATTACTTGCTGGAAACTGTGAAGGAATACGGTCAAAAATGGGCCGTCATCTGGGATCGCTACGAATACCAGCCTGAGCCTGCAGAGAAAGGTGCAGAAGCACCGGAACCGACATCTCGCTCGATGGAAGATCTCAAGGCTCGCTACTACTCCGTCAGCGCAAAGGTTCTAGTCGCCGAAGCGCCCATCTCATCCATGACCGGCCAGCAGTACAACTTGTACTCCACCTTGACTGGTTTCGACCCCGTAAAGGAAACTTCGCGCAAGAAGCTTGTCTCGGGCCATCTTTGCCGTTCGCAACTCGAGGTCGACGAGGAGAATGTCTTGCTAGCCGAACTGCAACGCATCATGATCAGCCAGCAACAATTGGAGAATGAACGCAAGGAGATCCGCGATAGACTCGAGTATCCCTCAACAAGCAACACCACAGGAGCGCAATACAGCACATCGCAGCAATTGGGTTCCCTCTTCCAGCAACTCCTCCAAGCCGACCGCATGAAGAAGGACCGCAGACTCAAGGCCCTAAACGACACCCCCGGCAGCGGTCCTAACACATCCGCACAGATCCAATCTGCCGCAGGTGCAACCTCTGGTCACCGCGACAGCATCAGCAGTGCCACCGGTGCCCGCAAGGCAGGCGGTCGCGACTCCATCGCTGGCGGCTCAGGCACAGGCATAGACCCCACCGCCCGCGCCCTCACATCCCACTCCGCTCAACGCTACTTCGTCACCCAGCACGACCGCCTCAGCAGTGGTGTCTCATTCGCCTCTGAGCGTCTGCACCGCGCCCGCCATGCCAAAACCAACGCCCAGAACGAGAAAATCTCCGCCATCCTCAACCACCTCCGCATCCCTGACATCATCCCCCTGCCCACCCAACGCGTTATCGAAGACTTTGAAAAGCTGATGCAAAAGGTGCATTTGCTCTTGGACATGCGTAAGGTCGCCGACAAAGAGGTTCAGGAAATCAGAGTCAAGGAGGCCGAAAAGAAGGTCAAGGAAGGAAAAGACAGTGGCGGTGTCAAGGAAGAGAATGATGAGGCAAAGGCTGGTCAGAAGAGAGATGCCAGTGTCATGAGCGATAGTGCTCAGACTGCTACCAAGAGACCTAAGAATTAACTTGGAGCCAAGTTCTGTAGCTAGACTTATCACAAGGTCTTTTGGAGAGAGATTTATGAAGAAGTGGTAGATTATGACTTGTAATCAGAATGTATCACCACTTTGATTTGGCTGTTTGGAAGTGCTGTGTTGTATCTGTCTACTTATCTTGTAGAAAACTCCTTCCTTGTGGGAAACAGACATGTTGTTTCAAATTTGGAATGAACGATCACTCCCATCGGACAAACCAAAGACTAAATAAAACACAACTGCAAAAGGACACAATGCTTTTCGAACCTGAAAGACCATCCATCGAGAGCTCCCCCCTTTCTTCCTCACTCTCATCGAACAAACCAGAGGCTAAACCATATCTGTCAAAAGACATGATGCTTTTCAGATCAGTGATGGCCTCCAGTAAGTATTCGCACGTCTTTGTCAAATTCTCGGTGGTGACCTGGCCCGGCGACAGGGAGCGAGAAGATGTTTCTTTAAGTTGCTCTCGCACTTCCACGACGCAAGCGATGGCGACGAACGCTGCGTTACTTCCGTGAGGCCTCAATGTTATAGTACCGTGGTCGTGGGATCGGTCTTAGAACCCGCGACGGCCACGAACTCTACGTGGCTTAGGGGTTTGTTCTCGCCCTTCCAGACGCAAGTTGTGGTAGTAAACGCTGCATTGCTTCCATGGGGCGTCCCCTTCACTGTACCGTGAGCGCGGGATCCTCCCTTAAGCACGGTACGGTTAGGGACGCGATGCTCGTCCGTTGCTGGCTTGCGCGGCCGTGGTGATGACGGAGAGGCAGAACACGGCACAACAGCTCGGTGCTGAAATCAATGCGAAGATAACTTGATGAGAGAAGGATTCAGTCCCGCTCAGAAGAGCTTGTTTTATAGGTGGTTCGAGAGTCGTCGGGACCCTGGTATTTGGACGGAGGCAGTTCCGTGGTGATGGTCAAACTTGACTTTTGCTGAGATTGACTCTTGAGTCTGGTATCCGAAAGTTGTGGGCGAGAATCTGGGTTTTGTTTCCTGTCTCGAGCTGTCTCGCCAGCTTCCGGCTCCAGAGGATTGGTGGCAGTAATGCCGGAGCCGAGAACTGGATCTGTCGTGTTTTGCGTGCTGGTGCATTGGTAGCTCAGGGCGCAGCATCCATCTCGGTTACCCAAGCATCGATACGTGCCCGATCAACACTCGCAGCACTCACACTGTCCAAGTCTCCAAGCTCTTTGATACGAGGATTGCTGTCAAGTGCTCTCACGGCATCCTCAGTCAGAGGAGCTCCCATTCTCTTTTCTCTTCGCTTTCTATCAGCAGCAGCTCTTTCCGTCTCGGTGGCTGTGTCGAGAAGCCATTGCAGTCCGTTTGAGAAAAGTACGGTGTGGTCGTCCGAAAGAGCAGGCATCAAGGGCTTTTGGTGGAGTAATTGTTTGTACAGCGACTTTGTGTTTTCGGAGAGGCCTTGCGTGTTTGAGGTGGTTGTTTTCTTGTGGGCAGGGAAGACGTAGTCGTAGCCGCCTTCAAGGTGCGGGTTCAGCGAGCTTGTCGAGGTCTTGTGCGAGTTTGTTGATGAGGAGGAAGTGGTGGACTCCATGGGTGAGATGCTCGGTGTTGCCATTTTGGTGACGATCTTGCTGGACTTTTGTCTATGAAACGAGAGACTGGTGTGATGAGAGAGCAAGAGGGGAAAAGCAGAGGAACGAATCAGCAATGGGAAAGAGAAACCCACCAGCACCTACCTTACTACTCAATACCATCGCCGTGGCAGTGGCTTGCAAGGCCAACGCGCCTAACAATCAACATCGCCGATGCTATCCTATGATGGCTGTTGCATTTCGTCACACCCCTTCCCTGTCATTTCTGTCTGTCCAAGGTTTCGCTTGGTTACCAAACAGCTGCAACACTACGACAGGACCTGAAGCTAGGCGGGAAGCGGATTGTTAGATGCTGAGATCGATGATCCTGGCCGCGATAGGTTGCGATCGTCGATGTCAGCGAGAATCCCGAACGCACGTGCATGGAGACCGCATCCGCGTACACCTGCCCAAGGCCCCCTTCTCATCACAAACGAATCGCTGCTTGTCTTGCAATGTCTAAATCGGTTTGCTCAGCATCTGATGTGTCATTAACAGAGCACATCCAAGACAGTGCTGTTGTTGTTGGTATGAGAAGCGAAAATGCCAATTGACGAGAAACCACAAAACTCCCAGAATCTCTCACTCCGTTTTCCTGAACAGCCGAAGCCACCATCTCGATGTACATACGAACGACCGCTATAAAATAGCTCTATTGTCTCTCGCGTACCTCCGATGGCCTGACACTATAACGTGTATAAGCGACACGAGATGACGTTGGGAGAGAAAAGCCACCATTTTCCTTTTGAAGTTTTGAGAAAAGGTTGGAGGTTGGGTTGTGGTGAGGACTCTTTTTTTTGGGTGACGCGTGCGAGTATGGAGAGCCGCGAAAAAGCATTTTTATCTTAAGAGGTTGGGGTCATGGAGAATGAGTTTACTGACTTTTCTTGAGCGTCAGAGTCGGGAAACACCTTGCACCTTCTGCTCTAGGTTGGCGACGGCGACATTCTTCCAAGGGACATTCGTAAGTTGACAGGATCCTCTTCTCATGAGTCGAAGCCATACATAGAAAAGGTAAGAGCGATCACGAAAATCACCAAGTCAAGTAAGTCGCAAAAATTGGCAAGAACATATCGGTAAGGCAAGGAAGACCAGCTTCCATTCTCATTTCATCATCAATCGTCAGAAGGGGGTATCTAATGCTTCGTCTCCATCGTAAAATCTTCCACCACCTCAAACCACAAAGTAAACATTAAATCGTGAGAACCTCCATGTATTGCACTCCTTCCCATGCAACTTCTTTCTGATGCGAATGTGTTCAGAACTCCTCTTTTTCCACCAGATTTTCCTACTCAAAATCCTCCTCGAAAGCAATCAAAAGCAGCGGCAGCATCAGTTGAAACCGCGGCCACGACGAGGACGTGCTGTGCCATTGATTTCAACTTGCAGTTTTCTGGCGAGCTCTTCATCGGCAGCGAGCTGAGCAGCAGAGGCGTCTTCTTGATCTTCGGCAGCAGCGTCGTGCTCTTGATCCTCAGCATCACCAGCGTAGTCACTGTCTTCATCGTCATTGTTCTCGGTTGGCTCTTCATTGACGTTGTTCTCGGTTGGCTCTTCATTGACACTGTTCTCGGATTGCTCGGCGATATCAGAGAGCTGAGGAGAGTAATGGCGGGCAGAAGCTTTGGCTGCCGAAGATGACTTGTTTCTGAGAAGTTCGCGGTTCTTCTTTGCCTTGTCTGCTGTGCTGACGACAGGCTCCTCATCGTCTTCAGAGTCGTCTTCCTGGTTGCGTGCGTTTTCCTCTCTGAGCCTGGCGTTTGCCTCTTGACGTCTGCGAAGCACCCCGAACCAGTATGCCTTGCCGATATTCGTAGATTCTGGAGCAGGTTCTGGAGCAGGTTCTGGAGCAGGTGCTGGGACGTCATCGACACGACGAATGATATGCTGTTTGCTGTTCCAATAAGCTGTGTCCTTTCTTGTGAGTAGGCGACCGTCCTTGATGCTGTATCTGGCCGTTGCGCTGAAATCGGACATCTTGTGTCGCTTGGGTCCAGGTGCTGATGAGGTTTGCTCTTCGTCTTCATCGTTGATGTCGGTGAATCTGCGTTTATGGTGGCTTGATCTGGCTGATGCTCTGGGTCCTGCTGTAACTTCTTCTTCGTCGTCGTCGTCTTCGATGATAGTAGCTCTCTTTGAACGTGATGATCTGGCAGGTGCAGTGGTATTTGAGTGCTGCTTGCGAGATGGTCTCATGGTGATCTCCTCATCGTCCGAGGCTTCGATAGTGGCATTGCGCTTGGGACGAGATGATCTTGGTGTTGTGATGATGTTTTCGCTCGAGACGTCGTAAAAGGCCTTGTCTTGAGTTGAAGGAATGACCGAAGAGCTGCGATAACGCTTGGAGGGTCTTGCTGCAGGAACGAAGTCGTCCTCCTCGTCTTCGCTGTCGACAAAACGAGCCTTTCTCTTGCCCTGGCGGACAGAAGATATTGATGTCCCACTGGACTGAGCAGGCGAAGCAGAAACCGTCTTGCCTTTGGATGCGGTGCTGGCGACCAAAGAGGTGGCAGCGAGGGTGCCACTTTTGGTGCCCTTGGCGAGCGAAGAGGTCGTGAGTCCAGAGCCAGAGTGCTTCTTCTCTCCACGGTCCTCGAACCCCGAGATGGCCCGCAATCTGCGGTTCCACTGAAGCTTCACACCAGAAGCGGTGCGGTTGAAGCCGTGGTCCTGCTTCATGCGATCGGCGACCACCTCGAAGCGCTTCTCCGTGCTAGCAATGGCGGCGTGTCTCTTCTCCGTGCAGATCTCCCTCATGAGCTTGATGCAAGCCTGGTCCTCTGCATCGGACCAGGAACTTGCCTTGCGAGAGGAGATGGTGGGAGCTGGTGCGGCCGAGATCCTTGCAGGTTGCTTGCCTGCCGCCCGGCGAGAAGGGCGGGCAGGAGCATAGTCGTCGTCGTCTTCGTCGTCTTCGTCGTCGTCCTTCTTCTCCTCCTCATCGTCGTCCTCGATGACCTCCTGCTGCCATTCGGCGGTACCGGCGAGGGCGATACCAACCGAAGAGGGCCCCTTACCCTTACCAGCACCCACGGTTCCTATCCTAGGAAGCGCAGGGCTCTTCCACGCCACGCGACGGGGAAGAACATCGTCATCATCGGACTCATCCTCCGAAGAAGACAAGTCCTCAACTGACGAGTTGGCGTCAGGCACGAGACTCTCGTCCCCACCATCGCTGCTAGGATAATCATCGTCGTTGTCGACAATGGCAGCTGGAGGGGGGGAGGCAGGGAAGTCCCACTTGACACGAAGAAGCTCCCTTGATCTTCGGCATGTCTCCCTGATCTCAGCCACAGTAGGGCAGTAGACCCTTGGCTGGGGGAGGCTGGAGTCGGAGAGCCAAATCATGTCGCGGGTGACCAAGGCGTCGATCTGGGCTGCTGTCTGTTCGATCATGATGATGGTGTTGCGTGGTGCGATGAGGCCTGCTCAAAGTGTATGCTGATGCGAATCGAGACCGGCTCGAGTGGTATGGCGAAGGTGAGAGAGAGAGAGAGAGCGAAAAAAGGGGGCAAATGGATCAACAGAACTGGACGAAAGGCAAAGAAAGAGGGAGGACGCAAGAATGGAAGGGGGGATATGTCTACATTGACAATAGCATAGCCATGAATAGGAGCATGGCTATACCAATGGCGTATAACATAGCGATTGTTGAAAGCTATTATGAACAATAGAGCAGGGAAGTGATGAAATACTTGAGAAAATGATAGAGTAGAAACACAATAGGAGGATGAATAGGAGATAGAGCAGGGCATTGTTACCGTACAATGGAGTAAAGTTGCATGAATAGCATCATAATAGGCGATGAGAATGGAAGGACCTCGAGTGAGAGTGAAAAAGAGATTGACTTACCTGGACCAACGACTGGCCATTGTGCAGAGCAAGATAACCAATAGGGGTGCTCATGGAGCATAATAAGAACACTCTTCCCGTGATCGAAATATCGTCACTGACACAGCTGCAAAATGCACGATGATTTTTGAGCATAGAGCTAGGTCCAAAGAGAGAAGCTCAAATCACTACTCTCTGCGGACAAGGTGCTCTTGCTCAAAAGCATTGTGCATTTTGATAGGTTGATGAAGGCGCATGGCTGCAGTTGGGGAGTCGATGTGACTGGCAAAAGGTGGCAGATATTGCAAGATTTGACAAGACTTGAGATTGAGCGAGGTATTTCGTGAAGGTGATTATAATTTCATAAATAGACAGAAGAAATCAAGCGGTTGTAACCTCTACTGATTCCCAACATTTCTAGAGAATCGGAACGATCCTTCCATGCGGGCGCCCAGCAACGGGTAAAAGTCCATCTTCGCACAGCGCGAAAACGACCTTGCTACAGAAAGGCAAAGGACGTCGATAAGTAATGTTGTAAGCTGGCGATGTTTGTAGAAAACAGAAGGGAAGCGCTGCAGGAAAACAGTTTTGTGTTGCTGCAAGCTGAGGGTCTGTGCACAATGACGGAAGGAGCCGGTCGTCTGGCTGGCTGCTGCATGGCTGCTGGGGGTTGCTGGCATCAGGAGCAGTCGGCGACGTCTCCAGTTGTTGATATTGCCCATCTGTACAATTCACCTGCCACCTGTCTGAGTCGACATCTGCGCCTCTCCTCGACTTCTCACACGACATACCCGATTCCCCCAAACCAGGCCAACTTTCCTCAGCAGATCGACATCACACCCCAGGGGTAGCTTCATCTATACAACATGGCCGCATTCGCGCCTCACGGAGCGCCCGCCATGGACTACGAAGCCTTGAAAGAGCAATGGAGCGACATCGAGGACAAGGACGGCATCAGACTGAGTTGGAACACGTTTCCCTCTTCGCGCATGGTATGCCGCCCTGCCCCGCGACAGCTGTCATTTCTGAGGTGAAGCTCTCTCTAACAGCCGTACAGGAAGCCTCGAGACTGGTTGTGCCCATCGGAGCTCTGTACACACCCTTGAAAGAGAAGACCGACACACCGCTGCTTCAGTATGAGCCCGTCTCTTGCAAGGCGCCTTGCCGCGCCGTCCTGAACCCCTTCTGGTACGTCATTCTACACACCTTGACAAGATAGACAGACGCTCACTGCAGCATAGCCAAGTCGACATGCGCGCCAGGATATGGATCTGCCCTTTCTGCTTGCAACGCAACGGTCTGCCACCTCACTACAAGGACATCTCCGAGAACGCCATCCCTCCCGAGCTGCACCCCTCCAGCACCACCATCGAATACAGACTGGCCAGACCCGCTCCCGTTCCCCCGATTTTTGTCTTCGTCGTCGACGCATGTCAAGAGGAGGACAGTCTGAAGGCTCTCAAGGACTCAATCATCATGTCGCTCAGCCTCCTGCCCCCCAACGCTCTCGTCGGTCTTATCACATACGGCACCATGGCCCAGGTACACGAGCTTGGCTACACCGAATGCGCAAAGTCGTACGTCTTCCGCGGATCCAAGGATTACACTGGCAAGCAGGTTCAGGAAATGCTCGGTTTGATGATGGGTGGCGGTGGTGCCAGAGCTGGCATGCCCGCCATGCAGCCTCAGCCCGGCCGTCCCGCTCCTACCGCTCCCATGGGAGCTGCCGCCAGATTCTTGTTGCCCGTCCAACAGTGCGAGTTCCAGCTCACCAACGCTCTTGAATCTCTGCAAAAGGACCCCTGGCCCGTCGCAAACGACAAGCGTCCCCTGAGATGCACTGGTGTCGCCCTGAGTGTCGCAACTGGTCTTCTTGAGACTTCCTTCCAAAACGCCGGTGGCAGAATCATGCTGTTCACCGGAGGTGCTGCTACTGAAGGCCCTGGTATGGTCGTTGGACCCGAACTCAAGGAGCCCATCCGTTCCCACCACGACATTGACAAAGACAACATCAAGTATTACAAGAAGGCTCTTAAATTCTACGAGACCCTGGCCAAGAGGACTGCGCACAACGGTCACATCATTGACATCTTCGCTGGATGTTTGGACCAAGTCGGTTTGTTGGAGATGAGAAGTCTTGCAAACTCGACTGGTGGCCACATGATCTTGACTGACAGCTTCACTTCGTCCATGTACAAGCAGTCGTTTGCCCGTATCTTCGACAAGGACGCTAACGATAACCTTCTCATGGGCTTCAACGCTTCCCTCGAGGTCTTGACGACAAAGGAGCTCAAGGTCACTGGCTTGATAGGTCACGCCGTGTCTATGAACAAGAAGTCCGCAAACGTTGGCGAGACGGAATGTGGTATCGGCAACACCTGCTCGTGGAAGATGTGTGGTATCAACCCCAACTCAAGTTACGGTATCTACTTCGAAATCGCTGGCCAGGGCGGTCCCACAAACGTGCAGCAAGGCCCTCAAAAGGGTCTCATGCAGTTCCTCACATATTACCAGCACTCTTCTGGCCAGTTCCATCTTCGCGTCACCACCGTTGGTCGCAACATGAGCGGTCCTTCTGGCGACCCAGCCATCGCACAATCCTTCGATCAGGAAGCTGCCGCTGTCCTCATGTCTCGTATCGCAGTCTTCAAGGCTGAGGTTGATGACGGTCCGGATGTCCTCCGCTGGGTCGATCGCATGCTTATCAGGTTGTGCTCTCGCTTCGCCGAGTACCGCAAGGACGACCCGTCATCTTTCCGCCTGGAGAAGAACTTCACCCTCTACCCACAGTTCATGTTCCACTTGCGCCGTTCGCAATTCTTGCAGGTCTTCAACAACTCACCCGATGAGACTGCCTTCTATAGACATGTGCTCAACCACGAGGATGTGTCTAACAGTTTGGTCATGATTCAACCCACTCTCGATAGCTACGGCTTCGATCACGAGGGCAGTCAACCCGTCTTGCTCGATTCCACCAGCATCCAAGACCAGACCATTCTTTTGCTCGACACTTTCTTCCACATCCTCATCTTCCACGGTGAAACCATGGCACAATGGCGCAAGGCTGGTTACCAGGACCAAGAGGGCTACGAGAACTTCAGGGAAATGCTCGAGTCGCCCAAGGAGGACGCCAAGGTAAGATCTTCCAATTACCACAAACCCATTTCACATTGCTAACGATCGTTCCAGGAACTCATCCAAGACCGCTTCCCTCTGCCCCGTTTCATCGTCTGTGATGCCGGTGGTTCTCAAGCACGTTTCCTTCTTTCCAAGCTCAACCCCTCAACGACACACACGACTGGCGCATACGGCGGTGTCAGCCAAACTGCACAAACCATCTTTACCGATGACGTCTCACTACAGACCTTTATGGATCACTTGATGAAGTTGGCCGTCAGCGGTAACAGCTAGATGTAGTAAACAAGAAGTATGATGAGATGAGAAGTGTTCGATCAGTAGAGAGAGAGAGGAAAGACCAAGAAGATTATTCCACCAGCGCGTTTTTTTGTTGACAAAAAGAGATCAATTTCTCCAAACACATTCAAATACCCTCCTCTATGTCCTTCTCGTTTTGATCCCAGCATTTATTAGTGCTGAACAATGACATGATTGAGCTCTTCATCTAGTGAGTAGATGTTGATTTAGCTGATCATCACATATGAGCATCTTCAATCCAAATTGTTGATGAAGAGGACGATGATCTTTGGCTTTTTTGTCAAGATGGCTGATTACTCCTGCATACATTGCATGGTCATTCTCACCGATTCTGTGCGGTCGCTGCTTCGTGAGTACTTACACATTTCCTTCTCACGTTCGAAACACTGCTTCCTGTCGTTCCTAGTCGAACAATTTGCTCTTTCCTTTTCGGACGAACCGCTGCGACAACGTCAAAAGCATTCCTATCTGAGATATAGTCGAGATGATACCGTTATCTTAGCAAATAAGATAGTAGTATCAGAAGATGCACAATCTCATCAAACGTTATGGGTGATTGATTTTGAGTCTGGCGGTAACCCTGTTCAGATGTACTTGCTGAGCGTGTAACCTTGGTCTAGAACATCGGACTGTCATATCGGTGATTATGGCTTGTGGTTTGTTGATTGATTCTGGTTGGGACAATCGTGTTATGCTCTACTTGACGCTTTGACAGCTTTGGTCATCGTATGTAAGCTTCTTTGTCGTGATTATCCTCGGAATCATCAAAGTGTCGGGTTTCATTCTAGCAACACAGAGCGGTCATTGCAGAAAGGCTCAAACAGCTATTCAATGTTCCCACAAAAATGGCTTGCTCCTTCTAATTTAAGCTCGTGGTATTGCACAATGTCATCCTCCGAATGAATAACCTAATGGATATCGACGCATACGATCGGTCCTTTCTTGCGTCTTGCAGAGAAAACAACGATCGAGGCTCCTGACTAGAACTTTCTGAAGCTCTCTCTCCCTTCTAGTTTATCGTTTTACATGCGTGAACCTTGACAGAAAGCAAGATATTGACAAGATTGTTTGACGATGTTGTAACGAGAACACAATACATTGATGCGTTCACAAACCCTATCTACAGTTCGCTCCTTAGCAATGAAACAAGACTCCTGCACGAGTGATGAGATGGGTCTCCCGGCCCTCGCGCCTCTGCGTCGAACAAACACGGACGGCATGCACGAGAGTACCGTAGAAGTCTCCGCCGAGGCCGTCAAGCTCCGCGACTATCGAAGAGGCGACTGTAACCTCGTTATCCTCTCGACCTCGGTGCTCGGTGACTCGAGTTGCACAAGACGGGATTTCGTTGTTGCCAGCGGCGGCGGTCATGGTGCGATCTCCTCGCCCTCGTGAGTGGTGGTGGTGACGGTGGATGACTTGGAGGAAGGATGTCGTCCAGGACTGAATTCTATGCGGAAGATGACCGAGAAAAGAAACAGAGGCAATCAGAGAATCTCCAATATTATTCACAAGTCCCCCAGGATATGTTCATCGAGAGCTGTTGATTCTGCTTGTAATACTCGAAGAAGCTCGGGATCGCTGTGCATGCGTGTTGACGAAGATGAGTTTTGCTGATGGCTCAATGTACGTAGAGGACCTCTCCATACTTGTTGACGGACTCTCCGTGCTCATTGACGTAGGAAAATCTCATATCATCATTGTCGTGTTGAGTGGTCAAGGATTGACCAAAGGTGCCACTCATTCTGAAAGTCAATGTTTTTGGATCCCAGTAGACATTAACGTCTCCAACCAAAACAACAGGACCAACGGCAATAGACTAAGACGTCGAAGATTAGTGTCAAGTGCTTCCAAAAACCGGAACTAACTTACGAAATTCTCGACGGGACCTCCCAGGACACGATCAAGTTCCGTCGCCGCGATTTTGAAAGACTGCTTGGGGGTGGTCAGTCTGAATATGTGGCAGAAAACATCTGTAGTCGGGCATGTGCCGATGTGGAACCATGGTGCTGGTTTCCTCCTTACGGACGTCGAAGCTTTGGTCATCTGCTTCTTGATATTTGCTTTGGCTACTTCGCAGACTGATGAGACCCAGAGGAGTCCAAGTTCTGCATCTGTATGGTTGTTTGGCTCTGGTTGGTCCTCATCTCCTGACTCTCGGGCGGGAATTGGGCGGCTCGAGCGCAACTCGTATAGAGCTTGTCGTTCGCTGTGTAGATCTTTGCGAAGTGCGGCGATGGTATTGTCGCGATTTTGGAGTGCACCAGTCATGGCATCCATTGTCACTCCTTCTCTCCTCTTCGCCTCGTCTCGCTCGAGGCGAGCATGATCTCTTTGCGCCTCGACAGCACGGAGGGCTCCTTGAATCTCCCCCAGTCGCTCGCATTCTTGTTCCAGCTCTTCTAGACGTTCTTTGTCGTACTCACGTTCTTCTCGAAGGAGCACCAGGCCTCCCAAATGTCTAAGTTGATCGTGTGTTTCCCGGATTTCATCCAGACCTCCTAGATCTTCAAGCTGCAGTAAGTCTTCTCTGAAGTTCTCAATCCCGCCGAATTCATCGTCAAGTTGATCATGCAAGTCTCGCAAGTCCTCAATATCTCCTAGCTCTTCGTAATATTCAAGATCCTTGCAGATCTTGTCCAAGCCACCAAGGTCCTGGATCTTTTCATGTTCCTCCTCGAGCTCTTCAAGCCTCTCGCGGTTGTCGCCTCTTGATTGCCCGGCTATTCTGTAGGCCTCCACCTGTTCGCGTAGATTCGTCGACTCCTCGAAGTAAGTACGTGCAGCCTCTCGTGCTTCCTCGTGAGCATCTTTCAAAGTCCTCACTTCAGCTGATTGTTGTCGCTTGGCTTCTTGCAAATTTTCGAGTTCGCGAGCCGTCTCGACTTCCTTGGCCTCTGCTTGTCTCTTGTATTCGCGTAGTTCTTCGAGCTCTGTGTTCAGGCTATCGGTGTTCTCAACAGGGGTTGTGGGCTGATCGGCGGGGCCATTTTGGGGTGACGTCTCCGATACTTGTTGCTGAGACTGTGTTGTACGGAACCTCTTGTTCGAGGGAGGAGGTGCATTGTTATCGTTTGTTCCTGTGGTCATCATCAGCTCCATTGCAGCTTCAAGTATACCTCTTCCATCTCGACCTTACGTTTGCGAGAAGCCGCCGCTCTTGTACCGGGACCCATGGTCATACTGTCAGAAGCGAGTGAAGCTTTGGAATAATTGGCGCTTTGAAGCCAAACGATCATGTGATGGAAGGCATTATTCGAGGAATACAGGATACTGCTGGAACTATGAAGACCGCTTATGTCGTCGATACCGCGTAGATTGCTTACAGCAGGAAAGCACCAAAGGCGACCGAAATCAAAAGAGCACCAGCTAGGGAAACAATGCCATCGGTGGTGACACCTAGCACTGGACTGCCAGCTGCACTGCTCAGATCCGTCGACTGAGGACCGGCAGTCTGTCCCACAGCCTCGGAAGCAGTCGATAGTGAATAACTAACTGATGCAGTAGCAGTGCCAGCGACGCGCTCAGTCTGATTGGCAGCAAGCTCACTAGCTTGGTCCGTCACATTCATGACTCCATGACGGCCAGCCTCGACGGCAACAATATTGGAAGCAGTGGCAGAGAGACGTGCCTGTGCGATTGAGACTTGTCCGTTGTCAAGGTCATAGACCCAATAGCCAGCGCGGATGACGGGATCGCCGACGAGGTAGAACTTGGCATCAGAGCCGGCATCTTGAGCCATCAAAAGACAAGCATCCTCTCCTCCGATCTTTGCAAGTCCGGAGCCATCAGTAAGTACTGCAGGGGTGAAGAACGAGCTGAGTGGAACTTCCAGATTGACCTTGTTAGTTCCGTTGCCAGAGAAGGTAAAGGCGAAAGAAGTCCCATTGGAGATTTTGCTGCAGGCCAGAAGCGCGTTGTTCTGTGAGATTGTGGCTCCAGTGGCGTTGATAATCTTGTTGTACACGTCTGTGGGAACATCCCAGTATGCAGAGCCAGAGTCGGGAAGAACAGGTTGTTGAATCTCATCAGGCTCGACGATCTGTTCCTTTGTGCCATCATCGCGTGTCATGGAGACTTCATCCAGATGCATCCAAAAGGCCGAAATAGGCTTCTCCTCAGCGCTCACTTGCAAGAAGTTCAAGGTCGTGAGATTGCCCTCGTACTTCTCGGTGTCGATACCACCAAACAGAATAGAGCCGAAACTGCTTACTTCGTTGAGGTATAGACTGAACAGACGTGATGGAATGGCCCCAGCTCCGACGAGCGACTCGACGAAAGTTGGATATAATGGTTGGCCTTCTCTGAGAGCCTCGGTCGCTGAGTATGCAAGTCCCATAATGCCTACAAAGGCGCCATTGCCCAGGAAGCGGCCTTGGGCTTCATGTGCTACACCGAAATGAGCGCCGGTGACGGCAATATCTCCAACTTGAATAACATCCGTCACTAGATCTCCAGTCATAGTACCAGAGACAACACTTGCGCCATATTGTGCTTTTATAGCACCGGCGGAGAGAAGGCTGAAAGTAGACGAGGCAGACGAATTGTAGCTTCCACCAGGACAGCTTGACTTCTTTGCACAGATTGACGCGTCGGAGGCAAGAAGTATTGTGTCGCTGCTTCCAGTGTCAAGAAGTGCCGTCTGAAGTTGACCAGGTGTGCCGACTGTGAAGTTTACAAAATATCTTGCCCCGAGCTGGCCAGCAAAGTTGGTGAGCAACGCAGACTCTGAGGTTCCGTTTACATCGCGTTCCGCAAGGGTCAAGAGTTGAGAATGGCGTTCACCCTTGAGCGAGAACTCAAGTGTGCCTTTCGCTAGAGCAGATGAGGCGCAAAGGAAGACGAGAGGGATTGACCCGGTGAATTTCATGGTGTCTGTCAATGCAATCAAGGGTATGGATGACGTTCAAAATTGATAGCAAACAGAAGAATATACGAGAAAGAAAGGCGACAATGGAGTGTCGTTCAGAATTCCAGATGATATACTGTTCAAAGTGAGCGGACTCGCAGGCGCAGTGCTGTGACCTGGCGACTCATGGCTGTTCGTCCCATCATGACACAGATGCCAGGCTGAGGCTGTTCCTGCATTCTTGTAGGGCGCCTAAGTTACAGTTGGTAGCTCCTAAGAATATCTAGTATATTAAGTCCTGTTTCTGATACACTTAGTTGGTTGGTCGGGTTGCAAGGAAGCAGAATCCTTCGAATTAGCGCCGCATAGTCACTAGTTGTTTGCGCCCCAGCATAATTTGGGCGAGGCATCTGCATAATAGCTTCACAATTATGACCGAATAGTGCAAGGTCAGTCCGAGCATCGGTAAGCAAACCTTGGAAGCGTCACGCTCGCTCCTCAGATTGCAAACAACTCCAAACTCCTCCGACGTCTTTGTTAATGAAGCTCGTTGCAAAGGAAGTTTAGTATGTAACGTTCGTTCTTGTGATTCTAGTGTAAACATTAGAACGACGAACCAAAGTCTCCAGCCACCACGACCTGGAGAAGAGCTGCGCCGCACAGCACCCGATTCTACATTGTCGACTTCCGCACTCGATGGTCTAGCCACGATATCTATTTTTGCTTCAATCGGTGAGAAACAAAGAGATCAGCTTGAAGAGATGGATTTACAGAAACCAACGCCTTAGGATGCCAACACAGTGGAGCAGGAAGATGTTGGCATCCTGAGCAGTGTTGGAGAGCTCATCCACCACCAACATTCTTCCTTTTTAACATCCTGATGGATGTTGCAGGTGTTATGAATCGAGACTCACACAATCCTCCTTGAGCACTGGAGAAGATCTCTACGCTTCGAAAGGTATATAACTGAACTCATTCTCCATCCAACTGAAAATCATCCAGCAACTCAGCAATCAAACAATCAAAGCAACCAAGCAGACCAACACTTCAATCAACCTTCTCAAAACACTTCTATCTTCTCAAAACCCCATCATATATTAATCTCTTCATCAAGCTCTCCAACTCCTCAAGTTCAAGCAATCTTTCACCAAAACACAATCAAGATGCAATTCACCAACATCATCATCGCCCTCACCATGGCCCTCGCCTCCTCCGCCGAAGCCAAGAAGGGTCTCCACGGCAAAGGCTTCACCGGCGACGGTGTCCTCGGCGCCGGTGCCCAATTCCTCGGCGGCGTAGTCGGCGGCGCCATTGGCCGCCGCAGCATCCACGAGCGCCGCCAGACCGATCCCCTCGACGCTGTCCCTCAATACAACTACGACATGTGCCGCGAGTCTCTCAGCGGCGCCAAGCTCACTTTTACTCCTGCCGGTCCTGGCGGTTTCCAGGTTGCTGGTGTTCCTAGCACTTGTATGGTTCTTGCTACTTCTTTGACTGGTAGCTTCAATGCTGGGTTCCCTATTCCTCTGGGAGCTGATTCGCTCAAGTTCAGCGGTCTTACCGACGCGGAAATGCAGGAGCTTCAGTCTTACTTCCACTAGATGGGGTTTTGATGATAGGACTTCGACAATGGGCAGTGCAGTAGGCATTCGGAGTGGATTCTCATGGTGATGGTGGTGGTAGATGCTGGAGCTTGCCAGTTTCGTTATCTTTGCTTTTGTCTCTTATCTCGTATCCCCAATCTTTTAAATTACATAGAATGCAGTATATCATGGTTTGCAACAACATCTCTTGCCCATTAGGACTGAATAGCCTTTGACAATCAGTGAAAAACAATGGGAAGCTTAGCAATATGGACAAGATCTTCCCACTGACATGGATTCGAACAAAGGTTCGTTGTAATCTCCGGGATTGTCGACTCTCTTAAATCTACAGTCCACTTCTTTCGACTGTCTCTCGCAATCACTAATAGCGTTGTCCGGACTGTAGGGGTGCACGATAGCTTCAAGGGTCACTACATCTTGCTCACAGGAGTGCGCTGCCAACAAGCTCTCAAAGGAAACTTTGTGATATTGTAGAAGAAATTATGCACTGCTGCAGCCCGCGCGTGACTGAAGCCAATTTGGATACGATATCGAACCATCAGAACGAAAGATTTGAAGTGATGATGTTGTAAGTATTGTTCAAACAAATCTGTGCGAATTCGACATATTTTACACTCAACTAGTCTACTCCCCACCAAGCAAACCTGTAAACAATCCTAGTCCCAGCGCTCTATTTTGCCTCTCGATCTCCTTGAGCATCTCTCCATGCACTTCTGAATATGACCACTTCGGTGCCACCCAAAACCAGAATGTGAACACCCAGACATAGCCAATAATCTTCCAGCACCATTGAGGTAAAAGCCCTCTCATCGGACCTGCAGAACCCAGAACACATCCCTCAGTAGCCATGACAAAGAAGTTGACGCAGTAAAAGGCGACATCATCCACTGCTTCGACAAGTTTCCCTCGCTGCAAAGAAACCATAGCATGAGCCAAACCCGAGATCAAGAAGATCAGGAAGGCAAGAAAGACTTTCTCAGCACTGTGACCAAGACTGGGGACACAAAGTCTGCCTGCAACAATTTTTGCAAGGCTCAAGTAAGGCTTATGGACTAATCGATGCCAGAATCTTCCCCAGTAGCGACGAATGGTGAAGGCCTTAGAAGGACTGCCAAACATTGGCGGCCACTCTGCCGGCGAGTCGAGTTGTAGAAGTCCAACGAACATGATGCTCAGGAAAGTGTGTGCAGCATCGATGTCGACGAAACTGAGCCAGATCCAGCGGAAAGTGAAGACGACGCGAATGCATGTTTCGCGTAACGTCACTGGCTCTATGGCTTCGAAGAACGGCAGTCGACGAAGATAAGTTTGTGCGTACTGATCGAACTCCCATGGCTCGACGGGTCCGAATACCAATGGTATCAAGGGAGTGAACAGGTGAACAGTAAGCAGCCAGTATGCGATTAGCTTAAGTAGACGGTATGCCACGAAAGCGATCAAGGTACTCTTGGATGTAGAAACGGCAGGAAGAGAGGTCTCTGGTCCATCGCTCAAATGTCGAACATCGAATAGAAGCTTATAAGCCGCCTTCATATCCCATTGCTTTCTGCTCTTACTTTGCGATGGGATCTGGTCGACGTAAAGCAAAGAGATGATATGTGCGACCCATATCATGACTGCGAGTCCCCATATTCCGTCCAGAGAATCCGGCCATGTGAAGTACTCGAATGTAGCAAAAGCTCGCCACGCCGGCACGATAAGAATCGGGAAGCAAACATTTCGTATCCTTTGTGGAAGATTCAAGAGAAGGTAGAAAGCCAAGCTCGCGGTCGCGAGATATGCGATTGGTATGACCGGTGAGAAGGAAGTTTGGAGGTTCATGTTAGGTTTTGGCTCCGGTGATAGAGTCCGAATAGCAGTAGAAGCAGTATGCTTCGAGGTCTGTGGCCTTACTACATACAAATATACTTTCCTCCTGCAGGTATAACAAGCTTCATGGGTTTACTGCTGAGCTTTGCTAGCAGTCTCAGTCGCGCTGCCGTCATGGCACTATTTTGGACTAGTTGGGGCGTTGGTGAGTTGGTGTTGGTCTGGTCAGGCGCCCACAAACAATCCTTGTCACTATCTCAACCCACATCATCAGCCATGCGTTGCTGTCGAGTTTGCATGCTCGAGAATGATACGCTAACACCATCCTATGTTTGTCCTCCATCAGAGGTGGAAGCTACAATCTAGTGTGTATGATGCAGGAAATTTCGTGTCGGTCATCGTGGGAAGTAAACAGACCCATTGCTGCGCCACATGGGCAGCGCGAAACATGCTTGAGGATCAAATCAATAAAAAATCTTGATGGGCGCAGCGGTTGGTCTTGATTGAACAGCGATTGATACTTAAGACGACGTAGGTTATTCGAGTAGAGGCAAGGGAAGCGAAGGCGGTCGTCACATCGTGAAAGACAAAAAGAGACGGGGCAAAAGAGATACAAAACGTACAGCAGCAGGGATTCCCACGTGGTCACCCACCGTAGTACTAATCTGCCGTTCAACTGCTTATGTATGGCAGAGCGGACGGGATGCCCAGTTTTCAGCTGACTGTGGCCGTACGTGGAAACAATGGAACACGCTGGTTTATAACCACTAGCATGTGAAGCCCGCCCTCGGGCCGCTCCATGAGACGAAAACTCAATTCGCCAGCTTGCTTGACCTTTCCCTACACCCGTCTCCTTTCTTCCCACATGCAACATCGACACAAAACATCTCCAACGATGAACAAATCGATTTGATGATGCTGTATACGTGGTCATCTCAATCTTCTGCGTTCTGGCCTCGCTTGGTGTGAACGCTTCTCGCTGTCTGTTTTCCACCTGCATGGCGTCTCTGTTGCGACGGCTCGTGCATTACAAGCCATCCAAAGAATCAGCGCTTCACAACTTGTCAGCAGGCAACGGCCATCTTAAACATCCCCCCATAAACTCTTACCAGGTGAAATATATGCCGAAGCAACTGTACAGCTTCAACAGACATGCACATCCAATCCATTCCCCCATGTTCAATCATCGAGCGATACGCATACCATCATCTGAGAGCCAATGCGATTGAATTGTCCTTCTTCCACAGCAGCGTCCCTTCCCTCAACCATCGGACACTCAGCGTTGTCGTACGTACATTTTCTCCCTGCAGCTCTTGGCTGTGATTCTGATCAAGCCCGGCGTGAGGTTAAAGGTATGGCGTCTTGATATAATACTCAAACCGTTAGCATGATTGCGACGCTCCATGAAAACGAGACTCTGAGCCTTGCGTGGCTAGGAGATCAAGATGGTATAAAATGTCCTGTCCAACACACCACTTGGCTGAACCAACTCATCATCATCGTTCTCTATCTACAATCCCTTGTCAAACATCACAACGAGCAACAACATGGTCAAAACTTACCAATTTTCGGCAGCTCTGCTGGCCTTTGGCTTGTCCTCTCTGTCTCATGCTCATCCAGGAGAGCATGAGATGGTCGACGCGATCATGAAGAGAGGCGAACATGCTGCCATAGTTCAGCGTGGTCTCGAAGATTGCTTCAACCATCCAAAGTTTCTTGAACTGCAGATACGCAGCCAAGATAGACGTTGGGAAAAGGCCCAGCAGCTCAGACGAGCCCGCGACATCCATGAATCGAGTATGTGACGTCTTTAGTTCGATGACCAGACAACGCTGACCAGATTCACAGCTCCATTCAAGACCAGACGCGATCTCGCGGCACTCGAGACCTTCGAGAACGTCGAGCACAACATGACTTCTCTTGGGTATACCGAGTCCACTTCACCCTCGGTCATGTTTGCTAGCTCTAAAAATGCCTCCTGCATTCTTACTCCCCCTTACTTCGTCACCGGAGCGTACTACCGCACCAATGTCACTGAGGACCAAGAGGGCATACCTGTTCATCTGGAATATCAGTACATCGACATAAGCACCTGTGAGGTCGCCACCGGCCTCTATCTCGAGGCTTGGCAGGCAAATGCTACTGGAGTTTACTCTGGCATTGTTGCTTCCGGAAATGGCAATGATGCGGATGGCACAAACCTTGTAAGCGTTACCTCCATGGATGATCATCACGATCTCAGCTAACAAGTTCGGATACGACCTTCCTTCGTGGTGTGACACAAGTAGACGAAGACGGTGTGGGTTACTTCGACACCATCTTCCCTGGACATTATTCGGGAAGGGCAACACACATCCATCTTATCGCCCAGCAGAATGGTACCGTCTTTGCCAATGGAACTTACTCGGGCGGCACGATCTCGCACGTCGGTCAACTCTTCTTCGACGAGTCTCTCAAGGACGCTGTGTACGACACATACCCATACAATGCCAACACTCAATCATACACGACCAATGATGCCGATATGTGGGCTCCAGACCAAGCCGTGAGTCAAGTCTACCGTAATGACATACTAAGCCAACAGTTTTTAGGACAACAACTATGATCCGATTCCAGACTATGCATACCTCGGCAACGACATCTCTGACGGCCTTCTCATGTGGATCAGGTATGACATATTCTCCAATTTATCACAGGGTTTTAAGACAGCTGACAAATCCATAGTGTTGGCATCAACATGTCTGCTGAGTACACTGTAACTGCTGCAGCTACTTTGACGGCTGATGGTGGTGTTGCTTCTGATGGCGAAGTCAGCGGCTCTTCTGGTTCTGGTTCTGGTTCTGGCGCAATGGCTGCTGGCTCGATGCCTTCTGGTGCCATGCCTTCAGGAAGTGGCTCTGCACCTTCAGGAATGAGCATGGGTGCTGGCCAGTCCATGAGTATGGGCTCTGCTCCTAGCGGCGGAATGGGAGGCTCTCCTTCAGGTTCTTCCATATCTGAATCGGCTAGTGTCATTATCTCTGGATCCAACACCGCCGCTTCTGTTTCCTCATCTTCTAAAGTCGCTTCTGCTGGCTCTTCCGTCGTCGTCTCGTCTGCTTTCAGCAAGACTTCCACTTCCAAGACCGTGTCTTCTGCAGCATCGATCAAGCTTAGCACTTCGTCCGTTGACAAGGCCAAGACTGTCGCAGGATCTAGCTCCAGTACCTCGCTCTTGTCATCAAAGAGCACATCTTTGAGCAAGTCTTCTACTAAGTCTTCAATCAAGTCGTCATCGACCTCGAATGTCACAACCAAGACCAGCAGCGTCAAATCCTCTACCAAAGCAACTTCCACGTCGACAAAGAAGTCTTCGTCAGCTTCCACCAAGAAGTCTTCCGCTGTCAAGTCATTGTCCAGCTCTGTGAAGAAGTCATCCACTCAGAAGTCAACTTCGACAAAGAAGACTTCCGCAGTCGCGAAGTCATCTAGTTATTCCAAGAAGTCATCGGGCAAGAAGCCTTCGACCTCGACCAAGAAAGTCACATCTACCGCTCATGTTTCTGCGAAGAAGTCGACTTCGACCAAGAAGGCGTCTACTAGTACAAAGAAGGTCACCAGGAAGGTCTTATCTACCAAGAAGGGCCTGTCGACGATCACAAACAAGACTTTCTCTAGGAAGCACTGAGTATTCACAAGTTTGGCCGAGCTGTTAACTCATCGAGCACAAGAATAGAACACGCAGTTTTGTTGTGATGAAGTAAAGCTACGATGAATCCGAAGGGCAACTATATGTGACTAGTAATAATTCGGTAGAAAAGCTGTGACCAAGTTTACTTTTGTCCTCTAACTCCTATGGATTCTAATGCCGTTATGAAAGCTAAGCCTAGTCTTTAACAACCGAGTCAAATCCTTAGATAGGCCTTTGCCTTAGTGCACCTAGACTAGTAGCACGTAACCGGAATTCGGGAATTCTGCTACGTAGTCTAGGCTAAAACCTAGGGTCTTTACGTAGCAAACTAGACGATTTATTAGTAGTAACATTATCTACTATCTCCTACCTACGCTATTAATAGTAGCAACTTATTACTTTAGTAGGGAAATACTATACCTCTACGCTTCTATATAATACTAATTTAAGGCTAGCAATGCGTCCTTATAAATACTACTATGTCGTCGACAGTAGGGCCTACTTTACTACCCTCCTCTATCTAATCGCCTATTTAGATCGAGTAAAGAAGGCTAGACTTAAGCTTACGTTAGAAAGTAGATAACATTACCTACTATATTTATAAATAGCATAACCTTAGTCCTAGGGACTTTGTTATACTTCGTATAACTACTAAACTAGAAGAGCTAGGGCCTAGGGTATTAAGCGTACGGTAGTAGAATAAACGCGTCTATATACGGCTATTAGAGTCTCTTAATATCTAAGAGTCCTTTACCTAGGCCGGCATTCCTCTAGATAGTATTACTATTAAGTAAGCTTATAGTAAGATAAAGGCCTTAATAGCCGATTCTCCTTTCTTTAGGAAGTAGGACTATACGATCTAGCTAGATATTCGTACTACTATCTAATACGTTAAAAGTATACGCTATATGCTATTTAACTTCTTATCCGCTATTATAGCACCCTTCTATAGTAAGTCTATAAAAACGAGCTAGGAAAGGCGTATTATAATTCTAATTAGCAACCTATGTAATATAGCCGCTTATAATACTTTAAATTACTTTATACACCTTATAGGCAATAATATAGCGTACTATAGACTTATTAAGTAAGGCTAGGAATTTCTCTACTCGATTAGATATACTACCTCCTACTAGACCCTTCTTAAGGACTATAATAAGATTATAGTAGAGTCTAAGGCGAGCGATTAGTATTAGTCTAAGCTTTAGTTTTATAAGTTAACTAGTTAGAAGACAATTCTCTGCTATCTTAGATAATATCCTTAGGCGTAGATCTAGTACGATAACATTAACTATTCTAAAGGTTAGTAGTACTAGATAATGTCTACGAAACTAGAGTAGAAAGTAGCTACTATAGGGCGCGTCTATATTAACCTATTTGTTCCTAACTAAGGCTTAAAGTAGGATTAGATAGATTACTTAGTAAGGCTTACGTATAAGGATGTTCTTTATATACTAGGGGTTAAAAACGATAGAGAATAGGAGGCATTATGTTAGTTCTAGATAACCTACGCACTTAAAGAAACATTTAGTGTATCTAGATACGTAAGCTAGAAAGGCCCTATCCCTTAAGGAGCAAATTAGGACTTCCTATTTATCGAACGCCTTCTAGTAGTAAAGATAGAGTATTACGCTCTTTCCCCTCTCTATTTTAACGAGGGCACGATTAAAGGCACTAATATAATCTATAGTACTATATTTTGTAACTAGTTTACTATACCTAAAGACGATATACGATATAGCGAACGTCTATAGTTACTTTATAGCGACTAGAAGACTATTAAATTATCTACCTCTATCTAATTAGATAGAGAGGATAATAAGTCTAACTTCGAGCGTTATAAGTAGTTATAGCTAATCGTTTCTATCTTCTATTAGGCGTAGAACTAGCTTTAGACTATTTAGAAATTATACATAGGTCCTATTAACAATCCTATTACCGCTAGCCTTACCTATAATATATAGTATTAGAAGATTAAAAAAGTGCCGTTAGAATAAGCACCTTTTTATAAACTTAAAGAGGTAGTGTTCTAGGCCTAGGAAGCTCGTATTATAGCCCTTCTATTCGTCTAGCTTAAAGAAGAAGGTATAGATATAACTAACCTTTCTTAAGT